AAATTATAGTATACTAAGAGAAATGATTACTAATAATAGCCAAAATCTATTAGCTAGGGTAGTAAGATACTATATCTAGCTTCTTAGTACCTAATATTAAATAATTACTCTATACTATCTATATATAAATAGAAAGATAGAAAACTTTAATAGATTATTAGGCTAAATACTAATAAAATATTTAATAAATAAATTAATAAAGTTATAGGAACTTTATTTAATATAGACTATTTTTACTATATATATATATAAATATAGTATAATAGGGTTTAGCCTATTTTATTTAGTATATAGTAAATAACTATAAATACCTAGTAATAATAATAATACAATAGTAATATAATCTTTTATAGAAAGATTAGATATACTATAGAACTTAAATAATATATAAATAAAGATAAATAAATTATTACTAAATTATATAATTAAGAAGGGTTATATCTATAATAGTAAAGTTATAAAAACTAGCTTCTAGAAGAATAACTAGGTATTAATATATAATAAAAGTAGGAAGAAATTTAAAAGTAAATAGTTCAAACTATATTATATTTTAATAATCTATACTCTTAGAATATATACTTTAGTAAAGCTATTTAGTTATATACTCTAAAATCTTATAAATAGATTAAGACTCCTAGAAGTAAAAATAAATAACCTAAAGTTATTATAAATATTATAAGCTATTTAAACTATAATATTATAAGTTAATATAAAATTAAAAAGATCTAAAAAGGTTTAGAAGATCCTAAAAAATAATACTTTATTATTAACTTACTCTAACCTATTAACTTTTATTTATAAAGAGTAGGAAGAGTTCTACTATAATAGTATATAATAAAGTTTAGTAGGGGAGGATATAATTATAGAATATATTATTAAGAAAGTATATAGATATATAGTAAAATACTAATATATATAAGAAGATCTAAAATAGAAGGATCTTAAAGAGTTATAGGAAGAGTTAAGTTTAGACTTAAGTAATAATAATAGAGCTAAATATATCTCTAAAAATAAAGATATAGATAAAGTTAAGTATATCTCTAAAAATGTAGATATAGATATAGAAGGAGATATTCTTCTAGGAAGAAGTATTCTATATACTACAATAATATATAAAAGGATATTAATAAAAGATAGTCCCTTTACTATTATAATCCTAAAAACTAAGTTATAAAGTCTATAAAAAGAGAAAGGAGAATAAAATAGAGATTTATATTAGATATATAAGACTTATTAAATACTAGCTAAGAATATAGAAGAAAAACATAATCAAATTATAAATAGAAAATACTAAAAATTATCTCTAGGAATATTATAAAATATTATAAGATAGTATAAAGTAATATAAATTATATAGAGATATCTTTATAAGACTAACTATAATAAGTAGATTATTTAATAATAGCCTTTCTTAAAGAAGTTATAGAAGATTTAGATAAAATACTAAATAAAAGTTTATTATTAGAAGTATTATAAGTAGAAAGTTTAGAATCGTTATAAATAAAAGAGTTAGACTCTTTATAAATAATATTTATAAACTCTCTAAGTTCTTCTTTAAGAGCTAACTTCCTCTTATAATAATTATTTTTCTTTATAAATAAAATAACTATTTAAGATATAGTCTTAACTATATTAAGTATAAAAGGATTCTTCTCTAACTTAGTTTTACTTTTATTATATTTAATAATATTATTCTTTTTTAGAACTATCTTAATTTATATATAATTATAGGCTAAATAAGACTTTATTAAAGATAGCTAATTATATATTACTAATATTAGCTTAAACTTACTAGTTTTAAAGTAATAGTAGATATTATACTTATCTAATAGAGAAAAATACTAATCTATTAGATAAACTAGACCACTAGGATACTTAATATTAATAGTATAGATAGATCCTTTTAGACTAGGAGAGAAAAAGAAAGCTATAAGAAAAGAAGATTAGATCTTCTAGGTCTTTCTTATAGGAGAAAGGACTAACTTAATATAAACTAAAGTCTCTAGAGTTACTAAAGTAGGAATAGTTATATATAGTTTCTTAAAAATAGAAGATATAGTCTTCTTAGAAGAAGATATAGAGGGAGTAATATAATATTTTTATAATATAATTATAAGAGAAGAAGCTTTCTCTATATTATAATTATCCTCTTCTATAGCTAGATCTTTAATTAGATAGTAAGAGATATAATAATAAAAGATTAGATAAGTATCCTATATAAAATAAATAAGATTCTTAGAAGGATTCTAATAGAAAGAGTATCTACTTATAGTATTTCTATATATATATAAAGTATAAGAGTTATTAAATATAATATCTCTATTATTAAGAACTATAACTATATATAAAAGAAAAAGCCTATAATCTATTAAATAATATATATAGGATAAAGAGATAGCTATTCTGATTTATTAGATAATATATATATATCTTTACCCTTTTAAATTAACTTTAATATTATTAATATTATACTAATCTATATTATATATAACTAGTATAGCAATAAGTATAAGATCGGAAGCAGATTAGAAGTTAAGAAAGAAGGTATTACTAAATATATTAATACCTTTACTATATATAATAACTTTTATAAATTAAGATCTAATACTAAAGTTCTAGGGTATAATTATATCTATATTAGGGGGTAGAATATCCGACATTTCTATAAGAAATAAGATATTAGCTTATATTTAGTTTAAGTAACACTATAAGAATCTAGAGTTATATTTATTAAAAAAGAAGAGATATTATAAGATATACAAGAAGAGAAGTATAAGAAGAGAATTATACGAAAGAAGAGAGCGTGAAAAACAATAATATACAAGAAGGATAGCAAACAAGCTGAAAGGTGGTGTTAGTGAGCTTTTTTTGAATATAAGTAGAATTATACCGCTGAAAGAAGGCGACATAATGATGAGGTAATGCTAATTATTAAACTAAAGGGGGGGTTAATACTTTATATAGACCCCTATAAACAGGAAGCTCTATGAAACTAAATAAGAGGCCTTAGGCCAATATAAGTGTTTATAATGCCGGAAGTAGTAATCATAATGCTATTCGGAAAACCCCATACAAACCGTTATTACAATCTTTCCCTCTATACTATTTACTATATTATTGTTAAAACTATCCGGAAAATAACCAACAGGCTACTATTGAGCTGATTCGCCCTCGAAAAGGCGAATCGTAAATATTTGTGATCCTCTATATGCATGATCACACCATAGGTATTTTATATATCGTCGCTCTATACGAACACTCAAGATCGAGGCGATCTTGGTTAAGTAGGGGAGGATAAGATAAATTTACCTAATTCTCCCTATATATTTTATATGTTACAATCTGTTACGTTCATTTATATATAGTAATATCCACGTCTATATCTATTGCCATCTATCTATAGTTATCTGATCGTATGTGATCAGATATATCAATTTACTATGTTTGTTTATTGGTGTATATATATTAACTATCGTTTCCCCTAACTTAGCAATATATGCCTGTTCGCACCCTAAGATCTCAATAGTAGTTATAGATTAGCTTATAAAAAATATAATTCTTATAAATATAGTAAAGACACCTATTGAAAGAGTAATAAATATATTCTCTATCTATTTTTATATATACTATAGACTATTATAAATAATTATAAATAACTATAGGTCTTAATTTATAGGTATATTCTAGTAAATAATATATAAAAAGCTATTAATTTAATATTAACTATTAATTACTTTCTATCTATAATCTAATAGTATTATAAAGTATATAAACTAAATACTAAATAGATCTTATATATATTTATAATCTATATATAAAATAATTAGGATATATTATTTCTTATTATTACTATAGTAATTAATAATTATAATACTAATATAATAGGACTATCCCTCTTCTTCTTTATATATAATTATTATATTAATCCTATTAAAATAAAAAAGATAGAGGAATCCTATAAAACCTATATATAATTAGGAATTATAGATAAAATATTTATAAATTAACTATAAGAAACTACTAATTAAGCCTAAGCTATAATTACTTTTATATAAGCTCTATAAAAAGAATAATTAAATAAATAATAATAGGCTATACTAGTCTATAAAAAAGATAACTAGATATAATTAAATTTATAGAATATAGATATATAATAATAATTAAAGAAATTAGATTAGTTATATATCTAATATTAAGTTTTAAATATTTCTATATTTTATATAATTTAATTAGAAATATCTACTAATATCTATCTAGTATTTTATATAAAGCTAGTTAGACTAGTTATTTCAGATCTATTTCTATTATAGATTATAGATAATTTATATCTCCTACTAATATTAGTTAATAAAAAACTTAAGTATAAAGTAGAAGAGATAATAAATATAAAATATAAGAAAATTAATTAAGAATACTTTAATAAAACTCTAATAAAATAGATAAATTAGATAGAATAGATCTAATAAAGTCTTAATAATATTTAAGATTACTTTGTATTAAATATCTTTAAAGATAATTCAACCCTATTTTAACCCTATTATAGGCCTAAAGATAACTAAATATAACTATAATATATATAAGAAGGACTACCCTAAAGAGGAAATACTATTACGGATTAGTACTTAATATAAGGTTATATAGTATATATAACTATAATAACCTAATATATAGAATACCTACTTAGTAATTCTCTCTTTAAGCTTTTTATACACAGTTCATAGCCTAGCTTAATTATATATAAATTCTACTTTAGCCCTTCACACTATCCTAGATATATAATTTCGAATAGCCTCTCCTTAGATAGCTTCTCCTCGGTATTTTATATCACTATATTCTAGTATTACAGCTACTTGTCTTATTATAATCGTCTAAGAGGTGAATGAGGCTCCTGTCCAATTTCAGGCAGCTCCCGGCGAATGACTTTCCCACTTCCTGTTCGTGGGATCGAATCAAGAAAGTACACCCCACCGATAAGCCACTTATGGGATGCAAAGTGTGACTTAGTTATTTCCATGATCTTGTACTTTGTAACAAGCTTTTTCTCTTGTACTATGAATGCTCGCGGGTATTCTCCCCCCGAATGTATTCGCACTTGGTTAGAAGACTGTGCTCGTCCATCTGATAAAATATCACACTTACATTTTAGCGCCAACGACTGCAGCATCAGCCACGTCGTGGTGAGTCAAAAGATACTGCTCGAGCTCTGCAGGGGCAACTTGGAGACTTTTTACATTGATCAAGTCCCAATGTTTGTTTATGATTAGCATTCGCGGAACAACGACCGAAAACTTGAAAATGCCAACCTTCAATCGATCCACGATGTATATGCATCCCCGATAGTCGATATATCCAATGTCACCCGTTCGCAGCCAACGACGACAATGGCTTCCCCTGTCTCCTTCAGCTTCTTGTAGTACCCTTTCATAATGTTCGGTCCAGCCACCCATATCTCCCCCACAGTGGCACCTTGAGGTGCAGAGCCACCAAAATCTCGATCGTCTTGACGATCGATTCTTGCTGCGCGATTAGGATTTAACCATCCAATGGATCCATCGTCTTCATCATCCGGAGCAAACCCTGTTATAGAGCATGTTGTTTCGGTCATCCCCCATCCTTGCTTAACTGATACGCTGGGCCGGAAATATAGCTTTTAACGATGCGACCAAGATCGGGACTCAAGGGTGCTGATCCACTAAGGACCGTTTCAATGGCTCGCAAATTGTGAATTGAAGGATTCGGTTGTTTTGATATAGTTGCCATAATGGCCGGAACTGTCGCCATGAAAGTGACTCGGTAGATGTCCATGTACATTAAGTACTTCTGCACGGAAAAAGACTTCGTGATGAAGACCTTGGCTTGAAGGATAGCTGCGTTGACACAATAATATGCTTGACCCTGTAACACGATTAGCCCATTTGGCAAATTTGATCTATAGGAAAAGGTTAATGTCTTACATATGCATGATACATCGGCAGAGGTGCCAGCCATCTCTCTCCAGAGATAGCAAGCCTCTTCTTGCGCTCAATGCTCTTCTGGGTGTTCGGGTCTATGGGACGCTTGTAGAGAAGTTGAGTGCAATTTGCGACTATGTTATAGTGCGATATCTCAACTGCCTTGGGGAGACCAGTTTTTCTTAATAAATTTTAGCATCTCTCAATTTCACTGATCCCAATTCCATTTCGCTCACCCGCTCGAATAGTTTGTAATAGCAGTTGTTCCTTCGGCATCTTCACGAGTATCTATTTCGTTCCAGGACCACGATTGAACCTCTTCAGACGGTCTCCAGATACTTGTCCAAGGTGCAATCCGCGATGATATTTCCGCTGGTACCTCTTCCTTGGGGTCACAGAACAGATACACATTTTTGTGGTCGATACCGGCCTGTCTTGCGGCTTCTAAAGCGACGGAGACTTGCTTTTGACCTACTAACAAAATATTTGCTTCGGAATCTTTAATTTGATAGTGCAGCTCTAATACGCTAAATTGTCAGCGTATACAACAAAAAATATTAGTCATCGAACTTGGAAGAATCATTTTATCTCTCAATGAAGCACCGGAGGATGCTGCGTTGAAAATACAGCGTGAAGCCAAAACGCCCTATAGGAGAACGGGGAAGTACAAGCGATTTTCTGAGAATAGTAGAACTTTGCCGTTTGGATCAAGCCCAATATCTTGAAGACCTTTTGCAAATTGCTTGACCCAGACCTTGGCCTGTGCCATAGTAAAGCACTTCGAAGGAACATCGGCATCGAAATACTGGGGTGATTCGTGGGACGAAGGCGTTCCTGTGCTGAATACGAAAGATGTCATATCCATATACGGAATATCCACCTGGTATCTTGATTCAATCATTTGATTATGCTGGGATGGAGGTTGAATGATTTATGTTCAAGTTAAAATTGAAGTCAGTGTTAATTCCAACAAAACCACAGTAGACGGGAATGTATAAGTTAGAAGTCGGTGATTTCGTGATTGTAATCAAATGTTGAGGCCCTGTCCCCGGAATATAGATCAAAGTACTGGGGCCCATAATTTTGGTCTCTTTCAAGTTCCCGGGGGTGATCTAGAATATTGAAGATACTTGTAGCGTTTAGTTTGAATCAAAGCACATTCTCTCTGAGACTCTCATTCTTTACGATTATTTTGCATCAAGAGGCATATTTTCCCGTTTTCGATCTATCTGTTCACTTAGGTCTATGACCACCTTTATCTTGGAAATAAATGGATAGAAGAATGACGCGTACTATAGGACATGAGAATTCAAGCTAGACCTTACATATATGTCTGTCCAGGAATGTTAAGGTGATTTTTTTGAATGCATGCAAGCTTTAATTGATTACCAACAATATATGACGGCTGCTCTGAAATATCTTCACTTTATGATGTTAGCTATTCCGCCGACTTAAGCCAAACCCTAGAATTTTATTTACCTCTTGACAGCGAAGGAAATGATCTTCACTGTGTTCCGGGGGAAAATCGCTTCCGTGGAAAAAACATCAACTTGCTAGATCCCGGGGAAAGAAAGAAGACAAGATATAATAGTAGACTTTCCCCACCACCACGACCTGAGAATACTAGAACTGTTAAAATCAAGAGCAAGATCAGGGGCAGGGCTTTCAGAGCTGAGGGGAAATAATAATGAATGGTAGAAGACTAGTCCTTTTTTCTGTGCGGAGTGCTCAAGTGTATACACATGTTCTTACTATCATCATATCTGGAGCTGCTCAAGTGCCAAGTTACATATCCAAAAAAGCACGTTACTGTATGAAAAGGATTTCTCAGAGCTTCCAAGTAGAATAAGCGATACGTATGTCTGCGTTGTAACATTTTCTAAAGAAGATGTAGGGGCGTAGATAGTCTGTTATTGTCGGTCTTGGCTTCGTCCCTCGGATCAAACATTCGAAAAGCCGCTCCATTGATAGGCTAATGGGACTAAATCTCACTTATTTCCAAGCAAAGGAGGGGCCCGGTCCGTCCAGATGGACCCCGGTGTCTATCCACGCTCAAAGGCAACCATCAAGGTTTGTCAAGTTGAGAAATCATCAGTTTGGTTCCGATGGGTTAGGAGATAAAGTCTCACATTGCCTTCTGCTAAAACTTGAGCCACATAGAAATTTGCTTGCCATAAAAACTGAGGTTCTCCTGCTCAAAAATGCCTTCTTTCCTCAAGGTTTCTATCTTCTTCAGTTCTGCCTTTTCATTGCATTCGATATAGAAGTCAAGAGGCGCTTTTCTGTTGCTCTTCCCATTCTAGCCCTCGGTATATCCGTGCTCGGTCACCCTGGCGGACACCATCTAAACCGCCGTGAGATTACTCATCGCGCCGGGATGGGCCTTCATGCCGTGATCATGTTTCGAGATATCATGGGCATCGTGTTAAGTGTAACCTCGACCGCCGCTAGCATAGCCACAACACAACTTAATCCATCCATACTGAGGCCCCATATTTTGAGACTATTCAGAATGACACTTGTGTCTTGACTCCAGAGGTCACCCAGGGTTCTTACGTGTTCCCTCCTTCTCAAATCCTCCATCAGGACATGACTGAGGACCGGATTGGTTTTCCTCTTTAGTTGGATATCGGCGTCCTTAAAATGGCCACCTGTGAGCCTCTGGAGAATATCTTGATTGACATGTGATGGGGCTCTTACTCTAGCTTCAATGGTCTGTCGCCCAACACTCCATTCTTGGAGCTTCTTGAGGAGCTCGACATCGACAAGTCGGACTACTAGATTGGTATTACAGACCTGCACACCGACAACTCCACCTTTTTACGTGGTATGTGGCCTACTGATTCCAACGGCCTCATGGAGATGAAGACCATTTTCCCAGGTAAGTTTAGTACCTACTATTACATCGCACCCCCCCCCCCCCCTCCCCTCCCCCTTCCTCAGTAAAATCTGATAGACAATCAATTTTAAGCTTCTACATTCAGCGTTCTATTCACATCCACGTCCAAGTGCACACCGACTGGACCATGCGCAAGAATGGCACTATCACTACTGGTAATGTGGTCAGCATAGGTCAGCTCTACTTCGACGAGGCGCTTGAGAAGAAGATCATGGCTCTGGAGCCATATGCTTCGCACACCCAGATAAACCGTACCACCAACGCTGAGGATAGTGTCTTTCCTTACGACACTGCTGGCGGTTTCAGTCCAATCATCAACGTCATTCCTGTTGATGGTCATGATATCACCAAGGGCATGATTGGTTACGTCACCCTTGGTATTAACACCACCGCCATTGAACGCGGTGACAACTATGTTGGCGACTAGTGAGTGCCTTCGTCTACTGTCAAGTTTAATATGAGCAACATTGGACGTCGACCTTGGAGCTGCTGTGAGACCTTGGCAGCATCCAATTTTCTTCTGATGGGATAGACTATAGACTGAATTTTCTTCAAGGTTCATTTGAATCATGTCGCATTTGAGGGCGACTGTTATGGTCGTTATATGGCCTCCATGGCATCTATTCTTGAATTGGAAATAACTTAGACATAGAACTTTAATATAGCTTTTACCTTCTGTGCATTGAGTAATAGTCTATCCGGTTGTCTCTATCGGGTTGTCGCACGACCAAGGGCGAGAGAGGAAGCGATTCTGCTGCGTCATTTGAAGGTTTCAAAGCCAATTCTCTAAGAGAAAAGTTGATATATGGCTAGCACCCCGGATTAATGTCCTCCGGCACGGCTAGGTTGTCAGCTAATACCAAGTTTAGTGCTACTGCTCTTTCTTCTTCTTTCTTCTTTGGTTACAGCTAGCCTAATAACAGTCCTAGTATAGATAATACTGATTACCTATAGCAGATTAATGAATTCTACTACTACATACTGCTACTTCCACTACGGTCACAGCCCTGAAGTTCAAGAAGTAGAAATAATCAATACCGCCCCCCGTCAATAGCTATATCAGGAAATTCCATATTAGAAAACGTCAAACCAGGCAACAGACCAGGAATCATGGATATTTTAACTTTATAGCCGGGTAAAAAAGTACATGTAGGCACTTTGCTTCATCTGATCGAGCTCCTCGAATTTGACGACCTTCTCATCATTGAACATAACCCAAGATGGATCAGTCTTGTCTGCCAATGCCTTGCGAATAACAGCCACATAATGCCTATATTGGTCAGCGGGATGATAATAATATAAAAAAAATATGCTTTGGGGGAATAAAGGGGTTACTTACCCTGCATGGACCGATGTGCCTTTGTGACATACAATGGACCGTAAATGATACCTGGCTGGCAAGTCGCTGCATCCGTGAGGCGCACCTGTTAATTGTTCATCATTGCTGTCCTCTTGCAGAGCTTCCTCGTCGGGATGGCTGAAAACCCAATCTAAAGCTCGATTGACATCGCCATCGGTAGCAGACAAGGCTCGCTGAGCCCTGGCTACCTCGATACCCATTTCACCTAGCTGTGCAATCTTCGCCTCGTCATGCGCACTAGCCCCAGACCCCTGTGTCGACTTACCCAGAGCCAGTGGCTCGTCGATGTCAGGGTCTTCCATGTGAGCAAAGAGCCAGTTCATCGCAGCTTCCGTGTCAGAGTTTCCCGTTGCGTGAAGGGCCTTCTCACATCTTACAGCCGGGAAGCCCATACTTGAAAGTTGTTCCATGGCGGCGGCATCAGGCTGGAAGCTGACTGGCTCGTCGATCTCGGATAATAGCTCCTCATCTGCGCTACATTCACTAGCCAAGTAATGACCCAGGTCTACTGCCCCATCATCGACAATCAATGGGATGTCTAGTTTTGTTGGGACCCAGTTGACAAGCTCAAAGCGGCGAGCATTAATGGCCAATTCCCGTGGCAATGTCTTGAAGGAAGTTCTTTTCGAGAATCCATCAGAGCTGTTACAAGCAGGGCAAGTGAGCTCAACGACCTCTTCAGCAGTAAATATGTCCAGACACTCTGATAAAGTGACAGGCTCAAATCGGTTCTCTTCCCCCGGTATGCGACGCGCAGGCACAGCAAGCGAGATATTATCTTGCTCGTCTACCTTGTAACGCACCTTTTTACAGCTCAAGCACTGGAGCCGTTGCTCTACCTCAAACCGAAAATCTTGGACAGGATTGACCTCGCCATTCTGGTGCTTTGTGAGACTCACGGTTTTGAAAAGGTGGAGGAGGAATTCGAATGCATCCTGTTGTCTCATGGTAGAGAACTCCTCGTGACCCTGACCAATGAGATATTTGAACATGGCTGGGGCTAGGCCCTTTTGGTGTGCAACCTCTGGCGAATCTGGGCCGGCTGCTAGTCGTGAATCAGGCCGCGAATAACGACCAGATAATAAACCATCCGCCAGTTTTCTCAATTGGGTCTCAAGATCCTGGGCCGGTACTTGACACAACGGTGGCTCTTCAAGGGGACGATAATACCGATTTTGAAATCCCGCCACAGAGAAGATGGATTGCATGATACTAGACAAGTAGCAGCTGTTCCCTAGATTTGCGAGGCCCGTGAATCCAGGCCCGAATACTGGACTTAACTCACGGCCGTCCTCGGTGGTCATAGAAAACTCCCATTGAAGATTGTGTTCGACTTGCATTTCCATTAAGCTTTTCTCGGTCTTCTCGCGCCCAGCCAAAAAGATACCCCAATGTGCGAGGTGATTGGCAAGTTCAGGATCCGTCCTTTCTTCATTGCATGAATAACAATAGATATCTGCGGAGCCTTCAGCTGTGATAGATCCCAATTTGACAGCTACAGGATGCGACGACGCGTCAGCATGGGCAAGAGCATGAGAATTCCCTTGGGTACCACCAAACTGGCTACGGCCGCATCCTATGTTCCCACATTCTAAACAAATCCATAAATTCTCCTTCAAGTTGCAAGAGGAACATTGACTAGAATCTTTGATATCCGATTAGTTTATTGCTCATAACCTAGGTTTCTCCGAGGCAAGTACCTTTGGATTGGGAATCTTCGGTCTGTTGTTGAACAAGAGATATTGTGTGTTCACAAGGGATGAACTCTTGCTCCCAGGCTTTGACCTCTTCCCTTTTAGAAAAAGTCATTGCAGTCATGATCCCGTTGATGACAGCAGGCAGGTTCCCACTTGTTTCGTCCACATTGCTTTGTTGGCATGGGTAGCATACCACCGATGTCGCAATATCGTATCGATCCTCCTCTGTCTCGGCGGCGATGGCAAGTTTCGAGATTTTTGGCGGGGGTTCATCTCTCTATATATATTGTGAGGAAGAAGCTTAATGCCATTTCTGGCCAGAGATAGCGCTTACCTGAACTTGCTTGGGTGTTCGGCGAATGTTCAAGGCCAAAGAATGCCCAAAACGTTGATAATGAAGGAGAGCGTGGTCATTTTCCCCGGCGCAGCCACCATTGAAACAATGGAGGCATACATTCAGGCCTAGCTCGTGATCCTGGAAAAGTGAAAGTACTCCAATTAATCACCATACAAGGACTAAGAGCAGGGAAGCAGCAGGGTACATACAATCGAGTCAAAGCATTGTGTACAGTCTTCTCTGTAAACAGCTTGAGAAGATCCCGGTGGTTGGAGGTCTGTTCTGATTAGCTCATTGTTTCTCAACCCTGTAGGTATCAAGGCTCAAGCTAACCTGCAGCACTCGAATGCACGCAGGCCATCCTTTTGAATTTGGGAGAGATATGCGTTTTTGTTTTTGGAATAGCGGGGAGGAAGTATGTTAGATTAAAAGCAGACACTCATGAAAAAGAGCAGAAAGAGCTGATCGAGCAAATACCAGAAAGAAATGCGGGACAAGCAAGGCAGAAGGAGCTCTTGAGACGTGGGGCATCTCATTATCTAATCCACAGACGTGGGGTGAGAGGCCTGAGGCTCTATATGCTCTCCGCCTACCAAAAAGTCACCTGAGCACTTAACGCGTTCCTACGCGTCGCGGGATGCCCACACACTCTTCATCTCACCTGATTTCCAGTTCTATCACTCCTTTGCAAGATTCTGTTTCGAGATCGACATTCGAAAAGAAGCAGCAAATATGGCTTCAGATGCTGCTTCTCATGTCACTGTCGGGGCTCTCAGGTAAGTTTCCGGCCGAGGGTTTTTGTCATTTTGTGTACAAACGAAGCAGCAGCTAATATCTTGGGGTTTAGTGCCATTTTCGATGACACAAAAGGTGAAGTTCGAGAGCCCATCGTCCAATGCGTTCAGGTCAAACCTCTACCGCCCCAACCAAACAATCAAGAACGATACCGAGCTGTTTTCAGCGATATTGCCAACTATGTTCAGACCATGCTTGCCACCCGTACGTTCTGCTGGACACTACTGGTTGCCCTCTATCATGCTGACCCAAACAGCAGAAGCAAATCACGTGGTGACCGATGGTTCCTTACGGAAGGGCTGTTTTGTCCGACTTAAAAACTTCCAAGCAAACTCAGTCAAGGGCAAAAAGTGAGTGGGACATGGACATAGTGGACTGACTTCTTGCTGACGAGAGTTCAGGATTTTGATTGTTTTGGATCTCGAGGTCCTGGCAGATCTGGGTGAAGCAGAGAAAATTGGCGAGCCCAAACCTTTAGAAGCTAAGGGTGAAGAAGAGGAGAAGACCCTACCGACCACCATCTCTAGCAATGGATTTTACGGCTCCAAATTACAAGGCGGCCCACCACAACAACCTACCCAGGCCCCAGCTATACGGGGGACCTCTGCATCTGCCCATGCTACGATTTACCCAATTGAGGCTATCTCTCCATACTCGAACAAGTGGACTATCAAAGCTCGCTGCACTAGCAAATCTCCTATCAAGACCTGGCACAACAAGAATGGCGAGGGCAAGCTTTTCAGTGTGAACCTGTTGGACGATAGTGGCGAAATTCGTGCAACTGGATTCACAGAGCAATGCGAAATGCTGTATGATATTTTCCAAGAAGGCAGTGTCTATTACATTTCAAGTCCCTGCCGCGTCCAAATTGCCAAGAAACAATTCAGCAATCTCAGCAATGATTATGAGCTGACCTTTGAACGTGACACTCTAGTTGAGAAAGTATGAAAGCTACTCTCCCCAACCGTCGAGACTAAGCGCTGACCACGATTTTTTTTTTCAAAATAGGCAGAGGACCAGAATGATGTACCTCAAATCCGCTTCAACTTTACTACCATCGGGGATCTTCAGTCCGTGGAGAAGGATACAACAACAGACGTCATTGGTATTCTTAAGGACGTTGGCGAGACATCTCAGATTGTGTCGAAGGGTACTCAAAAACCCTATGACAAAAGAGAACTCGGCCTGGTTGATAACTCCGGTTTCTCGGTTCGCTTAACCATCTGGGGAGCGACTGCCGTCAATTTCAACGTGCCCCCCGAATCTGTAGTTGCTTTTAAGGGAGTAAAGGTCTCAGATTTTGGAGGGCGAAGCTTGAGTCTGTTGAGCTCTGGCACGATGGCTGTGGACCCTGATATTGGGGAAGCTTACCGGCTCAAGGGCTGGTACGATGCGCAAGGTCGGACCGAAGTTTTCAACTCTCATGCATCAGTCTCAAATGCAACCAACTCCAGCATGAAGCCTGACCAGTTTAAGACTGTTGCACAGGTTCGCGAGGAACAACTGGGCATGTCGGATCAAGTAGACTTCTTTTCCATGAAGGGTACTGTGGTTTACATTAGACAGGATGCTACTTGGTGCTATCCTGCCTGTCTTTCCGAGGGATGTAATAAAAAGGTGACTATGATGGATGAAGGTCAATGGCGCTGTGAAAAATGTGACAAGTCCCACCCCAAGCCAGAGTATCGCTATATCATGCCTGTGAGTGTGAGCGACCACACCGGTCAACTTTGGCTCAGCTGCTTTGATGATACGGGTCGTCTGCTTATGGGGACAACGGCCGATAATCTAATGCAACTCCGCGAGGATGATCCCACCGCGTTTGGCGAAGTATTTCAAGAAGCCAATTGTCAAACCTGGGATTTCCGATGCAGAGCCAAACTCGATACCTTTGGTGAACAGCAACGGTTAGTAGATTTTCTTGTTCATTTACTCCATATCAATTTTGACTGACAATTTCCTACAGGGTACGGTACCAGGTCTCATCTGCCAAAGCCATCAACTATTCTGAAGAGGCTTCTCGCTTGGCTAAAATCATCAGTTCTTACAATCTCAATTAAATAGACGAGATGCTAGTGCCTATCTGATATTTGTTCTTCTGTCTTTGATGTTAACTCTGGTGGGTCCTGTTCAACTAGGATCCTAGGCTCTATGATTATGACTTTCTCTACCCTGCTTGTGCGTCTTTTTCTCTTCATATTCCAGTATCTTTTAGAAAGAAAACTTGATACACGTTCACCATGATTGATATTCAATTGTCGTATTAAAATGGAGTTCCGTAAGTACATCCAGTAGGTAGATAACAGTGCCGAATTTCCCAGCCAATTCAGATTGGAGATGAGTTGATACATAATGTACTACATTACAGTGCAGAGCCCCGGTGGAGCCTGGAGGTCCATTGAGTGGAGACCTCTGGCGGTGACTTTGGCGGTGAGCAGTAGTGGGAAAACTCAGGAACTCCGAAGGCGGTGAACATGTGCAGTACGGGAGTTTTTTTTTTTTTTTTTTTTTTTTTTCTGGGTCTCCTTCACGTCGTAGAATTCTTGGTCAGTCTTGCTTCTACCGTCGAGCCTTTTTTTTCCCCCTTCAGAAAAAGATAGGCATACATACCTAGCTCCCTAGAAACCATAAGCTCAAGTCAAATCGATTCTTCAACCTCGATATGGGGAAACGCAGCCACGCCGAGCCGACAGAGCTCCGGCCAACGAAAAAGTCCAAGGCGGACAAGCCTTCCAAGGAGAAGAAGTCTACAGATGGAAAGGGAGAATCTGATTCCGACAAGTCGACCTATACCCAAGCCGCCGCTCTTATTGCGCTTCCGCAGTCTCAGATTGATCAATTTCTTCAGGACAACATCATCAAGGTCACTGATACCTCGGCCGATGGCTCTAGTCTCCGCCCCATCCTTTCTTTCGATTACCTGCCTACCGGTGACGACAAACTCTACTCACCATTAAAATCATTCCCCGCTCCAACTTCAATTCAAGCCGTCACTTGGCCATTGCTCTTTTCCGGCCGTGATGTGGTCGGTATCGCAGAGACCGGTAGCGGAAAAACCTTGGCTTTTGGATTGCCCTGCCTCAAAAAGATTATCGAATCGAAGAAAACTAGAAAACCTTATCATCCCTCTGCAGTCATTATTTCTCCTACCCGAGAGCTTGCCATGCAAATTCATGACCAGTTCATGAAATTTTCTGACGTCTCAAGTGTCGGGGTGACATGTATCTTTGGAGGTGTTGGAAAGGACGAGCAACGTGCGGCACTCCGAACGGCTGGGATAGTTGTTGCTACTCCCGGTCGGTTGAAAGATCTTCAGAATGACGGATCTGTCAATCTCAGCAAGGTGAAATATCTCGTCTTGGACGAGGCCGATCGGATGTTGGACAAGGGGTTCGAGCAAGATATCAAGGATATTATTGAGCCTATGCCGGTCTCGAGAAGACAGACGGTCATGTTCACGGCCACTTGGCCGAAGTCAGTTCGGGATTTGGCTGCTGGCTTTATGAGTTCCGCTGTGACAGTCACCATTGGTGGAGATCCTTCTGCAGACCCCAGGGCAAACACCAGAATCAAGCAGGTTGTCGAGGTGCTTGATGGGCGTGATAAAGAGAACCGCCTGATTCAATTGCTGAGCCGTTCTCAGAGAGGATCCTCAAACCCCGAAAAGGTCTTAGTTTTTTGCTTATACAAAAAAGAAGCAATGCGGGTGGAAAGGCTCATCAAAACTAAGGGGTTCAGAGTCGCCGGAATTCATGGTGATCTCAACCAGTCCGATAGATTCCGAAACCTGGAAGCCTTCAAAACAGGCGCTGCTACGGTTTTAGTTGCAACAGACGTTGCGGCACGTGGTTTGGATATCCCTGCTGTGAAATTGGTTATTAACGTCACTTTCCCTCTTACCGTGGAGGACTACGTGCACCGTATTGGCCGAACTGGTCGAGCGGGAGCTGACGGCCACGCTATTACATTTTTCACCGAGCAGGATAAAGCTCTTTCAGGAGGGTAAGTGATAAACCCCCTAGGTTTACTGGATAATGCTAATTTTGAAAAAAGGTTGGTCAATGTATTGAAAGCTGCCAACCAAGATGTCCCCGAGGATTTGATGAAGTTCGGGACTACAGTCAAAAAGAAGCAGCACGATGCTTATGGCGCATTCTTCAAGGATGTTGATACGGATAAGAAGGCAACCAAGATCACCTTCGATGATTAATTTGTTCGAATCTCTTGTTAAATACTAGCGATAGATCGCTAATCGGTTTTGGAGTTCTTCCTGCGAGAGGATATCATCTTGCGAAGCTTGATCGCTTGCCCCATCAGGTATTGTCTCTCGACATAGAGTCTAAATGAATATTGTTAGATACTCTCTTCAAATTTTCTTCCCCCCAATTCTTATGTTTCTTCTTGGGCCTGGGAAAAACTTACATAAGTAATGAGTAGACACAACTGAATGCGAGAGCAGGGATCGTGTCCTGGTCTGCACCCGATAGTCCCTGTGTGGTAATAGCCCCCATGGCTAGGACCGCCCAAATGTAACTCATAGGATGAATGCTCATTTCGGTGATCCCAAGGCCATTCTCATGTTGTCCAAGGTATGATCTTATAAAATTAAAGCTCCACAAAGTGCGGATCGCCATGTTCACAATATTAGCCATCACTAATCCATAAGCACCCATCGACCAGACTTCCAAAAATAGATAGGAAGCTACGGCGTAGCACACAGAAAAAGCACCCATCCAGGCGGTTTGCCTTTGGATTTCTTTTGAATTTGCAGCAGACGCCACAAAAGCCTCAGTGATACCATTGAAGGCTAAGAATGGAACATAATAACAATAGAGTGACAGAAGTTCCCCGACTTGGGGCGATGCCCACTGGCGGCCTCCCAGAATTCGAAGTCCTTGAGGCACCATAATGGGACCCAGTGGGATTGCAAGTACCGAAAGCAATTGGTAAGCCCGAAGGAGATCGATCAGATGATTTTTTGCAATGCGCACTTGACCTGCGTTTTTCCCCCCATTCTCGTCTGGGCTTAAAAGTGTCGAAAATAAGTTTCGGCTACTCTCTTCCAGGGGCTGGAATACGACTCGTGCAATCAGACCGCCATAATTTGACGCTAGCGAATAAATTCCTTGATCCTCTAAGCTAGACAAAGCGGCGAGCATCATAGAATCTCCTTGGGTGAGGAGGTGCTTTACGAGGGATTGGAAAAGAACACTTGCGGCGAGCGATGTCAGCTTTCGAGAAAACCGACCAAGAAGATATTCGGTCGTATCCCTAATTGAGACCATGAAAAAAATTAGTCTTTGTTCAATGCACCACGGGGTAAGGTAGGCTCCCTAACATGGCTTTAATAACTGTGGGGAGGAACGAGAACTGTCGCTCGCTCGCTCGCGGAAGCAATGATAAACAGTAGCCGACGATTAAGGCCATTGAATAGCTCAGATGTCCGAGAGCAAAAGGGAGAATTCCCATATTTTGGCTACTATGGGCCGCATAGAGAAACAGTGAGCATGTCACAAAGCTTTTGATCAACACTGCAGGCATCTCAGCAGCGGCTCGTTTCTGGTACCACATTCGTTGTTGCACGATTGCAAAAAACGGTTCGACGCTCAATTCAAGAATCGCAGATACTCCTGTTAGGACTATGCCGAGCTTAAAAAAGGGTGTTTGTATTGCCTTTTCGGGTGCATAATGCTGATAAACCACTGTGAAAATGATTGTCGAAAGTATGCCCAGCAAAACACTCAAATAAGAGAAATTGACGACCGACTGAGATGCAACAGACTGCCCATGTCGACGAAGTTCATTCTTCAATTTTGTTACATCAGTGATGAGTGGTTGTCTCTGAATGGCCATACGGATGCTTTCTCGAGAAAAGTATAAAATTGAGGCCTGAAAAAGTTCCAGCTGAGCAGCGATTCCGAGTATCATCGGCGACAGACTGCGCAGAATGAGCTGGTTGGAAATAAACGTGAACATCCTAGAAACCACTTGAATGAGAATCAGGAATGTTGTGCCCGTGGCAGAAGATGCTAGCATGTTGCCCACTCGGGCTTCGTTAGGTTCCTGCATTGTGTATCCGCGGTGTCGGTATGAGAAACGTGTCTCTCAAGACTAGGAGCGGTTCCACTAGTGATGCAAGAAAAGAAAAGTGAAATCCTAATGAATGTGAATTCCGCCAATTCTGGAGCGTGGTGCTAATGAGACACGGTAGAAAGGACACCTACAAGCGTGGTATCTTATAGAGCTACTCGCAGAGAGTGCCCAGGTACTGTGTACAAGGTGCAGGAGTGGCTACTTCAAATCGATCTTGCGGGTGGGCTGATTACATAACTCTCACTAGACCTCAAGTGCTTCAATGCTCAAATATTAACACTTGAACTATATAGGTGGTTTGGACTATAGCTGACTATAGTCTAGACCTGATGGCTCATCTATACGGTTTGCATCTCTCCCATTCAGGAAATTGGAGATGCTTCATCTTTTGAGGGCGTGCCGAGCCATCTGTACGAGAAACCCACAATTACAGCGCTACCAGCGTGGCAAAACAAAGCAAGAAAATGGCGTCTAAACATCGCATTGTTGGTTGATGATCTACTAATGGGTACAATGAGATATTGTGTCGCCGGCGACAATGTGCCTTAGTACCAGAGATATTCGGAAGTTCGGATTTTCTGAATGACCGAGCTTCATATGTACTAGGTAAATTGATCCGTATGGAATTGATATACCAGGATCCTTCCCTATGTAAAAGGGGCAAGAGGCTCATTTTGAATGTCCACTCAATTGATGAGTGAAGTCTAAAATGGAGGCAGGAAGAAGGGGTAGCCACCGTTCTTGGTCTTGAACACACTGAGAAGTAGGCTGTATGTCCCAAAGATGACGCTTCCCCAGATCAAAACAGCCAACTGCTGCCCCTTGACATCTTCCATTCGGGGGACCTTCACTGCCAGTGCAATTGTCGAAAAGGCAAGGACGGCGTCTGAGTCAGAGATTATGGTTAGAGCAAGAAACATTAAGATAGAACAAGAAGTATTCCATGCATCACTTACAGATGGCAGCCACAATCTGAGTTTCCATGCCAAATTGGTTCTGGAACCCTCCTGCGAAATAGCTGATGCCCCCTTGACCATCTCCTGCAACGTATGGAACTTTCCGAATGTGATTAAACATCTGACCACTGGTGAACAAAAGGATGGCAATCAGGCTGACAGCGGCCCAGAGATTCCGATTTTGAATGATTGGCAGCACGTATGGTGAGAGCACCGTAAACAAAGTGACAGCACCCATCAGGATAGTGATTCCGGAGACAATGCGCATATAATTCACAGGTCGAACCAAGGGGGGCTTAGGCCCGTCGGGTAGGTGCCGAGTGATCCATGCGTAGAGCTGGTCGCCAGACATCGGTCTAGATTAGATATCAACATTAGCAAATCGACAACAAAACAATGTACAAGTCTTCAATTTCATTCAACTTACCCCGTGAAATCAAGTCTTTCTGGTTCCGCTTCGATCTTCGCAAAGGGCCCGACGGTCGGAGGAAACAGAAGAATGACGGGGGCGGTTTGAAGCATGTACTATATTTTGGACAATGGGTAAGTTTTTATTTCAATATAAAAAGAAGCATTGGATGTCGAGGGACAAGCTCAAACCTTTTGGAAGACTGCTTTTCCATGGTCAAAATCCAAGGTACCAAAGACCACCTTTAAGCCATCAAGCTTGGATCCTTTATTCCAACTTCGAGAGATCAAATCCCACTCTGCATCAAACTCCCGACACATCAGACACCCATAGCGGGCATCCATAGCTGTAAGAATCACTGCGGCATAGTAATCGCGAGGGGCAGTAGTTAGCTCTCCAAATGAGGCGCTATCCAAATCAACAGGGCCAGAGCGCGAGAGTGCATGGTATTTTTGGAACTTGTCAACCGAGGGCTTCGCCGCGAAAACCCCGGAGAAGACAGAGAATAGAACGAAAAGAGTGGACCAGGGCTTCATTTTGGCATTGGGGCTGGGGGATGAATGAGCTCTGCAATCATTCAAGAAGGATGTAGTATGATGTGGCTCTCTCTCATAGCTCTCTCCTCCCGCCGAATTGAAAGGTGGCCCCATTACGTAAGGCGGCCCCGCCTGTGCAGGCTAATCACGAGTACACGCGTCCATTGCTGCTTGCCAGACGCGATCACAACCAAACAAACTAAGCTTTGACTACCCAACTCGGGGGAACATAGACTGCCATGGAGGTAGTCGGGGAATCTTCCTTTTTAGATGTATGCTGAACCCTCTCTGATCAAATAGCGAAGATTCTTGGTCTGTGTATCTGTTGACTAACCTAATCGTTTTTAGTATGAGATGTCTATTAAAACGGTGCGCCTCGAAAGGGAATATGAAAGAGCGCTTGCAGATTCCGCTCGTATTCTTGATCTTGAAAAAGATAGAGTGAGACGCATGGAGCACTTGCTTCTTCAATTTGAGAGCGAAGACCTACGTTCCCAGTTGGACCAAGCCAACACGCAGCTATCTGATATGACGCGCATCGATTCGGATACACTTGCTCAATTGAAAAACGCTTATCAGGATATCGATCGCCTTGATCGCCATGTTCAGTCATCGTCCAGCGAAAATGAAAGGTTAAAGGTACATAACTGATACTCCTTCGGCCGTTCGTTTCTTCATGGCCCAGAAAAACAAAACTGATGAGACATATTTCAATCCAGGGGGAAATATCTGCTATGAATAATACTTCGACAAACTACAACTCACTTCTTTTAGAGAAAATGCAGCTCGCCCGAGATCTATCAAACATGAAATTTGAGCTAGATCGGATCAAAACTCAAAGCTCCTTACAGCAAGCGTCGAATCCGGGCAGACAGGACCTGGAACGGCATATAAATTCCCTTGAAGTTCAGCTAGAGGATGAAAGGCATGCACATGAGCGAACCCGGGCGAAGCACCTGCAGCAGGCAGCGGAGACCAATACGCTGGCAACTCGAATTGAGGACCTTCAGTCCGAACTTTCAAGACAATCACGAGCGAAGCAACAACATGACCGAGAACTTCGGCAGCATGAAATAAACTGGGAAAAGCAGCGAGCAGTATTGGAGAACAAGATTGAGACCCTGAGAAAGCAGCTACGGACGGCAAAAGATAAATTACAAGCGGCGCAAAATGATCTACAACAGAGGCGCAATAATCCTAGAGACCAGGACGCTGATGTTCTTGAGTCACGGCCTCGGGTGGTCTCTGCGCAGCCTGGTGAACCCAGCACAGATCACCAGGGTGGAGTTACGATCGCAACGCCCGGAGCTGTGCGAGTGCAAGAAAAGATAAAAAGACAGTCCGCATTGCCTGGCGACAAATCGGCATTTTCAATCACGCCATTCCTCAACCGTACTGGTGCACGCAGGGATTCTTCAGACAGTTCAGACAGTTCAGGCAGTTCGGGTGTGGATAACAAAGAAGCCAGACGAGCGGTGGCAGGAAGTCATTCACCACCCAAAAGCCAAAACACACATAATGGGGATTCTTCCCCATCAAACCATCAAGCTGCAGCACGAAGCCTTTTCAAGGGAACACAGCTGAATGCCCAGCCACGGAAGGACACCTCTGCTGTCATGGAAGCAACAACAAACCAGCCAAAGAAAACTATCAATCGGATTGATGAGAAAGTGCCCATTAAAGAATCACTGGAGCCTCAAGACTCTGCGCATACACAGCAAGGACAAGCGAAGCCCAGAAAACGTAAGCTCGGGGTTCAACGGGATCGCAATCCCTTTGAAGATGAGGAGGAAGAAATCTTTGAAAGTCGAAAGCAAGGGCGCAAAGTTGGACTAGGAGCTGGGCGTCCCTCTGTACTGGGAACTGGACAAATGCTCGGTGCATCTTCCAGTGACCGACCGCCAAAAGCCTTGGGATTTGGAGGGTTCTCGCCCTTGAAACGAGATCGTAGGAGATAATTAGACGAGACCCAAGCGATCTATACCGTAATGAAATGAATCCATTGATATACATAATGTGAATATATACTCTAGGACTACTATGACTAGCATCCATACATTCATCCATGTAGTTATTTCCAGCTTGGAAGCACATGAGGCTACATACATCCATATATCATTGATACATAGTAGAGTAGTATAGATCAACATTTGAATCCAAAGAGCCCCTTGGCGGTGGACGTAAATAGCTAATCGGACGTGCTCTCCTTTATTTTCTGCCGGCAGAACTGGATTCTCCATCGCGAAGCCTCGACTGAGCAACCTCGGTCCTTGTTGATTGCCCAACTTATAGCCGCCGGTCATGTTTCTGTGTCCATCATTTCGACCGTTGCGAGGCATCAGTGGTCTTGATGCCATTGGTCAAATCCGATTGTCTTCATCAAAGCGCTGGCAAGCTCGTCAACATAAAGACCAATTCACTCGAGAAGCAGCCGTGCAAGGCTTAAAAAGTCGTGCTGCTTTCAAACTCTTACAGGTACTACGAGGACTACACAGATCAAGTTGTTGATTTTTATTATTATTTAGAGGTATAAGATTTGACTTTTTCATCACTTAAACCTTTAGATCGATGAGAAATACCATATATTCAAACGGGGCCAAACCATTGTTGACTTGGTATGGTTTATTATTCCTCATTCTTGCATATTGAGGGGAAATGAAAACTCTTACAGAACTTCTCTAGGGATATGCACCCGGCTCCTGGTCGCAGGTCAGTCGAGGGCGTTAATCAGAACAGCCAGATTATGAATATTTTGCTGATGGTGCTTTCAGGTGGCTTTCAATCGAACCCAGCCGAATGGGCGAGTTTTAGGTGTCGACATTATTCCGGCACAGCCTCCGAAGGGAGTCTCCACCATCCAAGGCAATTTCCTTGCACCTGAAATTCAGGCCTATATCCAAGAATTTTTACGCGATCCCCAAAGAGGCAGGCCACGGCATTCTACACATGACGCTGGCGGGAGCGCGCTAGAGTCTACCCGGGGAGCAAATCAGGAGTCAGCATCACTGCTTTGTGATGCAGATAATATTTCAGATCCAAAGATCCTACACAGAACGGTAGATGTAGTTCTAAGTGACATGTCCGAACCCTGGCTCCAGACATCTGGTTTCTGGAAACGAAGTCTAAGTGATCCTTATAACAGGATGATGAACACCAGCGGAAATAATTTCAGGGACCACGCGGGTAGCATGGTATGACTTATTGAGACCCCTCTACTCCAGGCGAATATTGCATTTTAGCGCTAACATTTCAAGGATCTCTGCCACGCCGCCTTGCGCTTCAGCTCCGATGCCCTCAAAACTGGAGGGCATTTCGTTTGCAAATTCTACCAAGGCGCAGAAGATAAAGAGCTTGAGAAGCAACTCAGGGATCTGTTTCAAAAGGTTCATCGACTGAAGCCTGAGTCGTCTCGAAGTGTGAGTGGCAACCTGCTTTGCGCTATTCCTTGATAAGTAAAGACTAAATCAACTAGCAGGAATCTAAAGAAGCGTTTTTCGTTGGATTGGATCGCAGACAGTGAACCAGTTAAACGTGCTAGTATAACGGCCCCGTGATCTACAGGATCTCGACCTCCTCATTCTCTGAGGAGTCTTCCCAATCAACGTCAACTAGAGCTGCCTCGGCCTTTTCTTGAACCTAAATCCGAGTCAGAACGGCAGCAGGATTGGTGGACTGTTCACTAAGTAACTTGCCTCTTTGAGTCCACTTAATTCCTCGACATATCCTGGCTCATTCAAAGCCCTTCGTACAAAGTCCCAACCTTGTTCTTCGTACATATCCGTCACTTTTTCTGAACAGGCACTACAGCAGCTATAGCTCTGTCCAGTTATAGTGATATTCTCAAATGTGGCTAGGAACCCCCTGATCTGATGAGGCACCAACCCTAGGGGGTGGTCTCCACGTTCATTATCACGCTTCAGGGGAGCTGGTGCGAATGCTTCCTGGGGGTGCTGCAATATTGAAACCAACAATTCAACCAAAAGTGCGGAGGCTATGGCGGCAACACCGGGACGAGTGACAGTACATTGTTGATCGAGTGTCTGGTCCTTAATAGACTGCTAAATGGTCAGCGATGAAACAATCCCACTACCAGCAAAACAAGAAGAAGAGAGAACCCCTCACGTTTGCTGGAGCCACAACATCGTTGCAGAAATAACATCCAAGATTCGCCACCTTCCCTACTTCTGCAACGCCATGACGCATTACTACAAATGAATCGAAGCCCAGGGCCGCATTCATCACAATCTTTCCTGCGGCCTTTCCCATCACTGTTGGTAACCAGCGTGACTCTCGGGTGTCCATGAGGAGGAAAATAGCATCGTGTTCATCAATCAAAGTTTTGAGTTTCTCAAAATCTGCTTGCGTCGCACTTTCATCAATGATTGGATGACCAGCCATAGGCACGGAAATGTTGTGCCCTTCAGTGTCTACTCCTGGATAGATTTCAGCGAGGGCTTGGGATGCACGGGTGGCCTTGGGTGCTCCGCCGTTCAGACAGTCTGTAAAAGTGAACAATGGCTGCCGAACGGGATTAGAAAAAGAAACAGTGCCCTTATCAACAAATGTGATTTTCTTGACTCCCCAGCCCTTTGAACATTGTTAGTGATTTCTTGACTACCTGCGGTCGACCTTTTCTCTCGCTTTTGGGAAAAACTTTACACACCAATAAATTCCGAGCAACATAACTCCCCAAAGTGCCTGCTCCAAGTAGAAGACATTTCGTATGCTTGACTTTTTCCAGATTTAATGTCGGACTTATCCGCCATTTCATGAGTTTGAGGTTGAGATCAACGGATTGGTCTGCTAGCCTGGAGATGGAACTGTTAGTGACTGAATTCACCAATTGCCTTTAAAGAAGTTGTTGTATACCTTGCGGGGTCCATATACTCTGTGAGGTTAACGACCCGCCCAGCTAACTTTCCAGTTGGATTGCGCTCCCAACCTGTGATTTTTGGCAGCGTCTTCTCGGTGGCTGGGGGATGTTCGGCATTCGATATCACTTCCGCTTTGGATTCCAGCCAAAATGATACACTTCGCCCTTGATCACGTTTAGATTGCACATCGCGATACCGTAGAATTTGTATGCGGTTAAGTTTCCATCGTTGCTTGACTAAGACCAATAAATTTCGCAACATCCAGCCCGGAGCTGTGTCATAATTTGATGGGTCTGCAAAGCATATGTAGCGGTCTTTGAGGGCTGCGCCAGTGAAGAAACCATTCTCATATTCAGACAGAGGCGCAATCTGCCAGGTGCTCTGTGTTAAGCCACCCGATATTCTTTTCTGCCTGCGAGCCAAGAAAAACCCTCGTTGACGGTCATCTGTGCTGTAGCTCCAGGTCTGAACGGCGTCCACAAGAGCCATATTTTCACCTGCTGGTAGAGGAACTCCTTGGCCTGTGGTGACAGCTTCGTCCTTTCCAGGTATACCTTGCGATTCGGTCGATATTACCCATGATGGATCGGAGTGGAGGGCTGGAAAGGCGAACCAGTAGTAGAATTTGTATTTTTTGAGGTCTGCAAAGGATAAAATAACAAACGAAGACAGTAAAGAGGGACAAGAATATATTGTGCCATCATTTATAGCGTGCCAGATCTAGCAAGTTACGGTTAATTTAACATGTTGTTTCAAGCTGATTAGGGATTTTCGTACCGTTTTCCCGCTCTGTAGAATCAGTTGGGATTTATCTACATTGCGATATTCCTCGATTGTGTTGACATTCTTGATCATACCCTCTGCCCGGTATAACCCCGCGGGTGCTCTGCCTTCAAGATCAGCCCTAGAATCGACCCGTTTATAGAAATGATGAGCGGAATCTTTCTTACTCCGCGGAAGTTAAAGCATTCCCATGTATTTGCATTCGACATGAAGAATTCGCGAGATCGATGGAGCGAATTTCATAGAGCCCCAAAACTGGGCGAGCAGAATCGTCCAGCTTGTCATGATTGATCTTGTGTGAGGCCAGAGCCGTATAGAACGGCAGCTCGATATCAGAGGCAAACGGTGTGTATTGCATCTTGAACGTAAGGGAAATGCCCACTCTCCTCCAGCAAGTCCTGTTGGTTTACTTCTTTCGGTCTTTGCTTGTTTTGGGATGTGGTAGGCAGACTGAGTCTCAAAGATTTGTTGATCAAGAGTATACATAGAGGGGGAAGTGGGGGGGAGGAGCAGTGCGGGCTTAAGAGCGGGGGTGATGTAATCGCGGCCACACGCGAACCGTTTTCTGGTCATTTTTAATATCCGCGTGCCCAAGACGCGTGATCGTTCACCCACTACAAGGCATCCTCTCTTGTCCTACCTTCTGAAAAGTTTCAGAATTTCAGAATTTCAGAACTTCAAAATTTCAATAACAGCACAAAGAGCGACAAAAGAAAGGCTTAGTGTGGAGCACAGAGGAAATTGATTAGCAGAAATGCTTATCGGGTTATGCGGCGGTCAGCACAATAAGCATGATATCAAATTCACTTGTCCACAAGCAGACTGATATTGAATGAATAGGTATCTGTGCGGGCAAGCATGCGATTGCTGAATATTTGATTCAACACCAAGGATTTCAACTTTTGGAACTTGCTCATAAACCCCACCACGGCATTATCGATGAGCCGGATGATGACCTGCGGCTAAAGGCGTCGGAAATCAAGAACAGTGGAGAATCCACAGCAGAATTTGTGTTTGAGACAGCCGATTTATTGCTGGAATTCGTGACCAAAAAGTGGCAAGGACGCTGGGTGACGACGGACATTGCGGATAGCGCAACCTTAGACCGTTTTCATTTACGACCCTTTTTCCTTCTCGTGAGTGTAGATGCTCCAGTCAGTCTTCGCTGGAAACGATTCTCCGACCGGTACGTGGCTCTGGCATCTCTCTTTGATTAGCTGTGGCTTATTGGCTATATACTTTAGATGCTGGAGAAGACAATTAGATCCTCCGGACCTTGAAAAATTTGTCATATGGAATGACCGCCATCTATATCAAAAGGACATTGGACGTGTTTACCTCACCGATCGAGCCCAAGTACGCCTCTTCAACTCTTCCGCGTCTCTAGAAGAGCTCCATTCTTCTCTAGAAACCCTTGACCTTGCGAACGAGCAACGGCTTCGACCGAATTGGGACCAATATTTCATGGAGCTTGCATCGCTTGCTGCACAGAGAAGCAATTGTATGAAACGACGAGTAGGGTGTGTTCTGGTCCGAGAACGCCGTGTCATCAGTACAGGTTACAACGGAACACCCCGACACCTCGCAAACTGCAATGAAGGTGGATGTACGAGGAAATCGATGATCTCTATGATGCGCGCTCACTGACCATTCTATTTCCCCTCTCAAGGTCCCCGCTGCAATCGTGGCGACGGTGGGGGAGTTGGACTATCAACTTGCCTATGTCTCCACGCAGAAGAAAATGCACTGCTAGAGGCTGGCAGAGAGCGTATCCGAGAAGGTGCAACCCTCTACTGTGACACGTAAGGCCATCTTGAACAAAGACTAACATTCTCATGTACCGCTCTAATGATAATAATTCCAGGTGTCCCTGCTTGACCTGTACTGTCAAGATTACACAGGTTGGGATTTCGGAAGTGGTCTACTCACAAGGATATAATATGGATAAAGACGTACGCACATTGTCCAAAATGCCTGATCTACTACAATATTCAAGGGTTTCTCTAACGCTTAACACCTAGAGTGCTGCTATCCTGGAAGCTGCAGGTGTACGGCTACGGCAGTTCAGCCCCGTAAGCGACCTCCATTCTCTCTATCAATCGTTGTATTTATATGCCAATACTAACCTTTACTTCTGCTGTACCTGGCTAGCCTTCGAATGGTCTGGTATATTTGCAAGCTTCTGATAAGCCGGCCACCAACTCATGACCTTTTGCCGGAGAAGGGGAAGAAGAAGAAGAAGAAGAAGAAACCAAATTATCACTACCACCAATCTTTACGTAAAGCTAAATTGTAACTACATACGTTGGCTGGTATATAGCTAGCCAGTGAAACACTCAAATTTACTCATACTGTAACCCCGACGTCGGAGGCGGTAACCCCCAACAGCCGCATTCGGAGGGGTTGAAATGAACCTTACAAAATCGAAAACCCCCTCTTAATTTTGCCGGCAGAAAAAGGAAGAAATGACTCAGCGGGTCAATTTTGGAGGGGCATCAACTTTGAAAGGTTCATAACTCCGTTTCCTCATTAGCAGCTGTGTTCATATTTTAGCTTGGGCAAGAACTGTCATCATGCCTACTGTTCACCTTTTGGACTACGTTGCAGGTAACATCCGTTCCCTGGTCAATGCGATCAACCAAGTGGGTTATGAAGTCGAATGGATTAAATCCCCAGAGGATGTCAAGAATGCGGACGTGAGTCGAGTCAATTGGGAGCCTTTTGGCTTCAAGCTGTTACCTTTTTTCATCATTGCTTCTAGATTACTGATTTCAATCCACATATGTGATAGAAATTGATCCTCCCTGGTGTTGGTCACTTTGGTCACTGTCTTTCTCAACTTGACAAGGGCGGATTTCTGGGCCCGATTCGGGAACATATCAGCGCCGGAAAGCCATTCATGGGTATTTGTGTCGGTCTACAAGCACTCTTCCAAGGATCCGAAGAAGATTCGGACGTTCCAGGCCTGGGTTTAATTCCCACTCGCATTCAAAAATTTGATGATGTGGCTAAAAGTGTACCACACATTGGATGGAACTCGGCTATGAACACTGGGGCTGCATCACAAGAGCAAAGCTTTTATGGTCTACGGCCTTCCAGCAAATATTATTACATACACTCCTACGCTGCACTTTACGAACCCGGCGTTCTTGAAAAGGATGGGTGGTCTGTCGCCACAGCTACCTATGGCGAACAAGAGTTCATTGGTGCCATCAGTCGAGGAAACATCTTCGGCACTCAGTTTCACCCCGAGAAGAGTGGCGCAGCAGGGTTACGGGCGATCCGAGCATTTTTGACTGGTGATCAATTCCAGTCTCTTCCTCGGGAATTGATTGGAGGCAAAGCAGATGGACTGACTCGACGTGTTATCGCTTGTCTCGACGTACGGACAAATGATTCAGGTGATCTTGTTGTCACCAAAGGAGACCAGTATGATGTGCGCGAAAAGAGTGGGGTAGAAGCAGGTGGTCACGTCCGAAATCTGGGCAAGCCTGTTGATATGGCAAAAAAATATTATGAACAAGGAGCGGATGAGGTCACATTTTTGAACATCACTTCCTTCCGAAACTGCCCAGTTGCGGACACACCCATGCTTGAAATCTTACGGCGGACATCAGAAACCGTCTTCGTGCCTTTGACCATTGGTGGGGGTATCAGAGACACGGTAGACACTGACGGCACTCAAATTCCGGCGTTAGACGTGGCGACAATGTATTTCAAGTCTGGAGCTGACAAGGTCAGCATTGGGTCCGATGCCGTCTTTGCCGCTGAGGATTACTACCAAGCTGGCAAGCAATTGAGCGGTCTTACAGCGATTGAAACCATCTCCCAGGCTTATGGCAAACAAGCTGTGGTGGTGAGTGTGGACCCTAAGCGCGTCTACGTAGATGGACCCGATTCTACCAATCACCACACATTGAAGACCGCATACCCTAATGCTGCAGGGCAATCTTACTGCTGGTATCAGTGTACTGTGAAGGGGGGTCGAGAAACTCGCGATATGGATGTACGACAACTGGTGCAGGCTGTGGAGGCCATGGGAGCAGGAGAGATTTTACTGAATTGCATTGACAAGGACGGCAGCAATAGTGGCTTTGACTTGGAGCTGATCAACGATGTCAAACAATCCATTAAGATTCCAGTTATAGCTTCTAGTGGTGCAGGAAACCCGGGACACTTTGCGGAGGTGTTCAACCAAACCACCACAGATGCTGCATTGGGAGCTGGCATGGTAAGTTTAAACTCTGCAGTTGCCCAACTTCATTAATAATAGCTAACATTTACCTAGTTCCACCGCGGGGAGTACACCGTGAGCCAAGTTAAAGACTATTTGCAAGACAATGGCTTCTTGGTGCGACAATTCGAGGCTAAGATATAACGATATCACCCGTCTCGTCTTGTGATATATGAATCATTGAATATCCGAAATAGAGTTTTTCATTAGAGTCAATTGGGAAAAATTGCATGATAAATTTATCGGTTGTTTTTTCCCCTGTAGAGTATTTAAATAGTAGAAATCAGAACTATGATAACTTAGTTATCACCTCCCGGCCAAAGAGCACGTAAGCGCCGGGCGGTAAAAACGGGCGGTGTCATCTGACTTTTCCGCGTTCGCCACGCAACTTCACTTCATCTTTGCCTCCATCTCCTCCCCTCCCCGCCAAACCTCCTCCGACACACATCGATAACCAACCTCACCCCTCCCCCCTCCCTCCCCCTGTACCCGGTGTACCTTCGTAAGGCTATAAACTGAATCTGGTCTGGCCTGGTCTGGTAAGGTTCGGCTTGGTGTTCTTTGCTCCTGATCACAGAAACACTCGACGGGATCTACGCATTTGGTCCGACGACACAGGTTATCGGTGGTGGGTGTTATGAAGCAACAGCAGCAACATTCTTGATTTCGACGATTGTATTCATCAGTGCTCTTTGTATGCAGTGTGACCTTTTTTTCACTCTTCCACATTCAAGAGAGATTTTCTTTTCAATTCATCTTTTCTTTTCCGATCGATAGATCCAGTATTGATCGTGGAGTTCTTCAACCTAAACCATCTCACCTGACATTTGCAAACCCTTGGGAACTCTTTGCTTTGTTGTTGCCTCTTCGAGTTCTATCTGTCTCAAAAGGTTATCACGAGGTCTTACCCTCTCTAACCTGCTCTCCACTTACACTCCTGTTCACCCCTATCATCCTGTATTCCCTTAGTGGCTGCGCTGTCCCTTAAGTTGGTTAATTTCACTTAAGACCGGTTTATTCTCTTCACTCCTGGTTGCGCAATCACAGATTCCAATACAATGTCATCGTCTGTTCATTTCAAATTCAAGTCCCAGAAAGAACCCTCACGGGTTACCTTTGATGGCACTGGTATATCTGCCTTCGAGCTCAAGCGAGAGATCATCAGTCAAAGTAGATTGGGTGATGGCACTGATTTCGAGCTGTCCATCTACAATGAGGACACCAAAGAAGGTAGGTTGTATGATCTAGGCTACTTTACAACGTCGAACTGACCGATCCCAGAATACGATGACGATACTACCATCATACCCCGATCGACATCGGTCATCGCTCGTCGATTACCTGCAGCTCGCCCTGGAAAAGGTGGCGCAGCTCGCTATGTCTCTGGAAAAATGCCAGTGAACGCCCGCAACGCATCCCGAACCGAACCCTCGAACCCTCGAAGCGCACCTGGCTCTGGACAATCGGTCAACAATAATGTCTTGGAGCTGACGAACGCGCAAACTGAGGAGGAGAAGATTAATGCTCTCTTCAACCTACAGGCGAGTCAGTGGAAAGAACAACAACAAGAGATGGCTAAGTAAGCTCCATTCCACCTTCAACAAATGATATAATACAAGCGGATAGCCAGGATGCTGATTAAATTTTATAGTGCCACTCCTGTTCCGTTTGGCCGCGGTCGAGGGAAACCAGTCAATGTTCCCGATCACCCCCCACCTCCTGGGTATCTGTGCTACAGATGTAGAGAGAAAGGTGTGTTCTTTTTATTCCCTATCCTACAGCGCATGAATATGCAACTAACCCTTTGATTTCAGGTCACTGGATTCAGGCCTGCCCAACAAACAATGACCCAAAGTTTGACGGCAAATATCGGGTTAAAAGATCAACTGGCATTCCGCGATCCCTTCAAACCAAAGTTGAAAAGCCCGAATCTCTTGCCCCCGATGGCTCCAGCGACGACTCAAGGAATACGGGGGTCATGGTGAATGCGGACGGGGATTTCGTCATTGCGAAACCAGATAAGGCAGCCTGGGAACTGTATCAGGAGAAGCTGAAGGCTTCGGCGGCGGCGGCGGCAGAGGCTGCAGCGGTGGAGGAGAGTAGAGCACTGCAGGCTCGGGGTCTGGAATGCCCGATTGACAAGAGAATGTTCCTAGAGCCAACGAAGACACCATGTTGTCACAGAACATATTGCAATGATTGTATCTCAAATGCCTTGATTGAAAGTGACTTTGTCTGCCCTGGTTGTGCTACTGAGGGAGTTTTGCTTGATAATCTCACCCCGGATGATACGGCTATTTCCAAAATCAAGGCCTATGAGGCAGAGAAGATGGAAGCGAAGAAGGAGAAGGAGAAGCAACCCCCAGCCCAGTACGATCCAGCGGCCAATGAAGCCCCGGAACAACATGACGCAGCTTCGGATTCTGTATCACAGGACCAAGCTCAACCCAACGAGGAAGTGAATGACACCTCTAGTCAATCAAAGAAGCGACCAGCTGAGAGTGATATAGCCGAGGGATCTGACAGCTCTGGTGTTGCCAATGTCTCTAAGAAACATAAAGGAGATGACCACTCAAGCCCCAAGCCCAGTCCCAATCCCACTTCCACTCCTGATCCTGCTCCCACCCCCAACCTCAATTCCAATCCCAATTCTAATCCTAATCCTAACTCCACTCACAAAGAAGCCGAGAACGGGACACCGGTGCCTCCGAACCCAATGATGCCCTTCAATGGATTTGGTACAATGCCACCTTTTGCTGATCCTAGTTTCAATAACAATGGGATGGGCTTCATGAACCCGATGGCTATGCCCAATGGTTTTCCCAACGCAATGGGTCCTGGCTGGAACCCGATGAATATGCCATTCAACCCAATGCAGCCGGGCATGTTCGGTGACCAGGCTAATGGTTTCCCCAATATGTTTCAAGGTGATCAATCTATGCCTATGTTTCCAATGGGTCAGATGAACCCATCTATGCAGAACCCCGGATTCCAAGGCCCAGGAATGAACGGCTTTTCGAACCAGCAGCGAACAGCATTCAGTGGTCCCTATTCACGGGAGGAGGACTCACCTTATTTTCGTCAGCCGGTAAATCCTCAACGTCATCAGGCGAGGAATCGAAGGGTGCGTCCGAGTGATTACCGTGAACTGTGAACTCGGATGATAGTGCGAAGAATTTTAGCGTTGCGGCCTTTGGGAGAGCGGAGCGCGCTTTCTGCATACTTTTGTTCTTCTCCGTTTTTTCTTTTTCTCTCTCACCGTTTTACTTCTTCATATTCTTTGCACCTGAGGCTTTATGCCTTGTTATCTATGCATTTCCTCGGCTGTAGGCTCGCATTTCTTCATTTACCTTGCATTGTTTCTGGAGCCATATGTATTTCTAGATGAGTTCTCCACACAGAAGAACCAAAGCCATTTTCAATAAAAAAATAATTCAAAGACATATTCCTTTTAGATCATTTAAAGTCAAAGTAACAATATAGTAAGTAAAAATATCGAATTACGGTACTGGAGTCGGTATACCATGGATGTACATCCATAAGGTGTAATTATAGTTCCCAGTCAGGTGACACCGCCACTTCTCCTTGAGCGGCTAGAAAATCCCGCCCCAGCATTCCACACCGCGAAAATCATCCCACTCATTGTCCTCCACATCTAGCTTACTCTTAACCCTATGTTCAACCCCTTATTTGACTCTTTACTATCGCAATCCTGTCGGAATTATCAGAAACTCATTCACTATGGCGAAACATATCAATAATCACAGTAGTAATTGTAACCAGATGACATGGTTCCTCGATCAGGAGTCCACTGTCCTGGCCAGCTGCTACTCTGTTGAATCATCCAGCACCCTGGTTCAGGGTTTCCACTACTGCACTACCCTGGGTTCCGGTATGTTCCATTCTACTAGTCTGACATCTTGCTTTCACTTGCTGACGCTCTTCAACAGGAGCACAGTGGTATCCCTGAGGTCCCCTCAGGGTCTAAATTATCCGCACGAAGCCCTCCCCTCGACATTCCCACCGCCAAAAATGAACGAAACTGGCCCGGGAACACACGGCCCGAATACAAAGGGGAGGCAACGTACACCATTCCGGAAGAGTGTGAGAGACTTTTCTGTGACAAACTGTTCAAGACATTCCTTGGTGAGGGGGCTGGCTTGAATCAGGAGTCACTGGGAATGGGTGCGTTTAAAAACATTCAGCCACATCAAATCGGGCTTATGCAAGATCGGATCCAAAAGTGGATTGAAGTGTGGGATTACACTAGCGATGCCATTTACCGTGGATTCGTGGCGGACATGGATGGAGAGCGAACACTCTTTGTCTTCCTCGAGGACGGTGCACTTAGCCATGGCTTGAAGTCTGGGTAATTATCTCCCCCTCCATTTGTGTTTGAGCTTGAAATTGCAAACTATATGAGCTAGATTGGTTGGTTTAATGTGTCAATACTGATTCATTATCTAGATTGATTGCACTTTTCGAACTTGCAGGAACCGACGCCTTTGACTGTTCGCAAATCGTCACCTGTGTGAATCGCTCGCAGCAAACTAACGAAATGGAGCTCGTCCGGAGCCTCGGATGGTGTGGATTCAACCTAACCACCTTGAGTCCATGGGTAACAGGCAGTGACCCGGGTCCAACCGTCAGTTCCAAATGGATCTTCCTAGTTGCTGAAGTCTAGTTATTTCAGTTTTACGATTGCTACAGATCCTACCCTAGTGAGTTGAGGATCCCTAGGGCTGCTTACACATTGAGTCTATCCTTCTTCCTCCATCTTCATTTGACCCAAGTGGCATAATCATACATATCCCGTACAGCCACGACGTGATGTCCTTTTTTCTCGTGTTTCATAATTTTCCCTGCTTTGTTTCGACCAGATGGGGCTTTAAGTGACGCTTTGCTAGCTATTAATTTGTTATTGTTTTATACTCACAAAACGATACTCAATGCCTTTTTTTTTCCCTTCCAGTTCCCAATGACAGTAAGGTATCACACCAATGAGGAAGATGTCGGGGATTAAAAGCATAGAACAAACACAAATCTGCGTAGATATATAATTCGTTTATACGTTTGAGAGCCCCAAGAAGAAGAAGAAGAAGAAGAAGAAGAAGAAGAAGAAGAAGAAGAAGAAGAAGAGGAGGAGAGATGTATACTAGTAGTACGGGAGTAGATGCCGAGGTTCCAAGAATCCATTTCATGATGCGTTGATAAGATAAGCTGCGATCGACTTAAACCTTGGAAGCAACATCTGAACTTCCATCCCTAGCTCAAGCAGTGACTGCACCCAGTTTCCCGTCTATATAGCAATCAAGTCACCTGTTCTTACGCATGATTACAGCGCCACTCCATTATGGCCCAACAAAAGGCGGATTCTTCCTCTTTCCCTTATTTTCTCTTCCCTTCGTTCCCCAATAAACGAGATGTGGGGTTCTCTCAACCAAGCTCCTCAGACCCCACTTCGAAGTATCTAGATGGCCATCTCTCCTACCTCCAGTGTACAGGATGTGCAGTGCACCTTTGCCTGGCATCTCAGATCATCAGTAAAGGGTTCACAGGTCGACATGGGCGCGCATACCTTGTATCTGCCGAATCAGTTGCTGCGGTGTCAGTTAGTGCTTCATCATCTCCAACGGCGTCCCTTCCCAATACAATTCTACACCACCCAGTCCCACGCCAACTAGTGACGGGAGCTCACACAGTTAGTGACGTGAGCTGCGCATCCTGTGGGTCTATTTTGGGGTGGAAATATGTTACTGCCGAAGAGGAATCTCAGCGTTATAAAGTGGGAAAATTCATACTGGAGACGAAGAGGACTACAACTTCTTCCTGCTGGGAGTCTCCCCCGGACCCTAATTCGCCTACTATCGGAAGCCCGCAAGAAGGCAAAAATGGGCGAGAGACATTAGAGACTGAGTTCGATAGCCAGGATGAGGACGAATGTGAAGACCTCTTTGCAGGCATCTGGAGTCCAGGTTTAGCTACTCGGCGCAGAAGTCGTAAAATCATTGAACGACGACCTGCAATGTTCGGGCTGTCCTGAGACCCCAGCGCACTACTAAACTGTCTTGGCCTTTACATGCAATGATTGTCGTTGATTTGACAAATGATACCCTTTAATTACTCCAGGCTTTACGGCCCACAACCAATTAACCGTCATACCCATACTCATACTGCGTTCAAGTTTTCCCCTTTTCATTTGATTATGATCGTGTGATTTTTATTCTTGTGGAGACCAGGTGGCGGTGATATTTTATTTATTACCTGACGGAAGTTTGGGAATAAATATAGCTGGACGTCAACGAGCCCCCAAGTCCCCACCATGCACGAAGAGTAAAATGAGTTTCAAAAATGAATCAATCATGTAAGAAGAAGAGATCAAGAAAAATAAGGCAATCAAATATAACTCATTGAACGCTGTGAAGTCAGAACGGCTGAATTTCACCCTCGTAATCATTGAGCAGAGGAGGCATCGTTCACGCGCGCACGTTTTGTTTCACCTTCAGTAGATGCGTCTTCAGCAGGGCGCTTAGGCGCCGGTGCTGGTTGAATGTTTGGCTTTCGTCGAACCAACGATGAAAGGTCAGTTGCATCCTTGCTAGCAGCGTCGATTCGGGCTTTCTGGTCGGCTGGGGATTGTCCGACAATTTGGCCAAGGATGCCTCTGAGGAAAGCTTCATTCTCTTGACTGCCCTGTTCAACCGACACAGGCGAGCGGCGAAGATCAGTCAACTATGAAAGCAGGTTAATAAAGTCCAAACGGTAATCGAGAAGATAATGTCAATATAAACCTACCCGTTGCTCCATGTCCGCAATGATTTCCTTCACATTCGCTATCTTTCTCTTCGTCGCAGTTGCTTTGTCCTCTTCCATATCTTTGTCCGTTTCTAATTTCTTCTCTTCCTGTGACAGTCGCACCCTGCAGCTCTCGATAGCACGCTCCATCTGGGTTGCCGCCTCCTTGCGCATTCCCTCGTCCACAGCCTTATCTTTCTCGTCTTCATCATCCTCACCCTCCTGCGGGACCGCTGCAAATTCGAGAGCAAGAGATAGTTTGTAATGGCACTCGGCAACCGAGGGATCTTCGAAAGGGAACAAGGAATATCGAAGGACAAGGGCGGTTCGGAGATCAGTGACTGCATCGCTAAATCGCTCTCCTTCCAGGGAAATTTCAGCCTGGAGGTCGTATGTATCGGCAAGACGTTCTTTAATATGCTTTAGTTCATCTGGTAGCTCTGCTGATTTTCCTTTGGCGCCACTGCTTTCCTCTGCTGCTTCAAGCTTCTTCGTGTAGAGCACACGTGCCAAATCTAGAACCTCAAAAGCATTCGCAAAATCGTCTTCTTCCTCGTCCTCATCAGCTCCCTCAGCTTCCTCGTCCTCCTCATCTTCCTCGTCCGAGTCGACAAAATTCTCGTCGCCAGTGAATTGGAAAAGCGCTTTGGGGGGCGCGGAGTCTGTTTTTGTGGCGCTCTCCTGTAAAGACACGGCTTTGTTGTTTAGATCACTGGAGGAGTTACCCTTGGATTGGTTATACTCTGCGCGAGATGTGCTCGACGTAGGCTTTGGCGCAGGGGTCTTGTTGGGCGGAGGTTGAGGCTCGCCAGCGACCTTGGAGCCTAGAACATCACTCTTGCTCACAGCCACATTGTAAAGAGATTTTCCGTAGGAGTACAGCAAGTCTGCATTTTCAGGTGATAGTTCGCCATTCAATTCAGCTTGTAGCTCAGTCGCTTGCGAGTAGAGTTCCGAAGCGGTGTTATGATCTTTGGTCGCATCCTTAGCTGCAGCTTGAGTGATGAGGTCGTCCAGCTGGGCGCGCTTTTCTTTCAGAGCCTCGGGGGGCTGGGCAATAGGATTCGATTGTTCGTCAGACATTTTTGTGGCAGTGGATGGGACAAAGACGAACTGGGAAAGGGAGAGAGAAAAGAGACAAGAGACGATAAGCGATAACGGATAAGCTTCGCGACTCGCGTCGTGTCGCGTCTGCCACTTTACTTCCACCTACTGCAAAGCGTTTGTTCTAAATTGTCCAAAATCCTTTCTTAAGGGCGCAGTTTTCTCGCGCCAGGAACATACAAATCTTAGTATTATTTGCGACGTTTATCACCTATATACTCTGATCACAATTGTCTCAAAAGAAACGAAAAGTGTCTCGTACAGTCCACCATGGATCCAACCGCTACTCCACGGCACCTCAAAATGGGAGCTGAGAACCTAATTCCTTCCTCATCGCCTGCGTTTGGCACACCAGCAAGGCCATTTCGAATGCAAAAAACACATGCGCCTCCCACGAAGACATCTATCTTACCGATTCTGCTTCCTCCGTCCACCCTCCGCCCAGTGGCTTTCCGAACGTTCACCCGCAAGCACAACCTTACTATTTCCTCATCAGCACTTCAGACACTAGCTGTCTTTGTGGGAAAGAACTGCGGCTCGGGATGGCGAGAAGAAGGGCTTGCAGAGAGAGTTCTAGACGAGGTCGCAAAAAACTGGAAAAGAGCCGGCGGAAATGTTATCGTGGAAGAGGGGAAAGGTGCATCATTGCAATCTATCTTACAAACGATTGAGGGGAGTATGAGCGGCGGAAGAGTTGCAGCAGGGAAAATCAACCCTCATGACGCTTCTGCAAACCCACTGAATGTCGGCTTAGACACTGGGCGGAATGAAACTGGAAGTTCCACTACTGAAGGGACTAAGTCAGGCGATGCAGATGGAGATGATTCAAAGCTATCACTTCATCCGCGGCATTGGCTCAAAGTCATAGAGGCGTTTGACCTGCCTCGCTTGACTTATAATGTCGATAAGAAATACTTCGAGACGATCAAGTCCAAGCCTACGTTATTCCCGCCCCCGTTGCACAAGACCGCCTTATTCAGAGATCGCTATAATTTAGTCTACCAAAGATTACTCCGCAACGAATCCTTTCAAAGTTCTTTAGGTGTTGCAGGTGTCCCTTCACTTCGGCGATCAGCGTCGAATATGGCGACCCAGCAATCCTACAAGTTGACACCGATTGCGAATTTACTAGGCCGAAGCGGCAGCTCGCATCTTTTGCTGGGCCTTCTGTCTATGGCTCCCACTGGCGATTTGACTCTGGTCGATCTGACAGGAAGTGTGGCTCTGGACCTGAGTCACGCTCGCATGATCCCAGAAGATGGTGCTTGGTTTGTACCTGGCATGATCGTTCTTGTAGATGGTATCTACGAAGAAGAGGAGATGGTAAAGGGGTCTGTCCTGGGTGGAAACTCTGGCGTTGGAGGAACTATTGGTGGCCACTTCGTTAGTGTATCGATCTGTGGTCCTCCTTGTGAGCGAAGGGACATATCGCTAGGAACAAACAGTCGCCAGGGAAGTGGTGAAGTGAGCTCCAGTGGTGGGTTTGGATGGGTGGACTTCTTGGGGACCGGAAGTGAACGTGCACAGGGAGCACGTATGAGAAAAATCCAAGAGAAAGCACTCCGAGGTGAACCGGAGGCGATGGAGGTGCCGCCTCGGTTGAAAATGGTGGTGATGAGTGAGGTCAACCTCGACAATATGAGAGCTTTGGACGCCCTTCGAAAGGTCTTTAACACCTACAACGACCTTGCTCTTGTGGACCGTCCTCAAACCTTTGTTTTGATGGGCAATTTTGTGCAAACGGCTATCATCAATGGGGGTGGCCGAGCTGGGAGTATCGAATACAAGGAGCATTTTGATTCCCTCGCAATTGTCTTGGCTGAGTTCCCTGCTCTATTACAACATTCGACTTTTGTTTTTGTACCCGGTGATCATGATCCATGGGCATCAGCCTTTTCGGCCGGTGCTGCATCTACCATACCGCGGCACCCGATTCCTGAACTGTTCACCTCTAGAATCAAACGTGCATTTGCAACAGCCAATTCAGAACTCGATAGATCACAGAGCTCAGAGCCGATGGGAGAGGTGGTCTGGACCTCGAACCCGGCACGTCTTTCGTGGTTTGGACCTTTGCAAGATATTGTCATCTTCCGAGATGATGTTTCCGGCAGGCTGAGACGTACGGCTATTGATATGCATTCAAATAACGACGAAGCCGACGCTACGATGCATGAAGCCCTTGATAATGCGGCAGGTGACGCAGTCTCTATCGCACCAGAGGTAGTCGATCAAGGGAATGAAGGCAAGCCTGGCTCCGTGTCAGCGGCTGCGTCAGGGGCCCGCAAACTTGTGAAGACAATTCTCGATCAAGGAACCCTTTCCCCGTTCCCATTGCCCCTGCGGCCTGTTCTATGGGATCATGCTTCTGCTGTACAGTTATATCCATTACCGACAGCTTTAATTTTGGCAGACTCGGAGGCGGCGCCTTTCTGTATGACCTACGAAGGATGTCATGTCATGAACCCTGGGCGATTCTTGCCTGATGGCTCTGTCCCGACGGTGAGATGGATCGAATATGATGTTTTACGCAGCCGAGGCAAGGTGAAGGAGGAGCGTTACTGATCTTGATAAAATGCCGTCTTCCTCTCACCCAGTCTGGAGACAACTGACCTCTTCTATCAAAAATTACGTTAGTTACAAACGCAGCAATGCTATGAATAAGACGCCATGGGAGTTAATGTTTGTCCCAAGATCTATTTTCTGCTCAAAGCGTGGAACGTAGGTGAGCTAAGTAGAAGTAGACATGTCACATTGATGATCTAGGAATACAGTCCAGAAGAGAAGAAGTCGTAGTTTCTCTTTAGGAGTAATGAATACTACCTTCAAGGCAGCTTAGTCGATTGTAATGACATCGGCTTTCCCCAGGGTATCTGGTTTTTGGAGGGGGATCGCTTCTAGCTTGACAGCACCAGAAGGTGCATTTTGTTTTGACTGCTCCGATGTAATAGGCTTCTGGCCCGTGGTTGCAAGTTTCTGCTGATTTGGCTCCGGTGTGCAGGTACTCAAACACGAATGGAGCTCCGAGAGCAGATTGCCAATTTTTTCAAGTGAAGCGATAGCACCATCTCCAAGACCTTGCCAACCATCACCTTTTGACTTATAAATTCTTTCCCTGGTAATGCTTGCCGAATGACTCTTTTCAGATGGTTCAGATTGACTGGAGTTTTCAAGTAACCATAGCATACGACCCTTCCGAGGACGAGCGGATAGACGATATCGACGGCTGAGCTGAGGGTAATGAAATTGAAAGACCGTTGGACTGCGAACAACAACGTGGACAATAGAAGATTCTGTTGGAGTAGATTTGGTAATTCGATCCAAGCACTGCAAGAGCGGAAAGGTGTCAGACATGAAGCCTAAAACAGAGTTCACGCCTGTTTCTGTGAAACGTTGGTTCAAGACCACAGTCAGCGCTTGCTGTATACGTCGATGGGGGCTTGGGTTGTCAAAGCTGATCCTGAGTTGTAAGCTGAATAAAGGATCTGAGCTGTAAAGAGCCCGAGAGTTCTCAACATGATCAGCAAGAGTAGGGCCCGAAACGTTGATGTCGAATCGAGCCCCAAACTGCTTATCGGATCCATATGTGAACGCAAGGTGAGAAAGTGATAGCGACTGGGGTGTCATGTTTCTCTGAATCAGAGACTGGAGAATTGACAGCACACAGTCGAATCTCTGCAGCCGTTCAAACAAGCCAACAATAATGGAGTGGCCCGCAGGGACAAGAAGGCGGAAGGCAAACCCACAACCTTTGTCTTGCATGACGAGTAAAGGATCCATTTGAGATACAAGGGTGGGGAGGACCTTAATGCGGTATCGGAAAGTACCGTAAGCCATCAGTACAGCTGATTGACTTTGGCGGTCAATGCCGTGAAATGAAAGCCGGATTGTATCTTCTAGATAGGAAGCTCGCTCTGATCCCGCGGGCAAGGATATCCGGAGAGCTGGAGGGAGTGCAGCTGGTTTGTAATGAACAAACAGATCCGGCACTTGGAAGTCCGATCCCAACTGCATCTTTTCCAGCGGAGGGAAAGAAGGTGCATCAGGTAGATCGGCCAGAAATTGGCCGTTGGAGCAAATCGCTAACATGCCAGTGAGGCCATGTAAGAATTCTGCACACGCTGAGTAGTCAAACCGCCGTTGGCTTGACATGAGAGTGTTTCTTACAAGATGGACGGATGCATTGCGGGGCTCCGTAAACCGGACTTGGACCAACCACCAGCTATCACCATCCATACTACTTGTCACCGCAGCTACCCAACCACGATCCCAAAGAGAATGGGTGAAAAAGGCGGATCGCATTGTATTTGCGGGGAATAGCCGACGAGGATCAAGCCCTAAACCTCTCGGGCCAACACTCTCAAGGCCAAGGGCTTTGATACCGAATTCAATTTCGTCAATGGCAGTGGCGCAGCGAACCCTGGCGACACGGGCCAGGAGTTCTTCAATTGCCGATTTATTTGAGGCTCGCTCAGGCTCGTGACGTTCTGATATACCTGGCACGCCGGATAGGGTAATTGAACCAGATGATGGTTCGATGGAAACTCGAAGAGAACGGGATGGTGTTAATTGAACACCGAGAAAGCAATCGCCAGGCTCTGTGAGGGATAGTTGAGCCCGTAAAGAAAGAACATGGTCTGAGAACAAGATGCTCTTCTTGAGGGAAGTATAGGCAGTGAATAGCAGATGAGATGTATGGAGAGCAATGACACTTCGCATGACACGCTCCATAGATAGGTCGCTGGCATCAAATTGGATGTCACTCCCGTTAGCTTGTTGGCCATCCCGTATCCAGCGAAGGCCGATTCGTGGCACTGCATAGGCGGTTCCATGGAGTTCATTGTTCCGACGGCCTCTTTGGACACCTATTTCTAGCCAGCTTTTAGGTCCTGCTCTAGCTATCCAGTATTGGAGAACGAGCGTTCGATGGAGAAATTCAATTCTCAAAGCACCTGACCATAAGCTTCGCGCAAGATCGACTGCTTGTTTAAAGAGAATGTTGATCTTATTTGTCAAAACCAAGCCATGAAGGAAATCAAAACATCCTATCAAACCATCGCTATGAAGAATTTGGTTGATCCTCGCATCCAGTTCATTAAACACTTTCCCCTTTGGTATGGGGGATGAGGGCGAGAAGAGGAATCGGATATCCACGAAAAAAAATTGTGAGGTGCTCGCTTCTTCTGCGACAGACAGGTCTAGTTCAAATTCATCGTGTACAATGAACGTGACCCGTCCATCGTGGACGCGATAATTTCGCAATGGAAACGGCACTTGGTCATGGAGCGCCAGCCGCACACCAATGATTCGATTGATTTTATGTAATTTTTTGAGAGTGGCCCTCGCGGTCAAGGGCCTGGGAGGTTTGTAGCCGAGCTAGAAGAGACAAAGTCAGAAATGCACATAAGTCTCGGGGGTATGCCATGATAACTCACATGTGTGAGAGTTGCTACACTGCCTTTCGAAAGAACTTCCAATGCCGTTTTGAGATCTGGATTGGCCATTTGCGCTCGAACAAGGTCCCGTTTCATTTCACCTACGAATTGAACCGCGGACATATACGCTTGGTGCCGAGTGCGAATAAAGCCTTGTATGTCAATAAGCCGGCTTACCTCGGCCGCCTGGCGACCCCACTGGGAGAGAACCAAGAGTTTGATGAACTCCGCTCTCTTAGCTTGAGCAAAGTCCAGAATGCGCACTTTTTTGTGCACATTCTCCGCAGACTGGTTTCCTGGAAACTTCCCATTTGAATTTTGAATAGCTGAGCTTTCGTTGGAGACATGAACTGCAGCCAGCTCTGTCACCAACTCAGATAGGTCATTCCAGCATTGTTGTACTGCCCGGTTGAGGAGTGTGCTGAAAAGAAAAAACCCTTGCGTAATATGCGGTAGCTCAAATGGCACTACTGCGCTTTCAATTGTTGGTTTTCCGGACTGATTGCAAGTAGTGGTGTCGCTCCCCATGCCATTCCCGTGGACCGGCCCGTTCGTGGACATAGGGAGGCGGCCATTTTTGTCGTGACTTGGCGCACCATTCGTTTGTTCATTGAGATTTGAATGTCGCGAAGATATATCAACGCTGGCATGTTCCATGATGACGCCGGGCATATCTAAAAAGGAAGATAGATCGCCGGTTGGCGCCGTTTCTCTATATGCCTTCCCCTCCCGGCCCCTCTGCACAGGACAGAGCAAGCAATAGTTGAACCCACCACTGTTCCAGGCGCAAATCAATAAGCGCTGAGGTAGGAAGGGGAGTTAAAAGTGAAGACTAGGCGAGAGGTGAGTTCTCTGCCCAGTGCCATGCGTATCATTGGCCGTGCAAAATAATGGCCTCGATCATAATCAAGTGAGCGAGGTACACGACCGAAGCTCTAATTGAGATTCCCACCACAGTTCAGATGATGGATATGTGTTTAAAGGTTCGTCGATCCCAGAAGAGCGCTGAGGATTCCGTTGATTCAATTGCGCCTGATGCTGGATAGAATCGATGTGGATGGGGGGGATTGCCTGTCTCGGAGGGGTGCTGAAAGGAGCGAGAGACAGGTTGGTTAAAGGGTGGAGGGGTCGAAAGCGCAGAGATTTCCAAGACCCGGTGGTGTCGCGAAGAATATGGAGGATGGAAGGGAGCGAATTTCAATTGTAGTGTTTGAAGGATGAAGGCAGAAGAAGGGAAAGCGCGCGCTGCGCATGTACCGCCTTTGGAGAGAAAGCCTATTGGATGCCTTAATGCCTTGGTGCCTGAATACACTTCCATTACCGCGTGACTACTGTACGGAAAGTCATACCTGGGCACCTGACCTGGGAGCCTTGGAAGGTGGACCTGCAGCATAATACAGCATAATACCCCATGATTACCTGGGCATCCACCTGATCGGCATACATTACGCCGGGAAATGCCCACAGGCTTCCAAGGTTGGACAACGGGCGTCAACTGCACACTTGAGCTCTGTAATATTGATGTACTGTACTGTACGACTAACAGCCTATCCCCCCCCAGCTCCATTAGCTGCTCCAGTAGCTCCAGATGTCTGCTACATAAGTTCCTACTTACCTCCTCCACTCAGGTAGACATGACCTCACCATCCCTCCCAAGTTTGACAGGGTTATCATGATCTTGTATCAAACTCAACAATGAATAGTTACGAAGAGGCCACAACTGAAGAGGATCTCACCGGTCGAATTCCTCTCTATCCCGGTGATGATCCTCGTCCAACTAGTAAGAAGGAGCTTGCGGGCTGGTATTGTTATGGGTGGGCTGCCGAGGTGTTCACCGTCTGTGCTATGGGTATGTTCAACCACCCCCGTCCTACTTGCAACCTGTCTGTTAGTGACTCTTGCCAACCATGAGGAATATAGGCTCGTTTCTTCCCATAACATTAGAGCAGATGGCGCGAGATCGCGGTTTTCTTTTAACCGATAAAAGTACTCCATGTACTCCAACATGGAACCCTTCTCATCACCTCAGCCACCAAGCCGGATATAACATTCAAAAATCAGATGCCAGCCAATGTATTATTTTCTTTCTAGGCACCGAGATCAATACCGCAAGCTTTGCCTTGTACACATTCTCCTTGAGTGTTTTGGTGCAAGCAATTATCATCATTTCTATGTCTGGTGCTGCAGATCATGGAAACTACCGCAAGACCCTTTTGATGATCTTTGCTTTTATCGGCTCTATTGCAACAATGCTTTTTTTAGTCGTCGTGCCTAGGATTTATCTATTAGGGGCTCTGTTGGCGATTGTCGCTAATACTTGCTTTGGTGCATCCTTTGTGCTCTTGAATTCTTTCTTGCCAGTTTTGGTCCGACACCACCCTTTGGTACTCGAGAAGAGCCAAGAGAGCCTTCATAATGGCATTACTCAACAGGACTCCGATCCTTCCAGGCCATTGCTGCGACCCAACGATAGTGAGGATGCATCTACTCACGTGACTTCCCTACAATTCAGCCTTTCTACTCAAATTTCCTCTTTTGGTATTGGGATTGGCTATATTGGGGCAGTTGCACTACAGATTCTCGCTATTGCGATTGTCGTATTGACCAATCAGACAACGTTTTCGCTCCGTCTTGTTCTATTTGTTATCGGGCTCTGGTGGTTTTTGTTTACCATTCCCGCCACGATGTGGTTACGAATTCGCCCTGGTCCACCTTTGCTAAGCAATGGAAAGCCTCTTGAATCCTGGCTGGCTTATCTGGCCTACGCCTGGATTTCCCTCTGGAAAACAGTGAAGCGTGCAAGGCACTTAAAAGACATTATCCTTTTCCTGTCGGCCTGGTTTCTTCTCAGCGACGGCATTGCGACAGTGAGTGGCACAGCTGTGCTTTTCGCCAAAACCGAGCTCAACATGAAACCGGCAGCTTTGGGCCTCATTAATGTGATTGTCATGTTTGCCGGTGTATGCGGTGCGTTCTCATGGAGCTATATCTCGAGTCTACTTCATCTCCGTGCATCACATACTATCATCGCCTGTATCATCCTGTTTGAACTGATCCCACTATACGGAATTCTTGGGTTTGTTCCATCAGTGCAACGCTTGGGCCTCGGCCTTCAACAGCCCTGGGAAATGTATCCCCTGGGAGCCATATATGGTCTTGTTATGGGTGGACTCTCGTCTTACTGTCGTAGCTTTTTCGCTGAATTGATTCCCCCCGGACATGAAGCAGCTTTCTATGCTCTTTATGCTATCACTGATAAAGGTTCCAGCGTGTTTGGCCCTGCAATTGTGGGTGTGATTACCGATCGTTATGGTGAAATCCGACCCGCATTCGTTTTTCTCGCCATTTTGATATTTCTACCCTTGCCACTCATGCTACTTGTGGATGTGGAACGGGGAAAGCGGGATGCAATGGAGCTTGGTGCTGAGCTCGATCGCCCTTCGGAAGCCCCAGGGTATGGAACTATATCTACTAGTGCCCCAGAGGAAGAATCTCGATGAGGCAAAGCGCATGCGATTGTACTAGAACGAGGAGTAATGTTCTTCTCGTTCCCTTTGCTTCTTTTGGTTGTTATTTCTCTCTCTCTCTCTCTCTCTCTCTCTCTCTCCCCCCTTTCGTTGAAGGGTACTGTCTATGCCCTCCAAATTTTTATACTAGATACATTATCAGGGCTCAGTAAAAGGTGTTAAGTTCTACCGCCTTGTCATGGCTGTACAGACAAGTTGGCCAAACCTGCATTTCGGGGATTTATTTACGTGCAGATAATTATTGAATAAGGATTATGCAGGATTATTTTGGGTTATTGACACAACAAAATTAATTAGATGATCAAAAAAGGATGTTTGCATTGTTTCCCCGGCCTGTAGGCAAAGCTAGCTGCACGGTTAAAGTAGGGTTTATATGGCAAGGTGTGTGAGAGCCAGAAGGGATATAAACGAGCTTCAAAGCTCGTTATATGACCTATCAAATGTATATGCTATGCCTGTGTATTCAACCTATCATTATAGATAGGTATTAATATGCTAATCTCACGCGCACTAGTACTAAGTTAGTGTCCACGGGCTCAAGTGCTACCATCCTCGACACGGAGCAATTCTATTGGTCAGTGTTACCCATGGGACCCGAAACCCGGGTAACCATAAGAAGCAGAATAATATTGGAGAGGAAGCAGAAGAAGTAATATCTTACAGTACCCTATTTCGTTATAGGGGTCAAGATGTTGGACCCATATATTCGATAGTTCATGTAGTATGCCTCTCCCCGGTTTGAGAACCATTGGAAACCCTTAGAAGGAGGAATGTTCTATGGGAGAGTAAGAGTAAGCAAGAAAGGACGAGCTACACGAGCTACACGAGTAGGTACTTAGTACATCTGTAGTAGGCTAGGTTGGTAAGGGCGGGTACAGGGCGGGCGGGGGGGAAATCCCCTTGCGTAGGGGCCACCCTGCATTACTGTAGTAAAAGCAAAAAGAAAGAAAGCTCCACTCCCGCTAAAGCCAAGAGAACAAACTGTCCTCAACTCCAGCCCCAATCAACTTCCTTCTTTAAATATCATACCGGGACCCTGGTTTCTTCCTATACATTCCCCCCCTCCTCGAATTATTAGGTCGGTAGGTTATTTCTTCTTCTTAACCCTTTTGTTTTGATTTCTCAATTAACTTCAAAAAGCTAACTATACCTGCTCCTCTAGTTTATAGCTGTGAATTGAGCAAGACCTCATCTATCGATCCACTACATCATGCGTTCCTTCGCCCCTCTGCTTTTGAGCCTTCTGGGTGCTACCGCTGCCGTTTCGGCTGCGGATGCTGAGTCGGCGGACTCCAACGTCGTCACTCTGACCCAGGATACCTTTGATGACTTCGTCAAGGAGCACGAGCTGGTTCTCGCTGAGTTCTACGCCCCATGGTGTGGCCACTGCAAGGCTTTGGCTCCCAAGTACGAAGAGGCTGCGACTGAATTGAAGGAGAAGAACATTCCCCTCGCAAAGGTGGATTGCACTGTGGAGGAAGATCTCTGCCGCAACTATGAAGTTGACGGATACCCGACCTTGAAGGTCTTCCGTGGACCCGAATCACACAAGCCATACGGTGGAGCTCGTCAAGCAGACTCGTACGTCTTTCTATCCTAGATGTTCCCAACCTATGACGCGATCTTTATTTTAAAAATTCTTTGCTTACCTTTCTTCTCAATAGAATTATTTCATACATGACCAAGCAGTCAATGCCCGCCGTTTCCAGCGTTACGGAGGAGAACTTGGAGGAATTCAAGGCTCTGGATAAAATCGTCATTATTGGCTATGTCGGCTCCGACGACAAGGTCTCCGACGAGAGCTTCGCCACCTTCGCCGAGGCTCAGCGTGACAACTACTTGTTTGCCGCATCGAACGATGCCGCCCTTGCTAAGGCTGAGGGTGCCAAGCAACCATCCATTGTTCTGTACAAGGACTTCGACGAGAAGAAGGATGTTTACGAGGGCAAGTTCGATGAAGAGTCCATTCTCAACTGGGTCAAGACCGCCAGCACTCCCCTTGTTGGTGAACTTGGACCTGAGACCTACTCTAAGTACATGGCAGTATGTAACAAAACACAAGGCTCCCATCATGGCCCATATCACTAACATTAATTTTTTTCTTCCCGATAGGCTGGTATCCCATTGGCATATATCTTTGCCGAGACCGCTGAGGAGCGCGAGAAGTTCGCTGAGGACTTCCGCCCTATTGCTGCCAAGCACCGCGGCGAGATCAACATTGTCACCCTCGATGCTAAGCTCTTCGGTGCCCACGCTAGCAACTTGAACCTGAAGCCTGAGACCTTCCCTGCCTTCGCTATCCAGGACACCACCAAGAACGCCAAGTTCCCCTACGACCAGACCAAGAAGATTGATGCCAAGGAGGTTGGCAAGTTCATCAAGGATGTCATTGATGGCAAGCTTGAGCCTAGCATCAAGTCTGAGCCTGTTCCCGAGACCCAGGAGGGCGCTGTTACCGTGGTCGTTGGCCACAACTACCAAGAGGTTGTCATTGACAACGACAAGGATGTTCTGCTTGAGTTCTACGCCCCATGGTGTGGACACTGCAAGGCGTAAGTGCTCTTTTTACCCCGTTTTCTACATGATTACATATCTGTTCATTTTGTCTAACCTTTATTAGTCTTGCCCCCAAGTATGACGAGCTTGCCGCTTTGTATGCGGACGTTGCTGAGTTCAAGGACAAGGTTGTTGTGGCTAAGATCGATGCCACTGCCAACGACGTCCCTGACCCCATAACTGGTTTCCCCACCATCAAGCTGTACCCCGCTGGCAAGAAGGATGAGCCCGTCGAGTACGAGGGCTCTCGCACCGTCGAGGACCTGGTCTCCTTCATCAAGGAGAACGGCAAGTATCAGATTGATGGTCTGGCTGAGGGTGCTAAGCCTGCACAGGGTGGTGATGTGACTGCTCCTGCTTCCGCCTCTGACAAGGCTGCTGAGACACCAGCTCCTGCCGAGGAGGTGCATGATGAGCTGTAAACATCCCTATCGCTTCCAGGGAATTCGCTTTTTTATAGCAATGTAGTGTCTTGTACTATCAAATTTGACATGACCAATCCTCAAATTAATTACCTGAGCCCTTTCCAATCGTAGATTTCTCGTATTTCCAGTATAAAAGAAGCCAATAATTACCAATAACACGAAAAACAAGCAAAGCAAAAGAAATCATGTTCACTAGTTTATGTGGGGATCGACATAATGTATCCAATTTGCGTTGTCAATCTCCCGCGTTTGAGGCTTAAGATCCCATTTAGTCAGCGTCTGGCTATTCGACGCGTACCTCTCGCGAAACGCGTCGAGCACCGCCGCAGTCGATATGAGCTCTTGAGCTTTCAACCCTATCAACCACTCCCTACTATATTCTAACGCACGCCAATTTCTTTTAACTCACTCTTAATTCCTCAATTGCCTTGCCGATTGCATTGATTGTTCAACATGGTTAGCCCAACCCTCAAGCGAAACGCGGATCATCTATCCACGCCAAATTCAGACAAAAAGAAACCCAAAGGAGGAAGCATCACTTCGTTCTTCGCTGCTCCAAAGCCTAAGCCTCAAGATACCCAAGGATCCGGACCCGCCGCACCTTCTCCAAAGCCGAGCTCTTTCAACAAAGAAAAATGGGTGGCGTCACTTACACCGGAGCAGAGGGAATTACTCCAACTAGAGATTGATACATTGAATGAAAGCTGGCTTGCCCATCTGAAGGACGATATTACCACAACCGAGTTCCTGAATCTGAAAAGATTTCTTAAGAAAGAGAAGGACAACAAAGCCAAGGTCTTCCCTCCAGAGGAAGACATCTATTCCTGGTAAAGACCAATGACACACCCAAGCCCGAATGGAAGTGCTAAACAACTGAATAGGTCTCACCTCACACCCTTGCACGATGTCAAAGTGGTAATTGTAGGCCAAGATCCATACCATAATGATCACCAAGCTCACGGGTTGGCGTTCTCCGTCCGTCCTCCAACGCGAGCACCAGCATCCTTGCTCAACATTTACAAGGGTCTCAAGAAGAATTACCCTGATTTCATAAATCCACCGAACAATGGCGGACTGCTTACACCTTGGGCTGAACGCGGTGTACTGATGCTCAACACCTGCCTCACAGTACGTGCGCATCAGGCTCACAGCCATGGCAACAAGGGCTGGGAAACTTTTACTCAAAAAGTCATTAACTTGGTTGCTCGCTTACGAACTCGTGGTGTCGTTTTCCTTGCCTGGGGAAAGCCTGCGGGTGTACGAGTAGCTAAGATTGACCGACAAAAGCATTGCGTGCTACAGTCAGTACATCCGAGCCCCCTCAGTGCGCACGGCGGATTTGTAAGTTTCCTATCCTCATTGCCTTATTGCGATACCACCGTCGTTATTCACGCTGGATCTTCCGATTAGACACTAACTGGTTAATAATAGTTCGAGAATGGTCATTTCAAGAAATGCAACGATTGGCTCGCTTCGCGATATGGTGATGACGAAATCGTTGATTGGCATCTGGTACCCACGAAGGCCAAACCAACCTCTTCCTTGGACAAGGAGAATTCATCGGCCTTGGCCAATGCCACAGAAGCAGCTGCAAATGTTCCAGAATCAAAGTGTCCTGAGGAGGCAGATAAGAAGGCGAAGGCTTGTCCCGCCGACGAATTTGACGATGACGATGCCCTGGAAGCCTTAGCAGCAATGGAGGAGGAAATTTCCACAAAAGCAGTTGGAGCTTGAGAGACTGCTCGACTACTCGAATGTCGAATAGTGTCCGGTGACTGTGACTGTATTATGTATTATTATCTAGTCGTTTTTGCGCGTTAATGATTATCGGGAGCCTTGGGAAGAAGGTGTTTTCTGGGTTTTCGACGAAACACTTGAAAGTGGAAATGTTTCAATAACTTGAATGATGCTAAATCTCTGATCAACGTCTTTCTCTTCCTTTATTAACATTAGTAGTAGTCGTAGTGGTAGTAGAAATCATTGACCTACTATAGCCGACAAAGATTGGCTATGCCAGGGTTGCTATCAGACCAGCTAAGTATATAGTATACTAGCGCCAGAACCAATACTTGGGGGATTACTATAGTGTATAATTAGGATGCGTAAGTCACGAGACGGTCCATTAGTCTAGCGGTCAGGACGTCAGATTTTGAGACATGTCTTCTGAAATCCCCGGTTCGAACCCGGGATGGACCTACCTTTTTTTCCCTTTCCTAAAAGGGTTTTTCTTTTGCCTTTCACATTCAAACTTGAACTCCTAAGTATGCTCCAGTGTTACGGTGTTCAGTTCTACACCACAAGTAACTTCGACGTAATTAATACCTACCTACACGGCTCTCTTTTTACTCTCGGTGGTTGGGAATTATGATATGTAACAAAGAGAGATGTATTGTGTTGAACTGACTAGTGGATATAAAAAATTGTTGATGAATTATCGCTTGTGTCACTTAAGACTCGCGTATATATACAAAGTTGACGGAACCAGCCGTTTTGACGAAATTCGTGAGCCCAAGGACTTGCTGAGGAAAATTTAAAAGGTGAAGGTAGAAATTGACAGTGGTGAACGACAACCCAAGTGCTGTTGTAAGATACTTCAGCCCCGGGCACATTCAACAGTCCGGGGCCTATATTCAGAGGAGACGGATGGAATCTTCGGGAGTGCAGGAGCAGAGACGTCTGGCAGTGCAGTGATAATTGAGCCGGTGTCACCAACAGCGTCAGGAATTTCTTCCACAATATCATCTTCCGCATTCCCATCTTCATCCAGGGTCATTTGAACGGAAAGAACATGAATGCGTGGGGATGACCCAGGTCTTTGTTTGAATGAGTAGACATTCAATACCTCCGGTGCACCTTGTACCCATGACATCTGTCTTTCCGCATTTGCGCCAGACAATTCCTTCCCATTTCTTGCGCGAGCTCGCCATGCATTCGGCGAATTAGCTCGGAAAATGCTGCAGGGCCATTCTTTCGCAGTTTTCGAAAGCGTGCGTCCACAGCTCCCCGTTTTCGTGGCCATGGTATCCCACGCTTCAACGACACGATCTGTTTTCAAGAACTGGGAGATTTGCGCTTTCACAGACTCAAAGTTGTCATTTTCGGGGATCCGATGTTCAGACGTGCATCGATGATGAGTAGGTGACTTTGCCATTGACTGCTGGGTTCGAGGACGGTTATTGTTCCAAAAGCCCTTTAGTTGCTCCATGGAGACACTTCGAGACTTAAGGGTACGAGCTGGGGCCGTCGATGGACGATTTTGTGAACCAGTGGCATTTTCACCATCACTGGCAGATCGTCGAGGAAGGAAGGGCTTTGAAATTCTTCTGCTCAATCGCCTAGACACTCGAGGAGGAGGGGTAGTAGCGCCAGAACTAGATTCCATCGCCAACGCACTACATGATTTCGCTCGATTCAGCACCCTGGGCATGTTACTTTCCCGTTTTGTAGCAGTAGCATTGGTATTACTATGACCCACATTGCCTCTGTCTTTAGCTTCCGCGTCACCCGGCTGCGTTGAACTTGGATTCGTTCGTTTCAAAGAGGGATCTCGAGGGAGAGGCTTATTAGACGGCAATGCATTTGACGATGAGGCGGGCAGGCCCCTAGCGAAGATTTTCTGCTTGAGAGATCTTGTGTGAGCTGGGGTTTTGTTAGAGTTTGTTAACAATCGCACGCCCTTCCTGCTCGCTATCCCGACTCGTCTTTGCATCTCTGTGTCTCTAGTAGCAAGTTTTCCAAGAGCCTTCTGAAGAGCAGCACCACGCCGACGGAGTTTGGATAGAGTCTCAAGCCAACCCTCTAAATTGTCCATCATGGCCTGGTACAACGCCTTGAGACTATGAGAGTCAAAACAGCCTTTTTCCGAGAGTTCAATCATATAGTGCCAGAGGGCACTAACCGCGTCTTTGCCCTTTCGAAGATCCCTTAAGGAATCAGTAATGGCGAGTGTGAACCGATCAACGGCATGTTCGATTTGATCGTTGTACGCCACTAAAGATAAACGAAAATTCCTGTCCTCCAGCATCTGGTCAAACACATCTAAGTTGCCCAAAGGCAGATTCAGATAATCGGTCCTTGTGCGAATATCTAGGTGAATAATCATGAAGTCCTCAGTCGTTCTTTGCAGAAACCCATCCATCTCATCAACATGGGTTTGAAGTATTCTCATCACTTGCGGGTCTGATATCGCAAGCTGATTAGCCAGAAGGTGAACGCCAAATGCCAGCTGAGAGACCAGTTTCCAAAATGGATGGTACCTAATGACATGTCAGTCATACGCACACAATTCATAAATAAGATCGAAACTTCATACCGTTCCGATGACCTTTGACGCCATTTGCGACCACATAATCGCTCGTATTCATCGTTTTCCAAAAGATCACGGCGACGCGACTGCGCATCTATATTGACCACCAACTGATTTGCCGATCCCTTTTTTGTTTCAAGAATTGACTCTTCGAAGGGGCCTTGAAGTTGAGGAATTGGATGTACCGGACACGGTCCCGAATATTCATCTTCCAACGTAAAGTCCGTCGAATCTTCTTCGGAGATGGGAGTAATAGGACTAACAGGACTGAGTCCCGCAGTTGGTGCGATCGGGATCAGCATGATCACAGGCTCTGGCCACTATGGGTCGACTAATTGAAGTTGATCCTTGCCAGTTTTCAGTTTGAAGTATGTAGCTCAGCAAGATAATATAGAGTTGCGAAGAGATGGTAATCGAAATAGTTGAACTCCTTTGCGACAACGTATGCAATCGAGTTTGATTTAATCTCAAAATTATGCGCACCAAGCTAATTAAAGCCTATGCTAGCATCCATCGGGGAACGGTCCGGTATTAAATTGTAGTACAGACGAGTCGTTCAAGGGGTTTAATCCATTGCGCAGTATTCAAGATCGCGTCGGCTGGGAAATGGCTGGAGTATGAACCCAATGCAAGGTCCACGGATTTTCTCAACCAGAAAGTATTTCCTGCGATTGTTTATGTGAGCAGGGATTCCGAAACAACGAATATGCGCGAGACGAGACACACTTATTAAAGTAGAATAAAGAAAGCAGCGCCACCTGTTCCCGCCCCTCTGGGTCGAGCAGCTTGTGGCGGGGGGAACGACAGGACTGAACCGCGGGTGTCGGGTTTCAGGTTTTTAAAACGGTTAAAGCATGCAGCAGGATCGAAATCTTAAAACTCAAAAAAGAAAAAGAAAGAAAGTAGAAGGAGGGTGGAAAAGAAAAGAGAGGAAGAGAAGGGGAAAAAATTGGAGCAAAAGAAGAGATCTGTAGTTTGTAGGAGTACGGAGCACACGAGGCTTGGTGCTATACCGGTCGAGGATATAGCAAACAAAGGGGAAATGAGACCCGGAGAAGATGCCGTTCGTAGAAGAAGAGAATGAAATGATTTTTCTATTTTCGTTTTTTTTCCCTCTCTCTTGCGCACACTTCTTGCTCATTTGCGGGATCCACTAATTTCCATCCCTTTGACGGTGGGGCCTCCCGTACTTGTCATCGGGCATTGTTCCATGGTCTCTTACGGATGTGACAAATTGCAGGCCAAACGCACTCGGCGAGGATAAAAAAAGAAGCTGAAGTGACGATCACGGCAGAGCCAACACATTCGTGTAAGCGTAGAAACTTAGACCACGAGGCCGAGGCTGAAGGGATAAATCCCCATTCAGGTTTCAGAAGGACGATCCCCATTTGTTCTCCACATCTCGAGGGGCAACTATGCCATGTTCGTGGAACAGAAGTGGGCGTTTTGAGCTCAGACCAGGTTCTAGCCAGCAGTCTAGCCAGTGGAAGCGAGCCAAATGGAGGATAAGGCGAGATACGATGACGATCGGCAGATGACTGAATTGCCCAATCTCCGGCCTTGGCAAGCTGTGTTTTCAGCCATCGAGTGGTTCCAGCGCTAGCGGGGTTGACTATGCGTACTGAGTACAGTACCGCGTACTAAAATTCGCCATCCAATTTTGGCTCAGCTTCTGCAAAAATGGGATCCCAGAAGTTTGTTGGGAGAGACAAATCCAAGAATTCCCCGAAAAGAGTATCGATATCGGCAAACCCATCCGTTGTAGTACCCAGATCGTCCATGGATGGCAGAGAATCGTTTATCGAAATGTTGGCATTAGATACGTCGACAGGCATGGTTGATCTGATCTGATTTGATGCTAGCTCGGTATCGTCGGACGACCGAAGAGGCTCTGAATCGATTGGACTTTCGTCGAGAGGTGGAGGTGGAGGCGGAGGGGCAGGCTGCGCAACTGAGAGTGACTTGGCTTGGGCGTGTCGCGAATGGTCATAGTTGACATGCTGCAACGCTCTCTGGCCTAAACGTGCCATTGCTTCAGCCGAATACCACTGAGGACTGAGCTCTTCTAGCAAAGAGCAGCATGCTTCTAAGCTAGCCTTCGCCCGGTTGAAGTGTGTGATTAGTTTGCTTGAGCGAAGCTGTCGGTAGGAGACACCCATAGACAAAGCGATAGCGTAGGGAACTATGGGTAGCGGTGGCAATTTCCCTGCACATTCTGATGCAACAATGGAGTGGATTCGAATTGCTGCAAGGCCTTGCCGAATTGTAGAGGCCTTGGTACTATCGAGGGTCTCTGTGAGTTTATGACGACAGGACAAGATAGCTACGCAATGATAGTATAGCTCCAGAATTCCTGTCGATCAGTCAGGCCGTGTGTGGAATTGGTTTAGATTATTAAGTTGAGATTGTCATCGATGAGCATACCTAAAGTCGGGAGATCCAATTCTCCTTGAATATCATCTCCTATAATGTCTTCAAATGCAGGGAACTTCTCCTCCCATCCACTGGTGGTAGCGGCAGAGGGTCGATAGTAAGATATGACGGTTGCAAGCAAGTCTGAGATTGCCAGCCACACGCCGAACGCCCCTGAGGTGTGGGAGCTTGGCTTTTGAAGTCCAACATCCCGATCAGCTATTAGAACGGGCCGGCCTCCAATACTTGCATGCATTTTATCTAGTGTCCACAGTGCCCAAAAAGGGTTGGTTTGAAGAGCTTCCGTGCCAGCAGGTCGGTCAAGATGCAGACCAACGGTTTGGGCCTGGTGTATGGCCACACATAGATGCAGGGATGCAGCCTCTGCCCCCTCGTGCCCTTCGCAATGCAAAGCCATTAGTGATAAAATACGGATGCGAGTCAACCTATCAGGCTCCAATCCAGCATCCATGGCGACAGTGAGCCCATTATATATGTTAGTACAAAATCGACGTGATGATACAATTGGTCCTTCCTCCTCCAAACGGAGGTAAGAAGAAGCATCAGTATCTTTAGCGGCGACAAGACAAATGGCCCTCTCAAGAAATATGGACACAGAGCCTTCAAATTCATGTTTGACGTAGGAATTAATCTCCACGAGAGGAATGATGCGGTTGATTTTAGAGAAATAAATGGCCGCGAGAGCATCTCGTGCTGATTTAGGCAGTCGACCACAAGATTGCATCGCTGATGCGTATCTTCGATTTAATAATGTTTCGATTGCTTCTTGGCTCTTTGGTGGCGGCGGTGATGATATGGACAAAGAATTACTGCCAACAAGGTGGCGTTGGTGGTCCAAGCCATGCTGAGTACGATCTTGCGAAGGCGACGAGCTAATCCAGAGCCCAACCCGATCCCGTAAGCGACGACCAGTCGGTTCATCTAGCTTTTCGCGGATGAAGGCTTCTGGATTCAAATCTCCTACGAACCGGTCTGTGCCTGGAATCGATGGTAATGCCATCGCTGATGAATCTGCATCCCGGGCCGCAGGGCCTTGCGTTGACAAATGCTGATTTTCAACGCAATCCCTGTCATTTTGATTCAGAGCAAGTTTCCTTGATTTGTGGGTTGGCTCAATTTGGCTCTCGTCCAAAACAGAATTAGGAGCAATATGTCGACATCGTTTCTATGGGAGCAATTTTAGCGTTTGACTCGCTGGATTCAGAGTCGCAGTCACGCACCTTTCGTCGCTGGCAGTCAGGACAGGCCCGAGCAGCCCTCGTCCTGCTCCGCCATTGTGGAGTATTAGCCTGCCATGTTAATTCCATTGAGGTGTAAATGGGGAATAGCTATATCTTCACACGCGGGGGCGGAGGTGAAGCTGGACGATTATCGATAAGACTTTGAAGCCGCACGCACCGCCTAATCCATCCATGGATTCCCATAGTAGAATGTTACCCCGAGACATCATCACTGCTTCTATACACAGTATGTTTAAAATTCTTTACTACGCAATAGGTTTCCTTAGTACCGAAAAAAGAGAAGATTTTAAACCAGACCCCCATAAGGCCACACATTGAAATCCATAGATGGTATTATCTAGTATTCATTTTTCAGACTCTTGAGGTCAAGCCTAAATCCGCAGCCCCAGCAAGCGCCTCAGCAGTAAACGCCCAAAATGACTAAAACAGACATGGACTAGTTCATCACACATGAGCCCACGGAATTTGACAAAAAACATACACCCACGTACAAGATCAGTAAGAATTTAAACAAAAAGCGAAGAAGAGAGGAAGTATTATTTGCAGCGCTTCTCCACGATGTTCGCACCGTGCTCATCGTATTCCTTCTTGGAGATCCACATCTGGTGGAAAGTACCCAAACTGGCCAAGATACTTCCTCCGATCCAGGAGCCAAACCGGCGTTCAGCTGTATTACCTGGGGCCGAGACACGCACACGAGGTCCAGGGAACTGCGCCATCAATTCTTGGCTGAGACGATCTGTGAAGCCGTGAAGAAGACTGGAGGCACCTGTTACAACAACATTGCCCAGTAGATGGGGGCGAATATCAACATCTACACCACCCAATGACGCTTTGATCAGCTCGGGCAGCGTCTGAGCAGGTGTAGGAGCGGGGAAAATGGACTCTGGGTCAGGAATAGCAGCTTTGGCATCAAACAAGGATTCAACCACGCGGAAGCGGTCCACGCCGAACATCTGGTTGTATCCATCGGGGAACTCGAATGGGCGGCCAGGTGATGACCGGGCAGATTCCTCATTTGGTACACCATTGGGACCAGCGGCGGAGAGCTTATTAGGACCAGGCCAGACCTGAACGACACATTCCTTGAATTCAGAAAGAGTTCGCTCTTCCAAGAGGGCCCGGTAGGATGCGTCTGGAGCCTTGGCGACGGGGAAAGTCTTGTACTTGGCTTGTGGCTCCTGGCCAGCTTCAACGGCAGTCTTGGAGCTAATCAGATAATGAGGGGTGATAGTAATTGGCTGCGGGGAGTTCTTCTTGAATAATGCGCGGATTTGCGAGGAGATGTAATCTCCACCAAGCGGAGAATGCTGGACACCTCGCTTCAAGATCATACCGTCATGAACCGGTGTGATGGAAATGTTCGAGGCACCAATGTCGATAACGAGAGCGGAAGCTTTACCAGAAGCAAAACTGCAGAGTCATCGAATTAGTAAAAAAGGACCCAGATATCGCAAATGACCAGTCGTGTAAGGGTAGTAATTAGCACATACGCTGCAAGCACGCCACTCCGGGCCAGATAGAAAGCTGGGGTACCCCATTTCTCCATCGCGATTTCAATGGTCTTTTCGCGTGCTTTGGCCGGGTTCCATCCGGGCTCTGTCATCAACAATGGACTGTCGGCCAAGGGCTTCTCTTCCGTTTCCACCTCCATCTCCGTGGGAAGCTCCTCGCTGGGAATGTCGTTCAATCCGTTGTGAAATGGATTACCAGGCTTCGCGCCCGTAAGTCGTGAAGTGAATGAGTATTCCCACACCTTTTCTGCCATATCCCAATCTTCCACGATTCCATCCTTGCCGATCGGATTATAAATTGACAGGCCCGGGCGCGGTGTGACGAATACATCATCTCCAAATACCAATTTCTCCTGGCCATCGGCGTTGTATTTGCCGTAGTATGATGGGATTAGAGACTTCGGGGCGTCTTCTCCAGCGAACCCAGCGCGAGTGGTCGAATAGCCCGGATCGAGGACAATGGCCGAGACTTCATCTAAATTAATAAGTAAAAGGCATTAGCAATCATCCATGGTCACTTCTTGCTAGATAAAGGCGGATTGAGGTAGGCATTGAGGTCTGTGATGAGGACATGAAGACTAGGCGCATCGCGCCAAGGTACGTACCTCCACCATATTCGGCGGTTTGGGGTGGATTGGAAGGGTTCATGGTGATAGCGCAGAAAAAAGACGTAGCCCCAAAAAAGAAATCAATCGGTCCCTCGATATGTAAAGTGGTCTGAAACCATACGCAGTCGAGACAAGGGAGGGTAGGGAGAAGAGACGGTCTCTTTTGGTGCGGGAGCAGCTTTGGCGGAGAGCGAACTGATTGGGTCTGCTTGGCACTAAATGACCTCACCTTTCAGCTTTCAGCTTGCCGCCTCATTACATTTTCCACCTTGACCATCACCAGCAGCTTTATTGAACATTATACAAAAATGGATTCCGAAACAGATATCGCGCCAGAGTCTTTGTTTCGTCCTGCGAAGCGACGCAAGTTTGTACCGCGACGGCCACAAAGCACCGATGATCCAACCGCTACCGAGCCAGCCACGACTAGCCATGAAGTCGATACTCAAGTCGCTGATGTTCCGTCCCCTGGGGATCAAGATCAATCGGCGCAAACCGCAAATGTTGCTCGCCTTCGACGTCCGCATCAATCGCGAAGAGGAGGAATAGGATTTTCTGCCACTTCGCAACATGGCAACAATAGTAATCGACAGACGGCGCTGGTGTCTACGGAGGATATCGAGGCCGAACGGATACAAGCGATGGGCGATCGGTTCACAACATATACAGGCCAGTCCGAAGACGTGGATAAACATATGTATGGTTTTTTTTCTCTGCTCCCTCTCAATGTATCCGTTCGATAACCCGACTGACAAGATAAGGATGGCCTACATAGATTCCGAGATGGCTAAGCGATATAATCGCAGCCCGGTACTAGACAATATAGAAGCTCACAACAAGGAAGAATTACGGAGGATAGGTGAAAGTACCAAATCAGAAGCGCAGCGTGAGCCCGCATCACTGGGCAAATTACATGAAATCGACCTTGGCCAGGAGACGAAAATGCAGAACATCGCACGCACACAAGCAGCCACTCGACGACTAGTGGGTGACGAGGATTCTCCGACTACTGGTGATATTGAACCCCAGCCGGATCGCTCTGGCTCAGATAAAGTATGGCGCAAGCAAAAACGGCGCAACAGTGCTGACGTCGAACGCGACCGGCTTGTGGAAGAGGTATTGCGCGAAAGCAAACGTAAGTTTTGTCTTCTTCTTCTTGTCTTTGGAAATTCTGTCCCCTCCTAGTCCTTTCATATATCTTCATTATAGGACCGATTCTAACGTTGGCAGTCGATGTCTATGATGAACCAGAGGAGGAAATGTTGGCCGGTGACCAAGCGGCGGATGACCGGATTGCCGAGCAGTTCCGCCGGGACTTTATGGATGCCATTCAGTCTCGGCGACGGCTTCGAGCAACCCGCACCACCAAGACAGATAAAACAGAGGCTCCCAAGGGACCCAAGCTTGGAGGAAGTCGTAGCGCCCGAGCTGCTATGCGAGAGATGCAAACTAAGACTGGACAGAAGTGATCATTCAACCTTCTCACAGAAGACGAGATACATCTCACGTGGACTGTTTCTATTTCTAGCATCTCCCAATATCCTGGTATAACTCAATGCTACGCTGACACCTCTGGAATGGGAGAGCTTTCTTGTTTTTTTTTCTTGCTCCACTCCTGCCATATTGTCATATTTTGGGGACGATCGGCAGTGAGACATCTCATATGGCGACGCCACATCCCAATCCTATATAGTAGACAGGATGATGATGATGAGATGAATACGGGCCATGCCCGGGGGACCCAGGGCCAAAAGACATTATACGATGGAGCCAGACTTGTATGTTTATGGCTGTACGGAGTTACATGTTGATGTGCTTTTTTTTATTTTATAAAAAAAATCCCTGAATCTGGTAGCAATAGGATGTCTGGATCTGGTACGACAAGGTTGAAATGAGCTATAAATACTTATATGTAATCTATTTGTATGACCAAAGGAGTGATGAGCATTCTTTTTTAGTCATAGGCCAAACTCCTTAGAGAATAGGCGCCACCAGATTAAGTGAGGGCAAGAGCATGCGCATGTTAGTAGATGTCTCAGGTTGATGACAGCGGGTATGGCAGTACCACCAGCGGAGATTCATTCCTCAGTCTTTGTAAGTATTCGCTAGGTTACAAGTATTACGACCTTTGACATATTCATAGATAGATCCATTTTTGACATGTCTCCTCTTTGAAAAAAAATGAGAAGTACAGACTTGGTAGGTATAGACGTGCCTAGATGTGCAGGGTTCTCCGTGCATGGAATCCAGATCCTGCCAAGTTTGATCCACACTGTCTAGAACGCAAAGGCGATCGACACGTAAGTAGCTGTATGTGTGTGCCACTGTGTGGCGAGGGATATGATTTTGTTTGTTGTATTGAGAGAATGAAATTTTCATAGGTCCCTACATTATGTATAGGTATATGGATGTGATATCTACAACGGCCTCTTATTTTGGGGAATGTAATTCACATTTTTAAGCGCGCACACACTGTGTATTACATTCTGTATTAACCCGTACGGTGCCTTGCGTGGACAATGGGATGGTGGCGCTTTCACACCTGTTTTAGCTCCCTTTGCTGGTTCCGTGGCTGAACTTGGGCTCCCAGGCTCCACTATCTATCAAAACCTAAACCCTGTACTCCCCGTAAACATTGGACATTAGGGGGTGAATTAGGGGATGAAGAGATTTAGACAACTTTGGCCTGGATATAGAATTGACTGTAGAGTAGACAGATCTATATAAACTTCCACCTTGTAGAGTAGAACTGTAACACTGCACAGCCCGCCCATACGAAGTCACAAAACTTGAAGTCCAAATTTGGTATTTCTCCATGCTTGATTTAGGAAATTATCAATATTAAAATAAATAAAAAACCATCGAATCAATCAATATGGATTCATTAAGCCAATCAACGTCTTTCTCGTCGAGGTCTGGATTCTACTCTGAAACGGGGCTAGGGCCAATCATTGGCGTCAGGGGCTGATCACTTACTCCCTGCACCTGTTTCTTCCTTCTCCCTCTCATTTTATCCACAAGAGGGGTTTGTCCATTCGCTTCCAGACTCTCTCACTCTCTACCTCTTACTCTCCCTTGTCAATATTTTACACTCATTCTTTGTTATTTCGACTTTCGTTATCACTTTTCCAGTTCGAGGAAGAGGAAGAAAAAAAAACACAGATATCCCGCTTCTCACAACAGGTTGATCCTGTCTGATACCCGCGTCGTCCTTCGCTCATACGACCTCTGCAACTAAATTCCTCGAACCTTGACCCGCTCCTTCATGATTCCCGGATCCTTTCGACCTGTGACGATTCCGGAACGGCTTTGAGGGTCGTCGATATGCGATCCCTCCTCTGGGCCCTGTTGGGTCTGAGCGTGGTTCCCCAGGTGTTCGCCGGGGACACGCTTAGCACCAAGGGTTTTCAACTGTGCATGACAGATTCATCAATCAAGGTCGACCAACTTGATATTTCCTACTCACGCTCAACGAGAGCTCTGACCTTCGACGTGGCTGGTTCCAGCTCGAAGCAACAGAAAGTCAACGCGACTTTGACAGTGACCGCGTATGGCAACCAAATCTACTCTAAATCTTTTAATCCGTGTGGTGATGATGTCCACGTCGCCAAGCTTTGTCCGGGTAAGTACATATCAGAGACACTCGTGGTCTATTTAAATCGACAAGGATGGACAATGGGCTAACACAAGAGAAACATTAGTGAGCGCCGGCTCTTTTTCCGCACAGGGACAAATCAACGTCCCCGCCGACTACGCCAGTGAAATTCCCTCAATCGCTTTCAGTATCCCCGATCTTGACGGCCAGGCAAAGCTCGTTCTACAGTCATCCGAGAGCGACGAAAACCTGGCATGCGTTGTTTCCCAATTGTCTAATGGAAGGTCAACCAATGTGAAAGGGGTGGCTTGGGCCTCAGCTGGAGTTGCGGCAGGTGCCCTAGCTCTAAGTGGTATCTCCGCTATGGGAGCCGCTGGACACCCTGGTGCATCATCATCCAGCCCAGGTTTTGGAGACGTGATGGGTTGGTTCCACACAATGGCTACCAATGGTATGCTGAGTGTCAGCTATCCCACCGTTTACACCAGTTTTTCTAGGAATTTTGCTTGGAGCACGGGCCTCGTTTCTTGGGACGGCCTGCAGAACTCCATTGACAGCTTCCGCCAATCCACTGGCGGAAACCTTACCAACGAGAATCTAGCCTACCTGACCAGTCTGAATGGTGGTAGTACTAATTCTTCCTCCACCAAGCGAAGTTTGGATATCATGCGCCGTTCAGTTCAATTGATCCCCCGATCGGACTCGAATAGCAGCAGCAGCACATCGGAGGTGGACAGGTTGAAAGAACTGGCCGAGGAGCTGATGATCCCTTCAGCTAACATTTTTATGACGGTGCTCTTAATTTTCGCGATCGTTGTTGGTGTTGTCATCGTTGGAATCCTCCTCTTCAAGGTCATCCTGGAGCTTTGGGCTTTGTACGGCAGACCATCAGATAAGCTGACCACCTTCCGGAAGGACTATTGGGGGTTGATGGGACGAACCATAACCAACATGGTCTTGATCTTGTACAGTATTTGGGTGATGTACTGTATCTATCAACTGAAGAATGGTGATTCATGGGCGGCAAAGTTACTGGCAGCCGTGACCTTGGTAGTCTTCACTCTGCTCTTGGCGGGTTTTGCCTGCCGTATCTTCTACATGGCTCGCAAGTACAAGAAGACTGAAGGTGACACCGCTGCTCTCTATGACAACAAAGAGACGTGGCGCAAGTACAGCCTCTTTTACGACAACCTCAAGAAGGATTTCTGGTGGCTCTTTGTACCAGTCATCATCTATGCTTTGGTTAAGGGGTGCATCATTGCCGGTGCGCAGGGCCATGGTCTGTTCCAAAGTGCTGGTCAATTGGTCTGTGAGGCCCTGCTGCTTGGACTTCTAGTGTGGAATCGCCCTTATGCCCGAAAATCTACAATGGGAATTAACATTACCATTCAAATCGTGCGGGTTCTATCTGTTGCTTGTGTATTGGTCTTTGTTGATGAGCTAAAGCTCTCTCAAACCACGAAGACTGTGACTGGAATTGTCCTCATTGTCGTTCAGTCGGTTCTTACAGCTGTCCTTGCGATATTGATTGCTGTTAACGCCATGATTTCTCTATTCCGTGAGAATATCCATGAAAAGCGAAGAAAGGAAGCCGAGAAAGCCAACCGTGACTTGGATGATCTCACTCCCTTGGATGCTCGTGATTCTCTCTTGATTGATCACCCCGAAAGGAGAGATATCACAGAGATGAGCAAATTCAACTTCACCGGGCCGTATGAGCCTTACCGGGATAACCCCAACCGCCCTGATTCCGCTGGCAGTAAGGATCGTTTGGTATATGCAGACTATGGTGTCGCACATAGCCGTTCTTCCAGCCATGAATCCCGACATGACGGTCGCCACAGCCCACCTATTGAGGGCCAGAAACCAACAACCTTTGGTATGGCATACTAGCACGCTTTCAGATGATTCCCAGAACTCTTTTACTTGGTCCATTCCTTCTTTCTATCTCCTACCTTCATCACCTTCCTCCTATCTTGTTCTTCAGCCTGGGGGTTTGCTTCGTTCTTTATTTGGTTTCGCTTAGCGTGTTCGACTGGCGGATTGGCTTGTTTCTCTCCACCGTATTGGATGGTCGTGGTTTACCATGATCTATCATTTTCTCTCTCTACATATCCGTGTCCCTCTCTTATACTCTTTTCTAGATTTCCACCTTCTCTCTCATATTCTCATATTCAGCGTCTTTACAATCTTTTATAAATCCTGTGATTCCGATATATCTTTGACCACCAAAACCCTGCGTCGATTCTTTGTACATGTTTATAGAAATTTACTACCAACAAATCCTTTCCAAATAAATTCGTTCTCCCAATTAATATTCGCAGGGCCAGCAATTTAATGTTTGATGAAGAGTTTACATTCATTTACTAGGTCTACAGTAGTATGCTCCTGAAAAAAAGGTCAAATGTGCATGGCTTAGCACTTTGGTACGTAGATAGTACAAGAAGGGGATTGCGATCGCCACCTTATTCTTTCAACAACTTGATCATTTGGATAAACCAAGGAGGAAAAGAAAAGAAAAGGAAAACATCACGGGAAAGGTTGAGAAAGACAGGAAAATACAAAGAACCACATCCCATTAGGCTTGCCAGTCCACAAAATGGCATCGCATAGAAGAACTATCAACTCAATGAAGAATCATTTCCGAAATCCACCTTAAAAGAGATTCCCACATAGGCGAACAAGAAAAAAAAAGTGCGAAGAAAAAAGCAGACCATGAAATACTGGGGGGGGGGGAAGAAGGGGAAGACAAAAAATAAATTGAATCGTATCAGCGAGAATAGGGGTGGAAGCCACGGTGCCCTCCTCGGCCACCACCGCGGTAGTTAGCACCTGGCTTGCCAGCGTTTCGAGGTCCAGTGGGAGCGTTGGCAGGAGCAGTGCTCGGTTGAGCGGCAGATCCTGCGTCAAGAGGCAAGTTAGTTGAAGAAAAGGCGGTGGGTAGTCTTCGCATGGGAAACGACGGATAACGATTGATGCTGACGACGGGGGTCATACCTTGGGGCCCCGAAGGAATATTAGGTTGTGGCACTTCATCGTACATTCCCTCCCAGGAGGTCGGGCCACCTTGTTGATAGGGAGAGAAAGCGCGGCCATCCATCTGGCGACGGACTTGTTGTTGCTCATACTTCTGTTGTTCGAAGGCGATCTGTTCCTGGGCGTTGTAACCTGGTCCAGTTGCCTGGCGGTTGTAGGCAGCATTGGGACCGGGGCTGGCGCTTCCATTACCACCATTGCCCTGGCCGGGGTTCTGCATTGGTTGCATCATGGAAGATGGGTTCATCATGGGCATACTGGCCTGGGATCCTGGGCTCTGAGGGTTAGGGCTCATGCTGCCTTGCTGCTGCTGGTTACCCATTCCCTTCATTTGCTGCTGTTGCTGTTGCTGTTGCTGCTGCATCTGCTGCATCTGCTGCATCATGGCAGGGTTCATACCAGCCATACCCATTCCTGGGGGCATTCCCTGGCCCTGGCCAGTCATGGCCATCTGCTGCTGCATCATGGCAAAGTATTGCTGCATACGTTGCCAGTACTGTGCCATCATCTGTGGAGTCATACCACCATTCATGCCTTGTTGAGCTCCTTGTTGCTGTTGATCTCCGCCGCCGCTGCCGCCACCACCACCACCACCACCACCACCTCCTCCGCCGTTACCTCCGTGGTTCATGTCGCGGAAACCTCCATCTCGGCCGCCTCGGCGACCACCTCTGTCCTCATCGCGCAGATTACCGCGGGGCTGAGCCTTCTTTACCTCAATGGCCTTACCTAGAATTTCGAGAGGACGGGAAAGTGCATTTTCGACGGCAGTTTCACTATCGAAGGTTACGAAGCCGAATCCACGAGGACGACCAGTATCCTTATCGATCATGAGAGTTGCATCCACGACTCGGCCGAATTGCATGAAGAACTGCTTGAAATCTTGTTCTGTAGCTTCTTGGCTGACACCACCAACGAAGATCTTGCTGGTCTTTTCTTGCTCGTCACGCGGGATGGCACGCTTTGGGTCGATCTTGAAGACAGTGTAAGTTGAGGATCCTTATATCAGAAGTCACAATGCCAATGAATCTTACAATCTTGCCATCCAAATAATGCTCTTTAACCATGACAGTGTTCACGGTCTTAGGGTCCCGGAAGGTCAGGAAGCCAAAGCCACGAGAGCGGCCTGTGGCACTGTCTCGCATGACTGTACACTCCTGGACCTCGCCAAACTGCGAGAAATAATCCCGAAGGGATTCTGCTAAGAATTAGAAACCAAAGTGCATCATACAACTGTGCTTCATTGGTAAGATACATACGATCTGTAGTTTCCCAGTTCAAACCGCCAATAAACATTTTCCTAGCCACGAGGATTAGTTGCAACTCAAAGCCTTAACCATCATTTCAATGCTATAACAGTCACAGTGCAGAAACATAAATGCAACTGGGGCCCAAGACAAAGGGCATTGGATATGGGCTCTGGCTAAAGCGCTGGTGGTGCTAAGCTGCTATTCATGGATACAGCTAAATGCGTGACTGTCTGGGAGGGCCATGATTTTGGGGTGGCTGTAGACGCCGATCGAACACGACCGATGTACAGACATAATCCATGTTTTCATCTGGTTTACACGAGTCCGAGGCTCGTAGACCGCCCATGTCCTTCTCTTGCTGGGATAATCTCTTTTCTGTATCTTCATTTTTTGGGGTTCTTGACTCCGAGGCATGGAGGGAGGCAGGATAGAGGGCGAAAGGCGAAAAAGTTCAGGCGGAATAAGTGAATTGTCACAGTCTTTTGTCTCCAATTTGAGGAGAGCATATGCTTAACAGTCCCCAAGCTAACTTAGGCTTGATAAACTTGCATCAGACAGCGTTGCTACTTCTTGATCTGCACTATCAACGTATATCGACAAGAAGCTATATAGCATCGCTGTACTATATATAGTCGCCTGCATTAAACTGTTCGTAGAGACCGGTTTCTTGTCAAAGTTTCGCAACCGCTGTGCCAATCTTCCTTAGTGAAAGGATTCTGGACAGGCTTTTTCCCTCCACCCGCCTCTTCCTCCGTCTCTTTGAATTTTGATTGCGTTTCTGTCTGATAGCAAGTTCTGAAGGTTGACCGCTGAAATAATTTAGGGGCAAAGCTCGCAAATGTGTCTCCCAGAGTCCTTCTGTGGATGCCCTCGATACCGCATTCCAGATTTTCACGATTAGATGCCGGGTACATAGAAATCCCTTTTCTAGCACCTCCCCCGTGATATTTGGTTTATGATTGCCAGAGACCCAGATCATCCTTCCTCACTTTGTTTCACAGAGATATCGTTTTCAAAGTCCCAATGGTATCATAATCGGTTCCTCCCCCAGAAGCTGCATTTATCTAGCATTCAATGCCACCCAGACACACGAAAGAGATAGCCAGATAACCCACCCCTGAATAGAATCGAAATCAAGTGCACCATGGGGGATCATGAACTTACCCGTCTTCCTTAATTCCAGTTCCGTGCGAGTCATTATCGGCGGGGGTAGCTGCGGCGGGGTTGCTGTAGGTAGCTTCTGACCCATTTTGGTAGTCCGTACCATAATTCTGCGGGGGCATCGCATGTGTCGTATAAATGTCAGTGGGAGCAGGGTCGTAGCTCTGAGGAATTGAATCATATGCAGGCTGAGCAGGAGCCGCCGAAGGGGCCAGCTCTGCGGGCTCAGGGTTCGGAGCCTCTACTACAGCTGTAGTGCGAGTCGTCGATTCATCGGCATCATAACTATTGTAGAAGAGATCGATTGTCAGGTATGTCCAGTTATATTTTAAGAAAACAGTCCGGGAGATTGCGCATACAGGTCAGCGAAGAGATCATCTTCTAGGCCCTCCTGGTCGGCCATGGCGCATAAGACTCAAGGATTGAGCAGGTAAAAGATGTTCGAGGAATGCAATTGGAAAAGTGAAGGATAAAAAAGGGGGTTCAGGGAATTGTCAAAAGTAAAATCTTCTAAGAGACGAAAAATCAAATTGGTGACGAAGAGGTGGAGAAATGAGAGTTGGCCGAGAGCAAGTTGAACCTTGGGCTAGGGGGCGGTAACTTTGATTATCAAATTATTCTGCCCCCCTACATTAGGAATGCGCGGCACCACTTTAACTTTGGAAGCTAAACCGTCTCACTAGTTATGAGACCAACTCTACAAAAATCCTTGTCTTTGCCCTGATTTACATCGGATCTGGGGCTTGAAACAACCTCCTTTGTTTTATTATCAGGAAAGACCCACTATGTCTTACTGAGTTGAAACTGCTCCCGTGAGAGGAGACCAAGAATATAAGCTGGGGCGCCCCGCATTCAACCTCCGCTAACTACAGAGAGAGAGCGCGCGCGCACTTCTATCATCTTGGTAGCAATCATGGCAAACAAGAAAACTCACCAGGTAAGTTTTTTGACAGCTGAATTTTTTTCAATCGTTTCACATTACTAATCAATTGCATCTTGTATAGGAAATGGTTCAAGTTGGTTCGTGTTTTCCCCCGGCCGCAGCTTCCTTTAGGGTCCGTACCCGGTAGCTAACATAGCTTACCCCGGTGATTTCAGATAACTCCGAGTATGTAGACGGGATACTTTTCTACTTGATCAGACAATTATACTGACGGACGGTTATTGAAGACGTGCAGATTCTCCTTTCTGGGCTGGCCGGTCCGTATCCCTGAATCGATCAACCCCAAAGCTGCATGGCCAGAACACCGTAGTCGGTGCTTCCTATTCCCATGCCAATATTGTACAGTATGTATTCCAGGTTCAATGATAGGAAGGTCTCAAGATATCATGATCAAGGCCGTGTTGACGTGAAGGTTCTTGAACAGAGGTACCCCATCCAATCCCCATTCCCGCCCCAGAACGCCCCCGAAGCCGTCCGCCACCAATGCGCCCTCGCATCTGGCTCACCGATCCGGGAATGTCGCCTCCCCTCCACGAGATCCATACGCCATAATGAGCTCGGGAGTAGACGAGTGGAGCCGTGATCCAACTGAAGACGACGAGGACGAAGATGACGAAATTGTGTATGATGACGATGAAGACGAGTTTGGGCTTCCGAGCTTGGCGAGTATGAGGAGAAAGAAAATACCTTCTTCTTCGAAAGCCAAGAATATCGACCCGGGTGGAGCTGTGGGAGGATTTCCTGGCTCCCTAGGATTTGGGCTTTCAAGTAACAACCGCCAACGAGCAAATAGCTCAGACATCGCCGAGGAACGTGGCACCCCCATGTATCCTACAGCACGAAAGGGCGACGGAAAGATCCTTCGCCCTCAATATAAAGATATCTTACAAGGTTTGCAGGCCTCCCAGAAGCTATATTGTTAATGAAGGATGCTTACGTGGAAACCAGACCCCGCAAATGCTTTGAACCTCATCAGTCATACCGCCCCGCCTACGAATGCATCCCCTAAGGAGAGGGAAATCCATACAAGCCGCATATCTCGAATAAACAAGTTCAAGCGCATTCTTCAGGCAAGCACAGTCTCTCTTACCGAGCTCCGGGATTTGGCATGGTCTGGAGTTCCCGAGGAAGTCAGGCCCATGACCTGGAAACTTTTACTCGGCTATCTACCTACCAATAGCGAAAGACGTATCTCTACGTTGGAAAGAAAGCGCAAAGAATACTTGGATGGAGTCAGACAGGCATTTGACCGTGGGAGTGGAGCGGCTTCAAATCCTCCGGCTTCGAGCACAAAGCGTGGCAGGGGACTGGATGAGGCAGTTTGGCATCAAATCAGTATCGATGTGCCACGAACAAGCCCACATATTCCCCTCTATGGGTACGAAGCCACCCAGCGGTCTTTGGAGCGCATCCTATATGTTTGGGCCATTCGGCACCCGGCCAGTGGATATGTTCAAGGAATCAACGACTTGGTGACACCGTTTTGGCAAGTGTTCTTGGGAGTATATATCACAGACCTCAATGTTGAAGAGGGTATGGATCCGGGTCAGTTACCACGAAGTGTGCTTGATGCAGTCGAAGCCGATACGTTCTGGTGTATTACCAAGCTGTTGGATGGAATTCAAGATAATTATATCTATGCCCAACCTGGAATTCACAGGCAAGTTCGAGCACTGCGTGACCTGACGAAGCGTATCGACTCTGCACTTGCAAAACATCTTGAGAACGAAGGCGTAGAATTCATGCAATTCAGTTTTCGGTGGATGAATTGCTTGCTGATGCGGGAAATGAACATCAAGAACACGATACGCATGTGGGATACGTATATGGTATGTCCTGTCTTTCTATGGACACTCTTTATTTGTCTTTTATTTGTATGATACTAACAGACGGATTAGGCGGAGGAGCAGGGCTTCTCACGATTTCATCTATATGTATGCGCCGCTTTTCTGGTCAAATGGACGGACCAGCTGGTCAAAATGGACTTTCAGGTAAGTGACCTTCTCACTATTCGTCGTGCTGGCTATAAGTTCGGTTTAATATGAAGTGCTTTAATCTAACCATCGAACAGGAAGTTATGATGTTCTTACAAGCATTACCAACGAGAGACTGGACCGAGAAAGACATTGAGCTTTTACTAAGCGAGGCGTTTATCTGGCAGAGTCTATTCCAAGATTCTGCCGCTCATCTTCGACCTGCTGGTGATACGCCTCCTGAAAGTGGTATCTTTTATTGATAGTAATCATAATTCATCATTCTATTACGAACTGTGCCTGACAAGGGCGACCCGGCCATAATCAGTTGAAGTGGATTCCCTTCTGGTTGAAGGCCCACAGCATCTTCAAAAACTCGTTCTCATCACACATTCTTGCGCGCTTATCGGCCAGACCAGTCTCATCCTCCAGAACCTGTCGCACCTTTTCACGTACCAGCTCCCCAACCTTCCCGCGCTTCTTGCGTGGGGTCTTATTCTTGAGGGCTTGCTCAAGACGAGCATTAGTCTCTTCTTTGAAGAAATCGGGGACATCATCGTCATCCATATCCATGACCTCCTCATCCACTTCTTCCGTCTCTTGTTCTTGTTCTATATCCATTCCATCTCCACCGGCCTCTTCAACGGGGCCATCCTCCACGGGGATATCATTTTGAGCACACCAGGTCCGATAATTCGCTTCCAGCATGGTCATAATGCTAGTTGTACCAAGGAAACTGGCTCGCAGGGTCTTGTTCTTACGAACAAATGCAATGCGCAACAAGCCGTCCCACTCCTCGTAATTAATTTGTGGCCGCGGCACCTTGGGAACCATGCGAATGACACTGGACTCGACCAATGGTGGGGGCTTGAAGTTGTTCTTGCCGACCTTCATAATATGATCAATCTTCGCCCACATTTGTGCATTGACGGAGAGTCGACTGTAGAGCTTATCGCCTGGTTTAGCAAACAGACGCAGGGCAAATTCACGCTGAAACCTATCAACAGCAATGTATGTCAGTATAGATCTAAAGAAAAAGAAGACTCGTTCACCAAAAATAATTGCCACTGTTGAATAAAAACATACATAAGAATGCAGACGCGGGGAGCGGGCAGGGTCGCCAATAGCTTGAATGTGAGAGGGGAGGAGATCTATGGGGAAAGTCAGCTAATTCGAGCATTCGATTGATATTTGTGAAATAATATCCATACCTGGTAGGGTGTGTTGCTAATGCAAACGTCGAAGTATGGGAGTTCTGTCTTCATCACGTCTCCGAGAATCACCTCCAGACGCTTCTGTGCAGGAGTACCCTGAAAACGCTTGGTGACCTCAGCTGCCATTCGAGGATCCAATTCCACCGCAATGACCTTCTTTGCTTGGTCCAAGATCTTTGCTGTCAAGTTTCCGGTACCGGGACCGATTTCAAGGACGATATCGCTCTGTTTGAGATCGGCTTTGTTGACAATTCTATATAAGAACGAAAAAGATTAGTTTGGACGTGTCCCAAAAGGCTCATGGAGCTTCACTTCACTTACTGTTCGGCAATACCAGGGTTCTTCAAGACGTGTTGACCAATATCTGTATTCATCTTGAAAATGCTGTGGGCCTTTGCGGCGGCGTCAGAATTCGCATTGTTGCGCTTTTGAGGTTTGACTTTAGGCATTTTGAGTCAATGGCCCAATAATCCCCGGTGGAAATTTCGACTGGGTATATAATTCCAAGATTGAGGCAGAAGACCAGGGCCTAGAGTTTGGGGGGTCGATGTCACAGTGGGCAACTTTTTTTCTTTTTGCGATAAGATTGTCGGCGCCGGGTCTACTTTTCTACGACGGAACTCACTTTAATGCTTCATCTCTCTCCCCACCACTTTTAGCTCTTCGTGCCCATAATGGCGTCCGGACGAAAAGATTTTCTTAGCCAACCGGCTCCGGAGAACTATGTTGCGGGCCTGGGTCGTGGTGCGACCGGTTTCACCACGCGATCTGATCTAGGGCCTGCCCGCGAAGGCCCGACACCCGAACAAATCCAAGCAGCTTTAACAAAGCGAGCCCAGCTTCTTGGAGCTGCTGCGCCGACCGCCTATGGTAATCAGTCGCGTGAAAAGGGAGGCAAGGAAGACAAAGAGGAGGAAGACGATGAGCGTTTTCAGGACCCGGATAATGAGACGGGGCTGTTTGCCTACGGTCAATTTGACCAAGAAGATGACGAGGCAGATCGCATTTACCAGGAGGTAGACGAGAAGATGGACAGGCGTCGGAAAGCTCGCAGGTTAGTTTCACCCCTTCAACCCCCACACAGGACATCTTGTTCATCGGGAAAAGTCCCGGTTATTTGGATAGAATTGCCGACCTGAAACGTTCGCCACCTACAGGGAAGCTCGAGAACAACAAGAGCGTGATGACTACGAACGGAAGAACCCCAAAATTCAACAACAATTCGCCGATTTGAAACGATCTCTTGCTGCGGTCTCCGAAGACGACTGGGCCAACCTCCCCGAGGTTGGTGATTTGACAGGCAAGAATCGACGAGCTAAGCAGAATTTGAGACAACGATTCTACGCAGTTCCTGATAGTGTCATTGCCGGTGCTAGGGACTCGGCCCAATTCGATACAACTGTTGCCGAAGATGGTGCTCAGCCTGGCGAAGAGGGTGACGATGGGACTATGACGAACTTCGCAGACATCGGCGCAGCGCGTGATAAGGTGTTGAAAGTGCGACTAGATCAGGCCGCTTTGGGCTCAACCGCCGAGAGCGCAAGCTCTGGGAGTGCTACTAGTATCGATCCCAAGGGCTATCTTACTAGTCTCACACAATCAGAGGTGAAGGCTGGAGAAGTCGAAGTCGGTGATATCAAGCGTGTTCGCGTCCTGTTGGAATCCGTTACCAAGACAAATCCTAAGCATGCCCCCGGCTGGATTGCGCTTGCACGTCTTGAGGAGCTTGCCGGTCGTATTGTTGCAGCCAGGAATATTATCGCTAAGGGCTGTGAACTGTGTCCAAAGAGTGAAGATGGTTGGCTGGAAAATATCCGAATGAACGAAGGCCATAATGCTAAAGTCATTGCTGCCAACGCCATTAAAAACAACGACCACTCCACTAGGCTTTGGACCGAGGCCATGAAACTCGAGACAGATATCCGAGCCAAGAAGAACGTGTTGCGACAGGCTATTCTCCATATCCCTCAATCAGTTCAGATCTGGAAAGAAGCTGTCAATCTAGAGGATGACCCCGCCGATGCACGTCTCCTCCTAGCCAAGGCCGTGGAAATAATTCCTCTGTCAGTTGAGTTGTGGCTAGCTCTTGCTCGACTAGAGTCACCAGAAAACGCACAGAAAGTTTTGAATGCAGCTCGTAAGGCTGTCCCCACTAGTTATGAAATTTGGATTGCTGCAGCTCGTCTTCAAGAACAAATGGGTACATTTGAAAGAATTAATGTCATGAAGCGTGCCATCCAATCCCTCGCTCGTGAAAACGCCATGTTGAAACGAGAGGAATGGATTGCAGAAGCTGAAAAATGCGAAGACGAAGGTGCCATTCTCACATGTGGTTCAATTATTCGCGAAACGCTTGGATGGGGTCTCGACGAAGACGACGACCGTAAGGATATCTGGATGGACGATGCCAAATCTTGCATTGCTCGAGGTAAATATGAAACCGCACGAGCGATTTATGCATATGCACTACGGGTTTTTATCAATCGGCGCTCTATATGGCTTGCTGCTGCTGATTTGGAGCGTAATCATGGTGGCAAAGAAGCTCTGTGGCAGGTTCTTGAGAAAGCTGTCGAAGCATGCCCCCAGAGCGAGGAGCTTTGGCTGCAACTTGCCAAAGAAAAGTGGCAGTCTGGAGAAATCGACGATGCCCGACGAGTACTTGGTCGTGCCTTCAATCAAAATCCCAACAATGAAGACATCTGGCTTGCAGCTGTCAAGCTTGAGGCTGATGCAAAGCAAACAGACCAAGCACGAGAATTGCTGTCTACAGCTCGCAGAGAAGCTGGAACAGACCGTGTCTGGGTCAAGAGTGTTGCCTTTGAACGGCAGCTCGGCAATTCTGACGACGCATTGGACCTTGTTAACCAAGGATTACAGCTGTACCCCAAGGCGGATAAGCTTTGGATGATGAAGGGACAAATATACGAAGCTCAAAAGAAGTTTCCCCAGGCACGAGAAGCATATGGAACTGGTACTCGGGCCTGCTCAAAGTCAGTACCGCTATGGCTACTGGCGTCACGGCTGGAAGAGAAGGCCGGTGCTGTGGTTCGTGCCCGATCTGTACTGGACCGAGCACGTCTGGCTGTACCGAACAACGCCGAGCTCTGGACAGAGAGTGTTCGTGTGGAACGTCGGGCAAACAACCTCGGCCAAGCCAAGGTTTTGATGGCGAAGGCATTGCAAGAGGTACAGGCTTCAGGTCTACTCTGGAGCGAGGGCATCTGGCATCTCGAGCCTCGCGCTCAACGCAAGGCGCGCAGTCTTGAAGCCATTAAGAAGGTGGATAATGACCCTATCTTATTCATTACAGTTGCCCGAATTTTCTGGGGCGAGCGAAGACTGGAGAAAGCTATGACTTGGTTCGAGAAGGCGATCGTTTCAGATAGTGACTATGGCGATGGCTGGGCTTGGTACTACAAGTTCTTGTTGCAACACGGCACAGAGGTTGGTCTACCCTTAATATCTCTCAATATACGAAATGGCATAAATGCTAATGTCTTCACTTTACAGGATAAACGATCGGATGTCATTTCAAAGTGTGTTTCTACGGAGCCTAAGCATGGCGAGGTATGGCAATCTATTGCTAAAGACCCAGCCAATGCATACAAGTCGTCAGACGAGATCTTGAAGATTGTAGCCAGTACGATCAACTAAGGTCTTCCTTTTGCTTCCTTGTTTATGATGTACCACCATGCGGCGTTTTTGGGATATGATGACGCTTGAGATTTTCCTACAGTGGATAAATGCATAGTTAAAGTCGTGAATCGAATTCATATGGGTATCGAGCAAGCATGGCATCTCCATGCTGGTAGAAACCATGGCCATCGTTTTTGCTTTTTTAATATTTTGGGCAAAACCGCTCGCCTCCAACCGTTGCTGGCGCCGACCTTTTTCCGTAGAAAAGGCTACTGTACATCGTAGATTTAAGACAAAATAAAACATAAGAGGGAAAAGTAGTCGAGGGCCATGCCATCACGACATATCTTTCAAAATAACTCCGAAACCCGATGCAAATAGAAGGAAAAGGAGCCACACAGTGACTCGCAACAATAATTCCCAGACGCCATAATCCTTCCGCCGCCCAAAGCCGAGAATTGAGAAAGGGAAAAGATAGGGAAGAGGAAATGTAGAAGGCATGAAGGAATAATGTGCCAACGAATGTCAAAGCAGGGATGATGGGTAGGTAAATAGGGACAGGGCGGAAGAGCCAAGGATGAGAAGAAGACGAGAGAAACAAGAGGAAGGAGAGAGGATTCTCAGGCATCATGCAGCCATAGACAAGCACTCGTCGAGCAGGGAACCCAATTGATCTCGATCGGCCACAGTGCCGCCCTCCCAGTCCGACAAAGTATCATCGATATCATCAATGTCCATTTCATCATCGGCACTGGTCTTGATCTCGATAGCTTCGGTCACGCCATTCTCCAACCTATCTTGTTTCTCAGTCTCGAGCTCATCTTCATAATACCCACCCATAATCTGATCAATAATGAGCGGCATATGCCCAAGAACTCCAGTCCTGAGCTCAAGGGTAAGTCGCAGATCTCTTACGCCGAGGGGTCTGCGAACGGCGGCTTCCCTAGCCTCAATCGGAAGCAGCCCAGTAGCAGTTTCCTTAACAATTTCTCCGCGTGTGAAAGCCAGCTCTTCACGTTCTAATTGTTGTCGGTAATTGCGCATCATCATTCCGTTAATCGTGCCGGATGGACCGTTAGATCGGGTACGCGAAAACACCGCCGATAGAACCTCTTTCACAAATGTTTCTGTCGCAATTGCCATGAATTCGGCGCATGGAAGACCAGCACCACCAGGGAGAGACTCTTCATAACACATGGGGACCATACGGGCGTAGATTGATTCGGCATCGGGGAATTCACCGGTCTCGGCGGCAAGCGGTTGGGCATATCGTTTTCGAATTTCGAGCTCCCAGTCTGGAAAGGATTCGCGCACTTGTTAGATTCTCCTGAGGTTGTAATGGGAGTGCGGACGATGCGGAAATCGCAATGCATATCTGTGTCTTGAGGGTAATATTCTCTTACTTGTCTTGTTCAATCCACCAGCGCTTGCTGGGACCTGGCTTGGTAGTTTGATCTCTTTCGCCAAGTGATATTCTTCCAACTCATTGGGCGTCGCGTCGTTAGGATCTCGCTGGGCATAATGTATTAGTATCATCTTTGGTATCGTTATCCAGTTGATTCTCCAGAAACTCCCCTCCCCTCCTTCCCCTCTTCCTCGCCTCTATATTTCCAACAATAATAAATTGACCATTCTTACCTCTGGAATTCCCTTAATTCTCCGGCGATCTCTCGGAGGCAGCTGCATGACCTCTGTCTTTAATCTCTGTTCCGCAGCATCTCCCGAGAGCGGCTTCGACACCATCGACGGCTTATCATTGGCCGAAACCCAGGTTGCGACGCCATGATCTGGGAGGTCTCGCGTGAGATTTCCGAGAATCGCGCAGACAAAGTTATTATGTAGATGTTCGATTTTCGCATCGCCGCAAATGAGGTGATCGACTCGCGACGCGTATTCATTTTGGTTGTAGTGTCCTGGATACGGCAAGAGGTCAGGAGGTCAGCACATGACAGCTCAATTCAAGGCCGGAGGAGTATGAAAAGGGGTATGAAAAGGGTAACGAAGTCGAGTGATCATTTGCGCAAGGCCAAGGTACCTAGTAAGAAGAAAGCAGTGGATTCTTTGTACTCAGCCCAATGGTCTCCGATAGCGGCTTTGAGATCCGTATAGGCATGCTGTAGGTCAAGTCGCGGTACAGAGTTGAGAGCCCTGGACGACTTTACTGTCGCCGGAGCGTTTGGCGCCGCACTCTTAGCCGGATTTGATGTCGAGTCACTCCGACTCAGGGCGGCTGGATCGATCTGCATAGCTGGAGGACTTGCAGGAGCGCGACAAGGCGAGGCCGAAGGGCGGCAGGTATGGGTAGGGACTACGCATTCATCAGATGCGGAGTAAAGCGAGGGAAAGAGTTTGATGAGTTGGGAGATGAGTTGGGAGATGAAAAATGATGGATTGATGATGAAAAAGGGTGGAAGGGTGAAGATGTAGGTTTCCGCCTTGGACGTTCCCTCTCTCCCCGCCAGAACCGGATACCACCTTCAGCTTCCCGAAACCAGCGATGATATACTTGTATCTTGTTCTATACTTTTTTTTTAGAGAGAGAGAACAAGAACTAACGCTTGTAAGAGTCAGACCATATAAAATCTCAATAAATATATGCAGATGCTTTCAATTCTTATACTAATTGGACTACGTCTTCACTCAGTACTCCAAATAACTGCCCTATATCTGCAATGATTGCCATGATCTCTCTCGACAACTGGCCAGTTACCAAAACTTCATAATGAGCTTATTAGTGAAGTGTAATAACGTGTACTGCTTTTGATGCAACTAATGTACTTACTGTAGGCATAAAGCAATGCGCAATCTTCGTCAGTAGTCAGTTGTGACACTTCATGGTCTTGACGATAACGATAGATCCGAGCCAGCAGTCTGTCGCGAGCGTGGTCAATGCTAGGCAAGACATCACTCAGTGGGTACTCGAGTTTCATAGATGATGCCATCACTAAAACAAAGGTCAGCTTCTTCATCTTAAGGTAAAAATGGAAAAAAAAAAACGCGATAAAAAGGGGCATTCTGACCTGTTAGAAGGTGACTGATACGAGAAGAAAGCTGCTGTCGCTCGGTAGCCGTGTACTGAAGCAGAGTGATTTCTCCTGATGTAGCCGTATCACTTTTCATGAGCTCCAAATTCATGGCATGGAATGCATTCACTATGTTTCGAGAACGCCGAATGATATCGGCGTAAGGTCCGTCGTCGAATGCACACCGGAGTTCAAATTCCGAGCGTGCAGCCCCCAGAAGAGATTCCAGCCTGGTTAAGAACCGTTCAAGCTCGAGTCTCTCTCGCGCAGTCATATATACAATAGACCGACCATTCTTGGCCATAGTGGAGAGCGGGTCGCGTTTCCAAACAAGGCCTAACCGCAGCCAAAGAACGCTAAGACCATCCTTTAATCGGCTTCGGGCACTGATGGGCCAGATGAGACGAGTGATAATAACACCCCAGACACAGCCGGATAACACCGCGACAACTCGATGGAGGGCGATCTCATTAATGTCGGGATTTTGACCTCCTTCATCTTGAGGAACATCTGCCTCTTTCTGTGAAAGCGAATATGCGTAGAGCACAGAGAGGTTATAAGTGAGCATGATGAATCGACCCATAGGTCCATTACCCCGAACAATAGTGATCCATGCTGTCCAAGTAGCCATTAGCCATCCAAAAAACGCGAGACCGAAGACATTGCCATCAGTGGTATACCAGAATAGAATTGCACATAAGGCCCCTAGGCAAGTACCAAAGAAACGAGCATAGCCTGTCGTATTGGAAGCCCCAATTGTCATTGAACAGACCAGCATGTATGACAATAGACCCCATTCACCCCTCCAGTGTTGATAGAAAGGGCGAGCGGAAGGAAGAAAGGCAGGCAGAGCATACAGAGCAGCACCTGCACCGACCTTGGTCGCATATTTGGTGTCATCTCGTCGAAAGAAACCGAGTGACTTCCAAAGACGGTAGCCTATTCTCTCTTTCACTGTTGTTTCACTGGGCGGACGTAAACGAGCCCGTACAGCGGCTGTAATCCTGTACTCTGATCCCATACTGCGTGAGAGCTGTCGGTGCCGACTACTCTCGGCTCCGTTGGATGGAAAATCTTAGGAGATTGTCAATATGTCAGTTCATGTGAACAAAGCACCCGGGTTTTGTGACACACCTGTATCCATGGACTTTCCATTTGTCTGCCAGAACTTCATCCATGACCAAGACCGGCCACTGGGTCTTTCTTCGGTCTCAAGTTGCAGGTCGTCCAAAATAGCTAAAAGTTCGTGGAGTTGCTCTCCAAATTCTAGAAGCGAGAAACTAAAATGACCACAGCTGGCTGATACCTCTTCCAGGTCTGCTTCTGCATCTGGGCTTTTCAGCTTCATGGCTTCTGTTTGTTGGTAAAGAGACTTGAGGGTCTTCTGTCGAGATTCTCGATAAAGGTCTAAAGCGCGATCAAGACTGGTGTGAAGCCGATTATCTACTGATACCTTATACTTTGGAGCCGGTCCAAATGGGATCTCGTTGAGTATCTCTTTCAATGTGAAGGCCAACGACCGCTGTTTCGAAAGAGTCAACGATCATACATTTAAATGATCTCCAGATTCACACATAGAGCTTACCATAGATGGGCCAAGATGAGTTATAAAGATGGTAAAAACATCTGCAGGAAGCAGTGCCGAGTTATTATTCGAACTTAACTCGTCAGCCGAAGCGTTGAAAGTCCCACCCGGTGATAATTCCTCTTCGGGGCGTTCGTCAATCGGTTCCAAGAAAGCTCCGTCGGGGAAAGACCAAGATCGCTCAAGAGATGCAACGTAATCTGCATATGGAATGCGAAGATCGCTCGTGGACCCAGATTCTCGTGCAATAGTTTCCTTAATCAGACTAAATTGAAGTGCTGCGGCACTGCGTAAGCCTCCCATATTATGGGTAATGTCTTGCACCCAACGGACAAGCTTCTTTTCCAGTCGATACTCTTTTTCAGTGCCTGCCACAAAATGCTCCAACTTAGCTTCACGCACCAAGTTATCGAGTTGAGAATAGGCTTTTCGGTGCTTTGCTTCCGTTTCAATGAATTCAGCGGACGTCAAATCTTCTTCAGACCCGCTGAGGAATGCCTGTGTGATCATAGCAAGCATTGTTGCCAGTGTGCTAGTGGCTGTAACTAGGTTGGCACGAAGCTTCTTGCGAGCTGAAATGGGGACTATCAGAAATGATACCGCCATGGCCAAAATCACGCCCATAATGACCATCTTCAGTACCTGCAAGATCTTTCCTAGGGACAAATCGCCACTCTGTACAGAACCTTCCTTGGTGATAATAGTTATCGTGGAAAGTGCGGTGAGAGAACAGGCGACATTCACTAGGGGGTCTCCAAGACGTTGTTTAGTCCACCCGACAAACCCCAACCCACCCCCACAAAATACAATAAGAACCACTGCATGGCCGAGGACTGGTAGATCAAGCGTGTCTTGGAAAAGGTTTTCGACCAACATACTCGTGATGCAAAGGAAGGCGGAGTAGCAAAAGGCGAGCAAGGCGCAGATAGAGGCCCGGTACATGCTTCCTATCGATCTCGCCGGATGGAAGTACACGGTCACAGTAGCTACCATATGCTTGCCATCTTGATGGCCAAGAAAAGAAGAAACGGCCGGTATGAATGTGGCCATCGAGCCAAGCAGGTATGCCAGGCTGCATTTCAATATCCCAATACCCTGCTCCGATGTAATAAATTTGTAAATCCATGTCCAAAGGTCCCGTGCTCGTACGCATGTTTTAGTGGTGAATCCTCCATGGCTCGTCACTATTTCGCCGGATAATAAGCCGCGCCGTTCGTCGTTATTAGTTCCGTCGGAAGATGAGGGTCTTTCTGCGAAGGATCGCAAGTTGACAAGACCTTTGAGGCGCTGTCCGGTTTTGGGGAGGACAAAGGTCGCTTGGCGTAGCTATAAAGATCGTCAATACCCTGTGATATGTTTTGACTTCCGTATTAAGGTTAAGAGCCGAACACACATTGGGCCGCAACAAACGGCGGGAGCTAACAGGAGCTCCAGATGATGACATGGTTTATTTGGTCTCACGCTCGTGCTCGGCGCGCCTTCATAGTGGGAATACCCATGGACCAAGGAGTGTAGCGGTCACTAGTTCGGACTTAATCAAGCTGCGCAAATTTGTGGGGAAAGAAGAAACAGGTTGACGGGCAGTCGCACAAATTGGATTGTTTGGTTGACATGCGGGTTACGGCCACATCCTGGAGCTCTTGGGGACACGCACCTCTATCTACGGGAGCAAATCGTAGCGACTAACTTATACTCAGCCTCATGTATAACGTCCAATGGGTCCAATTCAGATATACACTCCGTGAACATAAAAGTCTAACATATACTGTGCATTGGAAACCTTTGTTATGAACCTTGAAGTCGAACATTTATTTCATTCCATAGCAATCCTATCGCATTTCTTAATCTATTTCAATCCTTCGACCTTCCACACCTTCACGGCAGCGTCAACACCAGCCGAAGCGATTTTCGAGCCACCCTCGATCCATACTACGCCATTGACACCTTCTTTGTGGGTATTCTTCAGCTCAATCCAGTCACCGGGACTGGCCAAGCTCCAAACAAAGATATTAGTGTCCAGGGATCCACTAACAAGGTGTGACCCGGCTTGGTTCCAAGAGAGTGAAGTGATTCGTGCAGTGTGTGCGGTCCAGCGATCTGTAACAAGGCTGCCATCTGCAACTTTATATACCAGAACACGGCCGCGCAGGTCACCAACTGCCAGAAGAGAGGCATCAGGGGAGAATTCAAGAGTAGAGATCTGGTTACGGGAGGCCTTGATGTCTGTTTGGCCCGAAAGACTGGAGCCAGAGAGCTTGCAAATCTGGACGGACCCATCTTCACCTCCAAGGGCTGCAACTGCTTCGTGAGCTGACACAGTGGTGACGGAGAAACTTGGCTTGTATTCGCCAGTCTTCTTACCATCTTGGAAGATTTCGACAGCCTCTGCGGTGCCGACCAAAACAGTCGAATTGCCAGCAGCAACGCCCTTTGGCTGCCCAGTAAGTTTGGAGGCACTGCCGGTGTATGTCTTGGCAGCAACATCAATGGAGCGGATAGTGTCGTCCCAGCCAACACTGTAGATGCGTCCTGCTCCCTCCGGTGTTGGAGTGAGACCAGCAACGTAACCTGGGTGACCCTCACCCTCGATCTCTGCTGCTGTGCCCGAAGCAACATCCCAGCTACAGACTCGACCATCGAAGCTACCAGTCCATAGAGTCTCCTTATCCTCTGAGGTGGATTTGCCCAAAGAGGTGATGTTCTTCTGGTGTCCCGAGATGACTTGTCGGGGCTCAGGAGTTCCTTCCACGAGATAATTCAGGTCTCCGCTGAGAGACAAACTAATGAGTAGGTTATCGCTTCGTCCAGGAGGCCAGACAACGCCGACTTGGTGGTCGCGAACAGCCATTGCGCCTTCCTCTCCGAGAGTCCAGCTCTGGGTAGATTTGCCCGCTTCAACATCCCAAATCTTGACTGTCCGATCGGCGCTAGCAGTGACAAACTTCCGGGAATCTTTGCTCCAAGAAACACCAAAGATGCTACCCTGGTGCTCTCCGTCGCCAATTTGACCCTTAGTTTCTCCAGTCTTGCCATCGTATAACCAAATCTTTCGGTCTGCGCCTACGCTGACCAAATGAGAACCATCGGGACTGAAGCCGACTCCATAGATATAATTGGAATGCTTGTCCCCAATTCCCATGTTAAATTTGAAAGGCGCTCCATGATAAAAGACCAGCTTCTTATCGTCGCCCGCGGCCGCAGCACGCAGGGGTCTCTGCTGTCTGATCGAGACAGAGTTGATTTGTTGCGTGTGGCCAAAAATCTCACCAACAGTATTTCCACTGTCCCAAGTAATGCAGTGGCCTTTGCGCTGTTTACCATCACCCACGGCAATGATACGTTGCGAGTCGCCATCCCAGGCGAGGTCATTGATCCGCCCATTCACAATGCTGTATTCACCTTTGGTAATTCCTTCCCCAACACAATCCCATACTCTCACGGTACCGGCCGCATCGCCACTTGCGACATAGAATCCGGAGGGAGAGAAGCGCGCGACGGTGGTCTGTGCCTTGTGCTCTGTGTATTGACGGGCGATCGCGGGGTTGTCAATCGAACGCAGGAAAATAGATTTGTTGGTCTGCAAAAGTATTGGTCAGGGACAATTCAAGGAATTTGCGTAGATTTTCTGGACCAAGAACATACAGCATATGCCAGTCGCTCGCCCTTGGCATCGGAAGACAGCTGGGTGGGCTGTCCGCGAGTGGTGGAGGGGCTAGCAGCCCAGATGGCCTCTGAATGTCGAATCAGTACTGCATTGTCTTCATGGATGCAATGAGTGAATCTTCAGTAATCATACCGTTTGTGATTGACATTGAAAGTCGTACCTTTTATACAAGATTAGGGGAGAGGAGAGAAAGAGAGGAGAAGTGTTTCAGGAAGTCAGAGTGGGGGGGGAACTGTTGTTTATGGACTGACGTACTCGGTGGCCTCAAGGCAGCTTATACTAGCGGGATTGACCTTCAGCCAAAAGATCCACACAGCCGCATTTCCCTAGGCAACACTAATTACCCTATCATCTATGGGTAATATATATATGAATAGTGTGATTGATTGGACTATCTTGGTGTTGCATGTTGGTATATGATCAAGTAATTGTTTCAATTGCGCTGGAACTAATAATACATGGAAGTGCGCCATTCAGTAAAGGGCATCCGTCATCTATACAAGAACACCACATGAGGACTCAATTCAAATGCGCGAGAGCCTCCAAAATAAGGGAAATAGAAAAGAAATATGAATATTCGCCTCCATTAGTAGCTTCCCATTTTGTTCTTAAGCTCCGATGCTAGAATCTCAGGATGTCGGTGAACCGAAGGCATCAGACCAAGTCCCATGGCTCTTCGAATTGCCTTGGCAATCTTTCGCTGGTTGACCGGGCGAAGACCGGTTTGGTTTCGGTGCTTGATGCGTCCCATGGGCGAAACGTATTCGGATATAACAGAGAAGTTCTATTAACAAAGCACAGCGTCAGCGATGACTCAATAGATAGCCTGTTCTTTCCGCAAGAAAGGGTGGTATATGGGAATGGAGCATGGTCGTCTTTAGGGAAGAAGCGAATCGATTCGTACCTTGTACAGGTTCAGCGGGTTCAGATTTAAAGCATCAAAGGCGTCACGGTTGGGTGCTTTGCGCTGGCCCCATTTCTTCATCTCAGCCGGGCTAAGATCGTGAGGAGCATACACATCACCAGACTTCCACTCGCGGGTCTGGAATCTCTCCAATGCTTTGCTCTCGTTCTGGATTCTTTGGTCTTCGAGGAGGCGCAAGCGGTTAGGCACTCTGCGCTTGTTTGCGAATCGATCTATACTCGATTAGTTAGAATGACACTTTAAGAGTCCCCCCCCAGTCAAAATTTCCAGAGTGAAAAGAGAATTTGTGTCCGAGCGAAAGATATTGGGGGTTGTCCGTTTACCGTTTGATGCCGGGGATCGTTGGGCTGTGAAAGCGCTCATGGCTCCAGTTGAACTCCAGCGACATGATGAAGGCACAGCCTTGGAGATGCTGCGCATCATCGGTGAAAAGAGATTCAGCGACATGATGTGGAATGATCGTGGTGGAGGAGCCAAGCCTTGAGATGTGAAGTTCAAGTCGGGGAACAGAAAACCAACGCGGATCGTTTTTTCGTGCCAAGACCGCCTTCCCGCCTCAGAGCAGCTTTCTCCGCGTGTCGCGAACTTTTGATTCCAGCTTATCCGCGACCGAAATCACGATTCGATACTTCTCCCTTATTTGCACCCTACTGAGACTGACCTGCTCAAGCCAATTCGAGTCGTCAGACTCGTTTCATTTCAAACATGCAGTCTCACCTCTCGAGGCGGGTCTTCAAAGCCATCATTAACAACGAACCGCTACATTTTTCACGATGTCGTCGAAATCAACTATTACACACTATAGCTCCGGCACGAGTCCGTCCTTGCCTACCGAGCCTTGCGCATGTATGCAGACGATCCCTCTTTGCATTTTCGTTAAACTCGGCGGAACCTGGCGAGGGTCAGGCGGCAACCCTACCAACGGAAAAGGGTCTGAAACCCATGGCAGATTTGAAGCGATCTTTGGAAGATAAGAGTAGAGCTCCCCCGAGCGATATCCTAGTGAAGGCTTTTCAACTGTTCTTCACATCACGAGTGGAGAATCCTGGAGCTATCAACCAATTCCAGGCTCGCTTGCTGTCTCTTACGTGGAAGCATTTGAAGGCACTACAAAATGACCTTGAGGACAGTGAATGGCAGGATGTATTCTCTGTGGAAAATCTGGAAAGGATGCTCTTTGTGTTTTCTGAGGCACAGTGTCTTCCAGAGGCACGCGATACTGTCCTCAAGATCGCACGTTTCGCCTACCTCGAATTATGTGCGGATCATGGATTCGGTCCGAACTCGATTAGTCGACCAGCACTACTGGTTTACATCAATTTGATGGCTAGCAATGGTAACCCTGAGGAGGCTCGTCATGTCATTTTTAAGTTCGGGGGCCAATTGCGTGGTGCAAAACCGTCTCCTTGGCTGAGTGTTCTAAAAGGATTTGCATTGAAGGACGACCGACGCCAGCTACGAAAAGTGACACAGGATCTCGAAGAGTATGGCGTCAAGTTTGATCAAGCTTCCCATGAGGAGTTGGCCAAACTTCTGATCTCCCAAGATCTCTTCGTTGCAGTTCAGACAGTCTACGAGTGCCCAATCTCCGGAGACCTGGAACCCTCTGTATCCGCCAAGATTGCTGCCATCCATTATGCGCTTCTCAAATCTGAAGTCTCATGGGCCAAGCCCATCTTTGACTCCCTTCCACGGAAAATAGGCCCCGAGACAATTGGTATCAACTTGCTTTGGGATGCAGCCCAGGGTAACAGTGCATCGTCTCTTGCAGAGAAGGTAGAACCGTCGTTGAGTGCAGCTCTAACTATTGTGGATGTCAACAATCTTATTCAATATGCAAACTCGCAATCTAATCCACAGCTAGCCGCCGACTATGCAAATCTAGCTGGCCAGTGGGATCTCGTTCCCGATGAACAGACGCATCTGTTACAGCTGGAATCCTTTATTCAGGCTGGTGATGTGGAGCGCACACTCGCCATTCTCGAACAACAGATTGATCCAAGCACCTTGACAGGCGATAATCTACCCTTGGCTAACAAGCTTATCACCATGCTTTGCCTATCAGATCAAAAAGACGAACTGTTCCAACAGATCTCTTCCCTCCTAGACCCATTGTTTCAAGAAAATGTGCAATTGAATGCAGATACCCTCGCTGCATTAACACGGATGCTGCTGTATCGCTACGACTGGGAAGCTGTGTCTGACCTTCTCCGTCCGCGATTGGGAACTCTCGATAGCGAAGGGAAAACTTTAGTCCGTACTGCACTGACGGACTTCATGCTGGACAAGGAACAAACCGACTCGAATGTGTGGGAAGTCTACCAGCTATTTAAACTCGCCTTCTCTGAGGCGGGTGTCAGCATCCGCACAGAGCTCATGTGCTCTCTCTTTGATAGAAAACGCAGCGACCTAGCGGTTCTGGTTTTCGGGCACATGCGTCAGGCAGAAGATCTAAGCCGTCGACCCAAGCCGGATACATATGCTAGGTGTTTCCAGGGCTTGTCTCGAACAGCCGACACGACAAATCTGGAGTTGGTACACAATATGCTCAAGCTTGATCTTGAAGTAGAGTTGAATACTCGGATTTTCAATGGTTTGATGCTTGCATATGCCGCGTGCGAGATGCCCGAGAAGAGTATGGAAATTTTCCATCAAATCCTACAGTCAGACGAAGGGCCCTCAGAAAAGACCATTGCTATATTCTTCCACGTGTGTGAGAGACACCACAACGGCGCACAAGAAGCGATTAAGATGATGGCCAAGGTCAAAAAGCTTGAGATAGCTGTTGACCGCCGAATGTACACAGCATACATCGAATCATTAGCCGCGCAATGCGAATTTGATGTAGCGACCGCAGCCATCGACAACATGCAAGCTGAGATTGGGCTCCCTCCTACCAGTACTACGTGAGTGTGCTATTTACCTGAATAATACGTCGTCTTGTAAACTGACTTATTATTTCCTGGCAGGATTGGACTATTCTATAACGCAATTCCATATCAATATTGGAAAGACGAGGTTGAGCAATGGGCTCTCCAGAAATACCCCGAGCTGTGGACGCACATGGCTGAAACACCTCGAAGCGAGCATGAGGAAGGCCAAAAGTTTGATGGCATCACAAACGAGGTATGGGTATAGTGTAGAATGATGTTGCATATATTGTCTTTAGGACTGCAGGCGTCGCTACGGGGTTAGATTCTGTTATATATTTCTCTCAATATGTATACAGAAAGATTTCATTTTGTACCTAGGACGCGCCCATTTATATCCAAAATAATTTTGTGCTTTTGAATAGAAAGTTTACCCAGGTACGCACTACTAATAGTATCTATGTATATATTCAAGTGCTCATGAGTATATACTAGGTGCACATGTGTCCTCGCGCAACAGATTAATGTTTAGTACATTAGTCTCATAAACCACGAGTCTTGATATGCATTGCGTTGCCTGCTAAATTAATACCACATGTGCCCTCTAAACCAGAGTATACGAAACTACAACATGAATACATCAATGAGAAACCCCAAAACATTAGACGCAAGTCATACAACCATGATTCCAAGGAGAGATTCCTGATTCTTCAAGTCCTAGGTACACATCTGTTCAATCCACCCAAACCAGCAGCTTGAAGTTGCCAATCAAAATAACAATAGCGAACCAACCTCGCTCGCTGTTAACCTATAACCCCTGGGCTCGACGTCAAAACAAGGAAGCAAAATTAGTGAACAGGGCATCAGCAGACTTAGACTTCGGCAATTCAGGTCGTTCAGGCTTAGTATTCGCCTCGTATCTTCGCCGAATCATACTAGGAGGAAGAAAACTGTATCCAAAATTCCTAGCCCTTGCAGTGACGGAAATTTGCTCAAAAAAATCTCCCCATCTCTCGGCAAGACGATTAGTCAATTGTTGACATTTTTCCGCAGCAAGAAACATAATTATGATTCGATTCTCCGGAAGTGGTGGTTGGGGATGGGGATCCCTGGGCTCAAAACCAGCCGCTCACAGGCCATCAATGATGAAGTTGAACATTTTCTGGGCCATGGGGAAGTCATCAAAGGCCTCAGTTGGTAATGTGTCGAGCATAGCTTCCCACATGACGTCACTATTGTAGCTGTGGTTTTGCGCGACAACTTTAAGGGCATATGGGAATTGTGTCTCTGATCTGGAGGGTAACACTACCAATGGATCGGCATATATGGCCAACCATTGCACTGGAATGGAATTCTCTCCTTCGGCAGCATACATGATTGGAGTGAGGCCTAGTCTATTACGGACATTGGCGTCGAGGCCGGAATGTTCATCCAAGAACCTCAGAATGTCCTCGTTAGGGTTGTATTAGCAGCTTCATGCCATGAAGTGGTGACTTGTCTTGGATCATCGTCTATTCGCAGGGGCTTTTCTCCATCAGTTGACTCAGAAGAGACCAAGTAGTATTTTCCAACATCTCCAATGTTCATTCCGTGGTCACTCAAGAGGACATTTGCAACATCGCCTGTTACAAAGGTACATAGTTTGAGCTTGTAATCATCGGAATTCATCCAATACAGGTCTGAATTTTCCAAGACTTCTGCCACCACCAGTTTAGAACAGAGCCTTCCAAATCCCACAGAGTTTGAAGCATCTACAAGAAGACGCAAGGCGTGTTTCTCCTCTCCAACTCCGGACCCTGATTTCCAAAATGTACTTTCAGCCGGAACCTGGTCGATGATCCAGTTGATACAATGCTGATAGTTTTTCTCAATCGCCCAAGCTAAAAAACTCTTTCCATTCGACTCGAACCCCTCGGCAGATACGAGTGAAATTCATTTAGTATTGAAAAACACTCGCAGCAACTTGTTATGGCCTGAATAGGGATTCTGGTTTTTTCCAGATTGGGGATTTTGTATACATCGAGCTGCCACGGACCAGCGGGATCATACCTCACATGAGCTCGATTGCGATAGAAATCAAGTTCGTATTCCTTGAATTTGATCCATTTCTGAGCAGAATCTGACATCCACTCTTCCACGATCTCATAGAACTCAGGGCTTGCCTGACGAAGTGACTGAAGAGTATGTAGTGATACAAGGTCAAAATTTTCCTCATCCTCTCGTTGAAAATTGAAAAGTCGGTCCAAAAGTTGATAAATAAGCTCTGGGGGTAGAATGTTAAGTCTAGTTTGCTTGGCGTAACTGATCATTTCTGCGTGGCTCATATCGGCGTCTGGATCCTGCAATCTCTCTTCTAGATCTAGAAACTAGTCTCGGGTCAAGGGATCTTCTTCGACTTCCTTCCTCTGAATTCCCATCGCGAAAGCACGAATTCCGTCGATTAGGCAATCTAAAAAGAGATTCCAGAGAGGAGCGTCATTTTTCGGACGATTCACTCTGTCTGCTGAATATGCTTGCAGTATCAGAGATTTCAATAGTCGACATTGCGAAGATTGTATTATGGCAAGTAGTACTTTATGAAGAAATGACTAGGTGGAGCTTAAGGAAGACCAGAAGAGAGTGAGAGAAAATCAATCTCGTGAAGAGATATTACATTATCTTAAGTTGAAAAAGATCCCAGATCCCTTTCTTTGTAAGACAACCGATTGACTTAGCCCTCTTGCCTTCAAAGAGCTCTCGTTCTTAGCATCATGGAAGAACGTAGAACAAAATCTTGACAATTGAAGTAAATAAAGAAAGGATGATTCTATCTAGACCAGTGTGGGTCAAACCGTAAAAAACCACTCCTTCACACGGATTCCAGGTAGGATTTGTAGTGCACAAAGAACTAATGCTGTCCAAAATCTTTCGATTATAGGAGTCGACGGCGTTGGCTCAATAAATTTGCATAGATTCTGAAAGTCCGAGTTGAGGATAACTTGGGTATCGTCTAGCTTACTTTATCCCATGCGTCTTCTTGAAGAATCCACTCATAAATGACAGGGATACAATGAAATAAAAAAGTGGTGTGCAATAGCGGGTTCCAGTTGAACGTGCAATAGATGCTGGTAAATAACAATTTAAAATGCTGAATAACACGATATGCTTCGCTGTGAAAACGCCATCTCAAATAACTAATCAGAAAAGAAAAGAACAAATGGCAAATAAATCAAGATCTAATGTACAAAATAACACTTTCCACGTAAATTAATTAGAGGAAGCATCAGCTTACAAGCTGAAAATACCACTGCGCTTTTTCCCATGGGGGTAAACAATCAAAGCAGCAACGAACAAACCCACAGAAATTCCAATAGCCGTTTGGATCATACCATAAGCAAGAGAAGTAAGCGAGCTTTCATTAGTAGCACCCGAATTGCTAGACGCGGTATGATTGGCGACTGACTCAGCATACTCAAGCCCAGAGATGATAGATCCAGAAGATGCCAAACCAGACGGCACCAGGGTGAAGATGCCGGGGATAATAGCTGCAGCGGCGTGTCCATGCCATATGCGACTGTACAAGTTGGCCAAGAGACCGATCGTGAAAGCGCCGACAGTATTAGCAACTTGGTTGGAACCGAGTCTCTTTGTACTGAAGTAGTTTGTCACGTAGCCACAGACTCCCAGAAGAACGGTGACAGGTAACTGTTTCGGTTTTGATTGATTGAGAAGAGCAGCGAAGAGACAGAACAATGCAACGAAGGGGAAATGCTGAATATATTCGTTTCCCCAGTCACTTGTGGCGCTGCAGCTTTCCTGGTCCGTAGCGTTGGGATCCATTAATCCGTAAATTGTAGTTCCGACGGTGACACCATAACCAAGGAAGAGGGAGTAGATAATTGTGTAAACCATGCGAATGGATCCAGCATTCATTTGATGCGATTGCAGTTCCAAACTACTGCTTAGCACAGAAAATCCAGGAAGAAGCATAGCGATAGAAGATTCTGCGACTGCAGAAAAACAGAATACCCTAGTACCCTTGTGCTGAATACTTCCGAATGCACGTGCCAAGAATGATACCAAGATAGTGGCAGACACTTCTAACACGTTGGAATATGTTGCTGACAATGGGGCTAGAACATGCTGCATAAGTCCAACCAGACATCCTAAGAAAAAGATGATTGGGAGATCAATAGGGCGAGCAGAGAACGCATACGGGCCGACAGCAACACTGGCTAGACCTGTGAGGAGGACACGCATCCATTTGCCATATCGTGGTTTACGTTGCATGATCTCATCCAGCTGCGTGGTAGCATCGCTCACGCTGACTTTATCATGAACCACATTCTTATAGACATCGTGAGTCTCTGCCAGGCGAGAAAGATCCAGTCCCTGGGTAACTCGAATGATTTTCACCTCTGCGGTACGGGTTAGAGGATCGTCGAAAGACATGAACATACACCCTGGAATGTACATGAATTGGGCATTCACTTCCAGCACGTTGGATGTCATCATCATATACTCCTCAAGACGATGGGTAGGCGCGCCATACTTCATCAATGCGCGACAAAGTTGCATAATGTATTGTTGACGTGCCAGAATAGCCGCAATATGCACAGTAAGCTTGACATTCTTCTTTTGTTTCTTTTGCTTCTTCTTTTCTTTGGGATTCATGGGTGTCGGTCCTTCAGCACCGGGCATGGCAACCCGACTCATACCCATTGACGCCGAGATCAGAGAAGAGGTATAGTGATGGTTCGACTCTTTCTTCTTGACTGGGTTCTTCAAAGGCAAGCTGAATCTGCTACCATGTTTGTTCTCGTTCTCCATAGAAGCGCCGTTGTTATACCATTTAACTTTATCTTTCTTGCCGGAGGGTGTCATAGTGCCGGATGTCATGTTTCCTGGCGTCTTGGGGGGTAGAGTTTCTGTCTCTGGATCCGTATCGATCGTGGTTGTCGCAAGACTCATCCGACTCGCGTTTTCGAGGTTATTTGCATAAACACGTAGTAGCTGTGACAAAAGACCACCATTGAGAGGGGTGGAGGCACCGCTCTCGCCTGGGGTTGTTGCTCCTGAGGGTAATTCAGAAGACTCATGTCGTTGATGGTTGGGTAGTCCCAATTGCTTAATCAAAAGTTGGGCTTGGGTGTTGTGGTCGTGGGAATTCATCTTTGCCTCCTCGTCATTGGCCTGGCGAGCCTCAAAACTTCTCAGGTCATCCGTGGCTCCCAATTCCTCCGGGGTGAAGCCAACACCTTCTAATCCATCCTCTGCACTTTCATGGGGACGACCGAGTTTCTCGGCTATTGTCGCACCGCGTTCTCGGATGCGCACACTTGCGGATCTCCACCGGTCACCGAAGGATGGCATGCTTCGTTGTTCGCTGACATCATCGCGGGCTGCAATCTGGGGGCTGGTTGCCTCGTGGTGCTCTTGATGCGAATCTCCATTCACTGTGGAGTCCATGGATGACTGGTGAGGCGGCAATTGTGGCTTCTCCTGGAGACCAGATGAGTCGGACATCTTGAAAACAGGCTCGTTTTCTTTTGAAGCCGGAATGGGATCAAGATCAGGAACCAATGAAGTTTTCACGGATATAAAGGTTTCCCGAAACCGATATTGAGTTATCCAAAATTTATATGGGGTACGGGTGTCAGGAGACGAGAAAGCCCGAAATGCGACTATGGATAGAGTAAATACAGGCGCGCGGAGCAAGACTCCACCGACGAAGACGATTCATATTCTGGAGAGAAAAACAAAAGAAGAAAAGAACAAGACAAGAAATCCAGAAAAGAAAAGAAAAAAAAAATTTCTCCATTAAAGGGGGGCGTGAGTGGGGTAAAGGTGGAATTGATGAAGCCGGGGCCAAAGGACCAGACCTTCTTCAAGACCCACGTTGGTAGCGCTAACGCGGGTTGAAGTCATAGCCAACGCGTCAGACAAATGATAGACACGATTCTGATAGGGCTTGGACATCAGGGGTTTACAAGTGGACTGGGGTCAGAGGAGGGTTCCTAGTTCGGGACAGATGAAACGTATAAAGGGCTTTGATATGGGTGTATACTACATTATTCTAGTACATAGAAGCAGAACCATGGGAAAACAAGGCAAATAATATAAAATTCAACAAAGAGAACCTTGACGAGCCAAAGGACGAGGCTGCTTTATACTTCCTTTTCATAAAAACAGCATAGTGAGATCCATAAATTTGGGGGAAATAAGCTTTGTCAACTGCCACTAGCAAGAAAGCAAACAGTTTTCGCCCATTTTTGTTTCACGGTGTGTGATGTGTGTGTGGCTATACACTGGTGGAGCCATTAGCCCCACTAAACACCCAATCATTGTCTATTATTACTGCACAAATACTGGAAGCCACAATTGATTGAAACCATTTAATGTTCTCCAGCTGTTCCGCGGACTCCGTAGACTGTACCTAAAACAGGGATAATTCAAGCCGATCAGTGACCGGGCACGTCACAGGTACAAGAAAAGCTCAAGAACGAGTGATTCCCCGGATTCTACATAGAATGCATAGAGTAAGCAGCAAAATTGGAAAGAATAAGATTTAATTTTCATAGTTTCGATTCCCAACCGCCCAGAACCTTCTGAAAATATAGAAACGCGTCAAATCCATATTTAATAGATATAAATAGCTTGAGGACTAGATTTGAATCTGGTGGCGTTAATGAACTTGGCGAACCTGGCAGCTGACCTCCTGCCACGTGACCTCGGCACTTCGGGAAGCCGCAACCCCATGAAAGTCCCGTGACTATGACTAATCAATGGATATCTCGTGACTGTATACTATAGTTATCGTATAACTAGTTAACTAACCTGTAGCTTAATTGCCTTAGGTGTCTATTCTACTATGTACGTAGCTGTAGTCTGTAGTAGTTCGACCTCGGCTTTTTCTACTTGATACATTATTCCAAGTTCGCCCGCGTGTGGATCCATCTACTACGTACTCCCTCCTCCTATCGATAAGCTACCCCTCGGAGCATGTACTCCATACAGAACGGATACATCACCTCCGATGTGTACAAAGACACTAACGCCAAGATCTCTCGAGTGCTCAGCCCATGTCCCTGAGCACCGCCTCAAATGGTGGCTGCCTGCTGAACGCGCTATTTAATTCGCTCCAGTCAGAACTTGATTGTAACCTTGCCAAGAACTAAACTACATTCCCCCTCCACCCCGCGCACGATGCTCCTCTCCGCACCAGCCCAAGACGCCATTTAACTTGATAGTGAACCAACCCCTCCTAGCAAAGCAAATAAATTAATCCAAATCAAACAACCATGACTTTCCCCTGAAAACCACTTCCCTTCTCTCCTCGTATCTGACATCTATAAAACAACAAACAACTTGATCTTGAATTGGGAAACCCCCACCCAAACATGCTACAATGCCTACCCTCCCACTCCAACCCCCAGACCACCCCATCGCCTTGCGACGCTCTCACCTCCTCAGCCCCGCTCCAGACCGTATGACAAACACTCCAACAACCCTCCGCATAACTCGCGAAAACACCATATCCGGCCGCGACTTCAGCGTCCACCAACTCCGCCACCACGAAGAACCCTCCAGTCCCCGACGCCATGCACTCCTCTTCACCGTCTCCGGCCGCTTCTGGAGTAACTCGCAACTACGTGAGATCCGCAATGCAAACGGGCGCCCCTTACTTGAGCTTCGACGAATCTGGTGGAAGGGTCAATGGTCCGTCCGACGACCAGGTGGGGTCGGTGACGATCTTCTGCATGCCGAGTTGCGCTGGGGGATCGGCATGAAGATGGCGGTACGATTCCAGAACGCACTATTAAGTGGTATTTGGGATGAGGATGAGCTTGAGAATCTAAATGAGAATCTGAATCGTGGTGGGAGGTCTCGACATCGTTACGGGAACAGTTACAGTTATAATTCTCATACTCGCGAATTACAATTGAGACAACGGAATCGTCGAGCCCCGGATCAAGAATCTATTCGGACATTACCGAGGTATGAACAGCCTCAGAATCAGAATTCGACTGAGACCGAGCTAGAACCAGGGCACGGATCACCACCCCCATATAGTGTGGTGATGGCCGAGGACCATGCGCAACAGAGTAGTAGTGGTAGTGCAGGAGGGGGAAGCGGAACTGAAAGTGACGGTTCAACATCTACTTCTGCATCTGCATCTGATGATGAGAGTGGGGATGAAAAGGCTTTTGCGTCGGCGCCGCGAGGCCGTGAAGCTCCTCCACTTCCATCATATGACTCGGTGCGAAGAATGCGACGGGTCTCGAGTCATTCGCTTCGTGATCTTCTAGAGGCCATTGAGCCTCCTGGAGAACCAGCACCAGCATCACCGTCTTCTTTATCTTCTTTGTCTTCTTTGTCTTCTTCGCGGCCGCGGTCTGAAGGTGGATTGGATCCTAAGGTGGGGTTGAAGCTGGTGCAACAGAGTAGCTCGATGGCGGTCGTGATGATGGGAGAGAAGAGAATCATCTACATTCGTCGGGAGAAGGTGATGGATTTCCATATGCCGGGTCCTATACCTAAATGGGAGGTTGAAGTTGCTGAGGGCGTGGATCTATTATTAGTACGTTGACCAGAGGTCTATTTCTTTCCTTCTCAGAATCACAATGACAATTAGCTGACAATTGGAAACAGGCTACCAGTGTGGTGCTTATAATGGCGGAATTCGTGAAGAATGAATATCGAATGAGAACCAATTAGGAACTGCATGATATTTTTGGATAGGCTGATGATATGATTTTATTGATGACTACGATACGAAATAGTATTCCTCTACAATGATGCAAATTTGAAGCGTTTGAATTGCGAAAATTCATGTTCTGTTATCAAGAACATCTCATGACATTGGTTGATTCGAAATCCAACAAAACTTTTTCTAAGCCATACATTCATCATGGAGGGAAATCAGTCTTTGTGACTCTCCCAGTATTAAGTATAAGTATCTTTGGTTTTCTTTTGGCATTGGAAACCCACCAGTCGTAACGGGCGTAGGCGCGAGTCCAGGTATTGCAAAGGATCAAGTAAGAAAAGGGAAGAAAATGAACAACGACATAAGAAACGTAACATGCGTCGAATATTCTACGACTGAAGCTTTTGCAGGCGCTGGGTCATGCTAGAGAAATCGGTTAGCAATTGCATAGATATGGTAATAAGAGAGCACAGGAGGAACATACAAGTCAAAGAAGGAGAACTGGCTGGGGTTGTTGCCATATTGGTACACGAAGCGACTGGCCAGGTGGCTACCAAAGATAGCACGGAGGTAGTTCTCGGGAACCTTTTGAGAAAGTTAGTAAAATATTCATTTTAATGTTAAGAAGGAAAGATAAGGGGAAACATACCCGTTCCAAGATGGTAGAAAGACCAATCTTATTCAAGAGGAGGCGAGGCAAAGCATCGCTGAGCACGGAGTGACGGAGAGCAACGTTGTTCCAAAGCTCAGTCTGCTGGAGTTCCTCGTCGAGCTTGGTAATGGCCAAGCTGAGGCGGTCACTCAGGACACTGCGCAGCACGCCAGTCTGCTCGTGCTCGCGCCAGATAGCCTCAAATTCGAGCATAGCATTCTCCTTGATGGTCTCTTGCACCTCCTTAACGTAGGCTTGGTAGAACTCAGGAACAGTACCATCCTCACCAACACACATGTTAGAAAGGAAGTCGGTGTCGTTGAACGCCAATGATGCCAGAACCTCCAGAGAGGATGAAGTCACACCACCCTTGTTGGCGGAAGCATCCTTGAAGAGAATGCAGCCGGCCTTCTCAAGACGGAGCTTACTGTCCTGGGTAATGAACAGGTTGGCACCCTCGACGATGTAAGGAACGACGGCCTTGTTGTCCTGGATAAGCTTGCCGACAGTAGACAAGTCGATAGACTCAGGTCGGCCACCACAGGGCACGAAGACATCAAACTTCTCCTGGTTGCGCAGGTGGAAAGTGTTACGGAAGATCATACCATTGGCGACAACCTCGCCGCTAGGCAGTCTAACGTTCTTCTCCTCAACCAAAACACGGTAACCCTCAGGAGAGAGCTTTGTCAGGTCAAACTCAGAGATCATCTTGCGGCCCTTAGCGAGACGAATGAGCTCAGCGTGGTTGAGACCCTGTGGGTCAACAATGACACCGGAACCATCGACAATACCACCGTACTTCTCGTTGGAAAGCAGAATCTCGTTAGAGCCCAGATCACCATCGGGACCCCCAGTCTGCAGCTTGAGCATGGTGGAGGGGTCAATGTTGAGCTTGCGGTAAATTCCGAGCACGTACTGGCGGACAGAAAGAGTGGTCATGCCGTACTCGTCGTGGGGAATACCACCCAGCTTAGGGCTCTTTCCAGTGAAGAAAGACTTCCACCAAGGAGCACCACGAGCACGAGCATGCTCGGTAGCCCAGTCAACCAGCTCAGCGGTGTTCTCGTCGGGACCCATGAAGAGAATCTCATCCTTGCCGTGGAGATCCACAATAGGATCCTTGATACCAGGGCTGACTGGAGGCAATAGCAGATCCAAGATACTGTCGATATACTTCTCAAAGGCGACGTGAACCTTGTCCTGGTGATCCACATCCAAAAGGATGACACCCTTAGCACCGCCTTCGGGGATATCCTTGTTCTTACGCTGTTGAGTGTTGGCCAAGTTGTAGTTCTCGTCAAACAAGGAGCGTGCGTTGATGCTGTATGCCTCCTTGTTTCGGCTCTTGACGATACGAATACCTCCACGAGCAATGTCACGGAATCGCAGGTGGAAGCCGCGGAATTCGGAACTTATAACCAAGAACATACCATACAGAGGCTGAGGGTACTCATGCTCCGGCAAGAAGTCCGGCTTCAGGCGAAAACTCAAGGCAACCTTGGTGGGGGTGAAGAAGTTGGTCTTGAGGATGGAGGAGTTGAACACACGGAAAGAGGTCATGACCATCTCATCGTGCTCATTCATGGCAGTGCTGCGGATCAGCTGCTTCAGCTTGGATCCGTCGAGAACCTCGTCAACCTGGAGACGGAGGTAACTGAGGGTAGGAAGGAAGTCGTCACCAGTAGGACCCTGGGTCTGAACATAGTGGGTGTTGGCGAAATCCAAATAGAGCTTGTGGATCAACTCGGGGTAGTTGTTGATGATCTCGAAAATGTAATCGGCGGTGAAGGTTTCTGTACGAAGACGCTTCTTGATCTTTGAAAGTAGTTCAGCGTGGACGCTGTTGTTGGAGTCCAGCAGAGCAGACAGAGAGGTGTACTCAGAGCCCAGACGGTTCAGGAACTGCTGCACGAACACCCACGCACTGTGAGCGTAGATAGTCTCTTGCAGACTGAGGCGTCCTGTAGCGAAGTGTCCCTGGAAACGGTTCTGGGGAATACAGTAAAGCAGGGAAACCTCCTTCATGATCTGGTGAATAGCAGCCTCGATTGGGGGGAACTTGGCGGAAAGCCCAGCGCCATCTGAGGGACGGAGGTACAGAGAGATGACGGTGATCCCGTTGGAGAAGTGCTCGAGGTACTTGCGCGAGCTGGTCAGGCGGTAGTAGTGGTACAAATCAGACAGAGCACTGAACAGGCCCATGGCGGAGCCCTGACGGTAGGCAATCACCAGACGCTTCTCTCGGCTGCCCTCAATCTCGAACATCTCAATGACAGGGCCAGTACGGCTGACGGCAGTAGTGATGATCTCTTCGTAGATGGCCTTGGTGTTGGGGGTGGCCTTTTGCAAGAAACGCTTCTCACCAATGATGTCAATGTTGGTCTCGTTCGGGGATGGGTTGGGGTTGGCGAATTGACACTTGTAGACGAAGTAGCAGCGAAGCTGTTGTCCATTGTCACCGGGGAGGGGAGTGGGGGAACGGAAAGTCTCAACACGGTAGCTGTCGGCGCCCTTGGAAGCGTTGATGTACTTCTCATCGATGCGCTGCTCGTAGCGGGGACCATCTACCGAGGATACACCGGGCCTGCTGGTATCAATGTAAACGGCATGGTCCTCGGCCTCCTTGTCAAGTCGGATCTCGAGCTGCTTGTCGTCGCGGGCATAGGCTGCAACCTTGGCAGCATACAACGAGAGAATCTGAGTGACGATGGCGTCGACAGTCTCGGTCTGGAAGTAGGTGTCGTCGATACCGAGCATGTTGTAGAACCAGGTGGTTTCAGAAACAATGAAATCGCTGGGGAAGAAGCCCTTCTCTTCCAATTGATCCATCACTATTTGGAAAAGTCCAACTATTAGTTATCTCATCAGGATGAACATTCCGGGTTCTTCTCGTTTGATTAAGATCGCATTTACCTTGCTCCATTTGCTTTTGCTTGCCCTCGAAAGTAGCTGCAATGTATCCGGGGTCCTCTTCAGACAGGACGCGGTGCGGGGTACCAGGAACACCCAAGTGGGTAGGCTGGGGCGACGGCTGTCGCAGAGCAGCTCCTACGGCATGGTCGAGGTGCTTGTTGTGAGGGAAACGCTGGAAACCAATGGGGGTGCCAGTGCCGGAGCTCCCGTCTTGACTAGCAAAGAGCTTGGGCAATGGGCGAGAAGGCAGGGAGGTGCCATTGGAGGCCTCCGACTGCGGGGTAGAGGGGGCAGGAGAAGACATTGTCTGAAGACTCTAGAATTGAGAAAAAAGAACAGAACGCTGAAGCATTAGCAGAAAAAAGAAAAGAGTTAGCAAACGAAAGCTGTTTGAAAGTACGGTGGGCCCAAGTCAAGTGGGTGAGGGGGGAGAGAGAGAGAAAGAGGAAACAGATAAGAAAGCGTCATAGGGTATGTGCTTATCGGACTGCTGCAGCTTGGTTGGGACTGGAATGGAAATCCCGCCTGCCCTTGTACTATGTCTAGACGAGACACAAAAAAAGATAACAGGCAAGGGATAGAAGGAAGATACAGTCATAAGGAGAGATGACTTACCGTCGCCATGGACTAATAATGTGAGATATCTAGATCAAGATGATCGTAGAGAGGGAAAATATGAATATGCGGACCGTCAAGAAATCCGGGGAATCGTGAGTCTTTTAAATAATTTTGAATTAATTAATTAAAATAAATGATAATAATAATCAATGAAAACCTGGACGAAACTTCTCATCCTTTCTGGCACAACCAGTCATAACCGATGCTAACCTGGTTCACCTTAGAGTGAACGGTCTCGATGGCTCTTGATCCGCATTGACTCCACCGCTTCAGAGGGTCGTGACTAAGAGCCGGCGATAGGCGCCTCCGTGATTGGCAGTTGTCGCCCCTCTATCCGAGGGTCAAGCCGACTGTGAAAAAATCCCGCTGCGTCATGCGGGCCGAAAATAGAGAAATAGAGGGATTTAATTATTATTAAGTTATGAAAGAGTCTACAGAAATTGCCTCAAGGGAGACTGCATTGACCCCAATTACGTGTTATTCGGTTGGTACGCATATAGTAGGAGGTATAGTTGGCAAGCGTTTCCGTATGCTCTGTGGCGGGACAAAGACATGATCTAAAAAAAGCATTAAACAAGACAGATAAGAATGTGGCTGAGGGCGATACAGTAGAGATAGGAGTGAAACAATTCATCTCAACGCCGAAAATACCTATCTATTGAAAATTGGAAAATTCTGATCTGGTCACCTGAGGAGATCACACTGAACCTATGAAGCCCCTGGACTAGGACTATGCCTAAATCTCTTTGATTCTATTTTAATGCCCCAGAAACGTGCAAGAATGAGGTGATCCAAGTCGAACATCGTGGAATGCGATGTGTCATGGAAATGATCCACGATGGTCTCTAAATGCCGCAATTCTGGTTTCGTGCCCCAATTTCCCCAGCCTTACCAGGATCGTAGGTTCAAAGTCCGGGGGATTTTCGCTCGACGGGTGTGTACTCTTGGAGTGTTAGTCAACAGTCTAAAGACTACAACCGCAGAAATGGTCACCCCGGCCCGGTTAGACCATCTCCAAGCGGTACCTGGATCGTCCATGCGGGGTAAATTTCACACGTTCCTTCCCCAGAACGAATCATCGTGGCGGGTGATGGTCATTCCCCGTCAAACTCTTCACTCCAGCGGGGCCCTTTTACGTGATGGCGACCCCTCTTCGGCGGGTTCGCGATTGGAAGACACTCCCGGTCGCCGAAAGATGAGGTAATGGCTTCAAATCTTCATATCCTCTAGGGGAAAGGATATTCCATACTGTGGTGACGTGACTTTGAAGTTTTCATCATTAGTACTATAAGGAATTTAGGACAATTGAAGAGATTTCAACAGAATTGCCCCGGACTTGGATAGCCCAGCCGAGTGTCTTCTCGGGAGGTGACTAACCACCGAATTGGACTGTAGCAGAACATTGAAAGAACCCCGGTTCGGCGACTCAGCCTCAACTTCTGATTCTGGTTATCAAACCCACGTTCAAAGGGCAAGTGGCCCAGGCTCAGGTCACCAGGCCAGATTGCCTCATTAATTCCAGGTTCATTGCAATAAGTCATTGTCCGCTAGTGCCTAACCTTGGAAGACAGGGGGCAAAGGATCAAGGGAGGACCTCGGGGGAACCTTGATGTGTTCAAATCGTTGGGGCAAGTGGTCGGCTGATGTCTTCAAGGTACCTCAACACGAGAGACAATATCAGTATGGCTTGAAGGGAATGTTTGCTATTAAAATTGAGAAACCCAGGGCTTGAAAGGTCCCCATCAGATCAAGCCGTCAATGTCCAAAATGTTCCATGGGCCTTAGGTATTTGTGAGATGAGATGAGATGAGATGATAAGAAGACAAAAGTCATTTTCCCCTGGACTGGCGTTTTAGATATCTTCAGAAAATGTTTCTCTGCCCAAGCCATCAAGCCATCAAATTATCAAAATGACTGATCCTGCACCTGGGTAAGAGTCATTCTCAGGCATGAGCGACCGTGCCACAGCTTCAAATTCTAACGCATATATACCTAACGAGTGGTAGACTATCATGGATATTATAAAAGTCAATTATGTACGTTCATGACTTTCCAGTGGCACAATCTAGATGCTCCTTCAATGCTCGGTGCCTGGAAGAGTCGATTCGACAGCCACGCATACACATACACCAAAGTCGACGCCTGTATATACCTGATAGCTCTGTGTCCAATCGATCTAGCCCAGCACTATCACGCTCAGAGCACCGGTACTTCTAACCGCCAGTGATAGCCATGTATCTCAATGTACAATGTATTCAACTGTTGGAAGTAGATGTACCTCTGCCGCATTCAACGTTCAGATCGCTTGATACGGGCTGACTTGCATGCATTGTGATGAGCTGTACTCACGACTGGATGAACAACACACTCAACAGAAGTTGATCGGTCATGAGGTCCGGACCGTTTGATGCGGTGAAGAAAAGAATTAATCAATGATTCCAAGGTTCATGGAGTCAGGCATGTGATTTACAAAAAGTACGATAAGCTCCCAAGATCGATCGTCCCCAGAATACAGTATCTGGGATATCCCAGATACTGTATCTCAGCATTTTATTTCATTCCAAGGGGGAAAGCCCGAAGAATGTACCCAGCCTTGCGGAGTCCCAGTTTCCAGGAAATCCGGAGTATGTGCATATGATAGCCTTGTTTATTCTTTCCCCCTTAAACACCAAAAAGCCACCTACATACTGCATACGTACTACTTCTCTATGGCATACAGTATATCGAATGTTGGGGGATGGAGTGGAGTGTGGATCGCAGGGGGGATTAAATAGTCGCTACACCTGGGAATACGTATGTGACGCCCCTTGAATCCGGGGAAATCATCTCTGGTCTGTTGGCTCAAATCTTGGAACGGCGGGATGATCATGTCTTTCAACCCCCTTCTCCAAAGGAAAGGAAAAGCATCCGGATGAATATCCTGAATATCCGGGACGATCCCAGACGGCTAAACCATGAATCGGACTTCCACCGCTCTTCCGCCTAGCCCCCTTGTGTGATGACTGTACCCACACGGGAAGTTGGACTCTGTAAGTACAGTCAGTACCTTGGAGACCTCAAGTGCTATGGAAGTACCTCCCAGGCGGTACTAGCATAAAATGAAACCGTTATCAAACGGCGACGAAACCACACAATCCCCTAACTACTCGTAGTTTATACGGAGTACTCCGTATCTAATATGTACAGGGCTTATTGCAACATCTCTCGCTCTCGCTCTCCCTCTCCCTCCTTTATCCGAACATTCTCCTTTGGGCCCTATTTTCCGACCTATCCTCCAATTCACCAGGAAGATCAACCTATTGCCTAGACCCTCGTCGGCTTTTACCCGGGGGAGACGGAGGGCTCCGTAGAACCTTGGAAGGGAACTAGAAGGAATTTAGTTTCCACCGTTCTTCCTTTCATTCCCTCCATCATGAATAGCCAAAAAGTAAAAATCCCAAACCTGAGCCCTGAACACGTCAATCCTATTCCCGATGCGAAGAGTCCGGGATCCTGGAGCTGCTTCCCCGGAAGCCCCTAGAAGCACTAGTTTACACCAGATAATCCATAACCCGGAGAAGCGCTAATCCATTCAATTTCCTGCCCCCTTCTGCTGGGTCTGTTGGGTCCTAAAATGGATCTGAATGGATCTGTATGGGTCCTGAATGGGTCCATTTTCCCCACATTGGCAACGCGTTAGGCCTTTGTTTCCCCGGAGGAAGATGTGATTTTTGAGAGAGGCCGGGTGTACTGTACACAGTATTCAGGGCGGGAAAATGTGGCCCCCCTTTCCTACAGATGGCCCTGTTGGCCCTGTTGGGTCGGTTAGTGGTTTTACTTTGGGGCGAATGGAGTGGTGAGGTGTCTCTAGGCTCTGGGTTGGCTAAGGGCTTGAGGGAATGATCTTCGCATAGTATGTACCTGGTACTTTCTGTACTTTCTGACTTGATGATTGCGTTTTTCCCCAGGCATGTTATCTCCACAGTTTGACAGTTTGGGGGATTTACTTCTTTTTTTTTATTAATTAGAAGAACAAAGAGTTTTTTTTTGGTTTTTTTAAAATAAAATAATTATTATTTTAATTCTCGGCAAATAACTAAAATCAAATAATCCAAAGTCCACAGCATCAGGGGAGATCGGATGAAGTATAACCACCGACCCAACAACACCACTTCATCTCCTATAAAGCTCCAAGTACTCCGTACATACTCTCAGACCTTCTTTTCTACCTTTTTCTCTAATTCCATTTTGGCTTATCAGGTCTCAAAGCCCAATACAACGTGTACACCTCCCATTCACCTTCAATCTCAGCCCCTGCAACCCTTTCGCTTATCACTTTCTCTTCCCCCTTATCATCTCCAACCACCCCAAACATTGAAGGCCCCCATTCTCATCCTACTTAAAATCTGACTTCCTCCCCCACAATCCTGCGTGGAACACTTTCCGTCTACACTCTTCACCGAACCTTCAACTGGAACCTTCGTTGCATGTGAGTTAAATCCTTTCAGCCGTTGGCTACCCGCTCCCCTTTACATCATAATGTATATACAAAAGTCGCCCCCAGCTCCGATCCCCCGATCCCCCCGATCCACTCAACAAACTCACCTCGGGCGGTTTCGGAGGAATCAAAGCATATGCCGACGAAATCGCAGTTGCTAATGAGCATTATTTAGCCAGCTTCATATCCTACAATTCACATTCCGAATCATAATCCGAAATCTTCAAAATTTGCCTCACTCTCTTCCCTTTTCCCTCGTGCCGAGGTACTACCACTTACTACCGCCATATCTATTCATCTCTCACCCAAGAAATAAAACTCGCCTCCACCACCACTTGCTACCTCTCAACCATTTATTTGTTCTCCAAGTTCCTTCTTCACACAACATCTCTCTTGAGCAATTCTCGCCAAGCACTTCACATATCCACAATGGCTTCTGTCGCTTCTCCCAAGAACACTCCTCTCGGTGTCGCTCCTCCAACGACCCACGAGGCTCTCGTTTCCTTCTCTCAAAACTTCTCTCGCGCCATGCCCGGTCGCAAATCAACCAAGACACTTGAAGATGGCATGCCTCCTGCTCCACCACCATCTCCCGTCGCCTTCGCCGTTGACAGCAATGGCAAGGCCCCTCTCAGCAAACGGGAGAAGATCCCCAGTTTGAGTCTGGAGTAAAGGGCTCGCCGTTGAACTTTCATCAGTCTGGTCTGCATTTTTTTTTAAAATCTTCTCACTTTCTCTGCTCGGCGGGCCATGAGCAATCTTCTTTTTAATCGGCGACTTCATACGACTTTTTCAATTTGATCTCATATCGATAACACACCACGGGACGAAGAGTTGGCTGACATGCTCGACAACAAACAATGTCCACTCTTCTCCTTCATTACCTTCGCGTTTGGTTGGATTTCGATTTGACATTATTTTGCTACGAGATAAATCGCGGTGCTTTACTTGTTGCCTTTCCAATATCTTTTTCTCGCAAGTTCTTATCGGCATTAGCGTGGCGGCGTGATATTACTTTGTTTACCTTGCAAGTTTGGCAAGGCTCTAATGACCTGGGGTTACTTTTTTTTTTTTGTTTACTGGATACACAAAAGTTTAGGGAGCTCTGGCGCTTGGAATTCCCTGAACTCATTACACAGAAGAACAGAAATAATAACAAAGTATTAAATTACATTTTTTCCTTATTCTCCATGTAAAAAGTAGCTAGAATTTATTTCGGATTGCTCCGGGTATGTTGTCTAGAGTTCTTCCATCAGCTTACTAGGTGGAAATTGTTAAGGTTCCCGATAGCCTTCCAGGCTATAAGCTTCTTTCTTTGTTTACTACTGTTGAGACTCCACTTGATGGCTTATTACGTCTTTATGATCTCAAGATTTGATCCTTCCGTGTGGATTAATCAAGAGGGGAAGGTGCTCGCTTAAAGAAAAATCCTTGTGGATGACAAGAAACTAGTGAAATTAAATTATGGAGATTAAATTATGGAAGTTTCTTAAGTCTTAAGTGCACAGAGCAGTAGAGTGACAAAAGTACTGACTAGATCCACCAGGGTGCCGATGTACCTCGATCAACTCCTGCGAACGGGTCTTAGTCTACTCGATCGCGAGGGCACAGAGGTACTTTGGTGAAAAAGTACCGGGTACAAACGTGTCTAGATTCTTCTGCACACCGACAAAGTAAGACGAGGGCTCATCGCGCAATTCGATTCGTGGGGGCCAGTTACAGAACACCCAGAGAGGAAGCTAGAACAAGAGCTAAGCGCCGATCCCGACGTCAGAGGTGCAACCGAAAAAATGAGAATCACACAACTTTGTTTAGAAAGTTCGGGGTTAATGCAATCTTGTTGAGATAAGGTGTGCGCGGGGATTGGATTGGATTGAGGTAAGTTCCGCGAACCACGAGCCAGATCACAGCAGGTTGGAGACACGAAAAGCTGGATTTCAGGTGTTTCTCTATTGCATGAACTCGAGGTAATTCTTGATCTATCACATCATTTGAAGAGTGGATGTTCAGAGTGACGTGACCGGTGAATCCTGGCTGAGCTGCTTTCTTCTGCAATTGTCGCTTGTTCTCTTCTTCTTCGCTGATTCTTTGATGGCTTCGAAAATAGTTTTACCATGTGGGGCGGCCCCTCAGTTGAGGACCAGGGGGATCAGCCGTCATCCCAATGAACGGGACCTGCAGTGGCCCCGAAGGACTGTCAGATCTTCCTCCGACAGCCTTGGATAGACCCCAATGTAAGCAACCGATGTAAATCAGATGGGCGAGATGCAGGTCGCTGGATTCCGATGCATGGCCTGTCCTCTGAGGCATATCTTTAACAATTGATAACAAAAAAACAAAACCTAAAAATAAGGGTTGAACTTGCGACCTCGGCCCTGCATCTGCAATCCGCATCCGCATTGTCTCCCACGTGACAGGCACGAAAAGTCGACGATGAAATCATAGCTTCTGAACCGAATGTACCCGCGGTTCGGGTTAAAGGTGCGATCTTCTGCGATCTACCCGGTCGGCATGATAATAATAGACGCCCACAGCCGTTATTCCGGCCATGTGCCCGTGGAAGACCGAAGCCGCGTTCACGAGGCAGATTGGGTACCCTCGGACTTATCGTAATCACGGATCATCTTCTCCAGCAAAGCCAGCGCGGCTTCATCCCCACTCGCAGCACGTCTACTTAACTCCGAGACATGGGCCATTTGGGCTTCCGTACGAGCCCACGCAGCGAGACGATCCGTGTAATTGACACCGCGCCGAGTGTTCACGGACCTGCGCACAGTGTCCGACTGACCCTTTGCATTTTTCAGAGACTGTAAACGGTTGATGAAGTTTGCCTGGTGCGTTGCGGGTTCTGGGCGACCAGCCACGCGCCCAGAAGTCGGACCCTGAGAGGGTACTGGGGTTGTGTCGGTTGAAATAGAGTTGAGGTCATTTGCATTGTCACTGACCAATCCGGGATTGGAGCTAGAGACGATGGTAGCTTTGCGGCCCATGATCTTCACGCTATTGGCGGCGAGGAGTTCAAAGGCAGGACCCTCGCGCAGCGGGGTGAGAACGGTGTGGTCAGGGTCCGGGATTGTATCAGGGTGCGTGAAGACCAGCTCGGTCCCGATTTGATCGGCCCAGGAACAACTGAAGATATGGTTGTAGTAGGAGACGATGGGGTTACACGTGTGAAGGCCCAGGACTTGGATTCGTTCACTGGGCGCGTCTGTCTCGGTACTTTCAAGGGGTGCAAAGTTCTCCCCGTCTGGGTTCTCATCCGGTCCATCTTGTGAGGGGTCTTCTATTGTCTGTTCCTCCTGTATCGTATCCCCGTTTCGTTGGCGCGGCGGTCGGATTGGGCCGTTCGCAGAGGTCAAGTCTAGGTTGATATAAAAGCTCTGGAAGTTAAAAAGGAAGTATTAACTGTGAGATCACCGATCAAATTAGATTCGACAGCGAGCTTACCTCTGTTTCCGTCTCGTCATACTCGTATTCATAGTCATCTGAATCCACATCCATGGCGTCCATTGTGGGATCCATGATTGATATCAATTGTATGTCTTCTCCCAAGGGATTTTTCCTATTGCTGCTATCGATCATCTGACGATAAGGAGGGGATGACCGATAAGAGATCCTGAGTCAGCAGAAGCGGTGATGGGACAGACCCACAAAATGTACAGTAGTGGAGTCGTTGTGTGTGTTTCCCCTCTTTTTGTTAATCAGACTGAATTCGCCATTTTGGTTGCATTCTCCAGTGGCGAAAATTGCATTATTTTTTATTTTCCAGTTTCAAATCATGTGGAAAAATTAGGCGATATCAAAACAAACAATTAGCAATCAGTATCGCTACAATAAGTTTTTCCTAATGGTGCAAGATCTATCTATGATCTACATTAGTTCCCCTCTTACAGAATGGATGTCCCTCGTATAGAATGGGATTTCAGCCTTATACGCTTTCCCCTCTCTTCTCCCCTCACTCTCACTGATGCCTCTCTTACACTGGTTTCTTCCCACTCTTCCTAGTCCCACAAAACAACAAATTAGATACTTATTTCCTTTCCAAAAAAAAAAAAAAGAAATACCATGAAGACTTTAGTATTACCAACCCAGACCAAACAGAGGGCCAGAACATCATGCGTTCGTAAGTATCCGAGTCTTCCGTTCTAAGCTTGTTTAGCGCCTGCACGGAAACCCCCCATTATGCAGAAGGTGGTCTATGGACGATCGTATCAGGTTTAGCCTTGTTCTAGCCATTTCCGCACGATCCCGGTCACTGGCGCTGGTTTGTTCGAGAACCATTTTTGTGTCCACTCTCTCTTATTATTCGTTTTTTATGCCGAACTTTTTTTTTTTTTACCCTCCCAATTGTTCGCCGCATACACAGCAAAGAAAGACAGGCGGAGAGGGGTGTACACACTTTGCTGGAATCGGAAGCGCCGGTCAACTCCAGCTCCAACTCCAACGAAACTAACACAATCGCAAATAAATTTCTAGGTCTCCCCCACATCCTGTTGTGTTGCCTGTTGGCTTCCATTATTGTTTCCCATCCCATAGATTCTTCCCCGGCATGCTCCCCAGCCCTATCGTTATCATCGGTTTCCTGCATTGATCCTCCCGTGTCGACCGGGATCATTCCTGAGGCTGGTTTGTCCCTCCAAGAATCTTTTGTCAACCAGTCCTCACTCGCAATCGTTCCCGATTGCCTTCAGCAGATGACTCGCAAGGCTAGGGTAATAATTGCGACCCTGTCGACACTCATCATTTATGTGTCCCTCAATAGTCTCGCTCGGGCGGTAAAGCCCAGCGCTTTCATCTGGTATGCCGAAGACCGGGAAGACGCCAGCTGGATGGCAACCTCACACTCCTGGTTTGACCGCAAGAGTTGTCGCTGGCTCGGCATCTGCGGTGCTGCACATTTACAAACCGCCCATGGACTATATGGTCATCGTAACGCCGCGGCGATGTCGGAAATATCCAAAAATGCCGCTGACCCGTGGAGCTCATACTGGTTCGGCGGGGCTAATCAATCTGAATGGGATGCCGATGAACGGGCTAAGCGGGAGATCCCCGACTATGTTTTTACCTACGCCCCACTCGTCCATCTCTACTCCCGGGAACAATTTTGGCCTGGCGATATCGCTGAGCATTTGTATCACACCACTCCCATGCTCAATTATACCCCAATTCAAGCGGAATGGGTCCATCCGACCCTCTCCAACCTAGATGAACTCAACCAGTGGATCCCCAGGCAGGTTTACTTGACCAGCAATGATGATCCGCAGTCCCGTCCCCGTTGGTTAGAAGGCGAGAAGAACATTCCTCAAACCCCTGATGGCAGTATAGAGACAGCATGGGCCGATTGGGATGGTCGTGTAGATGGCAGGATACCTGGCGACACGGAAGAAGACCTAGCTCAATGGACTGATCTGCGTCGGTTCGATAATGAACCAGAAGCGACCGACCAAGATGACATCCAAAGTCAAATCCCGCTGCTGGAAGAATCATCGGAAGCAGAGGAGTATCTTCGCCAAGAATTCCCACATGGGAAAGAATCATCAAAGGCAGAGGAACATCTTCATCAGGACATCCCATTACAGGAAGATTTATCAAAAGCAGAGGAATATCTTCACCGGGAACTGCGCAAACGGTATGGAGGCAAAAAAATCGAAGAACCTTCAATCCAAGGCACTGGAGGCCGTAGTGATGCACCCGCAATCTTGCTTGTGATGGACAAGGGCAATGGAGTGGTAGACGCTTTTTGGTTCTTCTTCTACAGTTTCAATTTGGGTAATACTGTCGCCAATGTGCGTTTTGGTAACCACGTGGGAGATTGGGAACATTGTCTCGTCCGATTTCGCGATGGCCAACCTAAGGCTTTGTTTTTCAGCGCCCATACTGCGGGGGAGGCTTACAGATATGAAGCGGTGGAAAAGATCGGTGAAAGGGTAAGCTTTTTTTTCTCTTTCCCCCCCTTTTCGTCCCTTTCCTACATCAGATGAACACCCGATTAGTTTCTTTTCTCCTAACTCTTTCCAGCCGGTCATCTTTTCTGCCGAGGGAAGCCATGCGATGTACGCTACACCAGGCGTACACCCATATGCCCTTCCATGGGGCCTACTCCACGATGTCACGGATCGCGGCCCACTTTGGGACCCCTTGCTCAATTCGCATACATATACATATGACTATGACAACGACACTCTACGATCATCGACTGCCACCCCCAGCTCTCCCACAGAATGGTTCTCTTTCAGAGGCCACTGGGGAGACAAATTCTATCCACTCAGAGACTCTCGCCAGTACAGATTTGCCGGACAATACCACTATGTGAACGGACCTATTGGCCCTCGCTTCAAACACCTGAATCGTCGCAAGGTGTGTCAGGGTCCAGATAAGGCTGTCTGTGTTATCAAAGATTGGATTGGTGAACCTAGACGAATTCCACGGTGGGGTCTTACTGGAGAGTGATCACCTACACCTACACCTCTAGACACGGAGGAATCTCCTAACCATCCTACATCTCTTTTCCTTCCTTCCTTATTCATTCCTTCTACTATCTCATCGAATCTGTTTGCGCTGATCATATACCCTCTTATTTGCTCATTTTCCTTTGCATTTTGATATCAAAAAGGGTAGTTTAGATCCTGTTTTGGGTTCTTTCACACACTCCTTAACTTTTTGTTGTTGTTTTTTGCTTTGCTTGGTCAAAATTATATACATCCATGAACGCCATGATACCATGATTTGACGCTGGATCGCGTCATTTGACACATTTCTCTTGCTCTATGGTGCTAGGCGTTGGTTATTTCCCCTTTTCTCTTTTTGTTTTACATTTGGTTTGGGTCCACGGGTGAACGATCATTTCCACTTGACTAGAAGCCACGAATTTAGAAAAGACAGTGCCTTTATATATAGGTACTTGATGCTTTTACATATATATGACTTCCACCCTGAAATCATGTAGTATCAAATTGGGACATAGACCTTGAACATTTACATTCAAACACACGAGAAGAATATACGTTAAGGACATTGGATAAAGTCTGACATTTTATAGAGGTTGAATAAACAATAGAGACCTCAGGCTCAGGCTGCTGGTATAAAGCTGGATGCCCTTCACAAGGCTAAATATATTTACCCACGAATCTCCCACAGTCGAATACGGCCCTGCTCATTACCGACAGCCAACTGTTCGGAGTTCGGCGAGATAGCCACGGAAGAGATCCGACCCAATGGCGTATTCGAAGTTGGCCAATTGCGGTAAACCGTGCAAGAAGGAAGATGAACTATACAGAAAGTAAAATCGTTAGCCACATGAACATAATATAATAGAGATGGAAAGGAAATGAAATGAATCAGCTTCTTACCAAGTCTCAGCGCATCGCGCTTCCAACGACTACCCATAACCAACATTTGTCCATCAGGCGCAAAGACCAAATGGCTAATCGGGGTGGTAAGCTGGTCCAATGCCCGGACAGGTGTCGGGTTACGCGGGATACCAGCCTGCGAGGGACCATCCTTCTCAGTCTGGGAAGCATTCGCGTACGCAGAAGCCCATTCACGACGATCATAGACGTTAACAATACCACTTGAACTACCAATTGCAACCCAGCGATCACCACCAAGTTGAGAGCGGCCGGAACGACCACCCAGAGAGAGAACAGTAGTACCAATGGCACCAGCATCCAGCCAACGAGCGACAACGCGACGAAGACGCCCATCCCACTCTGAGACTTCACCATTTTTACTGGCAACAGTCATTCCCTCGCCATCAGACCACCAGGCGAAATCGGCGACACCGCCACGGCCATCGACGCGGATTTGGGCAACCCATTGCGCAGTTCCGGAGTCGAGGACGTTGATGAGACCCCCGCCTTTGCGGGAGGTGCCGATTACACCGACGTAGCGACCGCAGGGGGAGAGCTTGAAACGCTCCATTGTCTTTTGTTCTTCTTTTCTGTCTGCGGAGCCGTTGACCTTGTCCACCTTTCCGGTGTCTAGATCCCAGATATGGAAGTATCGTCGTCGGCCGGAGGCAAAGATCTTGTTACCTGTAGGTGGGGCGAAGGCGGATGTGTGGATTGGGGTGCGTTTGATGTGCATGGAGGTTAGAAGAGGGTTCGGAGCGGGTGCTGAGGGGGAAATATGATGCAAGAAGAGAGTTGATGCAGGTCCCGAGGAGAGCAGAAGTGGGTAGTGAGGGTGGAAAGTGAGTGAGTCGACAGCAGACTAATTTGAAAAGCATAGTTGTTAGCATAAAGTAATTGATTATCATTATCGCATTGGTCTTCTGTATGCGCGAGCACGTATTGCGAAGTAATGAAAAGGTCATTTCTTACCGGTTGCGTCTTGCCAACATCCTTAAGACGTTGAATATCCAAAACTTCCTGTCGGAGTTTGCGCTTTCCGCCGGAACGAGCATTATCGTCAACACGAGTGAGATCCGTAGAGTTTTGAAGCAGCTTAGCCAATGGCTGCATGGATAATTGCTCCTCCTCATCGGAATCCATTTCTTCGTCACTAGCATCGGAGTCCGAGTCCGTCTTGCGACGCTTAGCAGCTAACTCGGGATTTGCCCAATCGGGAGTGGGGTGCATGCGCTGAAACTGTTTGCGCAATCGTCGAACATATTCCTTGCCACTGACAATGTCCTCTGAATCTGTGACACGCAGCTTGCGCAGCCTAGCCTGGCTACTGAGTGATACGGCAAGACGCTCATCGTCACTATCATGCCAGACCGCGGGGGCAGATTCCTCATCCTCTTCATCAGATGGTGTCCCCGGGGAGGGAATGAGACCAGTAGTTTCGGGAGCAGCGCCGGAGTCGAGGAAGAAGAGCTATTTCAAGTCTCTGAATTAGTACTGATTCCTATTATGTTGGAAACGAACAGAACATATCAGGTAAGGTATCACACACATCTGCATCTGCCATGTCTTCAACATTGACATTATCATCGTTCTCATCGGCACTTTCATCCTCGTCGCTGTGTAGAGTGAGCTGCATGCCATCAGCCCGCTTCTGCTGACTTTTCAATGCGCCCATGAACCCCTCATCATCACCGAACAGCATGCGCTCCAGCGTCTTCTCAGACTCGTCCTTTTCAGGGTAATCATCTTCATCGGAGCTAGTCTCATCATCCATCTCAATGTCGTCGTCAGAGTGTTGGTTGATTGAAGGCTTTTCGGAGGGGGACTCTACGGTCGTCCCCTTTTTTTGTTTTACCCCGACGTGGGACATTTTGATATGCAGGGTTCTATTCTGGACAACGATATCTCCTTTTGACACAAATCACCACTGCAATCGGCGATCTGAAGCTTGGGAGCAAGATGGGGAATATTTTTCGCTTTGATTTTTGCAGTGCCGGCATAAATAGGCGGTGTAAGTGGCGGTAGATAGAACTCATGCCTCAGGCCGAAATACGAATATGTAGTATCTAGGCCGCAATGACGACCCCGTGCGTTTAAGCCCTGCAAATCAGGGTATGGTTCTAGACCCTAGCTTCTTTATGCATATGTTCTGTTTGGGGAGTAGTGATGGGGTTCTAGCTGGATTCACCAAAGTATGTTTGAGAAGTATATAGGAAGTTTTATTTGGAAAAATAGTTTCGTGTACACATTGATGGTCATGATAAATAAAACATTGCGTAAAAGACAGCCAGCACTATAGCAAAAACATATCGTTCACGGTCATTGTTACTCCACCGTCTTTGATTGCGCGTGTTCACGACGACTGCTACTGGAACCAGAACTGGGCGGCTCATAAGGCGGAACCGGAGAATGATCCTCAGTCAGAGTGAGATCTGAGTCCTGGAACGCATCCTTTTGTTGAGGTAGCGGTACAGGAGACTTTTTGACCGGTCTATCCTCAGAATCTGAATCCGAAGAGTAGGCCTCGTCAATTGCGTCGAGCAGGCCCCGTCGTCGTTGAGGGTCTTCCTCAGTAGCATCGTCCCGATTTTCATCATCAGAAAAGATGTCATAAGCCACTTTCTTTTTGATGAAAGTGTCGATGATGTAATACTGGATGGCATTCATGATGACGGGGAAAAGAAGCATCACAAATGTGATTTGGAGAGCAGTGTTTCCTTCGGTCCACCGCAAAGCCCAGTCACCAATCTTGACAATAATGGGGAATGCCTGAATTAAGAAAAACACGCATATCTTCATATTCAGCAGACCCAGAAAGTAGATCATAGATTGTTTGAACCACCAGGATGCACGAGGAGGCTGGCCATAGTTACCGGACTCTATCGATTCTGGGGGCCTGGCGAGAGGGGTGTATGAAGCAAGGAGATTCAAAATTCGGAGCGCGACGATTAAGATGGGGATTCCTAATGTAGTCTAGATGGCAGATGAGTTTCATGCTCTAGGGTATCAAAGGGGGTTGCTTACATCGATCCCGAGATTCAACAAGTAGAATGAGCACGGATTCGGCTTGAAATCCATCCTAATCTCAAGCTGACCGGCCGAGAACATTGACATAAAGAGGTTTGCCAAATGGAGCATCGCCGACCCAAATACCTGTTTTGAGGCATCGAAAGCCCAAACTTTGACTGGACGTTGAGGTCGCTCTCTCCATCTCTTAAACACTAGCGATAACAGTGCCAATAGTCCAAGGGCGGTTTGAACGATTATAGAGAAGGATCCAAGCAGTTTGCATTCACCACCGTCTTCATTTTTCCCATCCCCCAGTCCAGTCACTGTGGCACCGTGATAGTAAAGCATATGTCGATCGGGTGTGGGTGATGCTTGTGGACGAGAGGTTGCAGCGATCAAGGTTGTGGAGGCCTCAACAGCGAGCGAGATGGCCGCAGCAGCATCCATGGCCGCTCATGCAAAGTGTAAAACCGGTTACTGATGACTAGTCGACGGAGGGGGAACGTGATGTGACGTAAACGGAAATGCTGACCCGCTGTGTAACGTCGAGATTGTAGAGAGGCAGCCACTAGGGCTTATCGAGCACCGAGACAACAATTTATAGCGAAAGCATCGATTTAAGTAAATCGAATAGATGATAAGAATACCTGCATGTACGATGAAGCAGGGATCAAAGGCCAAAGAGAGGTTGGGGCGAAGAAACCTCAAATTGCCGCAAGCTGCCTAGAGGCGGTGTCCGCCCCCGCACCGGGATCGACCCGGTTAAACTAGGCTTCGCCCCTTTGACTAGGGGATCTTTAATGGGAAACCGGGATGAAACATTGACGGACTCTAGGAAGACTTTTAGGAAATGAAGCTATAACTACCTGAGCTTTTATCGTGGTACATTAATGTCAAATCAACGAACCGGGCACCCATGGCTCAATTATTGCAGTGATATAATACGGAGTACGGGACCCCATAGTTAGTACGTATCTGCAGTAGGGTGGATCTCTTTAGTCTTTCCGCCCCAGGACCCTGTTTTGCCTTGGCCTTGTTGTGGCAAAGGGTGCTATAATGCATGCATAACGGACTACAAGTGATATCATGGATAGATTAAGAAAAAATATGTGTTTCTGTATTGAACCCACCCAGCCTTTAATAAGGCAGTCACCTTTCTATTTGAATCTGTAGGGAGACCTGCAAAAAGCCCGTAGAAGAATGTGTAGGAAGAACCGTAGAAAAAGCTATAGAAGGATTTGTACAAGAGCCCATAGAATAAACCACAGGAGAACATATATACCAGAAAGAATACTAAATCAAGTAATGGAAGCTATACCCAGAACATAGAAACCTTCTAGATCGTACTGATATGATATTGCCATACTTCCATTCTGCCCAAGTTTCAAAACGTTGTTACCAAGGATATGATTTCCAATTAGCCCCGGATTCACTGCAGTATAAAGGTAAGCGAAAGATACGTGGATGAGACGTGGTTTGCTGAGCAAAAGTGGGGTGTTGGGATTCATATTGTGATCACCGGAGATAAAAGGTTTAATAATAGAATGCACAAAGAAAAGAAATCAATCTCCCATCTGTTTGGGCTCGACGAGCGAGAGACTCGTTCATTACAGGCGAGCACCAAAAGAAAAATAACCCCACCATCAATCATCCGTCGCCCTTCCAAAGTCGAAGGTCGAAAATATAGAAGAAACCCTCGGGAATAAAAAACAAACGCCAGTAACCCCTCAACCAAGCCGAATTCGAGAGAACAAGAGAGCCGTTGTAACACCATGCGCAGCTAGATGCTTGCAGAGGGCATCATTAGAGCCAGATTTCGTCACGTCATTCTATCCCATGCTGTTGTTTCAATCGTTCCAAGTTTTCTTGCCTTTCCGCGAGATCTTCTTTCGAACGAAGCATCTTTTCCGGCTGGTGATACAGTACTATATCGTAATCGTTAGATACAGTTTGCTTTCGAATTTTTCCGGGGTTAAAAGGCTCGAAGGCTTGAGGAAGGGCGAGTGTTGTAGTACATACCAACCAAGTATCTGTTTTGGAAGTTGAAGCCATTGAGTTTATCGCATGCCTGTTTGGCGTCGTGTACGTCCTCATAGACCACAAATGCGGTGCCCTTGGAGTTGTTGGCGATACCTTGACGAATTTGGCTACGCAAAGAAAAAGAAAAAGAACCAACTGTTAGCTAGGGAACCCTGGTCCACCTCCGAAAGCTTGAAGGACTCACCGAATAGGCCCAAATTTGCCGAAGAGGTCAAACAATTGCTCTGCCGTTACGTTGTAGCTAAGAAGATGAAGTCAATAGCCTATTCTCGAAATTTGTAGGTGCCGGTATCCTGTCGACGGGTGTTGGGTTGCGACTGGCGGGGAGCCGCGGATGGCAGATAAACGTACTTGAGGTTCTTGACGAAGAGAATCCTGTTAAAAAGAAATCCGTTACTATTGAATATCCGATAAATGTAGACCGTGATGAAGGTGCCATCCACATAGTGGCGGCCTTGGCCTTGGCCGTCTGCATCTCCGAAGAGGGGCAAAGATATCGCACGTACCGATTTGCTTCGGGGGCGAGCTTCCGGCTCATCCTCAGAGAGATGTTGAAGGGTAGATAAAATTGAAAATGAAATAAGGAGCGAGATACCCAGGGTACCGAGGGCCTTAGTAGTGTTAGGAGACAGAGCAGCGCAAAGATGGACATGAACACGCAGATTGCAGAATAGCGGTCTTGGCATCCCCGAATGCGGTTTAGCGGCGGCCATCGCCTTACGGAATTAGGTAATCTCTTTACCATACGTGACATTATTACCACCAGTTGACTCAATAGACATAGGCAACCACGGGTAAATTGCATTGTTAGTTATCTGCCTGGTGCTGAGGAAGTCCCCACGTTCCGTCACGTATGGTAATATCACCACCAGCTCAACGACGGTCTCGTCGCAAGTCGAATTCAAGGCCAGGAATTCAGGCAGCTTTGCCCTTTACTTCTTCTTAGACACAATTGAATGCTCTCGGCTTACTGTGAATTTGTGGAAAAAAAAAACCTTCTAGATCTTTAAACCTGGCAATACCCTAAGCCGTCATTTGTCTGTTCATCATATAGTAGTCCGCAGCTTGTCCCGCGTACGCACCTGCGAACCTACTCGGCCTACCATTCTCCTTCACGCCTTGACATTCTCCCCTCCTCACCCACACCCTTCCGGAAAACTTTCCATCCATTTCGGTATCCTCAGCTTGTTATCCAGTTGCAGGAGATTCCTCCTGTTGACTGGATTGCATCGATTCACTTCCCTCTCCTGCCCGCGGACTGCGGCGCGACTCTCGGCGCCTTTGTCCTCCCGCCGCTCGACAACTGGAGGTCCCCTCAACTCGAAGCGCATCCGTAACTCGACTACCTACCATCTCCTCCCTCGCTCTCAATCACCCCTCGGGAAACTCAGTCTATCTCGCAGTCTTTTGTGCGATTATACTCCCACCAGGAATGACTTTCCTTTCCTCTGCGACGGCCTCTCGCTAGTCCGTGTGGTTCAACATCCCCGCTCTGCACCCGCCTGCGGCAATCGCAACTTCTCGCCCCGTCGAGCTGATTTTTTACATTCACGAGTTCCGAACTTATACTGAGGGCGCAAAAATGATGAGCGCCGCATCCTTCTTAAATCCTTTGGGCGACCGCCCTCCTCAATACCGCACGCCCTCCCCTCCGCGACGCGCCGTCGAACCCATCACTCCCTCCACCTCCGAATTTCGCACGCCGTGGAACGAACGCAGCGTCACTCGGGCTGCAAGCCTTGATCGTGACCAGCGTCCATCAAATCATACTCGAACTATCACTACCGATGCTGGTTCACATCACCGGTCGGGCCATGGCCGGTCCAACTCGACCATTGACACCCTTGCAACGATCGCTCTCGCAACGAGCCCAACCTTTGCACCGCTCTCATATCGCCCGCCCTCTCCTGTTTCTCGCTTTAATATGCCTCTATTCCCCACCGAAAACAACTCCGAACGTCCGGCGAAGCGTGCCCGATCAGAGCGAGACCCATCACCGGATCGGTCTCGGGGAATCCCACCTTTCAACTCTCACTCTGCCTTCATCAACAGCATGCAAACCGATGCAGAGCTTTTACTGAACCTCGCCCGACCCACCAACTTCCAGCCCAGTAACCACACAAAACGAGTCAGCATTGATGAGTCTAATAATCACTACGGAGGCGAGTCAATACGGCATACTCGGGTTGGGTTTGTTGGTGGGGATCTGAATGGACTGCAGGGCGGGAAACCCTCATACCAAGATGATAAACTTCCCCCGCAGTCACGCATGAGGTCCCGCTCTGATGGATCTGCCTTCATTTCGCGCCCCGTAATCCGTGGTGTACGTCCAACCACCAGTGCAGGGACATTACCCCCAATTGTTTGGGAAGATGAAATTGACCAAAGTCTTCCGATGGACGAGCCCCGTTACCCTGATCACAGTGAACGCCGACTTTCCTTAGCCGGTGATCTTAACTCTCACAACAAAACACCTGAGTCTATTCCCAAAGTCGAAGACGAAGAGAGCGACACAAATCAAGCCAGCTGCGCTGCATGCCACTTGGTACGAATTCCAGTGGAAACCGAGGAGCAAGACGAAGATACATGGATTGGCTGCGACGGATGTAAGCGCTGGTTTCATATTGTGTGCGCTGGCTTCAAGAACGACCGGGAGGTGCGCACAGTAGATAAGTTCATTTGCCGTGCGTGTCGATCTGTCTACGGCCAAACGACATTTGTCCGCAAGTCATCCCGTGCTCGTACCGCAATTGACTATGCGGGCTTGAATCAAGGTCTTGTCAAGGCGGCCACTGACTCCGTGGAGCATCATTATCTGGAGCCTATTCGTCAAGGGAAAATTCGATTCCAACCTGAAAAGTTTCCTCGTATGAAGCCTGAACTAGTAACGGCCGAATACTTTGAAAGGGGCCATGGGTGGAATGAACCTATCGTCATACCGGCCTGCTGGAATAGCCGCGACCCTGTCCCAGAGTTGGATGCGAACTTGGAGACCTTAGTACATGAAGCTACAACCCAGGAGATGTTTGATGATTTACTGGATCATGTATCTGAGGAATCAACAGACGTGGAAGAAAGGCTAGATTTTGGCCAAGACCAGTTGGACATGGTTATCCCTCAAGGGTTGACCGTTCGCGCCGTGGCCGAGCTCTATGGCCCCGAGGAGAGAGTTGAAGTGATAGATGTGAAGTCGCAGCAAGGAGAAGACAAGCGATGGAACATGCAAAAATGGGCCGACTACTACGAAAGCTCTGAGCCTAACAAGCCAGTGAGAAATGTTATCAGCTTGGAGGTATCGCAAAGCAAGCTCGGCCGCCTAATTAAGCGACCTAAAATTGTCCGCGATCTAGATTTACAAGATGCCGTATGGCCCGAGGAGCTTAAGGCTATTGGCGACTACCCCAAGGTCCAATTTTATTGCCTGATGTCCGTGGCCGACTGTTACACCGATTTCCACATCGACTTTGGTGGATCCTCGGTCTATTACCACATCCTCAAGGGCAAGAAAACCTTTTTCTTCATTCCCCCAAAAGACAAGCATTTGAAGAAATATGAAGAGTGGTGCAATTCCCCAGCGCAAGATTCAATATTCCTTGGCAACCAGACCAAAGAATGCTACCGCGTGGACCTCTCTGAGGGCGACACAATGTTAATCCCATCAGGCTGGATACATGCCGTGTGGACCCCAGAGAACAGTTTAGTCATTGGAGGCAACTTTCTGACACGACTGAACTACGGCATGCAGATCAAAATTCTCAATATCGAGAAGGAGACCAAAGTTCCCAAGAAATTTCGGTATCCATTCTTTCAGAAGATTCAATGGTATACAGCGCTAAGGTATCTGGAGGATGACCCTGTTCCGCAAAATGTGCTAGAGGCTTTTGCCCAGGATGAAAATTATCGTCTGTATCGTCATTATCCCATATACTACGAGTTTGGGGAACGCCTCAACCAGGAGCCCACAAGCTCCCCTTATCATAATGCTCGGTTCTATTCCCAAGCTGAGCTAGAGGGACTCCCCGAGCTAACAAAGTATCTTTTGCGGACTGCTCTCATTGCAAGTTCTTACAATATCGAGGGAGTTACAGCGGACACGCGGAATGCGGTTCGACGGTCTATTCCAAAGGGTGTCGGAGACCCCGTGGACGTGATCCAGAGATTCGGCATTTGGGTTGCATGGAAACGTGGCAATGAGAAAGCCCCTCAATGGACTCGCCCCGGCGTCATAGAAAGCAACCCCAAGGTCTCACTTGCAGAGAAGCGACCAGCTGGTCGGCCTAGTCGGCGATCCGAACGCAATGCGGACAGTCATCGCACCTATGCCGAAAGACAAGCAGTCCAGCGCCCGTCCGAGGACATTACTGCTTCTCCTATACCCCCAACCGTGAATACCGCTCTGGCGCAGTCTGAGAGTGAAGTACCTGCCTTGGTTGACACAATCTCCGATATTTCTGCTCAGGACCCAGTCACCCCAAAACCACGAACCGCGCCACGTGGTTCGGGTCTTGGGCCGAAGCGTGTTGCTTGCGATGCTTGTCGTAGGCGACGTATCAGATGTCGTCATAAGGATGAGTCAAATGAGTGGATTCAGGGCCGCTCAATGGCGATCAACGGATTTGGACCGGGATCGGGTGTTAATACCCCCTCATCTTTGGCCCAAGATGCTGTCTCTGCACTGAACTCTTTAGCTGCCATCGCTTCTCAGGCTGGATTCCAAGCCAATGGCGTGGCAGGGTTAGAGCGGTTTGATGGCCCAGCATTCCATTCAACGGTTATGGGCACGTCCACGGCCGCGGTCAATAGGATGAACGATGTGAGCCCTGACGGTGCCAGCGGCGGTAAGAAAGGCCGGAGCAAAGCATGTGATGATTGTCGCAAAAGCAAGGTAAGCAGCTCTAACTGTGATTTGTCTTAGAAGACTTGAAACTGACAAGTCTGTGAATAGCGCCGTTGTATTCATGACGAACGGGGAAATATTGACCCAATCAAAGCTCAAGAGCGGTCCAAGCCCCGCGGTACGGCGTCAGCAAAGCGCCCTCGGCCAAGTGAAGAGGATGGTATGCCCACTTCTGCTAAGAAAACAAAGCAAGAGAGCACATCCCCAGTATCACACTCGGTATTTTTTGGCCAAGGGGAAGGCCCAGGTGAAGTCACGCAGGCAATGCCTGTCACGGCTTTTGATGATGATCCTGTCGCCTATGGTGTTATCAATCAACTTCTAAACAAACCGACCCAGGATGGCGAACAGCATATTGGCCAAGTCCTGTATGCGTCGCCCCCTGTTTTCCATGCTGACTCGATGGATGTGAAGGATGTGAACTCCATGTCTGTTTCTTCCAAACCAACTGCCTCCTTAGTATCCCCACCCACGTCGCTGGCCGACGAAACGGATGTGGTACAAGATGGTGAACCATTGGCATCCGTCGAGGGCGAGGCACATACCGCACTTCACACACCCAACTCCAGTTCCCGCCATTCATCACGGCAGCCTCGCCATGTTGATCGATTTGCACCGGAGGCTTCCGCAGTCCGGCCCAACAAGCCAGCAAATAAACCAGCATCGTCTCATATACGCCGAACCACACCGGGATTTGCTAGCTCATCCAAGAAACCCGCATCACGCCCATCATCCTCTCATGCAAAGAAAAGTTCACCGATGGTTGAACGAACTTTTGATCGTCATGCGACTACTTCATTGTCTCCTCACCAATCGAAGCATTTGAAGCACCAACTCGAGGAAGGAGATGCAGACGCCGAGAGCCTTCGTCTCATTCGAGAGCTTCAAGAAGAGGAGTTTGGCTTGCGAAGACGACGAGGCTAAACAACAACTCTTCTCTCCAAAATGGAGTATATATCCTTTCCGAAAGTATTTGAGCAGCTTACGACCGATACGTGGACACTGGCTAAATTTCTTATTGTTCTTTACCTCTTCGACTTGTTTTCCCCTTACTTTCTTTTCTGTCTCTCATTCGACTCAGTGGATTACTTGGGATATCATTCAGGAGCGGGGTGTCGAGATTCGGCGTTTATGTTCTCTTTTTCTTCTTTCATTTTTCTGTTACTAAGGCGTCTGTCTCCTTTTTTTTTTCTTTAAATCGGTTCCTTGTTTTCTTTCATTGTTTCTTTCCGGCTTCAGGTTTGACTATGGCGTTTGTGTCGCTCTAACTTGCGATTGTATGGGGTTGTCTTGATCTGACCTGGGGTCTTTTCCTCGCTTGTCCAGGGGTTTTTCATTTTCATTTGTTCACTTATAATCCGAATATCTGCACGTTCTTTCTGTGCTTCAATTCAGTTATCTCATTTTCTGTGGATTGTCTAAACACCAGTGCAGTTTCTCTTTAGTAATTATGAACCGATCGATCATCAAATGTAGTCTCCCGAGATAGTACAGTATAGATATTTGTCTATATCTCAAGTCAGCCAATTATATCTCCTTTGATGTCGTTTCACCTTGCAAGTTTCTCAATGAAAATGGCTGAATGATCATCACTGTTGAAATCGTCACGAATTATCTCCGACAACTCCAATAACGGGGGCAACTACCCCTACAGGCATGGGCGGGGAAAATCTCCACCTTGAGTCGGTCCACACTACGACCGGCAAATGAAACCAATTACCGACAATCAGTCAGCGATCAAGCTACAGTATTTCCATCCGGCCATACTGTTAAAAACACTCTATCTGAGAGGTATTGATGAAGCTAGATATAGATCTACCTCTGAAGTCCAGTAATCAGTAGGCTTGCTCTATATATTGACTACTAGAAAGAGATCTGGAAAGAAGTCGAGAAGATCGGCAATCTAGATATCTTATAGAGGGACCAACATTTGAAGAGACAGATGATAATGAGAATATTACCTACACAGTATAACGATATTCAGCTCAGCGAACTAGATAGTTTATAATTCAACCGGGCTAAGGGTTATGTGGCCGAATTGCCCCGTCACAGTTTATAATAAAAAAGGAAGCAATTACAAAAGCAAATTTTGATATGATAGTAATCTTTACAATATGATTTCTTGTAATGTGCTCCTCCCTAAGAAATGCTAGGCTAGTGATGATGATAATGATGATGGTAATAATGGTGATGAAAATGGTGATGGTACTGCTGCACAGATCCTGATCTATTCGCCTCAGACAATAAATCGCCAGTACTTAGAGATTGATCCTGAGATGAGAGAGCTTGACGAACAGCAGCCTGTTCCATAACCGACTCCGGCTCTTCATCAACCTCTGGAATGATAGAAGAATTGTCGAATGGAAGATGGTGAGCCTGCACCTGTGTATTGGCGAGATCGAGAGAAGCGATGTTATTCAAAGTGTTGCTCGGGTGGGGTACCCAAGGATAACGATGACCATGCATGAAATTTTGATGGGAGATTGATCGCGGTTGGTAGACATCCGTTAACATATTTGGCTCTGACTCGTAGTTGCGATCTGGTAGGGCGAATGATGGACCTTCCGGGGCGGACTCATATGACGGGTCGTGATAAGGATTGGATGGAAACGAAAAGTCAGGCAGTGATATCCCTGGCCCGTTGGATGTTTGTGTACTATGGATACTGATGTTGTCCAATCCATACACAGGCGCACTGTGGATGCTCATATCATCTACGCCATACATTGGAGATAAGAGTGGGTTGTCGGGTGGACATAGAGACATATCCGCAGCAGAGATAGGGAACTCTTGATTATCTCTTAATAAATCCGAGTTCATGGAGTATGGCACGTTGGTGGGGAAACTGATTGACTTTGACCTTGGGATAGTTGCTGGCCTAATGGGAGACCGGATTTCTCCAGGTGTTTGCTCTGATACCCTCAACAGGTCCTTCGAGAGCCTCCTCCATCTATTTCGACAAGTCAGAGGAGGGCGACCTGGTAATCTAGCGGATATGGCAGCCCATTTGTGACCGAGCTCCTGAACTTTGGCAGCTAAGTACTGGTCCTCTTCAGGTGACCAATTCTTCAGTCGGTCTTTGGCCGAAGGGTCCAGAATATCATTGTATCTTTTTGCACACTGATCATCCTTCCGGCCCTCGATAAGGAGTGCTATTCCATATCAGCAAAATGAAGAAGAATTCGGTGACTTATCAACTCACCGATATCTTTCCAAGCAGGGCCTAAGCGCTGATGAGCCGCAAGCAAAAGCTCATCCTCTTCTTTGGACCAGCGACCTTTTCGTAAAGCCGGATCCAATGAGTGAAACCAGCGTTTTCGGCAGTCCTACAAATGATCAGCACTAAACTCAAGCTTCTCCATAAAAAGAGCCAAAGCCAACCTTATTGGATCGTCCGGGAAGATGCTTCGAGATCTCAGTCCAGTTTCCGTCCTTGCCTTGCTTATCGCCGAAACGATGTACGAGGGAAATAAGCCTCTCGTCTTCCAACTTTGACCACAAGCGGCGAGACGTGGCCGCAGAGTCCGAAGCCATGCTGGCCCGTTGGGAAATGATCCCTTTGATGGGGATTGACTCGGTTCCCCGCACTATCACGATCGCGCCATGGTGTCTTCCAGTAATCGTTGCTTATATCAGCCTTGGGGCCTTATCACCTTGTCTAGATCGAGCTAAGTGTATCTTTCTTTTTTGTTATGGAAGTACTGCTTTTGTGATATTAAAATAGATACAGGAATATTTCTACATCAATCCATAGGGTCAAAGCCATAGAGTGGATTAATGTATTTCAAGGTTCCAAGGTTCGAATTGTTTCGGAGTTCGTTTCATGTATTTCGTATCTCGCATAATAAAACCAAAACTTTGTTGCCACGAGCTTGAGGCAGTGTAATGGAAGACGCTGCGTAGTCTCATCTAAGCTACTGAGGAAGCCAAGTTCCGTTGCGATGATCTTTAACCAGCTGGAGATCTCCATATATCCACGCAGAATATCCTATTCGCCACGGATTCCTTCACAGCTCACAGCTATGGAGAATACAGAGATCAGGATCAATTTATCATTTAGCCTAGCAGTTAAAGAATCTTCTATTTGGTATTCTATACCTTTGGTACATGAATTTAATCTATACCTAGACCATACAATAAATAGTATGAGGCTCGGATTTCAATCGCCGATTCTGATCAATAGCCGGCAAAGGTTACCAGGAACCTGCGAGATGCAATAGCCGTGATACGCGATCAACATGTCAAGAAGAATATTTATTGAATGATTTTCCGGGGAAAGTTAGGGATCTCTGATGATTATATTTTCCAGATTCCTGCTTTATTATTACCCGTTCGAACTTACACAACTTTGGGAAATTAACAAGAAAACAAACATACAATGGGCAAGCCAGTCGTTCTTCACTTGGGTGATGACATCCGGTGGAACCATGAGCTATACAGCAAGTTCCAGGACCAATTCGAGATCAAGCGGTCATTTAGCATGTCGCGACCGGAGTTTATTCGAGCTCTGAAAGAGCGTCAATTCGGTGACTTTGTCGCTATGTACCGTCCTTTCTGGAACACTGGTGGTGAGATGGGGAACTGGGACGAGGAATTGATCGCATTGCTCCCCGATTCATGCAAGGTCTTTGCTAGTGCTGGCGCTGGTTTTGACTGGGTGAACATTGGTGCATTGGCGAAGAAAGGTATGAACCTGGACACATGTTCTCTACCCGATGATTGCATACTAATTCACTACTTCTGAAGGTGTCGTTTACTGTAATGCCGCAGCGGCGTGCACTGAATCCGTAGCTGACGCTGCCATATGGCTCATTATTTCGACTTTCCGACTATTCTCTTGGTCTGCAATGGCAGCCCGTGCCATCGATGCGGACCAATTCGCTGATGCCAACCGTAACCTTGCCATGGTCTCACAGAATCCCAAGGGCCACACCCTCGGTATTATTGGGTTCGGTCAAATTGGTCGCCGAACCGCAGAGAAAGCATACAAGGCCCTCGACATGAAAGTTCTCTACCACGACATTGTCCAGATGCCTAAGCAGTTAGAGCAAGTCTCGGATGCCACATTCCACAAGTCCATGGACACTCTTCTCGCCGAGTCAGACTGTATTGTCGTGGCTACCCCTTTCAGTGGTGAGACCCTTCTTAACGCGTCCTTGATGTCAAAGATGAAGCGTGGATCTCGACTTGTGAACATCGCCCGAGGCAAGCTGCTTGATGAAGCTGCTTTGGTGGACGCGTTGAATCGGGGCCAGCTTTCTGCCGCGGGACTAGATGTGCACTTTAATGAGCCACATGTCAATCCCGATTTGGCGCGGATGAAGAATGTAGAGATCATGTCGCACAATGCCGGTGCTTCATTGGACTCACACATTGGCTTTGAGCGTCTCGGAATGGAGAACATTATCTCTTTCCAGCGGACTGGCAAGGCTATTACTCCGGTTAATGCCCAGTTGATCAACAAGGCGTCGTCCTCAAAGCTTTAGTCGGTGAATATGTCTATTGATATTATTGTACATATATATGAAACTTTCCAATATTCGAACCTGATAAATGACCAGAGATGATCCCCAAAAAATCCCACTCGCAGGGTATATTCTCATTGATAAAGATGCATAATAAAGTAGGAGAAGGACATGCACGTTTCATCTCATCTCATATCATCAGTCCCCAATCAAGGGAATCTCTTCGCATACTGCAAATTCTCGTTATCTTGATTGTTGAACTCGAATCCACCTCTGACCCCAGTGGAAGACACTTCATCCGTCAACCTGTAACTGTAGACATTGGTCCAATCCCAAGGGGCCATTCCATTTTCGGGTTTGATGTGATATGTTAACCAACATAATGCGCTTTCGTTCGAGACCGGCTGAATTATCGAGTCGATGATCGAGACCTGCGAGCCGAGACCGGTTCCTCTCCATTCGGTCAATTCTGCTTGGAAGCCCTCCGAGACATAAGATCGATTGGGCATGACGGTCATATCCCCCAAAGCGAAGGAAACATAATTGGGGAGGAAAAAGGTTGAAATTCGATCTCCGAGGCTTGTCAATGGGTAGGAGTAATTGCCAGTCAGGGCGATGGTTGCGGTATACGCCGCAACAACGGATTGGGATGCGGAAATGATATTCACCATTGTGACGTTTAGATGAAAGGGATGTAGACTTGACTTGGCGACCAAAGCTGGTGATAGCGCCAGCAGCTTTATACTGATGGAGGAAGTAGGAAAGGGGTGGCGTGAAAAGCCGAAAAAGACGAAACTTGAAGACAGTATGCGAAATTTGGGGGCGTAAAAGCAGGCTTGAGAGCTTGAATAGAGTTCGGATATGAACGCCATCCACAGGGGTTCCTCCGTAACCCGTAAACCGGGCCACTTAAGCGTCTTCTCTCCACTGAGCCCCGCCACCTTTTACCACGCGAACATATGCACGGTCCATCTAGATTCTGTTGTGGCAGGGCATGCTCTATATTCAGAGCAAATTGTAGCGATTGCAACGTCGGCCGGCTTATTTTAATAAAGGATTGAATTACTCCGGAGTTTTAATCTGCCCGTGGCGTTTGAATAGCTTCGTTGTAGGAGAATACATCCATGTCTATGTTACCATATAAAACTTTGGAAATGGGTTATCGTTAATACTAGATACGGTTGATGTTGTTAGATGACGTTGTTAATACTTTATAACAGACTAGAGATTAGAAGTTCGATATGAAATGTTCAATAAGAAGATTCTTTGTTCTCATGCGATCGTTTGTTTTTGTTTCTTTGACACCAAAGGAACACGGAGTTTCTCCCAGTGGAGACCGTCGCGTTCTTCGGGAATAACGTTTAATTAATTTAATTTTAATAGTGCAATCCCTTATGCTCTTCTGCAGAAAGCCAAGAAATGCATAGAGACCTGATTAATCATGTCTAGATTAATTCGGCCCCGAGGGGGTGGAGATTGTAATGCATTGCAAGCCATGGCAAGTTTGAGATCGGAATTCCCTAGCGAGGGAGCCACGTGGACAGGGATTACGGAGTAAATGCAGTGAGATTATGGAGATCAAAGCCATCATACACGTCAAACTTGCTTATGCGGGAAACTCGGATATAGTATACGCATCACAAGATTTGGCGACGAATGCGAATGAAGTGCCGTAAATCCTAGAAAGACCTTCTTTTCTTTGTTCAATTAAGGAAGTATATGATCTATTCCAACATTGCCAAGAAATCCTCCGTTTTCAAAATCATACAGGGGGAAATGTTTCTCTTCCAATCATTATTCCAGAAATCCGAAATCCGAGGTTCAAAGAAATGCAATCTTTCAAGGAGAGACTCCAGCCCACTCCCACAAAAGAATGGACTCGTTTACTATGATGGCAAAGGTTTTTGAAGTTTTACAACAGCCTCCATGTTGAGGCGACTCTTCTTTAGAGATCTGAGAGGCTACCTGACAAGGCAAAATCTCATGTGCGGCAACTGACAAGCCCCTTAAATATCGTCAGCCAAGGGGAATAATGATGTACAAAAATAAACTGTATCTGAGGGAGAAACATGCCTCGATGGATTGTATTGAGCCCCTGGAACTGAAACTGCTTGCTGATGCAGGTGGAATGTGGGGGTCAAAAGATCGAAAGGCTGAAACATACATCTAAATGAAGGCTTAGTCCATACGGCAAGGTAGATCTCAATCTATTATCTCACGGGTCACCAAAACTAAACCTTTATTTGAAAAAACTTCTCCCCGTGGCCCAGGGGGCTCCGCCTTCCTTTATAACTTGGGGGATAATTATAGATTGCGATACGCGATAAGGGCCCTTATCTACGCGCGCTTATCGAAAATGCACTACAACCAGGCAAGATCAGCAGCTGACGATGACGATCCCTTTTCTGTGTTGTTATTCTGGTTGTGACGGTGATGGTTTGGCCAATGACTCTGCAGACTTCCGGGTGGCACAGCCTCATCTACCCTCAAATGCTAGCCCTACCACAATGTGGAGACAGCATTTGGCAGAGTTTGTCCAAGCTTGATTGGACGGCTCGCATAAACGTTGGATCTACAGTTCATGAGCTGAACACGAGCTGAATGGGACCCTGTTTGACATGTGTCTATTTAAGATTGCAAATTTCCCCACGGTCATTTTCATTAATATTTAGGTTAAGAATCAACCTCGAATATCATTTTACATAAACCAGCTCATGAATCTACCTCTCTCACAGCCGCAATGAATACAATTTCCGGTCTCCCGACCCCAATGCCATTCGAATTCACTGTCTACGACGACGAGTCCCTAGACAGGTTCTACATGAGCCCATCAGCCTTCCCATCGACTTGTGACATCTCATATGAATCACCAGATGTGTCAAATATGAACAGTTTCTTCATTCCAGATTGTGGACTCCCATCTATCGAAGACCCCGGATTGCTTGCTATCCCCACAATTCCAGAACATGCATTATTCAATGACACAATGAACGATGCGGATAGTGTTTTTTCATGGTCCACTTTCTCTACTGTCACTGAATCCCCTCGACCAAGTCCGCGAGACCCATCATCATCACCGGGATCACAAAAGGAAAGGGACGATCTATTAAACTATGGTGTCCCGAGCGATAACGGCTCTTGGCGCTGTGCATTCGTGGGCTGCAGTTCAAAAACCACTTTCCAGCGAGGATGCGATCTTCGAAAGCATTACAAAAGACACGATCGCCACTTCTTCTGTCGACATCCTGAATGTCCCAAATCATTATCAGGTGGATTCTCCAGCAAGAAAGATCGTGGTCGGCATGAAGCTAAGCATAACCCGACCATTACTTGTGAATGGGATGGGTGTGAGCGCGTTTTCAGTCGAATGGATAATATGAGGGATCATCTTCGCCGGGTACATCATAAAAGGACTCGTTCTCGATGATGTAAAAAGAATGGGAGTCTCGATGGCGTCGAGAATGATAAATTTATGATTCAAACTAGCGAAATACCCTCATGACACATAAACATAAGGAGAAACAAACACGGCTCCATTTATGATTCTGGCGTTTTTCTTTTTAATAACTATATATATTTGCTATTCCAAATTTGAAATGACAATTTCCATTGAATTAATATGCAAGGAACAATAACGAAATTCCCATCCAAATGTAGAGATTTTTGAATGTCTCTAAACATCATTCGCAAAAGTTTCCCCAAGTTTGACTAAGTTCTCCCAGCGTGGATCCTTTTGGACCTCAATCTTACATTCAGGCGTTGCGACTCTCATTTCGTCAATTGCACTTGTACCGAATACAAAATCCTTGTCATCGTTGACAAAGGCAACCAATGCCCCGATCCAGCGCTCCATCAAACCCCTTTCGGCATCAGTGGGGCCATGCATAATGGCAAAACTGTAAATATGTTAGCATTGGGTATAATTCTATGAATAGCACTTTCGAGCCCCTTACTTCCAAAATGGCTTATCCATAGCATGGGTGACACCAAAAGCTTTGGGGGCGACTTTGTCTGTGATGAAAGACAACCTATATGCGACTCTGTATCGCCAAATGTCGCCTAGGGAAACACCGTGACTGTAGAGTGAATTGATTAACCAGCGAGTTGGCGCTCGGACCTGTCCATCGGAGATAATATCCCCATAGACTTTCTTCCATTCTTCTGGGTCGTCAGTTGTAGGTAGCTCGTATGACTTTAAAACTCGATCGGTTGTCTCCGGAGAATAGTAATTAGAAACTTGCAGTCGTAGAGAGTCGATGTTAGGCTCCGGAGTGTTGTATGAAGCATAAAGCGTCTCTTCGTTGAGCATCTCTCCAATAAGTACGCGGAGGCCCCTTTTCCGAAATTCCTTGGCGAAGGCGCCGCTTCGATGGTATTCAGTGAATCCCTGGAAAATAAATAGATCGTCGGTAACAGGACGGAATGTATGGTTATCCAGATGTCGAATTGCAGAAACAAGATCCTTGTAATCGATTTCTCGAAGCTTTTCAACCCTTTGAGAACCCGACAAGTCATCCGAGACCTTGAAGTACCTACAAAGCTCGTCAAACTGCGGATTAACATCTGCAAGGGCCTTAGGCTGTGCCGGAATAGCATTCGAATACATATAGAATCTACGAAAGAGCTGAGTCTGTGACCCTTTCTGGAAGTCATGAAGCACCTGAGCATGCACACTATAAGCGCCTGCACTTCGTCCTCCCAGGGTGATATTGTCAATGTCACCGTTAAAGGCAGCAATGTTCTCATAAACCCATTCCATAGCAAGGCGCTGATCCCAAAGACCAAAGTTACCAGCACTTTCCCCATTACTCTCCTCCAGCAGAGCCTCACTAGCCAAAAACCCAAATACATTGAGTCGGTACCCAATCCCCACCACAATTGCATTGAGTTTCCCCGTAGAAATCATCTCAGTGGGGTCCATTCCCACTTCTTGCAGGGGATCACCGAGCTGAAACCAGCCCCCATGAAGCCAAAGCACAACTGGCCATTTCTTACCAGGATCACTCGGATCTTCAACTGGTGTCCAAATGTTCAACAGCAGACAATCCTCGCTCGAGGCATGCGGTTCCACACCCTTTTCTGCCCCACTTGAGAATGCTTCTTGGGGACAAGCAGGGCGAAAGAGGCTTCCATCGAAAGGCTGCCCATTGGAATGCGAATAGCTATGATTTATCGGCAATGGGCGAGGCTTCCGCCAGCGGTGTGCACCGGTGGGAGGTAAAGCATAGGGAATACCGGCATATCGTCGCGATTTATCGTCAAACTGAATACCCTGGATCTTTCCTTTGGTCCCCAAGTCAACCTCAAGAGGAGACTGGTGATATGCTGAGAGTGTGTTGCCCATATTGTGTATGAAAGCCCCCGAAGTTCAGACAAGAGGGAGAAAAAGCAAAGAGGGGTAAGAGGCCGTGACAAACACCGACGATATGTGTCCGAGTAGCGGCCCTGGACAAGTGGATACTGCCGGAAATTTCTCCGGGTGATTTAGAAGCAGATAAGAGTCGATGATATCCATATCTTAAGTGCGGCGTAAATATCCCGGATTACTCGTTATCATCTGGTGGGGCTCAAAAACGTTAAGTTACGAATTAGGTGCATCATAAGGACATGAAATATAGATGCATGATATAACAGATTATCTGAACTATTTTATGAATATGCACCTATATGTATTAAATTTTGCAATTATGAAATAAGTTCATTTTTGGTGGACTTATGATCCCTATTCACCTAGTAGGCACCAGATCGTACATTTGACTATATAGACTCAAGATACGGTTATAACACATATCGGAATCCCTTGTTATCGATTTCCGTTTGATCCTGTGAATACCAAGTCAGACTCTGATTGATGATAAAAGACAAAAAGACAAAAAGACAAAAAGACAAAAAGACAAGATAAAACTTACCAGCATTCCTGCCTCCACACCATCCTCAGAAAGCACATTCTCAAGGGCCAGCTTATCACGACGCTTGTTTTCGAAGTACATGAACAGGTATAGCACCACGATTGCAGTCAATTTGACACTATATCCAGCAAGCATTCTGTAAAAGGTCAATTAAATGTGCCCAAAAATGCGGAAAGGAGAAGGGAAAAAAGAATCACATACGCAACATAGGCACTATGGTACCCAGGAGCCTCACTTGACTTGAAAGTCTGTGGCCCGATAATGTTTCCAACGCAGTATCCCGTAAACAGCAAAGCGCCAGTAACTTGCTTCTTCGTATAACCGGCAATGTTGGAACTGATCATAATCAATCCCATACTGAATCCCAGTCCCTGGAAATAACAAAGCCAGAGACCGACCATTCGGCCCCATTTATTCGAATCCGACAAGCCGACTAAAAGACCCGATCCAAGAATACATGTGAGGTTGGCAAAAATCATACAAGCGAATCGAGAGTGAAATTTCCCGTCGAACTTTGTAGCAATCCAGCCGCCGATAATAAGAGTCAGAAAGTTGACGGCGCCACCAGGAATTTGGAGATATTGAGTTCCCAGTGTGTCGAACCCGAAAGATCCGACAATAATGGATGTGAACTGTATTTAACCGTTGTGTTAGCTTATTTCTCTGAGGAATTCATCCTGTTAGTTATCTGGGTGGAAAACATACACTTGTCAAAGCCGAGTTGGGCACCTGAGCCCCGATGGCCATAATAAACAACAGCCAGGTCTTTGGATCACGCGCAGCTTGCCAGACCTGGTACCACTTGAACTGATGGTTTTTCACACCTTGCTTATTGACAGCGACACGGTCTAAGGCAATGGCTCTCTCGCGCTCATTCAAAAATCGGGCAGTTGATGGGAGATCTGGAAGAAGCCACAATGCCACAATACCCACCACAACGGAAAAGGCACCGAAGATCAAAAAGACGTACATCCACCGCGGCAGACCAGTCTGAATATGACCAATAGCATACCCAAGGAGTCTAATAAAAGATAATTAGTACATTTTGGAGCCATAGTTGGTAGAAGTGGGTTCTTACCCGCCGAACATGGTTGCAATACCATTGGTGCAGTAGTATGACTCTAGACGCAGAGGCTGTTCCTTTGCCGTATACCACATACTCATCAGCAATACAAACCCAGGGTTCACTACAGCTTCGACCATTCCAAGAATGAATCGGTTAGAAGCGATCCCGGCAAAGTTGTGGCATGCCGGAGTTGTCATAAGGAGAGCACCCCAAACTGATTGTTTTTATTAGTGACCATGTGAATCTGGGAGGAATCGGACTTCATACTAATTGCTGTCGTCGCAAGGAACTTCCCGGCCGGGAGCTTCTGCATAGCCAGGCCCGCTGGGTATTGGGCGATTAAGTAGCCGAAGTAAAATATAGAGCCTGTATGTACTGGTCAGAAGGAGGCTGGAACACGTAGAAAAAAACGTCCTTACTAAGCCATGAGTAGTCTGATCCTGTCAGGCCTGTTCCAGCTTTGAGGCCGTATACCGATGCAAAGTTGATACTATTTTTATCAAGATACTAGATGAGCGTAAGTAGAATTCTTTGCATATAACGAATAACAGACAGAAGATCATTTACCTGCAATAAATAGATAAAAAATAAGAGAGGAATCAAATGGAGATCAATTTTTCGCAAGACTGCCTTTTCCTCTTCAGGTGTGTATTGCAAGTCTTGGTGTTGCTTATAGAACTCATAGTTGTCATCGCGATCCGAAGTCGCAGGAGTAATAATGGACTCCGTCGGGGCCTCAATTTTGGTCTCAGGATCTACCGCCATACTGTATCGACTGAGACTGATGCACTAAGGATAAATAATTATTTGCAAGTGGGAGCCCGAGCAGTGATAAAGCCTGGCGGGACTTTACGAAATATCTTTTACCGGTTGGTAGACCGTGTGGAGAACGAGTGAATGCATGCCGTACACTCCACATGGCCTGCCAAGGGAAAGTTTTCGAAATACCGAGCAGGAAATAAAGGGGAAACATGACATCTTCTCTTCAGGAGTTGCAAAAGACGCGACATGATTTGTCCAAACCGTCGCGAGTTTGGACGGACAAGGGGAAAACAGCCATGACAACGGGAACAGAGCCTTTTTCGGAGAAAGATGGGAAGTTCTGACCTATCATGATAATTTCAGTTTTCCACATTTTGATTTTGATTTGGAGTTAAGTTCCAAAGTTGCCGCCATCTTGGGGTTGATCTTTACTCGCGATAGGTGGAGGCGATCACGACATCGCTGCGTTGATTGCGTGTGGAAAACATCAAAGCGGGTTTTCTTTTCTGTTCTGTTCTGTGATGTGTAATCGTGTTCGACCGGACATTTGCCGAATGTCAAGGATGAAACAAGTTTGAAGGCGACATTCAAGCTCAGGTTCACGTTCTATGTACATGATTAAGCTTAAAGCTAGATCTTGGATGTTCTGGAACGCGTGGAGAGGAAGAAGAATCCTAAATCCTAGTCTAATTCAAGCCGCCCGTCTTACATGAAAATTGAAACGAGTATCAGGTCCACATAACGTCAACTATTTTAGGAATATCATCTATTTATTCCAAGCTGCTACCTGCATCTGGAAGGTCAATCTGATTTATGTTTCACGGAATTGGGGCTCAAGCCGAGATGTTCGGCATGCCGAGCCGGACGTAGCTTAATTACCCTAGAGTAAGCTATGACCTAGAGTAAGCTATGAATCATTCTTGTCTAGGGCCCCAGCGGGGCTTTTACAGGTTTCAGGGAGTTTTGGGCAGGTTTTTACTAGGATCAGATTTTTTAGTAAATCTTGAAAGATCATATTCTCTATCTAAATTGAGGTTTGTTGGTGATTTCGTAGAGAATTTCAAAGAAAGACGGAGATGGAGGACTGCGCTCCGAAAAAAAAGACTACCCAAGTCCACACCGAGGAAACGCCACAATTCGTTGAACTCATGATCTTACTGGATCAATAATCTAGTAATATTTATGTGCCAAGTGTGGGAACACATGCGATAGGCCATTCTCTGTTAAGTTGGCACGGCTGGTAGAGCTGTCTTCTGGCGATGCACTTGGTTCTCCCAGCTTCTCTCGGACGCGCTGTTGGTATGCATCCGATACTCCAAGCGTGCGATCGACTTCCGCTGCGAGTCGGTCCACTTCGTCCTGGAGGCGCTCATCGCGAGTCTGTGGGGAAGCAAGCTCCGCTTCACGGTCCTTGGGGTCTGGGTTGGTCTTCTTCCACAGCGATTCCAATTCCTCTTCCCACCCCAGAGCTCGTGCAAACTTGCGCACTCCAGCATCGATATCTCCCAGTATGAGGACATCATCCCGTCGCGATCCCAAGCCTCCAACGCGATCCATATTGATGAGCACGCGAGGCGTACCATTGACACACATAGATGGCAAGCTGGCGAAGGGTTGTACGGTCAAGCTGGTTCCCATCACAATACAGAGATCCGCCTGTACCGGCAGCTCGCGATTCTGATGGAAGGCTGCTGGGAGGGCCTCTCCAAAGAACACAATATCGGGTTTAACCAGGCCATTGCATTCCTTCTCCAAGCATCGTGGCACATCACCCTTTTCGACATGTTCATGCATCTTGTCATCGGGGAAAGGCGTTTTGCACTCAATGCAGCGTTGGGTTGCGAAGCTACCATGGGCTTCAATGATCTTGTCTCCAGGAACTCCCGCCTGGCGCTCAAGGCAGTCGATGTTCTGTGTAAAGTGTTTCAATAGCATGCCTTTGTTGTCAAGCAGCTTGACAAATGAATGGGCGATAGTGGGGCGATAACGCCCAGGATACAGCTCGCGCGCCAGAGCGTAGAATGGCTTCGGGTTCTCTTTGAAAAAGCCGATATCGAACACATCCTCAGGCTCTTCGAGATCCAAGAAAGCCAAATTGGCATAAAGTCCCGTGTCTGGTGAACGGAAATCAGGGATTCCAGCTGATGTGCTTATTCCCGCGCCAACCTATAATCTCTGAGTTAGTTCACGGTGGCACAGAATGGAATAGGTTGGGTATACAGACCATTAAAACAACGTTTCGAACCTTGTAGTCCTTAATGTACTTGGCCACGGCATCGATATTACGTGTTTCCAGTACAGAAGGGCGAATGGACTCATCCACGAGTGTTGACTCCTCATTACCCATAGCGCGAGGACGTCGAGGACGTCGAGGACGATGCTGATGCTGATGCTGATGGCGGGGCTTGTGTCGGCGTCCGATGTTGGCGGATAGAGCTCAGTCTAGGCTCACAGATTCAGAAAGGAAATATGAAGAAGAAACATAAAAAAAAAATCCGAGGATGGAAAATATTTTCAGTTGTGGTATGTGAAGTGAGATAGAAGCAGTTGGGTGGGGGTGATGTTGAGCAAGACTCAGATCAAAGAAGGCTGGTCGCAAATTAAATAGCTGGGTGATTCCGGGTTATTAGGCCACCAGCTTGAATGACTCTTTTGATTTTTGACATTTGTTTCCTATGACACATTTCATTGATTGTCTTTTTATTCTCTTTGAGGTTCAATTTGAAGCTTTGAAAAGAAAAAAGACCCGCCCGCTCACCGCCTGCCCACACACCTTGATACTATCGCGTGGCATCAACAACTCTGAGAGACTCAGATGCATGGCTCAGGATGACCCTTTCTCCACAGGCCACAAATGGCCACCTATTATCCCCGTCTCTGGAACCAGGACCGTCAATCGAATCGAACGAAGATACCTCCCCGCGAACCGATATATTCAATGCCAGCTCCGTCGCTGAGATCAAAGCCGCACTGTCCCGCCTCCACACTCAGGAGGCCTCAGTAACAGCTCGCCTAGATGCATTGGTAACCTCCCAGAAAGACCTTTCGCGAGAATTGGGTCGATTGGATCTTATGCGGGCTAATATTGGAGCTCAAACAACCACCACCCGATCGATTAGCCATGGAATGCTTTCCGACGCCGCTGGCACGGCCGATCGGATTTCTCGTGCTGTACGCCGACTGGATCTTGAACAGGCCCGAGTGAAAGCGACACTGGAAGTGGTTGAGCAAGTTGCAGAGCTCAAGGCATGTGCACTGGGTGTTGCGGGGTCCATGGGTGCCACTCAAGATTGGGAAACGGCAGCCAGCTACCTGCATCGTGCTTCGCAGGTCCCACCGACAGTGGTTAATGGTCCCTTTGCGGCTGAGATGGTCCCGACGGCCGAAGTTCCAGACCCTCCGAGTGTGACATTGGATAATGCAGCAGAGTCATTATGTGGGCTGTTTCTGCGAGAGTTTGACAAGGCAGTCAAGGCGAATGACGGGGCCAAGATCACCCGATTCTTCAAGCTATTTCCTCTCATTGGGCGATCGGAGGTTGGTCTTGATGTATATGGTCGTTACGTTTGTCAAGGTGTGGCTGCAAGGGCCCGTGGCAATCTCAATGCGACCACTGGTTCGCAGACGAAAGATGGTTTCTTCTACGCAAACGCATTGACTAAGCTTTTTGAACATATCGCACAAATTATCGATGGCCATGGTGGACTGGTGGAGCGCCACTATGGTCCGCGGAAAATGGGTCGTGTTATTGAGCGCCTACAGGTCGAGGCGGATGTACAAGGTGGTATAATTCTTGATACCTGGGGTGACGAGCGACACGTGGATCGCAAATTGATTGAAATCAAATCTTATGCATTTACCTTCCTGGTACAGAGCTTCCTTCCTACACAGCGTCCAGGCCAAGGCCGCACGCACTCACCGGCACCAGCAGGCGCTACAGATGAGGAAGGGGTTGACATGAAAGAAGTGGATGAAATACTGAATGAGATGGGGATTATGCTGGGTCGTTGGTCTCTGTACTGCCGATTCCTTTCGGAAACTTGCAACGTAAGTGGCTCATCGTATGATTTGAATTATCTCAAGCAAATCGCTAATCTACTTCTACAGCCGCCCAGCGAGAATGAGGAGAGCGATGACAAGGGACTCGCCCTTCCCGAATTCTTGAAGGAGTCTTCTCTCGCGCGTAAGGTCAACGACCGACTTGTGACCCCCTTCAATGTCTTGACAACCTTCTTTTTCCGCCGCTCCGTGGAGAAAGCTTTCCAGTTAGATGAAGCTCCATCGGGCTTGAGTTTAAACCTGCAACGACCCCTCAAAGCCGATCCTCCTCATATCACCTCTGCCGTTGACGATATCATGTATATCGTCAATAAAGTTCTGCAGCAGTCTCTGGCAACTTCACAGGAAGGCGTTGTCACCAACGTGGTCCCAACTTTGTCTCGTGTACTTGGATCAGATTTCATCGGCATGACCCAGCGCAAAATGCGCGATGAATTCTACCCACGTGCTATTGTTCAAGGAGGCCAGCCAGCAGAGCATTTGGTGGTCGCATTTTTGGTACAGATAAACAATCTCGACATCGGTATTGATTATATTCGACGAATTGTGCAAAATAACACCGGCTCGAAGCAACTTCCCACACACTCCAAAGAAGGTGCCCAGGAAAAACCGGTGGAAGTCACTGAACATCTTCACTCGCTCTTCCCAGCTTCCTCAGCCGCCCTCAACGTCTCGCAAACACTTCACGCTCTTGCCAGCTCTTTCGAAAGCAAAGTCAATGACCTCCTCACCGATGGCATCCAAGTCGTTTTCAACAACGTCATCAAACAACGCCTTCGACCTATCCTTGCAGACGCCTTCCGCGACATTGAGTATCAACCTTCAAGCGGTGCCGACAGCCCCGTTGACGCTCACGACGACTATAATGAGCATGACGGTAGCAGCAAGGAGATTGTCCGCCCACGCTTCGCGGCTGGTTGGTCAGAACTACTCGTCCCGATGGCTCGTATCCTTACACAGCAGGCCTTCGATCGCCTTCTTACTGTCACTATAGCCTACTTTACGCGACTGTTAGAAAAGCGTTTGTGGTCCTATCAAGGCCGGGTTAATCAGCTCGGGGCAGCCCGTCTGGAGCGTGACATTGCTGGTCTTGTCAGTGCTGCGGTGGATGTCGGTTATGGATCAGGTACTCCGGGTCGTTATCGTCACCGTGAAGCACTCTCACGCTGTGTTCAAATGACACTCGTTATGAGTATGGACGAGGATGAATGGGATGAGGTGCTACAGGGTGGCGAGGCGGCAGAGGTGGTAGACAAGCTGACTCGAGAAGAGAGAGTGCGAGTTCGCGCAATGGTGAGACGTGTATAAATTTGCCCCAGATTTGGTATAGAGATTTTATACTAAAGTCCCGTCGCCGAGTTGTACAAGTTTACGCCTTCCTTCACTCCATTGAGCCTCTGGTTTTACCTTTTGTGTTATCATTTGAACATTTACTTTGTTAGAATTTATAGCGATAAATAAAGCATTACTACCACTATATTAAAAAGTGGTCCTCATTCTTGTAAACTTATTGAAATTATGATGAGAAGTAGACTATTAAACTAAGGTTAAAGTGAGTCGACAGGCCGCTGGTGCAATATCGAATCAAATCAAAGCCGCATAACTTTCTATCGCCCAAAATCGAATGCTTTCTTTTCGTATTTTATGAGTTTCCCTTGAAGAGTATGCTGCGCGGTTCAGTCCATCATTCATTATTATCGTAAAATGCATCGATTATTCAAAAATCGTCTCGCTGCCTCCCAAATTCGTCCTATCATTTGAAGTACCACTCGCCTCAGAGACCTCAGATCCATGACGAGCATGTTGCGACCCGGTGCTCCCGTCAAGAGATTCATGGAAATAAGACTTGCGACTAGTCACCACATTATCAATTGACCGCGTCGACAGACTGCGATGATGACCCGGCATCAACAAAGAATGAGACGAATCAGTATCGGGCGTCGATGGCGAGATAGGAGATGGAGAGGATCCTCGCGTGGCACTGAAGTGCGACGTATCGTTGGTATTGGTAGATGAGGCATTGAAAGCTGTCGGAAGCTCGACAGGAGAGGAATCTTCATCAACGTTAGCTTTGAGTCCAATAGCACGTTGAACATTATTAGTAGCGGGGACATACCATGCATCTCATGTACGATACCTCCACCAGATTCCACTGTGCCGGGACTAGCCGATGTAGCAATCGAGTCGTGCGTGTGCGTCGTCTGTGCGCCTGTAGATGTTTCCTGGCCGGTGGAGGTAGACTGTGGGCCAGGGACAGGGGAGACAGGCCCACCCCCGTACATTGTTGTAAGGCGCTCTGTACCGTCTGCTTCATTTGGGCCTGGCCCTTTCTCTTTCTCATTTTCAAGATAGCGTCGCTGGCGACGTCGAAGGAAGAACCAGAGACCAACGGCGGCTAATATGACTACTAATAGACCGAGAAGCACACCAATCACTGCAGCAGCCCACTTCGGAAAGCTTTTATGGTGGTGGCTGCTTGAGTCGCTATCGCTAGTCGTCGTGTTATAGGGCCAGTAGGTGTTGATGGTCTTGGTGTATTTGGTGTCGAACACTTTAGATAGAGATGAGTTAGTCCATGATGATGGGGAGGTGGTGGTTGCGCCTCCAGAGGAACTATATGAATGTTAGTCGATAGAGTACAGCAGGTTGCGATAATCTCATAAATACTCACTCTCCTCCTATTACATTGGATAGTAAGTCTGGTACTTTGTATTCGCTCCATTGAGAGGGGTCATATGAATCCTGGAAACTGAGGTTGTTGAGATTGAAGTCGGCGATCATGCCACCTTCCAAACAATGAGTCTCATCAATACGGTAGCCTCCAATAGAAAGCATCTGATCAGGATAAACCTTGACGCACTTTTGCCTTGCGCGACCGTGAGTATTGGTTCCATTGTACACCTTGACCCACGTAAACGAGGGCAAAGACAGAATATACACATCGTCGGAGGGATTGTCGGCTGTATCCATGCCATTATATCCTCCATAGATGTAGATGTTGTGCGAAGAATCATCCGATGCACTTGCAAGCACAGAGCAGAACTCAGCCAGCTGCCGCGGTGTGTCTCCAGTTGTATTCTGAAGATACCAGGTCTTGCTTTCGACATCGTAAACCGAAACCGTCTCCATAAATGTTGGGCTGACCTCTTCCGAGTCTGCCTCCTGGGATGAGTTCAATTTCAGATAGGTCTCCCCGGGGTTGATGACACCACCAATGGCGACCAGAACTCCTGAATCAGAAACTGGGACCCAAACAAGCTCTGCATCTGCTCGACTTGGGACATAGCTCGGCAGAGTATCATTGGACCATTTCTCACTCTCCATGACTGACATGTTCACGGTAACCAGGCGGTCGGACATGAAGGTGGTGTTCAATATATCGTTTGCAATTGGAGACCAGTCCTCGGCATGTAGTCCACTGAAGTAAAATCCCAAGTTTTCGCTTGGGGCTGAGACCCCGGCACCATTGGTGACATAGTTCGTGACATTATCAGGCAAAGAACCGAAATAAAATCTTGGGTTCCAATTCTCGATCTCAGGTCCATACTGGTATGCTTCGTATCCAATAATCTGGTCTTTGGAACCCTCTGGGTTAGTTCCAGTTAATATGGGAAGGCCGCTAGAAAGACAAGCAGTTAGCTAAAACTATTTGACGAGTAACATTCTGCTTGGGAATCTTTAGTACTAACGCATAAGTATAGTACTCATCGTCATTGGCAAACATGACACCATCAACGTAAGTCGATGCAAGATTACTACCAGCAGTGGTGGCAATCGACATCGTATCTAGGACATTCGAAAAATTGGAGCTCGAATTGAAGGAGGTAGAAAGGTCAAGAGTATAGATGTAGCCATTGTAGTCTCCTGTATTTCCAGTTAGATTATTTCCTTCCCCTCGAGATCATTCGGAGAAATATGTGGAATTTGGAGTTGTACATACCATCGGTACCTGTTTGATTGCAGCCGCCTTCATAATATCTGTTTAAAAGAAATGATCAGTCTCAACTCTCGAGCGTATACGTAGACAGGAGGCTCCAAGGAATCCATACCGCTCATACACGAGGTTTCCTCCGTCTATATAGATTGTGTCGCGAATAATATTCACTATTTTCGATCAGTACGAGAAGAATCACTCCAAAACTACACGAATAACCTCATACCACGGGGTGCTTGCCAGGTACACCATGACCAGCCTGTCTGCTCAATGTATGCGTCCGTGGAGCATATCGCAGCTGCGGGACCTATCACGCCCGCAACCAATGTGATGAGGGTGCCTAATAGGAACATCCTTCCGCCGATCCAGTAACGACCACTCCCTCCTAGTTCAGCTATTCAGGGGGGTTGGGCTCTTAGATACCAAAGCAGTTTTCCCAAACCGAGTTCTCTGATGTAAATTATGTGAACGAAGCAACTTCTCACATTTCCAAACTCATCGGGGGCCTAATAAGCACCAAAATATGCGGATGTGGGGGGGTTTGAGCGTTGTACTGCCCGCAAGGCTAGAAAGTGGAGATAGGGAGAGAGGAGCTGGGCACCACCGAGGTATCCGGTTTTTCCCAGTCAGCAAATGCGGCTTTGTTTTGATTTTTTCTTTACTTTTAAACTCCAATTAGAGATATATACTGTTTTTCCTTTTTCCTTTTTCCTTTGACTCTTTTTGATTCTTTCATTTATTCTCAAAGGATTTTGAGCGGAGATAGTTCGCTTTTTCTCCGTCAGTCAGTAGTCCGGGTCCCGTGCCCTACTAAGACTCAAGTCGACCATTGACAAAGGAGCAAGTTTATGCACGCCCCGGGTGCCGAGCCGTGCTTGATTGAAAAAAGAACCGATCTTTACCCTGAACGGCAGTTGAGTCGGTCAAGCACATATGCCTCCAAGGGAGTCTTTCCTAGTCAGGATTACACGCGTGCATCAAGATCACTAGCAACCAGTAGCGGGGCACCAGAATACGAGCCTGAATCAGCCTGATGGTAGATCTATTGAGGGGTTACATTACTTCGTCGCCGTGCGGCTGAATTGGCTAAGATGCATCCACTCTTGCAGGCCATTGATGCGTGTTCAAGGCCCAGGGTTACCCGTCATCCCGTCTTTGTTACCCAGCTCGGTTAGTTCATTACTGCGGGGCTACAAGCCAGCAAAGACGGCGCCGGATGCCCAAAGAAGCCAAGCCTCCGTACTTCGTCGAACGAACCGAATGAGCCTCGCGCAATGATCGAGCTTGGGAACAAGGGGGCCGTGCGTATAAGCACTGGAGCTTTCTTTTATCCAGGCTTTCGCAATCGATCTTTCCTCTCTGTGCCTGTGTCAGTCCTAAGTTCGTCGTCAAGGGTGAAAGGCTTCTCCCCCTGAAAGTCGCGACGATGAGGTTTCGAATTGCTGCGCTGTCGCTGTTTGCGACGTCCGCTGTCTCACTATCAACAATAACAAACACCCATGACGTCCCCGCGACCGTCCCGACGCTAGCTGCAGTTACCAAAGTGGTTGGGGCCAGGGCCCCATTGGACATTGATATTGATATCAACGCCGCATGTTTGACTCTTACCATTGGAGTTACCATTTGGATTGGTGAAGGCGAAATAGTCACGGTCACTGATACCAAGACCGACACAACAACCGATATTATCACCGACACCGTTACTGGAACCAATGCGGCAGCTAGCACAGAGACAGTCACGAGTACTGTGACTGTAAGTGGCAGCGCTGCAACGACTACGATAGTAGATACCGTGACCAATACCCAGACTGTCACTGCAACTACCTCAACTGTTACTGTTACAGCTACTATTAGCGACACGGCTACTGATACCGTCACTGTGAGTGGTTCAAATGTCGTCGTAACGGATACCATTACCGACGAGATTACAACAACCGTGGTTGTGTCAGACACAACACTAGGGGAAACCACAGTGATAGTGACGGACACTCTTTCAGGATCTGTTACAACTGCTCCGGCTTCAACCACCACGAAAACTATCACGGAGCCTCCGACTACAGTGACTATATCTGGTAGTGTTACCACAATCCCAGCTTCCACTCGCACGGTGACGATTGTAGACACGGTCACAGAATCAGGTAAGTACCCAGTTTTCTTTACTACCATTATACAACAGGAGGGAATTGACATGATATCTACTATAGGAGGCACCGAGACAATAGGATCAACAGAGACCCAGACATCCTCTGTCACTGTGACCGTTGCCCCAGTCTCCGTGTGCTCCAGTCTTGTCTCTAACCCAAGCTACACACCCGCAACTCAGCTTCCAGACGACTATACATGGGGTTGTGCACCCGGATATCTTTGCTGGCCTTCGCACACAGGCGACCGCTCTGGCTGTAACGTTGAAGCAGGCCTTCCAGATCCAGGTTATATCTGTTCCCCCGAAGATTGTATTGTCGCCCCGCAGCCAGAATGGAATACTCAATCTGGCTATAATGTCTCGACCAATTATTACAACTTAGATCCGCGAGACTTTGGGCTCAATTATACCATACTTGAATACGCTGAGTATTTCAACTCTAACAGCAAGCGTGATCTCTCCTCAGGCTGGGGTGGTGCCAAAAAGTCCCACGGCTCCATTTTGGGTAAGAGAATCGATGCAGATTTAATTCCTACTAGGTGCTATCAGTATTGCGATCCTGTGGGTATAATAGGAGCATCATCGCCAAAGGGACCTGAGTTATGTGATGCTGGGAGCGATTTCCTAAGCTTGTTGAAGACCTGTGAGGATTGTGTGGATGATTTCGAACCTAGCCTTTTTTCGGCATCTCTGCTTCCAACATTCACACAATGGTTGAACTATTGCTCAGATGAGACCACCGCCACGACTTCGATGAGTTCCACAAGTTCTCCTGCGCCAACAACTACGAGCGCCCCCACAACCACCACGACTGATTCAGCCAGTACAAGTTCCGCGGCGACAACAAGCAGCCAGACTTCCACAAAAACTACGACAAGCGCCCAGGTCACTACTACCACCTCTAGTACTTCCAGTACGTCGGCAGAAACAACTCAAATATCTGACCAGAGCACAATTTCAACCGCTGTCTCCACGGTGACAGAGCCTACAACTATTAGTACCACGTCTCAACCTGTTTCAACGGTCACGTTTTCAGACTCAACAACCGTTGTCTCAGGCTCAACCGTAGTCGTCTCGGGCTCAACAGTAGTTGTCTCCGGTTCAACCATAACCGAATCCGCCACGGGAGTGACAAGTTCACAGGCCCTGTCAACGATCACCTTCCCAAGCTCGACCGTCATTGTGTCAGGCTCAACTGTAGTTGTACCAGCTTCAACGGTGACTGAGTCCGTTATTCCGGGTACAGATGCTTTATCTGGGACAACAGTGACACGGCCAAGTTCAACCGTGGTAATATCAGGATCGACCGTCGTTATCCCAGGTACAACATTCACGGAATCTGTATCTCCCGATACCGCCTCATTTTCTGCCTCAACAGTAACACGACCAAGCTCAACCTTGATAGTGTCCGGGTCAACAGTCATTGTGCCCGCCACAACATTCACCGAGTCATTCGCTGCAGGCACATCCTCTCAGCCGGGCACAACGTTGACGTTCCCAAGCTCAACGGCGATCATTTCCGGATCAACGGTTATAGTCCCGGGATCGACAGTAGTCGAGACAAGATTGCCAATCGGAACTAGCTCGGTTCGTGGAAGCGGCACTGTATCTTCCACCCCACCCGCATCAAGTACTCCCTTCAACGCAGCAAAATCGGCTCGGGATGTCCCCCAATTGGGCTTACTGAGTCTCTTCTTGGCTTTTGCCATGTCACTCCTTTGATGAATGAATGTTAATCATACGATATCTATGGCGGAATATGATTGGAATCAATCTACTACAGCGGATAATAAGGATCTAGTTATACTCAAATATTAATACAATTTATGCTTACAATTTCAACCATCTCCTCCCAGTGATAAAAAATGGGCATGGTTCCAAGCTGTGCAATGTTTCCCAATATTTAATCGCGAGTATCAAAATCTTTATTTTAATTCCCATCGACAGGCTAGGAACCTACCCACATGATCCTTTAGAGGAGTACCTTGGGCTCGCCAAGATGACATTTGTAAGGCGCAAAGTTAATCTTACATAAATCGGAGGCTATCAATGAACTTATAAATCAAGATGAATCAGATCGAATTTTCCAGTGGATTAAGATATATCCCTCCTCTCTGTGATTCTCAGTTTATCCCGACCGATGGAATAACGCGCAGCCTTAGCCTGATATTTCAAATGTTTCCCACCTTTTCAATGACATCACTGTAGCTTATTATGGAAACCTCATCGGAATTAGATGCACTACGATATGACTATATTTAATTATGAACACCTAGATTGTGGCGCATTGCAGCCTCGCACTAATTAGCCGTGTCAATGAAACGCTAAATGGGGGCCCAAAATATACGAGCTCCACTTTAAACACCCGCAAGCATCAGCAATGTCTAGATCAAAAGAATGCTAGAACCACAAAACCACGCTAAAATGTACGAGCATCATGAGCTCGGTTTGTTCGTTCTTTTTGTTGGGCTGGGGATTTCAGATTTCGTGTATATATAAAGTGCGTTCAAAACCCTCGCTATTTTTTGATTATTAGACCAGAAACCACAATACTTCTTCAATATCATTCTCACTATGAAGCCTTCTCATCTTATCCCTGTCATTCTTGGCTTATTAGGGCCTGTCAGTGGCCAGTGCAGCGCCAGTGGTCATGGCTCTACTGGTAAATTATCAGGATCAACAGTCAGCCTCGTTGCAACGGAATATGGTACTGTCTTTGATGCTCCAGTGACCATCGGCGACCAAACATTCATGCTTCTTGTTGACACAGGCAGCAGTGATACATATGTCATGCAATCTGGCTATATCTGTATCAATGCAACTAGCAATCTGAAGATTCCAGAAGAAGGCTGCCAGTATTCGAACAAGACCTATCACAAATCCAAAGCATATCGACCCGTGCGAGGGGAGTTCTTCGGAGTTGAATATGGCGCAGGACTTGCAAGTGGCCTCTTTGCCTACGAACAAGTTACCATGGGCAATATCACCGCCGAAGGCCAGAAGGTCGCGATTGCCAATGTCTCTAACCCTATGGGTGATGGTGTGAACAATGGTCTCCTTGGCTTGGCCTATCCATCGATCACCTCGGCACATCCATTAAACGACACCTCGAACGCGACATATTGGTATAACCGCCTGGTTTACAGTCCCCTAATGAACACAATGTATGACCAAGCTCTCATTGAGCCTTACTTCAGTCTCGCGCTAGCTCATACACCACAAAACAAATCCACTTCCTTTGGTGGCTACATGACTGTTGGTGGTCTTCCCCCTGTTGAGCACAGCTCCCACTTTTCAACAGTCCCCGTCGAGATCACCGACAACATTCCATTGTGGTATACATCTGGTAAAAAGACACGGTCATATTGGTCCACAACTATCACAAACGTCACGTATGGCTCATCTATGAACAACCTGACTTCCAACTCGACTTCTTTCCAAGCTTTTTTTGACTCAGGAAACTACATCTCTTACCTTCCTTCTGCAGTTGTCGATCCTATCAATGCACTATTTTCTCCACCGGCAGTCTATGACTCCTCTTTGGGATTGTACATTGTCGATTGCTCCGCAAAGACCCCCGAGTTTGGTCTGTATCTTGGTGACCAAATGTTCTTCCATGACGGCTCGGATCTTATCTATCAGACGGGTGAAGGGCTTTGTGTATCAAGCCTGGGGTCCTCAGAGGATGTTTCACTTGGTGGATTGACCTTGAACATTGTTGGAGTTCCCTTGCTAAAGAATGTCGTTGCTGTTTTCGACTTCGGAAAGAATGAGATGCGGTTTTCCAAAAAGCTCAGCTCACAGTAGAATACACGATGCTGTTGAGTTGTTGACCACCACCTGCGCATGACTTCATACAAAAGAAAATACTTGATAGAATACCGGGGTAGTTCAATGTCTAAAATCATATTTTCTGTTAGCGTTATTCTTCTAATGCATATCTTCCGTCTTCATCCCAATCGACTCCTCTTTTTTGTTCAACTTGCGACTTCTAGAGATCGTTGAAATTTAGTGTGGGGCTGACGCGTGACGAACTAAGGGGCCAAACACACTCAATCTCTAACTTTCCTCAACCTTGCACACGTAAAGTTTTCGAGTTGGAAATTTGAAGATAGATGGCATGACCATGACGTCTTCTGTGACCTTTTTGGGGGCCAACCACGGATTGCAAGTTGGACAGAATTATGGGAGTATCAATGCGCAGTTTCATCTGCCGCCGGGTGAGCCAATTTTCAATGCCTGAATTGACCAGAAGCAGCGAGATCTAATCCTTCTGTATAGAGGATGACTCTGTGCCTTTTAGTCCGGTATCTACAACTCCTTTTGAGGGAGATCCCGATTTTCTCCAGCCAGGTTCATTATCACAGCAGGTGGCCGGTATTTGCTCCAAGCCTGCAGCGAGGCTTGCTCTCGTAGACACTGGTGGCATCGGGTGAGGCAATGATCACAGGCACTTGTTTTGTTCTCAGGAGTTCTGCTCTCGAAATATTTTGAAAGGGAATATCAGATAGCCATTGAGCACGCGTACCGGACACACGACCATTCACCAGACACATGGGTCTTCTGGATTCATGCCAGTAACTCAGCTCGGTTTGAGTTAAGCTATCGCGAGCTTGTAGATAAAGTCAAAATTCCGGCGCGTATAGATCCAAATACAAATATATTCAAGCTTGTTCATGGTTGGCTTCAAGATCCCAAGTACGGCAAATGATTTCTTAGCTTGGATAGCCTCGATAATGATGATTTCCTTCGCCGAGTCCCATCTGGAGGCACACATCCCTCACCTTCTTGCCGCGATGCACTCATGCATCAGTTACCTTCACGACACGAGGCCATCATGTTGCGGAGAGGTATGTGACTCGACAAAATATAATCCAAGTGGACCCCGATGAATCCCATTCAGTGGCTCTTATGAAAAAGAAGCTCAGAGCGGAGCAAGAGTTTGAGAACAAGGATGTCATTGAACTCGTGAGAGCTCTTGCTAGTATTCCTCTTGCGGTCATCCAAGCCGCCGCATACATTATCAAGAATGCGCCTCGGTTCACAGTAGGCCAGTATCTGGAGCAATTTCAGAAGAGCGATCAGAAGCGAGTCAAGCTTCTAGAATACGAAGCTGGGAATCTTCAGCGAGACTGGGAGGCAAAGACTCTATCCTGGTAACGTGGCATATGTCATTTGATTATATCCGAGAAACCAGAGAGTTAGCTGCGGATCTTCTTGCGCTGATGAGCTTTTTTGATGCCCACGATATGCCAGAGGTCCTCCTCCGAGACTCATCTGATAAAATCAATGATGATAGCTCCATCAAGTCAGATCACAGCTTTGATTTTGAAAATTATGTTCAGATCCTCCGGGAGTACTCATTTATCTCAGTCAGCCAGGATACAAAAGTTTCCAAATGCACAGTCTGGTACAAACAGCGGTCCAGAATTGGGTTAATTTCCACGAAGACAAAAACTTCTGGAAATCTCAATTTGTCCAAAATTTTCTTCACGTGTTTCCCAACGGCGATCCTTTGCATCACCGGGGAAAATGCCGCGCACTCTACCAGCATATCCGAAGGGCACACTTTCAACGCCCGAAGTCCGAAGAAGTGCTATAAGTCTGGGCTCTTCTTCTGTTTCGAGGAGCGAGATACGCACAGACAAACAGAACCCCCCAGGACGCTCAAGAACTGGTGACCAAGTCAAAGACTGAGTATGAAAGAATTCTAGGCTCTGACATCCATGCACAATTTCCAGTGCTATGCTTCAAGCTACGAATTATTCACTCGAAGGGCGAATTAGTGATGCCGAAGAGGCACTTTCCCAACTATTTAAAAAGATGTGAAAGGATTTTCGGAGATGATCACGTTATCCCATTGCGAGCGAAAGAAGACCTTGCGGAGATATATTACAATCAAAGCCGACTCCAGGATGCAGAGAATTTGTGGGAGCAGGTACTCCACATCAGAAAGATTAATTTAGGAGAACAACATTCTAACACACTCGCACCTAAGAGCAACCTTGGTACATCCTATACTAAAGCTCAGTATTTATAAACCGACTAAAAGAAGTTCCGAAAAGGACTCGCCTTACTTGCAGAAGTGCTCGAAGCTGAGAAGAAGAATCATCCTGATGATCACCCGAGCATATTGGCGGCAAAAAGCTCAATCTCATCCGCCTACATAGAACAGGGGAAATTGAAAGAAGCCGAAGAAATGGACTTCATTTATTAGAGTCATACAAAAAAGTGTTTGGTGATGAGCATCAATGCACCATTTTCAGTTTGTGAAACTCGGAACTATATACGCCTACATGGACCAACTAGATGTTGCACTTCAATATGGCATGAAAGCCGTTGAGGTTTATCGGAAAACATTGGGGGAGAGAAAATTTTACACGATTGGTTCTATTGGTAACCTTACAATCTTATACGGTCGTCTGAACCCGTTTTCAAGAAGCCGAGCCCCCTTGCGCGAGCTGTATTTGAAGCCAAAAGGGATTCTCTGGGAGAAAAGCACCCTGGGACAATTGATGCGATGGAGATTCTCGCGATGGTCTATGAGGGTCTGAAGAGAGATAAAGAGGCCTCGTCTCTTAGGTGGGGGGTTACAAAAGCGCGGGTCGATGCCTACCGAGATAGAAATCGGAGAAGGTTCAGTCACAATAATCTTCTTTCTTTAACTGCAAAGGTTCTGGTGTCAGCCATTGATCGGTTTGAGTAAACCACTCGAGCACTCTTTGCTGGAGCTTTCCGGGGAGAGACGGGCGTACGTGGAACCGTCTTGGATATTGATCCTAGTTGTCGAGGCCGTGTGAAAACCGGGCACAGACAAGATTTCCATTGCAGATCAGGGTAGAATATATTCTTATGTGAATACTGTAAGACATTTGGTACGCGAAGAAGATTCCCCCGAATTGTTTACAATAATCCACGTCTGGGGTTTGTCGATCGCAGATCCACATCTTTCTAGATGTATTTATAATGTCTTTAGATTTGGTCCTCATACAAGACAAGAGCTACGAGAACTTGAAGATACTACCCAACATGTATCGATTTGAACTTTTGGAAGAATGATCAATTTTGGTCTATTCATAAGCAACAGCTCCCTTAATCGTCTAGCCAGAGGTAGAAAGTAGGAGATGTGGTTATAGTTGATTTACTTTGCAATGTAAAACTTTCCCCTTCGTTACATGGTTTTACCATCTTTGGCATAATTCCAAGCTCTTTCAAACTCGTTCCAACCTCCAGGCGGCGCGTCCCACATAGCCAATTCACGAACCACCGTCTCATAGTATCCATCGCTAGGCATGGTTCCCTGACAGACATTTCCTCCAACAGCGATATTGATGAGTATTCTGAACTCACTCATCTTCCTCGTGCCAGGCGGCTTCTCAGCCCTCATGACAGGCACACCATCAATCAACCAGACCAAGCGTCCTCTACCCGTTGATTCGTCCTCGTCCCAGATAAAATCATACCTCACCCCCACCGGCGAGCTAATGTTGGGGATGGGGGTTTCAAGAACGCGATGCTTGTTCCAGTCCTCTCCATTAAAGTGGCCCCAATGCAGACAGGTGTGATTGACAGCATCACCGTTCCACGCTTCCATGATATCAACTTCGCCATCCTCAGGCCACTTGAAGGGATCTTTAGGCAGCAGCCAAAAGGCAGGCCAGATACCTCGGGCCACTGGCGCTATAATTCTGACCGACAGACAGCCCCGTGGTCGGCTAAGTGTCTGGTGACTCGATAGTCTGGCGCTGGTAAATTTCTGGGCTGGGTCGGGATGGCCGTGATTGATCAGAGCACGTACGATCACCGCATCGCCATGGGGTGAATGGAATGAGTTTTGCGGGCTGTCGATGTAATTCTGGGCCTCATTGTTGCCCCATCCATGCTGACCCTGTTCATGGTAAAAGTTGGAGGACACAGGTGCTTGAGGATTTAAATTGGGCTGCCAGTAGATCTGGGGTTGCGAGTACTGTTGCTGATAACCTGATGGTGGTTTGCTAGAGGTTGGAATGGGCGGTGGGGGAGGCCTGTTATTGTACGCTGGTGCCGGTGGCTGCTGAGGAGCTTGATGGGTTATATCCTCCGAGGCTTTGTCCGCCTTGTTGAGGATGCCCTGAAATGCTTGTCTGAATGGCATGTTGAGTAATACGACCTCGTTACGGGGATGTGAGCGCGGTGCACAACGAGCGCTTAGGGACGCGGAGGAAAAAAAACACCAAGAAAAGCTGACGTCATATTTTGGATGTCCCGAAAGAAATCAAGTCTTAAGCTTCTTGTATACTACTTTTACACATTTTCATCATAATATTCATGGGAAATACTACCCTTTGCCTTGGACCGAATAGACTTAAATCAGTGGGTACATGATGCTTTTCCATGGGCTGGACCACGACTTAGATCGTAAAGGCAATAAGCCCCAGGTTCCACTTATATCTATCATATAGCCAATTAGGAGACGCAAAATCATGGAGCTAGAAAATAAATGCAAACTCTACAAACTTGGTATTGATCGAAATTTCAAGATTTTGATTTCATTACTTACCTCTCGGCTCGCACTATCTCCAATTATGGCAGAATCATGTCATGACCCCTCCCCTCCTACAACAGAACTCTCCAGAGCAGAGCGCTTCAAAGCCACGCATCTCGCCGCGCGCCATGGCAATTACCACCAATATTACTCTCAATTCCGGGAGCCCGTTGTGCCGGACGAACGTCTTTCCATTCTTCCGTCGGATATCCTCCAGAACGCACGAGTCATAGACCTAGGTTGCAACGCGGGTAAACTGACCTATGAGGCGATAACACACTGCGGCGCATCTGCCTCAGTCGGCGTCGACATCGACCCGTGGCTGGTCGAGCAGGCGAAGGCAGCGTACCCGGATGGACCGTGCACATTTGAGCACTTTGACTTCGTGGATGCGTCCGCGTACACGGGTACCGCGCTGGGCAAGTTCGACGTTGCCCTACTGCTCTCTGTGACCAAATGGGTACATCTCAATAACGGAGATGCCGGGATGCTCAAGCTATTTGCACACATACACGATATATTGAATGATGGGGGCTATCTCATCGTAGAGCCGCAGCCTATGAGCAATTATGCGAAAGCTTCGAAGAAGAATAAGGAATTAAGAGAGACGTATAAGACGATCCAAATCCACCCGCCATTTGATGATGAGTTGAAGGGGCAGGGATTTGAGAGGTTATTGGGATTTCAGAGGGATGAGGAAGGTTTTGCTAGGCCCGTACATGTTTGGAGGAAAAGGTCATGATATGATTAATAAAGATGGGTCAAAATGAATCAGATAAATTGCCTTGCATTGGGAAGGCGTAGACTTTCTGGTTTTTAGGTAGGTAAAAATGTGATGGACGAAGCATGGTTAACGCAGTGTCTATTCCAGAAAGTAATTGGTCAAGATTTGTTGGCAGGAATCCCAGAGCAGCATCATCATTGAACTTTGAAGTAATTATTCAGATATTTTGTTCACTGACCAGAAGATTTGATCAGCGCATCACCTAGTGGCATATTAAAAAGACAAATGTCAGACTGTGTTAGGCTACTTTCGATATTAAGACGGAAAACATCATATCCAAATGAAAATGAAAATACAAATGAAAAAGGCAAATTGGCAAATTGACATATCAGCTTCGCAAGTAGTCGTCTCAGATAACGAACCCTTATAAGGATAGCCAACGAGCAGTGGGTCTTCCATCATCTATCGCCCTAGTCATGCTGTTATGTAGTAATAGAAAACTCCAACACACTCTTCCTGCCAACTCAGATTCCTCAAGCAATTCTGGACTCCTCCGTCTTCTTCTCTTGATGGTCAGGACGCTGTTTCTGGGGAATAAGAAGGGTCAAGAGAACTGCCGCTGCTGCACCAGCCAACCCAGAGGCGAAAACGTCCTTGATCCGTAGCATATAAGCATTAGTCACAGCTTTGAGCTCTTCGTCTGTAAAAACATGCTGGATCTCAGCTGCACCTGTGCCAAGGGCCAACGAGGTGTTGATGTTGGAGTTGGAGCTCTCCAGCGTCTGTAGCATTCGGTTGGCGAAGAGGCACTGCGCTACGAGAACGAAATAGGTTCCGCTGATAGACTGTCACACTTTCCTGGGATTTAGCAAAGACTTCTTTTTTTGAAGAGAGACGGGAGCAATTCATACTGAGCATGATACCAGTGGAGCTTGCCACGTCTTCGGGCTTTGAGAAACCCTGTACTGCGGTCATGGGGATCTTATTACCCAAACCGAGTCCAAAGCCACATAGAACCTGGGGCCCAAGGTAGCGCGCCTGAGATGTTTCAACTCCCATGGTGTAAAACAGCGCCATACCAGCCACCATAATGAGTGCACTTATTAACTGAAAGGACATGAGGTGGTGGGTTTTCCCGACGAGACCACCACCCATCACAGCTCCCAAGGAGAAGCAAGTTAGAAATGGGAGTGTATCAGCATCACTCATGATAGCGGTCTTCCCATGAATAGACTGGAAGTATATAGGGAGATAAAACATAACCTGGTAAAACGAAGAATTGGAGCTTAATAAACTCGAAATGTTAGCACCCCCGCAAGATACTAGGGAGGAAGCTGTTGAGTTCTCACATATAGCACCATAGAGCATTGGCCCAAGTCATGCGAGGCCTCAGCAGCTTCAATGGAACCAAGTAATAAAAAAAACCCAGGAATATCAAGCTGTAAAACGATCTCTTCCCAAGTGGCTGGGGCTGGCTTGATATGGGTAGTACGAGTCATTGTGAGTAAAGCCAAGCTTCCTTACCTGTGGTTGGGCTAACAAGGCTTTCTCCGAGGGTATTTGAGGATTGAAAAACTCCCGAGGTCGAGTGTGGAAATCCATGATTGGGATTGATGACTTGGGTGTGTTACCGTTATTATGTCGCACCCACAGTTCTAATCTGACCTTACTACGATATACGGCAAAAAGAATACCCCTGTATATAAAAGCATAGTAGATATCGCAAATTTATCCCAAGAATTAGATGAGAAAGGCAAAAAGAAACCTTTTAGGAATGAAGAAAAAAATAAGAAAAAAGTGGGGGGAAAAATAGGTCCATCCCGGGTTCGAACCGGGGATTTCAGAAGACATGTCTCAAAATCTGACGTCCTGACCGCTAGACTAATGGACCAACCTATAAATCGTGCTACCAAATCTCAAATTATACGCCCGAGGCCTTGGGTAGTGTGCCTCCGGGCTTACCACAGCAATGAATATCCCGTTGCCCCACGCCGGTCAGTTAGTAGTATGTTGGGTGACCACATGTAAATCCTGACCATTGTATGTTTTTCGACAATTAATTACATTGATTGTCTGGAGCTCCCGGGGCTGATTTAAATCTGAGTACTTTTTGTACACAAAATCGGGCGTTAACAAGTTAAAGTAATTGCCATCAATGGAGGAGCAGATAACTTCATCTTTCAATTAGGACCATGGCCATAGAGTTTAAAGTCTGATGAGAGATCTGAGAGAACCCAATGGTTTGAAGCATTGGAAGAAGATACGGGGGAAATGGTAAAAAAAATTTGTATCCATTCATGGTCTGGTATTTTCAATGTTGAGTGCTCCCTAGTACGAAATTATTGTCTTCTCTGGTAGGAAACTTCACGTTCTGAATTATGGGTCAACTTTGTATGGACTATGTACTGTCTATTACACCGCCATCTGTATTGGAAGTTCTATAAAGAGAGCAAAATAAGTAGAAAGATAATTAGAAAGGGAAACCGAAAGACAAGCAGAAAACTATCATTCCTATATACTTTATATAGACATATCAAAGCAAAATATTGAATCACAGCATGGCGAGTTAGGGTCCAAACCCAGGAAAGTAGCAATGCAAGTGCATTTTCTATTTTTGAAGATGAAGATCCACTAGCAGTAATCCTATATATCAGCCGACGCGCTCTTTCTCCGTACCTCATTTCGCCTTGCATAAGCCCATTCCCTCTCCTGGCGCCAGGTACATTCATCGCGAAATTCACAAACGCGACATTTCCAAGCTTCGGAAATATTAACACCACGTGGGTCCCGATGACCTCTCCACCATTCCATCTGCTCAGTAAGATAAGATGACAAATTATTAGGATCAAAGAGGAAGGACCTGCTTCCTATATGCCTATCCTCTGGATCTTCCGTTGGAGCCGAGGATAGGAAACGCGCTGTAAGTACCGGAGAGAGCAGGGTGGAGTAATGCTGCAGTATTTCAGGCTGGGTGTGATGTGGGATTGATGGTGCGATGGACTGGTTTCCTGGTATGGATGGGATGAAAGTGTCGCGGAGTTGTTCTTTCATGAGGCTCCACAGTTTGGAAAGGGTGCCGTGTGTTGAGAGGATACTTGTTGAGTCTTGGCTGGCTTGTGGTGGACTGGATGATATAGGTGAGTTGTAGGTATTGGGGATTTTCCGTGCGTCCTCTGGTGTTGGGGGGTCGTCGATATCGAATTCTTGCGCAGAGAGTGCGTCGAAGAATTCGTCGTTTAGACCTCCTACTTCGGAGATGAAGGCGTCTGTGAAAGGTCGTTCGGGATCAAGATTATATCTTGCTGCGAGTAGATCCATCGTGACTTCGTCACTTGTAAGAAGGCGATTGAGCATGTGGTAATAAAGTTGTAGCTGGAGAGATGTAGGGCGGAAGGACGTGCTCTTCACTGTGGGAATGGAGCGGCTTCCCCTTGTTTTCACATCTGTCATGTATATGCGCGGGAGGTTATAAACAGCCGGCGAGGGTCCTCGATCGGCATTCATCGCCGCATCAATGTTCATAGACTCTGTCTGGCCCAGATCCGATAGTCTTCGTCCGCCTTGTGAAGAAGACAATAAGAAATCAGACAGTGACATCTGATACTCCGGCAAAGCAGCTCTTGACGCCACCGCGTCTTGATAAAACTCTGCGGCCGTAGCTTCAAGTTTCGAGTCGGGACATTCGTAGGATAACTGGTCAATGACCCCATTAACCACCTCCCCGTCGACAACACCCCAAATCTCAAGCTCACGAGTAATCCCATACTGTCGCAGCATCCGCAATCCCTGAATCACATTCCAGATCCGAAGAGCCCACGCATCCTCCTTCGTAGTAATTTCCACAGGTACAGTAGTATATATCTCATCTTCAAGCGTCTTATGCACAACACTCCCCTTCTTCATAGCCAGCGTCCTCCTCTTCCTCCCATGTTTCGTAAGCGTATACCAATACTGCAACTCACACCAAGCCGGCGACACAAGATCCGTAACAGAAAACGCTTTATTGGGCGGTCTTCGAAACCTTTCAATGGGCGACCGGGCATCTAACGTAGGCGCTAACTGTTCATGTTGAATCCACTCTTGTTCACGAGCAGCAACACGCTCGCGCTCTCGTTCCCTCCCTTCTGTCGAATTCTGGTGCTCTACTAAACGCTTCGGATATGAACATGTTAGCCCAAGTCAAATTTCAATCTCCACGAGTAAAAAACCAAGCAGAAAATACTGGCTTCGAACACATACCAAACGCGGTGGCGGGGCTGTTGTTTGCGCCCTGGTTTGTTCCAAACGCCAGACCAGTGCGTGCGCTTCCAATTTCCTTCCACGGTTGCTGACTTGGCCCTCTCCACGGTGAACGAAGCTTCTCCCTACCCAACACCTTAGGTAGCCTGGTGCTCGGGGGCTCCGCAATGCCATCTTCGATGTCTGCGACGAAGCTCGCAAATACAGGCGCCTGTGAGGAATTGGTATCCGGGAGCTCAACTGAAGCGATGGGAATTCTTGCGATCGCGGGTATAGGTGTTGCTCTGGGTGTAGCTGCGGGTGTCAAGGTATTCGTTTGACTCGAGACTGGGGTGGCGTCGGACTCGGCGGGCCCGCGTTCTGCGACAGCTTTCGTGAACAAATCGTTCAGGAGCTCCTCTTCGTCTGGTGTGAAGTCGGATCCGTAGTCGCTTGTATCTGGATCTTCATGTGGTATTTGTGGTTGGCAGGACATGCCTGCGACTGTCAAGGAGGTTCATGGCCTGTGATGTGATGCGAAGGTTGAAATGCGGAGCGCGTCATTGCGTGCGGGATCTCAATCCATGGTTTACTATCCGAAGTCTGTTATTGGACACGGTTGATCCACCACTTGCAAGTCGAAATATGACAGCTGAAACTCGAGTTAATAAAAAGAAAGAAAAAGGATGGGGAAAAAAGTAGGTCTATATTCAAGTGTTCTATGTCTAAGCTTGGTATATGCAAGTACAACGCTCCGAAAGAAATAACGCGATAAGCCCCGCGCCAAGGATGTGAGTCTATACAAATGAACGTCTCGCCGTATGCAACACTTTTATCTTTTATGCAGTTCCAGCTGCAGGAATCAAGCCCCCCGACAAGGCATACGTGTTGCCAGCAAGGGCAGCCTCAGCTTCTCTAACTTCACGAGCAGCTTTCTGGTTCAACCAACTCAAATACGTCTGCCAGCAAACGGCAATTCCACCGGAGAAGACATTTCGGTACTCAGGCGGCACGTACATAAAGCTGAAAGCAGTGACGGCCGGCCAAAGCTTGACGCTGTTAGAAATACTAACAGGGAGAGCTTTCTTGACACGTTCCACTGTTTCTTCGAAGCTGGCGCCCGCAAGAAGGGAGTGCATGCTGAAAAAGTATGTGTTGAAGACAGGGGTGAAACAGGTTTGTTGGACGGCGACCTTAGTCAAGATGGAGAGAAACTTGGATGAGTAGTTGAAGTTGTTGCCGAGAAACAAGAACCTGAGAAGTTCAGTTAGTATACTGGACTTGACGCTTTGCGCGGCGAATGGCGAATAGGCAGGACTCACCATTTATACGTTGGGATACTAGACCCAGCACCAATCATCAGGTGTCGCACAGTTCTCCATGGGTTATACTCGCTCCCAAAGCTAGGCTTCTCGTCCTCATCTTTTTGTCCTGCAGCCTCTTTGGTCTCGTCCTTGTTCTCGTTCGTAGTCACTTTCTCCTCCGGGAAAAGTAATTGAGCGCCCAAATCACCAAATAAATAGATGACAAGCGAACTCCAAATTTGTGTCTTGTACGGCTTTTCCTTCTGCGAACGAGCGTACCATCTCCCAAATGTACCCAACGGTGAAGCTATGATAACCTCTTTAAATCCTCTAGATCGTGTCACCGCCGTTGCGGCATGCGGTGTGGTCGCGGCGCCTGCAGCAACAGCGCTGCTAATAGGCGGTTGGGGTATGGAGCTCCCATGTGTGTTTGCGCTGTGTGATGGTTCGTTTTGAGGTATCTCGGTCTTCTTCGATGGTTCAGGCTTTGAAGGTTGAGCGGAATTATATCGTCGTGGTTGTCGCACTTGGCGGAGAGGTGATCGAATCGCTAGCGTTGTTGATGGGCGCGGACGGGTCGCGAACGCCGACGCCTGGACTGCAAGCCCCTTCTGAAAGAGACTCATATCCGATCCTTAAATACGCGCATCTATTTAGGGGACGAGGAGAGAAAAACGAAATCCGATCAGGGTGAAATGGCCCGGCCTATCGGAGTGGATGACCGATTGTGGCGATAAGGGCGGAATACAACGAGTGACGATAATCGGAGGGTTTATCGGATGTTTGAACCGGCAATTCGTGAAGAACAATGTCCGCCGGGTTATCTGAGATGAAAGGAAAGAGAGTGAACAAGGCGAAACTGCTTTCTCTTCGAGACAAGGCACTCTCAAAAATTAGCAAGGAAGAATTATGCAGTCATGATTAAAAATCAGAGCGCACGCAATAACAGCCGGTACTCGGATAGTCAGTGCCGACCCCGTGGTTCCCCGATTAACTCCGATCCACATACAAAGCCGAGATGGACCTATGTATGGACAGCTATTTATGCTTTATGCTTTAACTTAAAACTAGCCAAGATCTAGAAAAAAAAAATCAAAACATAAAAAATTTAATTCAGTTATTTCCCGTATCTAACAGAAACGCCGCTTTTTCAAATGCGTAAATGCATAAACTCATACCCCAGACAAGGGGCAGTATCAGGGTATAATAGACAATGAGCGCACAGTAAATAACACTGCACGATGCAACAATGACCAAGAAATCAGATGCAACCAAAGAGGAATGGAGGAGGGGCGTAATAGAAACTAAGATTATGAGGCACCAGTACCAGTATAAATGGTAACTGCGGGTGCAACGGGTGTAGAAGTAAGAGTGGAGGTCAAATCAAGGAAATCGATCAGGGCTTGAAAGATTCCTTGGTATTGACACGATCCATATCAAATGGATTTCCTTCGTAGGTAGGCACACGGTTCAATGTTGAAGTGGTAGAGGGTGCGTGGCTGCGGCTTCGTACCACAGCATGTTCTTCCGATTCGGACTCGCTTGATAACGAGCCGCCCGGTGCGGGGGCTTCAGTGAGGTCGTACTTGACCTCTTCTTGTGCCGGGATAGCCTGGGCCTGCTCCTGGATCTTCTGCATAAATGCATCGGATTGAGCAGAGAACTTGCAGCGCTTGCGAATCTCCGCACCATACTTGTAGAACAAGAATGGGAATGGCACACATGCAAGAGACAAGAATGCCGGAATAGACGAGGCCCAGTGGATACCTAGGTTGTCGTACATATATGTGGTGAACAAGGGGAAAGCCGCACCGAAGAGAGAACGGAGGACGGAGTTGGCGGCTAGGACGGAGGCAGCGAAGATGGTGTATGCGTCGATAAGGTAGTTCATGATTCCAAGGAAGACTAACACCATTCCGAAACCGAAGGGTGCGCCGGCTGCAATACTGGCCATCCAGTGGATAGATGGGTAGTTGGTCCAAGCGAACCAGAACAGACCAATCGGGATCGCGATCGAAGCAATCATTGTTGGTGGGAGGCGGGCCTCTGGTGGTGCAAAGCCACCGTGCTTCTCCTGGGTATTTATGTATCGCTTGTTGTCCCAGAGACTGTAGACCACAGCGGCAAGCATACCGACCATAATACCCAAGAAAGCTAGTCCGCTAACACCCTGATTCCAGCCACGGTATTCCTCGTACACAATAGGGAATGCCGCGAACATCAGGTATAGGGTACCGTATACAATAGCCATATACAGAGATAGAAGGAAGACAATGGGCTCACGGAATAAGAGAATCCACGGGCGAGACAAGGCAATTTTGAAAGCCTCGGCGAGAGAAACCTTGCCTTGGTCGATATCAATCTTACTCCGGTAAACCTTACCAGAGAGCTTAGACAGTCTCTCAGCACGGCGTCGAAGAAGCACGGGCGCATAAGTCTCCGGCATCAACAGTGATCCCAGAATCCAGACAAACCCAGAGAACGCAGCCAAAAATCCCAAAACCCACCTCCAGCCCGCGTTCATTCCCAAGAATCCACCAATAATGGGACCAAGAACAGGGCCCAGGAAAGGAGCAGCAGCAAATAGACTCATAGCAACACCACGCTGCTTAGCAGGGAACATATCGGCAATAACACCACCCGCGTTGGTAAGCGGGGACGAGCCAAAAGCACCAGCGAAGAAACGAAGGATAATCAATGACCAGCTATTTTGCGCAACGGCTGTACCAATGTTGAAGAGTGTAAGAGCAGCGTATGTTCCGACAAATAGAACCTGGCGACCAAAGAGTTCTGACATAGGAGCCCAAACGACTGGACCGACAGCGAAACCGACGACGAAAAGCGAAACACCAAGAGTGGCGACTGTTGATATTCACGTTAGTGAAGTTCGAGACTGCGACAGCTCCGCGGTCCATGATAGAGCTCACCTTCATCGCCAATGCCGAATTGCTCTTCAATCTGCAAGATACCTCCAGTGTAGGCGGATGAAACTAATGATACGGCGAGCGTCGCAAACGCGACAAGCATAGTGTACGACCACTTCTTCGTCTCACTGAAAAGCATCGGATTGCGAGGATCTTGCTCGATCCATGTCACCGCGTATGGGTCGTCCTCTGTTCCTGATCCAGGGTATGCGTGATCGATAATTTCCTGGGTGACGACACCTTGGTCGACAACGAGACGCCAGAATGGGATTTTAGTGCGAGTTAAAGGCTCGATACGATCCGGCGCATGGCTCTTTGCGTCGGCCATGGTGGGCAAGATTCGATCTTGTATAGATCAACAAGTGACAGGTGAGGGCGGGGGAAGCTTTTGTTGAGATTAAAGCTCAAAGCGTATTGAAGACGCAGATGATGTAGTGAGCAGGGATTAAATCCGGGGTTTAGCAGTTATTTTGCTTTTCGTTTGCTTGAGCTGTTTGCGGGGCTCAATGGGGGAGGGGCGACCTCGACCGCAAATATCGGCCGGATTCAGCTTTAGAGTCCGGGGTGATGAGTAAATTTTCCACCCCACGGGAACGAGAATTAAGATTAGAAGAAGTGAAAGAGCACTGATTTGAATGACGAAAAAATGAAGATTTTAGACCCTGGGCAGTGGCCCCTATTTAATTATGGGGAGACTATTCTACGTAAGTCGATGGGGTCCCGTGGCGCTTTCTTTTTTCTATTTTCCTCTTTTTTTTTCCGTTTACTAGTCATCCAAGGTTGAGACACCGGAGATATGCCGGTGGGCCGCATTAAAGCTCAAGTTGTGCATATTAATGAATATTCAGGGCCTGAAACCCAGGCCAAGACCACGGATTATCCAGGATTATCTCTGTTCCGTAGAGCAGAATTGAAGAAAAGTTCCAGAATTGTAGAAACAACGGGAAACCTTAGGCTCCACCAACTCGGATCCTGCATCGGACATAGGTATAGCACCATCTGCATAAACCAGCAGCATATAACTTGTTTCATCTTATGATCAGATGAAGCAAAAAAAAAAGGACAGAACAAACGACTAGAACTAAAATATTTATGCACTTGTTTCCATACAGCTTTAAACCTATTTAATGACCAGATCTACATAAAAATCTTGTTAAACTGAACAAGAACCTGTTCTTCATGCATGATGCCAAGGTTAAAGTTTCGCGGATTTTGTGATGAAAAGGTCTAGGTCACGTGGCTTCTCTTATGCAAAGCACAAAAGCCACGTTTTGGTGCTCCGGAACCCGGCATCGCTCTGATTGGCGGATATTGAGCATTGAGACGCCCATAGGCTTGGCGTCCCTCAACCGATGTGATGGCGCAAGCCTTGCTGCGTGATCATTTAGAACTGGTGATCAATAATCAATATGGGTGTTTTTTTACAGAATACATCAGCAACCCGTGGATTCATTCATTTTATATTATTAAGGCAGAATATAATCATATTTGTCACCGTAGTAGAGCGCCTAAACCTGAAACCTGTAACCTGTAACCTGTAACCTGTAACCTGTAACCTGTAACCTACTACGGAGGACGCCGCAAACGTATATTCGACAGGTGGAGTGGAGTGGAGTGCCTTGTTGAATTTCATAATGGCCATATTCCTAAAGGGCGATTGGCGGTATACTCCGTATGTATAGAGTGTAGGCTTATCCTTGGGATCTAGAGCCTTGTAGAGCAAGGACCAACTTGACTAAATGACGACCAGATAAAACTCATTATATGATGCTCCGAGCTTAGAAATCTATCCAGTACATGTAATTCCTTTGATCCACTCTGCTTAATCATCAATACATTACTGTACCCTTGAGTATCCACATGTACTAACGGCTCCCGGGGATAAGTTTAGCTTGTGCGCATATTCATAGGCGTTTACGAGGCCAATTATACACTATTGTACATGGATGGATCTTATGTGGCACGGATTTCGGGAATAATCTAGAACACTAGGCCCACCACCATTTTTCAGATCGGATCCTGATATACATCAGCCTTGTGAGTCACCAGGAACGTGGTATACGTATTATTCGAATGAGTTTCAGCTTTTTCTTGGTAGAGCGGGATTCATTCGTTGAAATCCTAGATTATGAATCTGTTTCATATCCAGAATTATACAGATTTATGCGCAGATGGACTCCGACTCGGAGCGGTATCAAATTTTGTGAAGACCGGAAGGTGGACGGTCCCACCTCCTCACATATATATAGCCCCGCATTTTGAGGAATAATCTCACAAAAAATTGATTGTCACCTTCTTCGGGCTCAAAACTAGTGGTTTTGATTTTTATCGTAGAATTATGCTGTATTTATCACACCGGAAGCTATTTGATTTTATCTTGCGAGCAGGATCAGAACGTTCATACGGGATCACCGAGCTGCTTGAGCCTCATGGACACCTAGAAAAGAAAGCAAAAATTTTGCCATTGGCCACCTAGCTTTTTGCTAGGCGTTTGACTATATGGTCAGCTAAGCTTTATGGTGAAACTCGGCTAATCTTCAACAAAGACAACTCCAAGCCTCAATCACTAGTCCACGTGAGTATATCAAAGAAGTAGGCCATGTCCGGGCCCAGTTGTTGAGGTTGAAAGAACACAAAGTCAAGTGACCAACTCCTTTCCTGGTAAAGAATGCCTCGAACAAAGATTGTCGAGTGCAAGATTCATATAAGAGAATTTTTACCTTTAACTTATTCAGTTATGTTAATATCATCATGGGTCAGAATCATTGTCTTTGCCTGTTTAACCACCTGCAGCGGCCGAGACCATGCAAGATCAGACTACTATCAACACGCCCGGATCTAAGTAAAGGCCACGCACTAGGCCGTACCCTACGCTAATGTCACATCTACTCCATAATGCCACACATAGACACAGACACACACATACACATCCCCCCGTCTGAACTTCATTTCGCTTCAGATCTTTAGATTCCAGACCATATCTACCAGCTCACGATATGTAACTTCCAAAAACCATTAACAAATCGCTTCCATTTCTCATGTCTCAGATCAGATGAATCCCGAGACCGTACACGATGAAGGTTGAAATTAAGACAAGGTGACTGCAGCAGTACGCAGCCACCCACCAAAATGTCTAAATTTCCCGAGTGGCGAAAAATCGAGGACATGAACCAGTTTTGCAAAATTCACAAAGGGCAATGAGTCATTTCTAGGTCAAATTGCATTTCCCACACACTGTAGGTAAAATCAGAATGTTTTTTAGACTTTCTGCCTTAGGCATAAATAGTATTTTCTGATGAAGAAGTGAATGAAGAATCAGACAATAATGCCCCACTTACTATGGATCCTCTTGGGTCTTCAGTTCAAGGAGATCAGAGTTCATTATCATGATCCCACCACCAAATAAAAGAAAAATGTAAATTTTTGTACATGATTCAATTTTTTGAGCTTCTCTCTAGAGTAATGTATGGTTTCCATCTCGTATCAGGACTTTCGTGGAGCGAAATCAGGGATTGAAATGTAAGCACCCTTGTACATGGGTCTCCACATCTCCCTAGCGCATCTGGACGATGACGTCCTGGTTAGTGTGCCCACCAGATGAATTAGGCTCTCATAATGAAGTCCATCGAGTTTCAGTTAGAAAGAAAGAAATTATATCAATAGCCATGCACAGCTAGAGCATTTCTGCAGGGGCAGAAGGGATGTACCTTGTAGCGGTCTAGAAAGCGAGATTCTGATGTGCATACCCGGTCGGGATCGTCCTGAGTGTAGTCGTTGCCATGGTCGGAATGCATTCCCATTGTCGGTCGCGTAGCAATGAGGCCAGGGGAGGAGCGATCCCAGCGCGTAGGAACGAATGCTCTTGTTGGTCGGGTGATGCACTGTGTCACAGATGCAAGAAGGAGGGGAAATTAAGTGACATGTCTCAGTTGCTTGGGGCAATCGAGATGCACTGACTACTGGAACTACAGAGCTTCTTGAACAGACTCATAAACTATTTGATCTATGGGATGTATAGCATGCTTGTGAAATGAGACCAAGTTGGAACTAGTAGAGCACTAGTAGTCGGATCGTAAATAAGGGCCCGACAATAGCAAACCGTGATATAGACATTCAAGGGCAATACGCGAGAGCGGGGCACGGTCGCGCTGTATCGTGGACAGACGCGATCAACAAGCAAGGAGATCACAACAACGACCAACGCGTCTATGTATGTTAATGTACGATTACTGAGAAGTGGGAATTGTTTGAATCATAGAAGATCGCATTTCAGCGTCTATGTCATGAGATGATGCTTAAGGCACCATTTGGGAAATCCTTTAATGTACATGCCCATGACTGGCCATTTCCCGAGATAATAAGGAAATATGGCTTAGTAGCATTGATCGCGAGAGAAAAATAAAACGCAAATTCGATGACGTCCTTGTCACGAAACCCATTGATATTCAAGCAAACCCATCATTTGTATCGCCAGTCATGAAAAGAAAAAACAAAACCCCTTATCGCCTTTCCAGAAGTGTCAAGAGAAAAAACCGCCACTAGGGCAATTAAGAGCGCTCGCCACGGAGACGGCGGGCCAGCTGGATGTCCTTGGACTGGATGGTGACACGCTTGGCGTGGATGGCACACAGGTTGGTGTCCTCGAACAGGGAGACAAGGTAAGCCTCAACGGACTCCTGAAGAGCACCGATGGCAGAGGACTGGAAGCGGAGATCGGACTTGAAGTCCTGGGCGATCTCACGGACCAGACGCTGGAAGGGGAGCTTGCGGATGAGCAGCTCAGTGGACTTCTGGTAGCGACGGATCTCACGGAGAGCGACGGTACCTGTCAGGATAATATTAGTAGTGGGATCGATTGATTGAAGTTGTTGGAGATGGAGTTTTTGACATACCGGGCTTGTAGCGGTGAGGCTTCTTGACACCACCGGTAGAGGGGGCGGCCTTGCGAGCGGCCTTGGAGGCGAGCTGCTTACGGGGAGCCTTGCCACCAGTGGACTTACCTATAAGAGAAAGAAGGTTAGTGATGATGTTTTGGGAGACGCGTCGACGCGTCCAACCCCCTCGACCTCCAAACGAGGCAAGTGTCCCTCAAGAGTGGAACACCTTCATCCTTCAGTGGGGGTCAAGGGTAGAAAAGACAGCGACGAGAGAGATAAAAGTGAAGAGAATGACATACGGGCAGTCTGCTTGGTACGAGCCATTTTTCCTAAGTTGTCTTTGATGGAAAAGTGGAGTTTGTTGATGGAAGTTGATTGTCGATGAGAGGATGGAGAAAGAAAGTGAGAAGCGGGTGGGGGGAAAGGTATTTGTAGCAGAGGGGAAGGGTGGTGATCTGGGTGATGGGGGAATAGACGAATCAGAGGGCGTGAATCGGATCAACCAAAAAAGGGCGGGTAAGTTACGATTGATTACGTTTTGATTTTCCAAGTTTGGGAATCGTCTGGCCCGGCCTAAGCGAGAATTCTATTCAAATGTTCACTAGCCCCATATCAGCCAATTAGAGTCCAGGATCATTCCCCTTCGAATACTTCATCTCCATTCTCTCTGATCCCAACCACCAAGCAACCTAATATCCTGATCTACACGTCTTGTAACATTCCTAATCTTCAGTAAATACCTCTCTAGTTTTTTCCGGTTTCTGATCTACATGTTTGAGTGTGAACCGAGGAAGAGATCAGAATCAACCCTTCCGGCATCCATACACTTGTTCGGCTGGGAGGGGCCCGGGAGATCACACCTACTGAATCAGTTCCCCCACTCTCATTGGTTGATCTGCCCACTAGCGCGTGATTCCCAACTCCCCGCGTCCTTCCATCTTTCTGATACAAATATCGCCTGCCCCAGTACCCTTCATCCGTTTCCCTCTCTTCCATCCATCCTCGACAACTTCAACCAAGTCTCCACTTTCTTCTTTTTTCCCAAAAACCTTCTCTTCTTTAATACTACATCATGTCTGGCCGTAAGTTTATCCTCAACTATCTCCCTTTGGGACTTCCAATCCCACTCTGCTTTCCCTCTCATCCAAGAACGCGTCTTTTCTAACGCGTCTCAATTTTACAGGTGGAAAGGGTGGCAAGGGTCTCGGCAAGGGCGGCGCCAAGCGTCACCGCAAGATTCTACGTGACAACATCCAGGGTATCACTAAGCCCGCTATCCGTCGTCTCGCTCGTCGTGGTGGTGTCAAGCGTATCTCCGCTATGATCTACGAGGAGACCCGTGGTGTCCTCAAGACCTTCCTCGAGGGTGTCATCCGTGATGCCGTCACCTACACTGAGCACGCCAAGCGCAAGACTGTCACTTCTCTTGACGTTGTCTACGCTCTCAAGCGCCAGGGCCGTAAGTTTTCCATGCGTCTTCTTTCTGTTCTTCAACGCGTCTCTAACATTTCCTCTTTCAGGTACCCTCTACGGTTTCGGTGGCTAAGCGTGTTATGTGTTTCTTCTTTTCTGGTCTTCACAAGGGTATGATGGGACGTTGGGGTGTTCTCTGAATTTTTACTGTCATGGGTCTCTGGGTTTGATTTTTTACAACGACTACCACTTTTTCGCGTCCACTATGGGTCTGCTAGTGTTCGCTTCCGAGCTTTCCTGTATCATAGCGGCCTCATCATATGGCTGGCACCACTCGAATGGTGGGATTTACTTGCTCGCTATGAGCTGTGATCCGATACGAATACAATTAACTGAAACTCAATAATTCACAATAACGTATTCATCTTCTTTTCCTTGTAATTCTTCTGTATTCCTGTTCAAACTGGTTTAGCCGGTCTTGTCACGTTCTTGTCTTGTCTTGTACCGTGTCTCCCATACCTTGTTTACTTACGCGTCTTTGTCGCGTGTGCAGAGTATGTCCGCCTGGGTATATCATACCATTGTGTTCATTATACACAACGCGTCCATAATCAAACTAATACAATCAATGCCGTTTATATCTAATTCTTTATCGCTTTGAATAAGGTGTCTGCTTAATGATTTAATTTGTAGAGCTTGAGTGATTAGTTAATAACGAGTTGATAACAATCTGCAGGTCTTTTTGTAGTATGTGGAGGTTGCCCGAGGCATATGTAGAGTTGTACAGAATTCATCTTTGATCTTCGAATAATAAGCCACGCATAATGTATAAACTTATTGAATATACTTGAACTTCTAAAATCCTCTTGGGTTATTTGTTTGTGGTAAAGAATGTAAAAATTTCTTCGTTTGTATTTACATCAAGTATATGCACCACCTATCTATATAAATATATATCAGATAACTATATTATTAAACTTGGAATATGAACAACCACAAAACGCGTTCAAATCCAATCAAAGCTAACGATATAGATATTTGATGAGTCAAGAATTTATCATCTAAAATTTCAAAGATAAAAATGATCAATTGCGACCGTCAGAAGCGAACGTGCAGCGTTGATAGTCGAGTTGAGCGGAACTTGGACCCCAAATGAACCCCTAGAAGGGGGTTCAATACTTCACCTTCGATGCTAAAACACGACCCTCTAATTTCATACCAAATTATAGGACAAACAGTCTGAAAATAATAGATCTGGTTTAGTAATACGTAAATGATGTATAGCTATCTCAAAAACAGAATTCCAATAATATTTTGCGAACATGCATATTTCTTAGATCTGAGGAGCATTGAACCCCCAAAACGGAAACCTAAACCCCCGTTTTTGGACAAAAATACCTTTTGCAACCTAAGGTAGAAGGCAAAACCAGAAGGATAAGATTGGTGCCTGAGGCAACAAACCCTAGGTCGCGCAAGTCCATTCACGAGTTGTATACCGTTTCCGGTAAACAAATACAGGCCGTGTTATCATATCAAAGTCCCCAATACGCGCTGTTTTATTATGTTTTATTTACACACCAAGGGAAAGAGAGCAGTGTGATTCGACCGATCACGACCAGCAAGCCGTCACGATTTGGAAAGCCAAATGCTTTTGCCAGTCTTTTTGAACGGCATCATGTCACCTGCCGTCGAAAAAATAGAACCATCCGTTCACGATACAATATCGGCACAATTTTGAATTATCGTCATTGTATCGTTGGTGGCTACGATATTTATGATACGATAGGCGATATCGCATCTCACAAATTTAACATGTGAAGATAAATTATTGTCCATTTTAACGATATTGCGACGATGAACGATATTGTGAACAGCTCTACTTGAATTACCCCTATAAGGAAATTTCGTTCGCCAATTGCAAGATACCACTTGAAGATAAATTTATTTGTTCTCTCAACCCCGTGGACGGATGTTATACCGCGACCGAGATACAAACACGATGAAGCTAATATACTCAGAGAGGAGCATCTAATGGTTTCTGCGCAACAACCCTCATCACCGTCAAAGGCGGAGACAACCCTTCCGCACAAAGACGATGATGTTGTTCAATCAACTCCCCAGCGCGTTTCGATGCTGTCTCCTCATCAGGAACCTGCCCAGACCGCAACAAAAGACTCGCATACAGAGTATTCATAATCGCAGCAAGTCTTTGCTCGGTATCAGCGCGCAAGTGGGGATCATCAGTCGCGTCTGAGCGATAAAATAGTCGCAATACGTCCAGGAAGCCGGCCGCAGTGCATTCGCTGGCTACCTTCGCCGATGCCTGGAAACATTTACCCTCAGCTTTCAATGAGAAGTCGAAGCATCGTCCGATCTCCCAGATAACGGGGTTATCTTTTGAAATATAGGTTTCTTCATCGATTTCCTCCCATTGAAGAAAGCCGCCGGGCTCTACAGATGAGGAAAAGAATGGTTAGTATTGAAGACATCGGAAGGGAGAGACACATACTCAGAATGACTGAAATATTGTCGATTGCAGTCCTGTAATCGGACTCGCTGATAGCGGCAACGACTAGTCTCACATGGACTATGTCATATCGATTACAATGTTCCTTTGGAAACGGAGCCGTTATATCCTGGACGGAAAATTGGACCTTCTCAGACTGTTCTTCAGGGAATTGCTCTGCCGAGATATCAAATCCATGACAGTAAGACCGGACTTGTGCTTTATCTAGCACATTTGAAACGTCTTCCAGCCAAATACTTGCAAGAGTATGGCCATTAGGCGCCCGAATTCATAAGCTTGTGGCAGTACTTGACGGACTCACCCAGTTCCGGTGGCTATGTCCGCAATAGAAAAAACATCGTCTTTGGTTCTGGGAATTGATGGGTGAAGTAGTGTATGTTGAGTAACTCTTGATAGCAGTTTGTGTTGTGCATTTAGTCTAACAGGTTGAGTCGCACTTTGTCAGAAGAAAATGTTTACCACACTACCCTTGATGTGCACATACCGTTCTGACTCTTTCTTGTCTCTACCAAAAGCATACTTATCTTCAGTATTGATCATTTTGGACGATCTGGTTTCTTAAAGGCTCCTGAAGAAAAGATGGAGGTCCTGTTGGCAGACAAACGAAGGAAACCTCAATTAATTTCTGGTGTGACTGGAAGGCATTGGATTATTTATCCCCCCTCTCGCTCTCGGTGCTTCCGAAGAGAGCCCGATAAAGCAATCAGTTCGGCCATTATCTCGTTGCTTTTCCCTTTCTCCATCTCAATGCATATACAGGTCCTAAGACGCGTGTCTTGATCTTCAAAAATCCACTGGGAAATACCTATAAGCGGCGGTAAGAATATTAGAAGAAGTGGCGGGGGGGGGGGGGGGAAGTGATGGAGCTGGACCGGGTGTGGCTTGGCTGAAGATGTAACCTATATGCACTATACACCCCACGGGAGTTTTCAAGCGATTGGGTTATCACAATATCTCGACGATCGCAAAGTTGGTGATCCTTTAGAATAGAGAATGAGTATAAATATCGGTGGTATTCATGATTTGAAGAGCTCACCAATTAGTCACGGTCGCGACAGCGGCACCCTTTGTTCTCATGGGTAGTGAGTTGGTTTCAGTGGGATAGAGCCATGGCACACCCAGCATACCCATTCCGAAGGCGATATGGAAGAGAAAGAAGAAGGCAACGGAAGCAGTAGCGTAGACTTTATTGTTCTCAGCCAAACAGAGCAGGATCGTGATGACCAAGAAAGAAACAAATTGTCCAAATCCAGACAACATCATCAAGCCCCGACGGCCAACCCGCTCGACGATTGTGGCTGCAGCACACGAGAAAATGAAATATGAGGTGGCGTTGCAGGCTGTAAGTAACCGGGCCATGCGATCCGAAAGTCCGACCGAGTTCATGAGGACCATCGGGAGGTATTAACTCATGATGTAGATGCCTGCAATATATCGTTTGCATCAGTAAATGTCAACCTTGGGAATGAAGACGGAGAATGGAACTTAGTCGTACCTTGGAATTGCTGCATGGCCTGCGTGCCGGCACCATTTGGTATTATCACCTTTTCGTCGGCGCAGAAGGTCGCGCCATGGAACAGAATTTTCAACTTCATACGTGATGCTGTATTTGATCTCATCCTGTTGAGTTCTGATTAAGGGGTCATCAACAGGCATAGCCTCACACGCCAGAACTTCCATGGCCTCACCCTCGCGAGCTTGCATCATGAGTCATCTAGTCACAGTCAGATTCATGTTCAGTACTGAGTAAAAAGAATATTTCATCGCACCTCGGAGACCCTGGTAGCCAGGGGACAGTGACAAGCAGGAAAACGACGAAGAAAAGTTGTAGCGCGATCGGTAATCGCCATGCAATGGCACCTTCATGGAATGAAAGACCATAGTTTATCCAGTTGACAACACAGTATCCACCAACATTGAGCCCAAGATCGAGGATGACTAGCCTACCTCTCCATTTAGACTGTGCAGTTTCCGTTTGCCAAATGGGAGCCGTTGCCGTGTTGATTCCGTTTCCGAGACTAGATACCGTATCATTCAAAGTTAGTACATTTTCTGATTTGAAATCTTTGAGTTGCTTACCCTAGTATATCTGAGGCAAACTAAAAGAAGACGTTTGAAGACTGGTGCCGACGGCTATAATGACAGTGCCCAAGAGGATGGATTTCTTGCGGCCCAGCGCGTATTGTAAAGGCAAGAATGGCCCCGAAGGAACAACCAACATCATAGATAGCAGAAACAGTGGAAAGAACCTTTGTTCTAGAAGGACCGACTAAGTTGTGGACCTGCAAGAAGTCTGGTGTTACTATCACGCCACCTGTCAAAAAGAATTGGTCATCAGTATTTAGGATCGTTGGTTAAGACTGAAGAGGAGAACGACGACATACTGAAGACACCTTGGTCGTATCCAAATAGCATCATTTCAGTAGCACAAGCTATCTGATATCCCCATATTCATTAGTATTCCGCGGGCTGACGAGGATTGGAGTATGGGGAGCCCACCGTGATCCAGAAGGTAAGCCATCCTCCGGTGAGCCCGGAATAGGGCTTTTTCATAAACGCCATCTTGCTTGAGGGGTAAGTTTGAAGATATAGCTGCTTGGAGAAAGGACTGGAGTATAGTTTCTATTAAAAGAAAAGAGTTGCTGGAACTGCGCTGGCAATCGGCTTTTTATACTCCATCCTTTCCCCGCACCGTGTCGAGCCACTTCGGGCTCTTTCGATATCAACTCCTCTACCGACCCCAGATGGAGACGGGTCGGACGTGGATTGCAGGGACTAAACTATAGCGAATGATTTGTCTCGCCGGTGAACTAGACCGATCTTCTTCTCATGATCTCACATCTTGGCTGCTCTCCTGCATGCGCCTCCCCAAAATGACATTCTAAGCGCTGTTGCCCATGTGAGCTGCTCATGAAATGTTGACCATTTCTCAAGAATAATGAGGACCTTCTGGTTTCCATTCATCTATATCTTTTCAATTGTTCTGCGATATATGGATTGATCGGAGCAGAAGCACTCGGGATGTTGGGCTCCACCTAATAAAGCCACTAACTTTGAATTAGATCAATTGATGTGGAGCTCGCCTCCAAGAGCCAATCATCATCTCGGCTGATACGGGGAAATATGGACAGTCGGACCGAACTATATTTCTCGCGGGGAAAATTTACCCAAACGATTCTTAGATGGGCTAGTCAACCCGCAGTGTGGATATGACACTGTGAGTGGCGCGCCTGTCTCAGTGGTTGAGGGGATATTATTTGTTGTCCCCTGTCCAGGAAGCGAATTCACTGAAAAACCTTTTTTTTTGATCAGGGACGATGACGATGCAAACATGGAAGAGTTTCGAAAATAAGTGAAATACTCCCAGTTCCACCATGAGTGATTTTGTCGTTCATAAAAACTGGACCATCAGAAGTATTTCGGACACCTCACTCGTTCATGATCGAAATATTGGCCACGAAACATGATGATTGATGCTACAATCGATGTTCAAGGCGGGGATCATCTGTCTTCACCCCCGCCCTCCGGCCCGATCAAGCGTCCGAGCGGCAACAGAAATGGCCGACGAAACCAAGCTGCCTGCGACTTTTGTCATACCCACAGAGTGAAATGTGATTCGGGATCTGCATTATCATGCTCGCGTTGCCTGCGCAAAGGAATCCACTGCGTGTTCACGCGCCAGCGACGAAAAAGAGGTCGTATGTCACGCCGCGAGCTTGCTGACATGGAGGAGACTTGCCTCTCCATCAGTGGTAAAGAGGCAAAACAAGCCGAGGCCGAATTCAACCCCATGTCACCACCAAGCTTGAGTCATGCCACCTTGAGTCCAACTACATCACCATGGTCACCAGTAACAAACGAAGTGGATATGTTCTTGGAACTTTATACTGATTCTGGTCAGTCCATGCCAGATGAATCTCAACCGTGGGAAGCAAAGATGATCCATACCCCGGAGGAAGCGACATCGCCTGTCTATCCGACCGTGGATTCGCCTGGGCTAAGTACAGAAAGCCTTGCTTCTCTGCCACCATTACCAGAAATAGGCGACCCCGTCGAGATTGTATTCCACAGTCCGATTCAAGAGCCCGCAACAATTTCAATATCATCACCAACCAGCTACTTGAGCCCGGGAAATCAATCAATCTCACGACCCGTCCTGAAATACCCCATCTTGAACAAGATCTCCTCGTTGGTCGAGAGGCACCTTTCTCCTCAGGCGATGTGCCATCTGCTCGAATCATATTTCACTTGCGCCTTTCCAAACCACATTCATGGCATGTATCGCCACAATAATGGCTGTATCTTGCGCGAGAACTCCTTTCTGAGCCATGAATTCCGACCGACCGACCCTTCCCTTTTGACAAGTATGCTTTGGATTGCTGCAATAGATGACCGGGCCCTCTCTTTATTCAAATCATCCTCGCAACAAAGCCGCGTGTGCCGCTTTCTCAGAAATTTGACAATGACCTTGTTACAAATATCGACGACTGCTCCACCAAACTCTCAAAGAAATGCAGACTATAGTCTGATACAATCAGATGCTTCGTTGGATCATGTAATTACTTATATACATGTTGCCTGGATCACCTATATGGAACAAAACGAGGCAAGTAGCCGATGGTATGTTGAACTCGACTCATTTTTCTTGTATAAATACTGACTATTGGTTAGGTGGAAGGCGGGTCTGGCTTTAGCCCGACGCCTCAAATTAAACCAGGAGACAAAGGAAATCCCGAATGCCGACAATATGACCAAGGATTCTCAAGAATACAATGATCAGATCCAGCTAGATGGACTAGACAACACGGAACCATTTCACCATGACAACACACAACCAGCTTTCGATTGCATACGCGATAAATACTATAGAACGAAACAATCCGTTATGACAGAAGAGCACCGCGAAGAGCGAAGGCGAACATGGTGGATGCTATATATCATGGATCGACATTTCGCATTTTCCCACAACCACCCGCCGAATATTCTCGATGAAGAATGTAGGAACTTATTACTTCCACTCAATGAAGATTCATGGCAGGCTGCACCCATCAAGAGCAATGACTTGCATTCACAGGGCCTTCAATCATTCCATACAGGGTCCCAAACAAAACGCCAGGCCTTTCCTGATTATAGTTGCCGTGGCTATTCCATTTTTGGATTTCTTCTTCCGCTTACGACAATCACGGGGCAAGTAATGAGGCTTAGGTCTGTGTGTTCGCAGGGAAACGAAGAATATGAAGTTCAAGCGGCAGAAGTTATAAGCCGTCTTGAGATCTACCAGACCAGTTTGCCTACACCAATGGTGGATTTACCGTCTTTGACTGTTGACTGGAAAACCACCAACAAAGCTGTTAGCCTGCAACTATCAAAGTACTCCTGGCGAGCTGGAATAGTGGCCCTGTACGCGTCATACTTTGTCCAAGTTCTCTATATACTCATAGTGGGCAAATGGGATTGGTTATTTCTAGTTGAAGAAAAGGAGTTCTGGACTTCTCCAGCCTTCTCATCCACGATATCTCACACATTGCAAGCAACTTCTTGGTTGAAAAAGATTCTGGAATTCGACCCAGACATGAGCTTCATGCCATATTTCTTCAACATCCAGTTATTGCACGGAAGTTTTCCGGTCCTTTTGATTGTTGAGCGTCTGCAAAGGATGTCCGGAGAAGACATTCTGAATGCATGTGAGATTATTCTCCGAGCCACTGAATCATGCCTTGTCACAAGAAGCACGGATCACCAAAGAAGTTTCCGACAATTGATGCGTGGCGCAGTTGCACAGGCTCGAGGCCGCCCTGTAAGTGCTAGCGAGATTCAAAGACGTCGAAAAGCGGTATTTGCACTATACCTGTGGATGCGACGGGCGCCGACGGGGTCATCCAAGTCGACTGCTTCTTTTTAAACCCGACCGATGTACATCCCTACGGTCCATAACACCCTCTATAAACTAATACATGAACAATGTGACATTCCTTTTCGAATTGGTTTTTGAAAAGTACATTGAATATGATAGTTTAAGATTATAATTTATAATTTGGATATTAAATCGAGACGAGATACGAGATTCACTGTCTTTTATGTGGTTGATATTTTCCCACCTTTCCGTGGCCCCCAATCGTTACCATCTGGCGCCATATATGAACCATTTTCCACGATACTAAGAAGAAGAAGAAGAAGAAGGGAAAGAAAAACCGAAAGCCTAGCTATTGGAAATAAAAATGGGACGGCACGGAACACTCGAATTCAGACTATCCCCAGAATCGGGTTGTGCCTCATTTTACCCCACATGAGTGGAGTCTGCGGAGATTTTAGCCCGATGCTGTCCTGTTCAGGAAGGAAATTCTCGCGGGGCCGTACATCTTCGGCAGTGGGTATTCTAGTCACAGATGCCTCGCCCTTAATTGAATACAGTTTCTCCTTCCCAGATTTCTTCAAAATTGTCAATCTCTTCACGAATATCTACTTTGTTCGACACTCTCACCATGACACAAATCACTATGACAGAAGATGCCTTCATGCGAGAACTCGAAAATTCCCCCAAGTTCAAACGCCTCGAGACAGTGACCAAGGAAGAGACCATAGTCTGGAAGGAACAAATCAGTGTGCAAGATACAGTTCAAGAGCTCGTCAATATGACCTTGAGTACATTGTCCGACCATGGTCCAAACAAGTTGGTAAAAGATCGGCTGCGATAATAGGTTTAGCCTCCTCGCCAAATTAGGCTTAGCACTACTCTAGTCTCGCGGCCCACTATGTATGACACAGATACGTATCAAATGGTTGAATCTTATCTTTCATATTCCAATCCTCGAGTTTCTAGTTTTTAATTATCTTTTTGCTCCATCCTCTTTCAAATCTAAATACCCCTGACTGCCCATCAACAGTTGCATCCTGAATTTGAAAGTCGTTTCAAACTTAACATGAGTCCATCCAGTGTTCGGCTAGCCACCACGGCCTTGTTGGGACGACCTTTTCGTATAGATCACCGATTGAAGTCGAAGGTCTTTCAAAATATCCCAGTAGAGCTACTGGAGTTAATATTCGAACTTCTTCCAAAGATGAACCAAATCTGCTTCTCACTAAGTTGTAAATATTACTTCGCGTGGTTTCAATTATACGTTAAACAACATGGAACCACTGTGGCCCAGCTTCTACCAAAGAAAAAGGCATATATACAGCAGGGAATAGTGCTATCTACCTCTGAACTTACTACTCTCGACCAAGCAAGACCACAATTACTCTGTCGACTCCAGAATAATCGCTGGAAATATTGCTGTCAATGCCAGAGCCTTCACCCGCATTCTATGCGACGGGCCCTGGAATCAAAGTGGAGACTCACCCAACAGCCTTGCGGCTCTGACTGCCACCTTGGTGGGACTAGTCTCCTTGGAAAAGACCTTCTTTTCACTAAGCCTTCAGGGTCTAAAGTGAAATGCTCTCTCGCATATACTGGTGAAGTCGACATATGCCCCTGTGATGGCATGACGTTCCATCAAAGACAACACTTTTACCAATTTTGTCAACTTCCGAGTACCGCCATACATTACAGGAATCGAGGCTACATGAGCAAGCATTTTAATGAAAGCAAACTAAACGAGAGCTGTCACTACCTGGAATTATCACATGAATGCACCCTTGTCAATCCTTCTATAGGAAAGGTCTTTACCAAAACCAGAATATGGCTCGACAGAGAGACCCGAGATTTGTGCCTACATAACCGATTTCGATTTGAACTCTGTGATAGAAGTCAAGCTGTGAAGCCTGTGGGATGCTTTCCGTACTGCCTACACAGGGATACAGGGCGATGGCTTCAGGACTTCTTCGTCCAGGCCGAACACAAGTTTTATATCGGCGTTCAGGGCACCACGGCCAGTGTATGCACATGGAGAGGATGGATTAAGACTAAAGAGGGGCGAAACGCTTTTGAAATAGATTTGGATAGGAATCTGAGAGGTAATGAATGGCCCAACGAGAGCTGGAGACTCAACTCTTATTTGAAATAGAATTCCGTATTTAGTGAGACCTTGAGGTTAATTAATTGCTATTTTACTGTACCGAGTATAATGTTTAATGAATAGATAGTGCCATTTCCGTGTGTATTTCCTTTCCTTGTCTCTAAGTGTTATGGAGACATTATAAGCGGAGCTAAAGAGGCCAAAGATTGCTCAATACGAACAGCCCGCTCTTTCCTTACATATATATTTTTCGCATTTGTTGCCATTAGAAACTCGTTTTCCCAGAATTGCCCCCCATGGCTAATCGCTCTTTCCCTCTGAATAGCTATACTTCCATTGTAAACATTAATGATTTCCCTGGGCTTCTCATGTTTCTCTTTTCTCTTTTCTCTTTTCTTCCCCAATTACCAACGCCTGTCGACCTCCCAGCCTATTATACACTGTACGATCAAAATGGCTTGGGGAACATTCGAACACATTACCGTCATCTTCACCGTCATCACCGGCGTCATTACCATAGTGGGCGTTGCGCTCAGGCTGCGGAAGTGGTGGAAAGAGCCAGTACCTTGCCAGGTCTGCGAGGGCCGCCGCGTAGTACAGCTCGAACGACAACTTGCCCTCCTGCAAAACGACCGCCGACTATCTCTTGGAGGTGAGTGGACCCGCGATACAGTTCTTGTCGACATCGAGCGGGGGATTCAAGCTACCGAGGGGGACGGTAACGAGCTTGAGGACCTGTGAGAGGGAAGCGAGAACGCTGGTTGGGGGTTTGCTTGGCTTCAAGTATATGGCGTCTGTTTTGATTGATGAGATGATTGTTTTGTGGATGGTTGAACTCTTCCGTTTTGTGTGCCAGTCAGGAAGGCTTTGAGTACGTAGAGTAGATAGGTAGGTAGAACACCGACGAAGAGCTCACCTTTCTACGCAGGGTCGGTGACTAGTAGCCTCCGGGTGAAGCTAAGATGAGCTTGTATACATGAACTGTCTGTTACTTCATAACATGTAAATAGCCTTTATATCCCCATACTATTTTCTACGATACCTGTACATCCCATGACAGATACTAGCCCTGCCACACTACTCACCAGGGTGTAGGGTCGATCCAACCTAAGGGAAAACCAAGCTGGAGGGGCGACACGCCTTTCTCGAATGGCTGCGCACCCTGCCGCACCGCGACCTTGTCATCTACACAGACGGTTTGGAATACAACGATGGAACCCGCTGTGTGGGTTATGGCTACACTATCCACCGCAACAACAACGTAATCTCCGAAGGAAGAACAGCAGTCAAACACAAGTCACACGGCTTCGATGCAGAGGCTATCGGCGCGCTCATGAACGCTTCTGCTAAAGCTTGAAAGAGCTTTTGCGCGAGGGTTGGAAATGGAACTTTCGAACTTATATCTCCTGACGAAAGGCTCGCTGTGCGTTGGATCTGTAATTGCTTTACGGTTTTCATAAACACATAGGGGCTGTGTGCAGATGCTAGGAGGCCGACTGTTTCAAGGGGAGACTTTGGCCCAATGATACTTCAAGCCAACTCAGCTGAAATGACCAGTGCGGTGGCCGTTCTATAGAGTATGATTCTCACCCAGGCTCACCCCATTCTCACCTTATATTGCGCACTCACCCTTCTCACCCCCGGTCGCGCGACGCTAAAGCGGCGCTTCCCCACTCCCCTGGACTAAAAAATAGTACATTATTTCTTTCTCTACTATTCTCAGTACATACGACCATAGGGTGTGGAGAATAGGGCTTCCCGTCCGCTCAGCCCTACTTAAGCCACATATATCCGCACGGCTGATCGTTTGTAGAGCCCTATCACCCTAGAGCAGCGATGAGATTTACAGTAGGTGAGTGTGGGTGATATGGGTGAGAATTTTACAGACTGGGTGATAGAGGTGAGAACAGGGTGAGATTTTTTTCACATATTGTAAATTACCGTAACCTCTCACGGAAAGTGGGGAAAATCTGGGCTTTAGTTGTGTGGAGATATGGACGGCAGCCCGTACCACAATAATTACATCTCTCAGCCCCAACAGCTCGAGACATGGGAACAGGATTCAAATTAGGCCACAACAAGGGAACTCTTCGCGGTCTTTACTGTACACAATCCAAGTACTGTCTGTTGCCGTCTCTCCTGCTCGAAGATGACCCGAACTGGCAGGCCGATAGGAACCACATACTCCTCTACTGATTCGGACGAAAACAGAGCCAAGGACGAGGCCTTCCAAGCTGTAACAACTACTTGCTAGAATGACAAATATTGTGTCGAAGGACGCAAAGGAAGACGATATGGCATGCAGCTTGGCAATTGAAAGAAGCTACAAGTTATTTTTTTGATCAGAAAGTCCCTCACGAAACAAGTCTCAGAGCTGGGACGCGGCTATTGTTGTATCAGTCAATAGTCATTCCTTCAACACTGGCCGACATTGTTTGGACCGCCATCGACAAACAGGTCCAGACATGGTCAAGTCATTTCTGCCGAGACAACATTTTCAGGCTGGGTATGGCATCTGTTTCAACTACTAGAAGAGCATAATCCTTCGACCGCATGATCGAAAGGGGAAAAGACGGGTAAATCCTATACACAAAGAGGATGCTCGATAATGGAGATGCTTAGCAAGATGCTGAACTAATTGCCCGTGGGCAGGAGGTTTCAGCAACACGTTCAAGACTTCGTGATGCGCGATTCTTGTAAGTTCCAACTTTGGTTGCGCCACTTATCGCAAGATTGAAAGCCTAGATTGCCTCCAAAGCGAGAAATTTTCAATGATGATCACCCGGTTAGCACCCGGTCGCGGACGCAGCGGTTTGGATGGTTGTTCCGGTGGTGCTTTCTAAACTGGGATTATTTTCAACTTTTCTCACTCCCCCAGTACGGCCATTATATCCTTGAGAGAGGCCGGCTTTCGGAGGAAGACATTAACACCTGCCGCATAAGCTCTCGAGATATGTGCATCCGATCCCAGGCCAGTGAGGGCGATTATACGTGCAGGAGACACAGTCTGCCGCTTTGTTTCTATTGATCGAATCTCTTTGCTTGCCTCGAATCCGTCCATAACAGGCATAGACATGTCTATTGGGTATGAGTTTGTTAGAATTTGCTGGGAAACTTTGGAAAGACTGGGGGTCGAAAAAGGAACCACTCACCCATGAAGACATAATCATAGCCTTGCGGCATTTTCTGCACTAGTTCAACGGCCTTTGCGCCATTTACAGCGCAGTGCAGGGCTTGCGTTGGTATTTTTGAAATAAACTTTCTGAGGAGCGCGAGGTTTATAGCGTTGTCCTCTACCAAGAGGATTCGAAGACCATGTTTTGCTTCAGTCAGCGAGGAAGTATGATTTTCCTGGATATCTTTCTCAATATGAACTGGCAATTCAAGGTCCGTGATAGTGGGCTTCATGATTTCTTCATTTGGGGTAGACGCCGTGACCAACGGAGATGGGTTCGTTGATTTGAGCCGTACTTCATGCTGCAGAAGGAGAGCCCTTTTCGTCTGCGTATCAGTTGATTTTGAGTCCAAAATTGCGTCACTCTGATGATGTCTCGCTGTGCTACCGGGCGTATGGAATTTGCTTGACACTAATTTTTGAAGAGAGCCCAAAAGTGTCCTGGCTAGCTGGTGAGGCCCACACGGGAGAGTCAGCCATATTGAGTTGATCAGTTGCTCTTTCGTTGAAGCAACCGCTGAATATGGGCTAGGACCTCGATGAGACAGGACCAAAATTAGGGCTTGACGATATGCACCCGGGAGTTGATCCAGATGACGCTCGTCAACGACCACCAAGTCTGATGTGGTAGGAACAGCCTGGTCTCCAGTTGCCATGCCGAACCAGTTGGTTAGATATTGTTTGATCATATGAGATGATGACGGCTTGCTGGATTGGAAATTGTCCGTGGGGTAAAAGAATGCCCTGCTCCCTTCGAGCTTTGTGGTAACACGGTCGATAGATGTCACAGCGGGTAATGACAAGCCCGGGGCAGGAGATTCGGTTTCAGAAAGCTTGCGCTGTTGAGAGTATGTAAGAGGGAACGTTATCTTCACCACAGTACCCACGCCGAGTTGACTTTTGATTGCAATGCTTCCACCCAGCGAACGAAGTATACCTCGAACGAGTGAGAGACCAAGCCCCGCGCCTGGTGACATTGGGTTCTCTTGTGAAAATGGGGTAAAAACATTGGAACGAAGGTAGTCATTTGAAATACCACTGCCTGTATCGGAAACTGTCATCAGGAGCACTGGGTAGTCGTTCTTTGACGTCTGAGTCTCAATATGGAGGGAAACAGATCCGGCTTCCGTGTACTTTAACGCGTTTCCGAATACGTTCATAACGACGCGCCTCAAAGCACCTGGCTCCAGTACATAGAGCCAGTTCTGGGGCGCAGCATCGAGAAACACGTCCACTTGTTCGCCGTTAGTGGTTTGCGATCCTCTCATGGTGTCATCCATTGGATCCAATTGCCATAGCCGCGCAGATGCACTGCCTCCGTTCATGATACCTGATAGGGCCTGTCCAGAGCAGACGCTTTCAACAGCTTCTTCAACGACTGCAAGGACATCGACCAGCTTGACGATGCGTGATGACTGCGGCCGATCACGTTGGAGACGTTGATGGGGCGAGCGAGATCTCGGTAGGTCCCTCTCAAAAGAGTTGATTTTGGTGAAATCCAAGATCTGCTCAAAGGTTTCAAGGAGGGTTTGTCCACAAGCACGGATAGTGTCAAGAAGCCGTTTAGCAAACTCTGAATCGATGTGATCGAAGAGTAATTCGTTAGATGCTAAGATGCCGTGTAGTGGGCTTCGTAATTCATGTCTTTGGTAGTCTTGTCGTTAGGAATGTCCATAGCAAGGTAAAAATATAGGAAGGGCCCGTGGTACTCACGACATGGTACTAATAAAATCACCCTTTTGCCTAGCCGACTCTTGACTCTGAATACGACTATGCTCGACCATTAGGGATGAGCCAAATCCAAAGAGTCCACCCAGATCGACATGTGCACTGAACACTCGAGTCTCCGCTTGACTCCAACAAAAAGCGCCACCGAACCATCGCGAATTAAGAGAGTCCCAGAGGGGAGCGAAGATAATTCTCGTCGCTTTGGGAAAGTTCTTCTTCATCGACTGGAGATCCTTCTCGCGCAACGATCTGAGCGACGCTGGATGCACTGACAGTGGGGGTTGGGAGGGATTCGGAGCATCCTTCATGCTCCCCGAGCTGATTCCATCTTCATCGGATGAAAAGGCTTCTCTATTGTAGTTTAGATACCAGAGTCCGCCGCGCGGGTGATTTCGTATCATTCGGCGTACAAAACTTGATTCCATTTGTGATGCTGGATATGAATCAAATTCTTCCCTAGTTTCATGGGGCTGGTGATTGTTGTCCGATACCGCCCATAGTTTGGCCAGTTTTTTCTCCCTTTCCCCGCCTGAGTTATCGGAACAATCCTGGTCGATATCTTCGCCGGTGCTGGCGATGACCACACCACCGTTTGAACCCAGATCCAAGCTTTCTCGCATGATGTTGGCAGCACATTGAAATATCCGCTGTGCTCTGTTATCCTTGTAATCTGGGCACTTTTCTGTCTTCGATCTTGGTAAACGTTTGCGAGTTGTAGATGAAATGATGCTAGAAGGCACACCATCAAGAGCTTCGTCACTATTCGATTGAGTCGACGGGTCTAGTGGTGGGCTTCTGCTTCTGGCCTTGAACATATATTCCTCAGCCTCGGTGTCAGGAGTTTGTTGCTCGCATGATGAATATGATGTGAGACAGTCCAGCCGGCCTGGGCTGTGCCTTGTTAAGTCACGCGAGGTATCCGAACTGGCCGCTCCTTGCACAAAAGTATTTAGGCCAGCCAATAGCTTCGTCAATCGATTAGCCTCTAATGACTGCCGGGAAGTCTCCAGATACTCCATCACCGCATCCGCGATATTTCCAAGTGTTTCTTTGTGGGAATCGCTTAAACGGTGATCGGGTCGAGGATCAATCACGTACAAACTACCAATATTGATACCATTACCGGTTTTCAGTGGTGTGCCGGCGTAGAACCGGAAATGCGGATCTTTTGCGACACAAGGTAAATTGGAAAAGGTCGGATCCTGCTTTAAATCCTCTACGATGAAGAACGCATGCTTCCCGTCCGCGGGCTTTAAGGTAATGGTTTTCTGTAACCATCAAGCAAGTGTCAGCCATAGTCAATCCTCATGAGTCGAATAAGAAGGCATTGTGGAGCTCGCAGGAATTACCTCGCACAAAGTTCCCGCAACGGGTCCTCGCGAACAGCCTACCCAGAGACCATCCCCGTCTCCGTCATATCGGTCATTGTTTGCCAAATCCAGCGACCGTGACGCTTCCGCTACCACATAAAGTGTTTCCCGATCAATCAGACTGGACGATTATCACTGGGTAAGTAACTATCTTGAGGATGGATTCCAAGGTTTGCGCGATGACAAAGGTACAATGAACGATTTCACAGGGGCGATCTTAGGGAATTTGAATGATTAATTTTAAGATATGTGTGCGTTTGATCAAATTCCTCCAAAGCATCGCGACAGAGAAAATCGTACCTGATAACACTGCGCTGAACCCCCAGCTTCAATGCGGCTAACTGTGCCAGGGCCGTCAACACCAGATTTGGACTTGTTTTTTGAATAGTGGGATTTTCGCATGATCGAGTCGCGTGCTGGCCGAACGGCATCAGGGCCGGATTGTCTGGCTGAAAATAATGGAACAACTCCCGGGCGCGTAAGTCGACATCGCGATCTCCCTGCTCCGCGCTCATCATGCCGGGTTCAGTTGGGATCGCCAGCAGAAGGAGTGAAGAAGGCAGTGAAACAAGAATTAAAAATACAGTGGAATGTAATGAATGGTAGGGAGGGGTGGAAAACAGCCCACACAGGAGACCTCGGAGAATAAAGCGGTGTCAGCCGCGAATTTTCGCGGATGGGCGTCATAGGGAACTGCCAAAAGCCCTGCCCGTGCCTTGGTCTGGACCCAGAGATACATCAAGAAAAGATGGTGGGGACTTTTCCTTGATCTGAGTGGGGCGTCCCGGGGAAGAAAGTGTGAGTCCAAGGGTTAATCTGTCAATCTGTTTTCGAATTCTACTGTACTTCGTTCATGGGACACACGTGCTGTTTCTTGGCTTGTACCCGTGACGAAGCTAAACCGGAAAGGGGTGGCCGATAAGATTATGACCAATCATTTGCCAAGTAGATTATGGCTGGATCATTCCATTGTAAAGGTCGTTTTAATTACACTCTGTAACTGTTTTCCTGGGGATATTTTGAAAGGAAGCAGTGAAATGGATAGCATGTTCTATCAATTGACTACATTATGCCTCTCTCATCAATAAACAGTGACTCGAGATCATGTATCATCCCCCCCCCCCCTTTTTTTTTTGAAAGACCTAAGAGTAATTGACATGAATTTTTCACCTAATGCTGAATAAACCTGTTTCGCAAGCTGCTGGTGAATCTAAGAAAGGCCGGACACATGTGCAGACTCGGCTCCGAGGCCAGTTTTAGGGTGCTGTTGCTGGCCCATATGATGAATTGGGTATTCTGGATTCAGTCAGGTCATTGTTCGCAATCACTTCTGAGCCCCCATCTGGCGTAATCTGGGCTCTCAAGCCCATTGATACTATGCAGGGCAGAGTTCTGAAGCCAAATTAGTCTGTAGCAACTGCGTGTTTGCGACAAAGTGCCAGTGTGAGTAGGATGTTTCGGCAAAAAAAGTAAAATTTGAGTCGGCTGTCTTCATCGAGGAACTCTTTCAGGGAGCCAACTTGATCAATATAGAAAATGGCGCTTGGAGTAGAATCGTGAAGATTCGAATTTTTCGTGTTATCTTGGCCTATCGATGGAGGAGAGGCAAGATGATGGAACAAGAAGAGAAAACTCTGACGCACTAGAGAAGATAAGATAAGAAGAAGAAGAAGAAGAGAAAAAGGCAGCTATTTACAGGTGCCTGTCCTCATTGAGGTATGCTTGAAATATGTTTGAATTAGAGATGCCGGCCCTGTTAGATCCATAAAGCTGATCGGGTCCTTCAAAACGTTTGATATTATGAGTAGCTGATTTGATCAAGGTGAAAAAGTGAACAGCCTTCCGGTGTATGCAGCTGGTCGTAATCAGACAGACTGCCCTCCAGATATGAGAATGAAAATGGCGCTGAAAGGCAGTTATCCATGAGACCATCTACACCGTCATTTGTCAATCTTGGTGGCATGTCTGGGGTCATACTAAAAGGGAGATCCCATGCAGACATCTCACTAAGGTAAGGCAACTGGGTTGTGGATGGGGGCGCTCGAGTCTGAACAGAAAAATTAGATTCTTTGAGTACCCCGACTGTCTCCAGCATAAAATTCGAAGAAGAGAGATTGAGAGTGTAACTTTCATCCACGCGAGGTACAGCTAAGAGTCGCGATAAGGAGACTGCTTGCTCCGCTTCCAACCTGCTACTTGGGCGATTCCTGGGCCATTTATGAATCGCTGAATGGGACCAATTCATGTACAAGCCATTCCCCGTAGTATTCGGTTGTGGAGCTGTATCGGTGCCCCTATCGATGGTACATGTGACAGGTTCAGACTCGACGGTACCGGAGTTTTCGTTGTTCTTAGTGGTTGGTGGCGGTTTGAGTTTATTATTCGTGGATAATCGACCTTTGCCTCGAAGTGGAACTCGGGACTGGCAGGTTAGATTCTTCAGCCTGCATCGCGAGCATGGTACCTAATTCCTGGATTTAGTATTGATTCATTGATGTTTCGGAAAGTTGACCATTATACCTTTCTGTCGCATTTGGCTTTTGACCTGGCGCAATGCACACATGCCAGTATTGTTGAATCCACAAGGGAATGTGTGGAGGGTTTCAACGGGGACATGATTAGAGAAAATGATCCCATTAGTTGTCTGAACGATGTGCAATAGATCTCCGAGGCTGGAGCGTGCATCGGATACGTGCTGGAGTTAAAACCTTATCTCCGACCTGCGGACTCGGCCTGATTTTCAACCGCCTCCGCTGGTCTGGAGTCCGGACTCCGACGTCTTTGTTTGTATAGACTAAACTTGAAGTTCATCCGTCGGATATCATTATGCAGAGCAAGGCAGGTTCCACTGCTCGAAATAAATACCATTCCCCAAGAGGACTTGAATTTAGCTAGAGTCTACTAAATTTCAACATTTTTGCTCCATCACAAATACATAAATCACTATGAGCGGTTTATTTAGCCTTCTATTTACCAAACTGACTCTACCCCCTCCCTCGCTCATTAAGGGAAAGACCATACTTATCACCGGGGCAAACACTGGCCTCGGTCGAGAAACTGCCAGACACGCGCTTGCTCTGGGCGCCGGTACCATCATTTTGGGCGTTCGAAGCATTAGCAAAGGGGAAGATGCTAAAGCTAATATCGAGGCAAGTGTTGCCGGCTGTAACGACATAGGAAAGATCCTTGTATGGCCCGTCGATCTTGAATCATTTGCTAGTGTCCAGGCCTTTGCAGCTCAAGTTCATAAACATGTTATGCTAGAGGGTGGCCGACTAGATATAGCTATCATGAATGCAGGAATTGCATCAGCCGAGTATTCCACTACCCACGATGGATGGGAGAGAGGAATTCAGGTCAATGTTCTATCAACTGCACTTCTCAGTCTCAAACTTTTACCGCTATTGCTGCAAACAAAAGAGCGAGATCCATCCCTACAACCTCATCTGGTCCTTCTTACAAGTGATATTCACAAATCCATCAACTTCTCTGAGCGAAACGAGAAGATGGTTCTTTCTTTCTTGAACCGCGAGGAGCAGTGGAAGTCATCTCAGACAGCAGGTGCTACTGAACGCTATGGTGTCACCAAACTTATGGATATCTTCATCACCATGGAGTTAGCTCGACTCGTGCCTCGTGATGAGTCTGGAAACCCTCTTGTGATTGTCAATGCCGTAGCGCCAGGTTTTTGCAAATCGGATCTTCTCACAAGGGAAAAGGCACCATGGATTCTGAAGCTGATCCAAGCCTTGATTGCTAGGACAGTGGAAGAAGGTAGCAAAACACTGCTGCATGCAGCAACCCAGGGCACGAAAACGCACGGAAAGTGGCTGGAGAATCAGATCAATGCTGAGTAAGTCTCTTATTTTCAAAGCCAGTAGTCTGGGTCACTGATACATGTTTCAAATAGCCCTGGTACTATTGTCACAAGCCAAGATGCAGCGGTTGTAAGAGAGAAGGTCTGGGCCGAGATCATTGCTGTCTTGCATAATGCTGACCCCGAAGTCCGAGTTGATTACTGATACTGTAAGGTGATGTGTCTCTGTTCTGTACAGTAACAATAGCCTTATGTTGGATGTGCTCTGGCACCTCTCATCTGAGAATTCCTTGTCCATAGCTTAGCTAGCTTCTTTCAAGCCATGCTCAAACGGTTGAATGAAACATTTGCTTGGATAGAGACGAGTGTGCAACTGTGTCTTCTGATAGTGACCATGTCAGCAGTTCAGGCACGGCAGGATGAAGCGTACAAATAAAAAAATACCACAAAAAAAAACATACAACAGTCAGGATTCGCATGTGGTCACCCACCATACTACTAACTGACCGGCGTGTGGCTTAAGTACGGCTGAGCGGACGGGAAGCCCTGTTCTCCACACCCTGTGGTCGTATGTGCTAGATAGGTCTTTGAGGTGGATCATATGGTACAAGAGTGGGTCTCAGCAACTGCCAGTGGAGGGGAGTCATTCAGTACTTCCTATTAGGTATTAATAGGTCTATAATACTATATATAAGCTGGCGAAATCACCAGCTCGCTTGCTTAGATATCGTAGTAGTAATTTAGCCGATCTGATACTACTATTCCAAGTCGTGTACCTAGGTATAAAAACTTGAACTTCTAGTACTATTAGTGTAGTACCATAGGAGAACTCCGGAATTCCCACTTCAAAATATATTTAGTCGCATTTTCCCCATGAGGCTGTAGCCACCATCTTAAATCCAGAATAAACAAGAACGATCATTGATTACTTTTGATACCAGTTGATATCAGTTAGAGACATTCATTTCAGAAGTAGCAATTAAGCCTTCAAGGTTGAACGTTGCCTTGCTGACTTGTGTAACGTGAAGCCCGAGGCGGTCAACGGCCACGACTTCACTGATGTTGACAACTTCTTTCAACCGGAAGCTCACAACAAACATTGTGCCGGATTTGCTCCGCGTCGCAGTCCACTATACTCCTAAGTTAGAAACTTATGATCAGGATGCCAGTGGAGGTGCTAGCGCGTTGAAACGATCAATCATTATGAGTGCGACGATACAGACCGATCTGTATCGAACCTTGGCCCCGCCCGAGGACCAACAGCCACCTCGTAAGAAAATCAGAAAGGGGACTCGCAGTTGTTGGGAATGTAAGTGAGCAATGTGTGAAGTGTCGGATCGGACCCACTGTGACGACTTCGCAGGGATTAGACTGATTATAATACAGGCAAACATCGCAAAGTTCGTTGTCATTTTGTTTCCGATGGCGACCAAAGTTGTCGCGAATGCCTGGCAAGGGGGACTACTTGTCAAAGCCAGGACTTGCCAGAGCCCAATGTTCATGAGTCCGATCGTGCATCACTAGGCGATCGACTCGGTCGGGTAGAATCCCTTCTTGAAAGGGTTTTACACCGGCTGGACACCATTGGGAGTGTTGAAGAGGCGCGAGAGTTACCATCCACGGCCGCATATGATGGCTTTGCCTCCAGTGCGGCCGCCACGCCCGCAAATGAAAATGCACCGGCTTTGTCGCTATTTGACAATGGATTGGTAAATATGATGCCCAAAATTCTCATTGAAAGATGATTAACATTACATAGCTGGGCTTTCGACGATCTGATGTTACTACACCAAGCATGACATTGTGTGCTGACATGAATCGCGATCTGGAAAAGCTCTCCCATGAGCTTCTGAGTCTCTTACCATCCAATACTTCGTTAAACAGACTTGAAGAAGCCAATAGCTGCTGGTGGCTTGTCCGAGCCCAATGCTTCCAAAATTACGAGGAATCACTGCTCCCGAGCGCAGTAGCAGCGCGTTCGCACAGACATCCAACCGCAGTCGCTAAAGTCCTTTTATGGGTGGGTATTTGCCTCCAACAGCTCCCACGAGGGTTTGATACTCATTCATTGGAACTGCCGTACTCTCCAACGCGCCTGATTGCAGAGTCTGTCAGAGTCGTTGCTCGTTCCATTACCTCCGATGAAATTCTATCGAGTAGTATTGATGGGCTGGAATGTCTAGTACTCCAAGGGGTACTTTATAATAATGATGGAAAACTACGCAGTGCCTGGTTGAGCTATCGTCGTGCTATTAACGTCGCTCAAGTTATCGGGCTTCATCGGCTCCCTACAGAATCGATAGGAGAGTCGAATTCTGTTTCTGGGGCACGAGTGATCTGGAATCATATCATTTACGCCGACCGATATCTCTCTCTTATGTTAGGAATGTATCATGGGGTTCCTGATGTGGCTTTAGATCCGGAACGAGGCGTGGATCAGTCAATAAGCACATCCTGTATGGATCTTCTTTGTCGCATAGCCGGGTCTATCATCGAACGAAATCAAAAGTTTAGCAGTGCGACCCCTTCAATGGTTCGAGTAACACAAACCATCGATGCAGAGCTCATGTCGATTTATATTGAACCAGTCGTCGGAGATTCAATTACCTCGTCACCAGAAAAATCCACCGAACGAGCTCAGGCCTATATGAAACTCATGACGCAGTTATGGCATTATCAGCTTATTGCTTGGCTCCATCTACCCCTTCTACTAGACTCTGGGAGGCGCTATGACTACAGTTGGCAAAGCTGTCTAGATGCATCCCGATCTATTATTACATGCTATACATCTATCCGTCGACTAACTGCGGACAGCTTTTGCTGCAAATCGCTGGATTTCCAAGCCTTTACTGCCGCTGTCACTCTTCTTATTAATATTCTTGGACCGGCCGGTCAATCCTCCCTTAATTCGGATGATTGGCTTTCCATCGAAACGGTGATAACGACCCTGGAAGTATTGGCAGAGGGAGAGCCACCCGACAAAGTAGCAAGTCGAGGTCTTGCAGTTCTTAGATTTTTGAAAGGGGTTGCAACGGGAGACAGTGTGGCTCGATCTGACAATTCAAACGGGATTCCACCCATAGAAAGTCATCCCGGACGCATCAAAGTCGACATTCCTTACTTCGGTACTATTTCCCTTGATCGTACAATTCGCAGTGATCTCCCAGAGCGATGGCAATATGATGCAAATCGGTCTAAAAGCTTCACTGTAGACCCAATTCCCAATAATGAAAACACATCGGACGTGGCCAATGTTATGGAAGGGAGCGCAGTACAAGACCAGGCCAACTCCGTAGAGCCTTGGCTGGAGGGTGAGCTGGGACTTGGCCCTACTGATGTATGGTCATTTCATCCAGAACTAACATCATTGCCCTCTTTCTTGCCTAACTTGGCAGATGACTGGGATCTAGCACTTTGAATGAAGATTTCTATGACCTACAGCGGCTTGTGGTGTTCAATATGCTTTCTCATCAGATACCAGATTCCCCTTTGCCGTTGCCAATTTCCCACAATACAATGAGAGGCCGTAAGGAGTATGCAATTCTAATTAAACGAGGATCCAAATCTAAATTTCAGATACGACTGTTATATGTTTTTGCTTTTGACTTTTCCCTCCTTTCTTCTTTGTTGATGGTCTTTTTACTCTTGACCTTTGAAGAGCGCTGAGATATTGCTCTCGATCCTAGATTTTGAATTGAGGTTTACATAATGGGCACTCTTTCCAACTTTGGGATGTGGCTTCGGGTATCTTGCTCAGACGCTCCAATAAAGGTTCTGTCCAGGCAGATGACAACCTAAGAGCCGGCCATACAAAATTCTCTGAAAATAGGAAATTAGTGGCTTGTGTTGAGTGCGATAACCGTGCTTATCCTCGTCCCCCTGAGCTTCATACTGGGCGTCTTATACTCATGAACATTGACACAGGTTCAGTTAGTTCACGAACTATTGGAATCTATGCGGGACAGATGTGGTTCAGGCTTCAAGCTGGGGTTTAGTTCGAGCGGCAAATTCTGGGATCTGGCATACCATAAAGTGGGATTGGTAGGTGACTCGATTATGATTTGGGACACCGCGAGTCATAGCTTGATAATTCAAGTTGAAGATTTCCAATTTTGGATTCACAAGGTTTCATTTTCACCGAATGAAAATCAACTCCTTTTAAGAGACTCCACCGATCGTATCAAGATTTTGGATCTAGTTCTGAACAAGATTGTCACAGAAAATCATGTTGATGGTGACTTTATCATGCCCGGGTCCAACCTATGTTACATAGATTCAGAAGCCACCACACGCATCATTTCTTGGGACTGGTCAGTCTATGAACTAGTCACGAAATTCCGATTCAGCACTTTAATAGGACCAAGGAGAGTTATCTTCAATGCCAAAGGCGACTCAATCGCTTTCGTTCCTGAAGTTTCTTTAATTCGTGACTCGCGCATTGAATTTGGGAACAGCGAGGCAAATTCATCGTCCCAAACTCTTTATTTCGACACTGCCAGCCACTCAGAGTTGATGTTGTCTCCCGAAAACGCCCTGCTCCTGTCCTGGTATGTCGATAAAACCGTGTCTCTATGGGATCTCAATAATTGGAAAGCGAAAGTCGATTTGTCCTCACATAGCCATCGTATTGATAATATACGGGTTGGACCTAAGAGCGCTATTGTTACTTTCTGCTATGCAGAAGTTGGAGTATGGAGCCCTAGTGGGGAGAATTCGGGAGAGATGATCCCAGGACCACAGCGTGGGTCACTCTTGGCAGTGGATGGGGACTTTCTCGCGGTCGTGCAAGATCCAGTTGAACAGCAGCGTTACGGAAAGATCGACATTTGGAACCTAAGAGCACTTGAGTTGGCACAAACTCTGCCTGAAATCCCTGCATTGGGGAAAGTTGCGCTAAGCTCTACTGGAGGCTTTGTAGTGTTTGGTGGTGTGCCTGAGCCGCATGAACAATCAATCATGTTTAGAAACGATAAATCGCTTTTGGGGTGGAAATGAAGAATCTGGGAACAACGACAGTTCACGTGGCGATCCGGTCGATATCGCAAAAGAAGGGATATTACTACAGGCTAGTCCCCTCGTGTGAAGATCTGTGACTTTCGCACTGGGAAAGTACTCCATACATTGAGAAGTAGTGAGAGAATTATTGCCGCGCTTAAATTTTCCCCGATGGTAATATGCTTGCTGTTACAAGAAGACCCACCCAGGAAAACAACACTGGAACTTTTAAGATTTAGGATGTTGCTTAGGGGATACGACAAACAGCCCACATTGGTTACCACTTTTATGAGAGTGAGTACATTGCTTGGTCGACAGATGGAACAAAAGTCGGGTTCAGTGAATGGATGGCTATGAACATTTGGGATGTGTCAAGGGGGGAATTGGCGGAGTCTTTTGAGACAGAGCGTATTGTAGCCATTTGTTTCTCACCAGAGAAACACATATTGGCATTCATGGAGCACAGTGGCTATTTGGAGATACAGGATACTGGAATTTCAAGCAACGCTAGCGAGACTGGACTTTGGTCATGGTCTCCGGAGGAGCGCCACAATTTTCAAACCCGCGACTTGCCTCGATTGGAGTTTTAGGAAGACGGTAACACCGTTCACATACCCTATGGCCGTATTGATATTAGGCCAAATGTCAAAGACGAGGAAAACCGAAGCCTGTATATAGATAATGGTTGGATCGTTCGTGGTCGGCAAAAACTCCTAGCAATGCCTTCTGAATATCGAGCCCATTGCGCAACGGCTGAAGGAAACACCCTTTTCATGGGGGTCGGCGGAAGGGTACTTTCCATAACCTTCAATGACCGATGAGGAACTCAGAAGTATTTGCCAGCTGGAGCTATTGAGCTTCTCGTAACATTCCAAGTGACCTCCAGAGATGTTTTCTTCCATATGGAGATGAATTGCAAGTGCCTACCCCCAACTAAGAAATCAAATCTTACGATGCCATGAATTCAGCTTGGAATAACCCGAACAAAAACAACGTCAAGGGAGGTAAAGAGGAGGTGCGAGGTAAGGCCAGGGCTCGCATATACATGAGGCCGAACAATGTGATTGGTCGAACCAGAGTGTCGCCAAAAAAGCAAACACCAAGTACTAACCGGCCCCACAATTTTTCTTTCACAAAAATAATGAACCCTCGCTTACGAGGGTCCGCCACCCATATGGAACAGATCACCCATATGGAACATTTTTGCTAAATCGTACTACAACTACTATTTACCACACCACCATATAGTTAATTAATTAACTAAAAATAATAAACAAATCAATCAGCCATTTTAATATTAGAATACAAAATCAAGTTAATTTCCCCGGCGTTTTTTGGCTCTTCCATGCTTCCTAATTTCAACCAATATCTTCTTCCACTTCCGCTTCGTCTTTTCTTGATCGGCTTTTTCAGTCAATTTATATTCTTTTAGCTTCATTTCTTTGATCTGGCTTGAATTGATAATACCAGTGATTTGCGTATAACGGCGAGAAGCATCATATCTAGCGTGACGTGCTCCCATAATAGCTTGTGTAGAATCGAATTCCCGTTGCAGTTGGACAGCCAACATTGCCTGAGTCTCAGCACCCTTTACAAGCTTTGCTAGCCCTTCTTTAAAACGTTGAGTAGTAGGATCATATTGATTAATACGATCGCTAATTCTTCGAACTCTCTCAGCGGTTTTTGGGGTGCTAAACTCAGTATTTTGTGAGTTAACTGATGGTGTATCTTCCCGGGATATATTATCATAATATGGATCGTACGAATCCAATTCATCGGTAATAAGCTTAGAATTAATTGGCCAAAGGCCAGTTAATCTAAACCCAAGCTTGATTGTATGTGGCCGGAAGGTTTTGCGTCTGATTTCACTGATTGAATGTAGGAATTCATCCTTTGAAAATTTACGGCATCCAGTCATTGTAGCCGCCTCAACTGCCTCACTATGCCAGTGTTTATATACACTAAACACTCCAACATCGAGAGGTTGTAGTATATGGCTAGTATGTGAGAGTAAGAAGAATAGAATGATATCATTCTTCTCACAAAATTCAACAAATTGACGCGTTAAATGTGATCCAAAACGATCGCATAAAACTAGCCTCTTTTTCCCAATGGTACGAGAAATTGTCCATTTATGAAACAGCTGAATCCATTGATATGCTAATGTATCATTGATATAGCCAGTATCAGTTATAGCAAGATGCTCGTCGTCTTCAATTTTATCAAACCAACGTAGTAATGCTTGTTTAGCGCTTAGAATAATCAGCGGTGGGCATGTAAAGCCATCAGCCGAAACAGCCTCTAAAACAGTGACAGACTCGCGATTGGTAACTGAGCCATTAAATAGCTTCTTTTTTGGATGTCTTGTGATAATAAATTGATCGCGACCGACGCCAATTTGGAAGCCAGTTTCGTCAAAATTGTAGATATCTTGTTGACAGATGCCATATTTAGCCACTATACGTTGATAGTCTTGAAACCATCTCTCTATAACGGATTTATCCAGTGCAGTAGCTCTTTCAACATCAAGAGCTCGCCGACGTCGTATATAGTACTCAGGATACCGTTTAAGAAAACGCTTTAGCCAATGGTCGCCAATTTGTGGGGGATCTGTGGTGGTGTCGGTATGATCTTCTTCCAGAATTGAATCGGCAGCAATAGCAATTTGACGGCGATTTATTGATGCTCCGACCGCATCAAAATAATCAATATATTCACATAAAGCCTTCTCCTGTGCAATACTAAGCTTCCGGCCATTAGGTTGTCGTTGGAAAAGCGATTTTCCACCTTGCCAGCGCCGACGAAGACGGCCTTCAGGAACCGCGAATTCTCGCGCAGTCTTCCTAATATTAGGCTTAGATTGCTCAGAGAGAGACTCTATTGCCAGCTGAATCTGGTTCTCTATATCTTTATTGGTTTTAGGCATTGTTGGTGGTGTGGTAGATGATAATAGTGGTTGTGGTAAGATTTAGAAAAAATGTTCCATATGGGTGATCTGTTCCATATGGGTGGCGGACCCTCGTAAGCGAGGGTTCATTATTTTTGTGAAAGAAAAATTGTGGGGCCGGTTAGTAGGGCGGTGGGGGTCAAATTGCCCCTGCCCTTGTTGTCACCTGCACACGTGGTTAGCTATTTTTCGCCATACGGTGTTGATTGGAGTCATGGAAATAACGTGGGTCGATAAGCTCAGCCAGATCCAGGAACGATTGTTGTTACTTATGTAATATACTCGCGCATTTTTAATTTTACTTGAGGGGCGGGAAAGCGATTGGTTTATCTAGAACCATTTAGGGGCTTGATTGAGGAACCAGAGGATGAGGATCATTAGAGCAGAACGGGGGTCTATGCGAAGAATATCAGGTTCAAAGAGAGAACTAGAGGCGGTTTACTGTATGTTGAAGCTGGTATAAATAATTGCGACAGCTGCGAGACGATAGGAATCATGGATCTTCATGAGCTCTGGCTGAAGTAGGATCTTGCAAGTCCGAGTCTGAGTCCCTGTTCACGTTATATGTATATCCATTATTCAATAGAATGCAACAATAAGCCATGTGGCTTAAGCCTAGTTCATAGGGCTGTCAAGGCAGCTCGCTGGCACCACCACCGCCGCCACACCTAATCTCCCCGAGCAGCCAAGTAGGCCCACATAGATGGAGAACGTATTGTCAAAGAAATACAATCCTAATCTTCCTCATTTTCTCAGCATCAGAATTACGCGTATGAAAGGATTGCTCGCACTGGAAACTTTTCACATGTGAAATTCGATATATCTACACACTAAGTGAGAAGACAATTAGTTAACACGAAACTCGAGATCCGATTGGACGCAAGCCTGAAATCCCTGATAATCTTAATAACTGTATGTACAGATGTAGCTGAGTGGAGCATGCAGTTACGAATATCACCGCGTTAAGTGACAGGAGTGTCCTAGATCGAAGTGGATTCGTGGGATCTCATATCGCCACCATAAGGGAACGAACCGAATCATCCTATCAGAGAGCAAGGATCGTCCTGTCAAGTCAAAGTGTCCTGCAGAATATGAATATTATTGGATGGGGTATGAGTAGGCTCAGCTGAAGTCTGGTTCGAGATCTTTGAACCTCGAGGACACGCAATCCGGATTTCCTAGTCTCTCAAATCAGGGATTGTCTTAGATTTCACGGCGATGAGGCATGGAAGTTCTCCGCGGTCGCAGCTAAGCGAGACCAGGGGCTTTCAAGTTCTTTTCTGTCTGCCAATCAGGCTGTAAGTAGATGGTGTATCATCTATACACGAGACATACAGTATATCGTGTACCCCGTAGGCAACCTCACGAGGTATTCCAGATCCCTTGCATGCATAACAAACATCGTTCACGAAGATGAATGTTCCAGAACGGTCTGAATCGTACCTTGTCTATTTTCTAAAATGTTTTACAGTACCTTGATTCCAAAAATATCAGCGCTAGGTAGAATTCTCATCCCAAATCTCAAAGTATAGATCACAAACACGACATCGGAATAAATCGGCAACACACATTATCCGTGTAACAACCATCCTAGTCAGACCCATAAGCGAACATGATTGATTAGATGCTGACACTAGCATCTAAACTGCAACCCTAAAAAAAAACAAACAAAGAACAAAAAGTAAAATGATAAATGCGACACTAGCATGAAATTTTTTTCACTGCACTAGATGCAACTTGATGCGTTGTCCAACGGAGAATTCCGGTGCCAAGTTCCCGGAGCCCGCTAGAAGGCTTCCAGAAGGCCTTAGCGTCTTCCAGATTCCTCTTAACCATCAATACACAATACCGTTAGCTCTATACACGGCGTATCCGCACATACCAACGCTGTGGCTGTGCCATACACCACCTAACTGACCAATCATTTACATTGAAAAAATTTTCTTGTGCATTAGCCTCGTTGCTATTTTCTATTTTCTGGTTTGCGCTACACCTGCAGAGCGCACTCGGTCTCCCGGCTTTCCCTACTCCGATTAAGGTGCTGACCATTTGAAGTTTTTTTCTCCCTGTTGCCCGGCATAGTATGCCGAAAGGATTCGGAGGAAAATTTTTTCTTTCCTATGCCCTGCTCAACATCGGACTGTCAGAGAAAAAAATTAAAAATTCAGCAGGGGCCCATGCGTGTCTCGTTTGACAGACACGAGCTGATGACAGGTGCCCGATATAGAAGATCGTGCATTGCGCTGTGGTACTGTTTTTGGGCGCTCGGTATACGTGGTGCCCTGCGTATACAATGGATATCCACTATGGTGGGAGGCTTTTCCTCAGAAGAAAAAAAAACACGCAGTAATTGTCGTACACGTTACTAGAATTAGAATAGGGTGACGGCTACAGTAATGGTGGTGGGCCAATACTCGAGATCTCGCCACTTTTCCCCAGACGAAGGCCACGCTATCTGTCTCGGATCCAAGAATAAACACAAACCACCCTGTGGCTCCCCGGCCGTAGGGAAGAATGCCAAGAACGAAGAATGTAGTCGTGATCGCTTGACTTGAAATTCTGGACTCTGGGAAGACTCTGGGTAGTTTGGGCCAGACTGTTCGGTAGACACGGCACCCCGGACCCGCGTCTCGGTTGCCCACTACCCGGTCTGACAAAAATCACTAATGCCGACCGAGGCTTTTTTTTATTATCAGTCTTTTGCATTCCGTCAGCTAGTATCCTCTATCGGGGGAATAGACGGAGTTTGCGAACGGAACCAACGAATTAGCTGCATTCCTCTTGCAGAGGAATTGGTGCTAGCCAAGTCACGCGGCAGTACTAGAGTACAGTAGGCTGGTTATTCCACAGTAGTCTGGCGGCTAGGAGGAGATATCTCCGGTCGGAGTTCGCTCATCCGATCTGATATGCAGGTAATGGTAGCGTTTACATGTTTACAGCCTGGAAGGTAACCTCGTACTACCTTCATACCACGTTGTGTTAGTAGTAATTAATAATAATTTATGGGATCTAATTTTTAATGCCCAAGCACGCTAGTTTAGCTGAATGATTCAGAAGTCAGCCGAGTGCAGGGATTAGAGAAAGAAAAACATGTTTCTTAGTTCTAAAGCCGTTGAGTTAGTAGTATGAAGAGTCATTTATGAATTTATAATTATTATTTATGTTGCTAAGATATTACGAATCATTGTTGCGTGGTTCCATATGGAAGAAAGCCTGACTCAAGTGCTGTATTGTGTCCAGTTGACTCAACTTCAGTATCAGGCCACGGAGCCATGTGACCAACCCTGGTTTGATCGTGTAGCCGAAGCGATAAGACGTTATTCCATGAGCCGCGTCTAAACTAGCTAGAGACATGAATTTGGGGTCAGCTGATTTTGAATCCAAGTCACTCACCTGACGCCGTATACCGCGCAAAATAACCAATATTTTGGGGCTCTACCTAATTAGGCAGTCCAAATGAAACATACCAGAGAATGGTGGGAATTTCTCCCGATCGTGTCTAATACCTGTTTCTCCGGGGGAAAGCAATGGACCTTCCTGAAAGGGTTTAGTAAAAGATCTCAACAATATCTTCATTATTCTTAATTTTCATGTCTGAGCTGGCATCGAATTTTTACCCCAGAGAATGCAGGGAGGGTTCCCACGTTGTGGCGCAGCACATGGGTATGTGGCTTTCGGCACCGATCATTATTAAGGATGGAGTAGGGGTCCCGGGTAACACGGACTCTGGTTACTTTGGTCACGCGGGAAAAAAAACAAGGTGTGGCTCAGCCCTGTCGGATTCACCATCCTAAAATTGGAGCACCGATCGGACACTAGTCTCGAGATTTGTCGAGATTTTGCTAGATCCTGCAGGAAACCTACCATTTCTAAGCGATTGGTTTCTCGGTTTACGGGGTTACTTTCATTCCTTGAGCACTACTGGTTTGGTTTCGCCCGAGATGACTCTTTTCGGAGTCATCAGCGCTATCTATGTAGGCAGAATCTTTTTGCGCTTATGAATCTTGATGAGTTATACACTATATTTTTTCTTCTGGGATTCTTGTTGTTTCTATTGGAGGTTTCTTCCCATTCAATCAAAAATATCAGATTTATTGATTTATTCTTATTCGTATTCATTTACTTGTTGCATGGTGGAGTTTGTGGCTGTCTCCGGAAAAGCCACCAATTCATTACATCTATACTTCTGTACATACAGGGGAGGAGATGGAGGTTGAACACAAAATAAGATAATAAAAATAATATGAAATCGTGAAAAATCGTGAAAAATCTGTAATTTACAAAATTCCAAAAAATAATGACAATAATAATCTAATTCTAAAATACATTGCCCGATCAGGACTAACTCATATTCAATTCGACAGATAGTAAGGGGGACAAATCACTAAACGGGTAAAGTCATAAAATCGACCCCAAAAAGTCCAATAATAAATCCCCAATAAATCCCATAAATGCAAATAAATTCATCCCAAGCTCTCCGGTAGATCAGTGGATCCTAAACAACCCGGTGGGACAAGCAGCACCCAAACGTGTAAGAATCTGGTAACTCCGTAATCGCAATGTACAATAGATAACCGCTAGCACCCAAAGAAGACAAATACATGCCGATCCTTGCTGTAACGTACGGAAACCCGTCGAAATGTATCGGGATGACCGATGTCTAGGTATTCCCCCGCTAGTCTCGATTGGGGCCCCCTAGCCCCGAAAGGAGAACGTCATGGTACTATGTGGATGGCATTTATCTTTTTAAGCCCAATCTCTCCCCCCCAAATCGGACCTCTCCCCATTACTCATATATCAACACCTTCAACAACCTTCAATAACTTCTTATTATCTCCCCTCTCTTCTATTTTAATTCATCACTCAAATTAAAGGTAATAAACCCAAAAGAAAAAAAAGAAATTCGACTCATCCTCCGATCGAGTCATTCTACAGAACCAAACTAACCCTCTTAACAGTCCCAGACTTTGTTATAATAAGGTTCATCCGGTTCCATTATCACTCGATCACGAGCCTCTCGACGTTTCCAGACTTTTCGCATTATTCTCCCTATTGCTGAGCCACACTCTACTCGTCTCTTTATCGGCCGTTCCCAAGGATCTTTCGGACTTTGAGCCGTCGGAATTTCCAACTATAAAACACTCGCCTTCCCCGGTGGCGAACACCTCTTTCTCCACCTTCTGACGTTCTATACGTGATAACATAATGTTTATGTATCCACGTAAGGGTCTCATCACTGATCCGTACCACCAAGAGGACATCATCATACAAGACGATCGGTTCCCACCTGAGTTCGCCGAGAACTCTCAGCAATACCAACAGTCTTACTTGCAACCACCCTTCCAGTACCAACCGAACCAGTTCGCCTCTCCGCCGTCTTCCGCGCCTTCCTCTCCCACTTTCTCTTCTCCGACCTTTTCCATTCCTTACCCTCCTCAGGCGGTCGACAACCAGTCTCTCGGGGCTCCTTCGATGACCCCAGCTTCCTCATACAACCCGTCTTTGGACGCTCAGAGCTCTGCCTCCCCCTCTTCTTCACAGCAATATCTATCTCAATACCCTCAATACTATACCCCCATGTTGGCCCAACAGCCCATTGCTCCCGGCAACCAAGCTTGGGACAGCAACTTGCAGCTTCTGAGCCCCGCTCGCATTTCATATCCCCACAAGGCTTCCCCAACCGCCTCGTCACGATCTGTTCACCACCAACACCGACGATCTGACAGCTCTTCCAAGCCTTTGCCTACTCCTGTTCAGACTCCCATCCAGAACTCGTTGTTGGCTCCAGCTTTCCAAAACTACGACCCATCAATGAACGATGGTAGCAATGTTGAGGTTGAGTCTGCGATGAGAAGAGCGATCATGGCCCAGCAGTCACAGCATCAATCCTCTCCTCCCCAGCAACAGCAGAGCGAGTACTCTCACTCTTTGGCACCTTCTGTGTCAACTATGAGCCACAACTCGCCCGTGACTCCTCAGAATACCCTTGATGAGCTCGAGGATGCATCCAAATCGATGACAAATGGTGAGACCCAATTTCCTGACCTTGACCAGTGGATGGACCAGTACTTACGCCCCGACGCTACTTCAGAATACGCCAACGGTAACTCGGGCATGATTGGTATCCCTAAGCTGGACCGTACCATTTCAGATATTTACCAAGACGAGCTCTACAACCCCGCCATGATGGCTACTCCTCAGGGTTCCAAGTCTATGGGACAGAACATGATTGCCCCCCGCAATGTCATCGCCGATCGATTGCAGGCTGCTAACCAAGGACACATGTCTGCTCGCTCGCAGTCTCCAGTTTCTGGCATGAAGCGTGAGCGTTCGCCTTTCCGTCACAACTCTCCATTCGCTGGCGGCATGAATGTTTCCGCACTCCAGTCTCAAATGGCTACTAGTGTCCCCATGGTTCAAAACGGAATGAGCATGTCTGCTCCAGGCACTACTGCTGACCTGAAGACTATGTCTCCTAAGGATGCAGTCTTGGATTTCAACGATGGCGAGGATGCCGCTATGGCTCCTCTCTTCCCTCCTCAGCAGGGTGATTTCAACCTCGGGGATGCCCTTGGACTGCGCCGTGAGCCTTCCGGATCGCTTCAGGCTTCAACCTTGGCTACTATGGATGCTTTTCCTTCACAGTACGCTCCTGTTCAGCAAACAGTCTTCCCATTTTCTCAGCAGAGCCAAGCTCCTCAGCAAACCTACATGCACCAGCAGCAGCCTAAGCTTATGCCGACCTTGTCTCACTTGGACTCCAATGGCAGCGATATGCATTCGTCTGCGGATATCACCCCACAGGCTCAGGTCAAGTCCCTTCCTAACGGAATTTCCCGCCCCAGCAACACCACCTCGGATGCGGGAACCTACACCTGTACCTACCATGGATGTACACTCCGATTTGAGTCGCCTTCCAAGCTCCAGCGACACAAGCGCGAGGCTCATCGCCAGACTTCCCCTGGTGGACACCTGATTACTCGGGACACTACACTACGGAATTCTCAGGCAGGCCCCCACAAGTGTGAGCGTCTCAACCCATCTACTGGAAAGCCTTGCAACTCTGTTTTCTCCCGGCCTTATGATTTAACCCGACACGAGGATACTATCCACAATGCCCGCAAGCAAAAGGTTCGGTGCCACTTGTGCACCGAAGAAAAGACGTTTAGCCGCAACGATGCGCTCACCCGGCACATGCGAGTGGTGCACCCTGAAGTTGATTGGCCTGGCAAGCAGCGTCGCCGGGGAAGAGACTGAATTTCATCCGAGTGGGGAAGATCGTCATCATCATGACGACCAAACCATATTGAAGTTTTCGAAATTTGACCATCGAGACATGACGTCAACCCAACCCGATTCAGCTACCGGGACCCACATTAAGTTCCAGATCGTCGGTGCCTACTTCCGTTTCAGGCCTATGAATTGTCATTTATTGGTGCCTTATTGCCTTAGCACCCCAGGCCACTGACGTCATGCCCCAGTCTGTCCTCCATTGTTTGGCTGACGTCGACTCTACGTCGACGATCTAATCACCACAACACAGGATGACGCACCCCACCCTTCGCTGCTGTGGATGGCTACACCCCAACCCCCCTGCCTCGCCTGACGTGTGCGGGTATCTTGGCGCACATATGATTCATATCTCATTTCGCACATTCTCTGTCCAAAAAATGGAAAATAATGCATGTATCTTTCTATGTGTATGGTCATGTTTTGTGTGTTATCTTCGCTTGCAGCTCTTTCATGTCTGTTACGAACTTTATTGACATGTTGTATTATTATCATTATCATTCCTACTGTTTATGACCTCACGCAATGATGTCTTTTGCATGCAATCCGTCTTGTGCATTGGCTGGTGCTTTTGATTTACTTGAAAATGGTGGTGTATATTGCAGGGTCGTTTCCTGCTTTGATATTTTTTGATATTTTTTTTTTGCTTCGTACAATTGGCTTTTTTTGTGACCTTGTACCATATGGAATATGGCCAAAAAAATGTGTATATTATGGGAAAACAATTGGGAATGTATAGCTAGTGACTATATTATTGACATAGATTCATCAAATATTTTCAAACATGATATCTGCCTCTTTCTAGTAATTTGTATCTTGCCTAGAATCATTTTTTGGTTTTCAAACTTGTAAAAGCCCTTGTAGATTTCAACTTGGTCTGTACAAGGGGAAGACTAAAAACTTGCACCCATTACCTCACAAGGGAGGACGACACACGAAGCTTTTCCCCTTCTCCTTTTTCCCTCTCCATAAGGATTCAGAAATTAGACCCTCCCAAAGCCCCCCACTTATCATTTCATTTCCATCCGAACGTCAATCTACTACTCCATCCTAACTTTCCCTCGGCACCAGCACAGATCACCCCCTAACAAGCGCACACGGCATCGGCAAAACCATAAAACCACAGAACCACAAAAACCAATTAATGTTCGTATACTAATTCCAACTGCCGATCGTAAGCAGCTTACTCTTCTGCAGGTTGAGCTTTGAATTTGTGCGAAAAAGAAGCCCTAGCCTAATTTACAGTAGTATCCGGAGCTAGAAAAATGGCCCCCGCAGATGACATCGCTATGTCTCTATTTGGTATTCTCGGGTCCCCATTCAAACCTAAACTAACTCTCTTTCTCTGAAAGTTGAAATGTGTCTCTAGCCCCCAAACAAACCCCCCTCTCGCTTATGTTTACCTCGTCGTCGATATTAAACAATTATAAGATAAGCTCGTATCTCGTACTTTGCAGCATAATAAAATGGCCCCAAGGATCCATTAACTCTACTAGAAACGGCAATTTTGAGGCTGCCCGCTACTCTATTCGGAATACTGCTTAGTGGCCCTATGGACTTGCTCTACTTAATCTGTACGGAATAGTATGCTGAGCTTGAGTTGTTTGGATCTGGCCCCCATGAGATTTAGATCCATGACATGACCGTGCTTTGGACACCGCTTTTTACTACTGCAGTTAGTATTGGATCTGCTCTTTTTTGCTTTGTATGGTGTGGGTATTGGGGATATCTTCTGAAAAACATGTGTTATACAGTATTGGCCCCGATACCTTAAGGACACATGGTTCTTTATCTCGATCTACATGCATGACGCGAGAATGTATGAAACTAAGCAATAATCATTACCATTCCCACACATATACGCAGGGAAAAGCAAGAAACACCACTATGATGAATGAATCATACTCAAGTTTCAAGTATCAAATGACTTCAATGACTTCAATGACTTCACAATGAATTAATCCTGACGCTTAACGCAAGGAAGTTCAAGCGGTCATCCTTAATTTCTTCATCCCTCAACGGCACCGATTGGCACATATCAAAGCAATTGAATTTCACTTGAAGTCCGTGCGAAAAGGAAGAAATCCACAAAAACCCTTAGCAAAAAGCCACAACTCAAAATGGAAAGTAATGCAGAGCAATCAATGTGCATCAGACGTACTGTAGGGACTGTACACACGTAAATGTGGACATGGAGCTGTGGACCCGCGCGCAATTCAAAACATCCACCACTCATCTGCAGATAACCAGAGGGCCCTCAACCTCCCCGCTTCCCGTCCTAAGCAATCATAAGCAATCAAAGGAACCGGGGATAGACCTTTCTGGCGTGTCAGCTCTCCCTGTAGGTGGGGGAGCCCCACCTGTGGAGAATGTGGCTTTTCGAGAAAGGGGTTATCACTGCTCTCCTGGGTGTTTTAGGATGCGATGTGCAGTTGCACAGGATTAGCTGCCCTTGTACACTCGGGGTACGGGTGGAGACTAAATGACCCACTTGGTGGAAGTTTGGCAAGCGTAATCCGTTGTAAGGCGCGTGTTGTAAGGCTCGTTATCGATAGTGAAAATGTGGGACTTATTTTGTATTGAAATGTATGTGGCGGTGCAGCTGATGAGTCATCTGGTTATATAAGCATTGTATTACAAGAATCGGCTAACTACATTCGGCCTAGTTTGTTTTCGGACTTGATGACTCAGGTTTGGTGGGTTTGTTCGAACTAATTGATGTACGTGGCTGCTGTGTGGCTTCGTGGCTTTTGGTGGTGGTGGATGCAGACTTGCATGATGGTTATGGAATAATTATGCTATTTTTAGAAGGGTGAATGATAGTGGTGATCAATGTTTTACTCGTGTTTCGTAGATGCCTATTCAATTCTTTTTCTTTTCATATGAAGATTTACAGTAGGTCAATCTTCACGGCATCCTGCATATTTTGTGGTGGCTATGCTGATGATCTACAAGGCGGAAGTATATTCCCACTTTCTATAGATAATTATGATTGATGCTCAACTTAACAAGCAATATACATTATTTCAATACATATGCATTTGGTTTAAGAATAAATCGGTTGTAGCAGGTAGAAGGAATACGGGTCAAAACATCGGATCTACAAGACATGTCGCATTGTATGTGGTGGCTATGCGAGACACTGTTACTTTCTTGTATACCACTTGAATACAAATCTCATTGTTCAATTCGATACTCATATGAGTCAAAGGAATACAAACCCCGTACATGACAACTAAACAAGCACCGTTACCTCTCGTAATAATCTCGGAATCAGCACCAGTTGACATGTGCATCGGTAGGTACATGATTCTATTCGGCAATTGCCGGCACGAGCATGGTATCCAGATCTCACCGCGCTCACGAGGTCTCTACCTTCACCTGGTTCTAGCTGTGTCTTCGTTATTTGCCGAATTTTGTTTCGGCTGTTGTTACATATAGACCTTTGCCTGCGTATATTATCACACGTGGAGCCAACATCCCGGAACTAGACCTTGAATGAAGAGAAAAGTCATATGTTCATTAAATCCGAATATATGTAGAAATGCAGAATGCAGAATGCTCAGAAATCTATGTAACTCGTGTATCGTACTGATGATATACCTCCCACTTCCATAGCCATAACATCCATGCACCATCCATTAGCCCATCATTGTACCCTCGGCCGAATAGCCAAGTTCAAGTTGTCATGAGCACCCCCATTCACCCCCTTCATCTCTATGCCATGCCGCAGAACACTCTTCAAGTCTTCACTGCCAACCATCTCCACATATTCCGCCGCACTCCCCCATGCCCCTCTCGCCTGAGGATCAGCCCCATGCTCCAACAACCATTTCACCCGCTCAGCCGCACCAGCCATAACAGCATACATAATCGGATGATGTACGACAACCCGTGACATACCCATCTGATTCACATCAGCGCCCCGCTCCACCAACAACGCCATAATAGGAATCCGACTTGCATCGAACTCGCTACTAATCACGCTCCGCGGCATGATCCCGGGCGAGCAAGCTCCAGCCGCAAAATGTAGTGGCGTGCCATAGTGAATCGAAGCACCTGCATCGAGAAGGAGACGCACTGCGTCAACCGACCCCCGCGCAGATGCAGCTTCTAGCGCAGCGCATGACTGCGTATTCGGATGAGCGGATATGTCGGTTGTATCATGTTGTGCGCCTAGATTGGGATTTGCACCATGCGCAAGAAACCAGCACAGAACTGGAAGATTGGTAACTACCTTTGGAAGTAAGACGGCGCCATATTCGCCTGGAATGTTGGGGCCCCAGCCTGATTGGGCCAAGAGCTCGAAGAGCGGGATTTGGAGTGATGGTTGTGCGGAGAGAATATGTACAGGTGTGTTTTGAGTGATAGGAGCGCCGGCTGAAAGGAGATAGCGGGCTACTTCGACATGGCCGGACTCAAGAGCGAGTATCAGGCCATGGTGAAGAAATGGTACTGTCGGTGATTGTGATGAGACTATCGCATGGACGGTGTGAATGTTGCCTTCTCGACAAGCTGATGTGTATGAGTCAAACAATGTGGGTGTTTCCGGGACAGAGTTGCTTTCCATAGATGAAAACGCTATGGATGGTTGGAAATTAGGCGCTATAAAAGATAGGCGGTTGTTCACATGGCCCATTCCGAGTTCGCGTTCTCGGGCGGCTCGCCTTGGAGTGTCCGGTTGGACCATCGTCCCCACCTCACCGAATGACATGGTGAAATTTACTCTTTTATCGCAAGTTGAGTTGTTGGTCTTGCGATGGTTTTAGATTTTGGATTATGCGGAGATTATCGATAAGGAGAAGTTGAAACCGGCAGCGGCCAAATTGTGAAGGAGCCTCATGCCTTTTATGGATTAGTTCATGCTCGGACTGCGCTGACTCATCATTAGACTGGTCGCAAACATGACCTGTTCCATGCTAGATGCATCTAGGAGAATATCTGTACATGAAAATGTGACTGAGAGGGTATGGTTAATCTGATGGATCGGGTTGTGCTTGATCCTTAGAGGATAGTTCGTATGCATATATGCATACTTAATAGATCCATGGATCCTGAGGAGATAAGACATGATCCATACAAAGGACCCACAGAACCAACCGGGGTTATAGCTCATGCGGTACCCTGGATTTAACATCGGGCATTCGTGCATATAACTCTATATGAGAATTCAGGTTTTAATTTCGAGAAAAAATTGTTTGTTTTTGTTTCCGGTCTCCTTAGGTTAAAATGCCGCCCATCTCGACGGCATGAGGATATGAAATTCGTCACTGAATGTTGATTCAGGCTTTTCATAAATAAAGGAAAGAACAAGAAAAACTTTTCCAAAAAAAAGAAAAGAAAATGATTTTTAAAACATGAAAGGAAGTAACCGCCCCAATTAGTTTATTTAAAGCCACGTTTTGACCGGCGAGCCTGCTCGCGGGATTCGAAGACATCAGTTGTCTCAACTGTTGTCTCAATCTCTGTCTGCGTGAAGATCTTTCCATCAGGGACAATGATTCGATCCTCACTCGAGTCATCCCGATCCCCAGCACCAATTTGAGTACCCAAGCCAACATCGTCTTCCTTCCCGTTCATTGTGTTCATCGTTATTTGATTAGGATCTGTCACCTTAGTGAAGCCGCTTCCATATCGCCGAGCATCGGTGTTGCCAGACCACGGGCCGTATTTGCGACCGCTGCTATACTCGCCAATGAAGCGGGGAACGAAACGAGAGGCAATAGCCTTGAAGGAAGGAATCGAGGCAGCGAGAATTCCTATGTTGGTTTCAATCACGGACCAGTACATGGCACCGCTGATTGCGTAGGTGTAGTCCGCAGATGTGAGCATGGCAGGGATGTAGGTGATTCGAATAATGGAAGAGACACAGGCACTGGGTAAATTAGCAAGTAGTTAAAAGCCGGTTACAAGGTAAGGCAGTTCTGTGGCAACTTACAAGAGACCCAAGCATAGAATAAGTGCTAGCACAATCTTTTGCTTCTGAGGCATTTGTAATTTGAAAATGACTCGAACGGGGAGGGTGTAGGTCAAAACGTCCGTGAAGATGTTGAGGGCTGCGTTGCAAAGATAGAAAATATTGATGTCGACGCATTTACCACCGGCAGCACCTGTCCAAGCTTTGCTGACTGGGGAGCACTGAAAGGCGGCAACAAGCACAAACGATCCAGCTTGGCAGATGATGATGGCCATCATTACATGTGACATTCGAGTGAGGTAGCGATCACCCAGTCGGGTATAGAACCATAGCACCGATGTTTTGATGAACCCAAGACAAGCCAGATAAAACATGGAACTCAACCAGACGGCCTATGGCGAAGATTAGACATAAATTATGCATAAAAGGAAGGCATTCTTACAAAAGAGTAATTGATGAGCAAGCTCTTGTCGGTATCCACGTAATGTTGTCCAAGTCCATTTTGAACGGCTATTCGTTGTCAGAGTTGATCATTGAAATAGAAAATACCAGGTAGACATCTGTGTGGACTTACCAGATATAGTTGCTGCGATGAATGCCCAAGCTAAAAGCTGTGTTGCTTTTTGATCAGTTCATGTCTATAGTCATTGATAGAAATATCAGAGTGTTTTCTTACACATGCTCCTATAATGAGATCTTAAGATTCTTGTTAGCTAACAGTTTCTGTAAACGCAAATTATTTCATGGGCCACTTACAATCATCGAGACCCATCTTGCCTAAAACATAGATCCTGGCAAAAAGTCGTAGAGCCAAAACAAGAAACGTTAAGATCGCAAAAGCAATACAAATTCCCGCGACCACAGGGCCCTGGGAGCCATGGTCGCCTGCCATGGTGAGATAAAAACGAATGAATGTGCCAGGAAGCCAGTGAAAATATTAATCGACCAGTTTCCGAGTTTGTAGAAGCATGAATATACGATCTCGAATTTTTCGTAGAATGTCACTAGGACAGCCAGAGGAAAAATTCAAGCAAAAGGCATCAAGAGAAAATCCAAAAAATAGTAAGGCTAAAGTATGTATTCCGTACGCCACTTCATTTATCAAAGATTCTGCACATGCACGTCCCCCATGTCCCAGTTTTAAAAAGACAAAAAAGAAGAATAATTGAACGAAAAAAGGTACGAAAATGGATTGCCAATCTTGCTGGCGTATAGCGCTTCTCCCTGGCAGACTATTCTAGATCCACCAAGCCCAAGCTTCAACCCCATAACTGCCGCAGGAAAAGGGGGGAACGTGAAAGATTGGCATCAACCTGCCGGAAACAGAGCAGAACCAGAGAAAGTCCCCGGCTGCATTGTACTTCAGTGCATCAAGAAAAACCGTCGATCAATAGTGCTAATGTTCGCCTCCCGCTTCAGGCTTAAGACAATCCACTTGCCTGGGTTTCGGTAGGGGTTATTCCCGACCATCGAAGACCCAGTCATAAGACCATTTATTAATAGGGGTTTTCCCTTCTGGTTCGTTGACCAGACGCGGAGAAGATGTCCTACAAGTCCGTGGTCCCCTGCCGAGTACCTTAGAAAAGCTCGTGGGATCCACTTCTTTTCGACGCAAGACCCATCCATATCCTAGTAAACGGAGGGGGGGTGGCGCTTTAGTCACTCTCCATCTGAAGCCAGCTGCGTCTGAACTTGTTTTAGCATGGCTAGGGAAACCAGTAAGAAGGAGAGTTCTTGCAGGGATTCTCAACGTCTTGTATCCTCCTGTCGATCTTTGTCTCTTTCGCTTCTTCGAATTTTGCAGTCCGTACAATTTCCCCGGAACGTCGAGGGGTTGTATCTTGGAAGGCATTGATGTGGGTTGAAATAAACATGCTATGATTTGATTCTTGTGTTCGGGGTGGCTGAATCTGACCCTTTTATTCATCTTCGATTCCATCGACGCTATCTCACCGACATCGAGGGATCGTGATCTATCTACTCCGTGGCTCAAGCAAATCACACCAGGAGCAAAGAGCATTGCGCGGAGTGGGCCCGGGACCGTATTACGGAAGGGGAAACTCCGGCCTTGCATTTTCACACGGAATAATTGATTGTCTCCGTACTAAATTCCAACTATGTTGAATTAGCATCGTCAAATCCTGACTCAAAGTCTCCTTTCTGTACGGAACGTTTTGTCCTTTTTTGTTGATATTTCCGTGTGCCGCGCGGCACTAAACTTCGCTTGACAGCTCGCCGGTCGAAGTTTAATGTTGCCTTGAAACTCTACAACTCTGGATTGACAAAAGAAAAGTGGTCCTTTGACTCCGTACTTTTGATTCTCATCTTTTTGGACAAACTCAAAGAGGGATTTGGTGAGGGGTTGACTGGGATATTATCCACCGTTGTTTCAGACGTTTCCAGATTCTTCTCGTTGTCTGCCGAGGGGAGAAAATGGCCGCCCGCTTTAGGCCCCACTTGTGGAGCCAACACAAGAGCTAATGCACCTCGATCTGCAAGAAAAATCATCTCCCCTTCCGAGCCGTCCTGGAAATAAGAAAAGTATCTGCGGGGCCCTAGAATCGCCCAATTGCCGCTCACCCGCGTGCCCGTTAAGCGAGATTGGCTGTCTTCTTCCCAGACCAAGACCCTGGCAAAGGCAATATTCATCCTCGGGTCGAATGTGATACATCGCAAAGGCTGTTGAATACCTCATGTGATGGACACATGTACAAGCCTATGATGTGAAATGATGATGTCTAAATCTTGGCTCTTATGAGATCAAGGCAAGCTTCAGTTGCAACCTCGTACTTCTGGTTACTCCGAACAGAGTACTCCATTATGAAATACCCCCACAAGGTACAATGGAGCTGCTCCATCTACGTAATTCCAAGGCGCGGAAATCTCAAGGCATCCCCCGCCAAGGTTGCCCTTTCTGCTACATGTACGTTCATTTCCGCATGTAATTGCCAATTATCGGGATGAATAGCGGACTTACGGGCCATCTGGTTATTGATCACCGTTGAGGATCTACATTCATTTTAATTTTCCTGACTGTCCAGACAATCAAATACTTACTGTATGAAATCTTTTGTCTCAATTGCGCCCACTAAAGCAAGTCTAACAGGCACCGCAGTGGAGACTATTCCCTACGGAAGTTTCGTGTCTTTTAGGGGTCAAAGCCTCTGATATTTCAGATTTGTACGAAGCCGATATTACAAGTCGAAGACAGAGAGTTGGTCCGTTCAACCTTTGATTCAGAAAACACGTACTTGGCTGCGTGCTCACCAACAACCTCGTGTTCGCCGGGTAAATAATGGTATCCCCGCGTTCAATTTAGACGCAAATTAATTCATAAGAACACGTTCGTGAAGGTCGTTCAGTTAATTTGTACTCCATATTGAAGAAAGAAACCATTATTCATGTGAGAACTATGGAGTATACTGTCAGATGACTCGTGACCAGGATCGATTAGCAAAGTCGGGTCCTGCCTAGTCCTACTCCACATGAGCCCTTGAGATTTGAATATTCCCGATTATTTTATGGGGCTTGCCCTCGTGTTACTTGCTTGTGGCAAACGGAGGTTTCCCGGGGCTCATAAAAGCCGCCGATCTTTGTTGCAGACTCCATCAACGGCTCTTCAGAGACGCTTTGCTACTCCGCATGCCCCCTTTCATTAAATGGGGCCCTTGGGTCTTTAAACGCTGTTTTTGCTAACAATAGACTGTTTTTATTAGAAGAGAATATTAGAGACAAATACATGCCTTAAGTCTTAACATATTCCAGGGTCAATGGAATACACGTCCCAACATTGTGAGCAGACTGGAGCTGCGGAAATTATATACCCACTATGTTGAATGGCGAACACTATAGCGCGCGAGCTAAAGCGACTAGAAGGGAAAAAAAGAAATGAGCAGAAGTGCCATTGGGGGACCTCTGATGTTAGCTTGTTGCGTACTCCGTATCTGTGCTCCGTACAGCTTCTGTTGATCCTTAGGAGCCGTTGAATTAGATCCAAGCCTAGACTGACCGAATTAGACCAAAAGCTCAATAGAACATTCTAATTGACAACGGTAGTTCGGCATACTCCGCTAGCCAATGGAGTTGAGCCCCTTACTATGCAAACGATATCCATAGCACACAGTCTAGAGGGGCTAATTTGCTCCAAGCATATTTTAGAAGCTCTTTCTTGTCTCTTCGCAAGAATTATTTTCACCCAGATGCTGGCATTTGATCCCTAGGCACCATGGGTCTCGCAGAAAATGTCTGCTCACTGTTGACAGTGTCTAATATCTTCTTGTCTTTCGTTGCCTACATTATTTGCAAGGTTATTTATCAGATCATCTACTATCGCTTCTTCCACCCACTTTCTGTGTTCCCCGGCCCGTTCTGGGCGTCTGTGACCCGACTTTGGATTACTTCGCAAAACTTGAAGGAGACTGAATATTTGACATGCTATGAGCTTTCGAAGAAATATGGTAGGTTTTTGGAATTTAATATTTGTGTACAGAAAACACAAAAACTAACATTATTCGCTTTTCAGGACCCGTCGTTCGAATTACCCCCACGTTGCTGCTGGTCAGCGATCACTCAAAGCTTCCAGAGGTTTATCATCGCAATGCCGACAAGACTGGACATTATATTACAGGTAGCTTCGGCGAAACCGAAAGTCTTTTCAACATGAGATCTCATAAACAGCATGCTGTATACAGAAAGCATGTTGCAGGACCCGTAAGCACAGGGAAAACAGCTATATGCAAAAATAGCAGAAGCTAACAGTAATTACAGTATAGTTTTACAAACATCAAGAAAATGGAGCCATTGATTGATGCGCGGATCAAGGAGTGGAATACCAAGCTCGACGAAACATTCGCCAAGTCCGAAGAAGCCTTCGACTTCTCTTGGTGGGCAGTGTAAGTTCATTAGCATATCCTCTCCGCTTAGATATAAGCTATACATGACTCATAGCAGGTACTTATGCAACATTGTAGATTCATGGCCTACGACATCATTAGCGAAATTGGTTTCGGTGCCCCATTTGGCTTCATCGAGAAAGGTGAAGACATCGGCGGTCTCATCCAAGGCTTCCACGACGGTCTTTCAGCTTTCGGACTCCTCGCCCGCCTACACCCCTTCACATCCTGGATAAAGACCACCTTCCTAAAGAAATACCTCGTCGCAACACCGGCCGATGACTCTGGAATCGGCGTTCTCATGCGCTTCCGCGACCGTCTCATCAACCAACGCCTCGAAGATCTGAAGTCCGACAAGAAAAAGCAGGTTGACCTTCTTCAAATGCTCCTAGAAGCCCGCACAGACGAAGATAAACCCCTGGACGTCGAGTACATCCGGGCTGAGGTACTTCTAGTCCTCCTCGCGGGAGCTGACACAACCGGTACAGCCTTCCAAGCTATGATCCAGTTCTTGCTTGAAAACCCCAAGGCATACGAGCGCATGATGGAGGAAATCGATAACGCTGTTCGCAAGGGACTGGTATCCTCCATGCCGCAGTATGATGAGGTATTAGAGCATTTGCCTTTCTATGTTGGTTGTGTGAAAGAGACTATGCGGCTTTGTCCTTCAGCGCCGAATATCTTTCCCAGATATGTGTCTGAGCCTGGGCTGGACCTTTACGGGAAGTTTGCGCCAGCAGGCACGGAAATCTCTTGTAATCCTTATCTTGTGCACCGGGACCCGAAGCTGTATGGGGAGGATGCGGAGTATTTCAGACCTGAGAGATGGTTGGATACGGAGAGAGCGAAGCTTTACAATAAGTATAATATGGCGTTTGGGTATGGATCTAGAGTTTGTTTAGGGAGGGATATTGCTATGATGGAGTTGTTCAAGGGTCCTTTGCAGGTGAGTGAATTGATTAACATTACTTGGAGGAATAAGTGGCTAATTGTGTGTTTTAGTTCTTCCGCTCTTATAAGCTTGAGTCTGTCAAGGAAAAGCCCGAGGCCAAGTTTGTGGTCAAGGGTGGTGTCGGGTACTGGAGGGATCTGTGGTTGAGTATTTCGAAGCGACCGCAGGTTCAAGTGGAATGAGCAATTCAATCAAAGTCCCAGGAGTTGTGCTGATTAACATTTGATGTTGATTCAAAATATGATTAAAAGACTAGGCTTGGATTCTGCTATTATGTAAATACATTTGTCATTAAAGAACTACGCGAAGAGAATAATTCAGAAGCCAAGAGAGAAAGTCTTCAAGCTAATCCGAAACTAACGTAAATGAAGCATCAGATACTATTTACAATGTGTAAAGCAGTATTTAAATGTCCAAATAGTGTATGTGTATAAACGTAATATTCCGTGATCAACATAATGCAGAAAAAGTAACACCACAAGAAAAGCCAAGACTAGTAACTTTTTGTTTCGCTCTTTCGACTTATTCTTGACGAACAGCGCTGAATTTCGGGGAAACAGAAAAAATATAGCTAAATTGTAGAGTTCGATCAAACCGATTTTGTACCCATGACCGCATCCTGGGAAATCACAAGTTAGCATCCGACATCTTTTAAGATCGTAACAGTTGCTAAGGAGTATATAGCATGTTTACTTACTCTGGCGTCATTGTACAAGGGTGTGATGCCGGTCCACTTGACGAACTATGAGTATTGTTAGTAATCGTAATGATACAGGAGTAATATATCGATGCGGTGATCATACCTGGTGAACACCTTGACCAACAAGGACCTCAAGCCCAGGGATAGTCTTCCAACCCGCATCAGTAGCGAGCTGCATCAATGCCGTCACAGAAGGCTTGTAGGCCATCTCAAGCAGAACGCGGGGAGATTGCCCATCGACAGACTTGCCAATCAGTTTTCCATCGGCTTCTTGAGCATGCTCGAACATCTTGCAGAGGGTTTCGCGCATGGTAGGGTCGATAGGTCGATCAGCGGGGATGGTTCCAACAGCAACACGTGGAATAGAATCCACTTGAGCGTAGTTGTCAACAACACGTATGTTGTAGCTAGTTGGGAAAGTAGATACCATGCCCTCGAGTTTGCTAGCGGTACGGCCGACAACGTAGATCGGGGAGAAGCCCATTTGGTGGAGAGCGTAGATGGCAGCACGAGCAGTGCCACCGCCACCAATGACCACGGCACTTTCGTTACCTGCGGATCCGTAGAATCCCTCATTGCGCAGGGAGTTGATCATTCCTTGCCAATCAGTGTTGTAACCGACGAGCTTTTGAGACTTGTCGGCTTGCTGCACAGGGACAATTGTGTTGACCGCACCGATGATCTCGGCTTCCTGGGCGACTTCATCCAGAAGGGGCATGATGTCAAGCTTCAGGGGGATGGTCACAGATGCACCACCGAAGTCGGGTGCATGAATGAAATCCTTTACATCTTCTACGTTGGTGGTCTCCAGACGGCCGTAGTCATGGGGAAGACCCATTTCGGCGAAAAGAGTGTTGTGAAGAGGTGGGCTTCTCGATTGAGACACAGGAGAGCCGAAGATAGCGAACTTCTTGGCCTTGATCTCACCCATCAGCGACAAACCCCTGCGGATCTCAGTGGCGGAAAGCTGGCCAGGGGCCGCCTTGAAGGGGAGGCTAGGGTGAGACACGGGGGTCATGAAGGCATTCAGAATGCGACTCAGCTGACCATTGTCACCCATGTTGATGGCGATCAAGGGGATGTCGTGCGCCTCAGCGGCCCAGTTCTTGAATTTGCGCAGAGCAGTGTTATCATCAAGACTTTTAGCAACGCCCACCAGCTTGATCACATCACCATACTCCAAAGCCCGGTTGTAGGAAGGAATCCAAGACATGTTAGACCATGAGAGCTTTCCTTGAGGATCATGGTGGGATGCAATAATCTTGGAGTGACCTTTTATGGCAGTAATAGCGTTGAGCATGTCATCGGGGAAGGCAATCTCGAGATCCACAAATTCGGACCCGGAGCGGAACGCCAAGCGGTACAGCTCCATTGCAGCCTCATGAGCATCGTCAGGGAAGCGACCACCCTGGCTCTTGGTGCGGATGGTGAAGATAAGAGGAAGACCAACACGCTTACGAAGGAAGGTCATTTGCTCATTAACATAATCGACGGAGGGGATATCACTATCAGACTTGGGGTCCTCGAGCAGGTCAACACGTAATTCTACAGCATCAGATCCAATGCATGCCTCGCTCAAAATCTTGCTACTGTCACGGAGGTCTGGCAGTGTCAGAGAGACGAAAAAACTATGCTCCTTCTTCTGAATGAGGCTAAGGCTGTCCACTTGGCCAGTGACGACCTTCATAAAGCGGTTGAAGTCTTCTGATGCCAGGGCAAGCTCTGATTTTGTGGAGCGTTGGCTGTAGTACTGAATGTTGCTGCACTGTTGGAACCAAGGCTTTCGACGGAGCCACACGCCCATCATATCCTCCACATAGGCAGGTCGGGTCTGGTCAATGTTCAAGAAGTCCATAACCAAGTTAATGTCGCGGTTGACCAGAAGCACATTACCCTTGCTTGTGTGCCATTCAGTGAGAAGCTTGCGTGCCTCGGGCATCTCTACCACGCCACCACCGCATGCAAAGACATAGCCATTTGGACGGTCTGCCATGCAGCGCTTGAGCGTAGCGAGTTCGGCATCACGGAATCCTTGCCAGCCACGTTCCTTGATCATGTTGGGGATTGTGATACCCTCTGAAGTCTCCAACTCGGTATCGAGATCGATGAAGGGACGATCGAGACTCTTCGCAACCCAACTGCCAGCAGTAGTCTTTCCGGCACCACGCATACCGATGATGAAAATAGAGGCACTGGCCTTTTCTTCCTGGGTGGAGACGGCCAACTCCTCCTCGCTCAATTCCTTGCCCTCAAGTTTGACATTCCAGATGCCCTTCAAAGCATCCCACCAAGCAGGCCATGTCTTTCCGACACACTCCTTCTCCAGAATGAGGGTAGGTTGAGGTGTAACAAGCGACAAAACACTGAAGCTGAAAGCGACACGGTGGTCATCGTAACAGAAGATACCACCGGATGGGAGACGCAGGTTGGATCGTGGGATACCATCAATTTCAATACCATCATCATGTTCACGACAAATGACACCGAACTTGGCCAATTCATCTTTCATGGCCTTAATACGATTACACTCTTTGACACGCTGGTTGGCAATTCCGTAGATGCGGGTGGTATGGTTTGAGCCCTCGCCCTGAGCAACGGCTGCAAGAACAGAGGCAGTGAGGAAAGCATCGGTCATAGGCTCCATATCCACGTTTGTCAGAGGACGAAGAATACCATCACTAGGTCCGGTAACAGTGGTGGATGATTCAGTTTGCTCAACTGAGCAGCCCATGGGCCTCAGGACCTCAACCGCGAAGCGAGCGTCACCCTGCAGGGATCCAGAGCCGATGTTAGGGACGGTACATTTTGTACCAGTGATAGCAGCAATTGCGAGAGGGTAAGTAGCGGAGCTGGCATCGCTTTCCACGACGTATTCAGCAGGGTTCACGTAGTTACCCTGGGGAATATGGTAGGTGTGCTCCTCTGTGGTGGACTTTTGCACATCAATACCGAAAGATCTCATCATTGCGGTAGTCATATCAATGTAGGGCTGGGAGATAGGCTTTCCTCCAACCAATTTCAAGGTGACTGGCTCCTTGGCGTAGGGGGCACACATCAGAAGTGACGAGACATATTGAGAGGACACCTTTGCGGCCAGGTTAATCTTACCTCCGGCGAATCCACCAGAGGCATCAATCTTAAGGGGCAAGCTGCCTTTGCGCTCCATATATTCGACGCCAGCTCCGTTGGCAGTCAAAGCATCAACGAGATCACCAATGGGTCTCAGCTTCATTCTGTTGTTACCAGTCAAAACGGTAGAATCAACACTGCTTGGGGTGGCAAGAGTTGATACGGTAGTCAAGAATCTGGATGCAGTTCCAGCGTTACCCAGATACAGGGATGAAGGGCTGGCGACAATGTTGCCTCCCTTTCCGTTCACGACAAGGACCTCGCCCTCATCTTCCCACGAGAAGGTGGCTGCTCCCAGTCGCTCAAGGGCGTTCAACATGACTTCGGTGTCATCGGAGTGCAAGAGGTTCTTAACGCGACAGGTACCAGAGCCAAGCGCAGCAAGCACTAAAGCACGGTTTGAGATTGACTTAGATCCTGGAGGTGTGCAAGTGACATTGAGAGTCTTTGGCACACCGGGGTGAACCTCAACACTAGGAGCCAGAACAACGCCGATATTTTCGTTGGAGACAACACTAGCCTTGGGTTCATGAGTACGTCCAATTGCAGACAGCAGAACGACCTTCTTCTTGGGGCCGTCATTCTTTTTATCGAGAGCCATGTTGAACAGCAGCTGCTCGACAGAGCAGTGTTTATCGGCAGTCAGCTTGCGCACACGAGAATCCTTCATTGAAGTAGGCAAGCCGTAGGCGGAAATACACTTGACAACACGAGCAACGGCAACGCCCTTCAGAATTCCAAGGTGCCGAGCGAGCTCGGCCTCCTTGACCATACCAATAGCGACACACTCTCCATGGAGGATTTGTGGAGTCAGAATAGCTTCAATGGCGTGACCAATAGAGTGGCCCCAGTTCAGCAGATTGCGGAGGCCACCCTCCCGCTCATCGGCAGATACAACGAATGCCTTGTGGCGAGCGGAAGCAAGAATTCGAGCCTTCAAAATATCACGAATACCGTCAAAGCGGCCTTGACCAGGTTTAGCCTCGCTGCGAACAGCACCGAGAATGGCATCGGCATTATCTTCTAACGCTGTGAATTCCTTTTCACTGGAGATTGCGGCGGTCTTGATCACCTCGGCCATGCCGTTGATGAACTCTCGCACAGGCAGCGTCTCCAAGAACTCAAGATCAATATAAATTCTTGATGGTTGCCAAATGGAACCGATCAGGTTCTTTCCGAGGGGGGTATCAATCGCAGTCTTGCCTCCAATTGAGGAATCCACCATGGCCAAAAGTGTGGTGGGGACTTGCACATAACGAACACCACGCATGTAGGTTGCCGCAATGAATCCAGTCAAGTCACCAATGACGCCGCCGCCAAGTGCAATGACAACAGTATCTCGTCCACATGGTGGGTTCTGGCTCAGCATCCAATCTTCAATGTCGGCTTTTGTTTGGCGGGATTTTGAGCTCTCGCCAGGAGCAGCATTGTAGACCAGAAGACGAGGAGCAGGGGAAATGGAGGCAGCAGCGGCGTGGAAGGCCTTTTCGAAACTTGGGGTATAGAGAGATCCGAGGTTGGTATCGGTAACGAGGACGTAGGTAGTCGAGGGCAGGTTGTTGACCAGGTCTGTTGCGACGAAGTTGCGCCACAGACCAAAGTCAGCAACAATGCTCTCCCGACCCAAGATGCTGATCTTGGTGGGCTCGGCCATGATGGAGCGCACAGTAGGAGTTGTGATGATGTTTGAAAAAGTGATTTCTGCTCAATTCATTCTGCAATTGTGTAAGTATAGTCCTTTAACTCGGTGACCGATTCAGCGGGATTTCCCCCACCAACCGAACTAGCGATGCAAGGTGCACACAATAAAGAGAAAATCGAAGCCAATGTTACAGGGGCTAGAGGATATCATGCTTACCTGGACTGCTACACCGGACTGTCAGCGTATTATTCCCGAAGAAATGCAATGAACTAGGAAGATGCCAGACAACAAGTTGACTCAACCATTTCTTTCCCCTCCGATTTCGCGGGCAGTTCCAGCTGACCGCCTTCTGACTCAGTGTGGCGGGCCACTAGCGTTGCGACTATTTACTCCACGATGATTCAGATGCGATCGCCAATATTGTGATAGGTCATGGAGGAAAAAGAAATAATATTAGTATGGAATAGTATCCCCTTGCATTGCCTCGGCTATACGGAGTACAGAATATCATATATATTTAGTCCATCTGGATCCCTTGTTCTGGAGTACCAAGTAAGCCCTAACAGAAATGGCTCGGGCTTTGTCCCACCATGCAAAACCCTTACTATAAGGAATGACCATAGATCTACAAACTCCACTTTTTGGAGCGGCCTACGAAGAATGAATCATGCACAGTTCAGCCCCAACCAAAAAAAGGGAAAAGAAGCAAGCATCGGCATGCATTATGCGTATTTCAATTTATGTATTTGTACATTTTGTGTGACACCAAAAACGCCATAACTATCGTAAGCAGCCTCCGATTCTCAAGCCTCCGAGACGCTGGTTGATGGGGGAGGATATCACGGACTTCTACTAGTAACGTCCATAGCCACCTCCACCTCCACCTCCACGGTTTCCAGAATATCCTTGGTTATTACCGCGAAACTTGCCCCCCCGGTAACCACCGCCTCGGCCACCTCGAGAGTTTTGGGAGCCATAGTTATTGTGTCCACCATACTGACCTTGGTGGCCACCCTCGTAGTCTCTAGGGGGGTATTGATGGGACCCACCACCTCGTGGAGGAGGTGGTGGTCCGCGAGAGTAGTCACCACCTCCTGCATGAGGCGGAACCCATCCTGGAGGACCTCCTTGTGGCCCTCCTTGTGACCCGCCTTGAGGCATATTTATAAAACGTGGGTCAAGATGGGCCGCAAATGGATTGGGACGACCGGAATTGTAATCCATATGACCACCTCTTCCTCTTCCATTTAGTGGAGCACCCCCAAAAGACCGACCTGAATGTTGCGCGCGGCCCTGAGTCGCGCGAATATCAGCCGAGTTCAACATCGGAGTCGAGAACTTCACACCCCGGAGGAGCATAGATTTGTGCAAGTGAGCGGACTTGGGAATTGTGTAATTGACTCTGCAGTAAAATTTAGTAAATGATGGATATGTAGACTCGGGAAATTGCTTAAACTTACGTGAGGGTGCGATCATCATCAAGACCAGGCATACCATAATCCTCCAAGTTTGAAACCAAAGATCCATGAGGTATGTACGTATCGCTACGCTCTACTATGCCGGCCAATCCATTGCTCACACGCATGTTCAATGTATGCTGAGGGGGACCAGGCTTCTTGGAATAAAAGTGTCCAGCAAGATCTTGGTAAAGGGGATTTTGATCGGACAACAATAAGACTTCGGTGCCATGGGTATTACGGTTTCGTTCATCTTCGCTGAGAAGAGGGTATTTCTTCTCCATGGCGCTTAGGAGGCGCTTCTCGTCAATGAAAGGCAGCAAGACTACACCCTGCCAGGCAAACTTTTTGCCATTAAGATCCAGAGGGAAGTCCTCTGGGTAGAAGTCAATGATTTCACTCTGAGGATTGCTCATCAAGTCGTGGAACACGACGGGTAGAGCGTGGTTAGAAGAGGCCGGCAATACTCCCATCAACTGCTCAAATGGCTTAAACGGCTGACCCTTTTTGAAGTCGACTTGCATGTCGGAGATATCCACAAAGTCCGCAGCAAACGGAGCGTAGTGATATGGGTAATACCAAGTCCATGAAGGGCAACCCTGGAAGTAATAAAGAAGGACCCAGGCCAGTCCTTCCGCATAAGCACGGGCGACTTTGTGACGGAATTCATGATCCTCGGGGGCAACACTGAATTTCTGTTCGTAGTATCGATCAGCATATCCAGGTTCCCAGAGTTTGACCGTGTCTAGGGGCTCCTCGTTGTCCTTGGGCTTAGCAGGTGGTGGGGGAGGCGAATCTCTTCCTGGTGTCCCTGGCTCTTCTTCTACTTTGTCTGGAGTTTCATCGCCTGCCTTTCTTTTGCCAAGGACAGAGGGCGAAGTCGGGTCGGAGGAGGCGCCATTTGCAGCCTCCTCAGTCTCAGCTGGTTCTTGCTCTGGTCCAGCACCCCCCTTCATGAGTTTGCTTTTCAGCACGGCGGCGGCACTCTTGTTCTCCATGTTAGCTTTGTACACAGCATTTCGATTGACGACCATGTTGTGGGTCAACTCTCTGGTTTCCTTGCTTAGATGACCGCGGCCCGGGGTGATTAGCTCCACACCAGGCGGCGGGGCATTATCGGCGCCATGGGCAACATGAGGTTGATTATGGCCCGGGGTGTCATAGTTTGGAGAGCTTCGTCTTCGTTTGCTGTGGTGTTCATTATTACGGGCTTTCTCCTGCTGCTCTCGTCTCCTTTGATTGGCTGCCTTTCTTTCATCAGCCTGTCTTCGACGGCGGAAGATTGCATCTTCTTGTTTCGCGACGCCTTGAAGAATGAGTTGTGCTCTTGGGAAGTTGACTTGTCCATCTTGTGTCAAATAGCCTCCCATGGCTGGCAGATTGTCGCGCCAAATGGCAATCAGAGTATCAATACCATTTTCACGGACATCCAAGGCGGGGAGGTGGGGCAAGAAATCGTTTCCAACGAAGAAACACATGAAGACCCAATCATCCAAAGCTCGCTCAAGATCGAAGGGGAATGGTTGCTGTGCAACATGCAGTTCGGCAGCCAAATACTCCCTCAGAACCGAGACATGAAGCCAAATGAATGGCTTGAGTGGAACTGCGTTTTGCTTCTCATCAAACTCTCCGTTCTTTTCCTTCGCCTTTCCAGTACATTCCTCAGCTTTGTGACCGGGTTGGCCACACAGTTTACAGGCACGGGGCCGCGAGTCTTGGGCAAAGACATCTTCACGGAGAACCCGGAAGTGCGGTTCATGTGTTGCCAGACCAAGCATAATAAGATCAGCGTCCTAGCGTAATTTTACGTTAACATCGTGAACTGGTTCAAAAGATCAGATAAGATTCCACTTACAAGGCCATAAATAACGTGACGGGTATTGGGATCGTGCTCCGGCGATGCTCTTTGTGATCGTACAAATTCCATAATCTTGTGTTCTCCCTCTCCCGGTACGGTAGCGTCGGAGATGATGACTTTCATCTGCAAAGGAACAAGCGTTAGTGAGACATTTATTATAGACAAATATGAAGTAACAGTATACCTTCTCCCATGCAGGATCGGTGTTGAGCTTATAGGCAATCCAGTAACGTAGCGAAGCAGCAAGAATGTCCATGAAAGGAGTGCCGGGGGTGATGACATTGCTATCCCAGGTCTTCTGGACGACCTCTTCTTGCATGATAGCATCTTCACCCTTCTGAGCGCGCTGTCTAGCAAGGAGTTTGTGAAGCTCCTCCTTCTTCTCATCGTTCTCTCTGGCCTCTTGTGCGGATCGGAATCGACGTGATCGCTGCTGGTTCATTTTCGCTCTTGGCGCAACACCGTCTATTGTGTGAAAGTTTTCATATTAGCGGGGCAAATTAAAAACATCGAATATCATAATGAGATATGCAATTGCACGTACCGATAGCGATCATAAGCAGCTTCCTTGGGCGAACCATGTTGACAACTCGATCAGTATACTTAAAGATCTCCAGCATCATCTCCTGCTCGTTGGCCGGAGGGGGACGTCCCTCCGGATGAGTACATGGATGAACAATACCGTTCATATCCAAATACAGGTTGTCCATCTCCTCTCCATTGGGATTCGGGCGCGTCGTGTCGACCGGAATTTCTTCACCGTCTACCTGCTGGGGTAACTCCTCGATCACCGAAGAGATGATCTTCGGATACTTGGTGGAGAGCCATCGGAAGAGCGCGGGGACACCCATGTCGGTGATGCGATAACAGGCTAAGTCTTAAAAAAAGTATCGTGGATTTGGCGCGACTGTCGAAGGTGGCTACCAACAGAGTCGATAACGCTGTCGCAAGTCTCGAGACTCGGTGAACCTCGAGAAAAAGAACCCAGGTCTATATTCCCTGTAAAAATGGGATCAGATAATAGTTGAATAAATGCAACCGCGTCTGGAATCGCGGTGCAGATAGATGATGTAGAGAGCAATCGGAAGTCTCTGCGGCGAGGCTACATCCGGCGACGGCCTTAGTCATACATATAGTTAACTAGTTATTAGTAACTGTTTTGCAGCTAGAGATGTGATAGCTGGATTAAGCGCAAAGTCGATTTACATATCCAGACTGGTGACATTGATCTATTTAATTGAATTTACACTTTTAATAAGAACTTAAACCGAAGAACACTCCTATTGCTCATTTAACTCATTGAACACTTCGTCAAATTGCATGTATGGAGTTTTCTGAACGCGGAAGGCGGTAGGAGCTTTAATGCGGGCGGTCTGGTCAGGCCAGCTTTACTGCAATCGGACTCGCTCTTGAACCCCCGATTTCCGTTTGTTGATCTCGTCTGTCGTTCGATGCTAACTAATTACTGCCCACCCGGTCGGCGGTGACCATGATATTGAAGCCCAGCTGCGATGTTTCGAATCCTTGAGTCACAAGCTCCGGCCAAACAAACGGCAACGGAAACAATCGATGTTTTAAGCAACCGCCTACAAAGTGCCACCTTACTAGAAGATCGACGGGCCGCGATCCAAGGTCTACGTAGCTTTGCTAAGCTCTACCCTGCATCAGTCGCCTCAGGAGGACTGCGATCTTTGATCAGCAGTTTGCGCAATGACAAAGAGGATGTGGACACCACCAAGGTGGTCCTTGAGACCCTATTGATGTTGTTTACCCCCGATGAGAATAGCGTCAGTATTTTGAGGAATTGTGGGTTTCACACACCTGTTTGCTGACTATAAATATAGCCCGAAGCATCAGATGAAATAGCTCTTTGGTTGGCGGACGAATTTACACAGGTACGGTCATTGAACCCTTGCTGCTGGTAAAGCGGAGCTAACTGCCCAGTAGCGACAAGACAACATTACAATACTACTAGACCTCCTCGAAACCCCAGAATTCTACTCACGTCTATATTCACTTCAATTGATGTCCCATATATCCGGTGCAAGACCCGAACGAACCCAGGAATGTATATTTACGGCACCTTTGGGTATTTCTCGACTCGTGAATGTGTTGACGGATGCGAGAGAACCGGTACGAAATGGTATGGTTGGCTCTATTAATACCCCACGAGTCACGGAAACCAACTAATGCACCTGGCGTTCGTGTTCAACAGAGGCTCTCCTCCTACTTATTGTGTTGACTCCGGCCTCGGAGGAGCTCCAGAAGCTTGTCGCGTTCGAGAATGCGTTCGAGATCCTGTTTTCGTTGATAGAATCAGAAGGCTATCTGACGAATGGCACCGAAGTGGTGGAAGATTGTCTTTCATTACTTGCTCACCTTTTACGATACAATATATCCAACCAGTCATACTTCCGAGAGACTGGCTGTGTGCAAAAGGTGACAAGGCTTCTCATTGAGTGTCAGCAAGACCAGGAAATGGACGAGGCCCCTCCCCAGTGGGCCCTGGTTCAGCGTGACAAAAATGTTTGGGGTCTCTTAGCTATTATTCAATTATTCTTGATTCGTGGAGGCAAGGGAACCCCCAGCAATCAAACAGCATTTTGGCAACACGGTGTGACCGAGCAAGTCCTTAGCATAGCATTCGGGCAGCGATTCAGTGTCAACGTTACTTCTAAGGCTCTGGCAACATGTGCCGATCTGATTAGAGGAAACTCGCCTTTGCAGGAACGTTTCGGGGACATCGAAGTTTCATGGGGTTCGACCTCCCATACTACGGACGCTAAAAATGGCACCGCGGAGCCAGAACGTATCAATGTCATCGAAGCATTCTTGAAATTGAGCCTCGAACCATCTCCCAACAACATGCTAGATGCCCGTCTAGCAGCTTGTGAATGCATGCAAGCATTCTTCGCTCATCACCCTGGAATTCGCATGCATGTGCTCCGACGTGCGATTGAGGGCCACACCAGTGGGCAGGATCGTATCCCTAACATTCTTTCTGTGCTGCTCACGGCGCCTGAATCCCGGGGCAACGCCGACCCATATCAGGTTTGGATGGCTTGTGTTTTGATGTTCCATCTCATCTTTGACGATACCGAGTCAAAATCAACGGCGATGAGCGTCACCGAGGGGGATGCTGAGAATGGCGAAGAAGTTGTCACCAGTGTTCAATTGGTGGTTGGTAACTTGATCACCGGACTGCAGCGCGGAGACGATGAGCGGATCACTGTTGGGTATCTGATGCTACTGTGTGGTTGGCTTTATGAAGACCCAGAAGTCGTCAACGATCTCCTTGGAGAAGGTAGCAGTATTCAAACACTACTACAGGAGATTAAACATCAAAGGACGCCTAGCAAGTTGATCCCTGGACTTTGCACCGCTCTGCTTGGTATCATCTACGAGTTTTCTACTAAGGACTCCCCTATTCCTCGGGTGACTCTACATAAGCTGCTTCTCGAACAACTTGGGAGAGAGCAGTATATTGACAAAATTACAAAGTTGAGAGAGTATCCACTAGTCCGAGACTTTGAGGTCCTTCCCCAAACAGCTGCCGGACAACTTGAAGGTGGACTGCCTGAAGTATTCTTCGATCGGTCATTTGTTGAATTCCTTAAAGACAACTTCAGTCGGTTGATTAGATCTATTGATCGTGAACCAGGCTTTGAGGTTTCAATTGTTGCTAATGGCGTGGAAAAGGGTGTCTCACGAGAGTTGGTGGACTCTCTACGGGCAGAACTCGAAGATCGCAGTCAATCAATCGAGAAGTTGGAAACCGACTTCGTCAACGTTCAACGAAAGCTTGATCAAGAGCTGTCAGATCATCGTAAAACGAAGGAGTCGAGTTCTTGGGAACTTTCCAAGGCCCAAAAAAATCTGCAGAATCTGCAGTATTCTCGCGATCAAGATCTCGCCAAGCTAGAAGCGCAACATACACACGCGAAAAACGAGCTTCTGAAACAGCATGGGGAGCAACTCCGTGCAATCGATAATCAATTAAAACAGGCCTCGGCTGACTATGAGAGAAAAAGTAGTAAGGTCCAAGAACACCATAAGCAGGAGACTGCTGGATTCCAGAAGACCATCCGCGGGTTGGAATCAGAGCTATCCAAAACTCGAGAAAAGCATACGAGCGAAGTTGATGGCCTTAAAAAGACCATTCACGATATTGAATTGTCCATGAACCAGTCTAAAGAGGGTCAATCTGGGGAGATCGCTCGTCTCGAAAAGCAAATCCAGGAGCTAGAGTCAGCCATTAGGAAATCCAAAGACACTCATGCTGGAGAAGTTGATACTTTGAATAAGATGATTCAAGAATTGGAGTCGACCGCTGTTCATTCTAAAGGCAGTCACACCACAGAAATCTCAGCCCTGCAGAAAACCATTCACGACCTAGAGTCGATCATCAATCAATCCAAAGAAAGCCACGCGGGAGAGGTCACGGGTCTCCAAAAGAAGCTTCAAGATTTGGAATATCTTCTTGCTTCAAACAAGAGTCGACACGAGGCCGAGACATCATCTTTCAAGGAAAAGATCGGAAGCCTGGAGTCGGATCTGGCTGCGGCACAAGGGCAGCAAGATGGCGAAACTGCTGAACTCAAGAAAACTGTCGAGACTCTTCGATTGGATCTGGATAGAGCCAGGGCACAGGCAACTAAAGATGCGGAAGCTGCCAAGAACGGAATATCGTCTCAGCTTTCTGCGTTAGAAAAACGCGCAACTGAGGCCGAAAGCAAGGCGAAGGAGGCTGAAGCGCAAGCACAAAACGCAAGCAAGGCACTCAAGGAAGCCCAGGCTCAGTTTGAGAAGTCCCAGTCCGATGCAAAGGAGAGGGAAGATGCTCGCCAAGCCGCCCAGTCTGAACTAGAAGATCTACTCATCGTTTTCGGTGACTTGGAAACCAAGAGAAATGAGGATAAGGTATGTCGTATTTACCCCTCTTACCTCACGATGGAAGCCCAGCTAACTGTGTTCCTCAGCAACGACTCAAAGACTTGGGCCAGGAAGTTTCCGAGGATGAAGATGAAGATGATGAGAACGAAGAGGAAGAGTAAAGAAATGTACGGTATCGTTTTTGTATATACCGCAAGTGCTATTGCCTTGGCCACCAGATACAGCCTTACTCAAATGCATCAACTGGATAAGGATGGGTTTCTTTCGCCTTTTTTCTTTTTTCCTAACAAAAATTTAGGAGAGCGAGTTTACATCATATAAAATGTATTGATGCCTATATTTGGCCTCGATACTGACCTTCTAAAAGACTGGACTACATAAAATCGTGAACTATGATGTCTGAATAGGGTGAAGATGGTTATAGTTCGGAGATAGTGAAAGCGGTGAACACAATTGGCAGAAATTCGTGGTGGGGTGACTCACCCATCTTTTTGTCTGCCCCTCGTGCCTTTGTCTCCTCGTCTTCCTTTGAAACAGCCAATTCACCTTAACACGATGTCTATGGATTTCCCTGCCGAAGAGGAAAAAATCCTCAACGGGTGGAGAGAGATTGACGCCTTTAGAAGGCAGGTTGAGCTCTCTCGAGGCCGCAAGCCTTATACCTTCTATGATGGTCCACCATTCGCAACAGGTATTCCTTGTCCTCATATCGCTTCTTACCCCCTTCGTCGCATAGGCTGGATCTAATTGACTTAGGTCTCCCACATTATGGCCATCTGCTGGCTTCCACTATCAAGGATATCATTCCCCGATATTGGTCTATGAAGGGTCACTATGTCGAGCGGAGATTCGGATGGTATGTTTTCTTTGACTTTGCATGTTAATTTTATTAATTATTCCTAATTTCTAACTTATACACAGGGTGTGTTCTATATTTCGACCCCTTTCATTGCATAGTTCGTATTGCTAACATCCCCACGGGATTGCCACGGTGTGCCCGTCGAATACGAGATCGACAAGAAACTCGGCATGTCCGGCCTTCAAGCAGTCGAGAAATTCGGTATCGAGAAGTACAACGAAGAGTGTAGGTCTATTGTCATGCGATTTTCTTCGGAGTGGCGTCAGACTATTGAACGACTTGGTCGCTGGATTGACTTCGACAATGATTACAAGGTAAGCTCCTTGTGCGATGAGGCCTAGGCTGGTCTATCAACAGATCCATTGTCTTGTATTTTGCTGGTATTTTGCTGACATGAGTCTTTGGACAATTAGACTATGGACCCCTCTTTCATGGAATCTATCTGGTGGGTTTTCAAGGAGCTCTTCGACAAGGGCATGGTTTACAAAGGTCATCGCGTCATGCCTTACTCGACCGCACTCAACACCCCGCTTAGCAACTTCGAGGCCCAGCAAAACTATAAGGATGTGCAGGACCCAGCAGTTGTTGTAACCTTCCCTCTGTTAGATGATCCAGAAACATGCTTGCTGGCTTGGACGACGACTCCATGGACTCTTCCATCTCACACCGGCCTGTGTGCGCACCCCGACTTTGAGTACGTCAAAATTTGGGACGAGGCCACCAAGAAACACTATGTTCTCTTGGAGACTTTGCTTAAAACCATCTACAAGGACCCCAAGAAGGCCAAGTTCAAGATTGTCTCTCGCTTGAAGGGATCCGACATGCTGGGATGGAAGTACGAGCCCTTGTTCCCTTACTTCCAGGACGAATTCAAGGAGCATGGTTTCCGCGTTCTAAATGATAATTACGTCACTGCCGACGCTGGTGTTGGTGTTGTTCACCAAGCTCCTGCATTCGGTGAGGACGATTACCGAGTTGCGTTTGAGGCTGGCGTCATTAATGAGACTCGCTATCCGCCCAACCCGGTTGACCCTAATGGTTTCTTTACGGAAGAGATCACTGATTTTGCCGGACAACATGTCAAGGAAGCTGATAGGGCCATTATTAAATACCTTAAGGGTACTGGCCGTATCCTAGTTGACAGCCAGATTACTCACTCATATCCCTTCTGCTGGAGGTAAGCTTTGGCAAGCGCTTTTTGACAGGAATATGCATTAACTTTTACTAGGAGTGACACACCTCTTATCTACCGTGCCGTGCCTTCTTGGTTTGTCAAGGTCACCCCTATCATTCCCCAGATGCTTGACAGCATTGAGAAGTCTCACTGGACCCCGGACTCCGTTAAAACAAAACGCTTCTCTACCTGGATTGCCAATGCCCGCGACTGGAATGTCTCTCGTAACCGTTTCTGGGGTACCCCCCTTCCTTTGTGGGTGTCTGATAATATGGAAGAGATTGTGGCCGTGGGAAGTGTCCAGGAGCTCAAGGATCTCAGCGGCTACCAGGGTGAGCTAAACGATATTCACCGCGACAAGGTTGATCACATCACCATTCCTAGCAAAAAGGGTAATGGTGTACTTCGCCGTACTCCTGAAGTCTTTGATTGCTGGTTTGAGTCAGGCAGCATGCCCTACGCTTCTAAGCACTATCCCTTTGAGAATAAGGAACAGTTCGAGAAGGGCTTCCCTGGTGACTTTATTGCTGAGGGATTAGACCAGACCCGCGGATGTAAGATTTCATTTCCTATGACCATCTTTTCTACGGTGCGAAACTGACTTTATTCAAGGGTTCTACACATTGTGTGTTCTATCTACTCATCTTTATGGCCACATTCCATTCCGTAACTGTGTCACCAACGGCATTGTTTTGGCCGAGGATGGTAAAAAGATGAGTAAGCGATTGAAGAACTACCCTGACCCTACCCTGATCATCGATCGTTATGGCTCGGATGCTCTCCGTCTGTATTTGATCAACTCGCCTGTGGTTCGCGCCGAGCCCCTGCGATTCAAAGAGTCCGGCGTTAAGGATGTTGTCAGCAAGGTTCTTCTTCCTTTGTGGAACAGTTATAAGTTCTTTGAGGGCCAGGTCACTTTGATCAAGAAGGCTTCTGACGTTGATTACATGTTCGACCCCAAGGCAGAGGCTACCAACACCAATGTCATGGATCGATGGATCTTGGCCAGTTGCCAGAGTCTTCTGAAGTTTGTTAACGAGGAAATGGCCGGTTACCGGTTGTACACTGTTGTGCCTCGCTTACTGGAGTTGATCGAGAACACTACCAACTGGTACATCCGATTTAACCGTAAGCGTCTTAAGGGTGAGAATGGTGTCCCTGACACTCTTCATGCATTGAACACCCTTTTTGAAGTCCTTTACACCCTGGTGCGGGGTTTGGCTCCTTTCACACCCTTCCTTACCGACAACATCTACCAGCGTCTTCTCCCTCACATCCCGGAGTCGCTCCGCGGCGAGGATAGCCGCAGTGTCCACTTCCTTCCTTTCCCCGAGGTGCGCCAAGAGCTGTTTGACGAGGTGATTGAGCGTAGAGTCGCCCGTATGCAGAAGGTCATTGAGTGTGGTCGTATGAGCCGTGAGCGCAGATCTATTGGCTTAAAGACCCCTCTGAAGACTTTCGTTGTGATTCACCAGGACCAGCAGTATCTGGATGACGTCAAGTCTCTCGAAGGATACATCTTGGAGGAACTCAATGTTCTTGAGCTCGTTCTCACAAGCGATGAGGAGAAATACAACATTCAGTACAGTGTTGTCGCCGACTGGCCCACTCTGGGTAAGAAGCTCAAGAAGGACATTCAGAAGGTGAAGAAGGCCCTTCCTTCGCTCTCCAGCGAGAACGTCAAGGAGTATGTTGCCGACAAGAAGATCCTTGTTGACGGCATTGAATTGGTCGAGGGTGATCTCGTGGTGAAGCGAGGTATCAAGGAGGATGCCAACTCATCGGGCATGGAGCCTAACGCTGACGCGGATGTTATCACTATCCTTGACGCAAACTTATACCCAGAGCTGGCACACCAAGGTCTTGGTCGTGAGGTCATTAACCGAGTCCAGAAGTTGCGTAAGGCCGCAGGCTTGGTCCCCACTGATGATATTAAGATGGAGTACACTGTGCTTTCGGATCCGGATAACATTGGTCTCAGTGAAGCCTTTAAGTCTCAATCTCCAGCCATTGAGAAGGCTATTCGCCGACCACTGGATGAGGTGGCCCTGGTTGACGGCAAGGTTCCTGCTGTCGATGAGGCAATTCTCATCTCCTCGGAGGAGCAAGAAGTGCAAAGCGCAACTTTCCTTCTGCGTTTGCTCAAACTATAGAGTGTTGGGCCTTGGTAGCCTTTGAGCATAAACTCTGTAGATATTTATCAACAAAATGTCCTAAAGATTTCCTTTTGATGAATGCCAATATGTTTTCTTTATACGTGTTTGTCTATAATTCTTTTTGGATTGACAGTGGTTTCTTCACTATATCTCATATATAACAGCCTAGTAGGTATACACCTATATGCAATGGCTGTCGTTATCTCTAAGTTGCGGTGATCATTTGAACGATAATCACACCATCCCGCTTTAGTTCCCCGACTCCGTACCCCGATCCCCGATCTGTTCAAGATCTACAGTCAGCAAGGGTGAGTCAATACGATTAATAGATTCAACTAGCTCCTCTCGATAGACATCTTGTAGTACATTCACATATTAACATCAATAGAACATTCGAACTAATCATGGGTACCAAATCAGCACTTCTGCAGGCATTAAAGTCTGAGCAAGATAACCAGATTCTCCTCTTACAAGAGTTTGTGAGGGCTCCATCTCCTAACCCACCAGGAGATACCACAGCTGCTGCCAAAGTAATAACTCAATATTTGTCTGATCAAAAACTTCCATTTGATATCATTGAGCCTCAATGAGGAAAGCCTAATGTGGTGGGCGAGTTTCAAGGAGGGAAAGGTCCAGGTCCACGAGTTGTTTTCAATGGACATATTGACATCTTCCCTGTGGGCGACAATATGAATGGCTGGACCCGCGATCCTTGTTCTGGAGATCTGAAGGATGGGAAGATTCACGGACGAGGAGTCGTGGATATGAAATCAGGAACTGCCTCGCTGGTGATAGCTTATTCCTATCTCTATGCTAGGAGACAGTCTCTCCGGGGAAGTGTTGCCTTATCTGCTGTGTCCGATGAAGAGACAGGTGGCAGCTGGGGTACAGCATTCCTCATAGCACAGGATCGTGGGCGATGGGATGACGATGTCACGTTGAGCGCTGAACCGAGTGGTCAGACATTTCGATTTTCTGAAAGGGAACTTTGAGGATGTCGGGGTCTATATCTACCAAGGGGGCACTTGGTGCATATCTGAACTCGAGGTAAGTCGTCATTTAACTGTAGTTGAAAGGATGAGACACCCAACGAACTAACAAATTATACAGCAAGGGAGCTATACGAACTGTATCTGCTCTCCTCTCTGACGTCGTGCAAACGGTGGAATCTATCAATCCAAATCCACCACCAGAAATTGGCAAACATTTGAAGGATCCTGACACTCTTGCAACTATAGATAAAGCAATGGGCCCAGGCACACCAACCATCATTGCTAGTCCAACTGTCAACATTGGTACAATCTCCGGAGGAATAAAAGTCAATATGATACCCGAAAGATGTATCTTCGAGCTTGATATCCGCCTACCTGTTGGACTCAGGCAGATGATGTCTTGTCGAGAATCAACTCTCTCATACCACACTATCCAGAGGTCGTAGTCGAATTGAGCAAGCAAGAAGCTGCTAGTAACCCGAGTAGCTTTTCAGGCATCGATCGTCCTGTTATTGCTCATCTTCAACAGAGCGCGAACGCCGTGGGAGGATTCCGTCCTAGACTTATTCCTTCTATGGGTGCTACCGATTGCAAGCATTACCGATATGCCGGTGTGCCCGCATATATCTATGAGTGTAGCCCAGAAAGCAGTGGGTGGTCCTTTGACTTACGAGCATGGAAGTATAACTTGATACTTATACAATTTTAGTGGCCGCCGTGAATGAATGCGCCTCGGTGGATGAGTTGCTCCATGTCACCCAGGTTCATGCCCTCGCCGTGTGGGATCTGTTAGGATGAGGGAATTTGCTTAGAACTTACATAGCCTTCAAGTTGGAGATATTCAAGTTCATGGATTGAATGATTTGAAATTGATACAGTGCTCAAGTATGACGAAGATATATGTACATGTTTTAACATTAGAATGATCATGAATCTGACAGACTTGCTGATAGTACGCCAGATGATCCAAACTCCCAAATGAGATTTCAACAACAAAGGGTACTAATTCCCATCATAAGAAGCAAACAAGATTTGTCCATGGCCTTAACCATCAATGGCACATTTAACCTTTTTTGGAGGCAGCCTATGGGAGGTTATTAGTGATACAGTCCATGTACTTAGACTACTAGTAGAGTAATATACCAGGAAGCAATCTTTCAGTCTCATGAATTCCTTTGCGCACATATCCTTGTGAACGGAACTGTAATCCGCAACGACGCACTTGCCATATGCCGCAGCCTGAGCAATTGGCAGTAGGATTTAGCTGTGAAAACTTCCGAAATATTGGTGGAATCGTACCTCTACAGAGCACTGAGCAGTAGCCTTGGCAAACTTCTCGACTGGACGAGTTTTCGTGGGCATTTTGTGAATGATATAGAGAATTGTTTGATTTGGGAAGGTTGGGGATGAATCATGATTGAGGCCTCAGGCCACAATACCCCGTTACCTCAGCATACCGCACACGTGACGATCAGGCATGTTTCTATCGCGACCACCAAAACAACCCGAGTTGTGGCGCGCCGATTTGACCTCAACTTTTTTGATTTATTTGGTTCTCTTTCTGTACCGAATTGCAGATAGGTACCTTCGCTTGTTCCTTCCGACCGGGCCTGTCCCGCTTTCGCGATGATTTATTTGGTCCGTCGGCTCTATGACCCAGATGCGACAAGCGCGCCATAGGTCGCGATTTTTCGATGCCTCCGATATCTTCTCAACGGCGCGCCCTCACCGAAGAGACCTCATACCCGTCCGACCATGGTAAGAAAGACCCATGCTTCATAAATTTCTTGTAAAGTCATCACTCTGACCCGGATTTGAATGTTTAGATATCGATTTTATCTACGACGTCGTCATCCGCGCCCAGGGCAAGCGTGAGGTTGATCGGCTTCCGTTTCGAGCACTTTTCGCAGCATATGATGAATTGATTGGGGAAAGAGGGGCTGATGCAGATCCAGGCCATGCGTGCCTGCGTTTCCTCTTAAAGATGGGCAGCAAAGGCGTGGAAGGATCAACTCTGTTCGACAAATTTGAGAATGCGCTTCAGCAGTTGGGAATTGAGATTGAGCTTCCTCACAATAAGGTTTCGACGGGACTTAATGATACGGCTGGTAATGAGTCTTATACGGTCAATGACACTCGTGGCCAAGCTGCCGATCATCACGACGACCACCATCCTCTCACCAATGGAACACCAATCACTCCAAAAAGACGTGCGTCATTTAACACCACACTCGATATTGGAGAAGATGCCACGCAACGAAGCGCTGCCGAAAGACCGAGTTCTCGATCATCCATGTCGCGATTACAGACCGGAAAACCCGATTTCTCGAAGCTCAAATTGTCGCCGAAGCCGAATGGCATCCAGAGTCAAACACCGAGATCTCCGGATCGAACACAATTGATCGCGCAGTTCTTAGACGTTGGCCGCCGTTTAATAAGCAGATTCGATAGCGTTCAGAAAAAAGATGTGGAGGAAGAGCCTGCGCCTTTGACAAATGGAGTAGTGGCACGAGCTGCCGTTGATCGCGATCGCTCCCAAAGAATGGTTGCCTCTTCGCAATCTCGTCGCACACCTTCCGTGGCATCTTCGAGTAGCTTTGAATCCGAAGAATCACGATCCAGTTTGTCTCCGGCGCCAGAGCAGGATTCGTTTGAAAAAGAGAACCCACCGCCTGAACTTCTTGACAGACCCCAATTGTCAGATTTACTACGCGATGCGTACACTTTCAATAGGCTCCGGCAGCGGGCCATGTGTCGCAAGATATTAACACAATGGCTGAAACTTACCTTTAACACAAGACAAACCCGTGTAACGAGAGAGAAAATCGCTGTGAATCATGACCGAGGTACCTTACTTCGTCAGGCTTTCGACCCATGGCGAGCAATAATCCAGCAGAAGCGCCATGTCGCTAGAACTGATCGCTTTTTTAAGCATCTTGACGAACGCGCTATTCGTGCTCGGGATTTGTATCTGATGACAAAAGCCTTTACCCACTGGGCTCAATTTACGTCTGAAGAGGTTGCTCGAACATCAGCAGCCCGAAAACATGTTTTAAGTATAAAGTACTTCAATGCTTGGCGTGAGATTACTGCGGTAAACGAGCTCAAAGCGCAACGCTTTGCCTTACAGAGGCCATTCAAGAAATGGCGCAAGAAAGCTTCAGATCTCAAGCAGGCCGAAGCTCAAGCAGTCACGATTCACAAAAAAAATTTACAACATGCTTCATATTGGCAATGGTTTTGGGGATTCTGCGAACGCCGTGCGCCGGAATGGTATGACTACCGATTGAAAAGACGCTCTTTACTTTACTGGCTGCAAAACTTTCGGACCAATCGCGAGCGGGACCACGAAATTGATGTGCATAATAGGCGTTCATCTGCCGCATCTGTGCTTCAAATATGGTCTCAGAAAACCAAATCTATTGGAGAAATGCAGCATTTGGCTGAAAACACAGAACGGGCTTTGGTACTAAGAGATGCGTTCGGCGAGTGGAAGGTCCAATCCCGTCTGGCACCAGCAGCATCTCGAATGACAGAAAGGGTGGATACCAGAGTCCTTCGAAATGCATTTGCGAAATGGGTCTCGAAGGCTCGCATGATCGGTGAAGCCGAAGAGATGGATCAACTTAGAATCCAGCGCAATGCATGGACAGCTTGGAACGATACACTTCGGTGCTTAGCCCTTCGTGCTCGAATTAACGAACGATTGAAAATGGAAGTCATGTACAAGTGGATTCTCATGGAAAGATTCCAGCTCATGCGCAGGATACATGAGCAACGTATTAAACGCGAGGTGTTTAATCGATTTATTACGAACACGCGAGATACATACACACGATTGCTGTTCAATGCAGAGGCTCATGAGGAACATCGGTATGAGGATTTGGCACGCTCCAAATTAGCAATATGGCGTGACCAACTATTGCTTCAGCGTGAACGAGAATATACTGCCTTTGAGTTCTATGCACCTCGGTTAGCGCAGGAATCTCTCATGGCTTGGAAAGCAAAACATGAGAAGATCCAGCAAATGGAAGGATGGGCCGACGATGCCCGCTTCTACTTTCTAATGAAGCGATCTTTGAAGGGTTGGCGACAAGCTTCGCTTGATTCCGCCAAACGAAGGCGGAAAGAAGCATATGCTCAAGTACGCCGAAAAATTAAAATGAACTTGGCTTTTAAAGCTCTAACTGCTTGGAGATCTAAAACAGGCGTCATCTTGGATATGGAGCAACAAGCAGAAGACCTTGACCGTGCCGCAGTTCTTGATGATGCATTCAGCTGTTTCTCTCGCTGGCATAACAAAGCCCTTAAAAGAGTACAAGATTATCAGGATGCCGATTATCATTATTTGCGCCAAGTTGCCTTTGATCAACTCATCCAAATGTCGGAAACCTTTGTCATTCGTCGTGAAATGGAAGACGAGGCAGATCACTTTCATCGCAGCCATGTTCTCCACCAAGCCGGAGCTGCACTACGTAAGCTGAGCCTTCGTATCTTCCAGATGAGGAATACAGTTGAAACATCCGAAGCAATGCGCGAGAGAACTTTCCGAAAACATTCAAGGAACTTGTTCCGTATTTGGTTGGACAGTGCTCGTCTTAAACTGGAAGCACGGGATTCGCCAGGCCCGTCCTTGGGCCCCTCCACGACACCTGCTCGGTTCTCCAATATCCCTGATGTTGACGGTGCCGGATCATTGTTTGATCCATGGTATCGGAACCCAGCCGAGACACCTTTCAAACTTGCCGACATGACGACAACCTCGCAGGAGCTGGTCTCCGCAAGCCCATTAGCCACGCCAAACTACATGACCTCCCCATCTAAACGAGCTGCTCGTGCACGAGCCCTGGCTCAAATGTCCACTACCCCTGCCACACCCTTACACACGCCTTTTGCTAGTCGATTACTTCGTGCCGAAAGCTCGACTGGCCAATCAGCCTCCTCTCGAAGACCTCGTACAGGTCGAGGAAACTCCATTGCAACAAGCGTTCGGTTTGTAGATGACGACCTTCCTGAGTCTCCAACTGATGGACGAAAATCTTCGAGTCGAAGACCTTGACCTTTACTCCAATATACGAAAACACCACCTCCATCCCTTTCTCTTCTTTAGTGACATAGCGTCGGGCCCTCTGTACATGTGATAACTATACTTTTGCCCCTTACCTTTGTGATAATTGTGTTTTTCCCGTCTCAGCATGCATATCAGCCGGCGCAGCATATACGGGGTTGGCGGGATCTCTGACCTCTTGTTTTGAGTCTTTGGGTATACAATGATGTAATTTCGAATGCAATGAATGTGACGAATACCATTTGAATCGTTGATTGGGTGATACAACCCGGAAAATAACTTATTCTACATTATTGTCCAGCCACAGTCGGTTATCACTACTTTCACCTAAATTTAGAATCCAGACAACGTCCTCCTACCCATTCTGTCACAGCTCCTCCGTACCCCTCTTTGCCAATGGTGTTCTAAAATTGCTTGCCTACTACACTTGGATAGCCTCCTTATTGTTCTCCTTCGCATCCTTGATTCCATACTCCGTCTCCAACTCGGTACGAAGCTTGATCTGTTTTTCAACCCAAACAATGACAAACCCGACAGCAGCAAAGGCAAGTGAAATTTGCCATACCAACTTAAGAGTATCAGAGTATACGCTGACTACCTCATCTCGAACTTGCGAGTCCAAAGATTTGATGAAGGTTGCCGAGACATGAGAATAAGCCTCCCCGCCAGCAAGCTGCGCAGCAACAGCGGGGTCTGAGATACGACTTGACAGATTTCCAAACTGGGTGTTGAATATCGCACTTGGTATCGAAATACCCCATATCGCACCGTAACTGCGAACGAATGCCCAGGTTGCTGTAGCCAATCCAACATCTTTTTCTGCTAAACTAACCTGCACCGCGGTCAGTGTAGTTGTGAGCAGAAGGCCTAGTCCAATGGCAGTGATAATCTGATAAGTAATCCACTCTGCATCACTTGAGTTGGCATCGAACAGCGTGAAGAGGCCTAGGCCCAATAAGGTCAACCCCATACCAACGGCGTGGATAGGTTGATAGCGGCCCCATTTTGTGAGGATGATACCTGCAGCCATAGCGGTTGGCACGGCAAGGATTACGCTAGGCAGAAACTGTACACCGGCACGGGTCGAACTGGACAACTTGACTGATTGGAAGTACACTGGTATGAAGTAGACCACCCAGAACGTGAGCATGTTGTGGATGAAGGACAGAATCAGAGCCGCGAAGGAGGTCCGGTTGCCGAAGATATGAGGAGGCATCATTGGCTCTGAACACCATGGACTAGCTTCGTAAAGATGAAATACAACCATGCCGAAGAATCCAAGGACTAAACAAACGATTATTCGCCAATTGGACCAAGGAAATTTGGTGCCACCCCAGGTGAGTGCCAACAGAATCGAGACAATGGATGTCATAAGTAATGCATTGCCGATATAATCGATCTTTTTGATCTTCTGTTGCCAGGGCTCTCTCTGGTAGTTGACATGGAGGAAGAAGAACAAACAGACGAGAGCAGTTCCACCGATTGGGAGATTCAGATAAAACTAGGAGTTGTGTGAGCGAGACAAATATCACTGCATATTACTATGTCAAGGGGGCTATGATACTTACCACCCATCTCCAAGAACTATGCTGTACTATGGCACCACCAATAAACGGACCGAGAGAGGTACCGATGGAGAATACGGCAAAGATCATGCCCATGAAGTTTCCACGCTCACGCAATGGAAGCATATCACTGACAATCATATCTATCATCACATTGATACCACCTCCCCCGATCCCCTGAATTGTGCGCCCGGCAATCATTATGGTAGAGCTGATGGCACCGCCGCTGATACCGCTACCAAGAACGAAGAAAGCCACAGCACCGATCATCAGCCATCGTCGACCGAAGAGATTCGCAACCTGTCCGAATAAAGGCTGAAAGCAAGCACTTGAAATCGCAAGAATTGAGTAAATTTCTTTGTCCGCCAAAGCCTAGGCCCCTAGGGAGATAGGACATACCTTGTGAGGAAAAACGAGTTGACAATCCAGACATAATTCTCGCCCGCATTTAATTCGTCAGATATAGATGGCAATGCCGTCGATATGACGGTCGATTCAACAGCAGCCAGCAGAATAGACACACACAACGAGATGTATATTGCCCAGAAACGCCATCCTCTCTGCTCTTTCTTTGCGGGTTGTATAGTCTCTGACGAATCCGACATTGTATGTATAGTGGACAGCGTTGAAGATAAAGAGATGGAAGATGAGAAAGGCACTGAAAAGAGCCATTTTGCGCGAATAATAGGGCCATGATCGAAAGTTGATCTCTAAGTAGGGGTGATAAATTTGTCAACATGGCCGATGCCGAATGTTCGGCGACGTTTCTTTATACAAATATTCTCTGAAGAGGTGGCAGTAAGGCTTGTGATTGGTCCAAGGTCGCCGAACCTCGAAATCCATGATATGAACACGACCTTTGCTGGTTTTATATGCACGCACTTTATTCAGCACTCAACTATGGCGCTATCAGTGGGATATACTCGCCAAATAAACGAGAGATAATCGAATGGAGATTGAAAGGAATGAAGAAATGAAGAAAAGACAATGAATTTCTACTCTAGCCAGGAACTAGACAAATGTATCGGTTTCTAGGATTCCTTGGAAAATTGTCTAGTCTATACATCGTATACACCATAGCCAAAATCACACATGCGATTCTTGTGCTTCGTGACAGCAACTTTGAAGTCGTGATGTTGCTTGTATCAGTTGGTTCTCATATTCACGTACTGTCATCATCGTCGCCCTGATCCCTTTATGCTCGTTATAGCTGTTGGACGGACTTTGGGACTGGCTGATATCGATGCTAGCACTCTCTCCACCAAAGGAAGGTGATGTTAGATTGTTCACCAAGTCGCCCAGGCGATCTAACAATTGCAATGCCGACTGAATCACTAATTTAATGTGACCAACTGGGTCATCCATAGCAAATGCCCCAATTTGCAGCGACGGTAGTGGAATTTTCGATCCACGAGCCAAAGCAGTGCCGAATTTTTCAGTAGTTTGTGAGAAGATGGTATGGTAAACATTGATCAAGCGCATATATGTAGACAAGGCGTGTAATAAAGATACCTGGTCGAGTACCACCTCTTGTTTCTTAGAAAAGGCCATATTTGAATTCCCAGAGGTATCTTGCGAGGTTGATTCCGGGGAAAACTGTTGGAGCCGCGCAGAGAATGAGGGAGTCGTGGAAAGCGGCGATTGCCAGTCTGAATTGTGTGTAGCATTGGACTGAGTAGTATGATTTCCAGCACGACGCAAAACCTTGATCAACCGCTGCGTTAGATTGAAGGTCGTGTCAACCGCGCATGCCGTTGATGATAAAGAAGCATTGGTATCATTTGCTTCAAGGTCTGTTGATGCTCTATCGATTAAAACAGGATCCTCCAAGGCATGATGAATTAATTCTATATCAAGCTCCAAGAGTTCTTTCATGAAATTTTGCAAAAACTGCGTCTGAGGACTAATTTTGAAATTGGAATCAGACCACTGCGATGGATCTAATTGTTGTGGTTGTAATTGTGGGGTGTTGAAACCAGTCAATCCATCCCTAGCAAGAGCCTGAGGCATGCTTAGATCTGAGAAATATTCGAGAAAAGACATGTCAGGGTTCCTGGTGGCTGGACTGAAAGAAGGCTCATCATGACAGGAATAGGGAGCAAATGAACCTGGTTCCAGTTGAGCCCCCGAGTGGTTTAGCGACGGTGTAAAAACGTCTCCTGAAGCGGTTTGCGGGTGAACACCCGTATATATACATTCGGTTTCGGTGATCTGTATATCCTCCAAATTCTCGGTGTTAAAGCTCAAATGGTGTTTATCATTCGAACAGTCACTTCTAAGTAAATCTCGGTATCAGTATATGACGAGTGCTAGTCAACATCCACCCCGGGTTGTTGCGATTACTCAACTTGTTCTGCGCGTCTGTATCTTCCGAACGGGGGTTCGCCTTACGGGGCATTTGAGGTGCTATTTTAATATGCGACGGCTTTTCGCTCGTCCTATTTGACGTTTGAGGGCCAGATGGGCGATTCTGATGGGCGGGTCGGCGACCGCGATTAGAAGGACTGAACACGCAGCTTGAACCGGCTCTGAGGCAGCGGCTGCATTTGTCTTCATCGCTCCGGTGACATCGAAGTTTGAGCTCGTGGCAGCGGTCGCATGCCCGCCGCGAGGGTTGTTCGTACATCCTGCTTCCCCGAGGCTGAGGCTCGAAGCAAAGGTCACGGCGAGGCGGAGGAAGACTTGAGAGGTGGGGCGGAAATGCACCCGAATCCTGATGTCTGATCAAAAAAGTATATACAAGACAATTGATTGAAGCTTTCTCCTGTCTTGTTTGGAGGTAAGACCCTTTCGGCTCCTCATGGGTACAAGCAGTCGTTTCAAGAAGATTTGAAGTACATTTTTTGCTCCACACTAATTATCGTTCTCGTTAGCGCAGTCTCTGCGCAGTACATTTCTTTGAAATGGGGATATTTATCAACTAAGAGCTCCTGGAATCTCAAAGACGGGGTTTCTCTAACCGATGTTTATGATTGTACTGTTCCTACCTTTTGGGAGTGTTAAATTTACCAAATAGGCTTTGTCCGGTGTGGTATTAGTGTTTTATTTTAGCTTGAGAGACTTATCTGTAGATCGATATCTTTGAATACCTGAACAGCTTCAAATTCAGAAAAAGAAAAAAAAAGGAACAAAGATGCCTTTCTGAGGAATACCGATGGCTGCAGCAACACAAAGCTTGAAAAGCCAGCCATATTCCTGGTATATTATAATAATCTATTCCCTGCAACTGCCAATAGTCGCATCAAAATGGGATTATAGTACCATTTTGTAGAGCTGCTGGTGGGTCGGGCCGGCCTCCATCTCAACCATTCGTCAGCAGTGGAGCTCCATAATGCAAACAAACCAAACACGAATCTCTGAGGTGGAAATAAGGCGGTCAATACTATGTAGGGCGGTGAATCTATACTTCTAGACTATTGTATGTCGTGGGGTTAACCGTAATTACTCGACTGCATCATTCTGCCAGTCATAAACCGCCCAATCAGGGGGTCCATCCTGCCGTACAATCATCACCCAGCAGCTGGCATTGACGCATGTGCTCTCCTGTCTTTGATTTCTTCTTCGCATCCCCCAAGGACCTTTTCCATTGAAATAGGTAATGGTGTAACGTGGTTTAAAGCGCAAAAAGCGTCTATTCCTGATCGACCCGCCTCCATGCGAGCGGTACTGCCGGGGAAACCCCCAGCGAAGCTCCAGTCGTTCAGCACCGCGCTGTGGGACGGACTTCGAGTTATTGTAAGGCCCTTGATTCCATGCAGCTTCTATAGCTGTAGATAGCCATAGAGGCCCTTGTCTTGTTATATTTACTGACCTTAGTCCCGCACGATCATCACAGGCGTACATATCTGGCCATGCACTGGTCATCCTCGGCGGTCCGCAGAACCTCCTCCAAACGATCTATGTCGATGACACCGACAAACTCGAAGCGGTAGCTTTCAACGAGGCATCTGGGAAGATTGCAGTCTGTGGTGGTCCAGATATCTTCATCTACCATCCGTGGGGTATCAAGGGCGAAACACCCAAGGTACGTATACCGAACTTCGCACTTTACTATTGAAAGCCATGGCAGAAGAAGCTAACTGGGATGTAACCAAATACAGTGGTCACTCGCCCATACTTTTCGCGCCGACGATGACGACGAACCTATTAGTACATTATCGTGGGGCTCATCGAATGAGCTACTGGTCGGCAATTCTCGCCTCGCCCTTTGGATTTTGGATGAAACACCACGGTTAGTATGGAAAAAGAAACTCGCCGGGAAAGTGAAGTTTGCGCAATTCTCCCCCGATGCAGCTCTAGTCGTGACCGTGGGGCAATATGATCGTCTGGCCAAAATATGGAGACGGTTGGCCTTTGGAGCGGACGAAGTGCGGTTTGAAGTATCATATCTCCCTCACCCGCATGTGATTACAGGAATTCATTGGCGATTGCCTTTCCACCGAGAGCAGTCCGCCGATAATGTTCTTTACACTCTATGCGCGGACAATAAAATACGAATTTGGGCTGTGACGGATCATAATGCTCTTTCGGCATTGCAATTTTGGGCAGACATTGACATGGGGGCATCTGTTCAACCTAGACACGCATCGGATCAAGACGAAGGATCCAACAGACGCTATGGATTCATTCTGGATAGTCGAGATTTCTGCGCTGCGACAGAGCGCGCCGTTGAACGGAACTCGGGCAACAAAGAAAACCATGCATTAGAACACCTCATTGAAGTCGCCAACAAAAGCCCAGAGATCTGCGTGGTGACTGACGGCCAAGGCCACTTATCTGCGTGGGCCTTGGAGGACGTTGGATCCAAAGCGAGAACAAACTTAAATCTATTTAATGTTCTGCATGTCGAGGGCGTTGAGTTTGGATTTATGCCAAACCTCAGAGTTCAAGAAGACTACGCGCAAATGCATGCGTTTCAAAGTAACACATCCGATGACAAAATTAGTCTTGTTGTGCACCACTTTGATGGCCGAATTGAATGGTATGACTCGCAGGTGGATGTTCTCTTTGATCCTATGCCTCGAAACAACCGTATTGCACCCAGCGCATCATGGTCTGGGCATACTGCACCTGTGAAAAAGATTGTGAGAAATGCGACCGGTGATACACTTATCTCAAGAACGGATGAGGATAAGGCAATGATCTGGAAGCAAACAAATCGCGAGGGCAGCTCGATGCTCGTGCACAAAAGCATGTTGCTATCTGATGAACATATCCACCGGACTTGCATGATTGAGAATACTGATTTCCTCGTCAATCTCCATCACAATGGGATATCCTTGTTTGACTTCAGCTCGTACCACTCCAAAAAGCTAGCACATTTACCGTTCACCATGTCAAGCAAGCCGCTGTGCGTTCTTCCACTTCCTACTCCAGACGGAAGTCCGGGTCGAGCGTATGTGGCAACAATCGGTGCTGATATGCACGGCATAGCCTGGGAACTCCAATGGAGCCCGCAAAATGACCAAAGTGGTCTAGAACCTGGTCAGAAGGGTTGTGAATTGCGCAGGTTTTGTGAATTTGACATGGGACTACGGGAAGACTTGGCCTACATTCTACCTGTTGATCCAGCAGGCCCCAAAGCCAAAACTTCAGGATCGTTTGATGTATTTGCGCCTGATATTGCCCTTTCCTACACCCAAAGTGGCGTGCTACGTACCTGGACTGCCAAGGTCGATCTTCAAAACTCCAAGGTAGAATGGTTGCTGAAGTCAACAGTTGAAACTGGGATCGACAACCCATCATTGGCTAGTGGAAGCACTATTCGCAAGGCTGCACTTGTGGACAAAGAGAGAACTCATTTGACCATCTGGGACACGAACAATGCCCAACTAGAATTTGAGGAGCACTTCGCACAGCATGATATTATCAGAGACCTTGACTGGACTTCTACCCCAGACATGCAATCTATCCTGGCAGTTGGTTTCCCTCATAAGGTTATCTTGCTTTCTCAACTTCGTTATGACTACTTGGATTCACAACCTTCCTGGACACAGGTCCGAGAAATATGGATCCGAGACTTGACACCTTACCCAATTGGCGACTCTTGCTGGCTCACAAATGGTCACCTCATAATTGGCGCAGGTAATCAACTATTTATCTACGACAAGGAAGTTGATACTGCAAATCACCTTATATCTGGTCTGCGAATAGCTTCTCGAGGTCAGACGTCGGTTGACATTTTTGATGTTGTTGGTCGCTTGAATGGTCCACTACCCGTTTTTCATCCACAGTTCCTAGCGCAATGCATACTGGCGGGCAAGTCGGCCTTGGTCCATTTTATTCTGATGAGCCTTCACCGAAAGTTGAAATTTTATACAGATGGAGATGGCTTGGATGGGTTCTTGGATCTGCCAATACAAACCTTCTATGACGAGCAAGAAGTAAGTTTCAAAACCTCATGTGTATCTATTTTATTCGCAATCTAATAGTTATAGGAATCTCAAAATGCGACTACACAATTGATGCGCTCATCTTTTGTCGATGCTTCGGGCGAAGAAGAAGAATCATCTGTTGTTGATGAAAATATTGCAACAATTCTCAATGAGAACCTGGCACGTATTGCACTGCCCCAACTTACGAGCCACGAGCAATTTCGACTTGTGGATACAATCGAGTGTGTTGCAACCGTTGAAAAACACCGAAGATCAATGGATGATAATGCGGCGCGTTATTTTCTTTTCTTCCGACAGCACATGCTGCGCAAGAGCCAAGGCGTAGCGAACAAAGACCGTGTCTCTTGGAGAGAAATTGTTTGGGCGTTTCATAGTGGCAGTCAGGATATCCTAACAGACCTTGTCTCACGTCAATTCAACGGTAAATTGACATGGAAAGCTGCTCGGGAAAGTGGCCTCTTCATGTGGCTGTCGGACTTGACATCTCTGGTAAGCTTTGACTTCATCCTAATTGATTTCCCTTGGGCATCAGATTATTAACCCTTCTACCAGAAAGCTCAAATGGAGTCCGTTGCTCGCAATGAATACACAAAGACGGAGGAAAGAAACCCCATCGATTGCTCTCTCTACTATCTCGCCCTCGGGAAAAAGAATATCCTTCAGGGTCTTTGGAGAATTGCCCATTGGCATCGTGAACAAGGTCCTACCCAGCGTTTACTTGCCAATGACTTCAAAGAGCCGCGATGGAAAACTTCGGCGTTGAAGAACGCTTATGCACTACTTGGCAAACGACGATTTGGTGAGGATTCTTCCCATTAAACTTTTACTTAGACCCCAACTAACGTTTTTCCAAGAATATGCTGCGACATTTTTCCTATTAGCCGATCACCTACGTGATGCGGCTAATGTTGTCGCGAATCAAATGGGTGATATCCAACTTGCAATTGCGATTACACGTGCATATGAAGGAGACAATGGTCCAGTTCTCAAGGAACTTCTAGAGGAAAGAGTCTTGCCTGAAGCTGCCTCCGAAGGTAACCGCTGGCAGGCCTCTTGGGCCTTCTGGATGCTCGGAAGGCGAGATATGGCCGTTCGAGCTCTTATCGTGAGTAAACCATACGCTATTATTCATTCTCTTTCTTTCATGAAGCTAATTTTTTCTAGTCACCAATTGAAACTCTTCTTTTACCCACCCCAGCCTCACCTGGAAGCCCAGGGCGAGTTACCCTGCAGGCTAAATCGTATCTCTCAAACGATCCCGCCCTGGTTGTTCTCTATCACCAACTTAGAGAAAAGACCTTGCAAACACTCAAAGGCGCCTCCCAAGTCCGTCCAGTGGAAGAGTGGGAATTCGTCCTACGAAATGCCAGACTCTATGACCGCATGGGATGTGATCTTCTTGCTCTCGATTTGGTGCGCCACTGGGAGTTCCTTGGTGCGCCACCAACATCGAAGACAATACAAAACCAGCCCGTACTCGAGTTTCACGAGGATGGCGTCGATTACCGGAAGCTACTTCGCCGGCGAAGCAGTCTTGTCGTTGCCGATATGCCGATCCGACTTTCCGATTCCACAACTCTGTCTGTTGATGCGAAAATGAGTGATGAAGCTGGAGCTTCTAAACCCCAAAAGCAGCAGAAACCAAAAGCGCCTCCTACAATGTTTCATGAACCTGATACTAATTCTTTACTGGATAGTTTTGGGTTTTAACTACTATCAGCAAATACTGTTGGATTATGTACTTTTATGTTTTCTTTCTCGTCATTTATGGTGATTGTATGCATTTTCAAAGCGACCAAGCCACCCAATTTCAATACCTTCTAGCCATCTTCATTCTCAGTCAGCTAGGACTATCTCATCGAAAGCTATAGTGATTACCTATTCTCCAAGTGCACTTGAAACTGTAACTGCGACGGAAATTTTCTAAAGTCGTGAATATATCCCATTGTATCTTTAACTATGAACAGACCATATCTCGTAATTCGGATCCAAAACATAAATCAAACAAATCGCCGCCCAGCCCTAGTAATTCAAACGAGCAACCCGGTTTCGCAGCACAGACAACTTTCTCCTCGACAAAGTGGCATTCTTAGGCGCAGTCCCATTGTACCGGGTAGCATTGTGCTTTCCAGAAACAAGATGCATCCCCTTAGCCTTATGATGCAAAGCCTCCATAACCCGATGCACAATCTCCTCACTCTCCAGATGTCCAGCATCATTTACCCTGCTCTCCTCCTCAGGCTGTCTCTCAGAGCTCTGTGTCTGCGCAAGATGCCACGAGTTCTCATTCGAACCAGGGGTCTGCACATTCTCACTATTCTGCACAGAAGCAGTCTCGTCAATGCGCGGGATATCCTCTTGCTGCTCGGATAGAGACTCCTTCTCTACACCTTCACAAACAAGCTGCACCCATATATCGCTGTATGCGGCGAAATTGCGCTCATGACATTCGCTGACTTCCACGCCATTATGCAGTTCGTGAGTGATGAGTGGATCATCAATACACCCTGGGACTTCGTGGACGGTTATATTGCAATTTGGGTTGTTTGATGGCGGGAATGGGTGCCCTTTTTCTTTGGAGAGAAATTCGGCGTCTACTGAGAGAGCGGAGACAAGGTTGTGCTCATAAGATGGGACACCGATTTGCATGCATTGACCAGCCGAGATGTCTTTTGAGGGAGCTGTTTCTTCATAGTTCTCGTATGTGGCTAGGTCTGAGAAGGGCTCGCCTGGACAGGATGGGTAAAAGTGTGTCCAGACGCGGGCTGTTGTGGCAGCGTGAATGGGTGTGGAGAGAAGGATGAGGGTTTTCAGTGTGGAATGCATGGTTGCAAAGCTTCCAGAGATTGATAGAAAGATAAGATGGAGATTGAGATGGAGATCTAAGATACGGGAGAATAGTATATCTTGATAGTGATTGAAGCTTGATAGTTATGTTTGTAGGGTTGTTATTGCAAGCGTCTAGGGTACATCTTATATACACTTAATCATTCATTCTTCTCTGTGGGAATCACGATGGGATGGCGGGGAAGAATGGTTGGAATGGCAGCGCTATGAAGCTGAAACGCAGCTAGCATGTCTCTCGATTTCTTTACAACGTATGAATTAATTCCTGCGTCATACTCGGTGGCGGGGGTTTGTAAGTGGTTTGCAAAGGTACCAGTCAGAGAGCCGAACGAGCATTCCAGTTCTCAAAGTGGTCGATTTGATGTCGATCTAGGGCTGGTAGCCCTTATTAATTTCTGGACCAGGCATTCCAGAGGGTTTTGCGCATTCCAGAACAAGGCCGAACCCTTAATGGAAGGGTTGGGGAGGTTTAGTCTGGATTAATTCGCAAAAAGATCATTTGAGGTGGTAGAGTGGTGGATTCTGTATGACTGTAAGGATCAGCATTGCAAGATTTGGGATGATCAGGTACATCATAGGTATGGACTTCATTTTGTCTCCAGGTCTACAGATGCCTGTTGGGTTTGAGGGCTCCACGTTCATTCATTACTAGTATGTAGTTGTATGTAACAGAATTGGCCGATAACTATGGCTCAAGAGCCAGGTTATCGTTAGTCTCTTTTAGAACTTGAATACAAAGAATTGGTTGATAATGAATTTATCTGTGAGAACTGATTGCTATTTTCGCATCGTTTAGGCGCAGCTCCAATTAACCCAACTGAATTCAAACTCGTAGTACTGGTAGTACTTATTTCCGTTTCTTATCTTCTTTCTCAACGGGTGGTTGGTACTTCAAAATAGATTCACCCGTCTCATAGACATCGATAGTGTTGGAACGTCGGCCTCTGCCTTTCTTAATAGTTTTAATCTTCCGATCCACTTCCTCCAGGTCCCCTTCGGAATTGATAGAGCTCAATGCTTTGATAGTAGGAGCCCCGGCAGGTCCACTGGATCTACTGCGACTGCTTTCCCGGCTATCGGGCTCACTGGGCGGCATGCTCTTCAAGCGAGACTGATAAGCATCGAAGTTGTATGAATCAGAGGGTATCTCAGCATCAGTATCTGGCATAATACCGAATCCGAGATCGTTGATGGTTTCAGTGACCCGCTCCGAAAGGGCTTCACGGTGAGCTCGCAAATCAGTCAAAGAGGAGGAAGAGAGGGGATTAAGTGCGACGAGAAGCGGTTTGAGGGATTTGATGATATCCATGCCGACTTCGCCATAGCGCAGAGCTGCGTAGCTGATAAAGATCATGAACATGAAAAATGTAACGGAAAATGCCCCCAAGGAGACAAAGTTCGGAACGTATGTATTGGCAGCCATCCACCAGGGAACTGAATATGTGTAGTATCCATCATATCGATTGTAACGGAGCCACGCGGTCACAATAATTGTATAATATGCGTATAGAGTTGGTGCTAATCCCATAGCAACTAGAATCTTCCAGGTACTGACAACGTCATGGCCTTGGAGTTTGACGACTGAAGCTGCAAGGGCGTTTCGCCTTTTCTTTTCGGAAATCACCTTTGTAGTGACGAAGACAGGCCAGAAGAGCAAAACTCCTGGTAGCGTACCAATACTTAGAACGAGAAGCTTGGAGAGGCGATAAAACAAGGTAATCAATATCAGCCACCATGGCTTTTCTTCAAGATTTCCCCACTCCACTTGGTGATCTTTGATTCCTAGAGACTCAAGGCGCCTGTTGTACTCAGTCACGGCCTTCTGAAGACCTTGGATTCGGGGATCATCTCGGTGTCGAGTGTACCCCTTCAGCAATCGACGATTAAACTCGATAACCAGAGGCAGTGGGATCTTCTTGCTGATAGGATTATAAAGCTTCCGGGTAGACTGAACCAAAATGAGAGTCTCATGATCAGGACTAATCTGCGTAACAGACTCGAGACCCTCATAGATTGTCTCAAGCAGTGAGCCGACGGCATTGCGCTTGCTAGTTCCTCCAGCCTTGAAAGCCTCAACTTGATCGGGGTGCACATGAATAGGCCGTCCAAATTCAATCACACCGCGGGATCGAAATTTGTGTGCGTGGAAATAATTCATGCCACATGGAATGATTGACAATCCGCAGGTCGGGTCCTGAGCCAAAGCTCCGAGTGACATTAGGGCAGCACCGGCTTTAAGCGGTAATAAGTTAGATCGATCATGGCTACCCCCCTCAGGGAAAATGCCAATACATCCTCCATTGGAGAGCTCCTCGTAGACAGCGGAGAACATTTTGCCCTGGTCAACATGAGGCGCGATCTTGAAAGTTGCGCCTTTGCGGCCGCCATCATCAGAGAGAGGGGAAGCAAATGGCTTCTTAAGTTTGAGCGAAGTAGGGCTTATAATCTCTTCGATTGAGGTTGTTTGCGGTCCATCAGGACCCTTCACAGTAAGCGAGCCACCTGGCATGAATTCAGATTGCGTAAAATCCGTGTCAATGCCATTTACCAGGGCCGGGTCATTCTCTGGGTCGGCAAGATAGATTCTGCCTTTCCCCGGCTTGGTCAAGTCCATTGATCGAACAACGGGAAGAGCACCCATACATGATGCCAAAGTTCCGATATAGGGCTCATTCATGGATTTCTGAGCAATAAGAAATGAGACACGTCGCTTGGCTTGAGATTTGAGCAAGTGCATCAAAATTGCCGAATCGACGAATTGGTTTGCATGCGGCGCGGCGACAATCAACACTGGGCCTCTTTCGGGGATTCTCCATGCTCCTCGAGGGTATATCTCGCGGAAGAAGAGGTCCAATGCCAAAGTGAAGAGCCATAGAACCAGGTCATATAGCCACGGGATCATCCGGCGGGGCGCATTTGTTCGGCCCGCCATGATCACCCTAGTTTAAGATGAACCAAGTTTTATGTAACGACTCATGAGAGCTTGCTGTGGCAGAGCTCTGGGGCTAAGTAGGGCTGTCAACCGTCAATGTCGTGTTATTATGTGCGGAGTTCAGAGTAATCGTGTCCATCTCTATAATGGCGTAACAAAAGTTCCGAAACCCCCTCTCCCTCCGCCTTCCGCATTAGGCTTAAGGCTATCTTATCGCCCGCTCAGCACGTGTCCTATTAATAGTTCTAATTGCCTAATCTAGAAGTGAGATTCTCTTATTAAGTTATGATTTTGAAATATTGAAGCATTGAAAAATCAGATGTCTTTCTTAATTCTAATTCATCGCTATCATGGTCGGTTGCGCTTGTTTACGAACTGGACATGCAGCTTGAAGCTCGGGTAGATGTGGAGACGAGGCTGCAGCAACGTTAGAAACGGTGCAACACGAACAGATAACCAAACGGGCTAAATAAAAAAATAAAAAAAGGGAGGGGCGCGACGTTTGAGATGTTGCGTGCCGGAAACTTGGGCACAATCTTACGACTACTGAGAAACGATAGAACACAATTTGACACCAAGGGAACTCGATCTTTCCCTATATATCTCCTGGATTACACTTGACATACATAATAAAACAGGATGTGGGAAGAATCAGAGGTATATCCATAACCATTATCCCAATGGTTCTCGCGGTTCACCTTTCACGACGATCATCGGTCACCGATCGCGATTTACTCAGCACCGCCGGGCCCACCGCCAACACCGGGGAAACCCCAGCACTCAAGCTTGACGGAAAGGAAGCCAGGGTCGAGGAAGTCGGGAAGACATTCGCCCTGGACCACGGGCTGGCGATCAAAGGGCAGGAAGTAGGAGGGTTCACCGGAGCACTTGTCGTTGTTGTAGACAGAGATACCAGAGCACAGAAGAGCATCCTTGGTGTCGATGTAGGCCTTGAAGGCGTAGTTGTCGATGCTCCAGTCATGGTTGACGGTGGTTTTTTCACAAGTCACCGGGGTGGCGGTGATATCGGCCTTGAACTTGGGCTCACCGTGAGCTGGAGCACCCACGTCGCAAGTCTCCCAAGATTGGAACTGAAGACTGGCAATTGGCATACCGGCCTGGACGGCAATGGGGCCAATGGCCAGCACGGCCGCGGAAACGAGGGCCTATATTGCCTTCTTAGAAAATTGGGGTTTAACATTAGACTGGATTCATATTCCTTACAGTTGAGAAGTGCATCTTGGTAAGGAATGAGTGCTTAACGAGCGTGGTTTTTGTCGGAAGGCCGGTGTTATCGTCGGTTGTCGTATAAAGTCGATAGAAAGCTCTTTTGCGGGCGACAGCGCGTTATGCCATTTAAGTAGAGCCCCTGAGGATCAAGTAGCACGCGAAAAACATCTGGCCAAAGTAAACATTGCTTTGGGCCAGTTAAGATACAACGTTTGTCTGTCGGGAATGCAGGAGCATTGTAAAGCTGATCAACGGTCCGGCACACCTAAAGTGAAGAAGACATTGACCTAGACAGGATGGAATGCGGTGATCGGTAGACTACTTAAGGCCATCTTGACAAACAAAATCTGCTGATCTGTGTCAAGAATGGGGGGAAATTAGTCTTTGAATTAAGGATTGCAAATGCTGGGTCCTCTTCCTTGGAAGGGCAGGTTGTACCTGGCATACTCTGCAACATCCAGTATCCCTTTCTAGTCGAGCGGACATATCCATTCGATTGGAGGTATTGACTGACAGCTTGAAGCCTACAATTGATTGATCACAAAGAAACATATTGATTTGTAAATCTCTTCTGAAATGTTTTAGATTAGAAATTGTGCATCCAGGGTTTTATCAAGGGGGTTCATGGTCAAGAACTTGTATATCTAAGTAACTCCAAGGCTGAAAGTTGCAAAAGAAACATATTTACATGTACTGTCAGCCAAACGGTCAAGCACAATTACTACGCACGTCCAAGTTCAAGTTCAAGCCTGGGTTTATAAAAGCAATACCTCCCTTCTCATCGCCCACATAGTAAACTCATCTGCAGCATCCCAAAACCCCCTTGGACACAATCTACCCCCAACAGGTACAAACCCCTGCTTTAGCCAATAAGCACCATTATTCTCCCTAGAAGTTCGAATCATAACGGGAACAGCCCGGCGATTCAAGTTGTTCCCCACCTTAGCCCTCTCCCGACGTAGAAGCTCTTCATAACAATTTTTCACAAGAAGTCCAGCCAATCCCTTTCCCCGATGCTTACCTGGTAAAAGTGTCACGACAGAAAGCTCATACTCTCCAGCTCTGTCAAGTTTGTCGAAAGTTTGATTATTTTCATCATTGAGCTCGCCCTCTTCCGTACTTATGTTGAAAGGGATCAGCGTCCAAAGGTCATCGTCTTTCCATTCCTTGATACTTGCTGTGCCGATGATATCGGTTTCGCCTGTTTCTGTATTTGAGAATGCAATTGCTGTGAAGCCTTCGGCTCCTAGTTCTTTGGAGAGCTGGGCGTCGGAGGAAAGTCGGACTTTATTGCTAAGTGGCTTGATGGCGCTATTGCGGTTGACGAGGTAGCTTTTGTTGACCATTTGTGTGAGCTTTGGTAGCCATGGCTGAGTGAGAAGCTCGGTTGATGTAAATATTTCTATTCGCAAGTTCGGGGTGGGTTGAATATCCTGGTGCGAAATTGAGCTCATGGTGATAGGAGTGGTGGGCTGCGATTGATGAATGTCAACTTTGGAATATCCGTCTTGAAATTCAATGGTAAAACTTTTGTTTAAATGCGATGCCGACCGTTTTATTTTAGATTTTATTGTAGCAGTCATTTTATTTATGACTCAAATAACGACTAATATATTAAGATTTATTTATATTTTACCTCGGTGCGGTCTTAGCGGAGCGGGGCGGTTTTATCGGAGCAAATCTACGCTATTAAGTTTTGAATATGTGGACTAATATATTATGACATGAGATCGACGAATGAATTGAGAAGGCTAACTACATACCAAACCACCGAAATAAGTGGCGAGCGCTATTTGCAAAAATGAAACTGGGGAATAGAAAAGATAGCAACATGATCAACACTAACTTTCCTTCATTCCGTAGCGTGATGAACAATCAATAGACACAAGAGAGCGGGATACAAAGAGAGAAACAAAGAATGCAAAGGTATATACGGGTTAATGATAGAACAATGAGTTTCGGGTCATTTCACCTCCTAAGAGGAGACATATTTTCCACTGACCAATTTGCGCTGAGTTGGAACGTCTTGCCAATCAACAGTAGGAACAGGAGATTGCGCCCCACGCGCGTCAGCAAAAGGATCGGTTTCTGGCTGAGCAGATCCTTGTACTGCACGACTGACGCCTAGTCGAGAAGTAGACTCGGTGGTGTGGAGCTCGAATTTTGCCTCGACATTACCCTTACGGGGGCCAGGAGTGGACGTGGAGAACCGCACAAGGAACTTCCCATCTTCACCCGCGCCAGGTGCTTTGACTTCCAACTCGGGAATTCTCCAGGTGACGGTGGAATTCTTGCGACGGAAGGTAGCGCCGGAGTTAGGATACATGAGAGCACTGGCGGCATGGGCGACACTCTCACGCGGTTGCTTGGTAGCTTCATCCTCGGATGCGATATCAAGACCGACAGTTAAGACCACGTTTTTCAAGACAATGGATTCAACGGACCCCGAGGCAAAGGCGGGATTGAGGGAGTAGAAGATAATGGCACTGGCTTGAGTTTCCTGCAGGTTCCAGGCTGGCTTGAAAATGACAGGGGAGTAGGCAGAGGGGTTGCTAGGATCAAGATGTACTTGATACTTAAACGCGACAGTTGGCATTGGTCGAGAAATGCTATTCAGTTGAAGATCGTATTCACCACGCTTTTCATCGGTGCCCTTGTTAGTTTCCTGAACAAAGTGAGGGTTGGCGGCAACCTTTTCGAGAACCGGAAAGTTCTCAAGACGGATGCGCATCGTATCTGCTGCAAATCCAGGCGCAACATTGTGAGACAGAGCAAGTTCTCCCATAACAGAAGACTTAGTCACGTTGCTCTCGGAGAACCAAGCGTTGACTGTCTCGATGATTGAGGCGTTCAAGCCTGGCTCATACAATTCAGGGTGGGCACTGATATTCTGGCCGTGGGCGGTATGACCTGAGCGAACTGAGGTGGTGTCTGACATAGCATGGTCGTCCGTTGCAGTGCTAAGAGACGGGGTGTGTCTGACTGGGGAAGATTGACCATACTGGTCAGATGCTGCTTGAGTGGGTGCCAGATCGGTGCTTGGGTTTGCAATGAAGACGGTGTTGCGAACGTCGCGACGACCACGAATAGTGCCTGCATTCCGTCGAACCCCGGAGTGTTGGGCCCGTAGACGTAAAGTGTTTGCCATATCGTCCATGGCCTGTTTGGCCTGGCTTTCGTCCTCGAAAATAGGCTGATCGCGGATTGTCAAGTTCATTCCAGAATCCTCCAGGCCCGCTGCTTCATTTTGAGCGCGTGTAATATCGTCAATTGTTGGAGGTCGCTCGGTGAATCCTTCAGAATCAACATGGGTTTGGTCGGTTCCATTAGAATAGGCTTCTGTTGGAGTGCCATTGGCAGTAGATGACAATACAGGCTGGACAATAGGAGCAGCCGCAACAGGTTCTGACACATGCTGATCTTGCGAGATGCTGACATTACGTCCAGATTCTTCGGTCATAGACGTCATAGATGTGTCTGGACGGCCTGCAGTGGAGGGAGGTGATTCGGGAATTTGCATGTCTCTCGAAGACTCGCTTCTCTTAAAAGGTGCAAATGGACTGCGCTTTTTCTCCGCTTTTCTGTCAAAGCCGGCTGGGGCTGTGGCCATGCTCTTCCGTCTACCCATGACTGTCCCAAGTCGTCTCAGTCCTCCCAATGGAGTGTGCCGGGGCTGTGCCTCTGGTACTGTGGTCTGTTAGTACACTGCCAATATATTTGAGATGAGAAGTCGATGACTAACTAGGTTGTGTTGGGGTCGGTGTTTGTCTCGCCGACCTTTCGGATCTCTGACTAGCCGCATCATCTTGAATAGGCGGAGGAGGAGCAAGTGGTGTAGTAGTCGGAGTCTCAAATGCTGATGGTGCTGTAGGAGGGGTTTCCACCTGTGAAGGTTGTCTTCTCGGTGTCGCGGGAGATGCTGGAACTCGAGTGCCTCTCGTCTTTGCAGCAAAGGTTTGGATCTCATCCGCAGTCTCTACATTCAATAATATATTGAGACAGGCCTCAGCAGCTTGCCGACCACGTTCGACTTGATCCAGCTCGTGAGTCTCCAGTTGGGTAAGTATGTCCCGAAGGTGGTTAATGCGACCCTCATCCACAGCCTGGAGCTGCTCAAACACAAAAGGCGCACGCGAGTCCCACTGCTGATGGACTTCTTCCGCAGATGCGACCGCACTAGCCAGCTGCTTAGGGTTCTTGGTACTCTTCTTCTTGGCTTTTTCCACCTTGTCCTGTGCTGCCTCGATATTCTTAGCCAGCCCCGTGAGACTGTTCTGAACGCCAGACATTTGCTGCATGTCGCGGTTCTTCGTACTGTATTCTTTTAGGGGGCGCTCGGCATCTTCTTCAATCTTCGTGGCGAGGGTCTCGTGTGATACAGCGAGCGCCTCGGTCGCATTGATGATACGTTGCCAAGGAATTTGGAAAATGCTGGATGCCAGTTAGAGCTACATATTACCACCAACACTGGGGCTAATGGTATCGATAAAGGAGGAGAGACCTACCCGAGTGCAGCACCATGATCCATTACAGGGCGAGTCGCTAGCTTCCGTAAGCCTTGAGCATATGCTTCTTCCACGCGGCGACGTTCCTGTTCCCAAGTCAAAATTGGTACCCCGCAAAGTTGAAGAAGAATGTGAACCAATGGATCTGATCGGCGGGAAGACGCAGGCTAACGTACCTGAAGAAAGTCCGCGATATCCGCATGAATCTTGTTGATCAGTCGAATGCGTTCGCTCAGGACATTTGTAGCTTGGGAAGGTTGCAGGGTGGCCTATAGTAGCAAGAAACGTCATTCTACTGTTAGCGACCTGCAATTTGAATCCATTGACCAGGTAATTCAGGGAGTCGACCTTACCAGCAATGCTGGGTATTCCTGGCGGGAGAGCTCCATGGTTTCAGGGTTGAAGATCAGTGAAGCGCATACAGCGCATAATCAGCAAGGCAGACTGTACCAGGGGAGTAGACTGGACGAGAAGAGCCCTGGTAGCGGAGACCAATGAATGTGAAATTGAGATTGAAGGGGAGTAGCATCCGATCGCCGAGGACGGATATGGGGAAAGGGAACTGGAATGACGATGGGGGCCGGGTCGGAGTGGAAGGCGGTGTGGTGCTAGCTAGGCCTTGGTGCAGAGCCGCGACAGGATTGACCGTTGTACAATAGAACAACATCCAATGGATCTATCTGATTGGATTAGATTGATTATTGAAAAGTCTCATGAATTTCTCCGACATTGATTTTTTTCTCATTAGAGCAGTATATTCGGAACATTTTATGCAATACATGTATATTAGATGCGAAGAAGCAGTCTCATGACAACGACGGCAGTAAATGACCCGCTTCACGCCTCAGGCTTCTAAGGGCCCATAGTTATGCTGATCTTTTGCTGTTCTTGGTCATAGCAACGTTTGACATAATGTTTTCCCTTGCTGATTATTGTTACTATAAATCAATAGATATCTGGGATATGACTCGTATGCGTATCTCAGTAGGGAGTTAAGGCCAATATCGAATCTAATGCCCCCATTTACTATCCACCAACACCAAGGTCAAGAGAGTTAATATATGTTAATGTATGACACAATCGAATTGCCCGTCTTCTCCGCTTGGGGATCACATGACATCATTGCGGAATATGCAGGGGTCAACTGGGCATGTTTGTCATGTTTGTTCCAGTCGATGCTTGTTGGGCCCACACACAACAGTGAGTGATGAGTGACTTGTCCCGCATGTCAGATTCACCTATAAATATAACAATGGGCTGGCAACAAGGTCTAGGATTTACAGATCGCCTAAAAAACATTCAGTCTCTGTCAGCAGTCTCGCTTTCAAACAAATAAGGGATTTTGCTTACACTTTAGCATCAGTACTACAGCGTATCAGCAAGCTTCTTCTTCAGCGGCGTTCGCTGAGGCCCAAGCTCAGGCCAGGCAATGTGAAAATGACGCATACGATCAAGCTACTTCCAAGGTCAGTTCTTCACACGCTAAGTCAAGAGCCTCGTTATTTAGAAAGAACTTGTGAATTAATCATCTCTGATAGGAGGAGTATGATCGTATATGCCAAGACGCAATCGATGCAGCTGAGACCTCAACAAAAGCAAACAGCTCTCACCCAGGCCAGGATATATCCTCGGATGTTGAATTCTCAGAAGAGGATTCAACTCTCGGGGAGACAATTGGCAAGTATACAGGTTGCTTCCATCACTTCAGTGGGCTTCATTCCACAATCTTCAAGTCTAAGGCACAAGATGGATCAATCTATGCAATCAAGGTCACTGTACCACACATGATGACGGCCCCGCACGACGCTCAGCGGGAGATTCGATTGTTACGAGTTGCATCCAGTCAAGATGTGATTCCTTTGATAGACACATTTAATTCCGATGAAGGGCGATTGATCCTTGTCTTTCCATTTCTGCGCTTCGACTTTGAGCATCTGCTCCGGCGCGACCTGGTTACTGCTTCGCAAACACGTTCGATATTACGGGACATGTTCTCCGCGATTGCTCATATCCACAAAATGGGGATCATCCACCGCGACATCAAGCCTTCCAATATCCTTATGGCCTCGCCCGATGGACCAGCATATCTCGCTGATTTTGGCATTTCATGGAAAGAAGGAGACCCCGGGTCTGAGCCTACGGACTCAAAAATCACCGACGTGGGTACAACCTGCTACAGAGCCCCAGAAATTCTATTCGGTTACAGAAAATACGACACAACAATAGACCTTTGGGCAGCCGGATGTTTGATGGCGGAAGCCACCGTCGTGGGTCATCGGTCTCTTTTTGATTCCGGGCCCGTGGGCAGCGATCTGTCATTGATACACTCCATCTTTCAAAAACTGGGAACACCAGATGAAAATAGCTGGCCAGTAAGTGCCCCGTACATTCTTTACGTTTTAAATTTTTTTCCACGTGGAGGAATCCAGGAAACCGGGAAGATTAACCAGAGAGTAGGGCGTGCATGTGTTGCCTGATTGGGGCAAAATGGAATTCTACCCCTTCGCAGCTCAGTCTTGGGAGGACATCCTGCCTGGAGCATCTTCAAAAGGCCGAGACTTAGTACAGCAATTAATTTGTTATGAAAGTAGTCAGCGAGTCTCTGCTGAACAAGTAAGTGACTGCGAGCCCCACGGCGCGCGGATCCCAACGGTTGCTAATCTATTCAGGCCCTCCGACATCCATATTTCTCCACAAGTTAATCTCGATGGGCCGAGAACGCCACAAGAATGTCCAAGACTTTCAGCCACATCAATTTGACAGGCATTGCGACTGTGCAAATTTTCTTTCTTAAGCCTAGAAGGGATGTTCCGATACGCCTCCAGAAAGCATGCTGGTAGTATGATGAGATGTAACATCCGAATTACACATAGACTAGACGGACCAGATGTAGTCATAGTCTCACAATCTCACTAAGACATTATGCATTTCCCACCCTTGTACGAACATACCCTCAAGTCTGTACAAAATTAGCAACCAAGAAAAAATAATCCAACAAAACACCGCCTCATATGAATCCGGATGGAATCCAAAAGCCCCTGGACTCATATGCCCGATGCCGATCTGGGGCCACGCGATGGATACGATTTCAGGAACGAAGTAATTTTTTTTAATTTAATAATTTCAAAATTTCACGCTTTGCCCTGTCCGAACAATCCCCGGGAGAACCGGAAATTGCAGCTGCATGGACTGAGCAATAAGAAGTGTAGAGCGGGCCGAGGGTGAAACAGCAATCAGCATGGATGGGCGTCCGTGCCCCGCGTTTGCCAGGGTTCTTAGGTTTAGCGAGGGCCCTATCCCACTTGGGGGCCATGTCGCCCCGTTTTCTAGTTGCAGATAATAAGATGGAAAGCAATTGCCAATTATGAAGGGGGAATGTAGTAATGGCTGGATCTACTGATAGAAATTTGGGAAGAACCATTTTTGAATCCAAAAAGGAAGAACTCCACCTTGTACCATTAAAACAGAATAAAATAGGAGCACTTGAGGTGATGCAGAGTGATGAGTGATTGAGTTGGAAATTTGATCCAGTTCAGATGCACGGGGATACGAAGGGTAAGCACAATACCAGGAACGGTATTATATACACCAATCAGAATAACATGATGATACGATCATACCCATATCGGGCTAGTTCCTGTAATAACTCAATACCGGGTCAGGGTCCACCACTTCAGCCCATCCAGGCTACTTCGCTCTCATTTCGGCTTGTTCGTGCCTCGTGGGATGGAGGTTTAGCGATGGCCTTGGGCTCATTACAAACGCTGATCTTAGGCCCGAACTCTCTTTCTTCTTTTCTTTGAACGCTCCTTCATTGACGACCTGGAAGTCGTTATACCCTCTTTTGCGCATCTTTGTTTTTTTGGACTGGTATCGGGCCGAGCTCGATCTTACAGTCGTCCATTCTTTCTATTCTCACACCACATTCCACATAACGCGGGTGTAGACTGACTAACGAACGCGATTCTGAGAATTGTCTGACTCGCGCTGGAATCTTGCGATTTCCTCGATCCCTTATTTCTTCATTCCTTCATTTAGAGGTGTTTATCGCTGTACATCAACTCCTCACTGCCCTTGCTTCTTGTCAACAAACAACACAATCGCCATCATGGTGCACGGGCATGCACACACCCATGACCACCCTCTGGAGGTGCGCATAGAGGAGCGGGGTCATGACGACCACGAAAGTCACGACAACAATAACAACAACAATGACGATAGTAATGTTGTTATCGTCTACACAACCCTCAGTAACAACGACGAGACGACTGCTGCAGCGCAGAATACCAAGAACAACAATGTCGGCGTTGGACCAGCTGTTGGTGTGACAAAGACATCATCTGAAGAGTCGAAGACTACTGAGGCAATTAAGACTACGGAGGAGGCTAAGAAGACTACCGAAGAAGCTTCCACCACCGAGAAGGAGTCGGATAAGAAGACCAAGGATGAGCAGACAACCACTAAGGAATCGGAAAAGCAGACAACCGCAAAGGAAACCTCTGAGACTGGAAAGGCAAAAACAACTGCAGAGCCTACGAGCACCGAGCAGACTGAACTCATCACTACGGCTACCCATGATGCCAAAACAGGTGCCACTGCGACCTCATTCGTTACCTCCGCAACTCAAACATCATCAGACACCAGCCACGATGTAAATGGTCTCGGTCTCGGTGCAGCAGAGACTGCCTCATCCACAAGTTCCGCTGCTACGGCATCTTCTACGTCGACCGGTTCTTCCTCAGCGGATATGTCTTCTGGTGCGAAGGCCGGTATCGCTATCGGTGTCATTGTCGGTGTCGGATTGCTTGCAGCCCTGATATTCTTCATTGTTCGAAAGAAGAAGCGCAACCAAATCGACGAGCCTAATATGAATGAGAAGATGTTTACCGCTCAAAATCTTCCACCTGCACCGCCAATGACCAAATCAATGACTCCTTCATCGGCTCCGCAGCTCAATGTTCGCCCCATCACCCAGTTCGCTCCCGATCTGAGTAACAGTGCTTCTTTCAACACGGCCAGTACCGCAGCCGCTGGTGGTGCTATGGCAGGCTCAGCTGCAGTTGCATCTCGCAATCTGACCGGTGATCTGCCGCCTCCAACTCCTCCCAAGTCAGCCGTTAGCTCTTCGAACCCATTCACTGATCCGGTCAACCCTTTCAACACCGGAAACACGCCTATTGAAAGATCACCCGTCTCAACCTCCGGCTCGGGACATGACGCATCGATCGCTGCAACGGCAGCTGGTACTGCCGCCCTTGGTGCTATTGGAGCTGCAGCCGTTGCGTCTCACGAATCTGACAAGGACCACCACCGAACTGCATCAGCCGAGTCAGAAGGTCGCCCGCCTAACTCCCCAAGCCCTGTCAGCATTGACGGTGAATCTGTCTCTTCCGCAGCCCTGGGTGGCGGCAGTGTTGTAGGTGCTGGTACAGCTCCTTTGAATGTCCACCGTGTCCAACTCGACTTCAACCCATCAATGGAAGACGAACTTGAACTCCGATCCGGTACCTTGGTCCGAATGCTTCACGAATATGATGATGGATGGGTAAGTGGTTCCTAAACAATTTCCTTTCATTTAGAACAATGTCTAACCCCTGACAGGCTCTGTGCACGCGCCTCGATCGTTCCCAGCAAGGAGTCGCTCCTCGCTCCTGTCTCTCTGCCCGCCCTGTAAAGCCTCGTCCTCGCCCACCACCTGGAGCCCCTGGCGCCCGTGGTCCACCCATGATGGGTCCAAACGGTCACCCAATACCTCCTCCCGGTCGTGGCCCTCCATCAAGTCGATTCTACCCCACAGAGGCTAGGCCTAGATCGCCGGCTGGCCCCCCGGGATACGGAGGTCAACGCCCCTACCCCAACGGCATGGGCCCAGGTCCAGGTCCAATGCCCCACTCCCAGTTCCCAGTTCCCCGTTCAATGAGTCCCGGTCCTAGATCTATGTCTCCTGGTCCTGGTTCTCGCTCAATGTCCCCAGGCCCACTCATGCGCCCAGGTCCCCGATCCATGTCGCCCGGTCTAGGACCCTACCCAGGTCCGGGTCCTAGATCAATGTCTCCCGGTCCCGGTCCCTACCCGGGTCCCCGATCAATGAGCCCCGGTCCATACGGACTACAAGGAATGCCCCAGCCCGGCATGCCAATCAACCAACGTCAAAGAAGTAACAGCGCAGGCAACATCTCTCCACCAAACGTTGGAGCTGGCGCTCCTCCAAGATCAAGTCCGCTTGCTGCGACTCAGCCCCCCGCGCCAGCCCCTACGGGTGATCTCCCCGCCATCCCTGGTTCTGGTTCTGTGTCAGGTTCGCCTCCACCACCCGGATCATCGCCAATAGGCAGGAAGCCCATTGCTCAGAACTTCTAATCTGTACTTGCACAATGACCATTGGATATACCCCTCATCGATTCTAGTCGTTGCTTTGCCAGATTAGAGACATGCTGTCTCGTCAGTGTACCGCTGGACGGATTGAGCCTGTCTGCTTAGTACGACTCAATTTCTACGTGCGTGACGAACATGTTACTTTTCTTTCCCTTTCTCTTCTTTTTATTCCTGAAAAGAAATACCGTGTATACTGTGCTTCTTTATTCTTCATTTTCTTCATTTTACTGCAGCGGTGTTCTTGAACAGCTCGTTGTATTTTAATGGGCTAGAAACTGGCGCCTGATTATTATATTTGTATCTTTTTAGTGTCTTTTCGCCATTTGTTCCTTTTACTTTCTTATTCTCCCACTTCAACTCAGGTGGAAGATAAAACTCACCTTTATCATTTATGGGTGGTTGCAAAGGGAGTGCGAATGAACCTCAATACCCAGATCCCTGTACCTTTTTGAACGTTCTGGACATTTGTCCTGGATCATACTTAGATAGATTATTTCCCAACTTTCTCTCTTCTACTTATCTCTCTCAAGACGCTGGTAATACTTGTCCTTTTATCTTCGAAGGACAAGTCTGAAGAATAATCTGAACTTCTAGTTCATGCACTGAGTAGCTTGCTCAGACGTAAGCGTAACTGAAATTCAATATGAATTTATACCGAAATCTAAAGAGTATAATGGTATATACCCTCATGCTAAGATATCTTATCTATAGATGTGGGACTTTTCCGCTTGCGAGTAAGAGATTCACAATGCTCAAGAGACCTTCGCCAAGGATGAGCCCAGACGCCAGAACAACAATGGTAGAAGACGCAGCATCTGCTTTATCGGTTGATTTCCCGGTAGAAGCAGGACCTGGTAGTCTAGTACTTGGGTCGATGAATTCCGGCTGAGCAGAAGATTCGCCATTGTGCGAGTCGCGCGCAACAGAAGGTAATGAGTGTTTTCGAGCCCACCACCAAGCAATGATACCACCAATAGCCCTCGCAAGAGTGAATGATGGAACATTGAATATACCAACAGCAACCGCGATTCCACCGGGGATCCAATCTTTCCACGGGGGAGGTTTCCCATTGCGTGCGAACCGGGCAGATGCAGCGGCGATGCGCAATGCTGTCAACACAACCCAAATTGCGCCAAAAATGAATGATGCCTGCCACGCTTTGTCTGGTAATCCTTGACCAGTAACAAGGCGTGCGGTAAAAATCCAAACATACGCTGTTGGGATCTGGAACATGCCTCCCGGAATTTCGTATACGTTTGTATACATTTTGTATACAGCAGTTGACAGGACGGCTCCAACAACACTGCCGATCATTTGGCCGTAGAATTGGGCCTTGGGGCTTGCGCCGAGAAGATGGCCTGTTTTTAGGTCTTGCATCATGTCGCCTGCTTGGAGTGCGCCGGATTCAGATACTGCACCTGCTAACAGGTTCGTGACTAGTGCTGTTCGGCGAGAGAAATGAGAAGCTGGGGTTGCGAGGGAAAAGAGGAGCTGTGTTAGTTTGCTGATTCCAGAAACTGGGTTCAGATCTGTCTCGCCTAGGGCTCGAACACCCATTATGGAAAGGAGGACAGCAAGAACAGTCGCTAAGCTCGATAGAAATGGGGACATAATGTCGCCGAAAACGAAGTGCATACAGACAACGTTCAGGATCAGAGTTAATGGGAGCAAGATAATCACTGTACGAGTTGAGATGAGCTGGGATGGCGGAGCATCTTCATTTTCCTGCGTATCTATAGCGATCGTTGGCATAGTCTGAGTGTTGAGGCCTTCTTGTTCGTGAGATTGACCAGAGTTCAGGGCAGAGTAATTGATATAAGAATGCTCATGAGATTCAGCACATTGCAGTTTGAATGCAACCCATTGTCCAAGGCGGGTGGACCTGAGGTGGGCTAGCCATCGAGGAGAATGATTGACCAAAGGCTTGACAACCAGCCAACCGAGGCTGACCAGAGAATCGGCAAGCATGATAGCCAGTGATATCCACACGATCCATGCTTTGCTTCCGTCTTCCCAACTGTCGACAGGCCCCGGAGCCCATCCATAAGACTTGGCAAGGGGGGAGAGAATGCCCCATCCAAGCACCGCGCCAAAAAGCATATGCATACATGTTGCTGGTCCCATGATGATTCCTTGCCCAATGTATGCGGGGGATGGATTCAGAGTCCAAAGCCAATAATGAGCGAGGTCCACGCCAAATAAGGGGATATCATGGACCAAAGGAACAAAGTATGAGAATACAGTCTGAAACAGTCAGTTTCAGTCGTGAAATCATATCAGACGAATGGGGAGGAGGGCAATCTCACATAAATACCAGACCCTACAAATGCGCCAATCAACAAGCGCATCTTCGTTTGCCAATCTTTTTTATCCGTTGCCTGATCTTCAACCTCTCTATCTTTCAATAGTAGACCACTTCTCTCCTCCTCCAAAGGCGGCGATGACGTCCCGGGTTCTTGAGTAAGTTCAATTGGGCGGCGCGGCGCGTCAATTGGAACTTTCTCATCTTTCCCGGCACCATGAAGAACACGAAGCATCAATGCCGACGCAGTTCCGCTTGGAAACCGCAACTTCTCTCGCACAATGACTTCTTTGCGTAACGGAACTGCAAAAACAACTCCGAACAAGCAAACTCCAAGACTCCAAACCGCCAGTTTCCAAAACCCAAGCTTGAGAGGCCCTCCCTCGCCTTCTCCACCATCACCTTTCGGTCCGTCCTCGCCATCCTTGAGCAGGAATTCCAAGGCAGGGATGACACCGACAAACCCACAACCGAGCGGCATAGTCCCCACAGCCCCCGCAACTGTCTGAATCAACACATTCTCAATCGGTGTGAACGGAAACGAGAGATGTTTAGATAACACCTTGAAGACCGAAAAGCCGATCAGGGCGGAGGGCATAGCCATCGTACTGATCCATCCTGTCTGGAGGCCGAAGTATGTGTTGGAGAATGTAATCAAGGCTCCGATTATAAGGCCGACAATGAGCGAGCGGGGTGTGAAGCTCTGTGCGGAGGTGGTCGGTGGTCTTGATGTTGGAGTGGCATCGTCGAGGGCGTCTGGGCGCGGTATCGTGGAAGCCGACTGGTCTTCTCTTCCCTGTTGTGACTCAGAGGCATCACCTGCCATGCTGAGGGTCTGGTAATTCATCGGCGCGCAGATTCATGATTCATGGAAGGAAAGAAAGCAAGAGTAACTCGAGGATGGATAAGCCACGGATGATGATTAATGATAAGATCACATGACGTCACGCCTTTTTGGCATGGAGTTTACAGTCCGTAGAAGAACTTCGGTTATTCATTCCTACATAATGTAGTTATTAGTTGGAAACTTGTCAATTATGTAACAATGTTTCCTCTAACAACGGAAATTATTTTCAACCCTTTCGTGAAGGGCCCCATTGTTAACCAGAGCCCCACCGCCAGCAACAAGATTAGTCTCCGACGGTCATCGGGGTCTAAACCTAAACGGGACACCAGTTCTATAGCCATAACTTACAAGTCGACGAGCTCAAGTGAGACCTTAAAAGGCAACAAAATTCCCACCTCCTTTCTGAAGTGATCTTATTTCCTTCTCCTTTTTCTGAGACTTTCTCGTTCTTTACTCTATCAGTTTCTTTATTTTGCCAATACACGGCAACATGGCTGGAACTACAGAGCTCAAGTCCAGAAAACGGACGCAAAATGAACAAGATACTGGCATTACCTCCGATGCTATGATGCAAAAGGAAAAGAATGACTTTGCCCTGGAGCATATTACCGGTGGCTGGAAGCCAGGAATGGACCCCAAGGTCGACTATTCAGGCCATTTCGAATTTGGGGGTTCACTTGGTTGCTTGGGCCTCATGATCGGCTTTCCCTCGTTGATGTATTACATGTGGATTGGCGCAACATACTATGACGGCAAGTTGCCTCTTCCAGAAAACGGCCAATCAATCCAGGATTTTGTAAAGCATATGGGTCATCTGGTCTACACTGGTGCATTCCCACATGCCCGTGCCTGGCGTATCTACTGGACATATTTCAGTTTCGAAGCAATCTGTTACCTTTTAATGCCTGGTTTTATTTGCTATGGAAAGCCTCTCGCTCATCTTGGAGGGAAGCAATTGAAGTATCGTTGCTCTGCCTACACCAGCTTCTATCTGACTATCGTGGTCATGGCTGGCTTGCACGGCACTGGTCTATTCCCCATCTACACATTCCTGGATGAATTCGGGCCGCTGATGTCTGTCTCTATTCTTTCGGGTTATCTGAACAGTTTGATCACCTACATTCAGGCTTTTATTCGTGGAAACCAACACCGTGTCACTGGATACCCAATCTACGATTTCTTCATGGGCGCTGAACTGAACCCACGCCTGTTTGGAATTTTAGACTTCAAGATGTTCTACGAAGTCCGGATTCCTTGGTTCATCCTCTTTGGTCTCAGCTGTGCGGCAGCTACTCGACAATATGAGAGATACGGTTATGTCTCCGGTGAAGTTCTGTTCCTAGTGATGGCCCACTATCTCTATGCCAACGCATGCTCCAAGGGAGAGCACCTCATCACAACCTCATGGGACATGTACCAAGAGAAGCTTGGCTTCATGCTGACCTTCTGGAATATGGCTGGTGTTCCCATGTCATACTGCCACTGTACTCTGTACCTTGCAAACCACGACCCAGCCACATATGCGTGGAACAAGGTTGCTCTGGCGGCGTACTTCATCTCCTACCTCTTTGTGTACTGGGTTTGGGACACAGCCAATGGACAAAAGAACTCTTTTCGTATGATGGAACGTGGAACCTGGGTGAAGCGCAATACTTTCCCACAACTTCCTTGGCAGGAAATCCACAATGCTAAGACTATTGTCTCTGAGAATGGGGATACGATTCTTGCTGACGGATGGTATGGACTGGCGCGCAAGGTTCATTACAGTTGCGATATGTTTTTCGCTATCTCTTGGGGCTTGATCACTGGTTTTGAGAGCCCATTTCCATGGTTTTATCCCGTGTTTTTCTGCATCATGATCACGCATCGTGTCTGGCGCGATGTCAACAAATGCAGATACAAGTATGGTGCTGCATGGACTCAATATGAGAAGCAGGTGCCATATCTTTTCATCCCTGTGAGTTTTCCCCCTTTATTTGCTGCTCTAAATGGAGATTATTTACTGATATTCATGTAGTACGTTGTCTAGTCCCTCGGAGGATGAATGAAGATGGGTGACTGGAGATATTGTAATTTTATGTTTCTTGAGAAGTGTTGTCTCGACTTAGACGAAATTTAATTGACAGTTTCATAATAATGATTCACTACCACAACCGATTCACAAAGCGCGTATCAAGCCTGTACCAAACGTGGCAAACACACGTCAAGAATAGCTCTCACTTCAGAGGAAGGCAACCCCAACCCCAGCCAACATCCAGGAACTTGTACTTCGAATGAATTTCAAACTTCTTCAACCCAACGCAATCCATTATTCATTTCTTGGACTCGAACCAATTTCAGACCTTCCTCAGCTTCTTTCACGCAACGCGTTCCCCCATCCATTTCTGGCTCCTTTCAAGACCGCGAGGCGATTGAAGAGTACCACCATCTTCAAATCACCAAAACGGCCACACTGTCATTATCGCTCGCTCATCAAGGGCAACGCTCATCTTTCTGAGATTCAAAAGAGAAGTTTTGGACTTATTCTCCTGTGTGACAAAATGGCTCAGAATCACCGTAAGTGACTTGTATCCATCAATCTCTTGGCTTGTCTAACAACATATCTCTGCTAGTCTACTCTTACCTTGAAATACCTAAAGATGCACCAATAAAGCTGAAGAGCTCACCTGGCAAAGGCTGGGGCGTTTTTGCGACAAGACGTATCAAAAAGAGATCCCCGATTTTGTCCAAAAGCGCACTCTTCGTCGTCGAACGACCTCACGACAAGATTACTGAAGACGATTTGATCCAGCACATTCAAGAATTGTCAGCCCACCAAACAGTTCAATATCTACTCCTCGGTCGAGGAAAAGCCAGGTATGATGTTTTCACAATGTCACACAAAGCTACAAAGACCCTGAAACTTGGGGTGTATTTCTGCTCCAATCACGCTTCAACCATTCGTGTGCAGCCAACTCAAGAAGCCTAACCATAGGTGGTGGAGTGATTACAAAAATTGCAACACGATACATAGCAAAAGGCGAAGAGATCACCGCCAACTATGACCCTAATTCAAAGTATGAGACCAGAAAAGAGCGTCACAAGATCTTGAGATTTGCCTGCAGCTGTAGCGTTTGCTGCGCTGATCCTCGATCTCAACAGCTTAGCGACATGCGAAGACGGCTCATCCGAGGTCTAGAGTATCTTCGGACGGGTACGGACATAGATGGGGCAGAGACACTCCGGGCGTTCTTCCCTCATAGTGGATCCAAATCTGAAGCGTGACGCGGAGAATTTCGGAATAACACTTTCCTCGAGATTTTTCTATACTGTTCTGACAATGTTTTTGCTCGAAGAAGAAAAATTGCTGTATTATTTTGAAGTCGATTTTTATATGCGGATGTTGAACAAATTAGCGACAATGTTTGAATCTGAAAGAAATTCTCGGATTGCCCAGTCCATTCTGAAGGAGAAGACTTGTCTGGAAAGATTACTGTTGGGATTCACGCTGTACGGACAGGAGGATGCTACCGATTCTTACGTGGATATGCTAATACCGCTATCGACATGATCCTCTTGACTGTGCATTTGGGTTACCCTAACGAGAAAGGCCCAGAACATGTTCAACCACGAATGATACAATAGGCCACGGCGAATGTATTCTTATACGAATGACATGGATCTTGCATAATCACCCACTATCGTTTGATAGCTGGAGGGAATATGACAAAGGGGATCAGTATCTTATTTACGATTACAGATTAAGCAATGACTTAATGTTTTTCAGAATGAAAGAGACCTCAGTCTCGAATTTGAACGATGCTTTTATTTTGAACTAGTCTCATCAACTCGAAAGTCTTGCCACATATGAATGCCGTCGGGCGGTGCTCCATTCAAGGTCAACCCTGTATCTGACCTTCCGTCCACACCATCATCACTCCACCTAGGGGTCGTAACTTGTCTACTACCCTTTGATTGGTGCGAAGTGACTTCAATCTTGTTGACGCCCTGATCCATACGAGTAAGGGGGTAATTTTTAGAGGAGCCTTTTCTGAGTCCAAAGTCGTAAGATGGTCCTGTTCCGCGATCCGAAGAGCCCAGCCATCTACTGGGGGTGATTGCCGAGAAAACAGGTCGGAGAAGTGGCACGTTCGCTGCAACAATAGCGAGTTGCTCTTCGACTATACTCCACATGAGAGGAATTGGAAGCGTGTAGGTAACATCCGCAAAATTGATGCGCATGAGGCTGACCACGCGAACCATACTAATAGCACTGACACTGTTGGGTCCGTGTGTAAGTAGAGTATTTGATATAAGAAGTGGCTTCACTTACAACAGTCCCAAAGAGAATGCGACAATCAATCCTACTTTCCGCCCAACTGGCAGTTGGAGCTTGATAATATAGGGAATTGGAAGAGCCATGACCATAAGATCGGTAACCATGTTCAAAACACCTGCCACCACGAAAGCTGCGTTCCGGTTCCCACATCCACCTCCCGGTATTGTAGGATTCCAATTGTAGGGGATGGGTTGACAAATAAGAAAAGACTCGAGAACGATACTCAAAGCCCAAAGCCATACGATTGCACCTGTTACGTAGATGGCAATCCGCATGCTTTTCTTGGTCCCAAACAGCTTATAGTAGAGGGTCATCATTGCCGTTTTGACAATAGCAAGGCCCACGCCATATAGACATTGACAAACGATAATCATCTAGTGCAAGGATCATTAGTCTAAGAAGTTTATATTAGCTTTATCTTAAGACTTCTCACCTTCAGTACAAATTCAATATCTGCCCAAGCGACTGGCTTTAGCGCATGCAATCCCACGCCTCCCTTAGTAACCGCTAAAATATCATGTTAGTTATGAACAGTTTCGCCGGAATTAGTGAAGATCATACTCATAATAACCACTATTGTCGATGCTACCACCATACACTGCCATTTTATTAGTCTCCAAATGTCGGGGATCAAATTGAATGGACTCACTGTCGCAATCATCATCATGTAATCTTCCGCTGCCAGGCTAACATCTCTCATCCTTCGCGATATAACTCGGAGAACCGTAGAAGCTATTGAGATCCACCCAAAAACAAGCATGACAATGACAATGTCCCTGCCATCCTTGGACTCAAGCCCATAGCTCCCCATCTCGACAATTTTCAGCGATCACGCTCGATCTTAGTTTTGGGGATTGAGCGACGTTGACAAGGTAAATAGTACAGGGGTCGCATAATCGAGAATATTCGGGCACTTGAGACATCTGCCCCATAAGAGATTGATCATCTCGCTTTTGCCCCCCATTTTACATTCCGGGTCCGATTCATGCGGGTGGGCTTTTCGTTTGGCTTTGACCTTACGACTCCACTACTGCGATCCTTCGGCTCCACAGTGGCTTTGTCGTCGACTGATGGACCGCATTAATGGCTAGAGTTCAAGCACTGCATGCACTAATACACGCTAAGAACGCCATCGTGTATTGAGTTAATAAGTCTTTTTACCGCACTATGCCATTATTGTTACCCGTTGTCCACGCTAGAATATTCATGGCGTCCCTTTCCCGAGGATGTTCAACCCGTCATGGGCGTCGGAGCCTCCCCGTCGCCCGTCGGGAATGATAAGGTTTAATAGGGTTGACAGCAAGATGCCTGTATATGTGCATTCCTTCAGCACTCGGTTTTGACATTTCTTGACTGATTAGCAATATAATACGGGAATTAGCGATCAGAATGAACTAGAGGAATCACACCCCGCATAAATAGGTGCAATTGGGTTTGAAGTTCATCGATTTTTAGGGGACGTGCTAAGATCTCTTTTGTGACAGCGATGCATAATATTTATGCTAAGACAAAGATTAAACACCGGAATGATTTTTCTGGATCTGGCCTTTACTGCTTATGCCAATCGAACCCACTTAGTCGCCACAATTTATGCAAACTGCACTAAACTACCATATGTGCCGCGTTTTTTAGAGCACTAACTCAGGGGTCGGCTATCTTAGTGAGGGGCCATAAAAAGAACGAATAATACATCCCTGCATGTGGCACTGATCATTTAATTTCTCCGTAGTCCCCAGATTCCCCATAGGTCGACAAATTTAGAGGAAATCATTGACCCGAGATCTGCACGATGGCATCCTTTGATACAGAATCTGCTGCCGGACTTGAAAATACAGCTTTCGACTATGTGGTGGTCGGTGGTGGCACCTCTGGCTTGGTCGTAGCTAGCAGACTCACGGAAGACCCTAATATCAGCGTTGTCGTCCTAGAGGCAGGGACAAATCGCCTTGGGGATCCCCGATTGACTGTCCCAGGCTTGGGGGTAGCTACATTCGAAGACCCAGACTTTGACTGGAACTTCCGCTCAATTGCGCAGGTAAGCAGGCCAATTCCATAGCAGAAGCGGAAATGGACTTTGTAGACAATTGAAACATTAAGTCTAATGAATATTAACTATAAACCGCTAGGAACAACTCAACGGTCGCAAACTTCTGGCTAATAAGGGCCGGACCCTTGGAGGCTCCTCTGCCATTAACCTGGGAATGATTGTATACCCATCCAAGACTGGATTGAATGCGTGGGAAGCCTTGGGAAACCCCGGCTGGGGCTGGGATGGTCTATCTCCGTATGTTCGCAAATCAGAAACTGCCGCTCCACCCTCAAATGCGAATCGTGAGTTCTTTCAGGGAATGAAGCATGATGAGCAGAATCACGGTAGCAGTGGACCTGTCCAAGTCTCCTTTGGTGACCAATATATGCCGTTTCATTCTGCGTGGATGCAGACTTTCGAGAAACTGGGCTACCCACAGATCGAAGACCCCGTAAATGGTGCTGGTGTTGGGCCCTTTGTGACTCCCGGTGCCATTGATCCAACCACGCATACCAGAAGTCACTCTGCAGCCGCGTACTTGGGTCCACAAGTTCAAGCCAGGCCGAATCTGAGAGTCGTCACCGGTGCACTGGTGCAAAACATAGTCCTTGAGGCTGGAAATGCTGGCGTCGTTGCAACTGGTGTCAAAATTCAAAAAGACTCGACATCATACACCATTAAAGCTAATAAGGAACTTATCCTTGCTGCTGGAACAACCCAGACCCCTCAGATATTGGAATTATCAGGAATTGGAGACGAAAAGATACTAAAGTCCCACGGAATCGAGACAATTATCAACAATCCCAGCGTCGGGGAGAATTTACAAGACCACGGAATTATTTCATTCTCATATGAAGTGGCAGACGGCATGCCTTCAGGTGATATGGCGAAAGACCCCAATGTTGCTGCCGCCGCAATGGCCGCCTATCAGAAAGATGGCTCAGGGCCTCTAGGCATGTCTCCGTTCGTTTCAGCATTCATGCCATGCTTGGAATTGGCCGAAGAAGAGCACACCCAGCTTCTTGCGGGGTTGAAGGCCTCCATTGAAAATCCAGCCACCCCCCGCGCACAAAAGAAGCAATTCGATGCGATTCAGAGCTTGATCAAGGACTCATCTGAGCCTACTGCTCAATATATTTTAGCGCCTTTCCAACTTCCTGCGATTGAAGGTGATGATATTAAGCGTCTATTCTCCATGCCACACCCAGGACTCTTCATCAGTCTTGTTTCTCTGCTCAGTTATCCTCTCTCCCGTGGCTCTGTTCATATCGGTTCTTCTGACCCACAAGATGCACCTATCATTGATCATGGGATTCTTAGTCACCCCGTTGACCTGGAAATGCATGCCCGTCATAGTATGTGGATGGAAAAGATCACTAAGGCTGAACCAATGGCTTCGCTTCTTAAGGAAGGCGGCCGGCGCTTACACACTGCGGAGCCTGTTGATGAGCTGGAAAAAGCGAAGGAGCTGTGCAAAAACCTTGTTCTGTCTATGTATCACGTTAGCGGAACTTGCACCATGATGCCCCAGGAAGATGGTGGTGTGGTGGATTCTCAACTCAAGGTTTACGGTACCACAAACGTTAGGGTTGTGGATGCCAGTATATTCCCCCTAGAGCCCAGAGGAAATATCCAAGCGACTGTGTTCGCTGTTGCCGAGAAGGCTGCGGATATTATTAAGCAACATGTAAATTAACAAAAGACTTTGAGAGCTGCTAACCACTGTTTCTAATATCAAACTTGTACCCCTGGGTGCTTTATATTTGAGGAATCTTCTTTGCTTGAAAGAATTCGATAGCCATCTACTAAGATTATAGTCATTCAATAAATTGTAAAGGCCAGCCATGAGGGCTGGGCTTGGAAATCAAAAACATAGCACGGAGCTTTCATGTGCTGGGGAATCATAGACTGAGAATTAGAATACAAGTAGAGAAATCATCGGTAGGCGTTAAATGGCCTATATCATCTAGATGTATGCCAGGCACAACCGGGCATCACCAAAATTGGGAAAGAAGAAAATATAGATCAAACCCTTGCAGCACGAGTCGTCTTATCATAGAAGTCCAACGTCATAGCCGCGAGAAAGCAAGGGATATCTTTTCTTTCTTGCACCCAGAATTTCAACATAGGTTTGATCTCCATAGCGAAGAGACTGTTGTTTCCTCCCGACAGCTTCATCGATCCATTCTCACCATCAAATAAGATGGAATTCTCTTCGCCATTACCCATACTACCTGGGCCCCGGGATTCGGACGAGGCATTAGCGTCACCATGTCGATATTCAGCAGACAGGTGAAACATGGATGTGACACGTACTCGGCCATTAGGAAGGATGTCGAGTTTGTAGCCAAGTAAAGAGGCAACTGCCTCCCTAAATTCAGTTGCTTTGGCAGAGTAGATTTCTCTTAAACGACGGACAAGCTTCTCCTTATCGGCGATGACACGCTCTCTTTCTTGGATTTCAAGTTTGAGACTTTCGAGTGTGCTAACAGGAACAACCTTCAATCCGGTATCACCTCCTAATTGAGCGTGTAGGTCCCGGTTCTCCGACTGGAGGGTCCTCAGAGTTGACATCTTGATTTTTTCCGCTTCGGCGGTGGGATTCTCTCGTAGTTCCAGGACTCGAGTTCGCGATTTGGCTTTGAGTGATTTAAGTTGGGATTTGGCAGCATCCAACTCTTTCTTAGCAAGGGCTGTGGCCTGTTCCGATTTGGAAAGGGCCTCTTGCAGTTTGCGATTCTTCCGCGTAAGAACTGCAAGTCGCTCACTCTCGGCCTCACTATCGGCCGGCGACAAGGGCCGCTTCGTTCCCCGTAGCTGGGCCTCCTCTTGGGGAGGTGCTTCTCGCTTGGACAATTCTTCGTGAACTTTGTGAAGCTCCTTGCGGTACTCGTCGACAAGCTGTTGTAATTGAGAAATCTGTGCGGCTTTCTGCTCATCAAACTGGCTTTGTTCGGCATTCATCGTGGTCTCTTCCTCGTCAAATGTCTTAAGCTGAGCACGAAGGTATTCAACCTCCTTGACTGCCAAAGCACGTTGTCTTTCCAGTCGAGCTCGAGCTCGAGCATCTGCACCTGCCGGGGCTGCTGTTGATGTGCTTCCTGCCGCGCGTGCAGCTTCCAATTCTTGTCGAAGTTTGGTCTTCTCGTCCTCCAAGGTTTTGATTGCTTCGTCTTTCTCCAAATGTTGCGCATTCGTAGTGCCAAGACGATCAAGAAAGGTCGCTTTTTCGATTCGCTCCGCAACGAGAGCTTTTACAACAGCCTCAGGTGAGTCAAATTCTGCAGGTTGATCATTTTCCTCCAGGAGGCTAGCCCATGATTGACGCTCATCTTCCAAAACTTGCTTTTGAATCTGAAGCGTGTCAATTTCTGTTTCCAAGCCTTTCATAAACTGCAGCTGATTCTCGAGGGATCTCTTCTGCTCCTCGACCACTTGCACGTTCTTCTGGACTTTGCGCAAATGTTGTAACTCAGCCCTTTGGTCTCGATTTGTTGATTCGAGTTCACGAAGGTGAGTGACTTGTTCAGTAAGCTCCCTCTTGAGCACCACAAGGGCCTCTCCGTCGCTTCCTTCTGCCTTCAGGCGTATATTCTCGGATTCAAGGTTTGCCACTTCCGCCTCTCGCTGCGTTAATCGTTCTTGAGTTGCTTGCTGGGAGGCATGAGCCTCATGAAAATCATTTTGCAGTTCCTCGATTGTTTTCTGCAGAGAAGCACGGACTGTTTCCAATTCGCTGATCTGGTATTTGAATTGTCGCTCCTGGTCCGAGGTCTGGGCTTGGGTTTCGGTGAGCTCTTCTTGGGTCATTTGCTTTTCGTCTTGAAGGTTTCTGATCTTTCGCTCCAGGGCCGCCTTATCAGTCAAAGCTTGCTCCTGTGTATCTTTCAATTCCTTCGTCATAGTCTCGACTTTATGGGCGGCACGATTGCTGGCAGATTCTGCAGCCTGTAAATATAATTTTCAGTTAGACAAATCAGATAACACAAAATAAGACCTTGGCCTCGAATCTGATCAGATGCCTACCTGTGCCTTCTTGAAATCACCATCTGCTTTCAACTGCAGATCCCGCGACTCCTTCTCAAAGCGGAGAGTCTGCAAGTCTCGTTCCTGTCTAATGTTTTCCAACTCATATCGGAGGGTGCTAACTTGCACGCGCAATTCGTCCTTTTCCACATCTGCATATACGAGTTGGTTTTCTTTGTTTGTCGTTCCCGGGGAGGCATATCTTACCATGTGATGGTTGCGAAGGCGGGGGCGGGTGTACGGAGCGAATCGAATGTTGCAGCACACTTCGTCGTGAGCCCGCTGGACCGGTTGGGGTGGAAGGTGAACCAAAGCCAGCAATTAGCTGTGATGGGGGGCGCGTGTTCTCGTCGGACTCCATGTTTGCCCTAGAAGAGAAACAGTTAGTTATGACCCCAAAGTTCCAATGTTAACTTTAAAAGAACAACATACCTGGTTCTCCGGTGCAGAGAATTAAGCGCACCTCACAGCCCAATTCAATTCAAAAACACTCCGTAACAAGAGCTTCTGAGTCTTGCCGTTCAAATGTCAAGATGGGGTTCAAAGTGAGTCGCGCGCAGGACAACTGTTTGGGTCTTAGTCAGCCGCCCAGAGCTACCGGATGGGGTTTAGCGTCAAAATTTTAAAGAAATTATTTCGAGTTGAATTTCTTCCTGGCACACACCAACCAAAACTTCTCCACCAAACCAACCTCACGACTTTCTCATAAAATCGACACAATGGGCAAGGACAAGGTCGAAAAGAAGGAGAAGCGCGCTGAGAAGAAGGAAAAGCGCTCCGAGAAGGACGGTGTGGCCAAGCCCAAGAAGGAAAAGAAGGATAAGAAGGACAAGACCGTTCTCGCCGATGCTGTTGAGAAGGAGATCGCCGCTCAGAATTCTGCCAACGATGATGTTGAGGCTGATGTTGACGTCGAGATGGCTATTGACCGCCCCGTCGGTGCTCTCGTGCCTTTCGCCAACCCATTGGTTGAGGACAAGCAGGCCAAGAAGGTGCTCAAGAGTGTGAAGAAGGGTAAGTCATATCGCAATACCTAATGCTGCCCCTCATTCTTTTTCATCCTATTCTCTCTTCTTATGCGGTGCTACTGAGATGTCCACTGCCTTGTGCATGATAAGCTGTTCATTGCTGCGTCGGAATGAAAATTGTGCTCAGCATGCCATGTGCCGATTTTCCATCCCCCCTCCATCACATACACCAAATTCGAATCATTTGTCGCTAACATACTTCCTTCTCATTTAGCTGCCGTTAACAAGTCGCTCAAGCGCGGTGTCAAGGAAGTCGTCAAGGCCCTCCGCAAGTCCCCCATTCCCGCTGCCAACGCTACCATCGAGGTTCCCAGCGGTGTTGTCATTCTCGCTGCCGACATCTCCCCCATGGACGTCATCTCCCACATCCCCGTTCTGTGCGAAGACCATGGCATTCCCTACGTCTTCGTTACCTCTCGCGCCGAGCTCGGTGCCTCTGCAGCCACCAAGCGCCCAACCAGTGTCGTCATGGTGACCCCCAAGGCTGGCAAGAAGGGCAAGAAGGACCTTGAGGCCGAGACCGATGGCGAGGACTTCACCAAGACCTTCGAGGAGCTTGCCAAGCTCGCCGAAAAGGAGAACAAGAAGGTTTCCGCTTAAGCGCGTTCCTTAAAATCTTTTCCTAGTATTTTTCCACTAGTCTCGCTTGCAGGTGGAGTTCTCTTATTGTACAGGTTTATGTTATTATCTGATAGGACCGTGCATGTCTTTGGGGGTCCGGCCTTTGGGTTTATTTTGTTTCTATCTTTTGCTCTACTGCAGCTCGGCGTTTTCTTCAACGGTGTATGAAAAAGGCAGGAAAAGAATTTCAATGGAAATCACCCCATGCATAGATATCCAACCACTTTTTTCTCTTTACAGTTCATTTAAATATAGGACTTAAATGGGCCGTAGATGCAGCTCCTAAGATGGATCCCCATGTGTTCCGGCAGTTATACTCGTGCGCCGGTTTTCCAAATTTGAAAATCCAAGTGAATAAAGCAATCCCAAACATCTATTCCCAATTTCAAATATATGGCACATGCCGCATTCATCGAGGATCAATAGAAAAACCCCGTGGGTCTGTATACAATTGATATCAGGGGGCCAAGAACCAACCTGGGAACTGTTCCGAGCGCGGGAAGAGAAAGCCTTGAACGCAAAGAACGACGCCAAACAGTATTTACACTAACAAACCAAATCCAAGTCCAATTCGAATTATAAATTCAAAATAAACATCTATGATGTGTAATAAATAAATAAAATTTTGAAAAAAACCAGGACAATATTTGAAGCTAAAGATGCATGAAATTTGTGAAGCATCAAGTCAATGGATCCCATGCTACTTACTAGCGTAGAGCCTCGACAGCCAACCTTGCATGAGACCCGAACTATCAACCATTGGCGTTTATCATTCCAACCCAATCAATCTGATCAATCCCTTCACCTCCTCAAACGCTTAATATTCCTTGGAAAATCGCAACAAGGGGCTCAATACCTGTGCTCCAGAATTCAAATGTGGCCAACCATCGACCATCTTATCAAGGAACACCGTCTGTTCCAGGGCCTCGGATTCGCTCATCGCCCTTACTAGAGGGTCCTTGTCGGTATCGTGCGCGGCACCTATGTTCCCAAGTGCCCTTGTGGGTCATTTTATGATTACATTCACCCTTTGCCCTGCTTTAGTGGGATCTTTAAGCAATGATACAGTACTATTAAAGGGAACTAGGACCTTTGGCAAACAGATTTCCCTTCGTCTGTCTACACATTAAGATATGTTATGCATTTAAACTACACACTAGTTTAGTTTTTCTTTATTGTGACCATTGGAAAACATCTTTCTTGTCCAACCCATACAATGCTCTCGTTTCGACCACTGTCCATATTCTTCATCGCGTTAATTCTGGCTTTTGTGCATAAAGCCACAGCTCATCCCATCCGAACATCGAAATGGATCAAAGCCTCCGAATTCAAAGATCATAAGGCGCGGGGCATCTGGAAGGTCTTTGAAAAAAGCAATGAACAAGCTTTGCCTCAATTCCCTGGGGCAAGGCCCACTCAGGTTAGTTATGGCACTAATTCTTTATCTAAAATTGTGGGCTGACAGAGTGGTTTATCAACATCTATAGATCAACCCCCAATCAAAGATCACTCGACAGGAATTAATCCATGAACATAAACCATCGGGTCGTCATTATAAACGTACTATTACCCCAGAAAAATCAATCGTCTCTGTCCTGGTACCCGAACCATCTACTCCGGTGCGCCTACGTCGACACTCGAATGCTCACCCTGAAAAGGACAGCCATAAATCTTCACAGGCCGGCGTCAATAAACCAAAACAATATGGTCAATTTTTGACTCGCCACAAAGCAGGTGGGAGCGTGTTGAAAGTGGAAGAGAATGAATATTCTTCTTCCGTTTCCTTGCAACCCTCTTCCGAACGTCGGATATATCTCTTGTCTTCAACCCGATTTTCAGTCCCTTTCTTGAATTTTGCTCATTTGTCATTTCCCCGATTTCCACTTCCGGGTGTTTTCACGATGGTCATGATGCTTTTGATATTTGTTTGGATTGCAATCTTAACAGTTGGCCTGGTTGAAGTGGGCGATTATCTATGGAATCGGCGGGGAGCTGCACAGTTGGAAATTGAAAGTGATAATAATTGCTTGGAGAATCATGATGAGGATTCGGGAAATAGACCTACGGAATTGGTGAAAGAACCTTTTCAGATTGTTGTCGTTCCTCGAGTTCCTAAGCATGAGCCCGATGCCATCCCAAACGAGGCTATCTCTACATAACTACAAGTGTATTTTATATCTTGGAAAGCGGGTCACAGTGATAGCTTTTGAAATTTCATAAGGAAACTAATGTACATAATGCTGAAAAATTCATCGTAATCCATCATTACTAAAGGCTCAGGCCAAACAAAGTTGAAAACGAAAAACGCTTGCTTGATCGAATATTCAAATCACGCTAGTGCGTCATACGGTAATGAATTAAGCGCGCTGGTCAGTCTGTAAAACATCGTAGGGAGTATTGGTGTTAAGAGTCTTCTGGTCAGGACGGCCAGCATCAGGTCCGCTCTCAGCGTTGGTTCGCTGGAATTTGTTGATAGCAGCACGACCAGGGTCCTGGTCAGAGCCAATCTCAGCCTCGAAGCTAGCATTCTTAGCGTCGTTGGAAGAGAAACCACCCTCACGGATATTCCGGCCATCAGGCTTAATTTGCTGGTAACCGTCGGTGACATCGGCGACGTAAGAAGGAGCTTGTCCAGCGTTGTACCGGCTGCTACCGCTGGCAGGGGCTTGGCTACCGGTGTTGATACCCATCTCCTTCTTGGTAGCGGTAGGGCCACCGGCGTAACCACTAATGTGAGTGCCTGGAAAGTTACCCTGGCCTCCAAGAGCCTCGGGATACTTCTGCTGGGCATCGCGGTCTTCGCGGAGACCACCGACCGGGGCAGAAGGGAGGGTTTCAGAGGCAGATCCGGGGTTCTTTAGCTGAGATGAGTAGCCCTGGGGTTGAGCACCGCGGTTCTCACTGAAAGCGCCGCCTCCGCGCACGGACTCGGCAGCGAGAGAGTCATTGGGGACAGGGCCTGAGGGCTCCTCAATGGGTTGTTGAAAGGCACGAGGGTCGGTGGTGACCTTGGTGCTGCGGGGACCGGAAGGGATGGGGTTGCCTTGAAGATCCATAGTGTTTGTATGTGGAATTGTTCGAAAGGAAAGATATTGATAGAAGGATTCGGCTTCTTTCTCTGGTGAGATTTTATTGAGAGATCGGGTTACTTAGAAAATGATTGTTGCAAGGTGAAATAGCTTCCAGCTATATATAATTTCGCCGAAGCATTGAAACAAAGACGGTACCGTACATGCTGCCTATGAGTGATGTCACACTTACGATAGCTTCCATCGCAGGAGAGCATACATTGTACAATATCCTGTAAGTCCAGTTCAATATTGATTAGTCACGTCAACCAGTTCTGTATGATCGAGATAGCGGTGGCGGACTGGGGCATTCGAGACATGGACGGTGGGTCGCTACATGTTCATCCATCCCAATTGGGATCCTTTCTGGAATTTCAGACTTGTTAGAGCGTTTATCAACCCACATGCTTATTTCATCATGGATTCATGATTTGTCGGGATCTCCAGTGGTTTCTTTGCGATGTAAACCGGGCAGAAATGATATCAGGTTGGAGATTTGACGTCAACCCAAACTGTGGCCGTACAAACGTTGCAAACACGACCTGCCATTTTGGGCACTTCCGAACTATGTTACTTCGCCGAGATTTCAGGTTGACAGATACGTACATCATTGATAGGTGTTTCATCTATGGGTATTCTCAAGGATTCTAGAACATTACGAATTCATCTCAGGTTTTTGCGAATTTCAAATTTAGTAGATATTCTCTATCATGGCCCAATGGGTATACATCGAGAGTTCACGGATAGTAGACTTCAAATTGAACCAGGAAAAAAAAAGTGGTAGGTACCAAGGGTCTGAAATCTAAAATCTAAAATCTAGCCGGAAATTTCGAATAGTGAATTTTACAGATTCTTTTACATATTATGAAGGGATTATTTGTTTTTAGAAGATGCTGTCGCTATGAAATTCATTCATCTAGTCCATGACTCCGTAACAACACTGAAATAGCTATCATACATTATGGATATCGTAGTCCGTGCAAGAATTAGTTGCGAGAAGTCGCATCCTTGGGAAGGCCTTCCAGACCCTCAACTGCCTGACGACCAGCGTTGCCAGGCCCGGTGTTCTTGTGTAGTTGGTTGCCGTCCACACGGACGCTGCTATCGGCAGTAGTGGTGCCCTCGAGGCCGCTGTTGGGGTCATAAGAGATGGGACCCGAAATACCACCGGAGCCAACGTTCACGGTGCGCTGATCGGCGGAGTTCCAGTCACTCTTGACAGGAGGGTCCTCGGGCAAAGGCAGGTTGGACTTGGCCTTGTCAATTTGCGCAGACTTGTCGGTGTTCTGGTCGATAACGGACTTAAATATTTGTTAGTAAAGGTTCCAATTTCCATGGAGACTTAAGTAATTCTCACCTTCATCTGCGAGACATCGGAATCGGAGGGGACAACACCGCCGTGCTTCTGGGCGACCTTAGATTCCTCCTTGCGGAGATCCTGGCGGGTGGTGTGGAAGGTAGCGTCGGACATTTTGTGTTCGAGTGGAAAAAGATAAAGAAGTCGTATTAATGTTCGTATAGACAGTGGAAGACGTTTTGTTGTAGAATATAGAGTTGTCTTAACAAAAATGGTTGATAGATATATAATTTTGTATGTAGACCTAGGTCGATTCTTATAGGCGGAAAGTGTAGTTGTGACGTTTGTATGAAATGACGACATGATGGAGCCCTTGCCATGGATACATAAAATCTCCACTGAAACAAGCATGGCACAGCTTAACACTACGGTATTTGATTCCGTTCTGACACATTCTTGGAGCTTTTACAGGGGTATATTCTTGTCGCTGTAGCTTGACTGCAAGTTTAACCTTTGGGAACTAGCGTCATGACATTGAGTGGCGAGACTTTGAGCGGATCCTATCTCGCTCACAACAGGAAATTGTGACTTCCTACTGTACTAGAATACTGACAAAATGGTCCAAATATGTCATGGACCCTTAATTATCGTCATAGTCTCCGCTTAATGGCATGCAACCAGATTGCAGTGAATATCGTGGCTTTTGCATGAAGTCAAGCTCCATGTCAAACCTCGATCGAGCCGCATGGATCACCTCGATTCAGTATGTATGAAGAAAATCTCTGATAATGGCTTGCTATTTTCTTCCTCTGTTTTCTCTGAAGTTTGAAATTCTTTCAATCTTTTTTAGACAATGCACATTACGTCGTTTGGCTGTTTCAAGGTGGTCTAGTCATGTAGACAAGGGCTGCATTGACTTTTATGAATGACTATGCATAATGATAGATATGAACAATAGAAAACAGGTTCTCATGTGATGTTTCCAAAGTGACGAACTAGACATCGCAAATTCTGGCTTCCAAGGTTACATAATTTAAGTTATTTAACAGTATTTGACCTCAAGTAGTCCATTGACCAGTTGACGAAGACGCAAATTTCGCGATATAGTGTTACCGCCTTCCGTGGTAAGATGGCAGAAAATGTTGCTTATCGGAGAATCGAGATGCAAGACAAGTCGAGCGACCATACGATCGCATTCGAGACTTGTTCCTTCGTTAGGCCGTTGCGATTGAGATTCCGCCAAAATGCCTCGAGATCCATTGATCGGATTAGTGGGCAAGGTCCGCAAATCAAGTCCCTCCCCATCGTGAGACCCCGCTAACCATGTGAGGGGCAGCCATCAAGTGGAAAATCCACAACCTTGAACAGTTTGACTGATGCGACATCCAAAGTCGGTATGTTTTCATGAACCGATGTCCAAAAGAACACGACTGACACGCTTTTTATTAACTAGGCAATTTCCCGTACGTTCACTAAACGCGATGAATCACATCCGCCTTATCGATGCGCTAACGGTTTACCCCCGCCAGTTTCACAACGATTGACCCCCAGCGCGCTATCGGATATCTACAAATCGAATGCCCCTGCCAGAGACATGGCGTTTCAGACAAATGCGCACCGAATTACGGTGGTTGTCATGAAGGACGCCGCTCTGTTCCCATCGAGTTGCTGGACGTAGCTGGACTTGTCCCAGGCGCACACCAGGGTCGAGGACTAGGAAACAAATTCTTGGATGATTTGCGACATGCGGATGCTTTAATTCACGTGGTCGACGTGAGTGGTACCACCGATGCAGAGGGCAAAGCTACACGCGGGTACGACCCTTCAGTGGATATCGAATGGCTACGATCCGAGATCGTGAGATGGGTGCTGGGCAACTTGATGGAGAAATGGTGAGCTTTGAACCAGGCGGGAGGATAAGACGATGGCAATACTAATTGATGAAATATAGGGGTTCGATTAAGCGACGACATATCGCAACAAGTTCGTGAAGCATCGTCTCTTGTGGAAGGACCAAAGAAAATGAATTGCTAACACCTTAGGCAGAGGGAAACCCCGTCGACACATTACAAGGCCAGTTCTCAGGTTACGGAAGTACCCCGAAAACTGTCGGTCGAGTCCTTGATACGCTTAACATGAAGGAGCCTTTGGAACTTTGGTCAGACGAAACTGTCAAGCTCGTGGTTGAGACTTTCATCGATGAGAAGTTCCCTACGGTCTTTGCGTTGAACAAGATTGACCACCCAGATGCCGATAAGGTATGTCAAGACAAGGAATGAATATGACTCAATATCTATACTGACTCAGACTAGAATGTCAGCAAGATCGCGAAAATGCAAGATCCACAGAGCATTGTGCTTTGTTCAGCGATATCAGAAGTCTTCCTACGGCGACTAGCTAAACAAGGGTACATCAAGTATGTTGAAGGTAGTGAGTTTGTAGATACCCGGGAGGATTTGATTGAGATGGGCGAGGAAGATGGAGGAGGTCTGAAAGAAATGGACGAAAAGTTGAAGACGTGAGTCAAACCATTGAAACCATGCCTTGAGCTCTGACTAACCACTTCCTATTAAGTCGAGTGGAAAACTTAAAAGACATGGTGTTATATCGATTTGGATCAACTGGTGTGGTTCAATGTCTTTCGCGAGCTGCAGAACTGCTGGGTCTGGTACCCATTTTCCCAGTGCGCAATGTCGCAACTTTCAACTCTGGAGCTGGAACAGCAGTTTTCCGTGATTGCGTTCTGGTCAACAAGTAAGCGTCCCTGATATAATATAACTGAAACCGCTAACAATTCACAGGAATAGTACAGTTGGAGACGTGGCCCGGAAAGTCATGGGCGATGTGCCGATTTCCTATATTGAAGGAGTTGGAGGCACTCGAGTAGCGGAGGAGGATATTGTTGCAGTGGGTAAACACGATGTAAGTTGATTTACAGCTCCACTACGCGATCATGATCCCGGACTAATAATATGCCAATTCAGATCTTATCATTCAAAGTGGGCCGATAAAACTAGCCACTTCCATGTACTGTCTCGTGGAGTAAAATTAGTAATGATAACGCCCTGCGACGACGCAATATCGAAGACTCCTTTCCAAACAAGTAGAATCCAACGCCACATTCCAGTTTATCAAACCCAACATTGGGCTAGCCAGATCGATATATCAATGTCCCTTCTGCAAGATAAGAGGTGGTCAATATCTGGAGCGTGAAGCGAATTGACTGGAGTCGATCATAGGTTCTTAATCATAGGTTCTTACCTGAGCTCGTTCATCATTCATTCCAATAATAGGCTCTGGAGCTGCTGGATGTTCCTGTTTCGCTTTTCTACCCTGCGCAACTCCACCTCTCTGTGTTGTTCCCTGCGACTTGGTTCTGTCTGCGATCCCTTCGTTGGTTTCTCTTTCCTTCATGCCAGCAGCCGCTGCATCAGCAGTAGGATCATGTGTATCTCCACTCTGGGATCGCTGGGTAGTATGGTCATCTGTCGAGGCTCCCTTCCACTTTTTCGTGATAGATTCATGTCGGACGCCACCCAAAACATACATAGCTGGCCGAGCTATCGGTTGCCTTGGTAGAATACCAGGCCGTTGGTGAGCAAGTATATTGCCTAGCTTCGTATTTGATAGTGGGGATTTCGTGAACATGGTGAATTTGCATGACAAGGGTACAAAGGAATATCTGGAATATTTTTGCCGCAATCCATGTTTTTATAGCATTAGTAACGGAGAACTTTGTATGGGGTAAACTCTATGACGTTATCATGATTCAGAACGGAGACCGGCTAAAGCTTCAACAAGTCGCGTGTAGGCTGCAGCTTTAGTGACAAGATGAAACGCATACCTTTCAGCCATATGCCTTTCAAGCATGCACGCATTGTACTATGTTACTCTCTGCATGAGTTTCTCATTATAAGCTGTTATTCAATCTATTAAAATCTTTCATCCATACCGGATTACTAAGCGCACGCACTTGAGTTCCCGCTGTTGGTTGAGGCTCGGAAGCGGACCATTTCGTGAGCTTCACGTTCAACTCAGAGAGGCAGTGGAAAATTGTGAAGCCGAGATCATTAATGGGGCAGGGAATAATACAATTCAGTAATACTGTTCAATTATATTCATTCTTATTGGGAATAATATTTGACCCCGCCCCCTCCTACCCAAGATTATCCATCGCTCCAACACCATGAAGCGCGAATATCTCCCTTTGGACTCATTGCCGGCGTGGCTGAAACTGAATGGCATTGTTACAAAAGATGTCGCTGTTCAGAAAGTAGGCTCTGATGAGTCGGACATCGATAAAGGCAATGCCATAGTCGCAACTGCGACCAGGTCAAATGATTGTCCTGTTGCCCCTCCACAAGTCCTCTTACAAATTCCTCGAGACTTGGTTTTGTCTCTTGAAACAGTTCAGGACTATTCCAAGTCTGATGCTGACCTCCGTGAGGTACTGCAGGCAGCGGGTGAATTTGGCAGGGTATGAATCCATATAATCCCAGCTTCAAATGGACAAATAAAACAGACTAACGAATGATAGACGATGAGAGGCTCGGTTTTGATATTTCTTCTTGTTCAAATTACGCACAACAATTTGCAAGGATCTCGAAAGATAGGGGTATCGAGCCCATGGTCAGAGTATATCAAGTTCCTACCGCCAACTTTCTCCCTTCCAACCTTATGGTCGGAAGAGGAGCAAGAGTTGTTAAGGGGAACTTCTCTTGGGACTGCTGTAGAAGCGAAAATGAACTCTCTTCAGAAAGAGTTTGATTTCCTTCGTCAGGCTACAGAGAATATATCCTGGTGTCAAGAGCGTTGGTGGAATGAGAGCTCAGGAGACTTGAGTTTCGAGGACTGGGTGTATGTCGACGCCGCTTATCGTTCCCGCATGTTAGATTTGCCTGGGAGTGGACATTCAATGGTGCCATGCATCGATATGGTCAATCATGTGGCAGGGTCAGCTACAAAAGCTCTATACGACGCAGACTCAGAAGGCAATGCAATTCTTCAGTTGCATCGGGACAAGACTCTCGAGGCGGGAGAGGAGGTTACTATATCGTAGGTCATCACTTTCGTTCATAGACGCCGAGTCGGCTCGAAGAAAATACTAACAGTATATGCTTTAGATATGGCGACCGAAAGTCAGCGTCGGAGATGATATTCTCCTATGGATTCCTGGACGATGATATGTTCGGTACGTCTCAGGTCATGCTGGATATTGAATTCCCAGAGGATGATCCTCTTGGCGTTGCAAAGAAAATCATTTGCAAAGATACCCCTGGGATTCGATTATCCGCATCTCAAGATCCATATAAACCCAGCCTAGTATCTTCTACTGGTTTCGGGGACATCACTTGGGATAGCCCACTTATGTGGTGGTCGAGCGTGAACGAAGAAGATGGGCTTGAGATTGGAGTTGCACAAACCAACGACGGAAGCCGAGAATTGGAAGCGAAGTGGAGAGGCGAGAAAGTCCAGTCACCTGCCCAACTTGCGGAAATCCTTGCCTCTGATCCCTTGGTAGAAGTTTTCCAACTTCGTGCTGTTGTTTTGGTACTTGAACGCTTAGAAACACAGTTGTCACTCCTTCATCAGGCAGACCAAATCTTGGAGAACTTCCGGGAGAGACCAGAACTTCTTATTAGGGCGTTCAGACCTGAGATTTTCTTTTTGGTTTGTCGATTACGAAAACTTGAGGCTGATTTGCTGCAAAGAGCTGTTGAGGATCTTTTGCAACAGGTGAGTAACTTTTTGACCGGGATTACACATTGAAAACCGCGAGGCTCCACTATAATGATCTGCGCTAATAGTCACCTTTAGAAAATCGAACTAATGAAGTCGGAAACTGTTGCAACCTTTCTCACTAGTCAGTCCCAATCGGAGGAGGCGGAGGACTTTTCATGATCTAGCTATGACTTAGATTGCTATCATCTAGTAAAAGAAAACTGACATTGCTCAAAGATGTAATTCTCCTCACAATACAGTAATCACGCAAACAAATAGACCCTGTAGGATGTTCCCTACTCTGGTATTTGCCTCTGAGCGGCACATACTCACTACGACGACGGGAACAACTGATATGTTTGAAACATGACATGTCGATGTCTGCTGCTTCGAAGACAGATCTTGAACTAGACCATGCGAGAAGACAATCAAGCAAGATGCGCAATCCAGAAAAGTCAGTCCGGGCCCATGACGTTGCTCACTCATTGATCTACTCGTTCTTAACTTCGAGTGGCTGGGATAGTGATCTACAAACTTGGGATCGACCAATTTCAATATTTCAGAAAACCATCAATTCGCCATGACCCCTTTTCTCCTGCTTGCGGACATGCTTCGTTACGAAGGAAGGTTTGATATATATCTGGGTTGTCAGTTTGAAGAGAACAGACCTTCAATTGGAGCGTTCACTGATCCTTGGTTCTCGTGTATAGATCTAGAGCCCGGCATTGTGTGTCGGCATAGTTAGTTATTCGACGGATTTAGTAATGCAGCTAGAGAATATGAATTGATTATGAGCAAGACCCACCCTTTCTGATGGGTTCATTAAACTCGTTTTACGGGGTTCCGAAGCCCCAAGAATGATCGGCTGCAACGTGGGTCAAGTGGGTCGCACAGTCCCACGGTTAACACGCTTTTCTCGCGATTTGCTCGGTCAAAACTCGCAAATGCCTAGCTCCTCCACGATAATCATGCCGTACCTTGGGAGAATCTGGAGGAAGACCTGACCATTGGACACTTTTTGGATCGTGGCGGTACCGGTACATAATCGGGTACTAATTATTGGTTATTGTTTAATTTTGAGGCAAGTACATCAAGAAAAACCTCGGTATCTCCGCGGCAGATCCCCCCTCCCCTTCCACGCGTGCCTAACAAGGTCACAGCAGCTTACGCTGAGCGACTGTAAACTTTGTTCTAGGCGTGGGGCTAGTCGCCGAATTTCGGAAGTGGAGTTGATAGTCTATTGGCGTGTGCAGACACATACGAAACGGTTCCGACTGCTTTGAGATGCGGAGGTCCGCCCACCGGATCACCAGTTGTCCCCTTTTTGAAACTTTAGAAGCAAGAACCAATGAGCCGAATAAGGATCGACCGATCGTGGAGTGTTGGTGTCATAAAGACGTACTTGCTACTTCGGCACCCAACCCCATAGTTACAGATGATGCGGTTCCGGGGAACTGTGGAGTCCGGGGACTCTCAGCGGCCGCAATAACCTACCGAATTCATGAAAAACCCAAGATGATGAGTTAGTTTTCATAGAAAGGTAGAAAACTATGTACCTCTGATAGCATGTATTTTATTTGGAAGTATACACCCCATAGAGATTATGCGAGTAGGTGACATGATCTGCATATGCCTCGCATCTGGCCTCAAGTATTGTATTCGGGAAGTACAGGACCCTTGAAACCGACCTGCAGCGAAAATACGAGAAGGGGCGATTTTAACCTTTTTCTGCTCCAATACACTGGATTTTTCAATTTAATACATACAAACCGCCGTACACTGAACTTTGGAATTATCACGGTGTAATTGGTTCAAATCGATGGTCAGCGTCTCCGGTGGGCCCCACTGTAGATGACTCAGCATTATCGTCTTCCCCCTCCCCCAAATTATCTCCCCCAAGTTATCCCGGCGATCATCTTTCTCTTGTGAACCTCTCGAAAAAGGCCTCACACATCTAATTTGAAAAGCACGAGACCACACCTTTGCGACTCTTTTCCCAATATAGACCCTGGAGTTTCCCTACAAATAACCGACAAAGCTGGTTTATCCGCTGCCGTCGATACCAAGATGCCTGGCATTCTGCCTATGAAAGTGATTAAGGTCGGTGGGACTGGCGTACAAAGTCGGATCGCCCAGGCCTGCGACCGATGCCGAAGCAAGAAAATCCGCTGCGACGGCGTTCGACCATGTTGTTCACAATGCGCCAACGTTGGGTTTGAATGTAAAACTAGCGACAAACTGAGTCGGCGCGCATTTCCTCGGGGGTATACGGAGTCCCTGGAGGAGCGAGTACGAGCCTTGGAATCAGAGGTCAGAGACTTGAAGGACCTATTAGACGAGAAGGATGAGAAAATCGATGTCTTGTCCCGTATACACTCATTCTCGCCATCTTCGCAGCGCGCGGCGTCGATTCAACCGCCATCTACAACCAAATCTCCTGCGCCCGACTCAGAGGGTGTCATTCATGTGAAACGGCTGTCTAATAAATCTTCTTCTGTGAAATCTTCTGGGAAGTCTTCTGGGAACCCATATACCTCTCTATCCAGCACCAAGGGCTTTACTGGTACGTTTGCCATTTTACTGCAGCTAGAAGATAATCTAACAACTGATTAGGTGCTCTTACCGACACACTGATCAACCAGGGAAGATCAACAACAGATATACCCACAACAGAACTCACCAAGCTACCGGCTCCTGTTTCTCGTGGGATGCTCAACCAGCCTATGAAGACGCCACCCCGTCTGGTTTCTGATCAACTCATCAATATTTTCTTCCAAGAATGGGCATCTTTATACCCTGTCGTACATCGTCCGACCATATTGAAGGCATATGAATCATACCTCAATAGCTCCGACTCCTTGAAGACTGACGCCCACATGATGGCTCAATTGAATTTAATTTTTGGAATTGCCGCCCTCGCCTCGAATGTGAGTTTTGCATCCTCCAACTTTCTTCACACCGAATGATTCACTGACTATTTTGGTAGTCGAGAACTAATCAGGATCCCACTTTCTTTGAGGAGAACTGGACCAGTTTCTTGGACTCATTTTCCTGTGAAACGTCAGTGGAAAGTCTACAATGCTTCGTTCTTGCTCAGATATACTGCATGACCAAGGGTGACTACCGTAGTCTTCTTCGATATCGTGCTCTTTCTGTGGACATCTGCCATCAACTGGACCTTCATCAAACCCCGGACAGCCAGAGCAACCCATTGGAAGAAGAAACAAGCAAGAAGGTATTCTGGTGTCAGTATGTGATGGACCGTTTCGCGTCTGCCCTAACTGGAATGCCTGTTCTTCTACACGAGGCCGATATTCAGATCGACTATCCTGTTGATGTGGATGACGAGAATGTGACTGAGACGGGATTTTTGCCCACGCTTCCCGGCGAGTCTACTCGCATTTCAAGCGCTCTTGCACTCTTCAGAGCCTCCCGTATCTTGAATAAAGCCATGGAGGACCTTTACCCTTCAAAATTCGACTATGATATCTACGTGTCAAAGATGCGCATTGTCACAGAACAGTTAACAGAATGGCTGCATTCGTTGCCTCCTCATCTTCGTCTTGCATTTTCCCAAGACAAACCTAGCACGAATGTCACAAGCAGCCGATCACCTCTTCTAGTGAGTCATTCCATGCGCAGGACATTTTACTCCAAAAATACTAACACTCTTTCCACTAGTCTCTTGTATACTACTTCATCCGCTCCATGATTCACCGCCCTGCTGTTTGCTTTGCCGACGATAATTTGCGTTCTCAATCAATTTTAGCATTATCTGACTCTGCCAAACATATTCTTCAAATTCTCGAGCTGCTTGATGAGCGACGACTTTGTCTCTCCTTCAGTCTTAACCGCCAAGAATTGGTATTCTTATCTGGCCTGGGCCTACTGTGGCAGACTCTCGGTCTAAAACGTGACAGCAAATTGGCGAAGGAGAGTCAGAAGTTACTTGCTACTGTTACCGAGCAACTTCAATCGGAGTCAACTGCCGCAGCGGCCCAGTTTGGTCGCCTTTCTAGCCTCCTTCTTCCTTCTGACAGGCCATACCAGAAAACCAAGCACTCGCCAAATCAACCCAACGAGATGGCCGCTCCATCTCAAATGCCATCCAAATCTCCGAAGGGACCACTGCAGTCATTGAAGTCTCGCCTTGCATCCAGTATTGGCCGAGATCAAGCCTCAAAACAAGCATCACCCTCTCGCCGTAATACGATCTCTGGGTCTACGCCCCCATTTGCATCCCAAAACCTTCGTTCTCCAAGCTGGAGTAGCCTACCTCCCGCGCACGCAGATCATATGACGAGCTCACAGTACCCGACAGCCAGACATTCTTTGGATCTCTCATCAGACCCCCGAATGGTTCCCTCATCTATGACAGATGACTATCCTCGCGCTCTATCCTGCTCTAATCCCTCTGACGCAACCCACGGGGGTGCGATCACGATGGCCGACTGGGAGTACGTCCTCACAGACATGGATAGAGGCTTCTCGAATATTTTCACCGGTATATATGGCGGCAAAGAATGCGGCGAAGACCCCGGTCCGTTTGCATCGATCACAGCCGAGTATAACCAGAAGCCAGAAGATGGAAATCTTGCTATTCCGCCTGCATCCGACTTGCACGATTTTTCTCCTGAGTCATGGTCTGCTAGCAGTGGCGACTTTGCTCACAAGCCGGAGCATACTGCACAAAGCGTACTGAGTTATTCCGGTGAAAGCATGCAAAGCAGCGAGGACAACCTACAATCTCTCGCGGATGCCTCTGCACACCCGGATGATTTGGGCTTCTTCGATCCATTTCAGAGTCTCCCTGGACCAATGGATGGAGAAATCGATGAATTTGCATTAGTCAACGGCTGGAACCAACGACTTGCTGTTTGAGGATCTCTTTCTCCTGGAAATTTTTGATATTTTATTCACATTTATTGTTCATATTTCATTGTCGGCTTAGACCAATATTGGTGTTCCATGATCACGATGATACCTTGGGCGGCGTTTCTTTGTCAATTTTGGTCTTGGTGTTTACATTCTACTTCGATATTTGGATATATGTCTCTTCTAATTGGTATATTTTATGCTTTTTGTAAGGAATGCAAATTTTTTACACATACTCATCAGTTTGCTTTTTTCAACGTCGTTTCGAAATGCCGGCCCTTGCCAAGGCTTTTCAGCAACGAACATTCTGAGACGCAGTTGATCTACCGAAATGTAGAAGCCACCTAGGTACTGATTTTCTCGAACATCTCTTGGCGTGCCTTTCCTGGATTAATGCTCAGAACTTGCCGCTCTGCCGACCGCCAGGAAATCATTGAAATGCCTCGTTTTGGGGGCGGAAAGAGGTTGTTTGTCTGCTTTATGATCTTCGCCTCGGTGGGCCACTTCTCTCTCGGTCGAAACCAGCCAGAGAGGACCAAGTCCGCTGGCGTGACGATGGTAGTACTCGCCTGTCTTTTTGTTCTCGGCTTCGCCAGTACTTGGGGCCCAATGGTATGGACTATGCGGCTCAGTAAGTCCGAGCCTGTACTGAAATGTACTCAGTCCGTAGGATTCTGAGCGCCTCCATTAGAGCAGCAGGGTCTAGCATAGGAAATATCCACCTGGCAGAAAAAATATGCTACGTATAACTACCCTAGGCAACTCGGCCGGGCATGTTGGCTCGGGAGTGCGTTAACGGGAGATGCTGGATAATGTATCCCGACAACCCACGAAAGGGAACAAATGATGATCCGAACCATCCGAACTCCGACCGAACCACTAGTCTTGGCTGAGCATAGAACCCAAGCGTTCGAAGCCGCTGCCACTGATATCATCATTTCAATCCCAATCGACCTGCCTGTTCTGAACTTCACGTTTTTGGCTTCGTTGGGCAGATTATTCGCCACACAGAGCATGTCACGAGGTCGCAAAATGGTTAGGATTGTCTTGCCACGGCTCTTGTCTCGTGGCCATGGAGTCTAGGTTCTCGAAAAGCTGGATTCCATGACTCGGGATCCCCGGATGTGCTAATCAACGAATGAAAACCCATGCCCCACTTCCCCAGATTCTCAAGTTTTTGGCAGCTATGCTCATCAGCAGTGGTGGGAGTCTACTTGGGTACCTAAATGAACGAGTCATCGTTTCCCGATTTGTCTATTTGTCCGGCTCCCAAGAAAACCAAGAGCTATATGGTCATATGTTGCAATGCCTAGCCTTGGCCTCTGGAAGGGGAGGAGGGGATAGGTATAAAAGGGCCCAATGCCGGGATTGGATATCTATTAGACTTAGCATAAAGAGACCCATATTCTGTGCAAAACTGCATTGCCACAATGTTCGACAAGATATTTCACAAACGTCACCAGGATGTCTACGCTGACAGTGAGCCCCCTAGGGAGTCAGTTTCCACTGTTGAACGAGAGAAAGGCCCTGGTGATGTTCTCGACACGCCTATTCCACTTTTCACGGTACGCTCCTTTGTGATGGGCATCTTTGTGTCCATGGGAGGGTTCCTCTTTGGATATGATACCGGTCAGATCTCGGGCTTTCTGGAAATGGATAATTTCCTGCAGCGCTATGGTGAGCCGAGTGGAAATGGAACCTATCATTTCAGTAATGTTAGATCCGGTCTTATTGTTGGCCTGGTAAGTCCTCGCAACGGAAAGTATTCTTAATATTCATTGGACGAGAGCACTTACATGTCCACAGCTATCTGTCGGTACCTTGATTGGAGCCTTAGTCGCAGCGCCCATTGCCGATCGCGTTGGACGGAAATGGTCTATCAGCGGCTGGTGCGTCATTCTCATGGTTGGAGTCACTGTTCAGATATCATCGCCATCTGGAAAATGGTACCAAATTGTGATTGGTCGATGGGTTACTGGGCTGGGTGTCGGTGCATTGTCCCTGCTTGTACCGATGTATCAAGCTGAGTCTGGACCAAGACATATTCGAGGATCCCTGGTTAGCACGTACCAGCTTTTCATTACACTCGGCATCTTCGTTGCCAACTGCATCAACTTCGGCACTGAAGCTCGCCAGGATACCGGGTCGTGGCGTATTCCCTTGGGAGTTACGTATATCTGGGCTTTGATCCTTGGTATCGGTATGACGTTCTTCCCCGAAAGTCCTCGATATGACTATCGTCACAACAAGGTCGAGACGGCTTTGAACAATCTCTCCAAGATATATGGCGTGCCTCGTAATCATCGCGCTCTCCAGATTGAGTTCGACGAAATCAAGCAAAAATACGAAGAGGAGGTTCGTAACGGCCAGGTTACCTGGGTACAACTCTTCAAAGCTCCAACTATGGGATATCGGGTTGCTGTCGGTGTTGCCCTTCAAGCTCTCCAGCAGCTGACAGGAGCCAACTACTTCTTCTACTATGGTACAACAGTGTTCAAGGGAGCGGGAATTCACAACAGCTATGTCACACAGATGATTCTCGGAGGAGTCAACTTCGGAACTACCTTCCTTGGACTATATCTGATCGAACACTACGGTCGAAGAAGGTCTCTTATCGCCGGTGCGCTATGGATGTTTGTCTGCTTTATGATCTTCGCCTCGGTGGGCCACTTCTCTCTCGATCGAGACCATCCAGAGAATACCAAGTCCGCTGGCGTGGCGATGGTAGTATTCGCCTGTCTTTTTATTCTCGGCTTCGCCAGTACTTGGGGCCCTATGGTATGGACTATCGTCGCAGAGTTATATCCTTCGCAATATCGTGCTCGTGGAATGTCTCTCGCAACAGCCTCTAATTGGCTTTGGAACTTTCTTTTGGCCTTTTTTACGCCTTTTATCACGAGTGCAATTGATTTCAGATACGGCTATGTCTTTGCAGGCTGTCTTTTCCTTGCGGCGGGTCTTGTCTATTTTGCTGTTATCGAGGGTCAAGGCCGGACTCTGGAAGAGATTGATACTATGTATCTTATGAAAGTGAAGCCGTGGCATAGCTCCAAGTTTCAGTTCCCAGCTGACCCAGGTGTCATTCGTGGGTCTTTCGACAAAGGCGAAGGAGCAGCTGGAGCTTCGTCTCATATTCCAGATCCCACTACTGAGTTGCAGGAAGATGGACATGTTGCTCCAGAACCCCGCACGAGTTCTTAATGGGATGCTACGAATACTCAACTTATCTAGTGGTTTAGGTTAAATCTGTCGTTTCTTCCTGATTTGACTCATGAAACTGTTATATTTTAATGGCTGACGGTCTGTCTTTTGCAATTTCGACAGAAGTCTTCTTGAAATTCAATGACCGAATCTCATAGCATAAGTGATCTCATGATATAGGTACCTCAGAGACCAGTAGTACCATTACCTAGAACTGAAACAGGCTTTTGGGTCAAGAAACCATCCAAGTATCTAGTCACTTCATCCACATCTTTCAGCTCGCCAACCCACCCGATGTATTGATCTGGTCGCAAAATAAACATTGCACCACGAACGCGATCGACACCCCATCTCTCATACGCCTTTCCATCAACTTCGTGATCCCAGGCACAAGCATGGTCACACCAGATCTTATCATATCCCCAGCCCATTACTGGATCAAATGGTCGCAGGCTCTCTGGGAAATCAAAGAACTCTGCCTCATTCCAAGGAGCACTATGGATAGTCAACGTATCGATTATTTTACCAACACCCGGGATCGGGGCATAGCGAGTCAAAATAGACGGCTTAGACTTATTCAAGCCCGCCAGATAATGGCCAAGGGTGTCAACACGTCTCTTCTGCTCTTGGTCGCGGATGTCTCCCGCAAGAACAACCAATCGAAGTAGCCCATCACTTTTCATCATTCTCATGCTCCATACCATAGTGTCATCTGCATGCTGACGCAGCTTTGATGGCAAAACCCGCTCTCCAGGGACAAGCTTAGTAGCAAAAAAGGGCCCTGTCTCAATCCCAGCCTTAGATACCAGCTCACTCTCGCCATAGAATGCCTTGACCCCATCCGAGAAGTCCTGGTATCTCTCCACGATCTTCATCATCTCATCATTCTTATCTGGCCCTCCATTCTCCTGTGGTTTTGCATCGTCTGTGAAATATACCGACCAGAATTTATCGTACTCAAGCAAGAGTTCTGCGAGACGATGCCGTTCCGTGTTATACGTGCTCAGAATAGCAGGATCGGCAACGCCCGTTACAACAAGCGCAATCTTCCAGCCAATATTGAACCCGTCTTGCATACTGATATTCATTCCCAGACCAACCTTTGGTGAATGTGTGTGTACCGCATCACCCGCAAGGAAGGCTCTGGTACCCTTGGCGAAGGATGGCGCAATGCGCTGGCCGATCTGGTATGCGGTCCACCAGTCGATAATTTTGAAGTCAAATGTGTATGGAGAAAGAATCGCCTGGATACGCGCCTTGATCTTTTCAGCTGTGACCTCTGATCGATTATATCTTCCGTTTGTCGCTGGGTCGTTTATGACGTGTACTGGAACGTAAAACCGTACCAGGTTTCTTTCGCGGGGAACGAGTAGGAGTGTGCCGGCTACGTTGGTTATGGTGCCGAGGCGACGAATATCGGCTAGTTGAACATTGTCAGAGAAGACTTCAAATTGAAAATTGGGTCTTTGGATGCTTACGGAAATTGCTGAGTGGAACGACATCAATCACGCCCCTTGACAAACGTATATGTTAGCTCTGTCCGATATATCCATGGATAATGGCTTCGGTCGCAGAACAGAAAACGTACCAAACATGCTCAGTGCTTTCTCCTTCAAATGGAACATTCAATTGTCTTCTGGTCCAGCTGTGGGCGCCGTCGCAGCCGATAATGAACTTGGCTTTGATAATTTCGCATTTTGCTTGTTGCTTCTGGCTCCGCCGGATTATGTCTTCCCACTCATCACGGCGCAAGTTACCTGGAATCGTGATTTCTTTTTCGGGGCTAGAGGTACGTATTTTGACAGATATAGGATAAGCGTTGAGATCATGGTCCAACGATTCATCATACTCCAGGGATTCGGTAATAACACCACGCTCCACTTCTATATCAGAATGTTCTCGAATCTTATCAATCATGATTCGCTCTATTCGTCCTTGATCCAGCAGCATATGCCGAAACGGCGACTCAAAAACTTGTGCAGGAATCATAGACCCCTTGCGGATCAAGCTTCCATCTTCACCAGGTATCTATTGTTCAAGATCACGGGTTCATCAGTTTATGGACGCCAGAGTAAAAGGTTATTTTACGAACCCAAAACCCAGGTGCAACAGCTGAGTGGCCCTCTTGAGCGATCAGATGTTGAATTCCCATGCTATCAAAAAGCTCCATTGTTCTCATACGAATTCCATCCGCATGGCCAGTGAAAATCTTTGTCTCTCTCTTCTCAATGATCCTTGCTCGTATACCATAACGTGCCATCCAATAGGCCGCCGTGAGGCCCGAGGGCCCAGCGCCAACGATGAGCCTGCGGCCTTGTTGTTAGGACATCTCCCTCGAAGGAAGTTGAAGATAGTTCTTACACATCAGTGTGCGATTCAATGACGTGGCTGTCTACAGACATAATGGTTGGTAATGTACTTCCAATCTGTTAGGAGAATACGAATATCATTGGCAACTGCATAACCTATGATAGCCAGGCTGTATTTATAGGTTTCTCAGCCTTGACATTGTAAAATATAGAAAGTTTCCGGGGTAGTACTTGACATTATGGAATTGGCTCCAGTCCCTGGATCTGCAGCGCACCTCGACATCTTCGGAACCAAAAGAAATCATTGGCGCCCTGAGAGCTTCGTGGACTACCTTTTAGTCTGACATAATCGCTGACTGCGAGGATCGTGTGGTGTCTGAGCAACATTGAAATTCATGCCAAGGTGCTAGCCTCGCGCTAGATGTCGTACAGCACTCTCAATGTCGCAGCAGATCCGTTGCTGAAAGCTTATGCATTAAAATGCATTGCTTCTTTAAGCCGGCACCTCAATTCAAACGCCGCAAAGAGCGCGTATCGCCAAATGCATATCGGAGTTTTTTGACCTCTAGAAGACGAATGTGGGTGGTATGGTGTAGTTTACAGTTGAGCGTGGCACCACTCCAATATTCGACTTACTTGATCGGTAAGTGTGAACTCAGATGGGACTCATAAGCAAATATGTTAGCAAAACACTTAATTGTTAGCATTCAGGAATAACAAACGACCCTAGAAAGCTGCTCCGGGAGAGGGCTGCAAAACTACATCAGTGTCACATTATTAGTCGGTTTGCACAAATGCTGAGTCAAAGGCTGACCATGACACAGATGAGCAGGAGGCCTTAAAAAACAACAACTATTCTAAATGGATCCACGTAGCAATTATCCCGTATATTGGAAAAAATTACATTCAATTACGTTGGATTCTAAATGAATCCCCCTCAAATGCATGAAAGCTTGGTGCCTAACCGATAAATAGATGACTAAAAATGCTCCATATCCTATGATCCTGGTAGAGAGCCAATAGAAGCACAGATGTTTAGATCTGTTGGTCATCGGACTGTTCCAGGAGTAATATCAAGGAAGTCATAGCGCCTTCCAAGGTTATCAGCCATTCATCCACTCGGAGAAAATGCTGTTCCAGACAAGCATCTAGTGTCACTTTACAGCTAGCAAAGGTGGCTTCATCAACGTTTATACTATAATTGAAATTTATCCTCCTCTTACTCGCACTAAAAAATCTAATCGATAAATTGTACATGTGGCATAGATGTAAAGCGCCTCCATATAGCCCAGGCTGCCATGAGCATTCATGGCGGACAAGGAACCGGGTGAAACCCCAATTTTATCGAGTCCTACTGAATGCGTGTATTCTTCGTATGCATCATAGAGAAACAGCCCGAAGTGGAGCTTCGTTCCACGGTTGGTCAGGACCATAACTCAGTTTGATGGAAACAGATCTCGTGAGGATGTGGGAGGAAGCCTACAGATTAGAAAGGGAAATTGGAGTTATCTGCCTCTCTGTAGCGCAAATCCTATTATAATCGGGGACTCTAATCTCTGGTATGAAATGGGCTTGGTTTATTTACACGGCCATACTAGAGCGGCTCAACGTGATAGAGAAACGCTTGGCCTAGATATCTGCCAAAATATGGGCTTTCATGATTCAAATTGTGTCTCCTTTTGGGAATTCTATTGGGAATTCTACATATAAAATCAGTGAAAATAATTATTACATGTATTTGAGACTAAGGAGAGATTTTTTTCATTTCATGCAAAAAGAAGCTCTTTTTCTAGAAAGCTCCTGTATAGCCACTTCCTAGGGTATTAAGCAAAAAAAAAGAGCTGTCAATTGGAATCATGTTTACTTTCACCAATTTGCGGTAGTCACGGTCTTTTGAACCCATGCCTCATAATCCTCAGGTTCCTTTCCAAGCAATTCAACCTGCTCGAGATATTCCTTTTCAGTCATACCGAAAGGCTCCTTTGCAAACAATTCCACCATCAATCTCATATCTCTACCCCAGGCTGAATTTTTCTTGGAGCCCATCTCGGTCTCGAATCGTCGAAATCCTTCCTCCGTAGCTGGGTACATCTCAATTCTCTTTCCCAGAGCTTTAGACCAGATGTCCGCAATTTCCGAGCCCTTGTATACTTTCTTAGAGCCAATTGAGATATGCCGACCGTTCCATTTCCCACTTTCATCAATAATAACGTTCTTGATGGCAAGAGCAATATCTGAGGGTGCAACTCGACTAACGCCTTGCTCGCTCAGCGGCTCGTCATAGACACTGTTCTCGATCATTGAGTGCTTTGACCGGAGATCGTTGATGAAGAACAAAGTCGGGCGAATGACGCTCCAGCTGAATGGGAGATTGCCATATACTAGCTTTTGTTCTGTAAGAATCTTAACAAGAACATGTCCTGAGGAGCAATTTCGAAGTATCCACTGTGCACACTCGGTAGAAGCGAAGTCGTAACACGCTGAGAGGTAGATGAGATGCTTGACTGTTTTAGATCTTGCCATACAATCCAGACAGTTCAAGGTTGTGAAGAGCTCGTCTTCAGTAGTCAGGCACAAAAAGACAGTTTCCACTTCATACTTCTCGAGCAGGCCTTGGAACCATGCTGGGTCTGTAAGAGAACCCTCCTCTGCGATAAAAGTCGCAGGGTTGGACTGAGGCTCGGAATGTGGCGGAAGACTTGCTTTTAGGCGAGAAGCATTCGTCGTTGGGAGAATAACTCTTGTTTCTTCTAGTGATTGGAGGAGCGGAAGCAATTCCTGGCCAATGTGACCGGCGCCAGCTGTGATCAATACGTTTCGAGGCATTGAGTACGATGTCAATTCGCGTTAAATAGGCGTTTTCTGAGAGGGCTCAATAGATAAAACGATGGTGGATAGAAGACTTGATGGCATACCTATTCAGTTGCTCTAATACAGTTTATATACCTGAATCTGCACCATATGCAAAGACGGAGTCGGGCTTCGGTCAAATTGACGGAGCCCCGATGGCCCCCAAAATCATCAAGGTGAAAAATCAGCCCCCAAACGTAACCCAAATGGCAGTAAAATTCTTTCGGCAAATCCTAGAGCCGCTTCAAAACGGAATCGGACTCGGACACCAGAAATCACCGAAAAACAACGGAGCAGACGGAGATGAACAACCGCTGGGGCATATGAAGTACAAGTAGAGGCCAAGTACAATAAACAGAGGGTATATGTGAACACATGACAATTTTAAACTAAACTTATCGTGCTGTACCATAGGGAAGCTCAGTACCCATATACTAATAGGGTTTCCGATGCCGGCTTGGAGATACTAGCATACATCATGATACTGTGAAATTGTAAATATATCATATTCTAAGCCAGATGTCTAAGGTTACTCCAGGCCGGGGTTGTATACACAAAATACTATACAAGTTTATGCAATTGCTACTAATGAAAGTCATAACTAAGATATCTATATTTACAGCTAGGAGCTCTCAGTTCTCTTGGAGCCGATCAACATATACAATCGTGACTCAAACAACTCATTCCGATTTTTGAAAGTGGGTATATGCATAGCAGATAAGCATACTCGAAGTCTTCCTGCAAGCAAGATTGACCATGTCTCAAACTTTGTGTGAAAATAATATACTAGTAGAAAATAAGGATAGTCAGTCGATCACCCGGTAGATCGATTCGGTATCTACCAATCCCTGGCTGCATGATGGGCCGCGTGTCACGGAGCATGCGATAGTTGTACAGAACCTGATTCTTCGCATCTGAGACAAACAGGTTGGAATAAAAGCTTGGCTGGTTGATCTACATGAGAGACAAATGTTATGTAAACGATACGTAATGGGACATTATTCGGGATCTTGACATCTTGTTGATGACAACCTGAAGGATGAAGTTAATCCACTTATAGACTTGTTCTTTTAAAACTCAAAAAAGAGTTTGGAAGAAGACCCTGAATTGAGCGCTGTCGTCTAGATTAAGCGTAAAATTAGACTGCAGGTATACATTTACATCATGATTCAAGTCACGTCGGCGGAAAACAGGCTCGGCAAAATTTCCGCCCTATGTTAACTCCAAATAGGAATCACAAGACAAAAGATACTAAGGATTGTCATACTTTTTGCTTAAAATTAGATGCCCTTTATGGTTCAAGTATATTCCGTTTGTTTGCTGTGATAAAAGTGTAAGGCTCTACCATTAATACCCGACAGAAAGTCAACATTTCTCGTGACTACGCTCAACTAGAAGTAGTCAGCTTTTTCTCAACCACCTCCTTTTACACGAAGACTATGTCCCAAGCTGGAGTAAAGGTTCTTCTCCTTGCATCGGTCAGCATTCCAGCGAGGTCATTTCGGAGCTTTAAAATATGTGGCCTACCGTATACGGAAATGGAGCGGGTGATCGTCAAAGAAGGATTCACATACACAGCAACAAACACATCATCAAGTTCCCCGGCTCTGTCATCGGAGTCTATTCCTGGACTATATGGCATCATGAGAAAGGGGAGAGACAGAGCAAATCCCGATCAATAGATCAAAGCGCGGGTCTGCTAATCACTTATTTATCTTCCCCACATGTTGCTGGAGATCCTTTTGATATCCATGAGTGATCTCCCTACAAGGACCCACGGAAGACCTCCCCGGGGCACGTCTCGGTATGCTCCTTACCAAACTATTGGCCTATGCGTGGCCCTCCTGAGGATTTTGGTCCTTGTTTCTTCAGGAATGCCTATCAAAAAGGGTGCGGAGTTACACATAGGCTTTTCGCGAAGGGTAGGGTGATGTCAGGTCCAGTTTCACAACATAACGGTATACTGCCCAAACTCCTTTAATCCCTATATCTATCATGCCGACCGTTTCCATTTTACCCCGATAGATGTGAATTTCATTTTCTTTCTTTTGGTATTTCCTTCGACTATTGTGCGGCAAGAGGGCTCCCTACACAGCAAGTGAATTGGCGCGCGTGCGTCTCGACATCGACCATTTATTAGTTCACTTCAGATATTCTTTCTATTATTACGTCAATCCACCATATCAAATTATACAGCTTTAACTCGCCCAAATATGACTCCGGAAGATATCGAGAAAGCCCATGGTTCCACTTCCCTGCACAGTGTCAGCCAATCCGAGCTCGAAAGCACCCCTACAAAAGAGAGCCACGAACCTATTTTTGAATCTAAGCCTCGATCAAAGATCTTAAGATGGTTTCAGGGATTCAAAGGCGTGGAGTCACGCGGGATTGAGCGAGTACCAATTGAAGAGCGAGAACCGGTCACATCATCTACCACTTTACATATGCTACTCATGTGGTTTAGTATGACATTGGCTACAAACAACATCATTGTTGGATCTATGGGGACTTTGGTCCTTGGTCTCAGCTTCAAAGATGCAGCTCTTTGTGGGGTTCTGGGGATTTTTTTGGGAACAGCGATTGTTGGGTATATGAGTAGTTGGGGCCCACTGAGTGGGAATCGAACCTTGGTAAATCACGATCCTCGCAGTACCGTTGGTATCACTAGAGGCCATTTTGATCTAACATAATCATACAGATTGTGACGCGCTATTTTATGGGCTATTATCCAAGCAAGATCTGCTGCGGACTAAATATCTTTACCAATCTAGGTTACAGTATGGTCAACAGTGTTGTTGGTGGTCAAATATTGTCCAAGGTTTCTGGTGGACATATTTCTGTGCTGGTAGGAATAGTGGTTGTTGCATTGAGCAGCTGGGCTATGGCTATGTTTGGCATGAAAATCTTCCAGATTTATGAACGGTACGCAGTCGGCTTGTCAAAGACACAGGTTATCAGTCTCATACTAATACCCATCAGATTTGCATGGCTTCCGCAGTTGATGGTACTATGTATCATGCTGGGCTCAGCCGGACCTCATTTCGATTTCAACGTCCACACTACATCTTCTCAATTGGAATTGAACGCGAAAAGAATCAGCTTCGTTTCCCTTTGCTTGTCGATCGGTCTGGCCTGGGCTCCTCTGGCAGCGGATTACTACGTCTACTACCCGCCCCACGTCAAGCGCTGGAAGACCTTCACCGTGACAATGCTCGGATGTCTCCAAGCAATGTCCCTGACAATCGTATTGGGTGTTGGACTCGGAACAGTCCTAGCTAGCTCACCTGCCTACGTTGCTAAGTACGGAAGTGACCCCGGTGGTCTGTTGATGACGGCATATGATTCACTGGGAGGGTTTGGGAAATTTTGCGCAGTGATCAACGTTTTTGCGCTGATTGCGAACAACACTCCCGGTACTTATTCTATGGGTATGAACTTCCAAATGCTTGGTGGGTTCTTCCAGCGAGCACCACGTGCTATCTTCACCACCCTCAGCACCGTGATCTATACTGGCTGTGCGATGGGCGGTCGCAACTCCTTGTATGAAGTTTTCAAGGGATTCTTGCCTCTGATTGGATACTGGGTTATCATTTGGTTTGTGATTGTTGTTCAGGAGCATGCATTCTTCCGGAGAATGAAAGGATATGACTGGACAGCCTGGGATAACCCCCAGCACCTGCCCATGGGGATTGCAGCTGGAACCGCTTTTTTGATCGGTTGGGTCGGCGCCATTCTGGGAATGGTAAGTTGCACCTTTAGGCTATTACTCGATAATGAAACTAACTCGCTCAATAGGATCAAAATTACTACGCTGGAGTGATCGCTCAAATTGCGGGTGGATCGGATCTAGGCCTGTGGATCGGGGCTGGATTCACCGCTGTGGCCTTTCCACCTTTGAGGGTTCTCGAGCTATGGTTCTTCAAGCGTTAGGAGGAAACCACATTGGCGGATCGCGGCGAACGTGTCTTGTGGGCTGTACTATAAGGTAAGGAGGAGGTTTCGGGTTGTGTTGCATATGAAAACCATTTTTTCCCCGGACCGCGGTTTGAAGCGATCTTCCCCCGCATCGGCAGTGGCAATAGACACTATGTCATTAATATTTGGATCAAGAAGGCATATTATTTTTCTGTAATTATGGGAGTAGGAGAAAGACTTTGCAAAAAATGGAAAAAAATAACAAGTGATGTTACACACGGTCCACCACGCGTAATCTTTCTGCGAATCAAAATTCACCTTATTAAATTAGGATCTATAGGTAGTTAGATGCAGCAGCAATTAAGTAGGGGCCCACTTAAAAATACCGTCCCTACATTTCGAGCAAGATTTAGAAGGGTGAATGTCGAGACGAGATTTTAATAACCATTTTAAAAAGAAAGCTCGATCTCTACCTAGAATCAATCCAAGTCTTAAACTCCTAATCAATCTAATTTGACCGTCTGCACATGTGGCCAGGTATCAAAAATACAGTATTGCTTATATAATCCACCAAATAATTGAACTCCCAAGAAAAAACAATGCACAAAATAATGCAGTTTCTCCGTAATTTTTAATTCGATTCAACCAATTTGTCTTGGAAGCGGGGGATATCCGAGCCAGAACCAAGATCGACACAGCACATGGTATCCATCATCCAACCCCTCAACAAGTACAATACACCACACCTTGTGCCCAGTGGATATAAATGATCCAAGGGCCAATTTGTACCAACTCTCATCACAGCCCTGGAGGTACAGAGCCCCTTATAAAAGCACCTTATAAGAGCCACATACCGCCACCATGGAAAACGGTACATTTTTCGCGAGTCAACCACTCTCCGTGACTGCTTGGAGCTTCGTCTCTCCACCGAAAGAATGGCTTCCATATGCTTTGGGCTTGTTAATCGGGTACCCGCTTCTAGTGAGGTCGCTCCGATATAAGAGGCTGAACGATATGAAGAAGAAATATAAGTTTCCGACGCGCGAGTCGATGGGGAAAATGACCGATGAAGAAGCCTATGAGATTCAGAAGCAAATAGGAACTCTTGAGTTCCCATTTATGTATGTGAAAGCGCTACAGTTTGCTTTGTTCAGGGTACGTATATCTTTTCCAAATCTACCATCATTATCACTATACGCATGGATACGTATACTATTACTACCTATCACTATTGGTACTATCCATTAAGTACTAGTAGGCTATAGCGATTAAATATCCATAAAAACAAAATTAACCTAAATAAACAGACTTACGGAATCCCATCAGTCTCACATGTCCTCACAAAAACAACACAATTCTCCAACGCATCAACATCCCTCAAACGCTACGCAGACACAGTAGCCCTCGTCAACGAAATGGTAGGAAACAGTCCAACATCCCAACGGGCCTTCATCTCACTAGCCCGCACCCGCTTCCTACACAGCGGATACCGCGCCTCAGGCAAAATTCTCGAAACAGACATGCTCTACACGCTTGCTCTTTTCGCGCTCGAACCTATCAAGTTTGTTCGCCGCTTTGAGTGGCGCCAGATGAGCGATCTGGAGCTTTGTGCAATTGGCACGTTCTGGAAGAGTGTTGGTGATGCTCTGGGGATTAGTTTTGAGGGGTTACCGTCTAGTAATGGGTTTAAAGATGGGATTCAGTGGCTTGAAGAGATTGATGAGTGGTGTGATGGGTATGAGAAGGAATGTATGGTTCCTGATGCTAAGAATCGGGAAACGGCGGATCAAACTACGGCTATTTTGCTGTATATGTTGCCTACGATGTTTCATCCGGTTGGGTTGCAGTTTGTCTCATTTATGATGGATGAGAGGTTGCGGAAGGCTATGATGTATGTGAATTTGAACTTGTACTTGATCATGACTGTTTCTAACTGCTTTTAGTTACGAGCCGCCAACGCCATTCTGGACGTCTGTGTTCTCTACTCTTCTTACGACGCGGAAGTTATTCACTCGATACTTCATGCTTCCTCGACCGGAGTTCTTGAGGATTGTTAATATGTCCAAGGAGCCACAGGAAGATGATCGCTTCTTTTCGTTTAACTGGGATGCAGCGCCTTATTATGTTAAACCGACTTTTTGGAATCGATGGGGCCCCGTGGCTTGGTTGACTTGGGCATTGGGACGTCCTGTTCCTGGCGATGAGGGTGACAAGTATTATCCCTCTGGATACCATATTCAGGATATTGGACCGAGGTATTTCGAAGGGAAGGGACAGAAGGCGATTGATGAGACGATGGGGGAGTTGAAGATTGTTCGAACGGGGAAGTGTCCGTTTCATTGAGAGTCAAACTTGAGTACTGGGTATAGTTTGTGTGGTGTTGCGAGAAAGCTTCGATTTACATACAAGCGTCCAGTGTTGATGGCCTCGGGATTACTGTTTTAAGTACATGGTGGATTGTGGTCTGTTTTAAACCATAGAAGAACCATATCCAGCAAAGTATGTTCTTTCATAATTAGCAATAGCAAATACACTTTTCGGGTTCCTTGATAAATCTCGGACAACATTAAAAGTCATTTAGTTAATTGCTTTTTTCCAGTTATGTGCTATTCTAGCCAGAGGTATGAACTAACAACCCAAAGGCCCAGAGACAGGAAAATAGAGACAGAATAAGTTGGAAATTAAGAGCGCTCAAACAAGATACTTGGGGTTCGGGTCGCAGGCCCATTAAGCCAGAACCCGATGGGGTAGAGAATGTAAGCTTATCAAGGGTATTACTGCGAGCAAATCTCAAAGTTTGGAGATTGGCATATTTAAACCTCCTCCTCAACGACACCCTCCTCGTAGTAGTCACCTTCCTCGGCATCAGAGACGGAGGCCTCCTGGTATTGCTGGTACTCGGAAACCAAGTCGTTCATGTTGCTCTCAGCCTCAGTAAACTCCATCTCGTCCATACCCTCACCAGTGTACCAATGCAAGAAAGCCTTGCGACGGAACATGGCAGTGAACTGGTCACCGATACGCTTGAAGAGCTCCTGGATGGAGGTGGAGTTACCAACGAAGGTGGAGGCCATCTTGAGACCCTTGGGAGGAACGGAGCACAGAGCGGTCTGGACGTTGTTGGGAATCCACTCAACGAAGTAGCTCTGGTTCTTGTTCTGGATGTTGCGCATCTGGTCCTCAACCTCCTTCATGGAGACCTTACCGCGGAAGAGGGCGGAGCAGGTGAGGTAACGACCGTTACGGAAGTCAGAGGCAGCCATCATGTTCTTGGGGTCGAACATCTGCTGGGTCAGCTCAGGAACGCTGAGTTGGCGGTACTGAGAGGAACCACGGCTGGTCAGGGGAGCGAAGCCGACCATGAAGAAGTGCAGACGAGGGAAAGGAACCATGTTGACAGCCAGCTTGCGGAGATCGGAGTTGAGTTGACCGGGGAAACGGAGGGAGGTGGTGACACCGGACATGACGGCGGAGACCAGGTGGTTCAGGTCACCGTAAGAGGGCTGAGAGAGCTTGAGGGTACGCATGCAGATATCGTACAGAGCCTAGAGAACGAATTGCGTTAGATTTGATCCAAACGGATAATCAGACCGGGGGTGTTCTGGATTCGTACCTCGTTGTCAATGCAGAAAGTCTCGTCGGAGTGCTCAACGAGCTGGTGGATGGAGAGAGTGGCATTGTAAGGCTCAACAACGGTGTCGGAAACCTTGGGTGAGGGAACAACGGAGAAAGTAGCCATCATGCGGTCGGGGAACTCCTCACGAAGCTTGGAAATCAGGAGCGTACCCATACCGGCACCGGTACCACCACCCAGGGAGTGGGTGATCTGGAAACCCTGGAGGCAGTCGCAACCCTCGGCCTCACGACGGACAACATCGACGACCTGGTCAACCAGCTCAGCACCTTCAGTGTAGTGACCCTTAGCCCAGTTGTTACCAGCACCGGACTGACCGAACACGAAGTTGTCGGGACGGAAAAGCTTGCCGAAGGGACCGGCACGGACAGCGTCCATGGTACCGGGCTCCAAATCGACCAGGACGGCACGGGGAACGTAGCGGTCACCGCTGGCCTATAAAAAAACCAAACATTAGCCAATATCGAATGGCTCAGGATATCAATTCCACACTTACGTGGTTGAAGTAGACGTTCATACGCTCCAGCTGGAGGTCGGACTGACCGGCGAAGCTAGAAAAAATATATCAGACCGCCATTCTTCCCATACAATCCAATCGAGTCGAATCAAAGACTTACTGTCCATCACCATCGAGACCGTGCTCGGAGGCAATGTTCTGCCTGGAAAGTAGTTAGTAAAAAGTTTCCAGTGGTCAACAACTGTTGGGTGTAAACACGTACCAGAAAGCGGCACCAATTTGGTTACCCTATAACCCAACATATATCGATTAATCTTTCACGTTCCATTTCTCATTTCGATATATACGGTTCATATTCGGATTCGAGTTCGCACTTACACACTGGCCGGTCTGGAGGTGGACCTATATTGATGGAAAAGTTGAGGTTAGCACGGACCTAGCAGGTGGGGGTAGATCATTCAGGGGTCGGGTCAACAAAGACGCGTCTCGGGGTTTATGAGTTCATTGGGACATACAATCTCACGCATGATGAAGTTGAAGATTGGTTGACTTGGGGTTAATTGGAGGAGTATGGATGAAGAACAAGGTCAGGGAGTGGGAAAGGAGAAAGAAAGGTGAGCGGTGTGTGTGCGTGGGGATCAACAACAACTTCTTTCTGCTCAGGGGGGGGGTGGGACGCTCGATCAGGTATAGTGGGGAATCACGGGACCAGTCAGCGGTCGAACCGCGCGATACGAACCACAACTGGCGGTGGAGACTACAAACAATCCCGTTGGGTTGGGCTCAAGGGAATGACAGAAGACCTGAAAAAGGATTCAGGTATGAATGGAGCTACTCTAGCCTATTATACACTACGTTTCTCTTTTCTTTTTGATTCCCCCCTTCATTTGACGACCTACTTGGCCGTGTTCTCCACGGTGTGTGAACTCTCCAACCAAGTACCAAACTCATCCAGTCGCTGTTTTTCTTCCTCATCTTCGGCATCAATACCGCGTTCCGCCATGTCTTCTAGTGCCGCTCGTCGCTCATTGGTCTTCTTAAACTTCTCACGACCTTCAGAAACATATGCTTCAACCTGAGTTCCGCCAAAAAATCGACCATCCATCATCTATAGGAATTGTTAGGAACTGATAGCGGGAGTGGACGAGAACACCCAAAAGGCCAAACTTACCTGCACACAATTTCGGGCAGCCTCGGGATCGGCAAATCGGACACTAACTACACCATCAACTTCTTTGTCGTAGAGTACAACATTGGTCACTTCGCCGATCTTCGAACACTCGTCCCGAATATCTTGCTTAATATCAAGAAGAACAGCGGCATCCTCCTATGATAGCGTTAGAGCGCGATGAAGAGGAACCGCAAACCGGGACAGTGAAAACAAACCTTTAGTTCTTCCAAAGTAAACATATGCTTTAAAATAACAACCTTCTCTTGTTTAGAGCTGGTCTCCGGAAGTGCAGCAACATCATCATCATCCCAGTCCGCCAGTTTACTACCAAATATTAGCACGTAAACATTTGAGGTCGTAGAAAGTAGAAACATACTTGTTCAGTCTCTGTGTCCGCTCAATAATCTTCTTCTTATCCCGCATATTTGTCTTCGGAGGTGCATCTTGCTGGCTCTTGAAAGAAAAGTCCGCAGCCTGCACCTTCATAGGTCCCAGTGGACTAGGCGCTCCAAAACGAAAGTCCGTCTCGTCAAGCATTTGAATAGCCAAATTCACCGATTCAGGTCGGAAGTAGACGACCAGAGCCTCACCCTTGAAAGCACCATTGTCATCCATGTACATCTTAATTCGTGGCTTGCCGCTATCGATTTCTTCCGCAATGACGCCACATTTGGAAAACAGGTCTCGGATTTCATCGAGTTCAACATCGGAAGGAATGGAGCTAACGAATACCGCAGTATTCACACGCTGCTTCTTAGGCTTATGTGCGCCAGCCTGCAAGACCCCAAGAGAAATGATTAGCAGTGCTCAATTGATTGGTATGAGTCCGGTGTGGAAATCAGGACACCACTCACATCCTCTTGTTGCTTTCGCTTCTTCCTATCGCGGGGGTGACTTTCTTCCTCTTCCACACCTTCAACCTTGTATGCTTCTTGTTGCTGCCGAAGCAATTCTTCATCGACCTATACTCACAACAGAATTAATTAGTAATTAGTAACATGGGTGGGAGTCGGCTGGCACGCTTGACTTGCGACGACAGGGCGCAAATCAGAAAAAGGGAGGAAACTTACGCTCTGGACCCAGCGCTTGAGCGCGGGATCATACACAAATTCTTGCTCATCCTCTGTTTCAAGAATAAACTTGTTGTCGAGCTTTGAGAACGAAATTCGAGAGTCGCGCTTGAACTGGTCTGGGTCCAGCGGAAATTGGCTCGACGACCCGTTGTCGTCGGGGCGTGGTGATGTCATTTAGAAGCTCAGTAGGTATGCACAATATGAGTAGAAGAGAGCGATCGGCGTAATGTATTGAACAGAGGATGGGTGTTTGGTCAAGTTTCGTGTCGAATTCTATGTTAAGGATTGAAGCGGAAAGCCCGAGCTTTCTGCGGAGCTCCAGTGGAAATCGCAGCCCACATCACATGTGTGCCTTGGTGCCGTGGTTCGCTGACTATGGTGACTCCGCCATTCGGAAGGATGAAAATGATTAAAAACTAGATATTTTTAACAAGAAATTGACTAAGATTACGAATGTTTTATGTTTTTGATTTGGGTTTGGGTTTATATTTTCTTTTCATTTTTAATAAAAAAGGGTATCTGATGTAGAAGGAAATAGTAATAACATGAAAGCATCCCATAGACCAATGGGGGGGAAGTTGTATAAAAAGAGAGAATAATGAATGTAAAAAAAAATTCAAAAGCCAAACCGAAAGAAAAGAAGGACAAATGATTATAATAGGGTAAAAATTTCTAAGAACACAAGGAAATTAGGCCTTGGTGTCAATAACAGTTGCTTCCTCGCCGGTTGGCGTCACGGTACGCTTGGAACCAGCTTCACTGCTTTCGATGCCATTAACAATGTCACGAGTGACCTCAACATAATCGTACTGTAAAATGTTGTCAGCAAATATATCCTGTGAATGAAGATTGAGGAAAAAACTTACGGCAAACTCTCCAATCTCAGCATCGTCAATACCCATAATCTCGTCTTCCTCAGGAGCACGAAGAGTGAGTCCAGGAATGAGGTTCATAACGAAGAGAATGATACAAGTTCCAAAGAAAGAGTACGCAGCACCAGACATAGAGTCAGCTAGCTGGTATCCCAACTGAATGTAGTTCTGGTTAATCCAGCCACCAGGGATCTCAGTGCTTCCATCAAGATGAGCTATGTAGTCAGCAGCAAAGAGACCAGTAAGAAGGTTTCCGACCAGACCACCAACACCATGAACAGCGAAGATATCCAAAGCATCATCAACGTGCAGCAGGAACTTGAGCTTAGTAGCATAGTTGCAGGCAATAGCACCAACAACACCGAAGATGAAAGCAGCCCAGGGAGTAACGAAGCCAGAGCCGGGGGTGATAGCGACCAGACCGGCAATGACACCAGAGCAGAAACCGACAGTGGACCACTTGCGCTCAAGACGGTAGTCCAGGAGACACCAGGTGACACCACCGACCGAGGCAGCAAGGTTAGTCACGACGGCGGCCATGACGGCGCGCAGGTTGGCTGCGAGTGCAGAGCCGGCGTTGAAGCCGAACCAACCAACCCAGAGGAAGACTGTGCCGATGACGACATGTGTGACATTGTGAGGGCGGTAGTTGAGCTCGTGGGTACCGTGGCCGCGACGCTTACCCAGCATAAGGGAGTAAGCGAGAGCAGCACAGCCCGAGGAAATGTGGACAGGGGTACCACCTGCAAAGTCGAGACCGCCCATCTTGTAAACCCATCCAGAGGCGTTCCATGTCCAACAGGCGATAGGGTCGTAGATAATAGTGGACCAGACGAACATGAAGACGATGGTAGGAAGCATGCGACCGCGCTCAGCAACGGCACCGACAGCAAGGGCGACCCTAAGAGGATAGGGTTAGCTAGATAACTCAGGTTGTTGCGAGGATTATCCAATATGATAACTCACGTAATAGCAGCGAACATTCCCTGGAAAATGGCAAACAGAATATCAGGAACATGAGTTCCTCCCACTGAAGGTGCGGCGAGTACATTTCTCATGCCAATGTTTTCGAGATCACCAATAAATGTGCCGGCTGTGTGGGAGAAAGCGAGAGAGTAACCCCAGAAGAACCACTGGAACGAGACCACCCCAACTGACATTATCGAAAGCCAAATGAGAGACAGAGCAGACTTTCGTCGAGCGAGACCTGAGTAGAAGAAACTATTTGGTTGAGTTAGCATGCATTTTCATCGTCGAATCATCCAGGGATCGTTGCACTTACCCAACACCAGGAATCATGAGCAAGACGAGAGCCGACGAGGTAACAACCCAGGCGATATCACCAGCCTAACATCATACTGGTTAGCCACTTCCATTCTTGTCAAAGTCGATCACGATCAAGGCAATTAGCATACATTGTAGTAGATGTTGAGGTCCTCCGTCAACGAGTCACCGCCGGTGCCGGTTGCGGAACCATTGTAGGCTACCGGGTAAGCGGACATTGTGAGACCGAATTTCTGTATAAATCTGTCTCCAAGGCTCAATCAATACTGAGGGGAGTGTATAATTGGCCCGAGATAACCAGGAAGAAAGCAGAAGGGGGATATGGAAATCCGGAAGACTGCTCAAGATAAAAAAGAAAAAAGGGAATAGGAGATAGAACAGGTCGAGATTAGAGTTAAATTCTGGCCAGGAGTGAGCTGGAAAGGAGGATAGATAAATGATAGATCAGCATGCAGGGACAAAGCGAATAATAAATAGTGAGACGCAGGCCTCAGGACATCAGAGAGTCTTCTCCACCATCGGATGATACTAGAGAATGCCAAGAACCACGATCTTAGTTCCGATAGTGGATATCAAGAGTTGGTCAATAGTATTTCTATGCGATTTATCCAACTTGGCTGATAGGGTGGGCTTTGACAGCCCCATTCAGTCATATCAAGATGTGGATGGGGTGGCTGCCATGGATGGAGTCGGGGAATTACGGGTCCAGTAGGGCGCATAGTACACTCTACCAACACGGTATTATCAACCTCTACATCAGTAATACGAGGAAATCAACTCAAAGATAATAAATAAATATTTTAAAATAATTCAAAATATATAGAAATTTTGTGTAAACACCATTCTAGAACCCCCAGCTATGCAGGAACCATTTCGACCACGCGAGCGGAAAGCTGCAGTGAAACAGGATCTAAGCAAAGAAATTTCCGTCAACTTACGTAGACCGATAAGCAGGGGAGGGGGTCTGAGAGAACTGTGGAAAGATTGATATGATTTCAGTGACAGACGAATACAAATAATGGCAAATAATGGGAATCATGGACATCTGGACTCTGATGCGGGATCAACACTTCGCGACTGGCTATAGATATGATGTTGACGCCCCACCAATCAGAGTCCATCCGTTATCTGTGTCCACCCAGATGTCAACTTCATCGCTAAAACATGAAATGTTGCGCATTCAATCCCCGCAAGGGCCAGAAATAATCCAAATACACTTCAATGAAAGGATATTTCTTTGACGAGCCTCATTACGAGTTTATTTCACAATATAATCTCCATTCGGTGGTTTTATGGCTAAAACACATGTTCATGCAATTCGGAGGCTCTTATCTACACTATTAAGAACAGCCAATCAGCGGCCGTTTAATCTTAATGGAGGGTTTGGCCTTATCTCCCCCAGTCGAACTGACCCCCCCCCCCCCCCCCCGGCCCCAACCCAATACCCAATGCCAGGGGCCTCCGAGATTGTGTTTCGTATTTTCTTTTGTGGACTTCTTACTTCTTATTCGCTATCATTACTTGAGAACCATTTGAGCTAGTACCACGATCAGCATCGCTTGCCGCGCTATTAAAAAGTGCCATGAGTTATGAACGCTGTGTTATAAATAATAGGTAGCTCAGGTCCGAAACTAAAGGAGTCATCGCCACTCCGTAGCTTGCATATTGATGGCGCTATATCATGCATCCTAGAATATAATATACCTCAATAGTTTCATGCAATGATCTTCCTTTCCTCGCATCGAGCCCAAACTTTCCCAAGCCGACACCCGTGGACGCATCCTTTCTCCTTTCTCCTATGTGGCGAAGGTCGTTCAAGTTGGGATTGCTATGGCGACCTTCATGGACAAATATACTAGAAGGAAACCCAGACCGGTACCAGGAGGCTCAAAATCAAATTTAGATAAATGTACTGTCAGCTGTTAATGGGCCCAAGGTTTTGTAAGCAGCGCTACTCCACAGTTCTAAGGTTCTCCGAGGAAATATTTTAGAGGGATGCGGAGATACTTCTGGAAGGATTGACTCCCGGTCTTTCCATATAGCTACTTGAAACAATGGGCCCTATGATAAGCTACCTGTGGGTCTATTAGTAGATGGTGGGCTACAAGACAATGATAACATGACACAAACATGAGGGTTCTTTATCGGCATAGGGTACATGGCCTGGCCAAAGCCCATTGTTACCCACTTTCCACGCTAATTTCTAAATTCTAAATGTCATTGAACCATTGCCAACTAAATATATACTTTGAATAAGATATGAATATGCTATTCTATAATGGAGATTGTACAGAGTATTTAATCTCAGGCTTTCAATGTAGAGTGTAGGTATAAACTTGAAGATAATATTGATTATGTATCTATAATGACAGCCTTAATTCGACACCTGGGCAAAGTAGTAAATAGTTGCAGGCTCTCTGGTGGATCATGCTCCACTCAAATATTTTTTACATAGTACACACATGCTGATATCCTGCTACATTCACCCATTGTACGCGCAGTATATAAGAGAGATAAAAGACAAATCGTTTTAGGCCTTACTAGCATAATACAATTTACACCTTATATGGTACTACTATACTTATAGTACTTAGGTAGTCCAAATTGTAATCACCTGATCATCAAATTCGACCACCGTGCGAATGCAAGAAACGCACAAGATGCTTGAGATGAAACCTCATTCAATATCAGCTTCGGTATTCAAGAGAAACGTCTCATGCAAAATTATGAGTTGAAATTAAACAACAAATCCTAGCATATCTTCCTAATCTCCGAAAAACTGCGGCTCATCATGTTCAAAGTCACCAGCGACACTATCACTGACATGGGGTATCGTAACCGCTTCCTTCAGATCACCATTTCAGACGACGATGGAAATGTCGACAACGCACTGGTTCTGCTCATGGACATCTTGAAAGCCCCAGTCTAAGTGAATATGTTATTCATATTCGGTATTACAGAGGACTTTTCTCCGTCCGTAAAGTTGCAAGGTTGAGTCATACGACACGCACTGGCTCGGTTGAAGCCCGTCTTCTAAGGTCTGCTTTGCATATAGATAGCCTTGGAGGGGCCGATGTGAATTTCTTGGTCAAGGTCCTTATGGCGACAAGATCAGACGGTTATAGACCATGGGGAGCTCAACGTGCCACTCCTCAGTAAGTGAAACTGACAAACAACATTATGTATCGCCAAACCTTGTATCTCTAAGCACGGATCCGCTTGATCGGCCTGTCTCGCCATTCAATTTCATCAATTTACTCAGTACGCATGATTCCCTGGAGATATATTCAAGTTCTATGTTCCCACTTGAGACATTCTTGCGTTGCAGGTGTAGTCATATAGCGGGAAAATCTTATCCCTACTAGTAGAATTTATGTAATGTATACAGGACTACTAATCGGAGTATGCTTACACAGATGGGCGATGAAGACCACACCAACAACCTGACGTATAAGCATCTCTGCATGGTTTGCTATGCTTTCACTATTCAAACATTTGCCTTCAATTGAGTATATGAGAGTGTAAGAACTAGATCGGAATTTGCTCGAAAGGAGCGGGCCTTCGGGGGACATATCCAAAATCAGCAGAATTCAAATCGCCCGCTCCTCACTTGATACTCTTGATTCTATGTAGATCCCAGATAGCGGGAGGTACATTTTATGACCAGAATCCCTTGTATGGCCTCGACCACCCTATTTAATTAATTGTAGTTGATGGCCAATTATCAATCTCGATCATCCATGCGAAACTTGCATCAAAGCGTCAGGATATTGCGTATTTCCAGATTCTAGACAGATTGATCGGCCATAGATGTATGTGCACATGACCAAAAGGAGGGGAGGCGTCCGACGTTGCCGGGATTATATATAGTATACTATGTCACGGGCACTAGTATTGGATGTAATAGATTTAATACTGTAGATTAATAAAATATGCCAAGGTTTTAATATAAATCTCAGCTCTCCTTTGACGCCACGTCCGTCTCTCCCCTTGCACTTCCAGCTAGAAAAGGTAGGGTTCCTAGTCGATCATCACTTACAAAGACAAGACGGTGAAAACGACAACAAGTCGGGGAAGTCCAACTTAAGTCCAAACCAAGTCATAGCAAGTCAAAGCAAGAAATCAGGCTGGAGCGGCGGCGGAACGCGACCCCATTGGCCCCGCCACGCACCGCCACACGCCCCTATCACCCATCCCGGGCAGCTTCATCCCCGTTTTGCTGGAGAAGATCAATTCTCACATCACACGGCCCACCATGGAGCACCCCGACATCGTCAGTAATGACTCCGATGGCTCGGGCTCCTCGGATGAGTTCCCCCCTCAATATCCCATCAGGGCCAACTCATCCTTCGCAGATGGTCTTGACGGACAGGTCCAGACACCTGCCACGACCATCACCTCGTCCCCTCCCTCAGCTCATTCCCCCTCTCTCGCTTCATGGCCCAGTTCCGTGACGACGCGCCCGCGCGGGGCTAGTGTTGGAGCTAATGCTATCCTCGACAAATCCGATGGTCTGGCAATGTCTGGCGACCTGCGAGGACAACGTCCTTCTGCGCCCGCGAGAACACCTTCAAACACCTATGCTCCTCAACGCCGACCGCCACAATATATCAGCCTTCAACAGAGTGACCGCCAGCGCTCACAATCTGCCAAACGAGGCACCCGACGTGACCCGAATGCCCAGTATCGAGCCCAAGAGAAGGCCTATGTGCAACGTATCCGCGCCAATCCGCAAGCCTGGTATCACCTCCCCGACGACGCCTCGCCGAACGCTATGTCGTTTGGAGATGCGGATCTCGAGGAACCTTCTCCCTCATCCGAGGCACCCTTTGACGACGACCCTTATGACCCCGATACCCAACTCTTTCTCCCCAACGACAACATCCCAACACCCGAAGAACTTCGCAACCCCAAGAACCAGGAGCGACTTGAATGGCATTCGATGTTAGCGTCGGTTCTGAAGGGTGATGTCGTCAAGCAGGAGAAACAGCGACTTCTTGGATCAACGGAATCAAAGCGATCGGCGGCTTTGAGTCAAGCTCTTTGGATCGGTGTAAAAGCGCGTACTTGTGGACGAAGTATCGCCCTACAACAAAAGATCATTGAAGATGCCCGCCGCGAGCTGGGGCCGATTATTGAGGGTATCATTACCTTCCAAATTAAAGGAGAAACAGAAATCGGAAAAGCGCCCAGACAGCAAGTTGAAGATATCGTTCGAAAGGTCGAGCACTGTGAGGCCTTGTTCTCTTCACATAAAGAGATGGAACTTGCCAATACGCGCGCGGCCTCGGAGGAGTTTTACGCTAGTCGCGAAGCAATCTTTGCATGGCATAATATCACGGCTCTCATTAATACCGAATTGGCTGTGTTGCAAAAATGGGTCGGAAACGATGGTCTCGATTTCAGTCAGCCTAGAGGAAAGGCTGATGGCAGAGATTTATCTGATGACTCTTCTTTCCTGGATCGTATCATGAAAGAAGATGGATTGAAAACACTGCAAGGTGATCAGAACATGCTCGTGGGCCTTGGAGAGGTCATTCAAAAAGCTAAGAGCACTTTGATCGAAAACGCCGAAGCCTTCGCAACCCGACATCTCCCACCTTATATTGAAGAACTCCTCACCTTAATCAACTTCCCCTCGCGCCTTATTCAAGAGATCATTCGTGTCCGTCTGTCATACGCCAAAAACATGAAAGACCCAGCCCAGCAGTCACCAATTTTGGTGGACCAGATGATTACTCAATTTCAGATTTTGATGAGAGTGGCCGTTGACATTAAGCAGCGTTACCTTGCTATTTCAATGCCCCAGCCGGGCTGGGACCTGCCACCTTGTGTCGATGAAAACTTCGACTCGGTGGTTCTTGATGCTATGAAGTATTATTTCCGCTTGTTGAATTGGAAACTCAATGCCAACAAGAACACATTCAAAGAAGCTGAAATTCTAGAACAAGAGTGGGGATATTCATACGATATCGGTCGACAACTAGACAGCGGTGATATCGAGGTGGCCGAACAATTTAGTGCTTTGACTGCCAAATCACTTCAACGATTAATGATCCATTTTGAGCGCGAGCTTGTCCCACGACCTAATGAAACTGTCGCCGACATGGATAAACGCTACAAGAGCATATTGGACTCTACTCGTATTCGCCAAAGAAAGCTTTATCGTTTCTCAAGATTTTTGTGTCAGCTGTTTGAAAATGCTACCGAGTACAATATTACAACCAATATAGCGTACGAATTTTTTGAGGCGCTACTCATTTCCGACCATTTTCTCGTTACTTCTCCAAATTCAGTTGGTCAAAGGGGTGTCTATTTGATTGCGCACCATTCATTGTGGAATCGACCCGAAGACATCCAGGCCATCCTTGCTACATCTTTCCGAGGAGATGGCATTGCCAAAGATAATCCAAATATTCCATACGTCCTGGTCATTCGCCCGGAAAAGCCAGTTGCGTGGGCAGGCAAGGAGATGCAGATTGATATTCTCGCACAGCCCACTGATGTCCGTCTAGGTAAGCTTCGGCTTGTTGTCGAGGGCATGCAAGAGCGATTGCAGAATGCGAGATTGGAGTTGACCCATCTTACTGGAATTCAATTGGACATGGCAATTGAGCAACGTGCTAACCTTGGCCGCGTGAACGTGGAATTGAACAAAATCAAGAAAATCTCTTTCAAACTGTCTATGGCGATCATGGACAGTGTGGCCGTGATTAAAGACCAGCTTCGACAGAAGACGTGGGAGAATAATGAGTTGATTCAAGCTTGCTACGCCTTCACAACTGAGTTTGGAAAGCGTTCCTCCAACTACGTTGATGCCAATCGACGTGCTATGAATAGTGCTCGACTGGTGGATTTATCTCTGGACTGGGTCTCATTCATCTGCGATGAATGTGATGCAGCTGATCGGAAAACATTCAAGTGGGCTGTTGCTGCGCTTGAATTCGCAATGGCAATTACGTCTAGTCGCCATCTTCTCTCCATGGATGAGGAACAATTTGCTCGTCTTAGGTTGAAGGTGGCTGGTTGTATGTCTCTGCTCATCTCTCATTTTGATATCATGGGTGCTCGATCGTCTCTTGCGGCTCAGGCCGAGAAGCAGCGAATGGAGGAGCGATCTGGTGCACGAAAACTTGCTGCCGGTCGCATCTTAAGCGACGAAGAGGCATCAAAGCTTGTCCGTGAAACATGGTTCTCGCGTTTGACGGAGATTGAAGACCGTAGGGTCGAGGAAGATGCTAAGCGTCAAGCTCTGGGCAAAGTTCTCGAAGGATCCAATGAGGCGGACCGATCTCTTACAGTTTTGTCATCTTCGGCCACAAACGTCAACTTGCGCTGGCAACAAGGCCAGTTCATTGGTGGTGGCACTTTTGGATCTGTCTATGTTGCAATCAACTTGGACAGCAACTACCTGATGGCCGTTAAGGAGATTCGCTTGCAGGACCCCCAGCTGATCCCGAAGATCGCGCAACAAATTCGTGATGAAATGGGTGTGCTTGAGGTGCTGGATCATCCAAACATTGTCTCTTACCATGGTATCGAAGTGCACCGTGACAAGGTCTATCTCTTCATGGAGTATTGTTCTGGTGGTTCACTTGCTAGTCTATTGGAGCATGGCCGTGTCGAAGACGAGACTGTGATCATGGTTTATGCCCTTCAACTTCTAGAAGGTCTAGCCTACCTACATCAAGCAAACATTGTCCATCGGGACATCAAGCCCGAGAACATCTTGCTCGACCACAACGGTATCATCAAATACGTGGATTTCGGTGCAGCTAAAATCATTGCTCGATCCGGCCGCACTGTCGCTCCGATGGACGGACCAAATGGCGCCAAGGATGGTCTCATTGGAAAGGATCCCCAGATCGCCAACCAACGCAAGAATCAAAAGACCACTACCGGAACCCCCATGTACATGTCTCCAGAGGTAATCCGTGGTGATGCGCCTAGCTTGGACAATCGCCAGGGTGCCGTGGATATCTGGTCTTTAGGCTGTGTGATCCTCGAAATGGCCACCGGTCGTCGTCCGTGGTCTACGTTGGACAACGAGTGGGCAATCATGTACAACATTGCCCAGGGCAACCAGCCCGTACTTCCAGCGCGTGACCAGCTCAGTGACATCGGTATCGACTTCTTGCGACGCTGCTTCGAATGCGATCCTCTTCGTCGATCTACAGCCGCCGAGCTTCTTCAACATGAATGGATCGTCTCTATTCGCCAACAAGTAGTAGTTGAGCCTGCTACTCCTGGCAGTGAGAATGGCAGCTACAGCAGCAGCTCCGGCCCTGCCACTCGGCAGAATTCGTACTCCTGATTTCCATGCCTCCAACAACCTCATTCTTGACTGCCTGCTACCATAAGCTCGTATCGATCTCATGTGGCATTATTATTCATTCACTTCTTCCTATCCTCTTCGTCTTTCTTTTTCTGGGAATCTTTTGATCTCATTCTACATCTACTCTGACCTAAAACTACCTTCGTTCGATCTCGACTTGACTTACATACCCTCAAACGACATCGCATGTGATACCCTTATGTCCTCTGTTCTCTTATTTCCATGACCATCTTGTTCTTTCTGCCAGTCTCAGTTCCTATCTATCCATTCATGTTCTGGCTTGCATATACGAAGTTGAAGTCGTTGATTTTTTGGCTTACGTGCGGCGCTGGTTTTGATTTCCCGATGATATTATTATCAGTCATTGGGCTCTTATTTGTACGAACATGACGTACTGTATTTATTTATAGTATGCATATGTAATTTGGTCGGTACGAAAACTATCCAGTTCCCGTTATCACGTCAAAGTAGATGTAAAATGCGTAGTCTTTTCTTTACAGTCGTTTTACGGATACCAGATAAGACAATCAAGTTGGAAATATGGGACAAGGACAAGTGCTTCGAGAAATGAAAATTGGTTTTGTCATGGAGACTGCAGATTATAAATATAAACTGCTTGAGAAAAATAAATATCACAAACAGTAAGACGAAGAAAGTATGGCGGTAATGTTAAAAAGAGTATAAATAGGGAAGAGACTGTCCTCGAAAAGAAAAAGACCCAGTTCGCCGAGGGAGGAGGAAGAGGAAAAACGCCATTCATTGTCGTAAGGCATGAGATGAGATACAATTTGGCAAAAGGGTGGAGTAGTAAGTAGAGTTGTTGACCAACGGGGTATAAGCGTATCGGAGAAATCGAACTCCCAAAATATCAGCACAGGGGTGAAAGCGGTTGATCCGCCAAGTACAGAGCCGAGTCGAGTGTCGGAGAAGATGCGAGGAGGAGAGCAAAGGAAATGCACCAAGATTGCAATAGAGGTGATGAGGAGATGCATGTTACCAGGAAGCACAGCTCAACGCTGGCAATGCATGCAGAGAACGAGAATGATAGGGCTATAAAGTGCCGAGACAAATTGATCGCGAGCAGCCAAGCTTGATGGACTTAGCGGAACTCGACTGATGGAGCACATCCATGATCCTCAACATGTTTCAGCTCAAGCTGTTGAAATCTAGAGGAGAGTTAGTAAATGGAATATAAACCCGAGGTCCGGATGAGAGCCATGTGCCATGTATAGAACGGATAGGAAAGAAGATAGTCCGACATACCGCTCGCTCTTAGCATGAAAGTATACGCCGCTCACGGAACCCTCAATCTGGTTGAAGCAGATATAATAGAATCCTTCAAAACTAGCGCCAGAAATAGTTCGCACCCGATGGTCAGGAACAAGAAAGTATTCCTTCCATCTCATAAATATATGCTCCCGCTGTGCAAAGTTACGATATGTGAAATCGGTCCGTTTTGCCTGCCTAGCGAGTGGTTTCCAAGCCGGAAATCGAGACCAGTGGTGTATATCAGTCTTTTCGTTCGCACCCCATTCTTCGTTACGAGTCTGGAAGGTATGTTTTGTCCCTATGATTTCGCCTTCGAAAAAGGTCGTTAGGGTTGGATGATCCTCCGTCAGCCCTTGAATACGCAGGTAACCGCACAAATAAGATTCCGCCATGTCCACGTGCTTAATCTCTACGTCAACGTTGTATACCTGACGGTCCGACTGTTGCGTGCCGACAAATTTGCTACCGGAGCGAAGAAAAGAGGATGAATGGTTCGGCAACAGCTATTATGAATAGTAAGTACGTGAATCAGCCAGTCGCGGGCTGGAAGACAAAAGTTCGGGCCTAGCAAAGTTTGAGTTTGCCAGGCAAAGAAAAGAAAACATACCCGAACGTTTGAAAACTCATAACGTAGCAACGACGAGTTGGATGGCGTCACTGGTGACTCTATAAGAGCGCAGGAGTCCGTCGGAGAAGTAGATCGTGGGGGCCTTGTATCTTCATCAGGGTTGGTTATCTTCCTCTCCACTCTAAGCGGATCGGTCGCCAAGAGTGAGGTGCCATCGTCAGAGCGGCTTAGGACGGAGGGCGCGATGGCGCTGGCAGGTGAAAGCATTCCCTCCAAGCCATCTGCGCCATCAATGGAATCCGAAACGTCTTCTTCCCAGGTCGAGACCCTATCCAGCTCCGGGGGACAGGTGCGGGTGGAGATCACCTCGGCGATCGAAGTTGGCTGGTTGTGATTCGGGGTCGGCATTGGGTGGTATGGCGATTAGGAAAGGAGAGTAGACATCGGACCGTATGAAGACGCGCTGTAGTGAATTTCCCCCAACACAAAAACCAAAACACGAGATATAAAGGAGAAGGGAGAAGAAAAGGAGGAAGAATGGGAGATCTTTAAAGGCGATAGTCGGGGGGCGGACCATCTCTGATGGGGTCATGCGAGCGCATAGCGCGGGGGAGGCGTTTTTAAAGCCTGAGGCATCACACATACGTCAGGCACCATTATCACATTTAACTTCAGACATAGAGTAGTACTAATGGGATGAACAGTATTGATATGAGTGGCAGAAAACCTAATATATGGTAGGGTTTGCTATTATAAACTATTTCTTAAAGATGGAATAAACTTTCTTAACCGATATTGCTTTTTTCTCTCGAAGCGGGTCTTGCTAATTTGAATCATCCTACGGCAGTATATATTGCCTTATCATAGTAGTAATAGTAGCTGTAGTGACTATCAGCACGCTACTACATACATATACTGCCGCTGGAGTGGAAATATGCCTTCGCCAGAAGGAAACTCTCATGAAAACGCCCGGTATCATAAACTAAGAAACCACAGATCCAATACTTCTACTTCATGTCCACCAAACGTTCACTTTAGATAGGCTTGATCTATGGAATGGGTCAGCGCAATCCAAAACAATCATCCCGAAGAAAACATAGAAACATACCTTGAAGTGGAGCGAGATGAGCGAAAAGATGAGCGCCTTCAAATCCTGGACAAGGTAGTAGAAAACGCGCAGGCCCTCAGGGTCAGCCGACTCAGTCACATCCACCAATGAGCCGATTTTCGCGGTCTATGCCACCGAGATAGTCAGTCATGGGTCGAGCATATAGTCTCGGAAGGCAATAATAAGTTTCCATACCTCAAACGAGATGTGCTCGCTACCCAATCGAATCTCCAGTTCTTGGCGTCCATCCTTGTTCTTCTGAGGCCATTTGGAGTCATCCTCCCTGGATGGAGTTAGTAAACCGAATAGCTCCATAATCATCCAATGAACACATACTTCATGATTTCGCTATCCTTGATAATGCGCTTGATTTCCTGGATCATCGCGGAGCTCACACACACTGTATTTCATTTGTCAGGTCTGATCGGCGCGAGTCTGGATCGGCTCCACAACTTACTCTCTTTGCGGATAAGGGAGTCATTGCGGTAGTTGGAGTTGTTCGCATATCGGACTGCGGCACTGCTACCGTCGGCGAGGTTACGGAAATCAAATTCTAACAATTGAATTAGTTAAAAACGATCAAAAGCTTTGAGGAGCTTGTGAAGGACTTACCTAGAAACTCATGCCCGAACCGCCCAGAGTGACCTGAGCTGCGGTGGTGTCAGCAGCCGAGGAAACTTGGGCTCACATCACAATGGATAGTCCTTACTAGTAACGCAGGTAAAAATTCTCGTTAGTCGACATTGTGTTGAGCACTACCGTCGACTTGGGGAAGTGGTGCGGTCGAATCGCAGCGGACTGAATTGCGGGAGAAAGTGGCCGCGGCTTAGTCATCCACACAGACGGGGCAAAGGGGACAGGTTGATGCTTTCCCCCCATTGCGCATATCAATGCTTGAATGATTCCAGGTTGGTGACGGGTGTTGGATTTAATCTAATTGCGCGTTCTTGAAATTGGCCTGCTCATCTGATTCTGGGAGTCTCTCCTTATAGTACGCTTCCCCATGTCTTTGCAGAGAAATGCAAGGTGTTCATCTCAAAACAATCCCCCAAACTGACAACTTTCCAGCTCCCCTTCATCCTCGTCGCCTCTACCCCCCACCCACCATGGCGTCCTTCCTCGAAAATGCCTACAGTCTGGTCCATATGGACAACACGGCGGACCAGCCGACTGTGCAGGAGCTCCGGGTACAACTGGAGAAGGGCAATGATGAGACTAAGCTGGAGACCATGCGGACTGTCATCACGATCATGCTCAACGGAAACCCCATGCCCGATCTCCTGATGCACATCATTCGTTTCGTTATGCCGTCAAAGAGCAAGTCTCTGAAGAAATTGCTTTATTTCTACTACGAGATTTGCCCCAAGCTCGACTCGAGCGGCAAGCTTAAGCAGGAAATGATCTTGGTTTGGTAAGAAGGATCCCGAGCCAAATACATACACATCAGCAACTAACCTAACGCAATCTACAGCAATGGCATTCGTAACGATCTGCAACACCCTAACGAATATATTCGAGGAAACACACTTCGATTTTTGACCAAGCTTCGCGAACCGGAACTCATCGAGCCCCTCCTCTCCTCAGCCCGCTCGTGTCTGGAGCATCGCCATGCCTACGTTAGAAAGAACGCCGCATGGGCAGTGGCTTCTATTTTCCAGCACTCCGAGTCTCTCATCCCCGACGCCCCTGAGCTTCTCCAGACCTTCCTCGAAACGGAGACAGAAGGCACCTGCAAGCGCAATGCTTTCGCAGCCCTCATGTCCATCAGCCACCAAAAGGCGCTCGAATACCTCGGTACAACCTTCGACACCATCCCCAACACCGACGAGCTGCTACAGCTGGCGGAACTCGAGTTTCTGCGCAAAGATGCGGTTCAGAACCCACAGAACAAGGTAGGAATATTTAATCAAGCATTTCCAGGTTGAACCATGATGTTGACTTCTAGTTAGTCTCGATACCTCAAGCTCATGCTCGAACTCCTGGACGCCCCTACCAGCACCGTCGTCTATGAGGCAGCCACCTCTCTTACCGCCCTTACCAGCAACCCTGTCGCCGTGAAGGCCTCCGCGGCCAAGTTGATTGATCTCGCCATTCGGGAGGCTGATAACAATGTCAAACTCATCGTTCTGGACCGTGTGGACCAGCTGCGCATCCGCAACGAGGGTGTGTTGGATGATTTGACTATGGAGATTCTCCGCGTTCTCACTAGCCCTGATATTGATGTCCGGAGAAAGGCTCTTGGTATTGCGTTGGAGATGGTCTCAAGCAAGAATGTCGAGGAGATTGTTATGTTGCTCAAGAAAGAGCTCGCTAAGACTGTGGATGAGCAATATGAGCAGAACAACGAATATCGTCAACTTTTGGTGCAGTCAATACATAACTGTGCCATTAAGTTCTCTGAGATTGCCGCTAGTGTTGTTGATCTGCTGATGGACTTCATTGCTGACTTCAACAGCACCTCTGCTGTTGATGTGATCTCTTTCGTTAAGGAAGTGGTTGAGAAGTTCCCCGACCTGCGTGCGTCAATTGTCGATCGCCTTGTGTCTACTCTCAGCGAGGTCCGGGCCGGCAAGGTCTACCGCGGTGTTCTTTGGGTAGTCGGTGAATACTCTCTGGAAGAGAAGGATATCCGTGGGGCTTGGAAGAAGATTCGTGCCAGTCTTGGCGAGATCCCTATTTTGGCTTCTGAGCAACGTCTCTTGGATGAGGTGCCCGATGACAATGCGCTCCTCCTGGAACAAGCCAATGGTCAGTCCAAGGCTGCCCCTACTGGGTCTCGTAAGGTTTTGGCCGACGGAACTTACGCCACGGAGAGCGCTCTTACCAGCCAATCTGCCGCTGCCGCTCGCCTTGAAGCTGTGAAGGCCGCGCAAAAGCCTCCTCTGCGTCAACTCATCTTAGATGGCGACTACTACCTGGCCACTGTGCTCTCATCCACATTAACCAAGCTGGTTATGCGCCATTCCGAGGTATCTCAAGACAGTGCTCGCACTAACGCTCTCCGGGCTGAGGCCATGTTGATCATGATCTCCATCCTGCGTGTCGGACAATCTCACTTCGTCAAGGCCCCCATTGATGAGGACTCTGTTGACCGTATCATGACCTGTGTCCGATCTCTCGCTGAATTCTCCGAGAAGAAAGATCTTGAGATTACCTTCCTCGAGGATACCCGCAAGGCTTTCCGTGCCATGGTCCAGGTTGAGGACAAGAAGCGAGCCGCGAAGGAGGCCGTTGAGAAAGCTAAGACCGCTGTCCAAATCGATGATGCTATTCCCATCCGCCAATTCACCAAGAAGAACACTGTTGAGGGAGCCGAAGAGATCGAGCTGGACCTCGTCAAGGCCACCGGCGGTGATTCGGTTGTGGAGAATGTCGCTTCTAAGCTTAGTCGCGTGGTGCAACTGACCGGTTTCTCCGACTCCGTCTACGCCGAAGCTTACGTGACTGTTCACCAGTTCGATATTGTTCTTGATGTTCTACTAGTCAACCAGACCACCGAGACTCTGCAAAATCTGTCTGTGGAGTTTGCTACTCTGGGTGATCTCAAGGTTGTTGAGCGACCATCCACACACAACCTGGGACCTCGGGACTTCTTGAATGTCCAGGCGACAGTGAAGGTCTCTTCCACCGACACTGGTGTCATTTTCGGAAACATTGTATACGACGGTGCCAGTTCTACCGAGACCCATGTGGTCATCCTTAATGACATCCATGCCGACATCATGGACTATATCCAGCCTGCTCACTGCACAGAGACCCAGTTCCGTACCATGTGGACTGAGTTCGAGTGGGAGAACAAGGTTAACATTAACTCTAAGGCCAAGACTCTGCGCGATTTCCTGAAACAGCTGATGGAGAGCACCAACATGGCCTGCCTGACTCCTGATGCTTCTCTCAAGGGTGATTGCCGCTTCTTGTCCGCCAACCTCTATGCCCGAAGTGTATTTGGTAAGTCACTTTATTTCCTTCATTAACCTGACTATATATGACTAGATAGCTAACCAGACCCAGGCGAGGATGCTTTGGCGAATTTGAGCATTGAGAAGGAGGGCGATGATGGACCTGTTACCGGTTTTGTACGGATCCGCAGTCGCTCACAAGGTCTGGCTTTGAGTCTGGGTTCTTTGAAGGGCCTCAAAGCTGCGGCAGCATGAGTTAACATTGACACCTGATTCTATTATCCTCTGATTTCTTTGATTCCTTGTTTCCAGCGGGTTGCAGTCTATATGTCTTCCTCTTTCCTTTCACACTGTGTTGTTTCCCTTTTTCTATTTTGTTTTCATTTCTCTCTTCTTCCAAGACCAATTTGTGGGGGTCCATATTAGGGAGTCGAAAAATAGATAATGATTCTTGGCTGTTCATAAGACTATGACCAGTCTCTATGATGATAGTAATTGTAGTTCTCTGTATAGCTTGTATAGCCTGTACTACCTGCAGCATATCGATGCTATCACAAGCTTCAACACATTTCTCTTCTCTCCATGGGGGAATTCGCTTATTAACTTATAATGTAAATTGTAAGGTTCTTATTCCCGCAGAACTATCTCCATCAGTAGGAATTGATTATACATTTATGTAGTGGAGATTCCAATCGCCATAATGGGGGCCATTAATATACAGAGTAAGCAATGTCTTAGATCGCCACCAAGAAGTAAGATGGTTGACACTTAATGCAGCCCCTGGGGCCACAAAGCTGGCCAGATTTGCGCTTTCAGCCCCCATATACCCATACAAGTGGAAAAAGGTGAGGTAGCCTCGGACCACCATCTGTCTTAGTTAGGGGGGCCACTTCCCACGGTTACCAAAGACCCAGAACACCCGGAGTGTTGCGGCTTGTTGATCCGTCACTGCCCCCATATTCTTACTATTATTATCTCCAAGCTGCCCCCCGTCGCTTTTCCTCCCTAGTTTACCCTTCAATTCCGTCAGCGAATTCCTCTAGGGCTGGATATCCTCACGAGAAAAAGAAAAGAGAAGAAAAAGAATGGCGTCTTCCGATAAGCTGGCGTCCCCAATCTCGTCGGCCGGGCCCTCGGAGGCTCCGTTGGATCATGACTCGACTTTACGCGTCGCGAAGTCTGTCTCTTTGAGCCTCGGCACTGAATCTCTCCTGGTCGCCGGTAGGTCAGCTTCCAGCGCATATATACAATGGACTTGAACGGCTGCTAACGGGTGAAGACGACCGCCCTCACAAACCGGACCGTGGCTGCTGCGGACTGATCTCTTCAAGTAAGCTGGCCCCGCCGACGATCTAAAGTCAATCGCATTGTACGATACGAAAAGCTAACCTGTCGCTTTTCTTTCATGCAGAAGCAGAAACGAATACAAAGAATGCTATCTCCCTTTATAATGTTCTGGATGCGCAAGTGAACACATCCGATCTCGTCATCACATACGCCGCTCCTTCGAAAAATGAAGAGGTTACCGTGACATCTCTTCAATACACCATTGGCGATGAAGAAAGGAACACTGTCGAGAAATGGGTTAATGCGCTATTGGAACGCTCTTACGAGAATTCGCTACACAAAAAGCGACTGAAGGTGTTGATCAATCCGTTTGGTGGACAAGGCAAGGCTGTCAGTCTGTATGAGAAGTATGCAGCCAAGGTGTTCGCCGCGGCGCAGTGCAAGGTGGATGTACAAACTACGGAATACCGAGGCCAAGGCACGGAAATCGCTGAGAAGATTGATATCAATGCCTACGATGCGATTATCTGCTGTTCAGGCGATGGTTTGATGTTCGAAGTGCTGAATGGACTGGGCAAACGACCCGATGCGCGACTAGCGTTGGCCAAATTGGCAGTTGGACTACTCCCAGGTGGATCCGGAAATGCATTGACCTTGAATGAATTCGGTACAACCACCAATGTTTCAGTCGCAGCATTGGGTATTGTGAAGGGCGTTCGAACACCGTTAGATTTGATGTCTGTCTCTCAGAAGGATTCGCGGGTCCTTTCTTTCCTTTCTCAATCTTTTGGTATCATGGCCGACACCGATATTGGTACTGATAACATCCGATGGATGGGTGACAAGCGCTTCGTGTATGGATATCTAGTCCGCTTGATATCAAATGCGACATTTCCATGCGACATTGCGATCAAGGTCGATATCACCGACAAGAAGGAGATGAAGGAGCGTTATGCTAAGCTCGCGTCGCGCGAATGGAATGCATCGGCTGATCAGAGGCGCATTGAGGAGGCAGAGTTGTCTCCAGCGTTGCCTGAGCTCAAGTATGGCGGAGTTTCTGACGAGGTTCCTGCCGACTGGACCGTTGTTCCGGGTGAAAATATCAGTACCTTCTTTGCTGGTAACATGCCTTCTATGGGCAAAGACAACCAATTCTTCCCTGCCGCTTGGGCCGATGATGGATTCATAGACATTATCACGCTTGATAGTACTATTCCTCGTCTCCGTACGCTGAAGATGATGGACCAGGTCCCCAAGGCTGAATTCTTTGATAGGGAAGATGTGAATTATGTCAAGGCTTCTGCATATCGCCTTGTACCTCATCTGAAGGAAGGCTATATCAGCATTGATGGAGAGGAGATCCCCTTCGAAGCCTTCCAGACTGAGATTCATCAAGGCTTGGCCACGGTTCTGACCAAGACTGGGGCCGTGGAGGTACCTTTCGGTCCCTAATGGTATTACATACATTTAATACCTCTTCTGTGTCGACTTTTCTGGATTTTCTTTTCCTGCTGCTTCCGGTTTTCAACATTTGTCCAATACCCTTTCGCGGAGCGCTAGCGCCGATACAGCTATTGCTGTCACTTTCTGTTTGCACGTCTTTTCTCCTTGGATCTTAGCTGTGCTGATTAGATTCCGAAGGCGTGTGAGCGACTTATCACGTATATGTACAGTTGCTCTCGTGTATTTAGCTGACTGATATTCATATGAGCATTTTCTCCCATCCCATACTATATTTTATCATTCATGGTTTTGGATCTTCAATATGAAATGTATTGGCAGTATAAACTTTTGTAGGTGTATTCATAGTATCGCTAGGAAATGCTGTACATTAAATTTCAAACGACATGCCTTGTAAGACATCTATTCATCAAAACCACCCCACTCGCCATCGCTATCGACCTCCTCTTCAGGGTCAACACGAACTCTCCAACCCCACTCAATTAACCGGTCGTCATCCAACGCCTCTGACGCCCTTGTTCGCACAGGTTTATACGGACTCTCAGCACGCAACTTCTCCAATGGTTGCAACAGCAGCTCAACGGGGATATCTCCCTGAACCTTGCGTTCACCTTCTTCACCCTCAAACTCAAGCACCTTCTCCAACTCATCGATCCAAATATCAGCGACATGGTAGCGCAATCCATCCGGACCATGCGGCATAGGAATAAAATCGCTCTCAAGATCCTCTTCGGGCTGATCAGGATCGAAGTTAAGGGGACACATAGGTCCATCCTCAATTATATCAATATAAGCCGAGAGATCACCCCATTGTCCATCCAGCTCGGCATTTTTCTCGGTGCTATCATCAACTTGCTCCTCCGCGGCCTTCTTCTGCTTCTTCCCCTTGCCCTTCTTGGTCGAGTCTTCACGTTTGCGCTTCTTGCCATCGTCCTTTGTGTTCTTGTGGCCCTTTACGAAGATCTCAAATGCAACGCTCACATAGCAACGGATCAAGTAAAGGTACTTATCCAATCGCATGCGGTCAATGGAATGCCAGTCCCGGCCGATAGTGATCCAGAAAGCACGCAGGAAGCGGTGTAAAGTTGCGCGGGGAAGAGTGGGGACAAGAGAGTATGAGAGAGCGCGGGCAAGAGCCTGTTGAGTGAGCGGGCGATCGGAGTGGTAGACACCTGTAAGTTGTATAAGTATTTGCTTGCGACTTTGGAAACGAAATATATTATCCATGGAGGGGCATGGTTTCCTACAAAAAAAGAGACCCTTCCAGAGCTTGACCATGTCAAGGAGGCTTAGATCATTGCGCGAGCGCAGGAATAATGAAAGTGATTCGAGGGCTTTGTCGCGGATTTTCCGGTCTGTAAGATATAGCATTAATTTTCTTGCTTTTGGGCTTAGATTTTTGGCGAACGGGGGAAATTGCATATGGGGTACTCTTACCGCTTGATGCGAGGTCCCTAACGAAGGGAGTCTTCTGAATATCCGCCATGGTGATTGTCAATTGCGGATTGGTTCGTTGCAGCTCTTCGGGATGCGATAAAAAATAATTTTTGATACGGACGATGGGTGTTTGCATGGTTTGCACGGGAGCTGGAGTATCTAACCTGATTGGTTGAAAATTGGAGCCTCAGGTGTCACTGACTGTTCCTATAGTTCAAATCAAAGTGAATTCATAGTGTAATTAAATTGCACGTAGCTCATAGTATATTTGCATGAAACAAAGATTTTATCTATTATATTGCTGGTTTCAAAGATTTATTACTGAATCTTGCATCCGTTGTTCACTCAAATCGAGCAAAACAAATTATTGCCTCATTCGTGTCTCCTCTCTCAAAAGGTAACATTGAAGTTTTAGGAACCCGCAATGTTGACATCATGACTCTCAACGCGACCAAATAAGAAAAGAACTGCCCTGGTTCCATTTTTCGAGGCCCTGGTTCAGGAGAACGGTAGTTCATGAAATTTGAAAACTAAACTTCCTCCAGCCGCGATCCCTTGCGCTTTTGTGGTACTCGAGGAGTAATTCACCACCTCACCCCGGTCTCTCTTCTTTTACATCTCTACCTGAATTTCTGAAGCCTCTCTGAGAATCCACCCACGAATTCCTCGGTCAACATGACAGAGCAAGATGAGGTTTCTGAAATTTCCGAGGCGAGTTCTGCCCCGGACACATACCGAATATCCCATGGCAGCTCTGAAGCATTGCCGCAAGATGATCGGGCTGTATTCGAGCACATGCGCCCCGAGGACCGCGATCAATTGAGCCGAATAGCCTCCAATTTCCCTCGCCATCAAGCGGGTGATTCAGAACTCAGTGGAATGACCACCGTCGAGCGCAAAGACACGCTAGAAGATGTCGCACTAGGAGACCCCGTCCTTGACCCTGCGAGCGAGCAGTTCGACCACTACAAATGGGCTCGGATGATGCTGAAGCTTATGGACCGAGAAGGCGTTCCTCTGCGCAAATCCACTGGTGTGGTATTTGAGAATCTCAATATTTCTGGCTCCGGATCTGCACTACAGTACCAGAACAACGTGGGATCGGTTCCGCTAGCTCCATTTCGCCCTCAAGAGTATTTCTCGTTCGGAAAGCGCGTGCCACAGAAACAAATATTGAGGAACTTTGATGGTGTCCTTAAAATGGGGGAACTACTTATTGTTCTCGGTCGACCTGGTAGTGGCTGTTCTACTCTTCTCAAGTCTCTTACTGGGGAATTACACGGACTGAAGGTAGGGAAGGAGTCTAATATCCAGTTCAATGGAATTCCCATGGAGAGAATGTACAAGGAGTTCAAAGGGGAGGTCTTGTATAACCAGGAAGTTGACAAGCATTTCCCCCATCTTACTGTTGGCCAGACGCTTGAGTTTGCTGCTGCTGCTAGGAGTCCGGCGAATCGGCTCCATGGGCATTCGCGAACGCAATATGCTCAAAATATCACGCAGGTTGCTATGGCCGTTCTTGGTTTGAGTCATACATACAATACTAAAGGTATGTTGTCTGATATAATATGGGGACATCTAGCTAATACCTCTTCAGTCGGCGATGATTACATCCGAGGCGTCTCTGGTGGTGAGCGAAAGCGTGTTAGGTATGTTACTATTCTCTGGCTTGCCTCCGTGATGTTAGCGATATTAATGATGTTTCTAGCATTGCTGAGATGGCTCGTATGTTCATATTCCTCTCCCTTGACCTTACTTCCCCCAACTCACCTTCTCGCAGTTTCCGGTGCCCCAGTTGGTGCATGGGACAACAGTACTCGAGGACTAGATTCCGCGAGCGCTCTGGAATTCGTCAAATCTCTACGGGTATCCGCAAATCTTACCGGCAGTTGTCATGCTGTGGCCATCTACCAAGCATCCCAGGCAATCTATGATGTTTTCAACAAGGTCATTGTGCTTTATGAGGGTCGTCAGATTTTCTTCGGGAGATGCAGCGAAGCCCGCGATTACTTCATCGAGATGGGCTGGGACTGTCCACCTCGACAGACAACAGGGGACTTTCTGACATCAGTGACAAATCCCTCCGAAAGAAAAGCTCGAGATGGGATGGATGATAAGATTCCTAGAACTCCCGATGACTTCGAGAAGTATTGGAAGAAGAGCCATCACTATGCGACTCTGCAAAACGAAATCTCACAGTACCACGAAAACTTCCCGCACGGCGGAGCTGCTGAGAAGGATCTTTATGACACAAAAAGACAGCGACAGGCAAAACATGCTCGCCCAAAAAGCCCTTATGTTATTACCATTCCTATGCAGGTTCGCCTGTGTGTAAAAAGAGCATATCAACGGTAGGTGTTTGAATGCAACCAAATAATATTTTGTGTCCTTCTATCTAACTACGTTTCTAGTATTTGGAATGACAAACCGGCTACCTTGACAACTGTCATCGGTCGGATCGTCATGTCTCTAATCATCGGGTCGATCTATTTCGGGTGAGCTACATGTTCGCTCTACTTGCGAATTGACTATTGCAGAGATTAATTATCTTCTCTTTTTTCAGGACTCCAAACGCCTCTGCTGGCTTTCAAAGTAAAGGAGCTGCATTGTTCTTCGCTGTTTTGATGAACGCACTCATCAGTATCACCGAGATCAATTCGCTTTACGATCAGCGGCCTATCATCGAGAAGCAGGCATCATACGCCTTTGTACACCCCTTCACAGAAGCTCTGGGGGGTATCGTTGCCGATATCCCAGTAAAATTCGTGTCGGCAGTGGTCTTCAACATCATCTTCTACTTTTTAGCTGGACTGGTAAGCTACAGCTATTACAAACCACTGCTTTCTTTCTAATTCTAACCAAACTATAGCGCTACGAGCCTTCTCAATTCTTTATATTCTTTCTCTTTACTTTTCTCAGTACTCTTGCCATGTCGGGAATCTTTAGAACTCTTGCTGCCTCTACAAAGACGCTTGCGCAGGCCATGTCCATGGCCGGAGTCATTGTGTTAGGAATCGTCATCTACACAGGATTCGTGATTACAGCACCCGAAATGGCCAAGATTCCTTGGTTTAGTTGGATTCGCTGGATTAATCCAGTCTTTTACACCTTCGAAGCATTGATTTCCAACGAATTCCACGGCCGCCGATTTGAGTGTTCTTCGTTTGTTCCAGCTTATCCCAATCTTTCTGGTGACTCGTTTATCTGTTCAGTTCGAGGTGCAGTCGCAGGAGAACGAACAGTGTCTGGTGATGCCTACATTGAAACCCAATACTCTTACTCATATGGGCACGAATGGAGAAACCTCGGCATACTAATCGGCTTTTGGCTGTTCTTCACGGCTCTTTATCTACTTGCATCAGAGTTGAATTCTTCTACCTCGTCAACAGCCGAATACCTCGTGTTTCGAAGAGGCCATGTACCTGCCCAACTACGTCACCTAGAGAAGGGCGGTGATAGCTCAGCACAGGTGGCACCAGTCGTCGAAGATTCCGGAAATAAGAAAGATGACACATCTGCCATACCATCACAACACGATGTTTTCACATGGCGCAATGTTTGCTACGATATTCCGGTGAAGGGTGGTGAACGACGTCTACTGGACAACGTTTCTGGATGGGTAAAACCAGGCACTCTCACTGCCCTTATGGGTGTCTCGGGGGCTGGAAAGACTACATTGCTGGATGTTCTAGCTAAACGTGTCTCAATTGGTGTCGTGACAGGTGATATGCTGGTGAATGGCAAACCTCTTGATACAAGTTTTCAAAGGAAAACAGGTTACGTCCAGCAGCAGGATCTTCATCTTCCTACAACTACTGTTAGGGAAGCCCTTCGCTTCAGCGCAATGCTACGCCAGCCGAAGACAGTCTCCAAGAGCGAAAAGTATGAATACGTGGAAGACGTAATTGATATGCTTGGTATGCAAGAGTTCGCAGATGCTGTTGTCGGCGCTCCTGGCGAAGGCCTGAATGTTGAGCAGAGAAAGCTCTTAACTATTGGGGTTGAGCTAGCTGCTAAGCCAGCACTTCTAATCTTCTTAGATGAACCTACAAGTGGGTTAGACTCGCAAAGTTCTTGGGCTATCTGCTCTTTTCTAAGAAAGTTAGCCAAGCATGGGCAAGCCGTTCTCAGCACTATTCATCAGCCGAGTGCACTGCTGTTTCAAGAATTCGACCGCTTGTTATTTCTTGCAAAAGGAGGTAAAACAGTTTACTTTGATGAGATTGGAGAGCAATCGCGGACTTTACTAGACTATTTTGAGGGAAATGGGGCTCGAATTTGTGGCTCGTCGGAAAATGTAAGTCGCTTCCAAGTCTCTAATCACTTTGGTTTTAACCGATTTATCAGCCTGCGGAGTACATGCTGGAAATTATTGGTGCTGGAGCATCTGGAAAAGCCACGAAAGACTGGTCTGTTGTATGGAACGAAAGCAAACAGGCAAAAGACGTACAGTCTGAACTTAACCGAATCCACGAAGAGCGAGTTTCTGCTACAGGCAATGAGAAGTCCACTGAGCAGAGTGAATACGCTATGCCATTTGCGTCTCAGCTGCTTTATGTCACACATCGCTCTTTCCAGGCTTTCTGGCGCGAGCCTTCTTACGTCTGGGCAAAGATCTTGTTAGCCACTCTATCTTCACTGTTCATCGGCTTCACCTTCTTCAAGCCAGACAGCTCATTGCAGGGCTTCCAAGATGTCATTTTCTCGGCTTTCATGCTGTGCTCGATTTTTTCCACCATGGTTCAGTCCATCATGCCAAAATTCGTGGTCCAGCGATCTCTCTATGAAGTGCGCGAGAGGCCCTCAAAGGCCTATTCATGGGCTGCATTCCTTATCGCAAATGTCATAGTTGAAATACCCTATCAAGTATTTGCAGCAATCATCGCATGGGCCTGCTACTACTATCCAATCTACGGAGCAGAACAAGAATCTCATCGTCAAGGCTTGATGCTTCTCTTCGTCATGCAGTTTTACATTTTTACATCCACCTTCGCGGCATTGGTTATTTCTGCTCTTCCAGATGCCGAGACCGGTGGTACTATCGCAACTCTCATGTTTATCATGACTCTCACGTTCAACGGTGTTATGCAACCACCGAGCGCTCTGCCTGGCTTCTGGATATTCATGTATCGCGCCTCGCCACTCACGTATCTGATTGCCGGTGTGACAGGCACGGGCCTACATGGTCGATTAATTCACTGTGCAACTGCTGAGCTCAGTGTTTTCAACCCCCCAAGTGGATTGACTTGTGGTGATTACTTGCAACCATATGTCAGCGCTGCTGGGGGTCAGCTTTACAACCCTGCTGCCACAAGCAATTGCCAGTACTGTCAATTGTCCAATGCGGATCAATATCTGGCTGCGAGCAATATCTGTAAGTTGATTGGTTTCTATCGGGGCTGAGGATTTCTCTTTTGATTTTACCAAGGATTATGCTAATTATAATCTGTAGACTACAGTGAACGCTGGCGTAACTACGGGCTTGGATGGGTTTACATAGGTTTCAACATCTGCGGTACAGTGCTGATGTACTACATGTTCCGGGTCAAGCATTACAACCCTACTTCCTTGGTTCGTGGTATCGGCCGGGGCGCCTCATTTCTTTGTCGTGTGTTCAAGCGTCGATCAGGAGAGACACCAAAAGGAAAAGAAGCAAGCAACGGTCGCCTTGTTTGAGAAGCCTACACAAAGACGCATTGTGACATATGTGCTATTTTAATGGTTATAATTGTGGGAAATATCTTACATATCTTTCCAAGTTTCTTCTTCAACCTTGTTCCCAAGTGACTTAATGTCTGTAATGCCACTAGCTTTATGTACCCCTGAGTAGTTGAGATAGATACATAGAATATTAGGGAAGCTAAAAAAGACGTATGAAGACATGTAGCCATCTAATTTAGGCTCCAACAGCTCTTAAGAGCCTAAAATTTGATCTGCAGCATCTTTAATGCAGGGGTGCCACCTTGTATCGAGTGCATCTGTAATAGAAGCAATCAATCTTGCCGGTCTTCCCCCAAAATACCAACACAATTCCATCCGCTTCATAATAACACAGTACCAAGCCAGAAGAATCAATGCTCCAGGATGTCTCACAAAGATCAAATCATAAAACTCATTATCAAGACGCACACACCAAAGACCCAGAATATTCCATGTGCTCACGTCAGGCTTGATAGTCTCAGACTTCATATAAGCAAACGCATCAGCCAAGATGCTTGCTCCATCCCGATAAACTGAAATGACCTTCTCCGACCAAGATCCATCTTCTGGGATAAAACACATAAACTTTTCTAGATAAGGAATCTTGCTATCACCAACATCAAGCTCAATTTCCCATGCATCAGCCAAAGCAGACGCCGGTCCCCTTTCAATCTGCTCCCAGACCTGATCCAGCATCTCACAGCCGACTCTAATAAAGTGAAGCCATTGAGGAAGAATAAATTTATTTTCTTTCGGACCATCTGCCGTGTCATTAATCAGGAGAAGGGAGTTTTGGCCATTATCAAGTTCCGTTGCGAAAGAGAATACGACGAGCAAATATGCAAATGCCATTATTGCATCACAGTTCTGGGGCGTAGGGTGTTCGAGCTCACCCCGGAAGAGTGGGAGTGCCGTATCTTGGTGGGTATAGGCTCGTAGAACGTACAGTTCACGTTGAAGCGGGTATATATGCGCCATATGCAGTGCTGTACAGGCCAGGATACCATGTATCAGAAACTGATGGCAAGATGCAAGGTCTGCAACAACATTAAGCCAGACTTTTTCTGTCTGATTTCTTTTAGAGAAGCTTTTATATGATGAATAGAAATAGTGCTCTAGCATTAAAGAGTCGACGGCGTCTAGCCTATAGCTGTGCCGCATCTTTTGAATACAGCCCGATGCATTTGGGAGGCTTTGTGAGCTTGGCTTCAACTGATTGGGGCCATCGGTGGTGAAATAGCGCAGCGAATTGCCTCTGAAGAAAGTTTGTAAAGGCGCCGGTGTCCAATCATGACTTGGATTTCCTTTAGATCCGTGCTTGGAAGGCCAGTGGGTCTCCATTCGTTTTATGGAAGCGCACAGATAATCGCAGCCCGGTGCCCGGCATCTCCATCCCTGTTCAAGGGGGAGATATGGCATCGGAAATTCATTATCTGGGGGACTTGATACATCCTCGGGGGCTTTCAAAGCAAAGTTGCTTGCATATAAAGTGTATGGACGTCGTTGCTCGTTTTGGAGACGATGGATATCTTTTAAGTGCCGAGCAACGCCTCCCGGCTTGATGGCATGCCGGCAAGCCGTGCAAATTAATATTTCGTATATAGGAAAGTATTTGAGGAGCTCCGGAGGCGAAGGGAGATTTTTGTTAGGCGCATCCTTAGACCTAGTGGCGGATCGGGATTGGAGCGAATCCCCACTCCGCACGGCGGGCATTTTCTCCTGAAGTTCGAATCAAACCAGGTCGCGTAATCAATCGGGCGGATTTTAAAAACGGTTTCTATGGGCTTCTTTTCTCCAGTAGCCAATATTTCGTAAATGGACAAAAATAAGGAGGAGGGAGTAAGAAGTGAGCAGGAATATCGAGGCTGACCAACGCTCTAAAGTGGGTCTGAGCTAGCATATAACAGCCAATTATACCTCATATATCCAGCGGTGCCGTTCTTCGCTAAAACCGATCTTCCAAATGTGGAGTCACAAGGCATGAAACCCCACGAGCTAAGTCTCAAACACGGTCATAAAGAATTCGTAAGCCCATTATATCCGAGCAAATCAGATAGAACTTGTCTGCCTTGAACTTGGTCCAATCACACGGATTCATTTCGCCGGTCCCGTTCTATTTAGAAAATGTTTTACACCCGGTGATAGCTCTATATCGCCTTGATGGACGCGATTTGACTACCAAGACTAGCTTTTACAGGACTAGATGTATTCGAACTTCGTTCCGTCGGGGTGATATTCTGGCCGAATATGAGATTTATTATCATTGATCGGCGGGTCTAAAATGTATAAATATTTAGACATTCGCGTTGGTCCTATCGCGGTTCTACCTACCTCCTTCACAAGTCTTTGAATAATATCTTGAATCTCAAGATCCCTGACCAATTTTTCAACATGTCAAAAAGCTTTCAATCCAGTATCCTAGTGACTGGTGGCACCATCGGACTAGGGTATCAGTGTGCATTAGCAATAGCCCGCGAATGTCCAACTCACGAAGTCATCATCGCCTCACGAACCGACAACGGCGCCGCAGAGAGAATCAATAAGCAGCTTAACAGCTCTAATATCCGATTCATGAAACTTGACCTCTCAAGTCTCTCTCAAATCCGTAAATTTGTGACGAACTGGGAATCGAAAAACCTCCTACCAATCTCCTCGCTTGTCTTCAACGCCGCTCTCCAATTTCCCGGTGCAGCAGAATACACCGAGGATGGGTTTGAAAAGACATTCGGCATCAACCATGTAGGACATGCACTTCTGTTCTCTCTCCTCAGACCCCATCTTGCCGACACAGCTCGAGTCGTCATCACGGGAAGCGGCACGCATGATCCCGCACAGAAGTCAGGCTTGCCTGATGCTTTTTACCACACTGCGGAAGAACTCGCATCTCCAACTTCGAAACACACGAGCAGCAATGGTCGCCAGCATTACACAAATACCAAATTGGCCAATGTGCTTTACATGTATGCACTGCATCGTCGGTTCTTGAAAATAAATGCGAAAACCGGAAAACATTGGACTGTTACCACGATGGATCCTGGCTTGATGCCTGGTACCGGACTTGCACGCGAAGCGAACGGATTTGTAAAGTTCCTTTGGTTTCGAGTCTTGCCGCGTCTTATTCCCCTTTTGCGACTGCTTATTTCACCAAATATTCATACGGCTCAGGAATCGGGAGAGGCATTGGCGATATTAGCTGTTGGGTCGGATGTTGAAGGTGTAAGCGGTGCTTATTTCGAGGGTAAGAAGAAGATCGAGTCTAGTAAGGATAGCTATGATGAGGAAAAGCAGGAAGATTTATGGAATTGGACTGTTAATGCGGTTGCTCGCGATGAGGAGAAGGTGGACTTCAAGCTGGATAATTTTTAAGGGGTGGGATTTGTCTGGGTTTGTATTTATAGTATTTCCAGTGACCCGCGTTTAGTCTGGCCTCTCAGGTTCAACTTGAAGATAATCATTTTGTGAAACATTGGAATTCGACAGGAATAAGTAGGGAAGAGACCGCTTCACACTTGCAAGGTTAATATATATTGTGCTACATTTTGGAGCCCTGAAAATACCTAGGTAATTAAGACATATCCATGGATCCTTGGGGGAAAACATATGATGATTGTTAAGTATTAGTAATCTCATGAGAAGTGATGATAAAATGAGCCAAGCATGTATTCCTACACAATTTTAATGAACAGTGACTTAAAATCTACGATCAGGATGCCTGATAGTGTGTTGTTATCTTTGAATAGCCTTTAATAGCCTTGGATCAAGATCCACTACATGAACTAGCATCATTGGTCTAGTGGTAGAATTCGTCGTTGCCATCGACGAGGCCCGTGTTCGATTCACGGATGATGCATTTCTTTTTGCTTTAATTGTCTATCTGTACAATGCCAATTTATTCTGTTGAGTCCTTTTTTTTTACTCGTTGGCGCATAATACACACTTCTCCTGCTATGGTACGAATTGGTTGGATGAGATATATTATTAGACAAATGGTTGCTTCTTATTCCTAAGAAGATCATCATGCTAAATAGAGAACATATGTCGAAGCGTCGCAGCGCGAAGCCATGCAAAATTGAACAGGGGGTATTGTGCAAAGAGGAGATGATAAACGCCACAACGCTATAAAGGGGAGATCTGAGACACGAAAGATAGAAGACAGAGATCGATCAAGTATGATCGGTCTGAACCAAACCATAAGGGTGCAAGTATGAGTGCAATCAATAGCCATGATCATGATCTTGAGGCCTGAAAAGCAACGAGGGCATTGATAACATGACCAGTCTGCCAGCCCTGGTCAACCAAGGACTTGTTCTCCTTCAACATATGACCTAAATAGGCAATGCGAACCTGGTGGTGCATCGGAACCTTCGCGCACAATTAGTTCAAGAACCAGTGAATCAACATAAACATAACCAGCACACTCACATCAGCCTTCTCCTGCACCTTTCTCGCCAGAAAACCCACGCTCTGACTCTTACCAACCAACAGCACCAGGTCCCGACCACCATCACTCAACCTAGCTACCACGCGGATTAAATCCCGCTCACGAGTCTTCCCCTTCTCGTCTCTCCGCCGCTCCACATCCGCAGCAGACTGTATGAGTTCATCCCCCGACGCATCATCCACAGCCAGCTTTCCATCCGAAAGTCCGTCTTCTTGTTCTTGTCCCGAATCAACGGCTTGCTTCGACCGCGCCCGTGACTCCTCAACCATATTGCTCGGATCACTCACAATGCACTGCGGAAGCCGATACAGTACACCTTGTTCATCGTAGCATCCCTCACATAGATCGCCCGTTGGAACAGTTACGCCCGCTGCATCGATGATGCTTTGCGCTGTTGCGGTTTCGCCTTCTTGAATGAGGGAGATGGCTGTTGAGAGTGCGGCCCAGATCTCCGGGCGTCCTGTGACGCGAGTATCGAAGAACTCGGTCCGTTCACGGTCAAGATCGACGCGCGTCCAGATGCGATGCTTGCTACTCCATATGTGTGGGCGGACGGGGGTATTGTAGTGCTGGTCTAATGGGAGGTTGGTCGTGCGACGGGGTGGCGGGTTAGAGTCATGTTGGTCGGGTTGCGCGATGTGCTCTTGTATTGAAGAGGGAGAGTCTTGTGAGGTGTCGTGGTTATCACGCGATTGGATTGAGGCACAGCAGCCCTGTAATTAGTTAGATCTTGTTTTTTCTTTGTTGGACGTGAGGAGGTGCGGAGATCGGAATTTGGGGTCAGGTGGTACGTTGAGATGCAGGAAAAAGATGCAACCTTTTCAAGGTTTTCCTTGTTCACGCTGGAAAAAAAACATAGTCTGGTATAGATCAAGTACTTACCATGTTGTAGACAACACCGGCGCTCCATACAATTAGGAAGAGGGGAAGATGCGGACGGAGAGGGGTGGGTCGAGTCGCCCGCGGAATTATTGAGAGGCTCTCACTAGAGCAGAGAGCTTGGGGTCCTTGAGGATAAGTCCTAGAGTACACCAAAAGATATTAATTGATACCTATTGTATCCGACGGAGAGAATTCAATGGCAAGTCTCTAAAAGATAGGGCTGTTTATCATAATATCGCTATATCATTATTGTGATACAATAATATTACACTGTATGGCCGGCTTTTATCTTAGCGATCTTAATGTATAGCAACAGAGAAGATTACGGTGAAGAGTGGCAGAAAACGATGAGGATATAGTGCAGGTTAAGTAAATATTCCTTGAGAAATATACAGAAAAGTGGGTGAAGAAACACCGGTCGAGACATTCCACGAGTCTTAGGCTTTGGACTAAGCATTTGGGCTTACTCCATCCTGTTCCTTGTCCCGGCTGTAGTTGGATTGGCTATAAATACACTGATTGGGCTGCCTGATCCTGGTACATAGTTATACGTTTGTGTATCCTTGCTTACATAAGATAAAAATAGGTAACTTATTAACTTTATTCTTCATCTTCATCATCGCTGCCAAAAATTGCTTTGAAGATATCATCACCTGGTCGTTCTGCCTCGATGGCCTCGTTATGCTCAGGCTCCACCGGTGGTGGCGCAGGCTTTGACTGGGCGCTGCCTTCACCCGAGCCGGGGACGGGCTGACGCCCTGACTCAATCATAATCATGTTCATCACCTCTTGTGAAACCAAATCTTTAGGCCCCGCGTCAGTCTGATACCCACCAGACTGGAAGCGAGTGCCAGGTCCTTTCGAACTTCCAGAAGAAACGCCAGGGTCAAGCTGAACATGCTCGGGGGGTTTTATATTGAATCTTTTACAGAGCAATCTCGTAGGAAAGAAGGTAGTCGTACTTCGAGTCAATTGCCCGAACATACCAACTTTGGCGGCAGCCACCGCGGGATCATCGAGTTTCTCGGAGGGTCGACTAACAGGGGAATCCGATGAGTCGGGTGCATCGGATGCAATCTTGGGCCCTGAAGAGGCCGATGTAAACCGGGATGCCATGACACCGGACATGGGCTTGAAAACTTCGGCTGCCCGAGCAAACTCATTCATCTCGGTCACCCATTCATCGGTGCTAGAACCCGGTACTCGGTCTGGTAGAGTATCGCGAAGACCAGCACGAATTTCGATAAAGGTCCGATAGCGAGACCGTTTGTTTTCATCTTCTGAGTAAGGCATCCAACCACTGACACCTCGAGTTAAGGCTTGAACAGCTGTCTGTTTGTCTAAATTTGGAACAAGATCCCAGAGATCCCTTCGTCGGTCGGCTTCTGATAATTCGTATCCCTTCGGGGCCTTTTCACTCATTGCTGGTGGTAGATTTGTATTTCCAGTGAGATTTGCAATCCGTTCCCGGGCCTCTGGTGTCATCCAGTCGAAGATTGATTTTCCTGGTAATTGAGTCTCGCCCAGAGCTGCAGCTCTGGAGGTGGGATTGAGAGTAGAAGCTTTTGCCGCATCTGCCGTAGAAATATATGATGCACCTTCAGTTGTGGGTTTTCTGCAGGATGTCCAGCCCTCAGGAATTTGTGGAGGCTCATATTTTTTGTCCGAGATCGACAAGCCGGACAGACTATCCGCCAAAACGAATCCATCTAGTGGTAATCTTCCGTCACGACATTTTCTGAACCCCCCAGCACTGCGAGCTGCAGCGACCTTTTTAGATATAAAAACGGGCTTGGCGTTGAGTAGCGGATTTGAGGATGCGCTTGTTGGCTTCGCCTCTTTTGTTTTCTTCTTCTTGCCGCCAATGCTCTTATTATATGAAATCTGTGGGCCAAGCGAGTAAGGGTCTTCATCATCCGATCCTGTATCATTGAGAATACCCACGCCAAATCCACTGCGTTGTTGAGATTTCTTCGCAGGTTTCTTTTTGTTCGACAAACGATCCCCAAAGAAAGAGTCATCCTCTTCCTCTTCGTCGTTATTTTCCTCGCTAGGCTTTTCGAGCTGTGTCTCACCTAGAAAACCCAAGCCCTTGTGATCTTTCTTTCGTATAAACGCGACCATCGGCGGATTCTCCGGTGCAAAAAGGTATGTCTCCTCCGATGCGCCCGTCGTAGCTTTTTCCCCTAGATCAGCTTTGCGTCGAATTTTTGGCCCAATGCCCTGCCCTTCCCTCCAGCCCATTTTCTTTAACAGCTTCACTCCCATGGTCTCTCCGCCCGTCTTGAGCAAGTCCATGAAACCTGCTCTGCGCGTAGGATCCGCCTCTGTTGAACCAAACCCCGCAAAGCCTTCCGTTGTATTCAAAATGCGCGATTCATCCTGTTCTCTTAGATCCTCCTCATCCATGAAGTCCTCCGCTCGTTGTTCGGCCTTTTTGGCATCTCGGGCGCGATTCTGACGTGACGAGACGAACGTCGCAGGGGTCCATCCTTCTTTCGAGCCAACCGTATTGAAGTACCTTTGAGATGTTAGATGGTGTACATGCGCTATACCGAGGAGAATAAAGCTTACCCTGCACTAAAGCCACCGGTAAAAGCACCGTGGAGTCTCTTTCTCCCCCGCTCGTCGGTCACCTCCTGCTTCCAGATGGGCTGGTAGGAGCCATCGTCACGCGATCCTTCCTCTAGGGGTGGTAGAGGAGTTCCAAAGAAAGCATAGGGTGAATGAGACAGATCAGCCTCGTAGGCGGCGCGAGGACGCTTTGCGGCCATGCTTTCGAGACAACATTTGAAGATGAAGATGTTCTTGATTCGCGGAGATTAGCGCGGCGGAGGTGGATGTCTTGGCACTGACACCGATAGCTGGAGCCAATCACGGCCATGCGAAGTATAGAGGGACAATCTCAAGATTCTTCATCGCAACGTATCACAACATGAGATTAATGGCCATATTTTGTAAGCTTGGCTGAGTGTTTTTGAAGTAGTAATTTAATGGGTATCGCTTTTTCAACTTGAAATCTTATCATGCCCTGCCTCGGGCTTTTAGTTGACTGTGGCTAAAAGTTACCGTATAAGTATTCAGATGTTGTGAGTTGGCGTAGTAGTGCCTATTTCTATTTGATATATTCAGATCATGATGTAATATACATTTTAAATCTTCGAAAATTCTGCACTGAAAGGGTAGTCAATGAACCCTTCTGGTGACTTGGGCTTATAAAACTGAGTTCTGTCGTACTGCTCCAGATCGAGGCCGTGTTTTATACGGAATGGTAGGTCTGGAGTAGAAATGAAATAGCGACCAAAGACCACCACAACCTGATAACCAGAATAGTCCTTCTCAACCACTTTCCTAGCAGTGGCAGGTTTGAAACCACCTGCGAGGAGGATAGGTCGTTCAGGACCCCAGGCTTTAATCGCCCAATCCAGACTATCACTGCTTTCGATGTCCGTATTTCCAGAAACCCGAGACTCTACTAAATGAATATAGGCTAGGTCCAGAGTGCGGAGTTGATTGATTAAATGGGTAAACTGAGGCACTGGGTTCGCCATGCCCATGCCCTGGAAAGTCGACCAGGGACTCAAACGTAAAGCTGTACGATGAACGCCAATCGCATTGACCACTGCCTGAACTGCCTCGACACAGAAGCGAGATCGTGCTTCAATTGATCCTCCATATCCGTCCTCTCGCTTGTTGGAGACGTCCTGGATGAACTGGTCGATGAGGTAGCCATTCGCACCGTGCAGCTCGACACCATCGAAACCCGCTTCGATAGCATTTTTTGCTGCTTGGGCATAAAGGTTCACAAAATCCGTGATATCAGATTCTGTCATCGCTTTCGCTGGTAATTTGGTCTCATCTTCTGGAATCGCACTTGCGCTCAGTCGCTCAATGCCCTCTTTTTCGGAGATGGAAGGGTCAGCAGAGCGACCGAGAGCCCAGAGTTGACAAAATATGTAGGATCCCTTGGCATGTACTGCAGCTGTAATCTTCTTCCAAGCTGCTATCTGTGCAGCATTGTAAATGCCGGGAATGTTGGGTCCTCCACCAGCACGAGCATCGATGAAGGTTCCCTCGCTCACTAGCAAAGTCCCAGGGAACGAACCTCGCTGTGAGTAGTAATCGGCGACAAACGGAAGAGGAACATGATCATCGTCTGCTCGAAATCGAGTCAGCGGAGCCATTGCTATCCGGTGGCCCAGGGTAACTGGGCCCACCTGTAGTGGCTTAAAGAGAGGTGACTCTGCGCTCATCTTTAATTGAGATATGTGACGAATGACACAAGCTATTGGGGTATTTGGCTTGAATGTAGAACTTGAAAAAAAAGAATATATAGTTTGACATAAAACGCCAAATAACTTGAATTAATAATCACCTCTGTGGGGTTCTTCAGGGCCGCAGAATCGCCGTGATTGGGTTGGAGATGATACTGTATACCGCAATGAAAAAAGGGATCCATAATTTGCCACAAACATTTTATTTCTAAGCAAGAATCACGGCAGATAAGACGGCAGATCGACACATGTACAGTAAGTACATGAACACACATTGACTAACGATAAAAGGAGATGAAAAGAGAAAAAAGGATGACTAAGAAAGAATAATGAGATTGAAAAATCAACAAATCTTTCATGGCGAGGACTTGATTTACCATAAGACAGTTGAACTTGTTTCTACAAGCCTCATGCTATCAAAGGCTTGGAAGCTAGCAAGAGAAGAAATTGGTTTTGCTTCAAACATAAGCATCACAGTCTGACATATAGAGTCATATTTTCTTGTGGAGGTTCCTTGACTTCTAGATAGATATGAATTGTTTAAATATTATGAGAGTATCTCATTCGCCGTTCTGAATCTAAATTTCGACGATCTATGATTTTTTTCTTCACTGAGAGTATTTGGTCGACTATTTGTAAGGTGAGTGTGGAAGTAAAGCTGCTACCTCTTCATATACGGAGAAAACAATGCCACCACTCAGTAACAATCGGCCTAATCGCATAGAGCTGCCTTTCCAAAAACCTCGAATTCCGTAATCGCGGAGCACGCTACGAACGGCCTCGCCAATACCAGCTCCCTGAACACTCTGGGCTCGCGTCTTGATTGTATCAAACGGTTGAGTAGCATAGACCGTCACCACACCCGCCAATGCTCCCATACTGAAATTTGTGTATACACTCGGCGCGGCACCTTGCGATTTGGCGACTTCTTTAAGAATATTGTATGTTCCCATACGCACAGCAGATGTAGCAGATTGCTTGATTGTGGTAGAGACGAGGCCGCGATATAGTTCACGGGGACCGTGATCCCGAACTAATATAGTGGCGGCATGTAAGCTGGATTGAAATTGTCGAGCATTTTTCGCATCATCAATTCTACCAACGAGTGTTTAATGAGCTTCTCTTCACGATTATCGGGGATAATTCACTAACAAGGCAGTCTTGATTCTTTCAGTTGGCGTGACAGCCACAAAGCTCTCGACGGCACCAGCAACCATTCCGGCCAAAATGCCACGTCCTGCAGAAAGTGTTCCACGATCATCGGCCAAGGAATTCCGGATAGTGTCGTATGATAGAAAGCGCACGGCTGCTTTCGCGGTGGTGCCCTATATCGTGTGAAAAGTGTTAAATGCTTCCCAATATTTCACCATCGCGATAAAAGACTAACAATGACAAGAGTGGAGCATCCAGTATACAATGCTCCAGTCCCTTCTTTTTGAGCAACCTGAAGGATTACTCGTAGCGGATTTGAGGGACCGGCTTCGACGCCATGTTGTAAGAGCTGCACACGAGTTTTTGAATATTCAAAAGGGTACTAGAGATTTTAGTATTCTGGATTATCATTCATAGATTTGTGATCAGGCGTGTTACCGTGACTGCTGCTTCCACACCCCCTGCCACTCCTCCTGCAACTAATGAGACCCACTGCGGGGTGCGTTGCTACAGGTGGTTAGCATACTTCGCTCCTAACTAAGGCTTCCTGGACTTGAAGGGAAACATTTACTTTTTGTGCGTTTGCGACAGCAGTCCCGGAGGGAGGCGTATTACTTGCCTCCATGACTGTCAAATTTTAATTTTGAAGATTGAATTTTTTGGTCAAGAAAATCGCGATTGGGGTTAATTTATTCGGTCCAACTCCGAAGTTAAAGTTATTGGCAGACGGAACAGAACTTCCCGCGGAGAAAAATAATTATATAGCCGAACTCGGGAATCCGCTCCTCCCGGATTCTGACCGGAGTCAAACATTTTGAACAATTTTTATCCATGGGAGGCACAACTGCGTCCAGGGCCCGCAGAGCTGCTAAGGCGTGTGCGTTTTGCAAGCAGAGGAAGTTGCGCTGCGATAACGAGAAGCCGACTTGCTCGAGTTGCAAAGGGCATGGAAAAGAATGCGTCTACATAACGGGCCCGGAAAAGCCAAGGCCGTCCAAGGCACGCCTTTCTCGTTTAGAGGCAGAGAACTATCAGCTGCACCAGCGACTGGCTGCCATTGAGGCTCAGTCGGAAGAAGGAAGTAGATCCGCGGAAGCCAGTGAGGATCAGCCGCAAATTGAAATGCAAGAATCGTCCGTCGAGGAGGTCGTAAGACGATCAGAAGCTGATCAGAGTCGGTCTGCTGTATCGCGAATATTTATTTCTGCCAATGGCGATTCGAGCTATCATGGGCTCACGAGCACTTTATTTGACGATGCGCCGATGGACAGACGCAGCCAGATGCGGCTGACCGATCCTCAGGTCCCCGTGGAGCATATTAAAAAGCGGTTGATGGGGGAAGCCGCTTATCAGCGTAGGTCAACTTTCTCCATGTGATATACATGAAGCCTAATTATGGTGTAGGGCAATTGGAGATAATGAACATGCGGGAGGGCAAGCTGGACTTTGATGGAGTCGACCCAGAGCTAGGCATGCACTTACTGTCGTTGCATTGGAACCGCCAGCACCACTCTTTCTTGATCACCTATCGCCCAGCTTTTATGCGTGATATGGCCAATAATGGGCCTCACTTTTCTAAGCTCCTCTTGAATGCAATATACTTTGGAGCTTCGAAGTTCAGTAATCGACCCGAGGTACGTCGAGACCCAAACGATGCCCGGACAGCGGGATGGATTTTTCGCATGAGAGTCAAAGAACTCCTCGGAAGTGCTCTCGATCGCAGTGAGATCACTACAATACAGGCACTGCTAGTAATGACCAGCTCCCTATTTGCTCTAGGTGATGAACGAAGTGCGGCGTGGTTATATGCCGGTACAGCCTTTCGAATGATTATTGACTTGGGAATGCACGTGGATGCCACGATGCTGAGAAACATGCGTCAACTTTCGGATGAAGATCTGGAAATACGCCGTCGTGTATTCTGGGGAGCATTTGTGGTCGATAAGGTCCAAGCGCTATATCAGGGCCGGCCTGCAAGCCTGCAGGACTTTGATACAAAAGTTTCATTGTCTTTTCTAGATCATTTTGAAGAGCTGGAAAATTGGCAGCCATTTGCATACTCAGATGTGCAGTCGTATCTTGGATCTCCCGCTTATAGTGTGTCTACGTTCGCCGAGCTATGTAAACTTTCTTTGATCCTGAATGGTATTTTGAACAAAGTTTACTCGGAAAGAAGCTCAAATCAATCGCCACATGAGCTTCTTGCTGCTTTGGCCACGTTGAATACACAACTACACAGCTGGCAGTGTGGACTTCCTGGTCATCTTCAATTCAGCAATAATGCAACCCAGGCCACGCCACCACCCCATGTTCTCTCACTTCTATCCTTATATAACGTTTTATTAATTATCCTGCACCGACCTTTTGTCGCCGAGGGGCATCTTCACACTACAGACCCATCGGTAGCAGTCAGCTCCTTCACCACTTGCACGGTGGCTGCAAACCGCATTATCCATCTTCTTCGAGCTTATGACCACGCATTCTCAATCAGGCGAGCCCCATATCTGATATCATACGCCACATATGTCGCGGCGACGATACACGTCCGCGTGGCGGCGCAAAGAGAGGGTGGAAGTCAGGCTCATACCAGTCTGCGGACCTGTCTTGACATATTTCAAAAGAATAAGGAGACTAACTATGCTGTGCGACGAGCTGAAAATGTAATACTGCATTTAATGGATCGTATGGGGGTGGAATTGAACGACAGCCCTTCGGAACTGAGTGGATATGTGCATATTGAGGCTGCAGAAAGTACTATACCACAATCCAGGGACCCGAGAAATCTTCAAAATGACAGGTTACTGGGTCCAACGGCTCCAGCTGCTCTCACTCAAGTTACCCCAGAGATAGAAGTATCTGAGTTGGATATGGATATGATCATACAAAGCTTCATTCGGCAAAATGGCAAGCCTGCTGAAGCGCAGCAATTTCACGAGGCCGCTAATAGCAACTTTCCAGCCTCAGCAACAGTTCCTTTTGGCACACCCGGGGTTTCAGCTCCGGCCATGTTGCCCGTTCACGATGATGCATTTCCAATTGAGTACATTGATGAAGATATGTTATTCGGGTTCAATGGGTCACCTAGAAACGGAATGCCATATGATTGATATACCCAACACAACATACGTTTCATCATGTGGAAGAATGAGTGGTACTACGCCAGAGCATGCATCTACTTTCAAGTTACTGAGATATGGTATGAATTGAGATGAGCGTGATTCATAAAAATAGCCAAACTGGACATGCGCCTAAATTCAATGTATAATTATTTGTCTTCTTTCACCCCCGATAAAATACATTACCCTCGAAGAGTCGACGGGCTGTCCTAAAAACTGCTACATTATCCACATGGATCTGGCCTTCAAGATCGAGGCCCAGCCGTGTCTCTGCATTAATCACACCGGCTGGGTGTCTAATGCTCATCGGTAAAGGAGCCGAAATTTCCTGCCCCTCAACCGATATCCCGTGTTTCGGCCATCTATTAAGCTCTTTCTTACCAGAAATGTCCCATGCAACAGTTCCATGAATTGACATAGCCGCACCAATGCATACTGCACCAGTCAACTGTAAACTTGAATGGACTTTTCCCATGGTGAAAGCAAGAACTTGGATATCGGCATCCATGTCATCCTGTGCCACCGGGGATAGGAACGCAATTTTCGGAGTGCCTCGGACTTGTCCGGCTGTCTTCAGATCTGCAGCAAGCCCGAAGCGCACAGCTCCTGTACGGCGGATATCCTCGACAACAGACAGGAACTCGGTATAATTTGGATCCATCCAAGGCAAGTAGTCTTTGGCAGACATCGAAGATGCATCGACTAGCACGAAGGGATTCGCAGCGTCCACTAAGCTAACCCGCACAGAAAAGGTTCCCACAGAGGGAGAGTAAACAGTGAGCGTGTCCTTTGGTGCTCCGCTGGGGAACATCCGACCGGTCATGCTACCCCCAGGATTGAGAAATGCGACCTTAATAGGACTAGACGTTCCCTGAACCCCTGGAATGGAATAATCACCATCCTCTCGGAACCTTCCATCTGGCGATATCTGGATTGTTTCAACGATTGTCTGTCCAGTATTGGTGTTAAAGATTCGAACATCAATCTATATATACCGATCAATAATTTATACTTCAAAAGATATGTTCAATGATAAAAAATTCTCACCTCTGACTGGCCCGAATTTGCTCTTACAATTCCTTCATCAAGTGCAAATGGTCCCACTCCAGAGGCAATGTTGCCACAGTTCCCAGTCATGTCGACCTTGGCTTGATCAGGAGCCACCTGGATAAATGTGTAATCGACATCGATACCTGGGCGTTGAGATTTCGCAATCACGGCTACTTTGGAAGTTGTGGATGTAGAACCTCCAACTCCATCGATCTGTCTTGCGTTTGCACCCACAGAGCCCATAGCGGATAGTAAAATTGGCTCCCAGAGCTTGGTGGATACCGGGAGGACTTTTTGGTGGATGAAGAGACCCTTTGAAGTGCCCGATCTCATCCATACGGATGGAAATGACTTTCTTGTTGATAAAGAAATATATCCATTGTGATGAACATTCTGAATCATGGAAGATCCCGCTGTAGAAACCGAAGTCGTGCTAGTAGTCATGGTACTGTTCGAATTTTGGGTGTTTTCTATGAACAATCTTTCGGGCGCGGGCTTTCAGCAGATAATACTATTCGAGTAAATGATCTATAATGAACGGAACTTTTCTTGTCTATATATAAATAAATATTTTATTCAGCAACTCGCTTGTGCTATCTTAATGGAAAACTAAGTACGCGTGTTTCCCGCCGTCATGATCTCCATGCCCATGGCATTTGATCTTCCGCGGATGCGATCCACTACACTGGATCAGAAATCCCACCCTTTGCTACAGCTGGTGTTTTCAAAGTCCTTCATTTCCGTTTATATTATGTTACAATACATATTTTTATCGACCTCACCATACACATTTAATGATATCGAGATATATCAATATTGATATTACTATGTAAATCTACTAAAAACCGATCAAATTCATAATCTAATTTACTAAATCTTTGCAATATATCTGGTTTTCATGGTTCGTCTTCCACAATTGGGTCACCTCTATGGTGAATGGCTACCTCGCGATGACCGTCAAAATAATTTTCGGATTCTGCCGTTTCTTTTATAGGCAGTGGGATTTCTAAGTGGGTAGATTTAGTACGAACTGCGGAAGTAGTGACCCGTGGAAGTTATCCGCCGAGAGGCACTTTTCAGAGAGAGTTAATGGAAGCAATGGGTAGAGGACATGATCATATAAAACTAGATAATTGGGAGGAATATTCTTTTGACGCCTATTGAATTTGTCTAGCTTGGAGGATAAGGGTTTTTTGAATGCTTGGATACAAGAGAAGTCCATTTCGAGGTATGTAATACGAAGCTATCGTATGCAAGTGAAATAGGATAAACATCATGTCACCGTCTTAAAGAGCACGGAAATAGAAAACAAGAAATCTTTAGAAAAAAAACCATCATACTCTCGTGCGTTCTCATGCGTTCTCTTTCTGTTCAACGACAACCTTTTCCTCGGATTCAATCCACATATCTAATTCAGCCCCCTCTCTCTGCGAAAGAGTACGCGCTGTAGCAACGATATTCCACGGAGATGGGGAATCCCGAAATACATGGCCCAGGGCTTCCAGGTTGCAGTTCATCGTCTCGGGGTAAAATAAGTAAACCGAGACGGGGATACAGGCAGATATGACAATATAAATAATGTAGTATCGATACCCAATAGTATCAAGGGCGACGGGTGTGATCATGACCACAACAAAATTCCACAGCCAATGGTTCGCAGTTGACATAGCAGACATAGCTCCGCGTAAGCGTATAGGGGCGACCTCGGTGCAATATAAGAAGTTTGCACCAGAGAATCCAATCGGGTAGAATGTGTTGAATAGAAAAACAAACACAGCGGATGCAATAGAGGCCGACTTAGAAGTAGTACCAAAGCTGCTAGTAATTGCCAAAACCGTCATGCATACACACATACCCGCTCCACTTATCATAAACACTTTACGACGGCCGATGCGGTCAATAGTGAAAAAGGGGATGAAGTTGCATAGAAATTTCCACGTTAGAGCGCAGGCTGCTAATATTTGAGATAGCTCGGTGCTCATTTTGAGGTTCTGTGCAAATATCGTAGACACATATGTCGAAATCAGGTTTCCTCCACACATCTGTTGGAAGAATTGAAGAGCAATGCATAGGCAGAAACGGTAGATAAGACGGTCTTTATCTTCACCAAATATCACCTCCTGCACCAAAGACTTCGGAGACCCAGTAGTCATTTCCAGAGATAACTGGATTTCATCAATCTCAGCCCGAACGGTCTCGTCATCTGGCGAAAGACCTCTGTATGCTGCTAAGCTATGTGTAGCTTTATCAACCTGGCCTACAAGGACAAGCCATCGTGGTGACTCTGGAATCAGAAATACCGAGCCTAGTACGACCAATGAAAAGATCACCGATATTCCTAGCGGGACTCGCCACTGCAAGTCGCCAGATGTCATACTAAGCCCAAAGTCAATCCAGTTGCACAACACATATCCAAGGCAGATACAGATACCATCGACAACAACATGTTGCCCACGATTCTTGGCCGAGCTGCTTTCCGTTTGCCATACTGGTACAGCGACGCTAAACTGCCCAACACCTAGTCCGAGAATGACTCGGCCTATGGTAAACTGTATTATCCCATATGATGCGGATTGCAACACCTGTCCGACAATGGTGAGTATCGCTCCTATAAAGATGGGTTTCCGGCGACCCAATCTTTCACCAGAATAAATGCATGACAGCGCTCCGACAAGTGCTCCAAGCTGGAATGAAGCGATGACAGTGCCCTTTTTGGTTGAATTCTGCGACTGTAACTCCCCTGTTGTGTTGACTGAATCGATTTCCGGAAATGTGTGCACCCTGGTAAGCTGTTAGCTACAGTTTTTTCATAACAATAAGAAAGGCAACGATACCAGGTCTGCAGAGTGGAAAGGGGACCGATCCCAGCTTGGTTGTATCCGTAAAGGATAAAGGTTGGAGCGACAATGAGTAGCACCTGGGCTAGGCGAAGCGTTCTCCCGACGAACATGGTAAATGAATAGGCTGATTAGAAAATACAAACAAGCCTCCGAGCCTGAGACTGTGCGTTTTTGCTCTTTTAAAGCTCTCATCCATTTTGCGGAGACCCCAGACGACACTTGTTTTGCGGGGACTCCAGACGGCAACTTTCTTCCGTCTCGAATGTTGGAGATTCGTCCCGCGGCAAGGAAATTAGGTCTTCTTGAATATTTTCGTTGGCACAAGGTACAAAGCGACAGGGCTCAGTCATGAGTCAATTGAATTTGAGTTATGCATCCCTAACCCTGCAAGGTAGATTCGTATGTTCATTCATCGATACACTCATCAATGTACTATGGAACAACAAAGCTGATATCTAAGCCGGTCAGTTCCTTTTTTTCTTCTCTTTTCTCTTTCTTTCTTTTTTTTCTTTACTAACACCAAGGAGAATACCAACAAGATAAGGTAGATATATTCTGATACACAGATTTCTTTACATCTCCGAGTCATTGTGCCTTTGTTTACCATTTAAACCTCAATTTTTAATCAGGGAATTTTATTTTTACCACGCGGGTCATAGATTCATAGATTAATTGCTTTTCTCCGCGGGGAATTCCGTTCCGTCTGCCAATAGCTATAAGCTCGAGGGTGGACCGAATAAATTGACCCCCTCAATAGTGATTTTCTTTAACAAGTAAATTAGAAAATTAAATGATAATCAACAATCAAACATGACGGTTTATAACTATTATACAAAGTTGATTATATAACCCGTTTTCGGTGTTTCTCTTCTAGGAAGGGAAGGAGCGCGGGGTGGTTGATGACGATGATTGTAAGAGAGTTTTAATCATGCTATGTACGGTGGATCATAGCGGCCAGCGGGGGAAAAACCCCTTTGGCCCTTTGTTAACCTCTACCGCCTATCGCACCGCTATGATCCCCTTTCGATCCTACCGTAAGGACGCAGAAACCAAGCTTTTAATTCTCGGTGTCGGCGATGTCGCTTTGTTTTTTCATTTGATCATTGATCTGAGCTGGAAAATTGCACAAGGGATACCTCGCGAATTGCTGCAATGCAACCAGCAAGTCGTGCCAAGAGTTGCACCCGCTGCAGACAAGCCAAAGTCGCTTGCGATGCACGCAAGACCTTGAACGGGCCTTGCTCACGGTGTAGATCGCGGAAGTTTGATTGCCGGTTTGATGCCCATTTTAAGCGTGTGTCTACAAGACGGTAAGGAGCTTTATCCTGGTCCCTTGCCCAAAATACTGAACTTGGGAACCTAGACTCACCGAGGAGATCACCAATGAGTTGCACACCATGCACTCTATAGAAGGAACAAACCATGCACCGGCTGGTATACCTTCTGTCAATATTAATACTCAGGGCGCATCTCTTAAAACCACAAGAACTACGGTACCTTGTGATTCTATGCTTGATACGTCCAAATCCTGGCTTGGACACTCTCATAATGATGCACCCTGGGCATATGAGTTAGGGAACCTCAAAGTCGAAGCTAATGATATCGTAGCTTTATTTCAACAGTATGTTCTACCAGGACTTGATTTTTATATCTTTCACTAAATTGGACCAACAGCTTTGACGCACATTATCGACCGTATGCGATCTTTCTCGAGCCTTCATTATTGCCGTCCGATTTATTCACGGAAAGCCCACTCTTGTTCTGGACTATAATAATAGTTTCTAGTCAAGAGAATGAGAGCTTCCATGATATTTATCTCAAGTTAATACCTGAGGTCGAAAAGCTTCTTGCAAAAGTTCTTTATAAGGCAATCGACCACATCAAAACAATTGATGCCTTATTGCTTCATTGCTTATGGCCGATCCCTCAGCCACAATATCTACAAAACCCAGCCTGGAATTATATAGGTCTGGCAACCAATGCTGCAATGCAACTTCATTGTCATACTATTTCTGAGCCAGACACTGAAGAAGGTGAATGGCGAGGATTCGCTCCCTCGACCGATAGCAACGTCACAAATGAAACCAAATCTCGGACTTGGCTAGGTTGCGTTCAGGTGGGCACTATGTAAGTTTAAGGAAAAGTTTTTAGATTAGGCTTGCACTAATAGCCAATCTAGAGTTGCACTCGTATCAGGAATGCCCATGCCTATCTCAACGCAACAGCAGATGAGGTCTATTGATCGAAGCATTGAGACTTTATCGAAACTAAATGAGACTCTCAGCTCTGCAAAACCTCTAAGCAGCATCTTTTCGATCTTGAAAATTCAAATATCAGCAATGGAAACCCTTGCTGACATCGAGGACCCCAATGTCCATTTTAAAATTGCACATCTATTTCTCAGTCAACTGGACCAGATCCATTACGAAGGATCTGATGTGAAATACTCACAAAATTTACCCAAGTTGGATCTTTTACGGGCCATTGCAAAATTATATGTCGTCTCAATGTCATTTAATTCACTGACCCGTGACTTAACAGAAGACCCGAGATTCCAAGCCAACCACCTGAAAAATCTCCAAGAAAGCTACCGGGCAGCGACGCACCTCATACATGTTTTCAAAATCAGTAATGTCAACGAAATTGAAGACAGGGCCGGAGATATGGAGTATCAACCTGACCTATACTTCACACCCCTTTTCCATGCAACAACAGTACTATTCCGGTATCTAGCCACATTTCCTCGTTCCTCTGGGGAGAACTATATCTATGCTATTGAAAGCATGAAAGACGCCCATTTGATATTTCAGTCATTTCCGAAACGGAGAGAGTTTGCTCGTGCCGCAATTCACATAGAGGCACTTATGGATATTCTTAAAAAAGGGATTTCGGTTGGGAGTATGGATAGGTTGGTTGTGCGGAACAAGCTTGGTGCTTCCGTCATGTTCGACGCTATTTTTCATGCTTGCAGCCAGAGGAATCTTGACCCGAGAACTGGAGAGCCTCGGGCTGTTCGAGAGTGGAAGACTGTCAATGAGACTTTTGCTGAGAGACTTCCAAATATTCCCAAAGTGAGGGCAAAAGACCCTTCATTATTATCTAGCTCTGTGGACTTCGAAACAACATCAGGTCAACAAGCGATTGCTCCATATACCCAAAATCCAGAGTGGTGGGAGGAATGGGACAAGTACATCGATCTATTTCAAGTCGGGGATGAACAAATGGACATTGAGTTTTGAGGTCTATTTTTACAAATTCCGGCGAAGAAATTTTCAGCACCGAGCAGAACAGATGCAGGAATGTAGTTCTAAAGCATATCGCTCTACGGAGTACATTTGCGCAATCGCCAGGCGTTTTGTCCGAAGGGGCCAAGAACCGAACTGCGGCTTTCGCAGTTCGGTCGCCGATCATTGCCGCTTTTGTGGTATAGAGGAGAAGTATATAAATCCCAATTGGAACCTACAAACATCTTAGAATATCTAGACGTTCTCTGGCCATTTTCGTTCTTATTCTTTAAAAGAGAAATAATTGAAATGGGGGTTCTTTCTCCTTTACAATTTTTTGCTAGTTTTATTCTCCTGCTGAATTATGCATCAGCTCATGACCTGACATGCAAATCAACCCCCAATGACGCATCCTGGCCTAGCTTCTCCCAATGGAGGGAGCTTAACTCAAGTCTCTCAGGCCGCTTGTTGCAGCCTTCTCCGCCCGCACTTGCATGCCATTCGCTCTACACTGGCTACAACTTGACATGCGCCAATATCACTCGCTCCTGGAATACATTTGCATTCCACCAAGACGACCCGATAAGTACGGCCTGGAACAACATGAACAATGACTCTTGTCTTCCAGATAATTCTGCACCTTGCAGTGGACTTGGGTACCCAACCTACGTCGTTAACGCAACATCTGCAAAAGAAGTCAAACTCGGTATTGACTTCGCGCGGAAGAACAACATAAGGCTTACTGTCAAAGCCTCTGGACATGACTATCTTAAGAGGTGAATCAATCATCTCAAAATTTATTCGTGATCGCTCAAATCTAACTTATTCAAGATCCGCAGCTCCGTACTCCCTTTCCATATGGACGCGCTATATGACCGGCGACTTTGAATATCACGATAATTTCACACCAAAGGGCTGCGATATAACCATCAACACCACGGCTGTAACCGCCGGTGCTGCCTCTTCCGTTAGCGACATATATTCCGACCTCGATCAATACAACTTAACTGCCGTCGATGGCATGGGCCCAGAAGTGACTTTAGGTGGATACGCAACTGGCGGAGGACACAGTCCACTATCGAATATCTATGGGCTAGGCTCTGACCAGGTCTATGAGGTGGAAATGGTGACGCCGACCGGTAAGATCATCGTGGCAAACGAGTGCAGAAATCAGGATCTCTTCTGGGCAGTCCGCGGAGTAGGTTATCCCGTCGAACATTCTATCCCCAATACCATAGCAAGCTTCTAATACAAAATCCAGGGCGGCGGAAGCACATATGGAATCTTAACAAGAGTCACCATCCGGACGGTTCCTTCTACCCCGATCGCAGTCTATGACTTTACAATCGAAACACCAGTGAACGAAACCTCATTCTGGGACAGCATCTCCTATCTTCTTGCGCAATACCCAGCTCTTGCTGACTCTGACGTCGCCGCTTATACCTACATCTACCCAAATACCAGTGCCGCGGGAGTTACAAGTGGGCAGGGTAATTCGTCTTTCCAGGCTGTGTTCGCACTGTATAACCCTACCAATCAACATGAACTGGAAGAATTGCTAGAGCCATTCGTACAGCACATCAACGCGACATATTATGATCAGCAACTCAGAACCGAAGTATCGTCGACTATCTTCCCGACATTCTATGAGATGTTCATGAAGTATGCAGACGACGAAGGAGCAGGCGTAGATAAGGTAGTTGGATCTCGTCTTCTACCACCGTCGACTCTAAAGAAAGGTGAATTTCGGGATGCATTGATTCAATTTCTTGGAGATGCAGGTGGCAGGTTGTATATGGTTTCTGGCAAGGGTGTGTGGAATGCAGAGCCGCGTGGTGGTGATTCTGTGAATCCTGCATGGAGGAATGCATTGATTCATGCAGGTATGCCAACAACCGCACTTAATTTTACATACATTACTCCTCATTGAAAGTAGACGTGCTTACAAAAATCATTAGTGACATCCCAGTCGTGGACGCCGCTTGACGAAAGAGAGCGAGACACAGTTGAGCATGAAATCAACCATGTGCAGGTTGAAGCTATGCGGCGATTGGTTCCTGATTCTGGTGCCTATTTAAACGAGGTTTGACTTTCACTATATTTGATGCGTTGATCATATCTTTTTGCTAATTTGGCACAGGCCTATTGGGATGAGCCAAACTTCCAACAAGCGTTCTGGGGATCGAACTATGAGCGATTGCACAAGATTAAGAAGGCTGTTGATCCGGATGATGTTTTCTGGTGTCATGTGTGTGTTGCAAGTGAAAGATGGCAGGAAGTTGGAAACTATCTATGCAGAATTTAGGTCCTAGGAGAGGTGGGAAGATAGAGTGTGGATGATTAATTTCAGTAGCCTCTACGATAATTTCTTTCCTAGAAGTCTACTCATCTTGATAAGTTTGAGAATGAAAAGATTCTGAGTTGATTTTTGAGATAATAAGACTGCATAAACTGATCCATGGATGGGGCACCTCTACTGGTGATAGAATAGCACTCAGGTATTATCAGTGGCATAGAGAGCAGATCTCCAAGCTATGTATGGCATGTGGGTCTATATATGTGATGACACATGTCGGGTACGTACGTAGGGGCTAGAAAACGTGGGAAAAGCAGCTGGTTTTCACGCTATGGATGGTGGTGGTGGTAGGAATAACCTCCCAGCTCTCACTATCTATCTTCCTAAGCGGATAGCGGGCAGAATTCCTCCCCGGCATCACCGCCACGCATGGATGCACTCTCTCATCCCATCACACCCTCCCAGACATGCTAGCAAGGACAAAACACACACAAAAAAACACGCCGAAAACAACGAAAAACGCCGTCTTTTCTCAAACAGATGCTGATTCCCCAAGATCACATCCCAGTTTGAACACTTTGTCCAATCAATACCACGCGATGTTTAATGCCCAAGAATAGGAACTTGATCTGCAACTCGACTCCAGCGAGTAAACTCAAGAAGCCAGGTCCTTGACGTGGTTGATAGTTGAACTGTACTACCTGTTCTAACATTCCTTCCTTTTTTGTCGGGAGTTCAGTAGCACTAATGAAGCTTCAAGTTTCTTATGTGTGACTGGAGAGAATCATGGGTGAAGAGTATCCCGCGACATCTTGATGATTCATGCTGAATTTGAAGACAATAAAGGAAGGAAAGAGAGAGAATATGTGACTCCGATATCAAAAAATTTGAATGTATCATGACGATGGTACCAGTTTGGATCCTGGATGGATTCAAGTTGTTTCTAGGTATCGTTAATATAGCATATATAGTATTAGGTCGCCCTGGAAGGCATGATGGTATGATGAGGAGTACATATAGGAGATGTGAAAGCAAGATTGAGATTTTATAGAAGTTAGATACCCGTGCTCATTAATTTGATAAGGATTGATTGTGCAGACAGATAATGATGTTTTGGCCTTGGATGTTTAATACGTCACGATCGAGTCTTGAGAGTATGTGATAGCCAAAGAATGTCTGCGGCTACAAACAGAAAGTGGAGCACGCAGGTTAAGGTTATGACCTAAAAGAGCCAGGATTACTAAGCAGTCGGGCGTAGATCAGGATCGACACTATCGTCGTACTATCTAAAGAATAAAGTAGAAAACGGCTCTTATGTACTACTATATCCATGCAACTACGGAGTATAACGCATGTGTATCATTGGTAGGATGTTATACCTAAGCGTTGCCGAGAGTCTTGGCCCGCCTCCCGCCAGATCTTGACTGCTTGGCTACACTCTAGAGTGTGCCACAGTATACGGATGGCTCTGATCGCTTAGTTTGCCACATAATGAAGGAATCATATAAAATATAAAATATCACGTTTTTGAACGACTTAATTTTGTCTAAAATTAAACGCACCATTTCTAGCAATATGGCTGAAGATCACGCCATCTTGCCGCTCGAACGTGCATATTGCATAATCATCAACACGAGCTTGAACGTATTGAAAACGGTTTTAATTATCTCGACTAATAACCAAGTAAATTAAATTTTTACGTTCGCTTGTTAGCAGGGGGGCTGGAAAAAGGCGACACTAGCACTATAGTACTAGATTATGGATGGATATTAGTGTGTACCAACACTAATTAGTACGGTGGTCAGGAGATTGCGATAAGCTCGGAGGCAAATTTTATATAATTTTATATTAATAAGTGACAATTCTGAATTGTCTCGATGAACGTCCTCAGGATCCGGAGAACTGTGTGTCTCATTAATAGGGTCGGTTCTAGGGTCCACGATTGTGTGTGTGGTTCAGCAACCGGAGTCCGATAGGGGTCAATGCAAAGGGCCGCAGACCCAAAAACCCTCGATTCACGCTATGTGGAGAAAACTCTAGGTCTAGAAAAGTCAAAATATAAATTCATAGATAACGGAGAGAGTCACATGGGACCGTAAGGTCTCTGGGCTCGGTCGGTTAAAATTGGTGGCGTGCGTATAGTGTAGTATTAGCTAGATACGCCGTGCCACTCATGGAAAGACTGTCCCTGCGACCGTGAGAATTTAATTGCTTATGCGTCGAGAGTCAGATAGATTTAATTTAATTGCTTTTTTATAAATACGCCTGGTATCTGTGTTCTCTTGGTGTTCTCGGCTGCAGAGTACTAGCCACGTAGTCCGGTGCTTGGTTCAGCCCCTTTTCCCCTTAGCCATCAACCATCAACCAGCAAACAGTGTAATTCCTTATCTAGCAGACGCCACGAGTTAGCGGACGAGTTAGCGGAAACGCGGGGTAAACAAAAGGCTTTGAGCTACATTGCACCTTCTCAATTGAGGTTGGATCCCCGACATCCTTTACACTAACTTAAATCGCTTGTTCTCATGGGCCCACACTTGGACACCAATCGGGAGGCGGAACTGGGGGATCCACCACAAGGAACAGGGTTGCATTTGGGAGATGCATGGACTCAGATCCAACCGTTCTCGGGTTGTTGGATTATCAGCAGGTTTCACTTGGGGCATTTTTAGTCCAGATCCCCGATTCCCCGGTGATATCCGGTAAACCACAATTGGCCTGATTGGTTCTGTGCGCGGTGGCCAGTGTTCACCTCAAAAACGCGGGTGGCATATAACTAGCTTGACTAGTCCCCCGTTCTCCATCTCCCATCCTTCTCTTTTGTCTGTGTCGATTTCAACAACACTGAAGTGAGCCTCTCTCCAGTTTCTCCACATTAGTCCCGCTATCATGGCTTCTGGAGGCAACATGGGCATTGAGCCCATTGCCGATCCTCGTGCAAACCCCATCACCGATGATACCATCGTCAAGGGTAAGATTATGGAGCGTGAGTGGGGTCTTGAGGCTCGTGTCGACTCAACTGTCACTTTCGAAGAGTATGAGTACTGGGCTCAGATCGAACGTGCTGATGAGGCCGAGAGGGATCGCCAGTACCTCGAGAAGCGTGGTCCTCGAACATTCATCTCGACCATCAAGGGTCGATTCTCGCATGGTGTTACCCACGACGAGAAGAAGGAACGTGAGAGAGCCGAGAATGACGAACAGGTCATGGGAAATAATGAGAAATTTACCACTACCGTCCGGGGTAGCGATCTCAATGTGTCGGAAGAGGAATGGAAGACTGCGGCCCGAGCTTTGAAGACAACCAGCTGGGGAACCATTTTCTTCTTGATTACCACCGATATTCTCGGTTGGTCATCTTGCCCATATGCATTCTCCACTGTCGGATACGGCCCTGGTGTTGCTCTCTATGTGGTCTTCTCGGTTGCTGCTGGTATCAGTGGATGGATTCTGTGGAAAGTTTACCTGGCTCTTGACTCATCTCGATACCCTATTCTCAGTTATGGCGACACCTTCTTCCGTGTATTCGGCAGGAAATCACGTCACTTCATCAACGCTACCCAAGCTCTCCAGCAATTCATGACTGTTGCCGTTTTGGTTCTTGGAAGTGGTCAGATTATCGCTCAGCTGTCGAGCGGAAGCATTTGTTACATTGGTTGCTTTGCCATCTTTACCGCATTTGGTATTATTGCTGGTTTGATCCGTGGCTTGCAGCATGTCGGATGGTTGGCCAACATGTCTGTCTGGTTGAACATTGTCAGCTTCATCATTGTGTAAGTACTCACTTATATCTGCCTATACCGTTCCCGAACTAACCTTGCAATACAGTATGGTCGCAGCAGCTCGTTACCCAGTCGACTATGGTGCTACAATTGGAAGCACTCGTATCAAGGATATGGCTGATGGTCTGCCGGCACCTGTCGTCACATTCGCCGGCGCACCCCCTGACCAGTACCAACCCGCCGCTGTTGGATTCTCCGGGCAGTTGAACGGTGTTAACCAGATGGTCTACAGCTGGGGTGGTGCTTTGCTCTTCGTTGCTTTCCTCGCTGAGATGCGCAACCCCATGGACTTCTGGAAGGGACTGATGTTGGCCCAGCTCTTCATCTGTGTCGTCTATATTTTCTTCGGTGCTTTCGTCTACTCTTTCTACGGCCAGTACTCCGCCCAGGTTATCACCACCGCCGTTACTCCCTTCTCCCTCCAGACAGTCGGAAACGTCTTCTCACTGTTGACCGGTGCTATTGCTTGCATTATGTACTTCAACATCGGTATGAAGACTGTCTATATCGAGGTCTTCCAGGAGATCTTTGACTTCCCTCCCATCACCACCAAAAAGGGTCGCTTCTGCTGGTTCGCCCTGGGTCCTCTTTACTGGATCCTCGCCTTCATTGTCGCAGCCTCCGTCCCTAACCTGAATGGTGTCTCCGGAATTGTCGGCGCCCTGTTGATTCTCAACTTCACTTACACCTTCCCCGCTCTGTTGTACGTTGGTTACAACTGCCAGATTGGTGCCAAGCTCTCCGGTGAGGGTTTCGACCCCGCCACACGCGAGACCATTCGACACGATACTGGCATTAAGAGATGGGTTCGAGGTTTCATGAACAGATGGTATTTGAACGTTCCTAGCACCCTCTACTTCGCATGTGGACTTGCTTTGTCTGGTATGGGATCATGGGCGGCTATTGAGGCTCTGATTGAGTATTTCGCTGGAGAGTCCTCCATTGCTACCTCTTGGGGATGCGCTGTTCCAATCTCATAAACTTATGGCATTAGAAGCATTGGAATAAATGGGAACCGTCATGAGTTATTGAACGTGACGCAGAATTATCACACAATTGTGAACTTAATCAGAAAAGCACTAGTTATCTAGTTGCCATGACATTCAATAGTTTTTTATCAAATACCAGACATGTCTCTACTATCACATTGAATTTTCAGTACATTTCAAAATGGCGCTAAAGTAATAGTTTAACTTGTACAAGACCTCAAAATCTCAAAGACCCCCACAGTATGAGTTAATCCTCGCCAGTCCAAAGGGTATACCAAAGACAAAGAAACAAAACAGGCTACGACAAAACCCCATTGGTTCAAGCTCACAGACCTCAACTTCGAATGAAACAAAATCGGAAACATGTATAACAACGATGGAACATCCTCATATCGTCTTACTATCACCTCACCCCGGATAGGCCACTATCAGACGCCCAGACCAGGCCTAAATAAGTACCAGCTGCCAAGTTAACAACACACGCCACCCTTTCATTCCAGAACCCTTTTCGAAAACAGAAAATAGAAAATAGACTCTGGACATGCCACGCGGGGAAGGGTGATTTGATCGCCACAACCACGTTGTGCGCGGGCAGTCGTACAAATACAGCGTAGTATCCACACCCGACAACTCGGGCTTGGGTGATATGAAGCGATCGAATGATTTAATTGGCCAAGAACTTGAGATTAAAGAGTCAAAAAACTTTGAATTAAATCAGGAAGGTGAGAATAAGTTAAAGATAGTGGCGCGATGAAGCTTTCCACAAATTATCATGTCGAAAACGCCTCCGAAAAATATTATCCGGTTGGCGTCGCGTTCTCTCTATCTCTATTCGTGATTTTGAATTTCTCTCGCGAAATGTACCCCTTCACATCCGGAAAAATTAATCGGTTGCGAATTTTGATAGGTGGACTGTCGACCCGCTTTGGGCGAGCGGATGCATATGTACGTACACAGCCTGTGGGACTTGATCCTTGTCGTCTGCCGGAGGTCGGAGGGGATGTCGTTGCGGGGAACCCATTGGTTAAGGGGGTTTTAGTGGCGTCCATGGCTTACAGGAGGTGGTATCAGGACTTAGCTAAACAAGCTTCGGGGCCAAGATTGGCGGATGTCTATACCATACTACATGCAGATTTATTAAGCGGTTATGCAGCACATGTACAAGGATATGGGTGGCATTGTGGCAAATAACGAGACTGATACTGAGAACACTTGAAAGAAAAAACCCGAAAATTTACCAACAGCTGACTCCATTCTCTACGCTAGGTATTTACGAACGGCTAAGAGAGCTCCTATATGCAGGGTTTTGCTTGGCCCTCGGTAAATTTGATGGATCCAGTTCAGGGGTGGAGTCCTCCCCGAAAACATGGGGGCCAGAAACAAGCGAGCTGGAGTGGAGTGATAGGCTCCTTTGAAGCCTCATTGTTAGATTGGTAGGGGCTTGGATATCTCCGGTTGGGCCTAGCGGGCCCAGCCACAGCGGGGCACCGTCGGGTGAGCGGTGGCCATGCTTCTTATCAGTGCCAGCACGAGCCTTTCTTTGTTTTCAGCTAGGCCCCTGCATATAGACATCGTATTCAGGGTCTAATGTCTAATCTGTCATCAGGAATAAGCCGGAATATGGATGGCTATTGACGGCTTTTTGTCTTGTCTCGCTCGGCGTTGTCACAGAAAAGGGTTGTGGGGAACCGGAGATTGACTTTGTTGACAGGTGGACGGATTGGCATTATGGTGGTCCCACCTCCGCATTTATTTGTCTCAGTACTCCGCTCCGCGGATTGGTAATATTGGAGTAAGGAATTTAAAATGAGGGGGCTCAAGTCAAGGACGCAGAATAGCGGAAATTCCTTGAACTAACAATCAGGTTTCATTCAACACGCCTTCTCCACTTATGGGGGACTAATGTAGGCAAGCCAAGAGTTAAGATACTACTACACGAGAGTAACTCGATACATATCAATTCTCGCATTGTAAATCAGCCGAGGCAATTGAAATGGCCAATAATGATTCAAATGATACTTTTTCTATATAATGTCTGAGATCCGGCTACGCGGTAAAGATCGACCGATTGTACATCGTATATACTCCATGCAGTCAAACAGAAGCCTAAAAGGGAAAGAGCCGCGCGGTAGGTACTGATCCAACTAGTCTTTATTCAAGCTGAAACGTATCACAGTTTCTTACCGAGATCTCAAACAAGCTAATTGGGACAGTATCAGAAGGTCGCCCACGTGGCTAAGGGATCTAAAGCTTACTTGCTTGATCGACAGAACTAGCAGAGAATACTGCTAGGTCTTTCCCCGAGCCGCAAAATCATATGCAATATACGCCACGGTACCAATATTAAATATCAGATAGTTATTTATTCAATAAGTTCCCGCATATTGGGCAAGGTGCTTAAGAGATAGTGATTTGAGTAAAGAGGAAAAGCAATGACAATAGCAATTCTTTAATAGGTCCAAATGCAATATGCTTTATCTTTGTATGTCTATCTACAGCGGGAAGCCCCATTGCTATAGTAGTCTTATATGAATGTAATTGACTTGGTGGCTTTGTTACTCGCTGCTTAGGGTTGGTACTATCTAGTATGTACACACCCTCCGAGGTATTTTCCAAAAATCCTAGGTGAAATCTTTTTTATCGTTTGGCTTTTAAAACGTCAAGAACTTGAATTATCCTTGTCATTAAAAATCGTATTTATCACAGTTTGTCTTTTAATGCAACGTGATATTTTAATAAATCCAGCGAATAATTTACTTTACAATTGAATAGCGATAAGTGAATTCATAAAGCCTTTGAATGCTTTCTTCCAACAATTTATTATTAACTTGACCCTCACTTGCACTTCGAAAGGGTTCGTGAATTTTGTACATGTTGCTCAAAATGCAAATTGTTAAAAGTCAAACCATTTAACACCGATGAAGATTAAGCGGTATCTCACGATTAATTAGAGTATCCTTATTTCTTTTTTTCGTCAGTAGTCTTCCTCTTTAGAAACCTCCTACTCCTGTCTGCGCATTCTTTTAGCATCCCGATACAGTCAAAGCGTTATCTCGCAGTTTCGAACCTTACATGTCGTTCTCAGCAGTCGAGCTCTCCATATCCTTCGTTCTCTTTCGCCTCAACCCAAGTTTCTTTCGCAAATTGACCGCTCTCACATGAAAAGCACGCTTTCGTCGACGGCGAGGGTAGTTGACAGGACTCTCGCCTCCAGTGAATATAGCCATATCATAGATTAACGCGCCAAACAATGCACCGCTAATATCGGCACACCAAGGGCCCCAAACCCACCATGCGTGGCTTTCTCGGAACAGGTTACCTCCCCATCCTGCCATGAGGGCAACAAGTCGTGGACCAAAATCGCGGGCGCAATTGAAACACCTAGACAAGCCTATTAGTCGAATGAAAATATTTTTTGAAGTCAAATAATTTTTTCTTACCCTCCCGTGTTGTAGCCCAGCGCAAGAACCACAATTGAAATGAGAATTCCTAGAATAAATGCCTGCATTCCCGCACCGGGTGGAGCGTTGGTGTCATCTCCAAGAGCAACAACAGCACCAAAGAGAATCGCACTGCCTAGAAACTCGGTGAAGAAAGCTGTGGCTGGATGAACGAAAGATTTCGGCATAGTTATCATAGCCTGGGCAGCAGCTGTTGCGTTCTGGGGTACTTTGGTAGTAGCGACGAGTTCGAGTATGGCATCATGGTAGATTGCATATGCGATTCCACCTGCTGTTATGGCTCCAAGAAGCTGTGCAAGTATATATTGAATACACTTGCGGGCGGGGAAGCCACGAAATACAGACAAAGCAATGGAGAAAGCTGGGTTAAGGTGACCACCAGAGATACCACCAGTGATATAGATGGCGACCATGAATCCAAAACCCCACGCGACACTCTGGGAAGTATAACTTCCAGCCTGGCCATCTGAGGTAAAGTGAGATAGAGTTGCACAAAGACCGATTGTCATTGCCACGGTTGTCTGCGACCGATATGTTTTAGTACACGATGCCTCAAAATTAACGAGTAGCCGTGTCTTACCCCAAGCCATTCTGCCAGAGGCTCACGAATGTAATGTCTGATTTTCGACCAAGTGTTGAAGAAACCCTCATCAGAGCCCGAAGTATGGGCCTTCCCAGATTGTTTACTTGGTGCATCCAGGCTTTGTCCATTTGTCATGGCCTGCTTGTCTTCTTTGCGATCTTCTGGTAGTGCTCCGTGCTGCATGCCCGGCCGCACAATATGAGGAAGTGGCTGAGCCAAGCTCCAAGTTGGAGAATCATTCTCCTTTCCATACTGAGGGTTGTATTCGCGGTAGTTGTCTCCAATATACGTATTGCTTGCTGGGTTATTCGCTCCAGGGCCAGCCAAGCTGAATGTAGGATTATTTCCGGCTCCTTCGACTTTGCTCGCATCTTCCTGAGTCCCCTCAGGTGGTTCGTACTCGTCTGAATTCATATCTGGTAATTTGTCGCGTATTTAGCTAGATCGTTCCGATTAAGCTTTTATAGAGTTTCAAGTTTACCTTTAGTTTCCTCTTGGTCTAGGTCCCGATCTTTTGAAGTCGCCATTGGGACCAAAAATTATTTCTGAAATTGTTGAGCAGAGGAAATATTTGAAGGAAAAATAAGCCCAATTAAGATCACAGAATGACAGACAGCAAATTTTCAATGATGTTTTCTTGATTTATGTGCAGCTTTAGATATGCCAAATGTTGGGTCCACATCCTTGGAATGGCCAGCTCTTTTACGTCACCCGAAAATCTCGACATCATTTTTATGGACCCTGATCGACGAAAGCAATTCCGACCAATGTAAAGCCGCACTGAAGGGCATTGCATTGATATACTCATAAAGACCGAGCCTGGCCAGAAAAAAATATTATTAATGTTATAAAGTTTTCTAAATGGCAGTCCGAAGAGCGAAATTATTTTAGCTCGAACGAGATTTATACTGCAAATGTGTCTGCTGTTGTTCGTCAATTTTTCCTATGTAAAATTAACCAGATAACAGCATCATGCAATTTGTCAAGATGTTTTTCACCCTCGTAGTCAATGCTCGTCACGGGCTCCAGTGCCGTTTAGGACTAGCGCTGAGGGGACGAGACGTCAAAAACTGAATTGATGTTGCTGACACCTGAGGTCAAATTCCCTATTACACTACAATCAGAGCAACTATCCAAGTTCATTCTCGCAATAAATACGCAGGGCATCATCCGAAATGACGACAATAGCCAGCAGACTGCTTCTTTCTGTGAGAAACGTCTCAAGGGGCCCCCCAACACACACCACTGCTGCCAAGAGCCTCATTCCTCGGATATCGCACAATCAACCGAAAACTTTACCTCGACCGCTACCATTCTCTACGTATTCTCAGCTTCTTAATAAACCCAATCAGGACTACAAATCAGACAAGTCGGACTTCGGATACTTGGAATCGAAGCCCGAGATTCCCCTGGCGATGAGCTTTCGGTCGATCGGCATCTGGAAAAACACCAAGCTATTATTGTTCATATTTATCTGTGTTTCAGGCACCATTCAGCTTTTCATTTGGAGCGAGGAACTTTGGAAGTGGTGGAAAAATGAGGAGGGGGACGAAGTTTGAACCGCATGATCTGGGACTCTACGCAAGAAAATTGACATATCCTCAATATGGACAAGGCGATCAATATAGTTGAATGGCAACAGTTTCCAAAGCTGGCCATTATCAATTTGATTAAGCGGAATATCGAGTGAAATTACTAGCATTCGAGGGGAGCGCATGTATCACTAAAGTCATAGTATAAGCTCACCACACAAAGCTTTGATATTCACAGCAGGGATCCGATAGTTAGGCATAGAAGTAAGAAGTGTATATATATCATAAAAGCGCGTTTTAGGACTGGAATTTTTTCTTCAAACAAACTAGAGACAATTCATTGGATTAGTTGGACGTTTAGATGCTGAATATGAAACAACCACGCGGGCGTTTGAGCATAGAGTCAAGAACTCGTAAATTCAACCCCATGCCCTTGAACTGGATTTAAACTCAAACTCCTATATCCGAGATACCTGACTGGCGTATGTATTTTGCTAGGTTATTTCTCACTGGTAAATGACCGAACCCAGCATGTGGTTTTTCCCGAGCGGAGATAACCGCCGCTATCTCCGCTGGATGATGATCAACGACCGAATGATTTGCTTCTCAAGTAAATCATATGGCGCATTGTAAGTTCTGACGACGACTTTTGATTTACTAGATTTTGCGTGATAAATAAACTCAGAAACTACATCTCCATTGTCTTGTCTCGCTGTTGTGTTCTCAACCGCACCTCGCATGCTCGCGCATCGCCGGACCCATCTCTCTGACGAGCCTCATCACACATTCCATACCGACACAATGTCCTCGTCAACAATAGTCCTCATCACAGGTGCGTCACTGCTGTGGTCTTGGGAGAATGAACATCTGAGTTCAGTTAAACTGACCATGATCAGGTGCTAACTCGGGCATCGGATACGCCACGGCGAAATTAATTTCCTCGGAGCCTGATTACCATGTTATAATGGCTTGTCGTGACACAATCAAAGGACAAGAAGCCCTCGCCGAAATCGAGGCAAGCAACCCCAAAGGCACTCTCTCTATGCTTCAACTCGATGTGACCAATGCCGAGTCGATAAATGCTGGTGTGAGCGAGATTCAAAAGGAATTTGGCAGGGTTGACGTGTTCATTTCAAACGCCGGAATTTCAGCGCCTGAAGATACTGGCAGTGAGAAATTACGCAAAATATTCGCGACAAATGTCACTGGAGCCTTCACTGCATCTGAGGGTTTTGTTGGATTGTTGTTAAAGTCTGAGCGCCCATATCTTATACAGATCTCTAGTGGCCTAGGCTCAATGGGGCTAGCAACCGACCAGGAGTCCATTTGGTATAAATGGGCCTCGGATGAGTATCGAATGAGCAAGGCTGCGTTAAACATGGCTACTATCCAACAACACAAGCGTCTGGAAAGTCAAAATGTTCGCGTTTTCGCCTACTGCCCCGGTTTGGTACGATCGAACCTACGCGGAAAGTCTGAGCAGGCCAGAACTGCTGGAGGAATGGCTGGAGACCCGATCGATTCGGCAAGGGGACTTTTTGATATTATCCAAGGAAGGAGGGATGCTGATGTTGGAAGATTCGTTTATGCCACCGGAATATGGCCATGGTAGTGCCTTCGCAGAAGAACAGAGAACAAAATGCGATTCCCACATCTTGGATTGAATTCATAGGGATACAGGAGTATCTTTAGGTATCACGAACTATCTATGGAAGTTTCCAGTTCCCATGAGGAAAAAAGGTCAAAGTCTAGCCTTGGCCCATGCTAAGCCTCCACTTCCCAAGGTCATCGTAGCACCGCCTGCCTGCACAACCCCGTTGACGATCGCCAGGCCGCTTCCTCCTGCGCCAGCACTCTAAGCCAACGCCATAACACTCCCCGCTGCAATATTTTCGATTCCGCTATGTATAGCGGCGGCCGTAGATCCTAAAATGAATAAAATATAATTAACAAAAGCTTCATTCGTAAATAGAGACTGGGGAGCTGTTCCCATTTTGGTCCTCTCTTCCCCTGTGATACAACGCATACCTGCTTGTATTCCGCCGGCCGTAAAGCCCAGACCTGACAACATTGGAGCGGTTACAAGGCCAGGAGCGGTCATGACGACAATGCCAGCGGTGCCAATACCCACAGATGTGGCTAAAATCGGATTCTCTGCAGCCCAGCTAGTTGCCTATTCATACTTAAAGTTAGAACACAAGCAACACATATTATGAGCAAAAGCTATCTAACCTCAAATTAAAACTTAAATTATTTTCCAGGGGGAGCTTGCCGTAGGCTACTGCGGTTCTCCCACATTCTAACCCTGCTTGTATTATTTAGTGCCCCCAGAGATCGCAGATTCGCGAGAGACTTTTTGGGAAAAGATCCTGAAGATGAATAGATGTTGATAGATTGATAGAGTGGATAAGACCTGGGCCAAACATCAGCCAAGGTGTCCAGGTAGAAATTATGAAGGAATGGCAAAGAAGGAGAGTAAAGCTTGGAAAGAAACTTGGTGTTTTACAGGGAATGGGAATACATTCGATTCAAACATTGCTCTATTCATCAATCGAGTGGACCCATTTTGAACGGTCGGAGAATTTCTTAAGGCCGTATATCAAGATCTACTACTACTACTACTACTACTACTACTACTACCCAACCCCGAGAATTTCATTTCTGGGAAATAGGCCCTGAAGATTCCATGCATTTTACGAATAATTTCTTTGGGATTCCAGCATAGTAGTCCCACAGACTCAATGCGTATACTGAAACCTCAAATTATGTGCAGACTTGGACATAAGCCGGATTTTCACCACTTCAAGTTGCTAAGACTTATATATATTCTAGTGACAGCAGATTTAGTAGACATGCGAACCTCATGACAGCGTGAAATCTCGGTAGCGATCCAAGGTTTAAATATGCACTTTATTTTGTGGCATTATTCGGGGTACGGAATGGGGAATCCAAAATATTCAGGCCCGATCCATTTCGGTCCGTGCCCACTATACCCTCACATTTGGGTCGCCCATTCCTAGTTGAACGATGATCCGTGGGTTTAATCGCCAATTTCCGGCTGCAAATACCATATAGGAGAAAGTAAAAAAGGCTGCAAACACGGCCGTCACAGTGAGACCCCGCATTCAAATTAATGCACAGATGGCATGAAAGAGACGATTTCACCGACCGCAGAAAAGAATCTCCAATAATTAATATTTTCCACTCCCACCACAATCGATTCCTTCTCGAAACAACTATGTCTTCCGACTATTTACCATCTTCCGGCAGCCGACCGCTCCCTCATCTATTGGTGATTCTTCGGCTTGAGCCAGGAGATCCCCGATGCTCAGGGTATGCTCCGTCCGTAGAGCGAAGATGCCTCAAGCACACAAACTCTCATGGTCGACAAGCTGCCGAAAGATTCCTTGAGTTTGGAACAAAAAGGCTATACGCCGGGGGATCCATCAATAACATGCTTGATATTATAGCTGGCCACATGCTATGTAGCACTCATAAAAGCCAGAGCCGTGACCTGGCAGCTCGCTGGAAAGAAAAAGTCCAGCCATACGCCGAGATTTGGTTGAGGTCTAGCTCACACCTAGACCTTCAACCAGTCAGCGAAGTTCAATCATCATCTGTCGATAGACAATCAATTCCCCACCTATCCAGTATTCTTAACCTGAACCACGAGAAAAACCACACATGTGCAGGATATGCTCCATCGAGGGGGCAGCCTTGCCGGAATCGAATAGGAGATCAGAATCGGACATATGTAATGCACTTGTTGGCCGTTGGTACTACAGGTATTCAGCGTGGAGAGCGCATTGATCTAATACTTGAGGACGTGGCTCTACATGTGCTATGTAACGTTCACAAGAGGCAGATGCCTGGTCTGGTTAGACTTTGGAAAACACGAGTCGAGCCATTCATCCAGCATCCCGCTACTATATTCACGAGATGCTTGTCACGTCGGCCACAGCAATTGAATCAATCACTGGACACTCCTTTTGAGGTTGAGGATGTCTCCCCGGAAAGGTCCTTCACCCAAACACGCAATCGTCAATCTGCTGAAGGAGAGGCTTCAAGAATTTCATCAAACTTGGCTTCAGAAGACATACATTTATCTGACGCAGTCTCTGGGAGTTCAGAGTCCACAAGCGGAGATAGTGAGAATGAATCGCCTGGATCAGATTCAGAAATTGGAAGTCCATCTGAGTCAACTTCATCCGAAGCAAGTTCCTTGGAGAACTCGAATTCTCAAACAGAAACTGCGCCCCTTCTACCTTCCTCCCAGCAGACTGAGACTGCAAGTGTATCAGACACAAAATTCCTCTCAAGTCAATCCTTTGAGTAATTCAGAATCTACAAATGCAAATAGCAATCCCTTGTCGCCTATCCCGAACTTTGAAGCCGCATATCCATCTCGAGCATCTTCCGTTTCTTGGGATTCCACAAGTAATTCAAGTACTGATTTGCCCCCTCAACCAGGCTCTAGAGACAATATTCTTACAAATATATTGCAAGCAGTCTGGTCGGCGTATCCAGGGCACCCTAGGGAATCAAGCAACTCTTCTGGTTCCAATTCTGCTGGTGAATTATGGCGCTAACCGATAGAAGGTGACTGTGTAATTTGTTTAGAAAAACTGTTGGATTTAGAGCTCACATATTGCAAGTCCAAATGCGGAGCTAACTTCCATGCAGCATGCTTGCAGGATTGGCTGAAATGTGCACCAAGGAAAACGTGTCCGATGTGTTGATGCTCCTGGAGAGGCCGAGTAAATGCTCACTGTCCAGCTTATAATTAGTGTCCAGGATTTAGTATTCCAGAAATTGAAATTTTTAATTAAATGGCTGTTGACTGCGGGTATGGCCACTTTCGTTGAGATCCATGGCATCTAGGCATGTCTTGCTTCGCCAATATGTACACAAAGAAATTTTCAAAGCGTAATCTGTCATGTTTGTAACCACTCGCCCAAATGGACCTGTATATATGAGATCCTCTTATGATATAAAATTACAGACATTAGACATGAACATCATAATATGTATGGATTTTGCCTCATATACTGATTCAGTCAGCCAATCAAATCGCAGATCAGGTCGGTCGGTGCAAACGCATCAAACAGCCTTGGGAGCGATGATGATCCGGAACAATAATGCTCCATGTTAACCCGTGCAGTTCGCAGATCTGGACCCCAATTGGAAATCGGGCGATCGGAGTCCCTTGGAGCTTCAATCACTTCTCTGCTGCACCTCATCCTAAAACATGGGTGAAAAGATGCGGCTAGAGACCAATCACCCAAAGCCATGGCGGCGCATTACTGCCTGTGTAATTTTTATCTTCATTTTCTGGACCCTGCTATCTTATTCAAGCGATGGGCTCCAGTCTTTCATAAAGCGCATCTTTAACATTACAACACCCGCCCCTTCCACTGGTACCGACGATGGCTCCTTGTCTAGCCACGGGCCTGCCCCAACAGGTAACAGCTTTGTCTCTGGATTTGACATGAAGCAAAGTTGGGGGCATTTATCTCCTTACAAGGATGCCGACTGGGGAGTTCCCAAGGGCGTTCCAAGGGAAGGAAAATGCGAGCTATCCCAAGTTCATGTATTGCATCGTCATGCTCAAAGATATGCTACCAACATGCCACTGGATGGCGGTAATATTCAAAATTTCCTTGCTAAGATCAATGAGAGCAGCGGCACCACTGGTCCTTTGGAATTTATCAATAGTTGGGAGTACGTTGTGGGCTTGGATGAACTGATGAGGACTGGCGCTGCCACTGAGGATACTTCAGGTGCCAATTTCTGGCTTCAGTACGGTCGACTTTTGTACCGCGCGACTCCCGAGAATGTCGTCGCTTGGGATCCTGCCTTGAATATTTACCCGAATGGTACTGCTCGCCCGAAGCCGGTCTTCAGGACTACGAGTCAGTCACGCATTTATGAAAGCGCACGTTGGTGGCTAAGTGAGTTTTTCGAACTTTGGTTCATGTGAAAATAACTACTTATTATAATAAATAGGCGGCTTCTTCGGCAACAGAGATGCTCATGGCTCCCATGAGCAGTATGATCTGGTGGTCCTTCCAGAGCAACTTTACTTCAACAATACTCTGGCTTCATACTATGCATGTCCAGGCGCACCGGGCTCACAGTCTGGCGGAGATGACAAAGCGCGAGAATTTATTCCTCGTTACCTGGCTGAGGCACGCTCTCGCCTATCCCCTTACTTTCCTTCTGGCTTTAACTTGACCACACTTGATGTTCTTGCCATGCAAACCATCTGTGTCTATGAGTTTACTAGTCTGGCTGGCTCTAAATACTGCTCTTTATTCACCGAACAAGAGTGGGAAGGATTTGCCTACAGTCTCGATCTTCAGTATTACGGAAACTTCGGTTTTCCTTCGCCCGTCGGCCGCGCTCAAGGTATCGGTTATGTATTAGAGCTTGCTGCTCGACTCAAGCAAGAGCTTATCACTTCCAGCGATACCAGCATTAACTTCACTTATGATGATAATATTGCCCAGTTCCCTCTCGGACAACCGTTCTACATGGACATGTCTCATGACGATATCATTGTTTCTGTTATGGCAGCGTTGAATTTGGAATATTTCAAACATCCAAGCGCCACAGGAATGTCTGGCGATGTTGATTCACCCTTTGACCGAACATTTAAAATCAGCAACATAACGCCCTTTGGTGCTCGCTTCGTCAGCGAGATTTGGACCTGCCCGAACGGAGTTGATTTTGACGACTTGGATCCAGTTCTATACACCAACCCTAACCTGGAGTCTACCGAGGATACTACGAAGTATATCCGATTCGTGCTTAATGGTGCGCCATTGCCCATGACCGGTGTTCTTGGCTGCAAGGGTGCCACCAATGGATTCTGCCCTCTAGATAACTTCTTGGGTGGAATTCCGGAGTTAAAAGAGAAGGCAAATTATCAGGAGGCTTGTTACGGGCACTGGCTGAACGACAGTCAGGTGGATGGCGTTTCCGACATTCCCGTTGAAGCTTTCCTATCTAAATAAATGCATGTAGCATTATAACCCATTGTATACATTTTAGCGACATTTTTCGGTTACAGCAAAGACTCTTAATTTCGGGCTGAACATATCAGGATTACTAAACATTCAAATGAATTTCATTTTGCAATATTAGTGATATGATTCCCGTAAGATGGTGAGATTTTGGCGCTGCGTGGAGCCAATAATGAGTGAGCTGCAATAAGTCGAATTGGCCCCCAATATGTATAGTAAAACGAAATTAGAGGCTGGAGCGCTCGAAATCGCGCTATTTACCTCAATAGGAATAAAGAAAAACACAGCAGAATCCTTGACTATAAATCCAGCGTCTAAATCCCATCCTTGCCCCAAAGTTCAACTTCCCCAGATCACCTTTTCTCTCTACTCTCTCCAACCTTATCTATGACCACCATGGCGCCTACTATCCTCATTGTTCCAGGCATCTGGGAAGGTTCAACTGTTTTCGATCCCCTTTCCACTGTACTAAAAGAGAAGCATGGATTCAGCACCGAGACAGCAAAGCTACTTAGCACCGGTACCCTCTCACCAGGTAATCCAGGCTTAAAAGATGACGTGCGTGAAATACGTGCACAAATCCAACGCCTTGTCTCGGAGAACGAGGATATCGTTTTAGTTCTCCATTCAGCGGGTGCCTTTCTTGGCAGCGAGGCAATGCAAGGCCTAAGCAAGAAGGAGCGTGAGGCTGAAGGTCAAAAGGGCGGGGTGACGGGTATTGTCTTTATTGCGGGCGCGGTATTCCCAGAGGGGTACCATCACCAACCATTGCCTTTTGCTCGGGTTGAGGTAGGCTCCTTTTGTCTTCTTTTTTATTTCTCTCGCTTGAATAAGGGAATAAATTTACTAATTCGAATTTTGTAGGGAAATGCCTCTTACCTTATTCAGCCGGAGGTGAATTTCTTTAGTGATTTCACGGACGAAGAGAGGGAGAAGTGGATCAAGGTTTTGGAGCCGCAGCCTGCTCACGGGTGGGATGATGTGATCTCTTATACCGGGTGGAAGGATGTGCCGAGCTTTTATGTGATTTGTGAGAAGGATCAGATCTTACCTGTTCCTTTGCAGGAGCAGCTAGCTGCTTTGGCGGGTAGCAAAGTCGAGCGGGTTGATGGAGGCCATCTTGCTCACTTGACGCAGACCGAGAAAGTTGCTGAGATAGTTAAGCATGCTGTAGAGTCGTTTTGATTGTATAATATAAATACGATATCAAGTAGAAATTGTGAAAAATTCTACTGCAACTCCCATTGACGAAGCTATTAAGGAAAAGTGACGCCATATTACAGCAATGAAAGAATCATCTGTTAATAGAAAGATCTATACATGTACTCAGCTACTGATATCTTGTCGCCAACAAAGGATCAGTAACACTAGATCCTCTCCCCCGAGCCCAAACGTCCACAATCTTCGAAGCACCCGAATCAACATCCGAATCCACAACAAAATACCAACCATAGAAAGCTCCAGTCACACAAGCATGATTCGGAAAGACCTTCGCAAACTGCCCAACCTTCAACGGGATACTCTTATCTCCACCAGATCCCCACGCAACAATGCCATGCTCCTGACTGATCCGATCAATAATCAATCTCTCCTTCTCAACCTCCACCCCCAGTCCCCAAGAAGAAATCACCCCCCACCCAGGATAAGAAACACAAGGCTCCCGCGCCAACGCCAAAGTCCCCGCCGCAAGAAGAGCTTCGGCCTTCTCCCGCTCACCATCATTATAAACGCTGCAAACCTCCGCAATAACAGAAAGTGCAATTTCATCTTCAAGTCGTCCCGCTCCGTCCCTTGCATGCGTAGAAACCTGCTGCATATCCAGAACGGGGTAGTTACCTGCATGCAGCTCGATTTTCACATTTCCTTCGCTTTTAAGTAGAGACTTTAGTTCTGTTGCGGTTGCAGATGGGGATGAAGATGTCCCGGGTTGGACTAGGTTGTGCGACGACACAACCTGCGGTGTAGCACCAACACTAATAACTAGTTCGCGGTTAGGTAGAAGATGCACCCATCGATTCAGTGCGTCTTTACATCCCTTTATCTCGGTACTCAGATACCCCATCGCCTCTTCGGATGTCTTCGCTCCATAACTCAGACTACTATGCGAGTATAGTCCTAGCAGGGAAACGTATCCGTTTTTCTCCGCTTCAGCAAGTTTCTCAAGTAACCCGTTTTTATTCAGAGAAACAGGTGGCAGCCCCGCGCGATGGTAACCCGTATCAACCTTAACAAATACACAAACTGGGAAGTGTGCAATTTCAAGGAATTTCTTTAAAAAGCCCACTTGGTCTGGATGATCGATCATCACGGAGATGCTGTCTCTGCCGAGGGAAAGGGCCAGCTCCGCGAGACGGGAGACATGAGATGGAACGAGCGGAATTCCATAGAGAATGTTGATTTTCTGAGATTTTTTCAGTTCCTGGAGAAGGGGAACCAAAGTTTCAATTTCAAGAAGAGTAGACGCGATGAATTTGGCTTCGGGGGCGGACTTGTCCACTTGCATCTCTGCGAGTTCGATCGTCTGATTGGATTCAGTTAGCTGCCTGTCTACTAGCCTTTTCATAAAATTTTTGGGTATGTACCTTGTGCGTTTTTACATGAGCTCTGAAGCCGACGTCCAATTCTTTCACGGTGCGCTTCATTCGCTCGCAGTGGCGGCGGATAATGGCTACATCGAGTACAGCGGCGGGTTTGGGTACATCGGTGATGTCCTTGCCGATGTAAAATTTGGCGAGGTCGCCCTTGGTAGGGTAAGTGGTCATGACGATGGTTCTTTTTAAGAGAATTTCCTCGATGTCGGGGCGAATTGAAATATGTATGAGTGGGCATGCACGCTGGACCGCGGGGTGAGATAATAATAATATGTGGTCGCTCCCGCGCTCTCGATATGGCATGTGGGGCAGGTTCCCACTGGCAGTAGCCTGAACGTTTTACCGCGGTGAGCAATTATGGATTTTGGTACAGAATCTTGATGAAATGGTTTGTATTAAAATAGTGAAGATATCTATCATGTTTTCATAACTAAAAAGACTATTAATACTGGTGTATCATAGGACTCGTCTTGGTGGGAGTGAGCCTTATTCCCGGATACGATCCGATAGCCGCCTTTGGATGTCAACTGCTCCTGGATCTTTTTACGGATCCCGATATTTTTACCGCGAGAAATTCTCATCTGATAGAGTTCCTGTCGTCACTGCCGCGGGATATGCCCAGGGAGGAGAGCTCAAAAAGATAGCAAATGTCAAGCTTTTGGTGAAGAAGTCAACCAAAGAAGCCAGGTCATACCTGAATCTAGCCATGGTCGCTTTTGCGCGACTCAAACACCATTAGGTTGATAATATCAAGGGTTGAAGAAGACCAAGAAGATCAAGAAGACCAAGAAGATCAAGAAGACCAAGAAGACCAAGAAGAGCAAGAATATCAGGACGACGAGGACGACCTAGGCAATGGAGACAATAAAGACGAAGATAACGGGGACACGGAATCTAGAGACGAGCAAGATGAAGACGAAGACAACAGCGATGCAGAGGACAGTGGCGATGGGGGTAAAAGCGACGCAGAAAACGAGGATGAAGATGCAAGCGAAGGCGGCGCAGAGGATGACAACGCAGATAATAACAATGAAGGCAGCGACGGAGAAGAAAATCCGGACGAAAGTGCTAAGGACCAGCCAGAGGACTCTGAGCAGGAGCCAGAATCAGAAGCAGGGAACTCTGAGGATAATTCTGAAGGGCAGTTAGAAGATGGATCTGTATCCGAACCAGAGGAGGAATCAGAATCTAAATCAGAAGAAGAAAATGAAGAGAAACTGGAATCCAGGGCGGAGGAGGACCCAGAGCAAGATCCAGAAGGAGACCCAGAAGAACAACCTGAATCTGAGCCAGAGGAAGGGCCTGAGGAAGATCCAGACAAAGATCCAGACGAAGGAGACTCAGAAGAACAGCCAGAATCCGAACCAGAATCAGAGCCCGAGGAAGAACCAGAAGATGGCCCAGAATCGGAACCTGAAGAGGAGCCAGAGGATTCCGAGCCCGAAGAAGAGCCGGAGGATAAGAAGGAGGAGGATGAAGATGAATTTAATCTTATATGGATAGAGGAGGCTTGGATTGAAGAAGAACCGCGTTCGATGACTGACATGGACATCAACTTTTAATATTAACCGCACGTGCGGTCAATGGGTGGTGTGCACATGTGGGATACTATGAGATCCATTGATGGATGGATGCCCTGGGCACAACAGCCGATTCTCACTAGCAATATCTATTCATAGTAATGTATTTAGGCGTTTAATTATACCAATTTTATATCGAGAGATTCAATTTCAAGTTTGTGACTATCCTCAGGGGCTTACAGTATTGATATAGCGTCTTGGCATGGTATATACACTTCTTCTACCCATAATAACATTTGACTAAAGGCTTCATTCGGACGCGCAATGTGATGCTGCTACTTATCCAAGTCCTGTACATTCTAGCAAGGTAATAAAGATACTATATACAATATGAAATTTTTCTAGCATCAAAATTGACGAGGACGCAGTACGCGCTATGTAGTCAAAAGATTGCTTCATATAGTACTGAAGGTGGAATACTCCATAAACATTAAGATTGATAAGGCATTTAACTATAAGCCAGAATCGATATGGTATGATTGGGAATAAAAAATACTGAAAGTGAAAGTCAAAAGGAAAGGAAATCTTTAGAGACTGAGAACCACCTAGTCCTGTATGCGCCAGATAGCTCGTAAAAAACCAGTAGTCGCCATGAATGCAATCCAAATTCACCCAGAGAGGAGAAAGATCTATGAACGGGGTTCATGTGCGCCATAACCCTATGAATCCAGGCAAAAACCAGGATAAGGTCGGGTGAATAAGACACGTACACGTCAAGGACAAAGACAAGACAAGGAGAGATTAAACAAAGTAGCCGAGATGAAAAAGAAAGGTCGCGAGGTCGGGATATCGGAACGAAACGAAATAAAGAAAGAAAAGAAAGACGAGACCACCAACTCCGGTCCGGGTATGCTTTTTTTGTGGAATTTTTTGATGCGTATCAAACACAGTCGTGGATTTGGATTTGGATTTTATTGTTTTTTTATGCCTGCGACGGGCTCAGGCTTGATCGAGAGCGCTGAGAGAATGATCGACGGCCGCGGCTGGATGGTGCTCTTTCCGAGGGGGGAGGAGCATGTTCAAAGAAGGGGATTAGGTCAGGATTTTGACTAGGTGGTGTTTTCGAGTTTGCTTGGTATTCACCGATGACATGGTCGTCCGCTGCTGTATCGGGATGGATCTCAATGCCTTGCTGATTATCCAGTCCATGATGTGGGGCCGAGGATGGAAATGTCATAGAATCAGCTTCATCGTGGTTTCGCTCAATGGGGGACCATCCAGCAATGCTGCCAGCCACGATACCAGCCATGGCGGCGGCAGGTCCAAATGTTGAGTTTGACCGGGAACGAGTACCACGTCTTGAACGAGATTCCGCTGTAACTGCCGGGGGAGGCGGGCTTCCGTTATCGCCGTTGGGAGTGGGGGGCGCAGAAGAATCACGAGAGCGGGAACCACTGCGAGAGCGAGGGAGGAATTCCTGAGGATGTTGAAGCTTGTGGCGGATGTGTCTGAGGCGACCACCACGCACAGTCTTGATGAAGGCGAGCTGGTCACGAATTTCTTCCAAGGCGGGGTTCCAGTCGTAGCGTCGGTCTTCATCTGATACAACGAGTTCGGGTCCGGAAGGCTTCTTGCGGTGCCAGAAGTTTGGCACAAGTCTGGCTGCGAACTCATCGGGGATAAGACGGATGACCACAGCGATTGGTAGAGAGAGAGCTCCGAGGACCAGACTGACAGCCCACTGGGTGCCTTGGTCGAGGCGCTTGACTGAGAAGGCCTGTCCACCAACGAAGACGATCAAGACTTGGCCTCCAATGATGATGACTTGAATACCAATGAACCACTTGTTACGCCAAATTCCTTCCATGATGTTGAGCTTGTTGTCGATGCGGCGAGAGTTATACTGATTGAAGATTTGCATGAAGACGAAAGTGTTGAAGACCACGGTTTGCATGTGACCTTCATCCCAGGGGAAGATGGTGTCACCAGCAAAGTTCAACACAAAAGTCACAACCAGTTGATAGATAGATTGACCAACGATCATCTTCCACATAGTCACCGTAATAAGAGGATCGGATTTAGACTCAGGTCTGCGATTAAGAACGTAGGGAGATGGAGGGTCAGTTGCAAGGGCAAGCGCAGCGAAGGTGTCCATAATCAGGTTGACCCATAGCAGTTGAACGGCACTGAGAACGGAATCTTCGGAGCTACTGGCAACGGCGGAAACGAAGGTAAGGATAACGGCGGTGATGTTGACAGTGATTTGGAACTATTAATTTCGTATTAGTTGGCTGAATAATAGACCTCATTCGGGGTACACAAACCTGAAGGAACTTCTTGACCGCATCACTGACAGTACGACCCCAAGCCATGGCCTTGACAATGGACGCGAAGTTATCATCCATCAGAATGATATCCGAGGCCTCCTTAGCCACTTCAGTACCAGTAACACCCATTGCAAAACCGACATCAGCGTTCTTCAGGGCTTGAGCATCATTGGTACCATCACCAGTTACAGCTACAGTCTCACCGAGTTTCTTAAGCTGATTCACAAGAATCTTCTTGTCCTCGGGACTTGATCGTGCAATGACCTGCAGTCTGGGGATGATCTGGTTCATTTGTTTGGAGCTGAGCTTGCGGAATTTAGGACCTTCGATCGCAATACCACCGGATGTGTAAATACCGCACTCCTGTGCAATAGCCTTGGCAGTGTTGATGTTATCACCAGTCACCATACGGACAAAGACACCAGCTCGCTGACAGGTATGCACGGCTTCAGCAACACCGGCACGGACGGGATCTTGAATACCGAACAGACCAAAGATAGACATGTCTTTAAAGACGGACTCGAATTCAGCCATGTTGCGGTCGTTTTCCTGGGTTGCGGCTCCGCGTGGAGGCCACTGGTCGAAATCGCGATAGACAAGAGCGATACAGCGTAGCGAACGAGAGGTGTAGTTGGTCATGATCGTGTCCAGGGTGTTTCGGTTCTCCTCGGTAATAGGTACGTCGGACAGTTCATCGGTGGGGTCGCGGATAATTCGAGTTGATTTATTCATCAGAATCTCGGCGGCACCCTTCACTAGCATTCGATACTTGCCATTACCCAGCGGAACGACAACTGCCATGCACTTGCGGCCCGAGTCAAAGGGGTACATTTGAGCGAGTTTCGTGTTCTCTCGTGCCTCGCTTGGTGGTCCCATACCGAGATGTTCGCGCGCAAAAGTCAACAGGGCAGTCTCAGTCTTTGATCCAATGAAGGTTTTCACGCCTTCTTGCTCTCCTTCAAATGCAGTCGAGTTCAAAACAATTGACTTGAGTAGAAGATCCTTTACAGATGGCGACAAGGTTGCAGCGAATTCAGCAGCCGAGACATCTCCACTTTGCTCCGAAGATGGGCTTGCACCTTTGTCTCCAAACCGGGAAGTAGTACCGAGAGTAGCAGCAACCGCTGTCATCTTATTTTCCGTGAGAGTTCCAGTCTTATCTGAGCAAATAGTTGTTGCATTACCCATAGTTTCACAAGCCTTAAGGAAACGAACAAGATTGTTGTCTTTGATCATTCGGGTTGTCGCAAATGCAAGAGCGAGAGTGACCGCCAGAGGCAAACCCTCAGGAACAGCAACGACGACAATTGTAACAGCGACAATGAAAATTTGCAGGAAGTCCTGACCCTTCACATCGGCACCGCCATCTATATCCTTAAGACGAACAAGGAACTTGATAAAAAGAACAACGAACAGAAGCAGACCTGATGCGAGACCGAGCTTGGCGATTAACTCGGCCAGTTTGTTGAGCTTAGTCTGCAGTGGCGTGGTCTCGCCTTCTTCCTGAAGAGACATCATTGTTCGACCGTGGGTGGCATTTACACCAGTAGCGGTAACAAGGAATGTACCGACACCCTCAGACATCTTAGCACCGGAGATAATGAAGCAGTCCATCTTCTTGAGATCCTCATGGCTCTCAATAGCCCGGTACACTTCATCTCCTGGTGTTTTTCGCATGATATCCGACTCGCCAGTAGCAGAGGACTCATCACACTTGACACCGTGGCCGGCAATCAAAATGCCGTCCACAGGGATCATGTCACCAGGCTCCAGATGCATAACGTCTCCAGCAACGATATCATGAATAGAGATTTCGATTGTCTTTCCGGACCGAATCACCTTAACCAGTCTGTTCTCCTTCTTCTTATTAAGCTTGGCAAATTGTCGTTCCTTCTGCCAATCATTTGCAGCTCCAACAACCACCACAATAATGATAGCAATCAGAATTGCCAATCCTTCCACCCATTCGACACCAGGTTCGCCATCTGTAGGGTGGAGCGACTGCGGAATACCAACAGCAAGAGAGACAATAGCAGCGATCGTCAATAGGATCAGCACCTTGTCATTGTATGCAATCCAAGCGAGTTCCCAAATGGTCTTCAATTTCCGTTCCGGTATCTTATTATTCCCGTATATCCGTCGTCGATCAATAAATGACTGATCGACCTCAGAAACGGATCCATTTCCATTTGTATCGGTCGGTCGCAGTACTGGCGACGACGCCTTGGGCGAATTATTATTTGTCCCAACTGCATCATCAAAGCTCACTGCTCCATCGAGGGTTGTCTCATCCACGCTCAGACCACTCCGCACATCAGTGCGCAGCCCCTTTTCCAAACCACGCATCCCGCCAAGCGCGCGGAATGCAGCGAAACTTTTAGGGTTCAGCAATTTATTCAATTGACCTGGGGAAAACGCGAAGATATTATTTTCCACCTCGAATTCGGCTTCTCGGCCCGGATCAGGAGTAAGGGCGTCCTCGTCGTCGACATTATGGTGATCCTTGGTGAGATCCGTTTGCGAACCATGCGCTGCAGACGCGACGTATGTCTCACCACCATAGGTACTTAGTGTCTGACTCGTATCCTCGGATTCTAAGGAGTTGCCGCGAGATCGTGTTCCCGGTACAGATAGGAAGTTCGAATGGGCCTCGGGCGTCTTAGTTTTGGGTGATGAAATATTATGGGGCGATGTTGGGCGATCTTCTCCCCGATCTCGGGCTTCGGAGGAGGCATTGGATCGGATGGAGGCGCTGTATCGTACATGGGTCGGTGAGCCATTGCTCACACTACCGCTGAGGGCATTTGTATCGGACTCGACTGTTTCAGGCGACAGTTGCAGCGATGGTTGTGGGGGTGTCGAGAGAATCTGGACAGGGGGATCGCTGGCATCTGGGGAATTCACGGCGGATGTATCGATAGTGATTGTGGGGGCTCTTTCTCTTCGCAAAGGTGTCGCGCCTGGAGTGGATGGCTCGTCGCCAGGTGATTGCGGCTCGGACATGATTTCGAAATAGTCAACCCGGTTACTGTTGCATGCGGGCGAATATCACCTTGAGAGAGTGCTCGAATGTGTGTGCATGGGGCGGTGATATTTTGGTAAGGTTCGGATATCCCGTGACTTTTTTTTTTTTGGTTGGACTCTAGGGATGAATGTTCAAGCTAAAGGCAGATGGATGGTGAATAATTGTAGTTTCCATGGGCCTTGATGGTTGATGTCGTGCTAGACCCGAGTGGTGAAGTCAGAGATTTGGCAGGGGGAAGAATGAAAGAGGAGGAAGAGAAGCTAAGGATTTCCGATAGTACTAGTACGTAGAAAGGAGGTGAGTGACCACGGACAACGCCAAACTGCCAGAAAGGGACCAATCCACAAGCCCCCTTTCAATAAGATCCACAGTTGGGGGTCTCGACTGTTTGCAATCAATAATTGACTGTTTTTCTTTCCCTTTTTCTCTCCTTTGGCCGAGTACGTGTACCCGCTCATGCAGACAGGAAGGGATCCACTTTAATCCTGGCACAGCCCCAGAGAGTGGAACCCGTCGAATGATTTAGCTCGTAAATCTGATAGATGAACAAGGAAGACGTCGAACACAGGCGCTAAAATGAGGGGAAAGTAGACCTCGCCAAACACGATTAAACGAGCAATGCCCTATCTGTGGCTAACCCGGAAACCCGGCGGCGTACAGAGTCAGACCCAAGACTCACAGGGGCGAAGACGGAAGTTGTTTGCACTGCCTCAATGATCTAAGGGTTGCCAAGCAACTTTGCCCCGGGACTGCGGAGGCTAAATGGACGAATAGGGGAAGCCAGGTTAACACTTGGAGAATGACGTCTCGAATATTGGCATTGGATGAGTTTAGTCCGCGTTCATACCTGTCGCTACCCAATGCAAGCTTAAATGTCGCCTTGATACAGCCTCGGGTAATCATGGGTACCTATGCCCATCATGATTTGGGTGTATCTCTCTCCAAGTAGTTCCTAAACGAAGTATACTGTATGTATATCTACTAATTAAATTAAATTAATGTATAATATATAATGGTGCACAAATCAAACTTTAAGCCCCCTGGCAATATATATGCGTATAACTCCATATATTCCACAGATCTCTATAGTTACCGGCAAGGACCCTCTCACAGCAGTGCCTTGCAACACGTTGAACTGTGCACGAGGACCCAGTTCAAGTCTATTGCCTAATATAGTATTAAAACATTCTATAGCTTACCATCTACTTTGTACTCAGAAGATGCTCCCGTAAGCTTGTAATTCCATAGTAAACATTCATGACATCTCCCTCTAGTATATCCCGCTGACACCACCTGGGCAATATCAAACTCATCCATCCACATCATTCCCTCATCATCCCCCATTATCACCACCTCACCCCAACTTGAACCAACTCCATCATAACACAACATCAACATCAACAAACCCCCATCGACAATGTCCAACCCAATAGCAACATACGACCTCACCGCCGTCCCCGCCTCATCCACAGCCCTCAACCCCCCCGAATCCAATTCCAACAACCGAAATCCCAATCCCCACAACCCATCTAGCAACCCGCATAAACAAATACGCACTCACCCACCTCCCAGAACCAACATACAACCACTCCCTCCGCGTCTACCACTTCGGCCTCGCAATCAAAAACTACCGCTTCGGACCCCACCCTGACTTCGCCTTCAGTGACGAAACATACTTCCTCGCCTGCATTCTACATGATATCGGAACCACAGATGAGAATACCCACTCGACTAAAATTGAGCTTTGAGTTCTTTGGTGGATTTCTCGCTTTGAACCTACTACAGAGCGATGATGCTAGCACTGACACCGACACTGTTAGTGGGGCCGTTGCACCGCGAGACCAAGCCGAGAGTGTGGCGGAGGCAATTATCCGACACCAGAATCTGTGTCTTGTTGGGAAGATCTCGGCTGTTGGACAGCTACTACAGCTAGCTACTATCTTAGGTATGTACACACTACAAAGTTCGAGACAAGCCAAGCGTTAAAGTCAAGTTCGTGTAACCTTATTTTTGTATTGGCACTTCCCATACCCGTTTGTATGGATGGATGAAAGCTAGGCACACTCCACTGCTGCGGGAGAAGCTTGGCTGTTCTTGGACGGGGAGCACTGCCACATTGCGTCTTTTTCTCTCTTTTTTTTTGCACCTATTATGTTCGTTTGCATTTTCATTTGGATCATGTTTCAGGTCCAATGGATTGAAAGAAAGTTTATTGCTGTCTGCGCTACCACAGTACCTAGTGTACTCAGTACAAACAGACAGACAGCCGATGGATCTACAGATACTACTAGTCCTAGTGGCACGTCACATCTATGATCGACAAATTCTCCTCCCCTTCTGTCATTTTCTTCTGCGTCCAGTTTTTAAAGTTTTATTACTGGGCCTCAGATGGATGGATCGTCTAACAGAATTTTTTTTTTCTTCTCTTTCATTCAGATAATACTGGCTTTTATGCCAATCTTGTTCATTCCGACACTATTAAGGATGTTTGTGCGCATTTTCCACGCCACCACTGGACCGGATGCTTTGTGGCGACTATCCGGCGGGAAAATGCATTGAAGCCGTGGGCGCATACAACGGCGTTGGGTGAGGAAGAATTCCCGGCTAAGGTTTTGGGGAATAAGTTGATGGAGCCGTATGAGTGAGTGAGTGAGTGAGTGAGTTGATTTTTCTTCGTTTGTTTGTGTTTGCCAAGATGTGGTGTGGTTTGGGATGGTGATGGGCGGAATGGGGCTGTGACCAGTCATGCGAGATGAAACAGTAATGACTTATGAGCTACGAATTGAAATGGAAAATTGAATGAATGAAAATTTGAAAAAAAAGACTTAACAGTGATAATCAATCAAGTCATACACTGTGATTTCTAGATCTCAAATTTGAACTTAGTCCCTAAGTAAAACTGAAAACTCTGGCCAATACCATATTCATGCCCGGGGGTTTATCCCGCCTCCTTGCCACATGCTAATGTACACATACACATTACAGCCACACAATTTTACTTGCGGGGCTCAAAACCAGCCTCTTCATTCTCGGGCACATGGACACGCCAGATGCCTAGTGTTTGTCCGTTGTCGTAGACACGGTCCTCCTTCGGGTCGGTGAGGACAATAGCCTTGCTTGATAGTGCCAACGCGTCCATGAGCTCAGCCATGCGCTTCGCCTCTGTAAAGCTGCGGGTCAGATGTGGGGTGTTGGCCACCCAGATCGACACCGTCATGCACTGAGTGAGAAGATTAGGCCTATCAAGAGAGTGGCTGGCGTAGTAGAGGACGTTGTGGTAGTCCAGAATGAGATCGGGGAGATAAGTCCGACGGATGTATTCGTAATCCTTTTCTTCTTCCACTGTCATGATATTAGCACAGATACAGGCGGTGGAAATATATTGCGGGATGACTTACCATCTTCGACGGGGACAAGCCATTCGTCCACGACCATGCCTACGTGTGTTTCCACTTCCTCTAACAGCACGGCAAGGTCTTGCAGAGAATCCTTGACGGTGCCTGAGTCACGGCGACGCTTGGTCCTTTTATTTTATTAGAGCTGGTTTCTGATAATCACAATGGGAGAGAAAAGAAAACTTACTTGGAAATTTGATCGTAGACCAGAGCAAACTGCTCTAAAGCATCGAAACCAAGAGCGAGGGTCTCAAGGTTGAACATGCGAGTAGCCTTTTGGTAAGCGCCATTTTGACCGGTGGTCGAAATACCACCCGAGAGGCTTCGTCGATGAAGACTATTCCTCTTGGATTTAGATGGGCTCGTTGGCGCAGAATCCTCTTGCAGCAGGTTTTCAAACCCGGGGAATTCAAAGATGTCCAGACCAAAGGTTTCTTGAGAAACACCAGATAGACGCATCCGGTGGCTCAACTCGCGAGCTGCGGCAAGTTTACCAGCGACTATAAAAAATTAGTATCCAGTCATTTCAAGAGAAGTAAAGTTTAGTTGGGAACATACCAAAGAATTTGCGGTAAAGCCAAGCTCCAAGATTGCAAATCTTGGACCACTGACCACCAGCGCAGCGGAGCCACTCTAAACTACGAATCATCTTTTCATCCTCAGCTGCGATAGATGTCCCGATCAGATCCTTTTTTGGTGGCACAAGTACACGGGTGCCATCTGGTCGGTGCACCACGCGAGAGTATCCACCAACACCACTAGAATGTTCAATTGAAGGGACGCCAGCGCTGAGCCATGACCACTGAGCATCGAGAACAGCCGAGACGTCAATGTTATGTTTCTGCATGTGTCGAATTTGCTGTTTTCTCTCATGAGGCTCGGTAATTTCGATCAGAATCCTTGAAAAGACGCTGTGACACATCTCTGTTGGGAGAAGCGAGGCATAAAGAGGAATGAGATCGAATAATCCTCTCTCTTCAAGGCTGGAGATGTATCCAGCCACAATCACGGAGGCAGTCTCAAAGAATTTGGTATCGGAAGGAGCGTAACCGAGAGATTGGACAATGAGATAAATGTGCGTCGCAATCTTCAAAGCCTCGTCGTCCTCTGCAGCAATAATGAAAGTATCCTCTACTGGCGCAGTAGCCAACTGTGGAACGATGGATTCTGCGCCAAAGTTGTTGAAGCTGGACTGAGAGACAGCCTGTGCAAGTACTGTAAAATAAGAGTCGTAGCCTTTGCTGAGAATCGCAGCTTGGAGATTGCGGAATGGGTTGCGTGCCTCTCCACCAACTCGCTCATTGCCACGCAAATATTCGAAGTACTTTTGAAGCTCTCCATGACCTGCTGGCTGGGGTGTGAATGAAACGGGTGTGGTCGGGGAGTGGGTAAGCTTGCGCTGGAACTGCTTGCAGAATCCCTGGTAACGTGAGAGCACAACACGGTTGAAGTGCACATATAGGAAGTCATCCCAGCTGCGACAGACCTTGGTAGCAGCCTCTGTTTCTCCAGACAATAAGGCATAGACGGCTCGCTGGAAGTCATCAGTATTGGGGTTGCGCGCCAGAGCGGCACATGCGGCACGCCACGAATCTTGAGAACGGCTATTCATCAAGCGAGTCATGCCATCGTCAACGGGTGTTCGAGTATTTGATGTGCGTGAGTCGACGCTAGAACCGCATAAACTGACAGCTCTCCAACTCTCAAGGCGGCTCTGAGCCCATTCTCGAATCGTAGTCCAGTTCTCGCCTTGTCTAAGCATTTTCCAGCATGCCATCCATGTCGCGCGCTCGTAGAATTCGTCCTGTGGTTGAAGACCGTGCTTTTGTCGAGTAAGAGCATCCGGATCGAGCTGTGTCACTAGCGGCTTCTGGTCGTCGTTACTGAGCAGAGAGCGTGAGATACCCGGGTCATTTGGCTCTAATGGCTGGGGCCAAGCGCGCAGACGCTTGTGTCCCTTGATTGCTTCCTTGGTGAAAAGCCACCCATGAGCCCATAAGCCCTGGCCTCTTTCCGCTTGTGCTTCCATGTCCGTGATCAAAAAGTCAAGGTCCTGGTTGCCCGTCTTCGCAGTCTCCTCTAGCCATCTCATCGCAAGAACACACTCAAGAGCATATTGATCTGCGGCAAGAAATTGCTCCCAAACTTCGCGATCCGAAGAATACCGGTGTAAGTTTTGAAATGCAGTTCGTTGTCCTTCTTTGAAGCTGGCGCGACTGGCGGGATCATCGATACTGATGAGATTGAGCAGCAAGCGCCAAGTATCAGCCTCCAGCTGCAACCGTAACACATCCTCGTCGATTTTGGGCTCATTTCCACCGCTAGACCGGAATCCCGATTTTGCGCGTTTGAGGGTGTTTTGCTTGTCTAGGTCATGGATGGCATTCTGGGCTAGGTCGCGGTAGCTCTCGACCAATTTGTAGGCTGCTTGAATACTCTGGAATTCGTCGGTGGTGTTCTTTCGCTTGAATTGATCCAACTTGTCGGCGAAAGCCTCAATCTGGCGAGTGACACGGTCGGCCGTGCGGCGGAGGGGATGAAGAGCTTCCTGTGCTCCTGCAGCAGTGAAGAGTTGAGGGGAATCTAAAGTCATCAGTTCCGGCCTTCTTCGACTCATCAATCTCAAGATGAATTCCTAACGTACGTGGAGTTTTGTTGTTAAAGCCCATCGCCGACTTGAAGCTGGGCTCCAATACCGGGAAGCTAGCTCCAGTCTGCGAAAAATCGCCATTGACATCATCCATCTCCTCGTCCATCTCTTCGCCCTCCATTTCTTCTTCAGTCTCATCTTCTAGCCCTTCTCCATTCTCGTAGACCTCGTCCTCGTCCTCATCCATTTGCTCGTCATCGTCTTCGATGCTGATGATTTCCGGTGCCTTAGGCGAAGGTGGAACCTGACTCGTCTGTTAGCTCAATGTACGAAAGACCATTAAAAATGCCTTCAAAGTACAGAAAGAAACTCACCTGCGACCGTAAAGTCCGGGATGATCTAGTCATGGGAGCCATGGTTTCTTCCAGCAACCAGTTGTTCAACCAGTTGTTGTTGATGGAAGAGAAAAGGAAGTGTAATGTTTGTCTCTTTTGGCTGAGAGGGTCGCGTTCCCCCAAAAGCGGTTTAGCCTGGTCGGCACGGGATCATTATAAATTGACTGGAAAAAATTCGAATTTCACCTTTTTCTTTTTCTTCTTCAATGTCTTTAGGCTTTCATTAGAGTCTCGGAACAGATTCATTCAATGTTTGTTCAGGTCCATGAGGCCTCTCTGCGTGCTCAAGATTGTCTTAGAACAATCCTAGCAGTCCCTCCAAATAGTCTGGTTTTCCTCGATGAGAACTTAGCATGGAAGGGGCTGGTACATGCCAATGCCAATGTCTATCTATTATTTACACGATGCAGTCCAAAAAAAAAATACAAATCTCATTTTTCCTTCTCTGCAGCCTCAGCTCTTTGCTTCATCTTCAATCGTAGTAGTTGTGCTTTAGGACAGCTCACCACAGATGCTTGGTCCCCTTGTGTCTGGTAGAAAGCATTGCAGCATTCGTATAGGGCGTCGATCTGAGCCTGGCATTTTTCCTCCTTATAGGAATTCTTGGTCAAGCAACCTGGGTTCTTGTTAATATGAGAGTTGGGAAAATATATATCCTATCACTCGTGGGGATTATATACTTTGGATAGCACACTTAGAATAGAGTCAGCATCATCAAGTCTTCTCTCTCCAGGGCTCTCTTTGGGGGCTTAAGACATACAGCCCGTGGATGGCACGGCGTATCGTGCGACAGATCTTGCTTAAGACTCCCCTGCAGTACCGTCTTAGTTTAAAATTCTTCTCTCTTCCTCTCACGTCTCTCATGTCAATCAAACCCACCATGTTCTCAAGCTTTTACTTTTCCTTGTCTTGTTTGATTCTGAACGTTTCCTAGCTAGCAAACAAGCTCCCAGAACTTGGAAGTTGATCGAAGGCGGCTACAAGCAGGTGACGCAAAATAGATTCTCCGCCTTTGTGGGGCGAGTGCTTTCTGCCATTGATATCTCTCTTGCCTCTTCCCTCCTCCTTTCCACATCACCCAAACCCCTCTCACCTCTCCAATCCAGTGAGTCAGACACCATGAGCCAGACCTCAACAATAACCACGTCGCACGAAGTTAATGGACCCAGTCAGGATTTCACTACCGCACCTCATCTCGTCATTTCTTCCACATTACGAGTAAGCACCCCGCGTTCTGCTTCTCGCGATCCCTCGTTTGACCGAATGACAGAGAAAGCACCAAGCCCGAAGATGTCCGAAGGGGAACAAGCTGCCGCTCCCGTGGAGCACTTAAACATCAAGGTAACCGATAACAATAATGAGGTCTTTTTCAAGATCAAGCGATCAACACCTTTGAAGAAGCTCATGGATGCTTTCTGCGATCGTCAAGGAAAGCAACAGGCTACTGTGCGATTCCTCTTCGACGGCACTCGTGTTCGTCCTGATGACACACCAGACACCGTATGTCTCCCTTGAACCAAGAACTGGAAGAGTTTCTTTGATATGAACTAACGACTTAATGTTTCTAGCTTGATATGGCTGATGGCGACACTCTAGAGGTGCACCAAGAGCAAATTGGTGGTTGAAGGAACAGCTCTCTTTCATGTTTCGGAAAGAATCTCTCTGGTGCTCAGAAGTATCCTCGTCTGGTGACGTGACTGACTTCATACTCCGCCGAAAGAAAGATGGATGGTGATTTAGTGGCGATATCATCAGGGAAGATTCATCGCAGAAAGTTCCTATGCTATTGTTTAACGAGTCAAACGAATTTCACACGGGTTAAAATTTACAATTTGCCATCTAGAAGTACGTTGTTCATGTATGTCAAAGTAGAAAGTAAATTCCGCTATTTTACCCAACGTGCCCCACATGAACATATTCAAGTTCAAATCAAGCCAATGGCCCATACAAGCTCTAAATATTCACCAGTCACTTACTACGTTTAGCCATTTAATACCCATAACAGGCATAAAGAAAGAAAAAAAAGCCCCTCCTAAAGTGTGGAATGTCATGGCTTGTAGTAGGTATGATATTTTGGCAAAGATAAAAATAGTCGCGCCCGGGATCGAACCGGGAACCTTCTGAGCATATGAGTTGTCATGTGAATCAGAAATCATGACCATTAGACCACGCGACTTCCTTATGCTGAGCTAACGCCATTTTTTGCTTCATCAGCCTGAAAGGGCTTTTGGCTCGGGAGACTCGCCTAATCTGGACGTTGCTATTTTTGTTCAGAAAAAAGAAACAAGACTCGAGTAGCAGTTGTATGGTTTTTGGGACTTTAGACTTCAGAATCAGTGCCTTGGCCTCATATTACATTACAACGTGTATACCCACGTCGACCTTTAAATCAAAAGGCAATGTATCCTCCCCAAACTGGCTCTACCGCCATGTGGATGACATATATACAGATGAATATGTATCAAAAATTTGAACAAATCAAGAGAACAAAACAAGCAACGGGACAAAAGAGCCGCGCAAAACGGCAAAAGAAATGTTTTAATCTGTCCAAACAGAAGCCTTCAACTTCTCATCGTCCTCCTTCGCCTTAGCAGCCTCCTCTCGCTCTCGATTCCGTCTCTTAATCTCCTGCTCCTTCACCGCCCGATCATAAGCCCTCTGCTCCTCAGTACGCTTCGGTGCTCGAATCCCCAATGCCCCTGCAATAAGTCGTCCAGCAACAGCAGTTTGCTTCTCAGGCCGTTTACCAGGACCAGGACCACCAGCCGCAGCCGCAGCCGGCGACGCAGCCCTTCCACCTCCCCACGTCTGCGATGTCTGCGGCGAAATAGGCGTAGGCGGAGGATCCAATGGGCCCTCCGCACTCAAAGTCGGCGAAAGAAGCGACGGCGATGCTAGACCCTCAACAGCGGCAGCAGCAGCATCATCATCATCATCATCCGAAAGATCAGCCTCGTCCTCCCAGGAATCAGCGACAGGCTGTTTAGCTTTCTTTGTTGGTTTCGGAATAGATAGGACGGAGCTTGCAGCTGACGATTTTCTCAGAGATGGCCTTTGAATATCTTGGACTGGACCTTTTTCGCCAATGGATAGATCGCGGAGTGTGGACTGTAGCTCAGAACGCGGATCAGACATGGCGGGGTTGAGGAGTAGCGAAGGGCCGGCAAAATCCTGGGCGGGACAGGGAAAATGATCGTGCACTTGTGATGATTGTTGTGGGAGGGGTAGGTGTATATATCAGAGTTTTTGTTATGGGGGAATTTAAAGAAGATATGGTTTCATGCAATTGCGGAGGGATGATCGGAGGTGATGGCGTCAGTGCTACTAGCGCAACCTTGGTCGATCGTGGAGAAGTGATGGGGCTAGGCCAAGCTGGGTGGTGCGGGAACCTTAGGCGGGAGCCAGGCATCACATGGGCTTGGGGTACACCGAGGTTTACTTGAGATTGTTTTCGTAGATTGATATCATCTAATTGGATCATAAGTGAATGTGATATATAGCTGTTGGAATATTCTCCTATTAAGAAGTTTCGGACCTTTATTTTCATGTGGAACTTGTTTGGATCGCTTCAACACACTCGACCTAGATAAGCTTGGCGATATTCATTCCACTAGACATAAGTAAAGAGCACTCATTGACCTATATAATCGGAACCGAGCTACTTTAATTGGTAGATTTGGCAGTTTTATGTACTATCTATGACTCTATACGAATGGGTAGTATGTTCAGGTTCATCCAACCACCACCTGGGCAGCTGATCCACCAATGACAGCAGGCAATAAAAGAAACATACATATTTGACAATCTCATTTACTTTCGAGCAAGGTCAATCACCTTCTTTGCTGCGTTTTCAAATCCATCAAAAGCGTGCAAAGGAAGTCCACTCTCGGCGATCTATGAAAATATCAGTATCATCCTCAAATTCCCCCCTGCGGAGGAAAGACATACCATCTTCTGTCCAAGTTCCTCATTTGTTCCACGCAACCGAACTACAACAGGCACTTGCATTTCCAAGTCTCGGAAAGCCATAATAATTCCCTGGGCAATCATATCACAACGCGTCAAGCCACCGAAAATATTGACAAAGACAGCATTGACACGAGGATCGGAGCAGATTATGCGAAATGACGACTTGACCGTCTCTGAGGTAGCTTTGCCACCGGTGTCAAGGAAATTAGCACAGTGACCACCGTGAATAGTAAGTGCATCCACTGTATTCATTGCGAGTCCGGCTCCATTCACTGTGAATAATGTTAGAAATCACAATCTGACGCGCCAGAAGAAACCCGATAGACCGCAAACATACCAAGTGTACCAATGCTGCCTTCACCTTGAAGCCTGTCTACGATTAGCATGGTCACGAACTCCGAGGGATTAAAAGAAGAGACACACTTAACATAGACAATGCCATCCTTCTCAGCCTCGACTTCCTCCGGAGCCTCTTCGGCGGTATTTCGCAAAGCGTGAATCTCCTGCTGACGTCCAGAGCTTCGGAACGCAGCATCATCAAAACCAAATCGTGCACCGTGTACTTCCAAGCTCCCACCAGAGACTCCAACGCGAGTTTCCAGCACGAATGCCTCCTTCTCCTTGAAGATTTCCCACAGAGATTGGACCAGATTTTTAAGACTTGCATGGGCTGATGAGGGAATGCCCACATGTAATGCTACATCTGAGGTAAGAGTGCTATTTTCAAATCCATTTTCGCGGTAGCTGAACGGGAACTTGCGAGAGTGAGCTGGATCGAGTTCAGTACTTGTAGATGCAACTATACATGGCGACAAAGCGGTGCGGTCAACTGATATAGAGATGAACACATCAGAGGGTGAATTCTGCTCGACGATAGGGATAGACTTCGCCTTAAGGATGTCGAATGCTTGAGACTGCTTGATGTAGAGACTGCGCTTTTGCTGAGCTGGCTTTGACATAGGACTGACACGTCTCATGGTATGGAGGCCTCGTTTCTGGCCTCCAGATCCGGAGAACGACTGTAGACGTTAGCATAACGTGGACGCATAGTATAATGGAGAGAACCCACATTTGCACCAGGTCTGATTGCGCCGGAGCCGAGCAAAGTCCTCATACCCTCACCAAATTTCTCCGGATGATTGACCATGACCGCGCCAGCACGCTCAAGTGCCTGGTACTTGGCTTGTGCATCGGGCTCTCCAGGTGCAGCCCACGCACCTGCGTGTCCCATGATTCGGCCTGGTGGTGCTTCCAGCCCACCAACAAGAGCCATGATGGGCCTATCAAAGAATAAGTAGAGTAACTCGCACAGATGATGAACCGACGACCTACTTTGGATTTGCGGACCGCTGTCGGTATTCTTTGATCCATTCTGCTGCGTCCATCTCAGCCGTACCACCAATCTCACCGACAAGGATAATTCCTTCCGTATCCTGATCATGCTCAAATATTTTCAGCGCATCTACAAAATCAGTACCAGCCAGTACATCACCGCCCATACTTATGCAAAGGCTCTGCCCCAGTCCAGCTCGGGTAGTAGATGCCACAGTCTCATAGCTCAATGTTCCAGACTTAGCCACAATTCCAACATTACCAGGCGCGAAACATGGCAAAGGCTGAAATCCAATGCGACACTTCCCGATAGCTGATATAATACCAGGGCAGTTTGCACCGACAAGTCTAGTCTTAGATTGCGTTTGCAGCATGGAATGAATCTGTCATGGCATTAGATGCGCGCAAAAAAGTACTTTGTATGATCCTGGTCCTGGTTTCTTACGCGTAGAATGTCATGAATAGGGACGTGCTCAGCGACAGCCACGACGAGTGGAATTTCAGCTTCTATCGCTTCTTCAATAGCCTTCGCAGTTTGGTTTCCTGGAACATAGATGGCAGATGCATCTGGCTTCGCTTTTTCTTGGGCCTAAATCAACGATTAGTTTAACCTTCGAATTTCGACCAGGGTCCATAATTGCTCGTACCACTTTAACAGAGGGGAAGATCGGTAGTCCAAGATGTTCACCCTCCACCCCTGGCTTTACGCCTCCGACAATCTTAGTGCCCCATTCTAGCGACTCCTTGACATTGGCTGTCGCTTGTCGCCCTGGATCCAAGTTAGTCACACAATAGATATAGCAGTGCAACATGGAAAATCTTACCTGTGAACCCCTGGAACAGTACCTTTGTATGGGCTCCGATCTTCAGATTGGAGAGGGTATCGGCGTAGCTAGCACCGCGCGGGGACGCGGAGAAACAGCGAGCTAAACGCACTCTCGTGCGGGGAGCACGTTTGTGTAGTGAGTGCAGAACCATAGTCGGGCGTTGTTCCTGCAAATATGTCGCGGTCAAGGGCTCATCCAACCAATTGGCTACTTTTTTTGTTGTTTAAATATGAATCCTCCGAAAGCTTGACGTTGATTTCCAAGACGGCTTCTTCCTCATCTCCAAGTCGGCTATCGCTATCCGGTGTCGGAGCTTCCCCACACCCGCGTGTCCCGAGGTGCGGGTGTTGATGCCTAATTAACCAGGCAATAATGATGGTATTTCCTGAGGTTGAAGAGTTGATCAAAAAGGCCACGGGATGCCAAAGGGTTGTGACCACTGTCGCTCTTATGCGAGGTGATCTGTACTCAGAGCCTGTGGTTTCTGGCGCTCAAGGCGACGCTCAACCGAGTGAAAGTGTAGAATCATCCGGCGACTCTGTCCCACAACATCAAGATGATCCAATATCAATAGCAACCTACGGGAAGAGTTGTCCACCTATTATCGGAAACCGACCGGGAGATCGCAAGTCTCCTGCCCCAAAGTTCATATCGACTATACATCGCGCGGAACCCGGCATCACATTCGAAAGCATCATCATGATCTAGCTTTAGTAGCAGCACCTGTCATTGAAGCAGAGAACAAGCTACTTCGCTCTGGGATTGAATGGGACGATCTAAAGGACCATTAATACAATGGGGATGGGGAAAAGCAATTCGAAGATTTGCACTTTTCTCCATTTGGCGGCCCTTGAAGACCGTCACCCGGGACCCTCTTGGCATCGCACCATGTTTCACATTTCCCAAGGATGATTATGTCTCTATGGAATCCATTGAGGTCTCCTTTGACACTGATATTCCTCCTCACCTGTCAGAAATAATTACGCCGTCGGAGGCTCGCATTCAGGAATCAAAAGACCCGAGTGAGAAGGAGCCTAAGGATACCCATGAAGACGGAGATTATCAAACCTGGGGATATCTTGCCCACGCACCAAGCGATAAAGAGGGAAAGGCACACGATTGGCACTTCCTATCCGATCATCAAACTACGGAAGTTTTTCATTATTCAATTTTTTGATAGTAAAATGGAAGCAACCACCATAGCTCCACACAATGCTGATGACACTTCCCCTCCACTGGCGGTTAGTGGTGCCCCTCACGCATCCTTTGTACTCGAGGGAAAGGAGAAAGGGGATGCCAGAGAGAGCATTGAGATCAGATGTGCGGCATTTTGATGATCATTAGCAGAATTTTCCGCCCATATGCAATAGATCAAATACTAAATCTTGTATAAAAATCCAGTACTGTGAAGTCATTTCACTCCGAGTTAACTGAGGATTCCATTGAAATGATATCCTTTTTAAATAAGCAATTCAAAATAGCAACCAAGGCCATTATGGCAAATACTAAAATCCGTGGACTTACAAATTATAGGTTGCGCACGTTACCTTGATCGGGCGATCTAGGAACTCGGACTTTTGTCTGACTACACTGATTGTCGATTGCGATTGAAATTCAAAACAAAAGACCCTTTAGGACCGACACACTGCTACTTTTGCTAACGGAAGTTCCGCTTCAATCTCTCTAGTTTTCATTCCACTTCATGCAGCTCTCATAAGAAGTTGATCGGACCCCTACCATGTCTGAGGTACATTAATTCTGAAGGAGATTGGGAATACTAGTGGATCTGCAGGCACTGTGACTCCACATAACTAGACTTCTCAAGGCTCAAAGGATGAATGAGATTCAGGCAGAATAAAAAAACCGGGGATGTGTCCGCATGAAGTGCATCAAGAGGCTTTACGACATGTTACCCAGTTACACCTCGATGGCTTCAAGCTCGTATTACAAAAAATTCAAACTTTACGATACAAGTGAAGAAACATTTTGAACTTTGTAATACCGACATGAAACCATCGACGTAAAACGAAAACGTTGTAGCTTTTTCAGTCCCTCTCTGCATTTCCTGGTTTAATCTCCGATACCTTTTTTTTGTACATAGAAAGCTCGTGTGCTGCACATGAATGGAGACTACATATGTGACGTGGCAGCTTCGCGTAAATAATCGGTACCTATTATAAGAAAATTTCCAAGGCTGGATGGATCCAATAGTGAGCTAGTATATCTCATCGCCTGTGATTCTCCTGGCAGTCCACAAAGCCCCCAGATTCCAAGGTCGAGATTCAAAATGAATAATTCGAGTCTCGCCTTTGATTTGAACAGACTCATGGCTCGGTTAATCCAGTACTCAACTTGAGTTTGGTCAGTTTAATCATACTGGCTGTGACGCTTGCTTTCAATTTGAGATCATCCACAATCCCCATAATCAACAAACGAAAATGGTACGAGATAGGGACTGAAAATGCCGTAAACCGGTTTAATAGCAGTGCTACCAGCTTAATCAAGGCTGGATTAGAAAAGGTGGTTTAATCTCGGAATGGAAGATAGAAAGATTGTGCTAATCAATGATTGTTGTATCACTTAGTCTCAAAATGCATTTTATCTATTTGCGGATAACAAATATTGAATGATCTTAGCTCCCAAGTATGCTAATATTATTCGGAATGATGTTCGGATGAGCTTTCGATGGTGGATCTTCGATGTAAAAATTAATCAAAACGAATTGGGATCAAGCCCATAAAAAAGATGTTGACTTTTTCATAGGAACTTCATGGCCATTTGCCTGGATTCGAGCCGTTCAAAGAGTTGGCATATACTGGAATTTTAAATGACATGATCAAAACTAAAATGTCACACTCCTTGGGTTAGTTGAAATTCTCATCTTTCAAGCTTGGTCAATTTATCATCGAATCGAGCGAACAATGAATAAATGTTGACTTGTCATAAAAGACAAGCTAACAGAACCTGTTTCCACGGAAAGTTCCTTTGCTTTCGAAGCGATCTTGACGAATAAAGAAGGTAGACACCCACAACCATCACTTACAATCAAATATCTAGGAGCTTGCTAACCCAGTGCCATACCATGTCAGATTGGCACCAGGTCAAGTTGAAAGAGATGATCGCCGATGTTGTTGCCCAGGTCTCAGGACGCGCATTCCTAGGCCACGACTTTTGCAGGGAGCGCGCTTGGAGAGAAGTAATAATTGGCTACTCTTATGGAATGTTGAATGCTGCAAGAGAACTTCATCTTTGGCCTAAGTTTCTGCGCCTTGTAGTTGTATGGCTCTTACCATCATGTCGAAGGCTTCGGGAGACGCTTCAGGAAGCACGAACTCATCTTGAGCCTGTTGTGAAGGCGCGCCATGCAATTATTGCCGCCAGCAAAGAGAAGGGATATCCCTCGCAAACAGGCCTATGCGCTTTAGACTGGCTGGAAGAAGTCGCCCAAGGCCGGCCATACGACCCCATTGCTATTCAAGTGTGTCTTGCGTTCGTTGGGATGGATACGGACTTGATATTCCATGTCATCTCAGATTTGTCCCAGGATCAGGAGCTCGTAGACGCCCTTCGGGAGGAGAAAAGCAGTGTCTTTGAGGGAAAGGAATTTGGTGGCAAACAAGAGTTACAAAACTTGAGACTTCTAGATAGTGTCATCAAGGAAAGCCAAAGATTGCGACCGACTGGAAAAGGTAAGAGCTCTCGTCTTGTAAATGGCTATGTAAAGCTTTTGGCTTACCAAACATTGAATTTCTTTCAGTATCGATGCATCGTATCGCAAAAGAGACATTCACACTGCCCGGTGATGTCTATGTACCCAAAGGAACATGCCTTGGAGTCTCAACGAGCCATATGATGGGCTCGTCAGTCTGGCCCGACGGTGAAAAATTTGATGGGTATCGCTTCTATAAGATGCGACAGAGCCCAGACAAGGCAAATTCCGCTCAACTTGTAGCTACAAATCCAGAGCATATGGGGTTTGGGTATGGCAAAATGGCATGTCCGGGAAGATTCTTCGTTGCGAATGAGATGAAAATCTTTGTCATTTTGTGATGAAGTATGATTTCCAAATTACAGAGACCTATGAGAAACATTCTGGGCTATACGGCTACATGTTCTCACCTAATTCTCGAGTTGACATGAATGTCCGGCGACGAAGGGATGCAGGGTGGTAATCCATGAGCAATGTTATGTTGTGCAAGAAATTTGGTCATATCCCCTCAAACATGATTAACTAGATTCAGACGGAGATCCAATAAAATGGTATATAAATACTATTCAAATTTTGCTAGGAACTAGATATGGCCTCATAACCTTAGAATATACCACTCAGAAGTGACAGTTCAATACTAGAATTATATCTTGCCTCTGTGGCGCCGGGGTAGATATAATTGACCCAGTTCAAGTTTCCGAGTCCTTTGTAATCATCACTCATTTATTTCTAACTAACCAAAGAATAAAACACTTTTTAAAGTGGTGGGTCACGTCGACCTGAGAATGGACTGATAAAAACGCAAATTGCATCAAAGTAGGTATTGCTATTTTCCAAATCCCATTTTCTATGCTGCCTTCTGCGTCGCAAGCCATTGCTCGTGAATCTTCTTTTGTCTCTCCCAATCCTTGACCAGCTTCTTGCGCCGACTCTTGGATACCTCAGTACCCGCTGAGTCCACGGTCGGGATACCGTTCTCATCCCATTGCGAAAACTCATCCGAGGTCCTGAACATCTGCAGTGGGTCAATCTTGGCGCGCTCGCGCAGCTCCTTCTCCCTCTCGGCTTCCTTGGCCTCCTTTTCCAGCTTGACCTTCGCCTTAGCAGCGCTGGCCGATTCCTGCTCTGCGCGCGCCTCTACGAGCAACTTATCGAGAGGTCGAACTAATGCAGCCTGGTTGTTGCGGTCCTCGAGGTAGATTCCCAAGTTCCAGAGGTGTACATCACGGAGTTGGTCACACAATGCGAGGAGGTCTTTTGCAGGGGCTTCCTTGGTCGCGAGGTCCTTCACATCGGTGCGGAATTGCTGCAGGACCTGATCGTATGGCTTAGAGGACTCAACGACTGGCGTTGACGCGGCGACATTACTTTCGTCAGTAAGCTTTACGATGGATGTGTGGTCGAGAGAGCCTGAACGGGCCAGGTTTCGAATCTTGTCGCGCAGTTCAGATGCAGGATAGATATAAGGTTGTGCTGGGGCGGGGATAACGAGGCCTGACCATCCGATACGCTCCAGGCTGTTAAGGTCGCCCTCGGGGTCTAGACCAAAGATAGTCGTAATACGTGTGATCCACTGCGCAATTGAAATAACTGTCTGATCTGAAAGTGCAGCTGCTGAGTTAGACTCGGTAACAATATCAGCGATGATTCTCATCACAGTCGAGGTGTCGAAGGAATCGCAAAGAGCGGCATCGACATCCAATTTTGCCTTTTCTAAGGAGCTTAATAATTGTTTGTCTGCATCGCCAAGCTCTTGTGTTGTTGTTGTAGTCTTGGAATTTTTCCAGAGATCCAAACTCTTTAAGAAGAAGTTATTAAGCTTGCCTTCCCAGCCGACGACAGCCTTCATGAGCTCTTCTGTGACTTCAATCCTATCCTGCCAAGGGATGAGAAGGAAGCAAATACGAAGAGAACGTGCAGTCCAATCGTTTTCGGCGAGAACATTTCTGATGGTCGTAAAGTTCTTGAGACTCTTGCTCATCTTTAGACCTCGAATTCTATGATAAGTTAGCGCATTTGTACAACGAAATCAATATATGAGAGATTTTATTTTACCTCAGTTGACCCATATGGATGAAGTAATTTGTCCACTGCACCTCGCAACCATGACTGGTCCAGTAAGCTTCCGATTGTGCGAGCTCGTTATCATGGTGAGGGAAACGAAGATCGACTCCTCCGGAATGGATATCTATCGCCTTTCCAATAACCTCGGAGGCCATTGCAGAGCACTCAATGTGCCATCCTGGCCGTCCATGACCCCATGGGCTGGGCCATGCTGGCTCGCCCGGTTTGCTAGCTTTCCACAGCGCGAAATCATTCTCATTGCGCTTTGCTGACTTTCCCTTGGACAGGGAACCCTCGCCGTCGGCTTGAAGTTCACGGTCGTTCTTGTTCCACGGTTCCAGCCGGGAGTAGCTGTGCCCAGCCTTCTCAAAAGAGTCGATATCAAAATATACAGAGCCATCAGGGGTAGAGTAACCGAAACCGTTGGTAATAATCTGCTCAACGAAGCTGACAACCTGAGGAACATATTCCGTCACACGGGTTAACTCGTCGGGATAAAGGACATTGAGCGCACCCATGTCCTCGAAAAAGCGGCGCTCGAATTTCGAGGTCAGTTCCAGGTACATCTTGTGGTCATTGGAGTCCATCTCTGCACCATGCAAGCCATCAAGGTATGGGAGTAGAATCTCGTCCGTCTTGGAGAAAAAGTCGGGCAGCTTTCCTGGCGCTTGCAGAGCCTCGGCAGCGGAACGTGCCGTTGCGATGCGTGCTCTCAATAACAAGTCAGTCACAGTGACAGCCTGACCCTCGGTGGCAGATGAAGGCTTGGCGTTTTCCTTGTATGCCTTGACTGCTGCCTCGGAGAAGGCCTCTGGGTTCGTATCAGAGGCCAGCTCCGGGAGGTTCTTGCCAATAAACTTCTGGAATGCCGCTTTGGTCTCTGCCAAAACAGACTCGCCCACTGACTCATCTTCGGTGGCATTCTCCTGTTTGAAGCGTGCGAGCAGGTACTGCTGGCGACCCTTGAGAATGATCTTGTCATCGATATCGGTTGTATTCATAACAAACTTGACACGGAAGCCAAAGTAGTCTTTCATGATACGGCGCACAATATCGGTTGAGACGTAGTTCTTCGCATGGCCCAGATGGGCATCTTCGTAGACTGTTGGGCCACATCCGTACCATGTCACCACCTTCCCTGCCGGATCGATTGGGACAAAGTCATCCTTGCTCCTTGTTAAGCTGTTGTAGATCTTCAATTTGGGCAGCTGGACATCGGGCTGCGCTTTAGGGGCGTGCCACGGCGGCTGTTTGCGACCGTCGGAGGCCATGTTTCGTGCGCTCAACTATTTCGAGGTGAAATTGTTAGCATCAAAGAGCAGTTGACTGAGGAGGTAACATACAAGAAGGGCGGTACCTTTGGCAGGGAAAAATAGACAGCTCGATTCAATGATTTGAAAGGATTGGTACTGATGCGATCCAAGTTCAGCGATTGTGTGCGTCTAATAAAGGCGGAGGAATGACTCACCCAAGCAGTCTCATTCCCAGCTCTTGGCGAAAGCCCGGGTGAGTGATCAACGGCCAATTGCTTAAACAGATTTCTGTAAGCTGGCTTCTCTACCTGCAGGATGACAGGTTCTCGGGTGGTAAATTCGCGTTATGACATGCGATCGAACACGGTAGATCGATTGCTGGAAATTTCCCGTTGATCAATAGCGGCACGTGACCCGTGTTGGCGGGGCAATTTATTTACTTTGAGCCACAGACAATGAACTACATATCACCCCGCCTATACTCAACAGTCCTTTAAAATGTACATTTAGCATTATTATACCTATATAAATAATATAACATTATGTATAGATTCATGATATTCATAGGATCTCCGAGCGATCCGCTCGCTCATTACTGCAGCATATGTTAGCAAACAATCCAACCCATACTAAACCAGAACAGAAACGAACCTTGACGCATTTTCCCACTGCTGATTCAACGACACCATCTTTATTATCGAATCGCTAGTTTCTCCCCCGAAACGCCCGCCTGTGCATGGTTCGCAATCAACCCAGCCGAATCCGTAGAGCCTCTTCGCGCAAAAGAACTCAATTGACTCTTCAGAAACTGATTGCGACCGGGTCCCGACCTCGAAGTCGGTCCATCATAGATACTTTGCGATTGCTTATCCGTCTTGCGATTGCGAGTGAAATATGCCTTAACAGAAGAAGAGTTCCGTCGTGTCCAGCTTAAAAGAACATTAATTGCCGGGAGACAAGCGCATATAAGACCGAATCCGACCTCGGCATTCCTGGAATGAATTAGATTTCGCTTTCTCTTGGATAATTCGATAAAGGGTTCGACTCACGCTGTAAGAATTGAGGTCATGAACATTGTCGTTTCACGGGGTTGATCCTTTTCATGAATTCCAACGACAAGTCTGAAGAGACTGAACGCAACAGCTATACCGCCGAAACCAAGCAGAACCATTACTTTGACTTTTTTCCAGAGTGGCATCTGCAGCGTCCAAGTAAATGCCACAGGGAAAGCGAAAATAGCAACATCAGTGATGAAGCTGATCACGGAATCTGCAATAATAACGCCTGGCTGGCTGAGACATGTTGCATCTGCTTGTTTGGACTCGACCCAATAAGCAGAGACGGGGTTACAGATGAAGATTTTGATAAATGTGATGATGGTATAATACCCGATGACTGTGCCAAGGAGAACATAAAGTGATACCATAGCCTTGTAGTAAGGCTGAAATACCCTGATTAAAATGGTAATTAGGCTGACTTTGACGAAGAGAGCTGTCGGGGCATAGATAGCCGTGGCAATATAAGAGATCTGCAGTCGGTTAGCTCGGGGGCCGTAAAAAAAGAAAAGAAAAAATCGAGATCGGTGTCTTGCCTTGATGCACTGCTCATATTGATGCGAATCAAGCTCAGTTGAATGATATGAGCCCCCAGCGAAGCCGTCTAAAAAAAGTATTAGTTAAATATGCCCATTTCCAAGATCAGCGACCGGCAAACATACAAATTAAGCCGTTTGCGCAGTACCCCATAAAAAGGAGCTAAATGTCGATTTTGTTAATAAAAGATCTGTAAATAGAAGACAATAAGATCATACCCATCCAATAAAACAACAAGCTGTATCATGTTAGTATTGGAAAAATAGCTCTGAAAGAAAATGATTGGACGCATGCATACCATCGTCCACGCCCAGCTTATGTATCACTTTCCATCGAACAAAGAGCCGCAAAAGCACCAAGGGTGTGACAAGCGCGAAGCAGAGGATCTGTGTCACATAATTTATTATGAATAAAGAGTTTCCATCTCGTATTGTCACGGACATGACATTTGATACTGCAAATGCCAATAATCAGGATCTAGGATCTAGCGCGACGCGAGGATTCTGTGACTCGCAGAAATCTATCTTCCCCCGGGTTTCAACACCCCCGGTCGCTTGTGCAGGTTAGTCAGCGAGATCTGATCGCCACTAATGACGTTAGCAAAATGGGGTTATACATTTAGCCATGGTACCTAGATCTTATGATTTGGGGGATATAAACATCTCAACCATGGGTAGAACTTGTTGAAAGAGCTGGTATGTTAAGTTGCTAGTATACTTCATTTTAATATGGCAGTTACTATCCACTATCCTATCAGCTTGGACTAGAGCTGTTTCAAACATTCCTTCTCATCACGGTGGATCCGGACCAACCAATGAAATAGACCAGAGGATATCTTATAGGGGTCACAAATTTATGACTCGCAGAAACACGCCAAGAGCCAGTGGTAAGTAATATCTAAAACCGAAGTACGAAGGAGTTCATGCACCGAAAATAATCCCTTGCCTGGATCTCCCCACGGATTCTTTTTCCAAATTTCTTGCTGCTGTCTCTCATATAACGATTTGGCTTTCTCAAAGACCCCAACCTGCTCCATACTTTCTAGGTCGTATCTTTTGAGATGGTACTCCGGCGAACTGCTACGATGCCAATTCGAGACGCCAATACTTCCTCACACAACTGCATTAAAGTCCGATTCCTCAAAAAAATAAATTTTCATGATAAGCTTAGGGGAATATTAACTCATTTCACTGAAAGAAAATTCTGGGTACGAAGTCGGCCCTAGCTTAGTCAAGCTTGAATGATAAGTATGTGATTTCATTATTATGGTGGATCAAAGCATTTTCGATCCGACATGGTGCCATCCCGGAAATCGAATCTTGCGGAACACAAAGCAAATTTATTCCACCGTCGCAAATCCAACTAAATGCAGAAGATTTATCTTCCCGATATTCCACTCAAAAGGCTGTCAAACATTGTCTTCAGTTATATCTTCTCTAGAGACAATATCTGGCCCAAGAATAATGGATATTCCATCGGGAGTGTAAGAAGGTATCGTTAGAATGCGTTTATAAGGGAAGTGGAGCGATCAGTACAGTCTAAAATCCTCAGTTGTGTCATCACGTCGCTTGAGGAACATTCGCGACTGGGATACTACAGCAAGTAGCTTGCTATCTGGAGAGAAGACGAGATCACAGAACTCAGGGTCAGACCGGTCACTATGAGGACTTTCGAATCGTTGTATAGAGCTTGCGTTTTGTTCTCGATGTCAAGGTGCCACAGTTCGATTGTCGATTGTTCCTCTGGAAGTATTAGATATACCAAGCAAAGTCTCATCAGGAGAGAAGGCAAAAGGAGACTTGGTATCGACAAAGTCTAGTGATTTTATGAAAATTGGCTGACTCGTGGGGAGTGAATTCGCAACATGAATTGAAATGGTGTCTTCAGATATAATTGCAAGAAGAGAGCCATTGGGAGAAATCACTGGATTCAAAAAACCTCCAATATGATGATGATCATGCAAGGAGGGAAACTCATTGAAGTTGACATGAAGGGATTTGTATAAATCTATTGTCGTTAATTCTTCACCAGTGTGGATATTCCACAAGCATGTCGGCCTCGCCCGTGCAAGCCTCCTCAATACTGGAAAAGTTCTCATCTATTCTGCAAACCCCCTCGTGGCAAGTGAGAGAAGCTGCCTTGTTTCCGGTCTGAATTGGACGAAATCTGGAGGTTTTTTTTGGCGTGTCAAAGTGCTATTGGGGTCAGTTTGACGGCCTTCAAGTTGGTCTCTTTCCCACCGGCCTGATCTTGTCAATCGCGACGCGGTCGCAGGCCTAGCTTTTCGCAGAATCCCATTTGGGATGCAGGGGCTTGTGTTAGTTATATCTAGCCCCAACCTTGAATAACAAATAATTCTGGATGAATTTGTCAAAGGTAATGTCAATTGGAACCACTCTTCGAGATGTGTATATTCGATGTGTTTGCTGTTGCCCCTCCATCTTAGCGCCGCCCCCACATGTTAACTACATGTTCTATTGGCTCAATCGGGACGACCGGCGGGTTATGTACCTTCAGCCGCACACAACAGTGCCGCTTCTGGATCAAACAAAGGAGTTAACTCTGAGCCGATCACAAAAAACTCAACCTAGCTCATACGACTGCAGGGTGTGGAGAACAAAGCTCCCTTCCCGTCCGCTCAGCCGCACTTGAGCCGCATTCCCATATTAAACGCTAGGGTGAGTGTTGGTGATATAGGTGAAATTTTGGAGATCGAGGCCGATAGAGATAATTATCATGATTGCCTCTAACCCCCTCAATCTGGACCGCGAGGACCCCCATGAACCATCCAACGTTGAGCACGCAGTCTTCACTCTACTGGTAACATATCTCCCCGAAACCTCCTCCATCACTCCAAGCCAAGCAGCAGAACAGGCCAATGCTCTATTCCCTTCTCGCCGCCCGGGACTAAAAGAAGAAGAACAGTCAACGGTCCATTTTCTATTTGAGTTCTGGGAGTTAATGTTCCGTGTCGCTCCACAGTTGGATTACCAACATGAGCCAATGCAACGCTTCGTTGCTCTCGTCAAAGCGCTCAAAAACTTGCCTCGGACGATTATTACTCGGGATGAGAGCATTTACGATAGTTTCTCTGTATGGCGTGGGCTTTATTTTGGACCGATGCTGCATGAACGGTGGAATCGTATGCCACTCTCTGTATATAAGATCATGGTGTTCTTGTAATACTCATAATAAAACAGAAATACCTGAAAACAAACCCCCGGAGGATCTCTACGCCTTCCGCTGGCGAAATATGAACGGCCTCCTAGCTCACTTCACCAACCACAATATATGCACCAACGACTTCCATGCCCTTGCTTGCATAACAAATGCCCTTGAGATATTTCGGAGAAAGAAACCCACAACCCCGATAAACCATCGTGTACCCGCTGCTGCCATCTGGTTTGTTCTTTGCCCATCGGTGATCTACCTAGCTTGCCAGCGGCAGGAATGTTCGGATCGCGAGTTGTCTGGGAAACTTTGGAAGGGCGAGCCGCAGCAGGGGTACTCAATTGCTCGATGGAACTTTTGGAGGAGGAGGTTTGCGGAGTTGGAATGTCATTCAGATGCTACAGAGGAAACAGGGGAGGCTTGCAGAGCTGCCATGAAGGCGATGGATAGTTGTGCTAGTGGCGTTGAATGACTTTGACTTTTATTATGGGAGTCTCATCCAACAATGCATATGAGTTCACACTCAAATGGTCAGAAATAAGGTCTCTCAACAACCGCGAATATTATTAATCCATTATTCGGTGCCACTTTCCCGGCTATGGCTACATGGGAAGCGAATCTGCGAGGGTTTGAATTAATCTGACTCAGATGTTGCTACGAATCAGCGCCGCTAATTGTTATACATCACAACCTCCACAATTGACCGTCCGCGTAAAGTCTCACTCGGGGATGCAGCAGGCAGTGCTGGCGGGCTTTGGGGCGGGATGAGCCATGACCTTGCCCGAAACTCTCCATGTTATACTAACAAGTCAATTGGGTATCGCACTATTCCAATCATACGTAATTTGAAGCAGACCCCCACTGCCCACGCTGAATTATTGATCAGACAAAATAAGGTATCAATTGAAAAAGAGCCTTGGCTGTTATCGTCCGTACCCGGGACCTCAGAAAGTAACCACTGACGCTGACAGAGTCAAAGCTCAGCCTAGTGCCGATGTCATAACGAAACGGTCGGATATCGTACCTATTTAAACTGATATTTCTCTCGTCGAATAAAATTCGGACGCATTCTATCGGCCGACAAGCAAAAACTTCTAGATCTCACGCAGCTCTGGAATGCATCGGGGATTATCTTGCTGGCTCGCCATAATGAGCGCAAGTACCCAAGACTCGCACGCCATCACAACATCCAATCATAACATTCGCCCCATTCATTATCAATTGCGCTTCATTTACCGCCCAAAAATACTAAGTTCTGGCTTGCCATTTTATTTCATTTTGAAAAATGGAAGTAACCAGGATAATCAACGGATTTTTGATTCCTTTCCTTTTTTCATGATCACAATATACTCCGATACGACTGGTGGCGGCAGTCGGTACTAGCAGACTAGCAAAGCCTGAAAATCTTTAGTGCTGCAAAGTGATCAACTGCGGGTCATATGCGCAATAGCGGACATGGAACACGCAAGACCTTCCAACTGACAGGAGTCACCAATGGCATGTATTCAAGCATGGAGCCAAGCCATGCGGGTCATTTTGCGCAACGCTCAAGCTTATCTAGACCCTGGATGAAATAAATACTTTAACCCAGTCTATCTTCCATTGGATCTCAACCATCGCAACGCTCAAATTTCAGGATAGGAGGTTGTTTTGTCATGTCCAGCACAATAGATACGGCCAAATTGGCCTTGATCCCCCAGGGCGCAGCCTACGGCCTGCTAATCGGCCTGGGGGTCGTATTTTGTGGAGTCATTCTATTTGCAGTCAATATTCAAAAGGCCTATCTTTCCGAAGACTCTGGGACGTCGGAAATGTTCATGGTCGCGAATCGGTCGGTTGGAACGGGTCTCACTGCCTCTGCTGTCTTTTCATCTTGGATGTGGATCAATGAGACAGTGTTGGCAGCCGCAATGACTTACAACTATGGCTTGGCACTTCCCCTGGTACGATTATCCGATGAGCTTTAAATGATTTGTCAAATTGACTTCAAATCCAGTGGTGGGGCTCTGGGCTATGCTTTCAAATCGCGCTGATGGCAGCACTTGGTGTCATGGCAAAGATTCGCGTACCTTATGCGCATACGTCCCTTGAAATTGTACGAATGAGATATGGAAAAATCGGTCATCTTGTTTTCATCGTCCTCAACCTGGTAAACAACGTCTTTGGATGTGCGTCAATGATCATGACTGGTTCCCAGTTGATCTATGGCGTCTCTGGGATGAACTTTGTGGCAGCAACGATCTTGGTTCCGCTTGGAGGTGCTCTATCACGTCCCATACCCATTTAACAATCCCAGAATATTCACTGACCTATTTCCAGTTGTTCTTTATACGGCAGTTGGAGGTCTCAAGGCGACCTTTTTGACTGACTTCCTCCACACCGCGATCGCACTGATCCTCATTATTTACTTTACTCTATCAGTCTTAACACATGAGGCTGTCGGGGGCCTTGGCGGCTTGTACGACAAAGTAGTCGCTACTTCAGGGGAAAATTACATATCTGGCAACTACGAAGGCTCGCTACTCACCTTCAAATCTAAAGGGGCAATTGTCTGGGGATTGATTTTGAAGTTTGGAAATTTAGCTTTGGTAGTCATGGTAAGTCGCAGAAACTGGGCATATTGTTAACTTGAAACAACGGGCTAATAAAACACATCATAGGACACTGCGTTTTGGCAAAAGTCCTTTGCAACAGAGGTCCGAGCTACAGTCCCCGGATATAACATTGCTGCGATAGCGGTATTTGGCATTCCCTGGGGCTTGGGTACTGTGATTGGGTTGTCAACACGAGCAATTCACAACACACCAATTTTCCCTACTTATCCTGACCAGTTGACCTCTACAGAAGTGAGTATGGGTATGGTGATGCCATATACCATCAAGGCCCTTATTGGTGATAAAGGCATAATTGGCTTCTTTTTTCTCCTTTTCATGGCCCTCACCAGCACTGTGTCATCGTCAATGATTGCCGTGAGCAGCATTCTGTCTTACGATATCTATAAGACCTACATAAACCCCTTGGTAACTGACAAGAACCTTGTTCGTGTCAGTCATCTGACTGTCGTTCTTCACGGTATATTCATCACCGGTATTTCCATCGCAATGAACTATGGAGGGGCCAACATGACTTGGATCGGCTATCTAAGACCTGTGATATCTTGTCCTGGCATTATTCCTCTTGTATTGACTCTTTTCTGGTCTCGTCAAACTCGCCTCGCTGCTGTGGTATCTCCGATACTTGGATTCTTTTCTGGTCTTGCTGTCTGGTTAGCGACAGCAAAATCCATGTATGGGGCTGTCAATATGGAGACCACATCTAACGAATATCCGGCACTCTATGCCGCTATTGCATCTTTCTTCTCGCCTGCATTGTACTCTGTCCTGATTTCCATCTACAAACCTTCAGTCTTTGATTGGCGAGAATTTCTGCGAATCGAGTTGGCAGACGAAGAACAATCCCAAAAAGACTCGGCTACCAGTACTTTGAATGAGAGTGGTGAATTCAAGGAGAGCCTTCCGGCTGTTTCTACTGACTACTTCAAAACCCCCGAAGAGCCGCAGATACAGTCAACAAGAGACAGCGATACTTCGGACTCGAAAGATACATCCAAGGAGCAAAAACCGCCGGTCAACTCCGTATCTACATCCACACCACAGCATGACCTCGATGATATTCAGCACCCATTCGACGAGGCGACATTGAAGGAGCTCTATAGGTGGCTCAAGATTGCCTGTATCACATTCGTGGTAATTGTCTTGGTCACCTTTGTAGCCTGGCCTCTTCCACTCTACCGAGATTATATTTTTACAAAATCATTCTTCTCCGGTTGGACAACGGTGGCTATTATATGGCAATTTGGGGCATTTGGGGCGGTTGTCATTTTCCCTCTTTATGATGGCAGACATGCAATCGCGACCGCAACTCGGGGTTTACTCAAATCTTCCAAGGCTTACTTAAATCGAAAGCCAACAAAATAGATTAGATCGCGGTTTAGGATGAATCAAGACCATTCGAATATGACTTCTGTATTCTCCGGGTTCTTATATTCAGCCAATCTCCATTTTCCAATTGATTGTTATACATGTTGAGGCCCAGATCAACCCACCCCGGAAAAGGTCGCATGCATTATATCAACGCTTAACCTCGGCCTCCCTGTGCGTGCTCTATCGGGCTAATTTTAGTATGAAATCCACGGCCGAATTGAACGTCATACTAGCGGTTTGTACCAAAAGAGACCCTAGGGGTCAATCGAGATGGATATTAGTATGAATATTCTCGATAATTCCGAATCATGTCTGGGCCTATGTCATTTCCTCCGAGCTGCAACCAAAGCTCAACTACTGGCATCTAGCATGACTTAAAATCTCAGACTTGGTATGACCTACTAATCCACTAAAATATCTCGGCGGGGGCCGTGACTCAAATATAACCATGGCGGATTCTATATCTGATCTTGCCAAATGAAGTATAATTGGGGGCCGCCGCCCCCTGTGACGCAAGCTTTAGCCCCAGGGTAACCTCGCTTGAATACATGTAGATCCCAGTAGGGCTGAGATGGACGCCAAGACCATTCTGCCCGGAGTAATAGTGCTGAGCGAGGTACGAATAAAGGTGTGCCTGATTTATTCGGGCCTGGCAATTACTTGGAAATTATGAATAACTATGCAAACCATCTGATGCCCAGCTTCTTGTCCACGCTATGTAAGCCAAGGGCCCCCCAGGTGTGCCAAGTAATCCGCCCAAGTATTTCTCATGATGGAGTTTCTTGGAAACAGCAATAGCCAAGAGGGGCTTGACATCATTGACAATGAATCGGGGATCAATTCTAAGAGTAATAATGGTCTTGATGCTTGAAGGCTGCGGTCAAGAAATAGTATTTAAAAGCTCAACTTCCCAGAGGAAATGCATTTCTATTCATTCATCCATCCATATCTACATTGACTATTCATCAACTTGTCCAATACCGTTATACCTTCGATTCATTCTCAATCCTATCCCTCACATAACCAAGATGACCAAATCCATGCTTTCTGTCGCTTTGTTGGCTTCCTACCTATCAATCGCTAGCGCGGCAACATGCTACGCAGTCGGCTACATCGACACCAACTCCGCCATGGTGGTTGGTCCCTTAACCAATTCAAACGGCGTTTACGTCTACGACGCAGACGACAACAAGATCGGTACAGGGTCCACTGAAAAAGGCGCTTGCACTGATCTCGACGAAATTGAGCTGGACGGGTTTGATGATACGTTTGGCTGGGCTGCTAGCTGTAATGCCAACAGTATTAAGTAAGAATATCCGATTCAATGAACAAGTGACATGATAGACATGATAGTTGGAATCGTACTGATTAGCTTTAATTTAATAGGGAGTGTCATGGTTCGTACGCGACACAGACACATATTGATGGCGGGGATGTCGAGGACGGTAGCGATTTCTATGGAATTGGAATTTCGACCTCGTCTCAATGTAAGATTGAGTTCGACTGCTAGAGTTTCATTCTCTAGGGGTGAACTTGAGAGTACTAAGGTTCAGGATAGTATTTCAAGGTATTTATGACTTCCGTCATGATTCTCTTTGGCTATCGTGGATAGTTATGCGGTCTGGTGTTTTCGTTTGCATTTATTTGATTATTTCAAGCTTTTGTCTTCTGTTTCTACAATATCATTATTGCAGTATGAATATAAAGACAAGTTCCAACAAAATAATTACAGATTTGTCAAATACTACCAGAGTCAATGTAAAAATGAAATTCAATCAAAATGATTCATATCTAGAGGTATATTGCAAGTAGATGTCATTCGCAAATATGAAAGCCCCCTTTAAAGGATCAATATTCGTTAAGGTGTAACTTCTTCCCCACAAATCGTCTCTTCTCAGGCTTATCTCCCCGGTCTCGATCAGCATTGACGCCCTTAAGAGCATGGAGAAGCATTCCCGCATCGAAAAATCCATCTAGAGAAAAGAAGTCAGTTAGATTCATTATTTTTAAATAGAGAAGAAAGATAACACTCACAGCCTCCCATTCCATCATCGTCCATGTCTCCACTATCAGTCATAGTATTAGGCGTCTCAGAGCCACGGGTAGTATCGCTCCGGACAACCCTACCCCGACGTTGGAAATCAGCCTGTAACCGCTCAGCAATGGCCTCTGTTTCCCTCGCACGACTAGTTCGCGGACTAGTAGTCTTTCTATTGGTAGCGCGCAGCAATTTCCGAATCTCAAATAGATACGACTCAAGCGTTTGCATAAGACGAGCAGTCTGTCTATGTTTCGAGGACGCACAGAAAGAAATAGACTCATCCTTAATAATATACCCAATACCAAAGCCATCTGCGGATGTAGGCCCAAAGCCAAAATGGCGCAGACAAGGGTTTCCACAGTTTGAAGTTGAAAGAATGGTATTGTTGATTTTGTCCCAGCCTGCGTCAGCGAAGATAGCAGGTGTAGGTGGGGACGCGGATCGGTAACGAAGACTACTGCTTGTTGGGGAGGAAAAGCCGTCGTCTGATACGGAGGTTGCGAAGAGACGGGGTGACTCGGGGCCTTCGCTGGGACTGGATGATTCACCTGCTGAGCTGGCGTCGAAGATTGATTCATCAAATGAGCGTTGCCAGAGGCAGTAGAGGGCATAGAGGTGGCGGTCTTGTCCTTGGCCCTTGGAGCAATCTTTTGTGATAGCTGTGTGGCGTTGTGTTGCGGCGCGAAGGGAATCAATCTTTTTTTCGGCGGGGTTCTCGCCCCAGAATGTGCGGACGAAGTCTAGAACTTCGGGCGTTACTGTTCGAACTGCTTCGGTGCGGCCGTGTAGGAAGACTTTGGTCATGGCGGGTTCGTAGGTGTTTTCGACGCGGCCGTAGAGTCCGTAGTAGGCTGCTTGGAATGCCATTTGGATGAATGCGTCCGGGGAGAAGCCCATCGAGGTGATGAAGTTCTTGCCGAAGCCTTCGAAGTCTAGGACTCCGAATTCATGCTGATGGAGGAGATCGGAGAGATGGGATTCGGCGAAGCGGAGGGCGATGTTGAGTTCTGGTATCATGTCCCATTCTAGCTTGCGGGGTGTTGTGCTGACATTGCCGAAACTACGTGGGTCGCGCTTAGCTGGGTCAGGGCTGGATGTTGCCCATAGGCTTGGAGCTTGACCATTGATCGTTTTAGCGAATCGTAGAATAGTGTCAGTGTAGACGTCACTGGCGAAGCGTAGAACTGTGTGGCCGTCTACACCAGTATGTTCGAAGTTGATACCAGCGCTTCCATTTTTGCAGACAATGATCTGGAGTTTATCGTACCATCGATTTGTGCAAGTACCCACCTGAACGCCTCTGATAACCTCACTAGACCCGCAAAGCATATTGGCGCAAAGTTCACCGGTGTTTGATGGCTCAGTATCATCAAGACACAGCACAAAGAGAGCGGTGTCGACGATATTAAGACACTCGGCGTTATTCGAAGAAGGGTCCTTGGTCATGATATCTCGTAGACCTGACCAGACCTTCCGGTTCTCGGTACTCAGAACGCCCAAGGCGCCCTTGGCAGCCTCTTGAATGGGGGTTTGAGCTGCATCGTCCACGATGACTTGCAAGTTTAGCGAGATATCTCGCTCAGTCATGATGAGATCGCTGTTGTCATCCAGCACATCAAACCAGTAAAACTGGCCTCGACACATAATGACAACATGCTTTGCATTTGGGTCTTGACTGATAACGCAGCCATTATCGGTAGGTAGACGTGCTGTGCCAAAGAGCCGGGAGTATTGATACATGCACAGAGGGGTTCCCCGCACAGTATCAGGTGGGAGTTCCTCCCTTCGCACAGCGCGCACAAAAGACAAAGCCGAAACTACCAGGGATGCAGCTCGAGTAACTTGATGGTTTCGAGCCGGCGTTGGATCATCCTCCAACAGGAAAAATGGGTTAAGATTCAAGACGACGGCTGTTAAAGGTCAGTCAAACGACTCAAAGAAATCTAGCATGGATATCATTTAAACTTACAGCTATCAAAGTTCAGGTAAGAATCATACCCTTGTAGAGATTAGTAACCTGTTCTTCGCTCAACGCTAACCCATACCAAACTCACAGAACTGTTCAATAAAGCTAGTCTTAGAAGAAGCATAATTCTTCAACTTCTCTTGCAAAGCCGGTCCATCATGCTTCAAAAAGTCCCTAACAGCAGCCTTACTATCCTCATGTTCCCTCGCATTCTGCAACGCAGACAACACCTCCAAATGCCTGCGACATGTATCCTCCAAATCAGGGATAGGAAGCTTAGGCAAAGAATCCTGATTAGCAAACGTCAGACCCTGCTTCAAGGGCTTATGTTCCTCCACAGCCTTCGAGGAAGGCTTATCAGCCGGAACATTAGGTCTTACGACCGTGTGGCTCTGGCCTTGACTTTGACTCTGACTTTGGGGATCCTTCTTCGCATCGGGATCCATAGCGGCACCGAGCGGCTTTGGAGCCGTAAAGAATCGAACTGCCGTAGACGAATAAGACATCGTGTTAGTTTAAATCTTTTAGGCGTAGCGACTTGCTAAACAGGTTGGGAGGGAGAGAAGGCGCAGTGCGGTGCGGTAGAAGTAGTGGCAGTCTTGGAGGCAGTATGGTGGCATTGAGATTTACCAATGATGAGTGAGGGGAGTAAGGGTATGGTGAGGATCAGATGTATGGGTGTAGAGAGATTAAAAAGTGTCTCGAGGGGTGCGAAGGGCATCAATCACATGTTATATACGGGTTGACGGGGTGCCAAGAGGTTCAGGGTGCAAGTGCAAGTGCAAAGGCAAATTCGGGCCTTTGCCGGTGTGTGTACTCGGGTTGAAGGGAGCGGACTAAGGGGCTAGACTTACTGGGTCCAGGGTCTTGACGAACTGCGGGATGTGGGTGGGGTTTGGGTGAGAAGATGCAGTGATAGTGCCGGATCAACGGATGCTGTCAGATGATCTCAGCCCCGAGCTTTAGCTTGAGTACCCGGTAAGAAAGAGAAAGAGGTTGATAAGGACTGAAGCGCGTTAATAAGGGTGCTTGCAGCGTATGTGGGGATATTAGCATTATACAACTTGGAACTACATACCGAACAGGGTCCAGCCTTATGTGTACAGTGTGTAGCACTGCTTTGTGGATGGTTTGCCTTCGGAAGAGCGTGGGGGTATTAGCTGCGGAGGAGGTGCGGAGGAGCTGCGGGACTAGTGTACAACTGAAAAGGAACAGTGCTTAGTTGACGTCAACAGGGGATTGGGTAGAAGCTGTGACTAACCGGTAATAGAGGGCAAACTAGTCTCTAACCATTCGTAAAAAGTGATCAAATTTCAATGTGGGATAAGCTGATGTGGGGAGTGCGGAGACTAGTTACAGCGTAGACCATGACGTCTCGGTCGAATGGATCAACGCGGATTTGCTTACATCATGCATTTGTACATACCTTACTGTTGGGTCTAACCGGATTAGGTCTAGTGGGTGAGAGCTCGGGAGTTGTTTGTTTGATTTGTTTGATTTGTATTGTTCTGGGGTGACACGTGACCATGGTTCATCTCGCATTCACATTTGGATGGGGGGGCAGCATCTTTTTCTATCCACATAATGGGGGAAGGGTAAATCGCTAGGAAAGACACCAGAATTCAGATAAGACATATTCACAATTGTAGAAAAAGAAGGGAAATCACACATGGCCGTATCCGTGGGGAAGGGATTGAGGCCTCAAGTACCTCCCGCTGTACATACAGGAAACCTCCCCGGGAACGCCCCACGTCTCCGAAGACGAAAGACTCCAGGTACCCGATGCCGATCTCTGACCCGAATCCCGGGCCAGATCATACCGATCGAGCAACACATGTAGATATTCAAAGAAGCGAAGGTTAAAAAAATGGCAACACAGGATGCAAAATAAATAAAGAATGCAAGACATATATTGCTGGAGAGAAGATAAAAAATGCCCATAGAGCGACTTTACAGTGATTGAGTTCAATCAGGTCAAGTTCCCTTCCTGAATATGTATGAGGGCGGAAAGGGTTCTCCAATGCAACGGTCAGAACATTCTTAAGAAGCAGTGTAGGTGGCACTGTTGCCAGGCTTCAGGACGTTTTCACCATATTCACCACCGACGTTGCCGACCGGAGAATAGTTGCAGACGGTGAATGGCACGGAACTTGAGGAGTCGACATTGCCTAGTGAGTCGCAGACAACGGTCGCACAGCCGACGTGGGTGGTAGCCTTCCAGACGATCTGACTGAAGTGACCCCAGCTGTCGAATTCGGACATGCTAGGGTCAGCCTGGCCGTAAGGAGTAGGAAAGAACTCGATCTCGTCGTTGTACATCATGTTGGTGATCATCACACCAACATCGTTGGACTGAACGCCGTAACCAATGTTCTGGCCGTAGCCGCCGCCATCAATGTCGCTGCAAGGGGGAGTTAGTTCCATGATTCTGTAGATTTGATTGGTCGGATGCAGGGTCCCTGCAGGGTGTACTTACGTATCGTGCTCATAGACACAACGGGCGGCAAGGGTCTGCGCGCTCTGGCGAAGATCATCATCCCAATCGAGCGAGGAGACAGAGTGGTTGCTACGGTGAATGTTGTGGTTGTAAAGCACCTTCTGCTGGTATTCGGTGGTGGCAGAGCCAGTAGCGCTAGCGGCACTGGTAGTCGAACTGGAACTGGTGCTGGTGCTAGAGGTGGAGGTAGCCATGGTGGTGGAAGGCTCAGCGGGCTCAACGGTTGAGGTCCAGGCGCTTGACCAGTAGTAAGTGGTGCCTTCTTCAGGTTGGGGTTGCACCGCTGATGTAGTGGCAGGGTCGGGAGGAACAGTCGACTTCTTGAAGAGATCGGTAGCTGGGGAGGAGGTTTCGACGGGCGCAGCTGTGGAGGTTTCGGTCTCAACCACAACAGGAGCCTTCTGAACGGCGGGGAGGGTCTCAGTAACGGCTGGTGCGGTGATTGTTGTGGTAATGGTCACAGTGGACCAATCGGTAACATAAACACGTTTCTCGACGGCATTGACAACGCCAGCTGCCAGGGCAGCAAGCAACAGAGAATAACGCATGGCGATCACTTAAAGGCGACTAAATAAATAACACTTCCCCAGGAAGGTTTGCGCAAAAAAACACTGGATTGGATTGTTTGGGTTGAAGATTGCTGAAGTCAACACACAGATCGACTGTGTGGACGGGGAAAGAGTGGTTGTTTAGGGACGCTGATAAAGGAATGACAGGCCCAAACACTTCAATTCTCCTTCAACGAGTGAAAGGAACGAATAAAGTGTGGACTGGGGAGTTGGAACGGAGAAAGCGTGGAGAAGAGAGAAGGGAAGAGAAGAGAGGGAGAGATTGAGTTGATGTAGAAAGGGGATAACAGAGTGACGAAGAGGAAGAGTGGGGCCGTGCGATGGGTAAATTGGCTGGTAAAATTGAAGGGGAGATTAAACCACTTGTTTAATTGTTTCCAAGGTTTGTTGATTAAATTAAGTTTTTAGATTCGGAGAGAAAAAGGCAACAGAGTTATATCCCATTTATCTCATACTTATTGCTTTGCTTTAGCACCCGTAACGCTTTTCCAACCTCACCAGAAACTGTCCGACACATACCAGAACCTTGCCCGCCACTCGCAGGCGTGGGACATTCCACATTCCAACGCGTCTCCGAAACGACTGTGATTGGGCCCCTGCCTAGGCACTCAAAAGATGAGGCTGGACTACAATGGAGCGACAATGTAAATCACTTCATTATTCTCTGGCCCGTACGGAATACAATGGGGACCTCCAGGCTACGGAGGATTCTCCAGGTGGAAACATACAAACATACACAAAACTGATATTAGGCCCTGGATTTGGCCCTGAAATGACCCTCCATAGGCACAGAATGGGGCGGATCCTCAAAATTCCCACTTGACTTCCACTAGCGCCCAGCTCCTTCAGTGTACAAGGATCCTGCATAAAACTACGGAGTACGATCTCGGGACTTTGCAAAAGTGCCGTCCAAAATGACAGGTTAAGCAATAAGGTCCAGCGTTTCAAATTACACATATGACAGCAATAGATGCATCCATTTACATCCCCTTAACAACCCACACCAATGTCGTGAATCGTGCAAGACAAACAACGCCAAGGGAATCCAGGATCCAGTTTCAGGACCGGCACAAGTTTCAAGTGATAGACCCATTGCAGCCAATCACATCTTACCACGGGAGATTATCCACATCACCAACATCAACACTAGCAGACGCTAAGAAACTTGGCTTCGGGTCTGGTCCATTCGCGAACGCCACTCTGCACGGGGTTGAAATCTGGGATTGATTAAATAGATTAAAACCCTGACGCCTCTTAATGTACCTGTGTTTCAGCCCAGAAAAAGCCACAAAAAACGTTGTTGATTATATTTTTCCCCTTTACGATCTTGATCTGCCTCCCCGCATGATCTGAGAGAAACAATTGTTTGTTTGAGGAAGCGCTTGCGTATGGCTCAGGGGAGGAAAAAAAAAGAAAAAAACCAAGGAATCAAGGAAAAGACCCACAACAGAGTTCAGTCCGCCCCAAGTATCACGCCGATCATCAATCAAGCCTTTTTCGCAATCTGTTTTGCTTCTGTGACTCGGCTCGGAAATGAGATGCCGGGGAGACGAATAATGTGATTAACAGGTCGATCTGTTAAAATTACACGATAATCTAGGTGTGACAGGGACGCACAGACAATACGGCACCGAGATGACATGGATTAAGGTGCTCCATCGGTGTACTCCGTGGCACTTTGGTACTTTGGAACTCTAGCATAAGGGCAGATTACAAGGACCCAAAGGAGATGTCATCATCCAGAACACTGGGAACAGGGCTGAAACTAACATAATATCTTTAATTGTAGGGAATCTAGACTATATAGATCGATCTGGGTTTCTATCCCAAAAACACCAAGCTGTCGGGTGCCTTTGTGAGGTATTTTCATTGGGTCACCCATTGCGTCAGTGGCAGGCACCATGCAGGCACCCGACTGTTACGCCAGGTACTAATCAAACCCCAAGAAAGTATCTGCATAAACGCCGGGTAAGAGGAAAGGAGAAAAAGGAAGAAGCAAACACTGAAAAATAAAATGGTGAAAAATAAGGTCTTCCGTCCAAAGAGACCTTATTCGATCAAAAAACTCATAACTAGAAAATGAGTCTTAAAGATCCACTACTTTACATGATCCGGCCTCGCAGATCAATAAGTAATTTTTCGCTGGGTCGGCAGCCTTCAAATCTTTGTACAGAGGGTTTCGTGACTTCAACCAGAAGGATTGATTCCCCACAAAGTCCTTCACGTGGGAAGGCCGTATATCCACCAGAGATGCGACCGCGACAGTAGAAGATACTCCAGCGCCGGTCTCTTTCCGAAGCCGCTGTCGAAGGAGATCATGCGCAGACACAGGTCGGTTTCTATTACTGATAAGGCCATCGCCACGCGGCACAGGTTGTTTCGAAATATCGGCGGTCGCAAAGACTGCGGTGACAGTGCGAGTACCGGTCTGCAGACCGACAATCACATCTAACAGCCCAACAAATAGGAAGGGGTGTTGCATGATCTCGACGGAGAACGAGTTCAGAGTCTGTCGCGTTAGAGTCACGTATTCAGGGTCATCGAGTAAAGCCGCCAATCGCAAGAGATTCCGTGAGATTACCGCGTTGACGGATGGAGTGGCTGATTCTGTGCCAGTCTTTAATCGGAATAGCGGGCCTGGCATTCCAGGAGTCATGGAGGCTGGGGTGTTGTAGAATCCAGCCGGTGTCGACCCATTCTTGGCAAGGAAATTATCGTTAAGGTATCCTAGTAATCATATCAGCCACATGTTCTTCCCTGTTTGGGACAAGAATGCTTGACTTAGCGTGTGTAAATACTTACTTTGGAGGCGCTCTGCAAGCTGTAGGTAGCTATCGTCAAAAGTAGCCTCATACATGTCCAACAAGCCACTGGTGAAGTATGCATAATCATCGGCGAATCCTGGGGTATCCCCACGGCTACCGTCCCGGTAGATACGCCACAGCTTGCCATTGGGCTTGTCGAAGAGATTATTTTTGATGAAATTGATTGCCCGGGCGGCGGCCTCACGACATTGAACGGCCTTCGAGCTCTCGATTTCCTCAAATAGAACACTGCACTTGGCAAGGGCGCCGATCGCCAGACCGTTCCAGCCAACGATGATCTTATCGTCTAGATCTGGTCTACCCCTTGTTTTCTCACGGTGATCACGCAGCTTTTGCTTCCCGCCCTTGATGATCTTCACGACCTCCTCCTCACTCAGACCGAAGTCTTTTGCGAGCTTGCTCGGTGTCTCTCGAACCGACAACACGTTCTGATTCATAAACTCATCATGCGGATCATACTCGGCAGGGACGTTTCCATCAGGCAACACACCCCAATGACGAGCACACACCGGAGCGTCGCGGGGACCCAAGACTTGTGTGAGCTCCTTCAACGACCAAACGTAGAATGCACCTTCTCGTTTCTCCGTATCGTTCGGGTTGGGAAAACTATCGGCGTCCTCAGATGAAAAAAACCCTCCGGTTGGCGATTGCAAGGGTTCGGTCGTTAAGTAGGTGGCCAGGTCATAAATCGCGCCAAGCAATTCGGGATCGTGGGTGATTTTAAATGCGTCTACATAGACATCAAGCAGTTGTGCCTGGTCATACAGCATTTTCTCAAAATGGGGTAGGCCCCAGTCTGCCGTGACACTATACCGAGAATAGCCGTGGCCAATGTGATCGCGAATACCACCACGAGCCATATTCACTAATGTTGTCACAGCCATAGCGGTCGCCTTTTCACACTCATCCTGTCCCACGATGTCGACCACCTGGTTGGGGTATGTACCAAGTCGAAGAAGGAAGCTGAGATTGGCAGGCGTAGGAAATTTAGGCGCTCGGCCAAATCCGCCGTTGATGGAATCATATCGGGATGCGAAATGCTGGTAGGCCTCTTCCAGTAATTCAAGGTCGAGGTCCTCGTCTGTTTCGCGTGCTGTATGCTGTGAATGGGTTCCTTCTTCGGCAAACTCTCGCAGCTGTTTTGTGATATCCTTCGCACTTTCAAGGCAGCGCTGCTGTTGTGTCACCCAAACATCCCGTAGCTTCTCTAAGATTTCCACGAAGCCAATACCATCTGGACCCTGAAGAGTAGTGGAGTTTGGGCCAGGCCAGTAAGTGCCGCCGAAAACGGGCTCTAAATCTGGAGTGAGGAAGACATTTAAGGGCCAACCGCCGGATCCTGTCGTGGCTTGGACATAATTCATGTAGATGTCATCAATATCCGGTCGTTCTTCCCGATCAACCTTGATTGGCACAAAGGAGTCGTTCAGGATAGCTGCCACCTCGGGGGACATGAACGACTCCTTCTCCATAACATGACACCCTATGGAAAATTAGACACCCGATGGCTGGAAAGAGGTGATAACCAAACATACAATGACAAGCAGAGTATCCAATACTGAGAAAGATCAAACGATTTTGCTTTTTGGCCAGTTCGATCGACTGGACATCCCAAAGTTGCCATGCCACAGGGTTGTTCATGTGCGCCCTGACCTATGGCGGAGTTAGTCCTTGGAAATCGGCATTATAGGGATAATTTGAGGTCAAGCATTGTCACTCACATATGGCGACCTGCTCTGTCCAAGGCGATTAACGAGCTTCGTCCGTGTATCAGTCATATCGTGTTGCGACTGCATGTCGGAGGCTATCTTTTTGAGGACAACTCGCGGCGCCGGGCAAGCCGTGATATGGTGTAGCGGAGCAGACTCGGGAATACTAACGGGATCCGGCAAAGGATCAAGGCTCAATACTACCCCGCGGGTGTGACTGGAACAGCTTAGCGAGTTAGGATGATGGTGTACTAGAGCAGGGGAGGGGCGCACAAGATCGGAAGTGGGGTTAGCAGGAGGCAGCGACGGACAAATGGGCAGACGGGAGATCGTCCCTGTGCGTCATCGATGCATCAGGAAGGTCACGTGAATGAGGTCATGTAGTTGCAAGATGAACTATTCCGAGCTTATTTTGCGATCGGATTACTTAGAAATTGCGAGTTAGTAAGAGTTTAACTTTAATGCAATTTATGAACCTATACTAGTTCATTTCTGGAATGCATATAAACATCGTTCGTTGACAAAGTTCGGACTGTATATACATATCGGTCTTGGGTATTGTGACATATCTAATCGTCCATGAGCTCAGCCAACTCACGCTCCTCCTCTTCGGTAAGCATATTTTCAGCACTTGGCTCTTCCTCTTCAGGTACAGCAGGTTCCGCCTTAGCTAGTGCCACAGCTTCTTGTAATTGATCCGGACGAAGAGACCATTGTCGAATGGTCCCGTCAATGCCAGCGCTGACCACAGTGGAGCCCAGCAAGACGAGTCCAGTGACTTCCTCAAAATGACCAGAAAATGTGTGATGAAGCTCTCCAGTCTGGAAAATATATCAGTAACATGTTCAAATTCGAATCTCACCAGAAAAATATAGACTGATGCAAGGGAGAGGGGGAGCATACCGATCGGTTCCATACGCGGACCTCTTCATCTCGACAAGCTGTAATAACCCAACCGCCAGCTTCATGCACAACAATATCTCGCACAAAGTCAGGGTGTTCCAAACTGATATTGGGCTTCCATCCATCTGCTCGCACCAAGCACTTCGCTGTCTTATCGGCGGACACGGTCCACAGATCGCCATCCTGATCGAAGAAAAGCTTGTATATACTGGTCTCGTGAGGGAGAAGAGGCTCCGCGGAATCGCCGCCACCAAAGATCTTGAACTGTCGGATCTCTCGTTCACTGCCAGCGCTAAATATTAGAGCATCAGATTCTTCCACTTCCGGGTCAAGGATTAGATCCTCAATACCCCGCGCGTGGCCTTTGAAAGTCTCGATGCGTTGACCGGTGGTAATGTTGAAAATGAGGACTTGAGCGTCAGCACCACCCGTAATGAGTAAGTCTTCTCCATTCAAACGAGCACTCGTAACTGTTTTAACAAAATCTGAATGGCCTTCATACTTTAGGCGAGGCTGGCCTGAGGCAACGTCCCAGCTCCACACCGTTTTGTCCCAACATCCAGCAAACAATAGCTTGCCATCTGCACTTAAGCAGATACTAGTCAATGGAGCTGTAGGACCTTTGTAAAGGGCAGATGTTGCGCCAGTCTGTAATCGGATCTGTTAGAATAACACATAATCTTGTATTAGAAAGCAGAACTTACATCAAGAACCACTCTCCTGATAACGCCGCTACTTTGAGCTACATAGATGGAGTTTTGACTCTTTGGATCGGGATGAATAGCTAGGAGCTTGCTTTGTAACCGAATAGGATTTCCATTGGAATTCTGAGACTTGGCGTCTTTCCTCTGTTGCTCGTCTAAGGAAGCACTGTAATGGATTAGTAAATATATTGCCCAATGCGGTACTGAAACTCTTTGTTCTTTTTGACTCACGAAGTTTGAAAGAAATTATCTCGATGAGAGGAAGTTGTCATGATGAATTTGTTGCTTTATTTGTCCTATATCTTATAAAAAGGGGGGGAAGAACACGAAGCTGAATCATTCAATCTTCAAGCTTCGACCCACGGGCCTCACGCGCACAAACCAAAACTGCTCTAAGAGCTCCTGCAGTCCACCGTACCCATAACCACCAAAAACCCCAACAGAGTTTGATTCTTCCTCCTTCTCTTCTCTTCTCATCCAACCCACTCCCTTCTTCTTTTCGACCACCATTTCTTTTTTCCTCCCTATTTTTCTCTTTTCTCTTCTTTTTAGTTCTCGTTCGCTCATCAATTGCGCGATTTCGCGCAACCCCAACAAGATGGATATGAACCACTTAATAGGGTCAGTCATCTGCACCTCCTGGGAACCAGGGTTTGTGCGGCTGGGCTGGAGTTAACACCTGGCAGTCAGCGTTTCAACCTGATCTCTAAGAGTGACATTCGGTAAGCTTCCATGATTCTTTACTTGCATCCCTGTTCACTAATGACAGCTCAGATATGTCGGCACACTTCATGAAATTAACCCAGAGGCATCCACAATTGCGTTGGAAAATGTCATGTCCCATGGAACTGAGGGTCGTCGAGGAGACGGAACTGATGTTCCTCCCTCTAACAGCGTTTACGAATACATCGTATTCCGAGGCAGCGACGTGAAGGATATTAGCGTCGCAGATGAGGAGAAGAAGGAGAACACACAGCCTGAACCTCCTCGGGTTCCTGACGACCCCGCCATCTTAGGAGTAAGTACACCGCGTGCATCGTTTTTTCCCACCAAATGCCCAACGACCATGACCCACCCGGTCGGTCAATTGATTGAATGATGAAGAATTTTTCGGATGTAAACACAGACCTGTTCTGAATGCGCAAAACCTTGTTGATATTTCCGTTGCCTTCCTTCTGATCAATCATTATGTCTCATGATACTTTATTTCATCCACTAGCTGTAATTTTTCATCGGCTAACTGGAAGCAAATTAGAACATGCCCCGACCGGGTCCTCCACCTGGCCAAGAACCAGGACCTGCTCCTGGCCTCCAAGGGCCTCCACAGCCACACAGCCAGCAAGGACCTCCCGGGTATCCTCAACAGCCTCCATTCCAGAGCGGTCCCTACCCTCCATATGGTCAGCGTTTTGGTCCTCCCCCTCCTTTCCCCCCTGGCCCTGGCTTCCCACCTTATGGTGCTCCTCCGGGTGCCCCACCCGGATGGTTCCCACCTCCCGGACATGGCTTCCCCCAGGGACCAGGACAGTTCCCTCCCAACATGCCTATGGGACCCCACGGTCAGCAGCTCCCTCCTCAGCAGCGCCCAGGTCCTCCCGGAGTGCCACCTCACCCTACCTCAGAGCTTCCTGTCGGCGATAAAGTCCCAAGCAAGCCAGCCACCCCAGCTGCCCAGAATGCCCCCACTCCTCCAATTGAGTCCAAGCCTTCTGTAGCTGAAGCGGTTCAGGGATTGGGTGGCCCAACTGCCATTCCCCAGAAGAGTGGCCGGGTTGTCCCCGCAATTCCCATCGCGGCCCCCAAGTCTGCTGCTCCAGCTGGTGGTGCACATGGCAACGCCTCTATTACGGATGCCACAGCCGCTGCAACAGCTGCCGTCGCTGCCGCGATGGCTAAGCTTCCTCAGCCAGGTGTATTGAATAAGCCTGGTCAGGGTGACGTTAATGTTGATGGTCTTGCGCGCAGAATGAATGACATGCGCCCATACGATGGTACTCGTGCCCCACGGGGTGGTCATCAGCACCCCCGTGGTGGTCGTGGCGGTGTCCGCAACCAGCAGCACAAGAAGATTGAAGTCCCAACCTCCGACTATGATTTTGAAACTGCCAATGCCAAGTTCAACAAGCAAGATTTAGTGAAAGAGGCCATCGCTACTGGATCTCCAGCTGCCGAGGCTGAGTCACAGGCTAGTGCTGAGCTGGAAGTTCTTGAAGTTCCCCCCAATGGCACTACTTCAGGTAACGGGCCGTACAATCGAACCGCGTCCTTCTTCGATAATATTTCCAGCGAGGCTCGTGATCGCGAGGACAACTCCCTCACCCGTCCCGGTGGCCGCGAGTGGCGTGGCGAAGAGGAAAAGCGAAACATCGAGACCTTCGGTCAAGGTAGCGTTGATGGTTATCGCGGCCGGGGCAGAGGCCGCGGGTACGGTCGAGGCCGTGGTCGTGGTTTTGGCCGTGGCCGCGGCTATGGTGGTCGCGGTGGCGGTGTACGTGGAGGCCGATCTACGTCTCAATCTACTGGCGTCCCATCGTTGGGTTAAACCTATCATCCTCTTAGTCTCAACCTTCCACAATCTTCTGTTTTGTCTTGACATGTTTGCATGGTCAGACACATGAACGAAACGAATGTTTATGCTTGATTATGTTTTTTCTCTCCACGGCGCAACGGGAATGGATCATGGACATGCATCCTGGGACGGCAATTCGATAATTCGTGTTTGTTTTTTGTTCTGTTTATTTCTTTTTTGCAAATCGGCAATATGGGTGTTTATTTTCATATTCCCATGGAGTTCGATTTGTCTTTTCGCTTTTTTTTCTTATTCCACGCATACCCCTCTACAGCGTCTCATGATACCCCTTTGGGATGGGTATCACACCCCGTTGCAAGCTCACAGGCGTCAAGTGATGATACGCACGGAGGTCTTTCGACATGCACACTGTCACTCGAGGGCATTAGCGCATGAAGTCTTGGTTTCCTTGACGCGCATGTACCATAGCAGAAAATGGATATTAATCCAACCAACCAATCAAAAAGGAAAAAAGAGGGCCATTTGGTTTATAAACCAATTCTTTATACATTATCAATCTTTAATCTCAAATAGCTTCGTACTGCTGTCTACTCATAGAGACCTCCGCTGGAGGTTCATTGTGGCGTGTATCGAAAACGTCATCGCGGAATGGATGCGGAGAAGCTCCCCCGCTTTACCATCAATTCGTTCTTCCCATCCGTTCTTCCGATGCAATCAACCTGTTGATATATAGACTATGGCTCTTGGGGGGCTTGGGAAACGACTCCAAAGAGTTCATAGTAGCATGAATGGATCTTAGCTGAAATCCTGACGAAAATAAGACCGTCTTGGGTGCGTTTTCAGATATGAGGCAGACTAGGAGTGGCTAGGGCCACTGATTCGGATATACCAAGAACCTCGGCGCGAAGTTGCCTCAAAAAACCCACCGGCGATCGTACCTCCTCGGTTGTTACACTCTAGCGAGCAATGTTCCCCCACTACTTTCGTTTCAGATCCACTGGGTCTTTTAAATTTCCTTGGAATCAATGCAAACTCCCCACTTTCCACGTTTGTAATCAAATTTGTGCCCTCGCATAATCGTAACAATGCCTTCCAGCCCTTCTTCTGCTAGATTATCCTCCATTTCAGACCACCTAGATCATAAGAGACGTCGTGAAGAATCATCTGGCCCTCAAGAAAAAAGTGTCAAGATGTCACCAAAGTCGCAAGTCCCGGATCAGCTACCATGGGATCCTCGCTGTGATCAGTTCCCTCTCCTGAAGGACCTTCCTACACTGCCTGATGCGCCTGAGGGGGCGGCTTGGGTCTGGGGAGATGATGATCAAGTATGAACTTCTCTACTTTAGCCGCTATTATATGCGCTAATATGTCAAGGTAGCTGGGCAGATTGAACCTGTTGACCCCAGAACGTGTGAAAGCTTCCGTGGCAGAGGTCACAACAGGCGAGATGGTTCGATTGGAGTAAGTAGCAAGACCAACCTATACTTCCCAGAATACTCTTCTCATTGCAAAAGTCTCCCGCTCGATGTACCGAGCACACCTGCATTCGACCGCCAACCATTCAAACATACTGTTACGACAGGCGTCGAGCATATCGCGTATGACGATACCTATAGTCTTAACACGCAGAGTGGCACCCAGTGGGACGGATTCCGCCATGTAAGTTCCAAGTCTACAAACAATCAATATATCGAAATGTTGTTTGGACAATCTAATGCCGGTTTCTCCTCACAGTTTGCCCACATCCCAACGAAGACTTTCTACAACAGGGTAATCCCCCCCCCCCAATGATGTACCATTCTACGTAGCTCGTTCCACTAACAGCCAATAGACTACCAGCAAGGACATCGTAGACGAAACTTCCAAACACAAATGCAGCATTCATCACTGGGCTGTGCACGGAATTGCAGGCCGTGGCGTCCTCCTTGACTACCGTCACTACGCTAAGGTCCACAACAAGAACTACGACGCCAACTCAACATATCAAATCACACTGCCAGAACTGCACGCCTGTGCCAAATTTCAAGGCCTAGATCTCCGCCCAGAGTCTCAGGGCGGCGACATCCGAGTCGGAGATATTCTCCATGTCCGTTCGGGATGGGTAGAAAGATACGGTGAGCTCAGCCCCGAGCAGCGTCATGCTGCAGCAACCCGAAGCCACGAGGATCTGGAATTTGCGGGATTATCGAGAGACCCTGCTATGCGGGAGTGGTTGCATGATTCTTATTTCTCGGCTGTTGTGGGTGATTCGCCTACCTGTGAGGCATGGCCTGTTCCCGGGGGCGTGGAAGGTGATTATTTGCATATGAGCTTGTTGGCTCTTTGGGGTTGCCCTATTGGGGAGATGTGGGATTTGGAGAAATTGGCTGTGAAATGCAGGGAATTGGGCAAATGGACCTTTTTCCTGACGAGTGCGCCTGCTAATATGCCTGGTATGTTATTTTTTGTTATGCTGACTCTTTGGCTTGCTGTGATGCTAATTATAATGCTTCGGTTCAGGTGGTGTTGGTTCTCATGCTAATGCGACGGCTATTCTGTAAATTGTTACGGAAGTTGACAATATTGCTACATTTTGAAGCAATCTATGATACTTTGCGTGTTATTTGAACCTAAGAACTTGTTTTTGAGGTATAGCCTTTCGAATGCTTGATTCTTCGAGCGATGTACAGATCAAACGCTCATACGTGGACTATTTGAGTGACATGAATGCTCTCTTTCCCGTCGATCGAATCTATTACTGTCAATTCAGGCTTTTGGTATGCTGTAAACGGATTTTAGTGCAATTCCAACGTTAATTCACGGGTACACTGGGAATCAATACTCACTTTTGAAATTTCGAGCCGCCACACCATGCTGGAACATTATGTGAATTTCCTCTAGTGTCCTACCAGCAGTTTCTGGTAGGAAGAAAAAGATCCAGACAGTAGCCAAAACCATGAGACTCCCATATATAAAGCCAACTTTCGCTTGCAGACCAGCCGCATCGGTATTGAAGAGATAAGGGAAGGTAAATGTCACGAGCCAACTGCACACCCAGCTTGTTCCACTAGACATTGCCATAAGTTTGCTGCGATTAGGTCCAGTGGATATTTCAGATGTGACTACCCAAACAGCTGGCCCCAGAGCGAGGTTAAAAACTATCATGAAGATATAGACCATGCCAACGATCGTTTTGTCTAGCGCCATCGGGGTCACGGTCTTATTTGTTGCATACCCGGCACTTCCAACAACCAAAAGCACCACTGCAACTCCAAAGGCTGATAGAAGTAGCATTGAGCGACGACCAAAACGTTCAATACAGTATTGATTGATCCATATCGCCGGCATTGGAGCCAAGTATAATCCCATTTGAATGAGGAAAGAGTTAGTTATTCCGATCGCGTTAAAGAACAAAATACCATAGCTCGTGATAAAGTTGATACCGGAAGCTTGTTGCCAGGCTATATTGAATCTGATCAGCCAAAGAGGATTGAGAATTGTGATGAGCTTCACCGCTTCCTTACCTTGCAAGGCCATTCCAAGATAAGCTTTTCGCCCATCAGTGTTCCAATTGAACATGTCTTTCCAGGAACTTTTGGGCACACGATCCTTGATAATGAGTTGCATGATATCTTGTATTTGGCGCTCAATATAATCGGGACGATAGCCATAAAGTCTTTGAAGGGAATTCCTGGCTTCTTCGACCTTTCCCTTGCTTAACAGCCATCGAGGGGACTCGGGAGCAAATAAGATCAGACCAGGAACAAGGATTATTGGAAAAATAAGCTGGACAGTCATCGGAGTCCGATAAGCACCATTGTCCTTGCGATCCTTCGTGGCGTTGTCGACAATAATTCCAAGAAGTAGACCCAATCCCACATCGAATTGATAAATAGACACCAACGCTCCACGGAAATGAGCCGGCGAGCAGTCTGCCACGTATAATGGAACCAAACAGGAAATTAATCCCACAGCATAACCTTCGAAGAGAAATCTCTTTAGTACAGCTGAGCTTCAATTTAGGTCGAGTCATCAAAATCGACTTACCCAGTATCAGTCGACCGGCAATCAGTAGACCTAAATTATTTGCAGAAACCTGAAATATCACACCGATCACCACAAAAACACTAGAAAAAAGCATTCCGCCACGGCGGCCAATTCTATCGTCTATCACGAAAGACGAGGCAGCGCCGATAAATTCCCCGACATTGATGATACTAGTGGTGATTGACTGGATTCTGGAGCTCAGAACATATGCATTGGCATGGGTGTCGTAATGACCATAGGCCTTAATAAAGGGGTCCATAACAAGGATACCTGACATGAGATCAGCGCGACAAAATCTAGCCACATATCCATAAATGCGCACATACCCGAATAATAGGAAGAATCGTACCCAAATTGGAAAGCAGCAATTGTAATGAATAAACTAATTGAAATTGCCCGCCATTCCGCACGAGCACTATTCACAATTGACATTTGGGATGCCATCTTTTCATAGCGTAGCAACGACGACGGGTACAGAAACTTGAAGGAGGGTGGAGTCGATCCCAAGCATTTCAAGATGCCAGCATGCTCCGAGTCTGCCACTCTAGCTCCTCTGCTTGGATTTCTATATATGCCCACCAAGAAATCCGGGGATCCGGCAACGATTTTCAAGCGTCCTTTACCCCGGAGTTTATTGATGGCCCGAAAAGTTTGAAGCTGCAGGGAAATCAATCCAATACAGGGAGCCTAGACTAGTCAGGTGTGCGTAATTCACCGAGTCAGCTTATAAAATATGCCGAATAGAGTTTGAGGGGCCGGTCCGACAGGTACCATTGGCTTTTCATCTAAAGGTGGAGTCAGCATCTATACCATAGTGGTGCGCGAGTGAAAAAAAAAACCCTTTTTGAATTTATGGGCAATAACCCCCATCTTCCAACGTTGCTAGCCAAATATCAAAGGCTGTGGCTTCAGGTGTGGTTTCCAAGATTTTTTAATTGATGGGAAGTGGGATTGGTATTAAGAATGCCCCAACTGAAATAATTTGAACAATGGATAAATTTCTATGTGAAACTCAACTGTCATCTAAATTCTTGCGTGCTGGACCAATTTGCAAGCCCCTATGCCCCGGAATCCAACGATAAGGAAGAATCTCGGCGTCCAATGGCTGGAATAATAGATTGTTGATCTGCATCTCGTTCTCGGGGGTGACATTCCCCATGTTATAGGAAAGAGCGCGTCGAATAAATTTCGCAAAAGTGTGTTGGTAGTCCATATTTGTTATGGCCACAAACTTGTCCAAAACTTCCAGATTGATTGCACAGTTGCGCATGATCAATTTGTCGGATTGGCGGCCAAGCTTTTGGGCGAGAATGAGAAAGATAAAAGTCGATTGGAGAAAGTATGTTCCAAAGAACCTATACATTAGGCATAGTCTCGGATCAACCAGTAAGATATAACGTGCAACCTGAAACCAAGACAGTGGTAAGCGTGTGTACATATGTGAAATAGCGTGGAGCAGTGCTTCGGGGGTAAATACGTTTGCACAAGCAGCAGCATGTTCTCCTGCCGTGAGAAAATCAAGCGAAGCTTGCCACTCATGATCTTTGTACATTCGAACTATATCCATTGGGCCATGTAGAAGTATGAACATGCAATGATACATGTGTAAACCGTAGTATGCAACTCGGGGGATGTTCGGTGGCGGAGTCAAGTCACACTCTGGGTCTGCGATTGCTGGAAAGTCTTGTCCAACCAGCAGAGTAAAGGAGTCGAACCACTGCGCTAGATTGTGTAAAATATTTGCCTTGATTTCACCAAGGAAACTTCCTTTCGTATTGAATGTCGGATGTTCACAAAGAAAGCGATGTTCAAGAATCTCTCCCAGTATTCTGTTTGGAAGTTGAAAAGTCAGCTTGTAACCCACGGAAGAAGTAACAAAACTTAGAATGGGCGTACTTTGAGAGAGGTAGATAGATACCAATCATATCTAGGCTCATGACTCGATAACCGAGCGTTATACCGTTTATGAGAGTACCTGCGGTGGGCACCAATGGTCCAAGATTCGCCCAAACTGAGTCAGGGGCCGGTATGAGAAGAAGCTGGCATTCTTGATCCGGAATATACGGTCGTTCGTTGAATGATAGTGCTACATGTCTATCAATTATATAGGTTTCCCACCATACCCTGAAACAAGAGGTATGTTAGTAAGAAGAGTAAGGGAACCTAAAATCAGGCTGGTCAAATGCCCATACCTTCGTCTCTCTTCGCGGTCATCCTCGCTCAACTTAGGTGAATCCTTGTGTAACTGAAGGTCTTGCACGATAAACTTCAGAAATGCTAGCCAATAATGAAGACTTGACTCCACAGACTGTTCACTTGGAGGAATACTCGTCATGATATATGCAGTGATGGCATCATCGAAAACATTAGTTGTATGAGGCAGTGTCCTAGGATGGAAATGTTGACACAGTTGGTCAAATAGGTACCGGCCTAGGGCAGCTCGTTCCTTTGAAGTTGTTTCTGGGAGAGCAGATGATTCATCAGAAGGCATAAAGCAGGCAACGCCTATGATTGTTAGCTTATTTGAATATGAGATTGATTAATGTATGCCACAAACGCACACAAAATTGACAGAAGAAGAGTTGGCTCTGTTGGCCTTGGGGTATATTGATTGAGAAGTCTTTCTCGTCGGATGAGAAGAGCGTGGAATTCTTGGTTGGGCGAGGTATAAAAATGCTCCAAAAGCCGACAGGCTTCATAGCGTGTCAGACGTACGGTTGAATTTCTGGAAGTGATTGAACAAGTTAACAAAAAAAGATACAAAGAATTTAAAAATGGTGATCCGTACCGTGCATGTTCCTTATCTGATTTCAAAATCGAAAGGTCATGGAGGCAGTCTAGCACGGGGTAATCGAGCCCATCCTGTACCATTACATCTTTAGCAGCCAGCGAGGAAGTAAGGGCAAGAGTGGTCAATATCTAATTTACCGATATAACCTCAGAGAAAGGAAGAACTTCTTTAGTTGATTTTCTCCCTCTTTTCTTAACAGGCCGATGATAGGTACACCGAATGCCCAATCCTAGAGCGGTTAAGATATCATCCACCAGGTACTGAAAAAGCGGGGACATACTTTTGCAACGCACACATCCCTGAGGTTGTGGCGTGCACTTCAATTTGTGTCCATGACACTGGTCGCATGCATATTCGGCTCTCCTTTCCATGATATATGCATTTCCAAGCAGTGGAAGCCGAGCGTTTCGGAGGCGTCAGTGTTTGAGGAGGTAAAGTTCTCAACGGGAGAAGATCACAATCACTCTCGGCCCGGTCGGGGTCATTCCCCACATAGGAAGCCAAGAGCCGCGTCGAGGACGCATTATTCAGTCGTTGAAACACCCTAGTCACATAGTATCTCATTTTAATACCCTCTGACGTAGCTGCAACTTTATCTCCTGCCATCGATGTTATTAGAGTTTTAAAATTTGTTTTTATCTCTCCTAATATTTAGGATAGGGATTGAGCGTAACATCAAGCAATACTTCTCGCTTTTCTTAGATCTTGTTTTTGTCATGATATTGAAAATAGGCCATATATTGTTAACATCTATCTTTATAGACCTCTTTCGCGGCAGCAGCAAGGCGAATCGTATAAAATAGGGACCAGCAAATGTTGTTGATACCATACTATTCGCTACGATCGAGGCAGCAGTTCCAATCAATTCCATAGACACCATGCAAATAAGCCAGTGAGACAGTAGGATTCCATAGTGTGGTATAGAATTTATTGCCGAGCCCTATATCAAGAGTTATTTGAAAACCATACAACAGGAATGTGAACCATGGGGAATGGCAGATCGGAGACAATGACGGCATACCCGACTCCAGGGCTTTAAATGAAGATATCGCAACAGCATGGCTCTTCACACGACCAATTTTTGCTTCTAATGTGTAGGCTATTGAAGCTATGTGAAGAGAAGTTATGGCACTGGCGACGAATATGAGCTAAATGAATGAAGAAATTTACTCATCCTCTTTAAATTTCATCCAAGTGCACTACTTCTAGTATGTGGCGTGGCATACACATAGCAGCGGGAACAGACCATTTTAGGCAATCCGCACCTCCACCTTGACTGGACATATAACTATTGAGCAAAATTTCTATCTTGGAAGAAATTAAAAATTAAGCTACAGATACACAGCTTTATTCAATACGGAGCAGTCCAAAGCTGGTCCAAAAATTGAAGAACTTTATTTCAGCGGAAGACTTGCCAACTCATCCCCACATTCCACGCCGCGGCGCCCTTTGATAACAAATCCCGGGTTCGACGTCACGACTCACGCGTATCCGGAGAATAAAGCCCGGAAATAAAAAAAAACACGGCAACACGTCGATTTTAGCTGGTATCGTTGCGCATCTGAAAATTCATACACACGATATGTTAGCCAGACCTATTGATTGCGAGTTGAGGTAAGTTCATCTTTAGTTATCTGTGCCGAGATCTATGGGTACTCGGGTCAATTATTGTACGAAGTTTTGCTAATCTTCTCTGGAAATAAAATCAGGCTCGAAAGTCCCGATGTCTTTCTCGGCTCACCACGGGAAGATGGAGCCAATAAATGTGTGACTGGACACTTGGCATTACAGTTAAGAAAGCCCACCTTGATCAGAAGTATCAAGGTCCAGCTTCGAGGGACATTGAAAATGTAAGTCATTTTATTCAGCCATTCGAAGCCACTTCTCACAAATATTAGTCCTCGCAAAAAAGAACTTATCCGAAACGATCGCGAAGTCATCACATTCGACGTAACCAAGAGCTTAGCGATATCTGAGACGGGTAAGCCCTTTAAGCTCCAACGAGGTTCTCATAGTTTCCGCTTCGAAATATTCATCGACAAACCTCTCTTCGAAACTGTCGATGGCCTTGACTCTGCTTCCCATTCCTACCAAGTTCATGGTATTATTGAGCGCCCCTGGGGCAACCAGCAAATAATCACAAAGCCGCTTATCATTTATGGAAATTATGAAAATGACCAATATTTGTCCTGGCTTGTTCCAAATGAATACTATGATCCTCTGGTTAGTCTACTTTCAATAATTACACTTGACCCTGGAACTAATCTCTAGCAGGTTCTGCAAAAAGCGTTGAATGATATACACTACGAGATTATCCTTCCGGCCAGAGACATTCCATTCGGAGCCATGTTCCCAGCTCATATCAGACTTTTATCCGATATGAAGAGTCTCTATGTGAAGCACATAATGGTTAAAGTCATCGAGACTCATAATTTCGAAATTCCAGCAACCGCCTTTGAACAAACCAACTATAACGTCCGGTTCCTTCGCTCACAAAAAACACGTTTTGTCACTGGCGATGATGTTCCGCTTCTCCCTGGTTCCTACTCTGCTCGGGAGGATGTCACTCCTGGAGACAATTGGGAAATCACATCAACTCTCGCCCTACCTCGCCAACTACAGGACTGCATACAGAGCGCACGGTTGCCGTACTTGGATATCAAGCATTTTCTCTCCGTGGAGATTGCTTTGCAAGTAGCAGACGATTTGGTAACGGTATGTCCTTATTCAAATCTCTCGTGGAAAATAGAGTTACTAAATTAGCCCAGATCAATGAGACTGTTCCATTTCGTATATTCATGCCAGCGTCTCCGGTGAATAGTGCGTTTGGGCCTGGAGCCCCGCAGATGAATCTCAGAGAACTTTGGGTAGCGCCGCCTCCTTACGGGAAACATGAAACTGATTCTTTGCTAGCTGATTCTTGTTGAATTTATTCCAAATCCAAAAGAGGTGAAAAGCAAAAAGAAGGTACATGTGAAAGCAAGGAAATAACTACCTGGGCTTCTGTTCAGCCATGACTTTATAATACTTAATTTACAAGGCCCTAATATTATTTATAACTATATCCTTTGGGCGAGGCACTCTCGAAGAACTAAGATTGAAGATAAAATTGCTCTATATCCATCACACGATATTTCCGAGTATAGCCAATAGATGGAGACTCTTGGAATGGCGCATGGAGAGAATGACGTTATGATTTTTTTGTATCGCACCCCATGTGGATCAATAAAATTTGCAAGCCGATGAGGAAAGCTCATCGAATCTTAGCCATTTGGCTTTTTGCTCAGCTTTGCATACTCCTTAAAGCGGATCTCGCCTTGTCCTAATCTCAGAGAGTGTGGGCGGGGGGGAAACACCCAAAGAGGTAATGTTCCGCTCAGCCTTTTTAGATTCGCATCATCCATCAAGAAGTTCCGCATTCCCAGGCTTCATAGAAAATAATGAATTAGTCAGAGTTTCTTATCTCGGCTATCGCTTCCAATGACGAATTCTCATCCGTGCCATCAAGAATTTGGTAATGGAATTTCCGAATGCTTGACTCGTGCTATGTAGTCTCTAGGTATTTCTGGAAGTACCTCATGGTACTCGTATTTACAAATTTTGAGCTTCAAAGGCAAACATAATAAGGGTTGAATCTCAAGGCATGTTTGAAAACTACTAGTCTTGCTGTAAGCGGTTATACTCCTCTCGAATTATTTGTGGCAATTCATCATCGAGAGATAGACCGGAAGGCTGCCATCCTAACAGCGACCGAGCCCTGCTTGCTCGACAACGCATATTGTATCCCCAGCTCGTAGCCTCAAAACCAGCCAACTTGTAGGCAGATTTCATGTCAAGCTCTATCCTTTCATGGGGTTCCGACAGTAGGCCTTCTTCGGTAGCCTTTTGTGCGATGGAATTGGCAACGTCACCCCAACAGTGTTCGCCCTGCTCAACTAAGTAATATGCATTTGATCCCCAGAACAAATTTTCGTCGCGCTGCTGTATGGCTGCTTCGAAAAGGTGCATGTTCAATCTAGTTACACTTCGAACATGCACATTGGAGCCGATTGACTGGCCACGACCAACCACAGGGATCTTATTCTCCTTGAGAATGAACTTGGCCATTTCGTATATCTGCCTGCTGCGTTGGGAGCAGGGGCCTCGGCCAGTACCTATGATATTCATCAACTTCTCTTTTCATTGTGAGATTATCAGATCAGAAATATAGTTACCATAAACGGTAGTCGGGGATATAATTGCAGTTTTCAACACGGCAGGATTTTCTGCTCCTGCGTGTAGTACCGTCTTATCGACAACACGATGAAATGCACGGTCTGGAAGTGAGAGAATTTCATCAATGTCCTTCACATCGTCATGAATCCTAGAGCTTCTCTCTCCATAAACCTTGGCCTCCTCGTCGTAAAAAGACAACAACCCCGCTCCACTAGTATGTAGCCAGTAGAGAGGTCTGTCTGGCGTATGCATTTTCAAGGCCCCTTTAGCGATTGCCTGTGCAGCAGAAAGATGATCTGCAGCATCAGCAGTGTCTGTAGATTGATACTAGTACGTTAAAATATGTACTCCATTTGGGAGTGTATTTCATCAATCGTATTTTTGACAGAACAGCCTGAGGGGAACCTCACGTATTACGATATCGGCCCCAGCACTCTCTTCGGTGAGGATGTCGGAATCGTTAAGGTCTCCGCATACAATAGATACTGATGGGTAAACACTTTTAATTTCCGCTTTGCTTCTCTCGCCTCGTACTAGCAATCGGTAGTTATATACGGGGTATTTTTCAATCAATTCAGTAAGAATGTCCCCGCCAATATAGCCACTGGCGCCTGTACTGTGCGATAATGACTATGGGTCAGTGAAAAAACCCTGGTAAATACACAAGGTAAGATATCATACATGAAGACAGTTTTCATTTTCGTCAAATGAGAGAATTATTTAGCGTGTTCTAATTCGTTCAAATTCCCATCTGACGAATTGTCCCTTGTTATGGGGCGGAATTCAGATGTATGGGATGGATAAATGAGAAAAGTAGGAATAAAGAAAGTGCCCAGGTGTGAATGCGATCAAGGGCTAGTATCTATACCCCGCAAATACTATATGTAGCACTGCATCTGCATTCGTGGGATTTATAATCAAATCGGCCAAACGTCATGATCATCTGATATCGTTTTGCGGAATTTGTTTTCCGGGCAGTGAACTCCATTTGGTGCCTTAAACAACAAAATACACAACTACAGCCTCACTGTCGGGAACTGTCACATCAATCGTATCATTCTCAACCTTGGCAGTCTCTTCATCAAGACCACGGGGGAAATGCCCCTTGCCGTTATCAATTTTAGAAGTCCATTGTTCTCCCGCCCAGGTGACATTATTATCGGAGCCACCAAGGTCATACCCAACAGCATTGGAACCTTTATCCACATGCATTCGGCGAACTGTTGCAGACTGTGTATTTTTTACATATGTTGATGTGTTTGAAGTGGAGGAAATGAAAATTTAGATTTATGATGCTAAACAGAAACGTTGAATGCTTATATACTAACCATTCATGCGGTTTCAACACGAGTTGATATTTTCGGCTGGAATCGCATTAGCCCCAAATAATAGCGACGTATCAAGTCAACACACCTTAGTTTCCCCCAAAGCCGAATTGTGATCTTGAATGTCAGTAGTTTCTTTGCTGTCGTATACCTGTCCTTCATTCTCCAAAGTGGCTAAAGTCCTGCCAGCTCCACACGTCTCGTATCGCTTGAATTGCCATGCCCATATCTTGGCTTCAAAAAGCTCGTCCACTTCTTCCAGTCCACGGCCCTAAAAATGCAACGTCAATGAGGTGAAAATCTCGATAAAATACGAAGACGCCATTACCTTGAGCTCTGGGAAGAATAAGATACCCCACACAACAGAAAACGCCGCCACAGACCCGAATATCCAGCCAATGTTGACCCCCATATGTGGTAGGAGATAGGGTGTGACAAATGTAACCAAGAAAGCTGCCACAACATCGCAAGCAGTACCAAATGCCTTTTAGGAGTTAGATTGAGGATCAAAGGTTGCAAAATGAAGCTAGGGCAACTTACCATTGTCTTCTTTCGCATACGGATACCTCCTATTTCAGCCCCTGTGAGGAATGCAGTATTCGAGGCCGAGATACGAGTAAAAGCTGGCAATAACATGAAACATGCCAGCTCTGTATTGGTTTCATTCTGATTCAGGGGATGCATTGTCCCTAGGCCGGAGGCAAGGTACAGAAGAAACCAACACATTGCACCGCCATAGATCACAAGAGGCCGGCGGCCTGTTATATCCAGCAATAAGATACCAATAGCACATCCGACAACGCCAACGACTTGTCCGATCATAGTGTATGTGAATGACATCGCACCAAGTCCTTGCTGAGTATAAAATGTTGCAGCGTAAGACTGCACAAATTGATTGCCATTCATCTGCTCGAGAATGAAAAGTGTAGCAGATATCTGCAAGTGTTTGTTAGTTGTCAGATTCGAATGTTGTGAGTCTGATAAAATCTTACCCAAGTTCTTCGAAGATGGTTTCCCTGGAAGAGCTCCAGCCAAGATCCTTCCTTTGAAGCCAACGATTCCCCGAGCAATGTCTCCATCAGTTCCACTTCTAAAGATGTAGCACCGCTTTCAACCTCACTTTTCGGCCGAATTTTAACCAGAACCTCTTTTGCATTCTCCTTGCGGCCTTTCGCTACAAGCCACCTGGGAGACTCAGGTGTCCAGGGAATAAGGCTTAGTAATCCAACTGCAGGAATGAATTGCATAGCGGTGGGAATTATCCAGCCCTCTTTGGTCAAAGTCGTAGAGTAAGCGCGGGACATTCCTGCGCCCCATAGATTACCTAAAGAGGAAACCATCATAATAGATGCAGAAAAAACTCCTCTTATCGCTGCCGGTGCGGTTTCGGCGTTGTATGATGGTACCGCGTTCTCTACCAACCCCACGGCGAAATATGCGATAATACGACCGACGGTGAACTGAGCCCAGTGTTGGGACGTAAGTTCAACTATACGATATTGTTAGTTATGTCATCTGCACTACAAACTGGGGCATTAAGGTGGTTCTCACTTATTATAGCCACGATTTGAATAACTCCCGCCAGGTACATAGTCTTCTTGTAGCCAGTACGCGTGATGAATGTTTCCGAGCCAAAACAGCCCAAAAGTTTACCAATCCATGGTAAAGAGTTCATCAAAGCCTTGCGTGTTGCGGGTAATGCATAGGTACCAGCGGCATTGGCAACTCCGAAACGGCTGAGGAAGGAAGGCAAAGCTTGCAAGGATCCGAATGAGCCAGTGTCCCTACACACAAGTCAATGTAAGTCATCATCCTGAATGTTTCTGAATCAGGTAGATGCATCACTTACAGCCCAAAAAGCAACGCGCCCTGGAGAAAGACAATCGAGTTGAACAGCAGATATGGCGTGGTTTGGCGCCACATCTTGAAGAACAAGCGATTCACTTATTATATAAGCCGATGTAAGAATAAAGCGGTCGCTTAGTAGTCTTGAGCCATGCACAAAGTATAGGGCAAGAAGTATTTATAATAAACCTGTGATAAAGGGAGCAAATTCAACATGGGAGAAGGGCGTCTTCTGGTTCGGTCACTAGACGTGAATGTGGAGACGCGCTTTGTAGTCCCCGGATTTTCGTGATCGGATGTCCATTCTGGCGTGCTCTGTATCCATATTCTGGAAGCAACAGGCCCTGCTTCTATTGGCTTGCTCTTTTTTTCACGGTTAGAATTGGGAATTATTAGAGATGTCGTGAGGCGGTTATCGGGATCTCGGCCGTCGACCGTCGACCGGCTATCGGGGTGGATCCGGAGGGAACAGGATGTGGTGCCTGGGGCATGATCATATTTCATTTGAATTTATTTGCATTTTAACATTGGCGGACTCGTGCATATTAAGACTTTTTTTTTTAGTCGGCGGGTATTTAATTTCAAAATTTGATATATAGCACCATGCGTGACTAATGCTAACTTCCTTCTGTAGTCTAGTGTCAAAACATTGGTACTTCGATGTTGAGGCTTAAAGCGGAAATTCCACTCTTCTTTAGGTGGAGAAGCAAGATATTTTGGGTAGTAGCAATCGCTTTTTATGGTTTATCATGTTAGCTGATTCTCAGATGAGTCTATTTCTATTCTGGGGGATATATTTACATTTGTGTCTCCAGTTCAAAACTAAGATTGGTTGCATTTTTAGAAGCCTCAACTAGTATACATTATTGGTTTGTGTGCTCGTATACCTCCTATAACGATGCCTCTGACGATCAAAATTGATACACATAAAGTTGGGCATTGGAGTCTTCTTTGAAATTTCCACCAACAAGAGATCCATATTTGCTTTCTGAATTATCGTTCGCTTGAACCAAAGTTCCGAAGCACCCATTAGTAGCATTGGTACTAAGCGTAACCTTCGAAACTTCCTTCCCACTAGTATTCAAATGGATCTTAGCAGGTGCCCAAGAAACATTGCTCGCAGGCCATGAATAATGCGAGCTTTCTCCATCTGCAAACAAAACAATCACTTCAATAGGTTGATCCAGCATCGGGCCGGCATTCAGAGTTTGCCCAAGGTTATCCGTTCGTTGCCAAATAGGAAACTCGAGTGAGCTTGATTTCTTAGGCGGATCATACACTGCTTCAATAGATTGCCAGTTTCGAATCCGGCAATCAAGCTGGTATGCCGTTGGGGTGTCGGGTTGGGTAGTAACATTTGCCGCGAGAGGAATTTTGACAGTAGCCGGACAAGTATAGTTCTTGATTGTGTGATCATCGTTAAACTCCAATGGAAAGAAGAAAGTACTCGACGCAGCTTGGTGGTTATCACCATGCCATATTGAGCCGTTGACGACTACATTGGTTGCGCTGGTTCGGTACGCCAGGGCACCTGCAACGGCAATAGAGCCAATTTCAGAGGGTAGAATACTCGTTCCCTTATTCTGGGCTCCGCAGCCATCAAGTGTGACGTATCCACCGTCGGTGTATGGGCCAAGTGGATTTTTGGAGTATAAGTAGTAAATCGAGCCGGCGCAGTTCTGGCATGTTCGTCCAAACATCATGTACCAGTATCCGTCATGATAGAAGAAGCTGGATGCCTCTAGATACAGTTCTTGTGCGGCTAAAGACTCAGCGGTGCGGATTCGAGCAGATGTATTATTTGTTCCAAGCGTCGCAGTGAGGTTCGGAGCCAGCTTTTGGACCCAGATATCCCAGATAGGAAATGTATAGTAGGTGTCCATGGAGAGATATTCAGTGAACGGATCTGAAAGAATGTAATGAGACCCATCAGGTCCGACAGCAACGTCAAAGTCGTGATTGACGTGAGCTCCGGAAATGATACTTGGTGGATTACTCCACGGACCGCTTGGGCTCTTCGACGTGGCATAGTAAAAGTTTGATTTAGCGTTACCGCCCATAAACATCACGTAGTTGTTTGTTTCATTACTGTAGCGAACAACGGGTTTTGTCACGTTTGCAACAGTAATATCGGGCTGATAATAGTCTTCCAGTGTCCAGTTCACAAGATCCGCAGAGGAGTATGTCTTGATTCCACAATTTCCTGGTGATCCATATTGGCCAGGAGGATAAACTGGGCTCTCCGGGAAGTTGATTCCAGAAACAACTCCATAGACGAAAATTGAACCGCCACAGCTCCATGTGGCTGAGTGCATCCAGTACTTTCCTTCGTAGTATGTCAGGTGTGCCTCCACTTGTTCGCGGCCGTTACCATCGGTGGTAATGGGGTAAGCGGGTTTTCCGTAAGGGAGACCCTGAAGTGGATGGGGAGGTAGACCATCATCGGCAAGAACACCCTCCGTAGCAAAGTTGTGGTATGTGGCAAACTTTGAGCAGGATGCAAAAGACGCAAAAAGTGAGAGGAAATTGAGTAGCTTCATGATGGGTTAGACAATTGATTCCTCATACCCTCTTTCAAATTCATAAACACATTTCCTGAATTATATATACTTCCATGAAAATGTAAGCCACCTGCTAACACCATATTGATCCACATTGTAGCCACACTTTCCCCGCAATTGATCCTTTCCTAGAAGTAGTAGCATTCCCGAAGGATGTTGGTGATAGCCATCCCGACAACCGACCGAGCCGGGGATATCAGCACCGATAGCCATTAGGACCCACTTCACCCCTAGAAACCGGATAGTCGAAACGCTATGTCCGAGTAGAACCATCGAGACGGAGAGTCTGAGAGGGGCAGATGATAACGGAAATTCTATTCAACCGCGAGACCAAAGAAGAAATACTTAGAATGAATCACATATAACCCATCACTCTCACACATCATATCTTCACTTTATCACGACATCAAAATGACAGACCAACACAAGAACATCCTTCAATTCATAGCCGATGATCTAGGCCTATTCCTCCACTGCTACGGAGAAAAAAACATCCAAACACCAAACATCGACAAACTAGCATCTCTCGGCACAACATTCACCAATGCCTTCGCCAGCACAGCCTCATGCAGTGGAAGCCGCTCAACAATCTACTCAGGACTCCATACCCATGAAAACGGACAATATGGACTCGCGCACGGCTGGAATCATTTCCAAACACACGATCACATAGAGACGCTGCCCATGATATTCAATTCCCTCGGCTACCAAACCGGAATCATAGGCAAAGTCCACGTTGGTCCCAAATCAGCTTATCCATGGGTGATCATGGAAGAAAGCCACACTCGCGATGTGGGATTCAATGCCCAGCGCGCAGGAGCATTTTTCGAGCGTGCAAATGAAACAGATAGACCGTTTCATTTAACTGTTGGGTTTCGGGATCCGCATCGTGATGATTCCCGGGGTGGATTTGGTAATGAAGATGAGGAGCTGATTCAGGCTGGAATTCAAGTTCCGGAGTATGGAGTACAGGATGTAGCAGTTCCGTTTTATTTGAGTGATGTGGCTGAAGTTCGGGTGGAATTGGTCGAGTACTATAAAGCTATTACTCGGATGGATTATGGCGTTGGGTTGATTCTGGATGTTCTTGAGAAACATGGGTTAACGGATAACACACTCGTTATATTCGTTAGTGATAACGGGGCACCGTTTCTGAACTCAAAGACCACCCTTTACGATGCAGGTGTGAGGCTTCCTCTTATTATGAAGTGTCCCGGTCTTACTGGGGGAGTGATAAATCCGAACATGGTATCTTTCCTGGACATCCTACCAACTTGCATGGACTGGGCGGGCGTGAACGAAAGCAATGGCCAAATGATCACAACACCCAATACTGGGAAATCTCCTAAAAGACTCGGAAAGACTTTTCTATCGATCATTGCTTCTGGGACTCTTATTTCTGAAGAAACGCGTGACCAGCATGTTTTCGGATCTCATACTTTCCACGAAATTCAAAATTACTGGCCAACAAGATTCTTGCGCACAACTCGATTCAAATATCACAGGAATATTGCTTGGAAGCTTGACTTCCCCTTCGGAACTGATCTTTACGGAAGTCTCTCGTGGGAAGGTATTCGAAATATGGACGGACCGGTGGTGATTGGCAATCGACCATTGGAGAAATACCTTTACAGGGGACCGGAAGAGTTGTTTGACATGGACAATGATCCCGAGGAGCTGCATAATCTCGTCTCAGACAAGAAGTTCGAAACCATTCTCCTTGAATGTCGTGAGAAGGTTGAGAAATGGCAGTACTTGACGAATGACCCTTGGCTTCTCAAAGACGGTGTCTCTGTTATGACGAGTATGGGACATCAGAAAATGGGAATGAAGTTGCGAGATAGATCTGAGTTCGAGGCTAATGACCCTGGAAATATCAAAGTCCCACACTGGACTCCGCCTGCAGGTTTGAGCAATGGTGATATGGAGGGAAAATATTTTGCCGGTTGAGAATGGTGTATGTAGATTTAACAATTTCAAAGTTAGATTATTTCTTTCATTTATAAGTAAAAGGTTTATACATGATGGATGAACATTTAATCTCAGCTCTTGTCCATATCCATATGCGTAGGGAAAAGGTTCAAGACAGGCCAAATATCCTGCTGGTCATACATCGGGTGAAAAATGGCAACATCCCAAGCACCTTCAAATGCACTAGTCTGATCCCATAAGTCCTGACCTCGAGGATCTGGAATTCCTTCTGGCATTGTCAAGCTAGGAATAACTCCAAGGCCCCGCGAAGTAAATCCTGTATTTGAAGCATCAAGTTGTTGAGCGCTTCTGCCTCTAGGTGTCTCAGGAGAAACAAAATCTTCGTCCGCCGCGACTGGTATTGATGTATGTGCCTCTGTGGGTCTGCTCTCAAGGAACGGCATATCTTCGGATATGCTTTCATCGTTTAATTGAGATCGGTTAAGGGAGCTGTGTTTTGAAATTATTTGCCTTCCATGCAAAGTTGATGGTCGGCGTCTTTGACGTGGTTGGATGCCTGGTAGGTTTGGATCATCATGAGAAGAGACCGAGATTGATCTGCTATGATGCAGAATTGTACTGAGATCCTTTGCCTGTAAACTCGTTAGACTGGTGTCACTTTGATGCCGTTCATTTGAGCATGGTATATGCTTACAATTGGACCCGCTGTAGGAAAAATCAAGGCAAGCTGCTCAATAAAAAGGATACAATCATTCACCAAACCGATTGTGGAAGGTTCCGGTGGGTGCATTTCCTCCAGTGTTATTTGAGAGCCATGTAGAAGAACTCGTCCAGCTTGATAGACACATTCAGCTGTTTCGATATCCAAAACAAGGTTGTCAAAGTCAAGCCCACGAACAAGAGAGCAAACTGTCGCTATCTGACGTGCATGCTGAAGACATTTCGTTTGGCAGTCTAGAATAAACTGTGGATCAAGCTGATATAATGATTCCTGCTGGAGTGATTCTCTGAGGTTAGGAAAGAAGCATCGGTATAAATCGCAATAACATTGCTGAAACCAGAGATGCATAATGATGTATCGAGGAAGCCATTTAGAGTAAGCTCGTAAGTGGACATTCTTCTCCGAAAATGTTATAGATTGTGGTAGACTGAGTGCAAAATGATCGAGTTGAGAATTTAGATCATTGGTTATGGTAGGGATCATCGCAACTTGCTGGGAAGAAAAAGCTACTTCCTTCGTACGTCTATGAAATGAGTCAGCAAATAGTGACTGCCACTTAATTATTAGACGACAGCACATACCTGAGCACACTATCCCGAAGGTATATAACGCGGATATAATACCCTAGTAATCCAATATCCCCATCTTCAGAGCAATCACCAGGTCCATGCAAAGGCACACTGACATAAGAGGTATCAAGCTCAAAAGTCGTCTCCTGATTCGGCAGCGAAGTGTGAAGCACATTAGACGGACAAAGAGTAAATTCCGGTATACCACCCGCAAGAAAAGTATCCAAAACATAAACAGCCCACATCAGCCGCCTCCGCGACTCTTGAGCCAGTGAGCAAAGATTCGGATTTTCATAATTCAGACGCAAAGCAAAAGCAAACCGTGCAAGCGTTGCCATAAGGATAAGTGCCTCTGACGTATTCCCGCTCCACATGTGGTATCTGATTGTCAATAAGAGAGATTGGGCTTTGATGATATTTGGTCGTCCCTGGTCTCTTAGAATGAGATTCTGGGCTAATGCTGAGCAGCGAATGCCTAGGTTGACTTCTGTTGCGTCGCGGCCTGGTAGACGGGAGGTTATGGCGATGATGGATAAGAGGAGACAGTGGTCTGCTTGGCCTGTTTGATTCCAGCGGAGTAAAGAGGCTTTGTGGAGGAAGGAAAATGTTGGTAAGGGGTATATGCTATCGAAGAATGATTGCAGTGCTCTCTTTACGCGTTCTGGGGATAAAAGATCAAGGCTGTTTTAATTTCATTAGCTTTTATACCGATGTCAATATCAGTGGATGGATACATACGGCTGGTCTTCAGATGTATGAATATGTGCCCTTCCTGGTTGTTCTGTTTGTAATGACAATTCTAAAGGAGGCGGGTTATCCCCAATTGATATTTGACGGTTATTCCCACCTCCCAGCGTAGCAGCAGCTGCTGTAGAAGTCTGTTGAGTCCCGATATTCATAGGAGCACTGGGCATGATCTGTCGTCGTGATCCCGAGTTCGGATATACACAAGAAATCCCCTTTTCATTGCAGCGGTGACACTTGGGTATAGCTCCAGTGCATCGAATTTTCAATTCATGGCACGCGGTACAGGCTTGCCGGACACGACAGCGACGAGGACGTCGTAATGGAGAATTAGGATTATTGTGTCCACTAGTATCTCGGAATGAACAGTCAAATCCTAATCTTTGGCAGTTTGCGCATCCTGTACGTTGCCCATCACACCGGACCTAGAACTGTCAGTTGACTGGACGAGTTCATTTGGGGGCGCTCAAACCTTTCTCCCGCGACATTCATTGCATGTACGTCTTGCTTGCTTTGTTCCTCCTGTGCGCATACTGTCCCTCGCCTCTAGAAACGATGGGTCATGGATGAGGCGGGTCTTGCCCCAGTACGGAGTATAATGGTGTGTGGAGGAAGTGACTCGGGTGTCGGGGCCCGACAACCGGTGTGCCAAGACTACCTGCACCGCTAAATCACTTCGAGGCTCGGGAACAGTCGCCCGCACTAAATCACAGGATCGAAATCATAGAATTTACATGTACAAAATGATGGCAGATTACAATAGGGTGGAAATTATTATATGCTATTTACTTCGAATTATTTCTTAACGATTGAAATGGAAAGCGCACGGCCAAGATGAAAATGTAGACGAGTTATCAATTGGACAACAATGCTAGGTATCAAAGACATGCCACAACGCCGAAAGAGAAAGATTAAGCAACAGGCCGTCAAATAGAAAACATTGCACCAAAGAAGAGTATAGCAAGGGTTCAATATTGCGATAGGTCTCCAATGCACAGCATCATGTACCAGTCCTCTGTACTAAATATAGTGTGGGAATTTGCGGGTTTGCGAGTTTCCAGATTTGCAGTGAAAAGGACGAGTCGCTGATAAAAATGAGAAAAGGACAAGGAAATCCCCAACTGTGCCGTCTTTTAAACCGTCCGTTAAATAGCAGCCCAAAAACACAAAATAAGCGCGGGTGTTAGGCTAGTTGTATCGAGTCAGTCCCTGGTTCCTATATTCCCAAAGTAGGATACCGGATAGAAGACGTGCGAAATAACTCCCATGGCAGCCCAAGAGAATGAGGGTGAAGGGTCAAATAATGCGAGCCCAGTAACGAATGCGCGTGATGAAATATCAGATCAGAAGATGAAAGAGAAGCCAGTAACCCCAACTTCCGACCTATCCCCATGATAGTTGAACATCAACAATAAAAGAAATGAAAAGAGAGGCTTCCTTCCAAATGGACGGAGGGATACTATGCATCCGAAAAGTCTAGACACGAGGCAAGAGTCGAAAAGAGGGACGCAACACATGTACAAGAAGAATGCCAAGGTGCCAGACACAGGAAGAAACAACCCAACTCCACGAACGGAAAGTCAGAGCAAGCTCTGAGGAACAATCAAATAGGAAATAGATCAGATATCTTTTTGCTTTGAGCATCACCCTCTCCAATAAGAAACTGTTTTTCTTTTTATTGACCGGCAGGTATTTTCATCACCATCCTGCCATTAGCTCGTTTGTATGCCATGTCCACGCCAAGCTCGGCCATCAAGGCTGCACGACTCTCGGCGGAGAAATCTCGATAAGCATTGGGGTATGGCTCTGCGTCCGGTCGCATTCCATTGTGCATGGGACGGTCATCGATGCCAAATGAATCTTCATGGCTACGCTTCGTGCCAGTAGGTCCTGTATGATAGAGCATCCGTTTCCCGGAGAAGGAGTCATAACCACCGGGGCTAGGCGGTATACTCTCAATTGAAGGCTGGATATTGACATATTCGCTCGACAAAGCTTTCATTGCTGAAATACCAACATGGCCCATGGTAGGTGTCTGGTCATGTCGTATCATATGTGGTGGCGGCAGATATTGTTGCGGGTCTTGAATCAGGTATGGTGTGGGTTTGGGTGCTTCAACACGATATTGATTCATGTTCATATTGTTCATATTGTTCTTGGGGTAACCATTCTGCATTTGTGGTGCCATGGGATAGCCCATAGGTGTTCCATCGTATTCTGACATGGTAGAGGGGTGTCGAATATTAGCGTACCCAGTATGTGGGGAATACATGCCACCAGCGGCGGCAACTGGGGGAGGAGTAGGCGGCATATGGGGAGCAGGATATTGAGTTGGAGTCGATCCAAAGGAAAGGTGTGATTGATAAGACGGGGTGTTGCTGTTGTGTGGCATCGGTGCGGGTGGCATGGGTCGCTGGTAAGGGGGAGGGCATTGGAAGGCATAATCTGGTACTGAAGGCCGTCGTTGTATCTCCGGTCCAAATCCATATGGCGATTCCATTTGGCTGGTATTGCTGTTTGACCGAGGTCGTTCCACTGTTTGTGCCACATAGCGATCTGGCGTTGAGTATCGGTCGGACGACCGAGCATATACAGCGCCATTACGCTCCTCATCGTAGTCGAATTCCTCATCACGCTTGTCACCGCGGCGTCTCATGCGAACGTCACGACGAATGCGAACACGGCATCCTTGCTCAGCAATGACACGGCTCAATGAGGTGCTGGTAGCCAGACCTGGGAACTTCTTCGCACTGTAGACAGTAAAAGGAACTGACTTAACCTCGAGACGGAAGGAAAGGGATGCTTGTGGTGGGCCTGGCTTGCCGAGATTATTGCGGATTTGGTTGGGAAGAGGATCGGATGAATCCTTGTCGGCATCCTTAGCCTCCTTAATCTCTTCATATAGATGGAAGTTTAACCTATAGCGACCTTCGTGGCGAACTGACAGATCGGGAAAGATGAAGTAACCTGCTTGCGAAGGGCGATCAAGATAAGCAACACCAGCGACAGGCACACCTGTCAATACCGGGCACGACGGAGGTCCAGCCATCCGCCCGTGAGCGACCGGACGAGCAGTGTCCAAAGTGGCATACAGGAAGAAATTGGCATTGTAGGCGAAAGTGATATCGGTCTGGGGTTGGTCGGGACCTGGTTCGGATTCGAAGATGCGCAATTCCACAACGGGTGGTGGGTCAACGGGACGTCGGTCGGCAGAAGCTGAGATGAAAAGGTCAGTGATATTCAATGACAACAAACCTTCGCGGTCGGTCAAGACTTACACTTGGCACCAGCACCACACGCTCTTGCGCGTTCGGGTTGTTGCATCACAGTCAATCTGTAAGTGATCTGTTTTCCCTCACGCGTAATTCGACTGGTCATCGAATCCGTCTCATTATGGGGCGCCATCATTGGCGGTCGTGACGCCATATTGAACAATCCTTTTTTTTGGTTTCCGATTCCTTTGTTTTATAACTCGAAGTGGGCGGTTTCTTCAATCGACGGGATGATGCTATTGAGGAGGGCGCATCAGTAAATGAAAGGTATGGCTTTATTTTTAGGGGCGTTGTTGTGTTTTCAAGGGTCGACAAGTTCGGTGATTATCTGGCATGCGACGTACAAATCCAATCGAAGGCAATCCACGGGTCGAGTCTCTCGATGATGGGCGCGACTCGTTGAGGGGACGCAAATTGACAAAGTTCCCTGGTTCAGTCCGATGGGTCGGGAGGCGACCCTTGCTGGGGTAAGATAGATCTCAGGCGGTCAATGACGGTCGGAGGTGGCTGGGGGCATGCGATGAAAAGGAATATGGACAGGGAGGGATATCAAAGGGTATAGAGGGTCAGCAATTTTCCAGCGATGACCCTAAACCCAGTGATAAAAGGATAAGAATCAAGGTTGTGATGGGGATGGGAGTTAAAGAGGAATGAAAGAGAATGGAGAGGGAGAGGGGGGAAGAGGCCCAGAGGATGGTGACACTAGCCCAGTTCTCTCCAGCCGTGACTCGCTGTGTACAGTGTCCTTGTATTGGTTACGGGTAACAAACACGCCCCCACTGTACGTTAAGAAACACACACGATTTACCCCGAGATCCTGTTTTATTATAGAGCCTTGGGGCAAGATTTGTGTATTCTATTCAGGTTTGGAGGTTCTAATTTAATGAAGATTGTTGGTTCATACCATCATATCCAAGAACCATTTTCGACGCAAAATTCGAGGCTTGACATGGTACATACATGATTTATGAGCTCATCTAATAGAAATGTGACAGCTCGAGTATCTATACTCTTTCCACTTGGTCAGTATTTTATCTGTAAGTACCAGAACAAGGCAGAGGCAAAATTACGGTATACGGCATACAACTTCACCACATGGCACAAAATAGAAAATAGAAAGTAGAAAATAGAAACCGAGAAGAAAAAGGAGAGAAAAAGAAGAGCAAAAAGCCAAGGAAATATGATTAAATGATGAAATAACCAGGAATAAAATAGGTAGAAATGAAATAGGTAGAAATAAAATAATAACCCAGGTCGATTTCGGGGCTGTCGAATCCTATGTGTTATCGGGATCTGCGGTTTCAGACAGGTTTTCTCCACCAGAGACTAGTTCCGTGCTAGTGTACGTTCTTAGGGCTCCTTCGTGTGAAGCGTGTGAAGCCGTTACCCGAATCACAACGGGTCCGCTTGTCTTTTCCCGCGAGGGGGTCTCTAGCCTGTAAAATAAATCAAAAACTGATTCATGGTTGTGTACGGAGTAGTATATGTATTCTGTATTCCGTACTGTGAATCTACGGTTCTTGACTCCGGGCCCAGTGGACTCGTCTGTAGATCCCTGGATGGCCTGGGGTTCTCCTCTTCTTTTGTATAACATTCTTCTCGATCTGGCCTGGAACTCGGTGCGCCCTGGTTCACCATCGTGCGCTCCTATCCGCGATCCCAGTCCAACGGACCGGTGTGGCCTTCTTTTCACCACGACTTGACATCCTGGTAGTTCCTGATTTTATATAGATAGTATGTAGTATATCATATCAATGCTAAAAAACTAAGAAATACATCTCTGCTATAACTGCCCCCATTACAACGAGCTCGGTCGCCTTCTGCGTAAGCGAGTAGACTAAGAAGGCAACTGTACAGAATGAATGCCGTCATTACCCGCCAAGGGGGGAGGGTGCCAATGGGCAAACTATCGATTTCGTTTCCCTGCTGACGTGGTGATACCTAAAGGCATTACATTATGTACGGAGTACCATAATCAATTTGTAGAAACGAAACCTTGGAACCGAAAGACTTTAATACAGTACGGAGTATGGACTACAAACCCTGTATTGGAGATGTGATCGATGTAAATATCCTTGGCCCCTGGCGGTACAAAAGTACATATTAGGATACAGGTATCATCACACCCGCAAATTTTTCTTCATGTTCCCTTTTGAATCAAGCTTTGTATGAGGATAATCAAAATAATCAAAAAAGGGGGGCCACAAAACCACTCTTGAAACGATCAACGATTGATGATTTGCAATAAGATCATGACATCCTACAATTTAAACTAGTCCAACTAGCAAGACTCCGTAGTCTCCATAATCCGTACGGAGTACCATTGTACTATACGTCAGTATCTACCCAGATCACGGCGTCTCCTCTTTGTTCACCCACCGGCCTCCCCCTCTTGTCCCGTCGACACCTCACTCTTGGCTGCTTGGCTCCTTACAATCATACCAATTATAATTCCTGAAGTGGAGAAGGTGCATGACACTAGCTTGTTTTGGTATGCGATGCCAGCTGTCCTATTGGCCCCACCTGTTAGCTTTCTGATCAGCGGTCGCATTTCACACTTATTATGAATTTATTGATCGATTTATCGTTTTGAGAATTTTTACTGCCTTTCTCGTCCTAGCTAGATACTTGTCCAGTGTAATTATTGGTTTTTTATTCCTTTTTTCTTCTTCCTTGATTTCTTCAAAATACCCGTCTATCCCTAATATGGCATATGTCCCAATTTTGATGATTCGCTGGAAGATGTTGTGTGTGCTGAAGAACACACTACGCACTTCTTACTGTCCACATTTACTCTTCTCTTTTTTTCTTTACCCGTAGTTGCAATGAAATAAAACCGACCAAGGCTCTTATATTATAGGTACGTATTTTATTATCATGAGAAATGTCAATTCTGCCTATAACCCCCCCAAGGTCCTTGTCTAAAGAACTACAGAAAATGACATTTTAGTAGATAATAATCTCAAATGAAGTGGAAAATCCCCCATCAAGATCTACGTAGGCACCATAAAATGGACCAACCTCCTCATTACATGGAAAATAGGGATTTGGATTTGGGGGTGGCACCTTTCATCGATCTCTCATCATCTTCATCCCCCACTCTGTGACGGTCCGCACCGCAAGGAAAAGCCACTGCCCCATTTGGCCCAAGGTTTCGCTGGGCGCGGGTCTGGATTCAATACAATACAGAAACAGCCGGGGCTGTGGCCTGCATATTTTAGGCTCGCGCATCACTGCAGTCCATAATGACTCCCCTCCCTGGTCAGAGTCTAACGGCCTAGTAAGGGTAGATTAGTGGAGCGGCTAAACAGCTTCACTTTTTTTCTTTTCTTTTTTTTTTCTTCCTGCTCATTTTTTCAGGGACGCATTCTCTACCCGTAGAACGCTGGCACCTGCGTAATCCTGTATGTACACTAAGTAAAAATCCACCTTTCTCCACAAGAAATTGCCCTTTTTTCAGTTCTCTCGAAGATCTACTGCAGTACTTTCAGCAACGCTTTCTTCTTGATATTTATTTGAGTGAATCTCGTGGAAACTGAAGAATTATGTAACATAGTAACGATCGGAATGGAAGATCATTGTAACAAATGCCCGAGGTACTTTATTGACCGTACTTCGGGCCAGAATACAGAATACCGGCGGCTTTTTACCTTCTTGGAAAGTCGGCATAAACTAGCTATTATAAGGCTCGACTACCTAACTAGGGCTAATAGGGCTAGTTGCTTGCAGGGAGGTGCATTTTATTTTAGCCTCTCACCCGGATTGTGTATTTGAATGTAATTTTTTATTTTATGTGATCGCTGTCTTAAAAACTCGCACTGGATTACACTTTTGTAAGTAGCATGAAATCAAGTTACTGGGGCAATTTTCTACGGGGGATCTTCTGCGCCAAAACGGTCTCGGCAAATTGATTGTCATTCATAGACATACCGTCCGCAGAGAGCAAGGATGCCGGTTAGCCGTCGGTCGTCAATTGATATCACACAATTAATAACGCGCAATCAATCTATTTAATTTTGGCCAGGATTACAAATGGTGAGGGCCAATGTCTTCATTATGATGAGGCGACATTATTCATACAGCCACGGTCCTCCACGTGGTATAATTAAATCTTCAAGGGTAATGATCCTTCGAAGTAGGCAGTGATCCTAATGTTTCGAGAGAAACTTCCAATGAAACACTAGAACTTCTTGCCTAGTGTATACAATGCTCCATCATGCTACGGAGAAAACCGTCTATGTATTTGAATTTGCGGGTGATTTGGATTCGAATTGATCCGAGAGTCAACGTGTCGGGCGAAAATAATTGAAACAAAGAAAAATTAGATAAATGATAATAGTAACACAAATACAAATACAAATACAAATCATTATTCCGTGCCTAGTCCTCTTTCAGTCCCAGGCTTCGCGTAGATCGCCATTCCAGAAGGATTCGCCAAAGGATCAGGGGGCAATGCGTATGTTGGCTAGAAAGACTCGATGGAAATTACCCACTGCAAATCACAGTCAGGGGGCGTGAACGCTTTTCTACATCTGGTCCTTGGTCACTGCCTCCTAAATCCCCATGTGCGAAGCTATAGCTCACTAACGTGTTATTTCGGCTACGTTTATCGTATCAAAATCCACTCGCAGTGGAGTCTTCGTCGGAGCCGACACTTATTTACCCCTTTATCGCCAAGCGTACCCCCGTTTTCTGCAAAGGTGCCTCCCGTCCATTCCGGGCGCTTGCCAGAATCCCGACCCTTGTCTCTCTGTACTTTTTCTTTCTGATGCTCTTATTCGTCCGTTGAATGCAATCAACGCATGTCGGGGTCAGGTGAGAAGATCAAGATGCACGTAAACTGGCCCCAACCCTGGTTAGTTGATGATGATCGTGGACCTAAGTCCGAACTCCCCATCCACCCCCCCTCCCTTCTCCCCTGTGGGCATAAGGATTTTCTAGATCTTCATTTGATCTTGCAACAGTGGTTCTTGGTCCAGCTAGCCACAATCCACCGTCGTCGAGGGTTGAAGCAAGGTATCCATTCCAGGTCAGAAGGTTCAACGGTTCCCGTCTCTGCCCCCCCTTTGTGGCCCGAAGTTACATGCCGTAGATTAGCAGACACATGGCTTCGAATTCTTGGAAAATCACTTCGCCCCCAAATTAACGTCTCAAATCAAATCCAATTAGACATTGGAGCAGCATTCTTACTTTCTCATGCTATAATCTATGCGTTACGGAGTTCTGTACGGAGTACATGTACTCTTGCGCAATATGGGGTACAAATCTGACGGTTTCAATTTCAATTTCCAATTCTCGTCTCCATCTCTATCGCGCGATGGAATAAATTAAGCAAGACATGACTCGAATCAATCCAATAGCCACATGAAAGCTGCAGGTCGCAGCCCCTCTGAGTCCTCCTTCCCCTCTTTCTTTTGCGTATGCAAATTCGCATCATTAGTTCTAGTTCTAGGCACCTTTGTTCACAGACCGCTAGTCGAGGCATGTTAGCACTACCACCACGTGGATGGACAAGGGGGGATGCATGAAACTAACCACGCCGCGTCTAGCTAGAAGTTATGGTGACATCAGATGGAGATACGATCAGCAGCCACAGTGCGACGCACCAACAGAACAAAGAGATTTCAGTGATTTTCCGTACAGTGTACACGGGCCTTCCCCGAATCCAATCATGTCCTCTCTGTATTTCTCCCGAAGTGTCTCAAGTCCGTCCGTCCCCCGGGGGCGCCGAGTAGTCTTATGCCAACAACTTTCTATCTTCGCCCGGGGTCTATGTATCTGTTACATGTTTATGGAGTAAGGCTAGAAGGTAATGACAAACAACGTTTAAATTAATTTGATATATTATACTTCTCCGGAGTATTTGTCAACTATTTCGGAATCCCTCTACGAGGAAGGAAAGAGGGGCGAGATTTCCAAGCCTTGAAAAAACTCGTATGCATACTAATATGCCTCAAGACTTCTCTACTAGACCTAGCACATTGTAGGCGCCGTTGGTCAGGCCAACCACGAACCCCCCATGCATGAATGCATACAGTACATGACCCCGGTCAAGCCTAGCATAGCATACATACGAAATACGGGTGATCGCCTACCAGTGCCGCACGGTGTGTACTGAAATATGTGATTGCTGCGATCGACCGCATAAAAAACCCTGTAAGTAGTCCGTACATTAGGCAGGTTAGGTCACTTGAGACTTGAAACTCCAACTGCGGCACCATCACCAACACCAACACCAACACCAAGTCTAAAAGAGAAATAGAAAGTAAAAATCGAAAAAGAAACGGAAAAAAATCAGAACACATTAGAAACAACTGCAAGGCCACCAGCTAGTAACAAAAGCTATCCTCAAAACGTAAGGTGTCAATAGTGTTTCTGCCTAGAAAGCTGCAGGGTGTGTGTTGTGTGTTGGCTGCCAATGCGAACGGACCCTCGGCTCTCTATTTCTGTGCAGCTTGTTGGTTCGGTCAGGTCGAGGCGGGGTGAACTTTGTTCGCTACTCCAAAGATATCCTTCAGTCTGCTTTAGGGCTCGGGCATGGTTGTATTCTCCGGCTTCAGCTGCGTGGAACCCGATCGGAGTGATTAGGTGTTCAGGTTTATCCTGTTTGAAGTTCTTCGCACAGAACATGTTTGGGTGGGGCGATGATTTGATTTCAAAAATGCAAATAATTTCTTGGATCTTGAAGAATTGAAGATGGCCTTTTGATTTTCTTCTGTGATTTCATTATTTTAGTTATGTAAAAGTTTAAATCGAAACATGGATTTGTAGATTTAATTGCAGTACTTTGTGGTGACTTTGCTGCAAGTCTTGGGCCTCACGCCTTTTCTATACTATTAAATTCGTATCTTTTTAGTCTGAGTAGCTTCTCGTATATGCAAGAATGTAATTAAATGGCATTTGAGGAGATTAAGCCGAATCTGAATGTGATAACCTTGGAATCTTCGTAACCTTGGAAACTTTCTAACTTGTATATAGAAGGGTGTGGGTATATATATTATAGTATATCACGGTGTAAATCTCGAGAATCCGTTCTAAGGTTGGACTGATTTTCAATTTCCAGCTCGAAGGGCTGTATAAAACCAAAACATAGAGATCCATAAATACAAATAAATCTACAATAATATATATTTTTTATCGAATTTTGTAGCAATTATTCCAGATTCAATCAATTGATGTAATCCCGCGGATGTGCCCGCTGATTGGCCCCACGCAACATGTCAAGAACCGCGACTCCAAGCAGCTCCCAAGCTCTTGCCCACTCTTATGGATCTTCTTTCAGTTCTTCCTGGCTTCGCAACAAAACAATTTGCCCATATATTGCCTCCGCTAGAGAGGGCAAAAATTTCTACTGTCGATCTCATCACTCTCGACACGCTCGAGATCGCGAAACGCGCCCATGTACCCACCGCAGACGTCCGCCACCTTTGTGCCCGCATTGTCGAGGCACTACACTCCGACCTTGGCTTCGAGAGAACACAAAGAAACATAGAACCGACCGGAAATGATGAAGCAAATCCCAATTCCAATCTGGACACGGAGAAAACCAGCCTCGGTCCTGCGACCAGGCTGCAGACCTCGCCATGGAATATAATCAGCACATTGGACTCCACCATGGATGCGCTCTTGGGGGGCGGCATTCCAACAGGATACGTGACTGAAGTCACAGGTGAGAGGTATGTGCTTTATAGCATCTTCAGTTGAATGAATTGTGTCGCTGACCATGTCTTTTTTTGTCTGAATAGTGGCAGCGGCAAGACCCAGTTCCTCCTTAGCCTCCTCTTAGCCGTTCAGCTACCCAAACCACACGGCATACAGAAACGAGCAATATACATATCAACAGAACATCCACTAGCCACGAATCGCCTTTCTCAGTTGATAGAATGCCACCCATACCTCTCCACCCTCTCCGTGGACCAAGCACCAACCCTCCAGAATGTATTAGCAATCAACGCCATGGATCTAGAGACACAGGACCATATCCTCAATTACCAGCTCCCAGTCGCAATAAAAAGATACAACGCTGGCCTGGTCATAATAGACTCCGTGACATCAAATTATCGCGCCGAACACACAAACCACAGCATGCTTGCTCTCTCCGCACGATCCACCGAGCTCGCAAAACTAGGCCACATGCTGCGCAACCTCGCAGCAAAAGAGGACATCGCCATACTTGTCGCAAATCAAGTATCGGATCGATTTGAACCAATTGACCAAGCCAGTAGCGATCTATCATCAAAAAGACCTATGTTCCAAAATACCCCGCAAGGTGCCGCCTCGCCGCTCCCCCGAAACAGATCGGGATTGCCGGGTCCATCAACGCAGCAGTTCCCATATGATCTCCCTCCATCCTCAGCGCCTTCCTCGTCGCCTTTTCTCACCTCCCAAGAAGAATATTTCGACGGCTCATACATAATTGGCAATACGGCACGGAATGAAATGATGAGCCTCCTTCACCAGGAGCGATTCTTCACTGGCTGGGGAGACGGAGTTTATCCTCGTTCATCATCTCTAAAGACTCCGGCTTTAGGATTCTTCTGGTCAACACAAATTGCCTGCCGCATTGCGTTGAAAAAAGAAATTCGCTCTACATTCCCGGCGTGGGATGCTGGATTCCCTCTATCTACACCTTTAGAGCAGATGGACCCTCAAGAGAATAATCATGAGGGCAAGGCTCTTGAAAGCAGACCTGGTTTTACATCTGCTCTGAAAACAAATACTGGAGAACCAGAAACCAAGCCTCCAACATCTAATGTGGAAAAAAGCTTCGTGCCGGATCCAGTGGAATCGGCTTCGAACCCGATCCGACGCGTGAGGTCCCCTGCTCCTCCTGAACCCGAAGTTGTTACCAAGCGAACAATGAAAGTTGTTTTTGCTCCTTGGACTGGAGGTCTAGAAGAGGAGCAAATTGAGGGTGGAGTAACATCAAAGTCAAGGAGGAAGGTGCACGAGGCATCATTTGAGATTTGGAAAGGAGGGCTACGAAGTATAAACCTCAGTGAATGATACGATTTACACTTGATTTATAGCCAGAAAAACTTTGCATCTGGGATGATGATTTATTTTCGTTGTTTATATCACTGCATAGCATGAATGATGATTTGTTACCATAAGAAGAGCATTGCTCGAACTGTAAATCCCATCACTCCATATGCATTACCTAGTAACACTGCTATTTCCTCCAGAGAGATCCTTAACAACGTATCCAATTGAGTCATTTTAACGAAAATTCCATCCTATAAACATTAATTAGTATCTTGCGTCCCTGACACCGATCTCAAAGCATTAGGAATAGCCACTTACCATCGTATCATGGGATTCACCACTAATACGCGCCTTCGTACTATCAGAGTTCTTGCCACACCAAAAGCGACCAGTCGCGCCCTGCTCAATCTGAGCAAACACTTGACTGCTATACTCCATCAACGGCATCCTCTCAGCTCCATAATGACCTTGTGCCCTCGAGACAACCGTCTCTTCAATGGGCTTGTAAAGCGAATCCTCAGGCAACTTGAGATCACCGAAGTATGTCTGCCCCAAAGTACGAACCGCACCAGTGACAACACAAAGAACCTTGACATTGAATGAAACCAGTTCCAACCGAAGAGTATCAGCCATAAGCTCCATGGCACGCTTTGAACCGGCGTAGGATCCTATTTTGGAAGTTAGCTGCTAAATAAACACGTCTATTATGAAATATCTTTATCTGAAGAAGGGTTGGTTGAGTCTGGAACATCACAAAATACTCACCCATAAACGACACATTAAGATATCCAGAGATAGACGTGACAAAAACAATCGAGCCTTTTGCCAAAATCAAAAATGGTACAAAGGCCTTGGTCACTCGCAAAGGACCCCAGACATTAATATCATATAGAGCCTTAAGTAAGGCATGAAATGGTTGCGACCCGCATTGTTGATGAGGACATCGAGTGTTCCACCCGTTTGAGCTTGAACTGCTGCTACAGCTGCTTCGATATGAGTTTGGTTGGCCACATCCAGTTGTAGCGTGGTCACATTGGGTAGGTCTTTTTTTAAGTTTGGACATCCTGTTGAGGTTTCGGGCCTTGGCGAATACTTGATATCCTTGCTTTTAGAAGGTCAGTGCAAGACCGTAACCGGTTCCATCATCGCTGCAGCCGGTAATAAGAACGGATTTAAGGGCCATGTCTGAGTGCTGTGATTTGAAGGCTTTTGAAGATCGAGTTGTTTTATTATGATTTGGATCTAAAGGAGAGTAACGGGGTTTGAATGTATTGTCTGGATGACAGGGGCTTCCTAGGAGGATAGACATAATTCGTTCGCCTTCTGTTGTTTAGTCTCCGACGGATTCCCGTCACATGGATCGTATATATCCTTGTTGGCGTGGGAGGTGACCTATTGGTTGATTCTGACAACCTAAAGGCCTAGCGGCTCCACTATATGGGCTCGCACTATATGCCATGTCTGTGCAAGCAGGTCAGAAACCTTTGTCCAAGATGTATCTAGTAAGTTCTCTGCGTCAGTATAACACATTATCCTTACGTGCTGACTCTACACAAGCAGTGCAAAGGTACAATTATACATGTAGTATTTTGTGGTTATGGTTTGACCCACTCTCGGATACAGATCAATCATATGTTTGGTCTGAAGAGTGGCGTCCGTCTATATGTACGTAGCAGAGCTTCCCTCTCTCCTTCCCTTCTTCAACGTTGTCATTCGTTGTTTTTCGCACCCTTTCTCCATCCTGGTAGAAACGTAGGCACCCTATCACACTTAATATATAATCCAACCAGATATACAATCCCTTCAATAAGCCCTGGAGATCAGTGTTTGTATATGATATTGCAAGTATGTCAACTAAAACCACGGATAAGTACTGAGAAATTCTGTCAGAGACATCAATCAATGTCTTATATAGACATCATGATGCCCTGGTGCCACGTGGCATCACATGGCCGGGTCTACTATATAAGAGACCCCCTCTCCTTACTTTCAATTTGATCTATCTCGACATAAAAACCACAACCTTTCTAACTGGAGGTACGCGTCATCCAGCAAAGGGCGCGAAGAAGGCCCCTAAGACAGCAGTCGTCTAGATGAGTCCAGTGTTATCCTGTCTGCCACTGATTGCTGACCTCCTCCACTGCAGCTTTGTCACTCCTGTCAAATCTAATGGTTTGTCGTGCATTTCGACTTGCCTTCCCTGCCAAAATGCGCGCCAAAATTGCTGCCGCTTGCAAAAACCGATCCTAACCGAAGACTCCGATGTTCTCTAGATTCTTGTTACTTTCCCTGGCGCCCGTGTTGCGCTTCATCGATAACCGTGAGACTGATCGTCGTCGCTGTCATCCGGAACAGCAGGGTGCTGTGGCTTGAGGATGTACGGGTGGAAAGACAAATGAAAAGACAAATGAAAAGACAAATGGATAAATGTTTTTTCCCCCAGTATTTTAGATTGGAATGGTGAGCTCATTTAAAAAGAAAGTCTATATCTCGAAGGTATACCTCTAAGATAGTAGGTAGGATTGAAGCCCATGGAGTTGACGAGGGCCTACACACCTGGCGCCGCCCAAGTAAACATTGCAGTATGTGTGTTGATACATGGTCAGCCCGATGGACAGATAGGACAAATCAAATAATTCAAATCAAATCCAGGGACCTAGGAATTGCTTACCATAAGCTTAAACTCCTTGAGTTGTTGATAGTGTGTTGGGCGGTGAATATTCAGGGCATAAACTGCCAGCAACAGAGCGTCATTGGCCCCATAGATGCGGTGGATGTGGGCCCCATAGCTGGCCTCGGGGGTTTCCTGACTTCAACAAACCCCGCGACTCGACAGCTCCAACATTTAACCAAAGAGGTATACAGGTGTACAGCAGTCCGTATTGTCCAGTCCGGCATGCTCTGATTGCCATTGGCTGTCTCCCGAATTGTGCCCGGGAACCATGGACCCTTCACAGGAGGCCTCTAGCAATGTGACCGGTAGGTTCCTCCCAAAACAATCGGAAAGTTGAATATCGTAATACTTACTGAGTGCGAATAAACAGTTGAATATACGGATCCATCCGGTCTCTTTCCTCAAATCCAACCTATAATCGAATCAAAGCTCCCCCTGAAGAACCTCCACTGGAAATCACCCACCCGCCCCGTTCGGTCGATCGAATCGCTCCGCATCGGATTTGTCTCTGCGCAGGCCGAAAGCGCAGAACCCAAATCGTCCAGCGATGGTGCCGGTGCAGCCCCACACAGACGACACCAGATTCCTGGCTTGCGACAAACTCCATACCTGAAAATTTACCTCCTCCGCTGTGACGACAACGATACCTACAAGGCCACGGCGCGGAAAACAGTACGCGAATGGATTAAGGCTCAAGGCTCGCAAGCGACTGGCAGTGCCCAGGAGAAGCATGATGCTTTTGAATGGCTCATTTTACATGTAGTTCAAGATGGCGAGGGTGCAGAGAAGGCGCCTGCGTCCACTTCGAAATGGGGTCGGGGCACAACCACAGTGCTAGAGAAGATCAAGGCGGATTTCAATACATCGTCAAAAGCTGCCGTGGATCGTGTGGCACAGCTGCGTCTGCCTAAAGAGGGAACCGCCAAATCCCCTGAACTGGCCGAGCAGCGCGAGGACTTGATTGACAAAATGAAGAATGGCATTCTGGCTTCCTTCGACCTGCGCGTGGCTCGCTACGAAGAAGATATCAAGGAAAAGGACTCACAGCGAAGTCTTCCTGGCTGGAACTTTTGTACTTTTTTCATACTCAAGGAGGGTCTTGCGCGAGGATTTGAAAACGTTGGTCTCTTCGAAGATGCGCTTGTCGGGTATGATGAGCTGTCTGCCGGCTTGGATGCCACCATCCGTGATCAAATCCAAGGCAATACGCAACACGGCGGTGAACTTTTGACTTCCAGCAAGTCATTGATAGAACAAGCGAAAAAGGCACTAGAAACTGGGCCTCCGGCCGACGACAGTGACAAGACGGAGAAACCTCAAGTAGAGATACAGCCTGCCGACTTCCCGCTAATCTCCAACAAAATGCCATACCGTGAAATGATTTTGGGAAGCGATATATCCATCTTCAACTTCCGCAACTATATATTCTCTCGACAACTCACCTTACTCCTACGAGCTGCAAGAGCTCCGTCGGTCATTGGAAACGAAACGGCTACACGTGATAAAAAGCCTGCAGACCTCATGTTACTGCATGAGATCTGTGACAGATCTACAGAGTTCATCAGCTTGGCCGCGCGCACTCTTCGCTATGACCTGGAGATCGGATTGGAGGGTGTGGAAAATGATGCCAAGGCAGATTTCATCAACAACACAGTGTCTTCGTTTGCATATTCAGCTTCTTTGCAGATTCTCGATCAAACTTTCACAGACAGCCTTACGATTCCCGAATCGTCTCTTCATGCGGTGACGCAAGCCACCCAGGGCTCTGGACCTAGTGGCCCGGCGATTGACAATCGTCCTCAAGCTCCACGTCGGACAAGCTCCCTGATCGCTGGTCCTGGTCGTCCAGTTATGCAGGACATGTCTGATGTAAGCTCCCTTCAGCGCCGTTCGACTCTGGAACATCCCAAACAACCCCCTGTCATTATTCAAAAGACAGGATCCGAGCAATTGGCATCTGGAAGGGGTGACCTGTTTTTGCTGGCCCGTAGGTCTCTTGAGGAAATTGCAAAAAGACGTGGCTGGTCAGAAAAATGGACTGACCTGGGCCTCCTTTTTGATGATACACATCGTTCCAAGGCTGGCGGCCTTGAGGAAGTGTCGCTGAACGACGAAAGCGAATCAAAGCCACAAGAGGATAAGAAGGCGCTCCAGAGTTCGTTGATTGGCATCGAACTGCCTGCATTGAAACAAGGATTGGGATCCAAAGATTCGTTCCTGTCGTTATACGAAGATCTCACAGATAAAATAATTTGCCATAACATGGCGGCTAGTCGCGCTAACACTACGGAGCATGCACTCGCTGATATTGCTATTCTACGGTTCCGCCAAGCTGACTACGAGACGGCTGCCTCATACTTTCACCAAATGGCGCCGTTTTACGGTAGCAAGCTTTGGGTTGTTCTCGAGGGCAGCATGCTCGAGCTCTATGCCCGATGTTTGAAGGAACTCAAGCGTAACGAAGACTATGTTCGCATGATGCTACGATTACTATCCAAATTTTCCATGTACTCTCAATCCCAACTTTCGGATCGACAGAGGGCATTATCTACGCCAAAATCAGTATTGGATCAGGAGCAACTTTCAGAGTATGTTTCTGATCTCTACCAGGGCTTGGAAAATTTACAAAAGGATGTCACTACCTCTTTGTTTGACTTCTTTGCCGACCTGCACGTTGATCCTGCCATCCGGTTATATGATTCCAAGGACGGGTTCCAGATTCAGATGACATTGCGCTTTCTTCTGGGTCCTGAAATCAAAATCAATTCAATCAAAGTCAGGCTGGTCAGCGCTGGCTCATCCCAGAATGGGGAGCATTGGATTGAGAAATCAACCGATTTTGTGATTAAGTCAACAAAGACCAATATCCTCATCGACTCTTCGGTAGGTCCGCTGCTTTTAATTTTTAATTTTTAATTTTTTTTATATGGGACTCTTTAGCTAATTATTCCAACAGACTACTCTCCAAGGCAAATATCTCGTGGATCGCCTTGAGATGAAATCTGGGAACCTTGTTTTCGCATTCAACAGTAACCAGAACTCTTCCCTTCCGATTGGTTTCCGGGAAGCAGATGATGCAGCCGATACAGACAATCGACCATACGTCTTCTGTTACCCCCCTCCCAATGGGCTGCAAGCAAAGATCGTGTCCCCGCATCTGATCAATCTTGAGGCTATGCGCACCCTTGAGCTGGAACTCAACAGCGGGCGCAACGATATAACGAGTGGCACACTGCGCGTCCGACCGGCAACAGCAGGACTTCGGCTTCGCATCTCAGAGGCAGAGGTTGTAGAAGGTGAACTAGATATTACCGCAAACAACGATTCGGGAACAATCGAGTTCACCAAACTGCCTACCCAGTCGTTTGTTCGATTACGGATCCCCTACACCGCCGAGGAGGCCTTGAACAGTCTATCTGCCCGGGTAGAGGTTGGATATGAGACCGAACAAGGCCGATTTGCTTTTACGGCCGTGCATAGCATTGTTGCCACGCTTCCAATATCGGTCAACGTGCAGGACATCTTCAAAGACGAAATGCTATTCTCGCGATTCACAGTTAGCCCCGCTATGCTGATCCCTCTCCGCATCACCAACTGCAGCTTGCCCAGTTCAGAGGCCTATGAGGTGCAATCTAGTATCACAGGCCCCGTTACTTTGGATGTTTTCCCTAAACAACCCGCTTCTCTGCTTTACAAGATTTGCCCACTGGGAAGCACTGTCAAACCCACCCCAGCGGGGAAAAACAACCTACGCCTGCGTGTTGATTTCACCTGTGTGGATGATGAATGCCTTGACGCGATTGAGAAATCATTCACCGCAGCCATTGAGTCTAGCCCATACAGCCAATATGCAGCCCTCCTCACGTCACATATTGTCGGCCGTTTCCGGAATCAACTATCTACTGCTGATATGGAGGTCATTGGCCTTTTGCGAGAGCTAGAGATGTTGCCGTATCAAAGTATTCGATGGGATGAATTGTTGGGCGGACTCAAAGAAAGTACAGAGGAGGTGCGAGAGTGGCTGACGGCATGGCACGAGGTAAGTTGATTTGCTACAGATGTGTTGATCTAATCGAGTATTATATTCATACTAAACTAACTTTTCCTTCCTTGTTACAGAAAACCCCCATTATCCATCTTCCATCGGATCCCAGCATTCCCCACCGCTCCATCGTGATCCCTGTCGACATTCCCGAGATCCAAGTGGTTCACACAGCGGAGCTACAACTTCAACCCGCCCTCGATGTATTCGCCGATGGCACCTCCCACACAGCAGTAGGCCAGATGATCACCGCTGAGCTAACCCTCCGCCACACACGCCGCTGGTGCACCCCCACAAACCAGGAACATGCCGGACAACCCCTCGAATGCTCGTACGAGTTACACGCCAATCCAGACCTCTGGCTCCTGGGTGGTCGCCGGCGCGGTAACTTCCTAGCACAAGATGGGGAAGTCACCAAATTTACTGTTCTGCTTCTTCCCCAGAAACCAGGCCACTTACTTCTACCCGGACTAGAAATTCGCACATTTACGCCATCTCATTTGCAGCCTCCTTCCGAGCCAACTAGGACTGATTCCTCTGTAGCTCCGGCGGGGCCTGTCCCGCGACACCCTATTCCCTGCGAAGTGGATTATCGGAATCATGGCGAAACAATCCTTGTGTTACCTGATCTGCGGAAGACCACAGTCAGCCTCAGCGCCTCGGGCAGTTCGGGCGGGGCATCGTGGCTGGTGGACTCTGAGCGACGAGGGGAGGTACACTAAATGCTGTTACAGATGTACGGAGTAATGGAGGGTGATTTCTATTCCTCTTTGTTTTGTATTTCCTTTTTTGTTTCTTCTTCTCATCTCATGATGCGGTGGCGATGCAGGTCTTGAGCCTATAGCCTGAGCTAGATAAGTGTATAGATCTACGAGTGATGAATACGTATTGTACAGTGTACGCACGGGTCCACCCCAAGTTCATAATGGCCCCGGCCATCTTACAGACTAAGAAATTTCAATATTTTTTTTTTTCATTATTGAGGACTACACTTCGTAGACTAATCACAATCAATCTAAATAACATGGCGATCTCAGCCATCCACAGTACTCCGCAGACTAGAGATAATCAGGTTACTCTGTGGACTAAGTACAGTAGCCCTGGAGTATTATCGCAGCGCTGCGAGTGTTTTGAGTTTTGCAAAATGACAGGAGTGGGGGCACGCTGATTGGTGGGGGGAGCTCCTCAACAAAAAAAAATCTCGGCGGGCCCCACGGCCCAACAACAGGGGAAGGGGGAGAAGTGACCGCCACACGAATGTACAATGGGAAAGAGGTGTTGATTGTAGGATCATGCCATTAATATATTATAATTAAGTGGAATCGTATGGTTTGCGGAGGAGAGACCAGGAGATGGACTTGTTGGGAAATACATACTATTATACTAGGAGTAGCCATAGTAGTACAACTAAAAGTCGATATACTTATACTCCGTAGCAAAAGCCACACTGTTTTATGTACTGTATAACCTACCACCTGGGCAACTGGGTGGTTAAAGCTGAAATACATACCCGAGTCCGTGATATTGCAAATCTATACCCCAGTCTGTCATTCTCCATCAAAACATTCTCCATCACATGCCGGCACGCATGCCAATTGCCACCAGCGCGGCGTGGACCAATCCGCAGCGCGATATAGTCCAGTAGGTCTGGGTCTGGGTGAGCACGAAAATGACCCGCCGAGGTCGATCGCATGGACCTAGGCCTGCATGTGATGTGAGGACCAATCTGTGTATTTTGAAACAAAATACCAGACAGAGAGTATTTTCAAGTTAAGTAGATAAGATAAATAAGGCATTAGTTATTAAATTTGTATAACATTGTATATATTATATGGAAGAAAGGAGGGAACGCAAATACTATACCAAGGACTGTATACTCCGCTCCGCTCCGGGTAAATGTTGAGAACCCAATTAGGTTTGGGTTCGATCGGGTCGCCACAGAAGCCATTCTATAGGTTTTCCAGGTGGAAATCCCCAGGACCTGAAGAACCACTCGGTGGGGCCGAGTATTTTTCACACATCTTTAATTTGTTGGTCGCGCTTGGATCTACTGATACGGACAGTGGGTTGACGCACGATCGGGTGGAAGTTCATGCAGGAGGACTTGGACGGTAATTTGGGGGCTGTTCTGTTCTGGATTATCTTGTGAAAAAAGTCGGTATTTGTTGTAGTTTGTAGAAATCAGTCAATCAAGAGGTGGAGATAGATTGATGGAGATGGAGATGGAGGATGGACAAGGATAAGGGGGCGAAAGTGGAGGTGGGATTTTGAGGTATTTTTGCAAATTTAAATTACATTTAATACATGCTCGTCCGGACACTTTTGGTGCGTTTAGGGGATGATAAGACGGTACATAAACACTGATTGTACCATATGTACTGAAAATTACACAGTGGTCCATGGACCCCCCAGCTTCAGTCCCTTTTTGTTAGTGTTTTAGTGTTTTAATGGTTTTCTTTTTTTTTTTTTTTTTACTTTTTCTGTTTGCGTGAACCATTTGGCTCCAGAGTCGATCTTCTTTTCCTCGCGTTTTTTCTCTTATACTCACGGGGTTACCTTGTGTCAGCAGCTCCACCGCTCCTTGACCTCTTCTTTTTTCTCGTCAAGGTTCCCTTCTCCTTCCTGTGTAACCGCAAAGGAAAACTCAGTGCTTTCTCTCCTTCGTAAGTTGTTGACCTTCTCTATCGGCCTGTCCGATCTCAATGAACTGACCCTCTGCCCCCACTTCGAACAGATTTGCGAGGTTGTAGAGCTTGGATTTGCTCCAGCACAAACTTCTCCCCGTCCTCCCTCCCCAACACTTCGGGTTTCCTTGTTGTCATTGGAATTGGAGTATCTCAACCCTCCCGACACGAACATAAAAGAATCGGCAATAGACTTTGCTCGTTATATTTCTCGTCTTTTTGCATAATACCTCGTCATGGCGTCCACTGCTGTTTCCGCCAAGCGCAATGCGCTTCGTCGCAACCCCACCGAGTCCTCGGTCCCCAGCTCAGAGGCTGCTTCGCCCTTCGACAGCCCTCGCCAGTCCCCTTCGTCGACTTCACTGTCCTCCTTGGGTTCGGACCAGGAGAAGACCAACTCCAAGATGCTGGATACCTATGGCAATGAGTTCAAGATCCCCGACTTCACCATCAAGCAGATCCGTGACGCTATCCCCGCGCACTGCTTCCAGCGTTCCGCGATCACCAGTTTATACTATGTCTTCCGTGACTTTGCCATTCTGGCAACCATCTTCTATGTCTTCCACAACTATGTCACCCCCGAGACTGTGCCTCTGATGCCCGCTCGCGTGGCTCTGTGGACTCTTTATACCATTGTCCAGGGTCTGGTCGGTACCGGTGTTTGGGTCTTGGCCCACGAGTGTGGTCACCAGGCTTTCTCTCCCTCCAAGGTCCTGAACGACACTGTCGGTTGGTTCTGCCACTCTCTGCTGCTCGTCCCTTACTTCTCCTGGAAGATCTCCCACGGAAAGCACCACAAGGCCACTGGTAACCTTGCCCGTGACATGGTGTTCGTCCCCAAGACTCGCAGCGATTACGCTACCCGTGTTGGCAAGACCCTTCACGAGGTCGGCGAGCTGATGGAGGATACCCCCATCGTGACTGCCTCCAACCTGCTCCTTCAGCAGCTCTTCGGATGGCCCCTGTACCTGATCATCAACGTTACTGGCCACAACAACCACACCAAGCAGCCCGAGGGCCGCGGTAAGGGCAAGGCCAACGGATGGTTCGGTGGAGTCAACCACTTCAACCCTGACAGCCCTCTGTACGAGGCCAAGGATGCCAAGCTGATTGCCCTGAGTGACCTCGGTCTCTTCCTCACTGGCTCCCTGCTTTACACCATCGGCTCCAAGTTTGGCTGGCTCAACCTTTTGGTCTGGTACGGTATCCCGTACCTGTGGGTTAACCACTGGCTGGGTAAGTTCCCTTTTGATTTCCATGTGCTTGGTCAAGACGCATCAGCATCTCTAACAATACCTTCTTATAGTTGCCATCACCTTCCTGCAGCACACCGACCCTACCCTCCCCCACTACCAGCCTGAGGTCTGGAACTTCGCCCGTGGCGCTGCTGCCACCATCGATCGTGACTTCGGCTTCGTCGGTCGTCACATCTTCCACGGCATCATCGAGACCCACGTCCTGCACCACTATGTCAGCAACATCCCCTTCTACAACGCCGATGAGGCCAGCGAGGCCATCCAGGGCGTGATGGGTAGCCACTACCGCACCGAGGCCCAGACCGGCTGGACTGGTTTCTTCAAGGCCATGTGGACCAGTGCCCGTGTCTGCCAGTGGGTCGAGCCCAACGAGGGTGCCAAGGGTGAGAGTCAGGGTGTGCTCTTCTTCCGCAACGTCAACGGCGTCGGCGTTCCCCCTGCCAAGATGGCCAAATAGATTCGGCCCTATTACCTACCTGCATTGTTTCAACTTTTTCTTATCGTTGTTGATTGGAAGCGATAAATCTGCCATTGCTTTTATTTTCCTGTGATCTTTTGGGTGTATACTTATACCTGTTCACACGCATACACGAACGTCTTGATGAAATTTCCGCGAGAAATAGAAGAAAAAGATGGTTTGGTGTGCTGCTGCTCTGGCGCTTTTCTCAAGCAAACCCTTCTCTTTTCATGTTGTTGTTCCTCTTTCTAGATTATCTTGGTTTTCCTGTTTGTTTGTTTGTATCTCTTGGAGATGTGAGCTGGGCAGCAGAAGGGGTGGTTAAAGCTGGAAGAAGGTTCTTGAGTACTGAGCTAGATGAAACCCAAGACTGTTGATACCGTCCTGATATAGAGATGATTTCTGCCCTGGTCTCTTGATCTTGGTGTCTGCCATCTTCTGAATGATATAATTTCTCATACCACTTTTTCCACAACGTAGAAGTTTGAATGTCTCTCGTTAGTAATATTTACCACTTGTCTTCTTCCCAGCATATGTGTAGGTTAGATCAATCACCGTAGCATCATAAACCACAGGTGAAGGTGGTGATCTCATTAACCAGCCTCGTCTCGTAAGGCAACAGCTTTAATAAAAGCACCTCGACTTGTCAGACAACATAAGAAGCAGTCACAAGCCCTGAATAAATAGTTTATGTGTACGGGAGAAGTAAAGAGTTAAAATAAATCTTTGAAGATTTATCATGCTTCGTGGACCAGTGGCAAGACGTGACGTGACGTTGGACAAAAAAAAACAAGGAAGCAAGAAAACCGTTATTCATTGCGCTTGCGGGGTAAACAAGTCGATCCACTTAGATATCAGGACCGCTTCATTGGTGTATTGGTCACGCGCAAAGCTAATTTTTATCCTCGAAATAAACATTTTGTGCATTTTGGATTATTTGGTGGATGTTTATGGTGTCTATTGGTTTATGACTCTGTGTATGAATATGATAGGTAGGGTCGGAGTATATGATGGGAATCTACTATCCGGTTGACGGCCAATAACTTCAAGGTGCCCAGGCAGTGATTGGGATGCGTTATACTTTGTTCACGAGGCGGTTAGCACTAGTATAAGTCTAGGCATATATACTTTACTGACCTCGGGTCGTAGATGTTTTCAGCATTTGTGTAGATTTTGAGGAAAACTTTAGGAATATGGAGTATTGCATGTCTACTAAACTGGTGGCTGAATTACCTCAAAAGAGTAAGAGAAGAAGAACTCTTAGGTGCTCGTATATTGCTCTCATTCAATGTCAGGGACTCGAGCTACACCTCTCTCAATCATCCTAATTGACAGGCCCTCATCTCTTCCTCCCACTGATAACACATCTACAACTCGCGCATACCCTTTGCTTCTGGCAAAATGTCGAGCCCAAAAGATTCCAGCATGTTCACGGTATGGCTACAATCGTATACAGAAGTACCCCAACAGTCCAAAGCAAAAGTACCTTACGGCCTCGACGGAGATGGGTGGCGGCATCTTCATCTTCTTCCTCTCTCCCTGATTGGGTTATCTCTTGAAGAGACTATTCAAGTTCATTCTATCGTCGATAGCCATCTCTATCTTTTGTCGCCCAAGCCTCTGCGATACATGCCGTCATTGTTCCGATATCTTCTTCGACTGCCAATTGCCAATGTTAGCCGGCGCAAAGTGGAAAGAGATCTGATTACCTTTATCGGGTGGTATATTCTCCATGATCTACCGCCAGATACACCTCGTTCGATTGTCGATGCAGAAACCGTAGAAAGTCACGAATCACGAGTTGAAAGGGGTTTGAAAGAAATGAAAGGATGGGACTGGGGTGAAGTTGACGAACTTTTTCTGGAAATGGCGGAGCCTGTTGTCCGCGATTGTCGATCTGTCAAAAAATTGACTGATTTGGCTGGTGAACCACCTGCTTCTACAAGTATGGACCCTGATGATGGACTCTGGCTGGTAATCACCGACCAGCTAGTCTTTTGGTGGTGTGTATTCCATCATGGTCTCCAATCACTCGGAGACGCTCAAAGTACTTAGTTAATAATACAGTCCATTCTCGATTCCTCAAATTTTAGTTACATTAATACTGTTACTGCATATCTAGTGCTAATTATAAGGCGATATAGTCAAGGATGACGACGTCTTGTAAAGTGTGCATTGTACAGCCAAGCAGGTATATCAAGAACTCGTCGTAGTCCTAGTAAGCTCAAGCATTGCTTATTAAAAACTTTTGCATTCCAAGTTCCTTCTTAGCATCTCATTTTTAGTGGCTGCCCTTGGCGGCATGCTTGGTAACGCTAAAGTTGTATGATGGTTTCATATCGTTCTTGACGGGGTAGTAATCAGCGCCCTTGAGCTTCATGTCACGAGCGTAGTACTCGAAGTTCAAAGATTCATAACTGATATCCAAAGTGACAAAGCCGTTAGCTGCCTGCATGGCATCAGCACCAAGCCATTTAGCATAGGGCCCGAGAGGGACACCGTAGTTGCAGTCACCGGCCTCAGCGTAGCCAGCACCACCAGTCAGAACAAAGTCCATTCCCTGATACTGGTAGTGTGCCATGCAGTGATCGTGGCCATTAACAACCACCCCGTTATTTTCACGAACGACATCAATAAGTGGCTGGAGCTCGGTATAGTTGGACGAGGAAGAGATGTATCCATGGTGAATTTGCAGAATCTTCCAGGTGGCATCGGACTCGGCGAATGACTTGCGCAGGAACTCAACTTGCGTGTTGGTATCTTTGTGGCACGAAATGACGTAGTCGGTGTTATAGACAGAGCTGTTATCCTGATATTTGTTGATGAAGCAGTCGGAGTCGACAACCACGAAGGTCGCGCTCCAGTTGGATCCGGTTAAGTCGTAGGTGTAATAGGGTAGGTTGTCATTGCCAAAGTACCATCGGTCCTCCATCAAGGGGGCAATGCGAGTTTGGAAGTCGACACCGGCCTGCCCAGCGACGATATCGTGGTTACCTAATGCCTGGTACCAGGGTTTGCCGTCGAAGGCTTCGCCAACGTACATGTCGGCCCACCCTTCGTAGAAGCGCTGAATGCCTTCCGAGGTGAAGTCGACGCCACTGTCGTAAAAGTTGTCGCCAACTGAAATGAAGGCAGAGCAGTTCTTTTGGAGACAGACCTTCTCGATATACCGGGCGGTACGAGCTGTTTGGAACTTTCAGCATACGCGATTGGGTAGATCCATATTTCATGATATGTAGGGGGAAACTGACTTTCTTCGATTGTAGCATTGCTGATTGCCTGGCGGTCGCCGGCATCGCAGTCATTTTGCAGAGCGCGAGGAATCTCTACACCTGCAGCCTGGAGCTTGGGCGTGGCAGTGTTGCAGAAGTCTAATGGCAAAGGCTGCCAACCGGTCCAGCCATAGTCTATTGAATACAATCCTGGTGAGCCCTTTCTCCACACAGCAACACAAAAGACCATCATCATCTTCTCGTACCTCCAAGAAGAGCAACAGTGAGCGTTTCCGCGCCAGTCGGGGCCACAATGGAGTTCTTAGCGGCGGAGGCGCTGAGGGCAAGGCCTAAAGCCAAGACAGTGCGAGACATGGTAGACATGTTGCAAGCAAGAAGATTCAAGTGCTCGAAACCGCTGAATCTGGATAAATTTATTCTTGGTTAGGCTTATATACATATAAAATACGAGATCCTGGAGACTCTCAACATGTATGTCACCCCAGAGTCCTGACAGGTTTCTTGCGCAGTGCGCTATGCTGTTGCCTGTCTGATATACAAGAGCTCAAAGCTTGTCTGTGATTCTAGAAGAACTCAAAAAATCCTTGCAGCTAATGGGACCTTATACCGGGCTCCTGTGCTAGGAACAATTGGTTGGCGATGATATCAAGAAAGAAATGCGCTCGGACAATGCAATCTCCACGGTATCCGCTCTGCCGTAGTTTTCAATTTGCCGTACCAATCAAAGGGACTTCCCGTCCACACGTGGGAATAGATCGTGTTTTAAGGGTTTCATGACAAGAAATTTGAAAAAAGCAATATAAACCGTCGGAGGTTTCATTGATATTTCTTTTCGAATGTTATTTACTCAGGTCCGGTCTTTATACAGGGTCCTGCGGATCGATACATCTTTGCCTTGTCATTGTCCGGCTGATTGGTGTCATGAGCTTCTTACCATCATCAATAACTCACTTTTTGTGCCTTGTCCGAATGTAGAAGATTTTCGAGTTTTGCGAGGCCTATCAAGTCACCTTCGATTGTCTCCATCTAAAATTTCTCGATCTAGTCCTCGGTAAATCTGCCGCCGAATCAATCACCCAAGCGTCGTTGTTGCTATCGATCAAACTGATGGCAGCTTTGACGTCGACCCAAATGATTCCAGGTTTGTGCAACTCGCGACCGTAGTTGATGTTTGTAGTTATAATCTCTCCAGTAAGTGCGAAGGTCGTTCTGAGAATTTGAGTTCGAACTGCACTCCAAACTCTTGTATCTTGGATTCGCAGAATCCGAGGCCAGCCAAATCGGGTTCTATCCGAGACAGAAAGGTAAATCCTCAAATAACATTAAAAGTCAAATGAGCACCACTTTTCAATCATTTCAAGTGGGACCTGGCCTGAAAATATCTTTACTCTACCTGGTATGAGTCATGACTATGGCGATTATGTGAATTTTAAGGGCTTTAGACCGCCACCATATCTTCGAGGACACCTGCTTTATCACCGCCCTTTAACACAACTACATCACGCGAAACCAATATTATCGGCGCCTTGCCTGCGAAACTTGATGAACCCAAATGGGATCCGAAGATGAGGAGCGATGAGGAGCCAAGGCAAAAAAAATTAGCTCGTTGGTCGTGAACTTCTCTGCCCAATAAGATCATCATCTTTTCAATTTCCGCCGAGGTGGCTTCAACTTGAACCCGATATAGTGGTAACCCCCTGGAATGCTCTCCGCTGTACGAGAGCTCTCTCCATATGATACGACCGACGAAGAAGAAATTTAGAGTAATCAAAACTTCTATTCCGAAATGGCGCTTGGGATAGTTTCGGCTTTCCCGAGACGCTTCATTCATTTGACGGGCCGTGCTAGGTGCCGAAGCGGGGCCCCAGTCTTTCCCAACATCTTCGTTGGGGCCTTCCAGTTAAATAGCCCGAGGGGGTTCCTTTGCTGCTCACGGAAGGTAAATTGAGTTCTGTCTGCAAACTTGGTCCCGCTGTGGGAACGCGGTATGCGGTGTTTGGTTTGAACATGGTCGGAGATCCTGCGAGTTGGCGTCAGTTTGCAGAATAAGTGGGCCTTGCTACGTCTCCAAACAGCTTTTCTGTGGGCTAAGGAGAGGAGAAATATTATGATTTTAACCCCTCATATCTTGCATTGGAAGAGCTTTATATAGAGTAGACGTCTTAGGCGACAGATAAATAGCGCACGGATTTGGTACAACAATTGCTGGATGGATGGCTTTTTTTGTGGAATGAAATACTTGCGGTTCCAAAGAAAGAGTCTCGGGATCCTCCGACTTCTCTCTTTTGCCCTCTCGGGTTCTCAGGGGTAATGGTAGCCATAATCAAACTTCCCGAGCCCTGGACCTGTAACTGCAATGTAATCCGTCAGACCCGATCACGCGGGGGTAACCCGCCCGCATCAGCTCCAACTGTCGGCTGCGGGGTGCGGGGCCCCGCGCCGAGCGCCCTGTATAGTTTGACCCCATAAATTCTCACAGTGACAGCCGGCTTTTGTAATTGAATGGGGATCCGTATGATTGGATAGAGTTTTCTTTGCCGGATATAAGTAGTTCGGCATGTAGCCCTGTTTTGACGGGGGAAAAAAAGAGAAGTGGAACATTTTCTCCCCACTTCAACTCGTAGCCATGCCCGACTCAATCGATAACAAAGAACTTGGCCCTGTGCCATCTCAGAATGGCAATGGCCCGGCCTACGATGTCGTTTTTGGAGAGATCACAGAAGATGGTCCCAACTACCGCAATGTGCATATTTACAGAGAGGTATGGGTACAGGAAATCCTAGTTCTGACTCTTCGCTAGGTGGGATTTCTAGGAACGGTCATTCTCATGATGAAGACTCAGATTGGCTTGGGCGTACTCGCGATACCAGCAGCCTTTGATACTCTGGGCATGGTACCAGGCGTCATCTGTCTGGTGGCTATTGCCTGTATTACGACCTGGTCAGACTACATGATTGGTGTCTTCAAGCTTAACCATCGTGAAGTCTACGGTATCGATGATGCAGGCGCCTTGCTGCTTGGGAAGCCCGGTCGAGTAATTCTGTCACTAGCATTCTGCCTCTGTTTGCCTCTCTAATCCAATGCAAGGAAATACCAACACTAACCTTATCAATTACATAGATTGGGTATTTGTCAGTGGCTCCGGTATTCTAGGAATTTCTATAGGGTTGAACGCAGTTTCATCCCATGGCGCATGTACGGCTGCCTTCTCTGCTGTGGCTGCTATCCTTGGATTAATTTGCTGTAGTGTGCGAACACTTGGCCGTATTACTTGGCTTGCGTGGGTGGGACTTCCTTGTATTCTGACATCTGGTTTGTTCAATCGCGACATCCTCAACACCATACATACTAACTCGAATGTTCAGTTATAATCGTTACCGTCGCGGTCGGAATTCAAGATCGCCCTGCTTCTGCTCCCGCGCCCGAAGTCGGATCAGACTGGGTATCGGACTGGAAGGTTGTGGGAAACCCTAGTTTCACGCAGGGTATGACGGCTGTTTGCAATCTTATCTTTGCCTTTTCAGGGACCCCTGGGTTTTTCGCCATTGTATCCGAGATGCGCAATCCTCGTCAATACACATCTGCCCTACTATTTTGCCAGGCTGGTGTGACTATCGTCTACGCCATTATCGGCGGAGTGGTTTACTATTATTGTGGCTCTTACGTTTCATCGCCTGCTCTCGGGTCCGCAGGCGGAACTGTTAAGAAAATTGCTTATGGCTTTGCCCTTCCAGGCTTGATTGTCACCACAACAATTGTCTCTCATGTGCGTATTTTTTCTCTCTCGTTCGGAATTGCTCATTTGAGATTTGCTAATCTGTACTTCCCTTTGATTTAAGATCCCAGCAAAGTACATTTTCGTTCACCTTCTTCGAGGCTCACGACATTTGAACAGCAACACAGTAAAGCACTGGGCTTGCTGGTTGAGTTGTACCCTGAGCATCATTGTTATCGCCTACATAATTGCCAGTACCATCCCTGTCTTTGACTCCTTGGTTTCTCTTATTGGAGCCTTGCTTGGAACGCTTATGTGCTTCCAGCCAATGGGCGGAATGTGGCTATATGACAACTGGAGCAAAGGTAGAAAAAGCTCAAAGTTTTGGCTCCCTATGGTCTGTTGGAGTATTTTTGTTATCATTCTTGGATCTTTCTTCACCATCGCAGGTACCTATGCTTGCGTGGTTGGGATAAAGCAATCATACGATGAGTCTGGTGGATCCTCTGCTTTCTCTTGTGCTGACAACTCGAATTCTTCTTGAGGAACACAATAGGCGGAATCTTTTCTGGATTGATTTGAAGGAGACTTAGACCAAGAAATAGAATACAGGCTTATTAGATGTCAAAAATTGAAACATATATAACCCAGATGGGTAGTATGTTTAGATTCCAAGCTTCACAAAATAAGAAAATATATTCAAAGATATTCAACCTTGGAAGTTCTCGCTGCGGCAAATTTTCTTTACTCTTGTACCTTGCACCTGCTGAGTAGGTCCACGTTCTTTTTGGCAGAAAACTACCACTAAAATGTAAATTTTTTTTTTCAATCTATCTCAATTATTTTTTCAAAATTTATCGCATAGGACTCGGTACAGAGTCCCGAGATCGGGATACCCGAGGGCCGCCCCCACATCCATATTGCCTCGATTACGTTTCAAGTCGCGCAGATATAATATTCCTTGTCTTCGCTTTGCTATTTTTGTCATAGCTATTGATAGGAGCTCACAACTGAAATATTTAGGAATAGCCCTCATGAGACTTGAAAAGCTTCTCTCAATAAAGCTGCCTCCTGTGCTCGATGCTCCTTCGCAAATCCCGTTGCAACGCTTGGGGTAGCATTTCGACCTGCATATCGCACTCCGAGACCCTTGTGTGCGTCCATATTATCAAAAACGGTTTCCAGTCGCTGTCTTACAAACTCCCACGGCCCACCGTTCAACGGCTCTTCCTGACACCAGACTACATCTGTCACATTGGGGTATTGGGCAAGATCGTCATTCACTTCCTGCCAAGGGAAAGGATATAACTCTTCAAGACGGGTGATGGCGGTATCTGTAACTCCATATGTATCACGATATTTGGAGAGCGTGAAATATACCTGTCCGCTGCAGTAGATTATTCTCTTGATCTCGGATGGCTTGTTAATTGAATTGCCGATTGCCGAATCTGCAATGAGCGGCTGGAATCGAGTGTCTCCGATGAAGTCGGCAGCAGAAGACTTGACCAATGAATTTCGGAGAAGTGATTTTGAAAAAAGTAAAATCAAGGCTGCAAGTGAGAGGAGTGTTAGTTTCCTACTACCCAGAAGGGAAGAGCCCACTCACGTTTTCGGAATTCGCGATGCACTTGTCGTCTCAAAACATGGAAGAGATTGGATGGTGTGGTCATGTAGACTACTTGCATATTGGCGTCTTGATACTTTCGTTCAACTTGCTGGGCTGTCGGAAAGTTGCGACCGTCCTCACTACATAGTTGCAAAAAGCGTTCCATGCGAGCCGAGGAGTGCTCTGATCCTTGTCCATCAAACCCATGCGGCAAAGATAAAACTAAGCCACTTCTGAGAAGCCATTTGCTCTCAGCAGAAGAGATAAACTGATCAATGATGCACTGAGCATTATTGGCAAAGTCTCCAAACTGGGCCTCCCACATTACTAATGCGTCGGGATACATGCAAGAATAGCCGTAATCAAATCCCATTACGCCGTACTCACTCAGCGAAGAGTTACCGATGGTAAATTCGGCTTGTGAATCGTCAAGATTGTTGAGGGGTATGTATTTTGAGCCGGTCTTCTGGTCATGCAGCACGGCATGTCGTTGAGAGAAAGTACCACGCTCAACGTCTTGACCGGAGATGCGGACATGATTCCCTTCCAGACATAGACTACCCATAGCTAGAGCCTCGGCAGTAGCCCAGTCTATATCCTGACCTTCAACCAGGCTCTGCTGTCGCTTCTTAAGAATGCGCTTCAAACTGCTGTGGACTTCAAATGGATTTGCCGGAACTCCCAGTTCCCGTGCAACAGAATCTATCGCGCCTTGCGTGATCGCTGTTGACTTTTCGGGAAGAATTTGTTGGGAAACCTCTGAGGGACTCTTCATATCCCCCCACGGTTCCATAAGATATTCGCGATCAATAGCTTGTGGAGAATTGCTATTTTCCAGACTCTCCGTCAGTTCTCTCCAGACCCTTTCTTTCATTTTCTTCACCTCTTCAAAAGTCACAAGTCCGTCTTGACTCAGCCTTTGAACATAAAGCTCCAAATGAGGTGTTTTGTTCTTGATTTGTTCGTACATCAAAGGCTGGGTGAAGAAAGGTTGATCCATCTCATTATGGCCATGCTTTCGATAGCAGATCATGTCAACCCAGCAGTCCTTTCCAAACTGGGCACGATAATCAGCTGCCAATTTACAAACAAAGACTGAAGCTTCCACATCGTCAGCATTGACATGGAAAACAGGGGCATCTATGGTTTTCGCAATGTCCGAGGCATAAGGCGATGACCGCGCAGACTCGGCGTCCGTGGTGAAACCGACTTGGTTGTTTATGATCAAATGAACCGTTCCACCAGTCTCATAAAATTTCAACCCTGACAGACCCATAGTTTCATAAATTACACCCTGACCTGAGAAGGAAGCGTCGGTATGGCTGTTCAAGACCATTGTGGATGATCTATCTCCGCCTTTTTGATGCTGAACAGCTCGAGCCATTCCCTGGCCAAGCGTGTTCTGAGACTCGAGGTGAGATGGATTTGGAAGAATCGAGAGATTGACCTTTTTCCAGTCGGTGTTTTGCGCTCGTAGTTAATGCCAAGGTGATACTTGACGTCTCCGGGAATGTTGTGTCGCGATTCAGACTCAAGAGAGAACTCGCTGAAGATCAACTCATTCGGCTTTCGCCCAATGTTGCTAAGAACGTTCAACTTGCCTCGATGACAGCATGGAAACACAATATCCTGAACGCCATTTTCAGCGCTAGCGTCAATTATTGCTTCCAAGGCCGGCACTTGGTTTTCAATACCCTCAATACTGAACCTTTTCGCATTAGGGAATTTGGCTGACAAGAACTCTTCAAAGACAGTCGTCGATACAAGCGTATCGAGGATCCGCTTCTTCTCTTCAAGAGAGATTTGATACGAACCTTTTGTCTCCAGACGCTGGCGGATCCACTCACGTTCTTTGCGTGTAGAAACATGATCGTACTCGGCTCCAATTGAGTTGCAGTATATGCTTTCGCAGCTTCCAATAATTTCACGAATAGTCATTGGCTCACTGCTCTCAGGAGAAAGATGGGGTAAAATTGTTGGTCCAAGAGCGACGCTGCATTCTAGGTCGACATCACTGAAACCGTAAAACTCGGGTTGGAGTTCTTCTGGAGGCTCGAATCTTTTGTTTGGAAGATCCAGAGGGTTTGTTTTCGCTTTTTTGTGACCATGCTTGCGATATGCTTCAATCAGGCGCTCAACTTTGTGTCCATTGTCGGAAGCCACAGATGAAAAAGATGCTTGAGTACATTTCTGGGGTTCCGGATGTGGTTCCAATCCCAGTATAAAATGCCTGGATGCATTTGAAAATTTGGGTGTTGGTAGATCTTGTTCAATGGCATGGAAATATTTTTGCCAAGATTCATCAACAGATGCCGGATCCTGACACCAACTATGATACAAGCCATCTATATAGTCTGACGAGTTTCTCAGGGAAGCAGCAGAATATAACTGATAGGCATAATTACTATCGCAATCCAATCATGAGGTTATTCTGTACTCACTCTCCGTTGAGTAATTTGCGAAGATGCGCTTTGATTTCCTAGCCTAGGCCACAAAGTCCCCCCTGTAACATTCTTATGCACATTTCGTGCGATGCGCAAAGCTCTGATCCTCCGGGCGATCATGGTCAATGGATTAATGTTGGTATTATTGATCAAACGGCCAACGAAAATCAACATACTACCACTCACACGATCAGAAAATTCCAACAGTGAATGCGCGCATGGGTATATATGAAACTGCACGAGTCCAAAATGCACAGAAATTCGATTTAAACTTTATATCCAAGCCTAGGAAACACTGCTTATCTTGTATCATCATCTCGGTAGACCTGAAAGTTGCCGACTAACCGGGAAGTAGCCGATGCGGGGAGTGCCAAAGCAAATCCGATAATATAGTAGAGCTCATTGGTTGATTCTCTATAAAAATAAATAAACTATTTTGAATGTAAACTACGATGCCTAATATTTCACAGTATTTAAGCAATCGATTTCTAGAAGGGCTCCCAATTTTGAATCATCGAATGGGTTGTTGTCGTGGTTCCAGTCTTCGGCGTCCTGCTGGGATGCCGATGCCCCGGGATACCGATATTAAGGTGAGGCGGGGTTGTATGATTTATGCGTTCTAATAATCGGCTATATGCAGTACGAAAGATCAAATAATGGTAAATAATCTTAGAAAGCCTTCTATGAGTCATAAATGCGCGCAGAAGCTGATCGAGGTAGTCGAAAACTCTTCCACAAAAAATAGACAAGTGAAAAGCAGTAAACAAAGAGAAGGTGAGAAATTGTTATGCTAAACTCAACCATTCAAGTAGCATACTCTCCGGTCTCTCTAGATAGCCTTTGACCAATTTCAAGAATGTGACTGCCTCTCGTCCGTCAATAAGTCGATGGTCGTATGTCAGTGCGATATACATCATCTGTGCGAAACCAATATTAGCCTAGTAGTATGTCAAGCAATATTTTCATTGACTGATACTCTACCTACCGGTTTGATTTCAACTCGCCCCTCAATAGCGACTGGTCTGTCCTGAATACCATATGTTTCTATTCCAGCAGTCTGGGGCATGTTGATAATAGGTGTACCAAATAAAGACCCCCAAATACCACTATTGCTAATTGTAAAAGTTCCACCCGTCAAATCATCCATCGTGAGTTTTCCATCTCGGGCCTAGGGAACCATGTCAGATATGAATCAATTTTCAACATTGGAAACGCACAGATAAATTACCTTAAAAACCAAGTCGGCAATGCCCTTTTCAATCTCAATGATGCTCACAGATTCAATGTTTCGTAAGACCGGGGTAACCAGGCCTTTTGGAATAGTCGCAGCAACGCTCAAATCCGCATAATCGCGATAAACAATTGTATCACCATTTCCAATAGAAGCGTCCACAGCCAGAATTTGCTTAAGACTAAGAGCTGACGCGAGAGCCATCGCTCCCATGAAACCGAGCTTCACGCCGTGTTTCTCAAAGACTGATCTTTTATTGTTCTTTCGGAAGTGGATAATATGGGACATATCAACTTCATTGAATGTTGTCAAGAATGCAGCGTTCTGTTATGACTGTTTCAATTGTTGTGCGGTCTTTTGCCCGATGCGGGTCATTTTTACCTAAGGGATAGTCTGTCAGTATCATGATACGACGGCGTTGCAAAACATCCACAAATTCTCAAGGGCTCATTGCGAGGGGCCTATGCTCGAGATTACAGTTTTGATCTTCTTCACTCAAAGATACTGAGGTCTCATTCTGTAATTTAGATGAGGTTTCTCTTGCCCTGTAGCTGGTTGATTTTCCGCAACTTCGATTTCTGCAATCTCCTGGCTTACCGACACGATATCTCCTTCCCCACGAGTAGTTGGCAAATAATCCCAGAGTGAGGTGAATTCACAGATACATCGATCTTATCGGTCTCAATTGTGGCTAGCTCCTCGTCTTCTTCAACAAAGTCTCCAGCCTTCCGGCTAAACTGTGCAAGGGTCCCTTCCGTGATCGATTCGGCCATTGTTGGGACGCGTACAATTGTCTTTGGGCCATGCTTGTGACTTGAGCTTGTGAAAAGACGCACAGCATGACTTTTGTGAGAAATCCTGCAAATATAATAATTACAGCTCAAAAGACTTTGCGTCCGGTCGGGAGTTCGTGCGTTGAAGGTAAATCGCCTGTTCGGGTTGCCGTTGCTGCGCACGCACTAGTGATTCGGCCCAAGCCCTTGGGAGACCAATGAAGGCCCATAGTGATGCCAGGAGATCTATAACAGAAGAAGAATCTATTCTAACAGGCCATCGAAAAGCGCCATGATAAAAAAATTTAATTTTAGTTTTTTTGTTCTTGTAGCAACGAACGGGTTGAAGGCAATCCTTTTGGGCTCGGCCCAGTGTGGCCTTGCCGACATTCGAGTTACCGACAAAGGCTATATGATGATAGCTGCGACATGCTTTCAACTTTATCTAACTAGAATGGTGGGTAGGCAATGCCTACCTTGCAATAAAGTTTCAGGTAGAATGTTCGGAAATGCTGTGGGGATTATTGGCAAAAATAGGTGATATAGAATGATTATGCCTCATATTAGGAGTAAATCATAGCAATCATGATCATACGATACCTCAATGGGATTTCACCACCGGAGTAACATAAGTCTATATGCAAAATGGAAAATTCGAAAAGAAGTAAAATCTGCCAAAGTGATTTGTTCTGCAGTGAAATGGCGCCTCAACTGAGCTGGAATGTAACAACAGAGGTTCCACTCTTTAAAGGTACACCGTTCTTGTAAGACGAGGTAATTCCGTTGACGGCCACACTCTTGCTCTTGCATCCCACCGGAAGCTGTATTTTGCCTGATGTTCCTTGTGGAGCGGTGACATTCAAATGGATTTTTGTCTCCATAACCTCCCACTTGACAGATAACGGTCCATAGCGAGTCATTACCGTGGCAGAGGCCCAGTCAAGATCGAAACCTTTGATAGCAGGTTGAATGAGCCATGATTTATATCCGGGGGTAGCTGGACGAATTCCCGCGATGTGCTCTGTCAGAACATATGTTGCTGCACCACCCCATGGGTGGCTAAGAGATGTAAAAAGACTTAAGCCGGGAGATAAATTCTGACCAACATATTCCCAAGACGCTCCGCTGGCGTATCTATTGTCAAGCATTGCTGCCCACAGGTTATCCAACAGATATTTAGCAGTAGATGTGTCGTTCGCTACCATGGCAGCTTCTAACAAGAAGCCATTCGTATTTGGAGAGATGTCGGCAGATGAGTCGTTGGTTGTTGATATATCCTTATATCCAGGAGCGAGCTTAAGAGCGGAGAGCTTGTCTAGTGATGCAGTGGCCCTTTTCCCATCCGCCACACCTGAAGTTATTGCGAATGCGATATCTAAAACCCCATAGCTGGTATTTGATGACACGCTGTGTGAATAGACCGACACTTCATCATTCCAGAGGCGTGCATTAATTGCTTCAGACACTTCTCTCGCAATATATCTGTACTTATTCGCACTACTCGAGTCTTGCAATTCGTCCGCCACAATGCTAGCCTCTTTCAAACACTGAACGACAGCCGCACTAATAGCAGTCCCATTGGCGTCGCCGAGGAACCCACCAAAGCCCAGTAGACGTGTTTCCCTGTCGATTTGGTTGATAATCCACGATATTTGCTTTTTGAATGAGGGCCAGACCTCTCGTGCCCAAGAAACGTCCCGGCTGCGTTGGAAATATCCAGTAAATGCCAAGACTCCTAAGACCTGATAGTCTTCAAGACCGTCGTAGAATTCGGAGGTCGCTTTTAGAGAAGAGGGTTTATAACCAATTTGCGGGGCCATATTTAATTGGCCTGTCGATATTTGTGTTTCCAGTAGATAATCCAAGGTCCCACGGATATGATCCCAGCGAGATGTGGAGGCAGGAATGATTCTACTTGTATGGAAAAAGTCTCCCATCCAAACCAAACGGTCTCGCTTGGCTCCATCCAAGCATAATGCCTTCGTATTAGGTTGAACACCATATTCGGAAAGACTACCGGAAGATTTCATGTCGTTCTGATAAAGAAGGGTTCCATTATTTGCGTGGACGTTCACATTCCTGACAAGTGCAATCTGGTCTTGGTAGGGACCGAATCCCCAGCCACCCGCACTTTGCTCGGAAACACCATAATCGGCAAGTGAGATGTTGAGTACTTGGCTTCCTTGAATACAGACAGACAGCTGTGACCCATTCAAGAGAGTAGTCGAAATATCATACCACTTTCCTTCCTGAATTTCAAACGGAACAAGGAAGCTTCCGACAGCTTGGCTATCCAGAGTAGTCTGGTTAACAAAGCCCCATCCAGATGCCACGACGATCGAGCTTGGTGGGGTCAGAGTTCGATTTGTGTTGACATAAGATGTTTCGTTTGGCAAGTTAGAGACTAAAAGAAGCAAGATACCCTCTCCTCCAAAAGCCTGGGAAATCGACCAGCCGGTGCCTCCACGAACTATCTTGCTTGAAAAGCTCAGAGTATAATCACTGAATGAATTTCCAGCAGCACTAACAGCTGGCTTTTGGCCGCGGATATATGCTCCATCTGCGGTGATATCCCAAGTAGAAGTCTGAGAGTTTGCATCAAAACACGCAGCTGTAACTGCATTGGCACCGAGCTTCCAAATAGCATTATATGTTGGATTGGAGCTGCTGAAAGTTGATGGAAGATCTTCAAGATCAACATGGTCGATTGTCGGTATAAATCCAAATTCTTCGAACGTGACATGCCCTTTGGTTAACAGTTTGATAGACTGCCATCGCTGTCCTCCTTGAATGAAGTAGGATTTGACTGTTCCTGGCTCTGTTATGTTGAACGTCTCAACGCGGAATGTGTTAGAAAGACCGCTCGCCATGTAGTAAGGGCCATCAGCCCAAACATGGTTCAACCCGTCAAACTGTTCGGTATACTTGACTTCAATCTGGACAGGCCCATCCAATTGCGAAACTTGGAAGTAGGGAAATCCAGCAACCTCCGATCCATAGTCCAAAGTCAGCAATGAACCTTTCTCGGGGCCTAAGGTAATGGATTTCTCTCGACTCAGAGCCTCGGTGCTCATGCTGGGATCCATGCCGACATGATACCTCTGGGGCAAAAAGTTACTACCAAAATTAGTCCTCGATCAGAAAGTGCTAGATTTCGCGACATGCCTTTTCGATGCATTGCAGACCGTAAGGAGACTGTTGACAAGAAGCAAGCCCCAAAAATTGTGGAGCCCCATCTTCATCAATTTTGGCTTCTTCAGTGACAGGAAGCTCAAAATAGGACCATGAGCATTGAATTCTGCAGGTCATTTATATCTGCAATCTTTTGTTTCTCCAAGACGGGTCTCGGGATGATGGTTGCCGAGCTATTCATCTCACTGTGCGGAATCTGTGAGGAGATCTCTCGGCTTCCCCGCATATTTGAGAAGAGGTAATGATCATCATTTCCCTTCAGGCTATGCCCACTCGGATGATCCGATAAACCTTGTGTATGAGGAAAATGAAGAAAGAAAAGCCGACATAACTGCCGGTTAAGATTATCGCCTTCTAGTCAAGACCCTTAAGATCTTCATCGGCTGGGGATTATGAAGGATGATGCAGTGTGCCCACTCGGGTCATGAAGACCCACGGCTGATATACACCAAGTTGACCAACACGTTAATTTACAGACGAAATTAGTCGATAATCCTGACTTCTTACTGCCAGAGGTATTTTATCAGGCTTTGAAGTCCGTGTTTTAATATTCGAATAACGTAGCCTTTTATGGATATATGAGCAGGAACTTGAAAATGTATAGATAAACCTAAATCACAGCTGAGACTGAGGAACAACATGAAATTTCACGGTACAAGGTTTGGCTTGTGGTCTTTTCAATGGAGTGAGAAGGCCACATTTCTAATTTGCGGTCGTAGCTTTGACAACAGCGCTAATGCTACTTGTAACATAATCGATATTGTCATTGTTCAGTCCCCTGTCAGAAAAAGACAAATCAGTTAGCTTCCTGGGCATTTATTGAAAAGGGGAGGTTTTGACGTACGCAATAGAAATTCTTCCAGAGTCTTGAAGATAGACATGGTACTTCTCACGGAGAATAGTGACCTGTTCCACGGAAAGACCCACATATCTGAGTTTCATCTGGTTAACTTATGGGCCGAGTTGCTAAAATATGGCTCACTTACGAAAACATTCCATTCTGGTCAGTTATATGATGCCAAGTTCCTGGGGTCTCCAGCTTTTCCAGCCCTTCTCTCAGTCTAAGCCGGCGACGCTTCAGAGCATTAGCCATGTCGCGCACTTCCTGTCGCCATTGCCGTTCTAAACTCTCATCCTCCAGAACAGTTTCAACGATCTTGGAGCCAAAATCGGGGGGCGCGCCAGACTCGGCGCGGGCGAGGAGTATGAGCTGTGTCTGAACTCTCTGCCCCACCTCCTCATTAGGCACCAGAACTGAGAGAAGTCCAACGCGCTCGCTATACAATCCGAAACTTTTGCCATATGTCGAAACAAAGACAAGTGGGATTTCAAGCTCGGCAAACAGACGAACACCTTCTAAATCCTTATCAGTGTCCCCCGAGGCAAAACCAGGATACGCGGCATCGAAGAATGCCAGGTGACCGCGTTCCAAGAACACCGTAGCTAATTCTTTCCACTGATCAAGTGAAGGATCACTTCCAGTTGGATTCTGAGCATTAGACTGGAGAAGAATGACAGATTGAGCTGGCAATGATTTTATCGCTGCCGTAAAACCAGAGAAGTCGAATGCGTTTGTCTTGCTGTTGAGGTAAGGGATGAATGTAGGCTTAATCCCTGCGGATTGAAAGACAAAAGGGTGGTTCACTGAGTTCAGGTTAGACAATATGAAAATATCTATCAAAATATCCAGAGGGAGACGAACACCAAGTTTCACTTGGAAGGAAAATTTCGGGATTTCTGGAGTGTTTCCAAGGCGCATAGTGTTCCTTTAGAAACCTGGCGCCAACATGGCACCCTCCACTTGCACCCAGCGTCTGAGCTGAAATGAGTCTGAAATCATTGAATTAGACCTTTTTAGATTATGAATCCATGGCGCATCGATTACCTTTTCTCTTGCAGGAGACGATGATCCCCAAATAGTAGCTTATTGCTCAAATCCCTATATTTCTGCGAACCTAGAGCAGAAGGGCGATATTCGTGATGCCAGTCGGGGTCATTGAATATTCTTCGTTTTGCCTAAAGTCATGAATGTTACCGATTGAGTTCCAGGGTAACTTTATCTCATTGTATAGAAGAACACACCTCTTTAACACTCGGCAGTACGTATGATTTACCTTCGTCCGTCCTGTATGTACCCACGAGAAGGTCGGCTCTATTGGGGTCGTTATCGGCCCGGAATTGAGTAAGTAATGTGGCTAGGCCATCTATGTTTGTTGTTTAGTGCCAAATATACGTGATTGGAGCAATTATAAAGAATACCTATCTGGCCAGCTGGCACATCTTGGAAAGGGTTTGCAGGTGCTATACTACCCATTTTCGGAAACAAAGAAAAATCGCAATTTAGTTTTCAATTTCAACAAATATCATTCAAATGCTTCTGTCCAATCTATTTATTTAACTTGATGCGGGGAAGTACGCGGCTTGGGGCAATTGGTAACTAGTATCACGCAATCATCAATGCGCCATCCCGAAGTCGCTTGTTGCAATAACGCATTAGTCAAAATACGACGCCAATGTGGTAGATTATCAATCTCCTTTTAAATTATCTGTTCTTTACGGCCCTATCGGGGGTTTATGCCTGCTAGTCGTGATATGGGCGAATAAACTTTGTTTTCAAATGTTGTATGCGAAGTTGCCGTGGTCTGCGGTTTGGAAGCTAACCTAAACGCGTGGTCCAGATTTCTTATCTTTCAATTATGGAACAAATCATTAAAATATCAGGATTTATTGAATCCGGAAAAATTAGCTTGAGAATATCTCGGCGGAGAAAATTTATGCTGTCTTCACGGCATCTCATAATTGCAAACGGCCTTAATCAACCTTCGACTGGATGGCTCATTCTTTACCCGTCCAATTTGATTTGGGAAAGAAGGAAGGTCTTATACAACCACTTGCCTACCAGTGATATACATTGGGGTCTCTTCCCATGCATCGGCCTAAACTATGCCCCCAAAAGTATTTCAACATCAAAGAAAGCGAAAAGCCACTTGTGAATGGGTAGACGATAGTTCTCCAGACCGCTGCTTGCCATCTTTGAAACAGTCAAGAAGGCGATTGCAAGCGACCCAAAAATTATGACCAAAGAGATGGATACTCATGAAAGAAACACCGGTTATCAAAGATATCTCTTCAAGTAATTACTAGATTCATGTTTAAACTCACATCCAATCCGCCAAAGCTCCCAACTAGAAGGATTGCTAGAGTCCCTGGTGATCTTGGAGACATTCTGTCCAAAATAAGAAGTGAAAAATGAGAGAGGAAGCTGTTTGATTGGTAAGGATGTCAGAAAATGCTCAACTTGGCAGCTTGGGATTCTGGAAGGCCCCACAAAGATGATGGTAATAACGGTAAAGAGTATAATGACCTTTCCCTGCCGAGTATAGCCTCGTCAGGTGAAGCTTTTACGCATGGATTGTCTAGTATGCAGGAAATACTATAGTCGAGATGATGGACAATCATCTGTACGCTTTTACTGGACACAAAGGCTGGGACTACAGTGAATTCTACCTATGATATCATGAAGCTCATAATACGACCAATTGATCGAGACCCAATTAGGAAAATGATTGATATTTATGTCAGTCAGATTTTTATTCACCCAAGAGTTAGTCTTGATGGCGGCTTCCACTGACAACTTGAAGGTTCAAGCTCTTGACTTCGCTCGGGAGAGAAGTCTCGTCTAGCAAAATGTCCTGATCGTCTGAGTACACCTCGCTTTCCATAACCACATTTTGATCAAGTCGATCCCCACATCGAAGACTCCTAATATATAGCCATGACAAACTGAGAAAAACGCTGAGTACTATGAAAAACAAGTGCAAGGAATCACATAGCTTCGACCAGCACGAGCGCGTGCGGTAAATGTTGGGCATTGAAGAGCAATGCCGGTCGATTGCCTCGCTGATCTCCACGATATCATCATATGTGTGATCAAAACATTCCAAAACTGTGCCTTTGAAATCGATTTCTTCCCCACCTGTAGAGCATATCTGGGAAATGGCATTCGGTGAAAGGTAAGGCGGATCATACGACTGTATCCAAATATCGCAGCTTTGGCTTTTCGGCGGCTGAGACGAATATTCATTGTCTGAAGAATCCGCTTCGACTTCGGCTTCAGGGTGTGATGGTGGTAGGGGTGGAAGCATATCCTTGTCTTGGTTCTTTTTGCTTGCTTGCTCGATTGCTTCTTCACAGCTGGAGACAAAGCCGGTCTCGCACATAGCAACTAGATCGTCCTGAATATCTCGCCCGCTAAGAACTTGATTTGCACTGTGTTGGTTCTTCGACGCATCATGGAGAGGTATATTTTGTGAATTGAGGAATCCATGTGGGGAAGATCGCTGTGTGATCTTATCGGATAATTGATTTTGAGAGTCTGGTTGCCCAATTGTACCAGAAACAGAAGCAGCAGGTGAGATCACAAGCGCTACGACCGAAGGCAAAAATAAAGATGAAAAGAATGGTCGCATGTTTCGAAGTTCGTCACCGATCGCGTCTAGACTATGTTGAGGTACGCAGATTTTTTGGATGCTGCAAAATCCTGGATCTTTCTTTAATTTAAGTGCTATCTACAAGTTATAAAAGAACCCATCTGTGGCAATGCAAACCGTGGGAAACTCTTGGTCCAGGCAACTCTGAAAAGGACTTGTCTCGCGTCTTGGCGCAGCTTTCCATGACGACGCAAATACTAAGCTGCACCCGTATCTCCGCCCGTCAAGTGTCTAAATGTTCGTAAGGATGTTTGCCTGTCAGTCTAACCATTTAGGGACCAAAGGAATAACTTCTAATCATATTGATTGGTAGTTGAGGCAGATGACCCTGATATCTGCTCCACCAACCTTGAAGTAAGAACCGGTCGCGCTTGATCTATTCCTATGCCAATTTTCAAGTTGATGACATGACAGAATTGTGGCAGGTGGCTGGCTCGGGCATAAGAGACATAATTCCGCTCGATTTTCACCCGCTGACAGTTCCACTTTCTTTACCTTGGCGGAAGACACATATCACAGCCTTGAAAAGTACGTTAGGGTCCTGAATATTCATGGAAATTTGTTTCATCAATTCCATAATGTGCCCAAGAGTACGTACTCCATCTCGGCAATTGGGCTCCCCACAGAACCTTGTTCAGATCAGCGGCTCCGCCTACGCAGACTACGTATAGCACCCAGCGGGAAACCCCCCGTCGGCCATATTTCGAGTTGGCCAGATAGCTTATGCTTGTTTGATTGAGTTAACCAAATTTAGTGGTTCGCTCGTAATTCAGAACTGCATGACTCGTTAAATTCATGTATGGCCTACCACACTACTGAGCGCCTGACACCAAGGGCCGAAGAATGCAGCATACACACTCGTATCACCCCCGTGCCGGAAAATGCACGGAATTCCCCGTGCGAGCTCGAAACACTTGCCAACGAATCTTAATAAAATATTCTCAACTTGAAAGCCAGTGTTTTTCGCACGGGAATCGCAGTTAATCCCATGTATCGTGTTCTTTCGGAAAACTCGCCGGATCGATTGTCTTTTTGATCTGCTGCGCCACAATGCGCGTTCTTCTAATTTCGTCTCGTTATTTTACTAACAATTTGCTTTTTTTGACAAAATCCGCTCGTGGGATACCTGGAAGCCAGGATCTGTGTTCATTGCATGCAGGAAAGCCCGGAATCTGCGCGAATATCGGAACTGTCGAAAGGCTTAATCGATAATTAAGCCGACATAGCCTGAGATTCCTCGATAGGGTAATATTATAATTTTACCGGGCAAGGGGTACGGTTTTGAACTTGGAATTGCATACAACTCGCAGTCAAATTTGACTATTTGGCCGGATGAATTACCCCAATGCGCCGCAATCTTTTTGAGAGAATTCATTTACAAGATCAAGTCCATTCCATTCCATCTTGAAGCTATCTCTATACAGTCTGAGCTTCTGTATCATTTGAGCTGTTTTTGTGACGGGAAATCCACTTCTTAACCGCCCCAGAAACATTTCTATATGTTTTTGGAGCCCCTCGACTGATACTAAGATCACTGTCTGTGTGTTGGCTAATCAGTATAAGGACAACTGCAACAACACCAATCAGAACACCCAAAGCTCCAAGAAAGCAAAAGACCATCTGCCGTATCAAGTAAGACGAAGGTGGTGCTTGCATACTGAGAAAGCTTGTCGCAAATCCCAACGGAAGAAAGAAAACGGTAGCGTAGGTAAACAATGCGACGTTTGCGTTCTGTCGCCAAGAGAGATCAGTCATTGTCTGATCGTATTTTGCTTTCTGAGTCTCTTGTCGCAATTTCAATATTTGAGCAACCTTTCTAACGTCGGCCTCTGTCGCTTTGAAATTCCGTTCGACGATGTCGTGAAGAAGCTGAACTCTGTTGATCGCGTCGCGATAGCGATACTCATCATTCCTTGTCCATCTCGGTCTCTCATTGGCAAGTCGGTCTTCTCGCGTTCTCCAATCCTGGATATGCTTCTCAATCTGGCCTAGATCTTCTTTCAGTGTTTCCATCGCTTCATTCATCGATGACCAAGTCTCATGAGAGTCAAAGTAGCTCTTAGGAGAGATATTCTTTAAATCGCTTTGTTCTAATGTATCCATAATCTCCGTGTGTATAAGCGAGGTACTTTGGTTGATCACAGAGACTATCTTGAAAAACATCAAGCCCTCGAGAACCCTTCTCTGCTGCCATATCTGCCGGTTTAAATTAGACCACTGAGCCCATGAACGAGGGGGAACGACAGCCATACCTTTTCTGTTTCTTTTGAATCTTCACCAAATACACGCTTCAAAATCTGTTCATCGTCATCTTTATTTTGATATCGATCTTTCCTTCCACATTTCGACTTCTTCACAGACAAAAAAGACAATTTGGATTCCCAAGAGGCAGAATCACTAGTAGTCTCTACTGTTGTTTCCATAGCAGGATAACTCTCGAGGAAGTGGCATGTCCAGTACCGGTCGAAGAAGTCACCAACGAAGCGAAAACTCGCGGACCCGCGGACAAGCGCAACATCCTTCCATCCATGAATCGCTCGTGGTGTGACCATTGGACATCGGGTGCGAAGAATGTCTTCAATCGACCTCTTACTAGATTTGCCTGACCACTCGCTCGAAGCAGGATCCCATTCGCCAAATTCCATGCCATGCTCACAGTCTGGGGAATGTGTGTGGGAATCTATCGTCTGGCGATTGTTCTTGGCTTGGGTGCGTTTGCTTCCTTTTCTATAAACAAGTTGCATAAAACTACAGTGGAACTCTGTTTCCCAAACATTACGAATTCTCACGGCTTTGTTCTCGAGAAATAAGCTGTGTGATGCGTGGCGGTCCAGAAATGAACGCATGTGAATTTGTTCCTTGTCGGTTGATGCGAGGAATGCCAGTGACGCAACTTGAAGATCCGGCTGTGCAAACCATAACAGTCGTTTCTTGGAATTTGTGATATTGCGTCTCTTTTTCAGTCTCTCCCATGACTCCGACATAGGACGGCTGAAGAATGGCTTGCTGGAGTGATTGCTCTTTCGGGGAATATCGATCATCAAATTACCACATCCGTGCGGTCTACTCGCATTGCTTGCAAACTTATTTAGGAGTCTTGTCTCGACACCTTCGGGCTCCCCCTTTGCCTCCTCAATGGCTAGTTCCACATACTGTAAATGAGATTGTTGCCTGTACCTCTCAACAAGCCAGTTGTAATATGTATCGAAAACCTGGGGAAGGTTTGGTTTCCGATCAAGGAATTCAGGGTAGTTGTATAACCACTCTTCTGAGGGTTCAACAACAATGTTTTGGTCAAGGTTTGGATTGAGCTGGACGATGGGGCTGAAATTATCGGGCGCCGATAGTTTTTGGGAAGGAGTCCAAGCTGGAGGTTTTTCGGTTTTGATCCTATAGAATGAATTCCATAGAACGTAATGAGCTTCAAAAGATGTATGCAGGAAATAATCACGAGAGGAAGGAGGGTCAACCGGAATTTCATATTCGCTTGAAAGGCCTCGGAATAAGCCATTGCAAAGGAAAAGGCTCACTAGGTTTTCTCGTGCTTGATTTAAATCAACTTCAAACTCTTTTTTCTCTTCGGTCTTCAATGCATTGGGGTTCTGCAACTCCTGTGGTCTGGCGTCAAAAGGCTGATAGTGTTCGGTGATGTATTCAGCCATCAGAAGCCTCATGCAGTCTCTTGATGGATTCTCCAATTGGTTCTGTTCTTCTGATACGTATTTTTCCTGGGCTTTGATAGCGCTCCTCCAACGCGAATCTTGAGGATCCAGGAGTGGCACACCAGAGTATTGGAATCCGTAAAACAAAGCAGTGTCGGAGAATTGAAAGTCAAATTGGCTCTCCCGAAGAGATCTCTTTACCGCAAGCATTCGCTCTTTGAACGGACTATTGAAAGCTGTGAATCGCTTCAGAATCTCCACTTTTGCCTTCTCCGAATTAACAATCGATATGCTGGTCTGGAATGTGGTTTGCTGCTTGGGTTTCGTTTTTTTCATCTTCATGGTATCGTTCTTCTGCGGGAACATTTTGCTGATGGCGGATACTGCATTCCAAATCCAAACATGGTCTACCAGATAGAACGACCCGGTACCCTCTTTTTGATCACGGGGCCAACCATACATTGATCTTTTATTGGCATTTTGAAGTTCTTCAAGCCAAGTGTGGATCCATGTATGTGGTTCATCTGCCTGTATTCCCAGATCAGATCTAAATGAAACATCTTCAGGCTCATTAAAGACTCTGAAATACTCGTAGATCTTGAGTATTTGGAATGGAGCATTCGCTGGCTCATTCGGTGGCAATTGCTTTGAGGAAGGCATTGTCGTTCCTGTTACCCAGTAGTTCCGAGAAAAGGTGCTTTTCTGTCCCTTGGCACGTCTCACAATCCAACGAATATGCGCTCGACAGTGGCTTTTTATTCGATTCCTGAATGGATTCATGGGTTCATCCGCTGTTTTTGGAGCCATAGCCTCTGCCACGTCAATCAATAGCTTGAAAGCAAAACTGAATATTGTTAGTTTCTACTGTGTGATGAGTTATGGGCCAACCTACAAGCTGGCAGAAGGACAGACGCGGTGACCTGACAGATCACCACAGGTCATAGCTAAATCGCAATCCCTTAGATCCGTTGAAATGTTCCAGTAATAGCCATCGCCTACTGGGATCATACAAACGGATAGAATATTCTCGACTGCGCGCTTTATGCTTTTTTCAACGATCCGTTCGTCTTGAGCATTGCTGGCCTTGGCATGGACTATAGGCGGAAGGTTTGCATCCCACTGAGGAGCGTTTGCCTCTTCATTCTCGTTCCTTAAAATTTCATTGATATCCATGTCTTGAACTGTCAAAGTAAGACGTTTCCAGTTTGAGTTGTGATCTTCAGAGTGCAGTAATATCAGCTTGTACCCAACAACCATCTGATGCGATGACTTTGCTTTGACATGATGCGTCTTGTTTTCTGTGACTTGGGCGTATGTCAAGGGTTTCCCATTTACCAAAAAACCTGCTATGGCAGCAACAGAATCTGGATGGGATGTTTCTTCGGACTTTCGGTATCTCTCGTTGTCGTCTTCGCTTGAAAACTTCTGGATTTGAACAAAACCGAACCCTCCAGGGCCAGGTCCCTTGATGGCACAGTCATTTTTCTCACTCTCCTCGTCCTCGTCCTCTTCACCCTGAAAATTCCTTTTTGAAGGTTTATTGAAATTGCACGCCGGTTCAATAAAATCCAATTCCCGTATGCGAAAATCGAAATTGTTGTAATGAAGGAAGTCCATGTCTGTGTCCTTGTCGTTATAAAACATGATTTGCTCTACCACAACACCTTCCTTTACTGCCCATTGTTGCTCCAGTCTCCAATCTTTGCCGTGGAATTCTAATCTTGGCCACTTATTATGAAGCCAAGAAGCACGAGTTCGGAAATTCATGTCAGGAAAAGTGCAGTCAACCCCAAGAGCGTAGCGCTCATCTGAAAACGAAACCAACCCCTCCTCACGAGACGAGGTATAATAGGGTTCAGGCATGTCTTTATCATCGAGGCAAAACAATGAGGATGGACCGCATCCGAGATATTGAGTAATTTGCATGGCTTGTCCCCATCCCGTCACAGTGGCAGTTGTCCCCCCTTCACCAAAGGGCATATAAGTGGTTGTCCTGAGGCTTTCTTCTTCGCCTTCACAAAAACCTTGATAGTCAATATCATCTAAATTGGGATTGTTGTCCATGGCAACCTCGGATGTAGCCTGGTCTGCATTTTGTTCATCGTGGCTTCCGTACTCGAGGGTTGCTCCTGGGTTTTCTTCGCTGGGAGGTTTTTCTTGAGTTTCATTTGTGGAACCTGTCGCTTCCCCTTTCGTCTCCTCTTCTGGTGAGTCTTTCTCTCCTTCTTCTGCCGCATATCTGTCTCCTTCTTGTGTCGGTATTACAAGGGGGGCTGGATTAGACCCGGGTTTCGCTGGCTCTTCTGATAATACTTCTCCTCCCTCTTGAGTGGACATGCGACGGTTATTCTCTTTCTCGGCGGCAGACAAATCTTCTTCCTCCTCTTTTCGAGGAACCCTGGCTACAGGTGCCTGATGATCTGGTAAATCCCATATCACCAACTCATCCACCTTTGGTTTATAAACTTCAAAAGGCGAAACAGAGTCGATATTCTAAACTTTGTTATTAGCAGGCTGTCATGTGCCAATGAAGTAGAAGATGGCGTCTTACATCCTTGCCCAAAATATACTTCTCAATCATATTAATCTCAGCCAATTGCTTCAAATCAACATGATAGAAGTCCGAAACCTTTGGATGGTTTTCCGGCCCGATCAGTTTAGTTGAGTGTTCCGACCCTGCGCCCAAATTTGGGTCTCTAAGTCCTTCATGCAGCGAAAGCAGGCCTTCCGAGATCCCAGCCATGTTTGAGAGCAGAATAATAGGTACCTAAAGTACCCGTCTACGACTGGGATACTAGTAGCACAGGTAGGGACATGTTGACTGTGACGAACCTGAATTCTTTTTAACAACATTTCCATACAGGTCCCCCTTTTCATTAGCCTCATTTGAAGCGCCCCTAAATGGTACGCTCGAGCTTACTACCATGCAGGACAGCAGCTAGCTCGTGTTGGGTGCACCCCCGATGTGATAGGCTTTGCATAGATTGCGCTCATTGTATTCCTCCCCCTCAACAATAAATTCAGCCCACAGATCCTTCGCGCATGAACTGACTCAGTCTGACAAAACTAGTGGCTCAGACCTCCCTAGCGATATGGGCTTTCCGACTGTATGCAGCTCATTGCCCCGCTTGACGTGTCTGCTCCGCTCTGCCCTACCAATTGCAAGGGATTAGACCCAACGAAAAAGCAAAGAGGGACCATGAACGGGGGAAGGACGGAGTGATTTTCTCCAATACATAATACTCTAGGATATTCAATTCAACTTTTTGTAGTCTCCTGACTCGGGATAATGAAAACCGCCCCGCCCAATAAGTGGCATTCATACTCCGGGATGTTTGTTATGCATCTCACGGATTCTCACCTCTAATGTTTCGTTCTAACTTTTTGCGAACAGTGGGCCTTGCCCCTATACATAGATGATCTAGGATTATTTAACCGTGACTAATTCATTTCTCCCGGTTATTAGTTAATTGTATGTTACTGGTGGGAAAATACTCATCGCCGAATATCCCAAGCCACGCCATGTTTTCCGCATCCTAGCTCGGTACCCATTGCATCAATTTATCGGACTTTGACGAAGACCTTTAAAAAAGACCCCTGGGGGCCACTAATGGAAACGTGTTTGAAGATACTTATTTGGTACACAAACCTAGCCTACATAGAACCAACCATAGCCTTCAATCTACACGTTCATCGGGCCGAGATTTCTGTCCCACTTTCCGAGGACTCAAAAAGGCTACTTACTGTACTCAGTTTAAAGGTTATTTGGAGCATCCAAGATTGCAATATTCATCAAAAAGCAGCGTCGAGAAAATAGTTTCCAGATTGATTGTTCTATGCTCAATACAAAAGGCCAGTTTATGACCATGCTTCTGCAAGCTTGAATGTATGTGTAGTCGTACTCTGTCATTATACGCAAAAAAGATAAAGATGAAAAAGTCAAAGACAAAAAAGGTAGAAGGTGGTGTTAACTCGCTCAATCAGAAACACCGGATCCATATATGAAGGTAAACACAAATAAAGAAAGAAAAAACAAAGGAAATCCTAAATGCCCATTTCCACAGCCCGCTGTGTGTAGCGAGCCTTCACAAAATCAAAGCTGTCCGTGACGCCTTGCCAAATTCCAGGCACGTAGTTCCGAATCCACGCGCCAATAACCAAAATGAGAAGAGGAATCTAGGGTATGTTAGTACATCGTCCATTTACGTTATGATGGGTAAAATAATATGGTCTTGAGACTTACCCAAATGAAGTATAGGTTCCGATCACTTCCAAGACCCTTCATGCGGCGGGCCTGGTGTTCTCGGAGATGTTTCTGTTGCTCTCGCGAAATGACCTTTCCCCCGATTGTTATTTCTTGGAGGTCATCCTTTGCTGAGCGTGGTCGTTCGGGGGTAGTAGGAGCAGGAGTGGCACTTCCTGTTGCTGCTGCCGCTGCCGCTGCCGCTGCGGCGGCGGCGGATGTAGAGGCGGCAACGGTGGTTTGCGCCTCGAAATGTTGATCCAATGCTGCCTCTGTTGCTGCACGCAGCATGCTTGTTTTCTTGACTTCAGCCTCATCCTCACGAGGTTGCTGGTGAGGGTATAATTCATCGTAAGAAGGTGGCAATGTTTGGCCAGCCGGGGCGGTGTTACCCTTCAGGTAATCCCACCATCCATCGGCCGCAGGACGGTGAGGCACAAGATTGGTGATACGACGCATCATCTGGTTAGGCTGGTAGTCGGGCATAGCGGGCATAGGTGGCAACGCAGGGATGTTAGGAAAAGCATTAGCCATGCTTTGCTGGAAGTGGTTGATCTGTGCAGCCAGGTGATTCCTCCAAGCAACAACCGCCGCTGGTGGTGAAAATCCACGAGCATCAGGGTGAGTAGCGCCTTGCTCGCTAGCATCGACAACCGGGGGCATGATATCTTGGTGCAGACTAGACCGCCGAGAGACATTGAATTGCAGAGGGGCATCGTCAGAGTCATCAGTGTCCAGCTCTTCACTGTCTTCAATCTCCTCTGAATCATCAATTGCATGGCCCAAGGAGCCAGAAGCCGATGACGATTCCCAGAGAGAACTGAGCGAGGCAGAGCTACTATGTCTGCGGCGTGAAGTAAGCGACCCAACACTGCGAGAACGGTAATGACGGGAAGGCAGCAAAGCGGCCTGGTGTGCGGGCAGTGATGTAGCCAGGTCCGCAGGGGTGAAACCGCGAACACTTCGGGAATTGGCGTTAGCGCCGGCCAGACGAAGTCGATGCACAATATGAGCATGTCCGTGCATAGCAGCTAAATGCATTGGTGCGTTACCAGTGTTGTCTTGCACATCTGGATTGGCACCACGAGCCAACAGTCCTGCGACGAATCGGGTCAACCCCAAAGAGCCTGCAAAATGAAGAAGGCTCTGCCCTGTGCTACTGCGAGCATTGTACCGTGGTGGCCGTGGGCTGTCATCAAGGTCGATGAACTCCAGGTAAGTCAGCATCTTGGAGTCAAGATCACTGAGCTTACCTTGGGCTTCCAGGCCGGGAACTTGGCGCTGATGACCACCAGACGAGCCGCCCTGCATATCTTTTTGCATGTTCAAGAAGGCATTCGGGTCACTGCCCATAATCTGTTGCGCTGTCTGGAATGCGTCTGCTTGACTACCCAGCTTCTGGCCCAGGATATTAAGAGCCAAACGATACATCTGAAGCTCACGATCGTCGACATATCGGAAAAATAGCTGCTGCTTAGGCATGAGAGGTTGAGGTTGCTGTACCTGACCAAAGGTTGGATGTTCATGTTTGAACATGACTGAGACCAGACCCGGTTGCAATGCAGGGGGAGTGAGGCAGTTAAGACATTTGTCTCCCCAGAATGTCGTAGTGGTCGCAAGCGTATCGCCAAAGACAACCTCCATACCGGGATAAAAGCCGCTTCCCAACAACGTAACCTCTGTGCCGCCGGTAATCGATCCTTCAGCAGGGACCAGCTTGTGAATGACGGAAGGTAGACGATTAGGCGTGGCGGCGAGGGGAGGCCATATTTGGCTAGCTGAATTCGCGCCCAGCGTGAGCGCTAAGTTTGCATCTTGGAAGCTGTTGCGACCCGAGCCTCCCGGCGTACCTGGACGACTGGGATGAGCGGAGTTGGGTGTTGAGCCCATGGGCTGTTGGGCCAGGTTGTCCAAGCTCTGACGCTGAGCTGGAGTGGGATTAAAGAACGGGTTGTTGTCGTTGCTTTGGTTAGGGGTTGGTGGTCCGTTTCCATATTGTCCCGACATCGATGCAGGCGTTACAAATGGTCTCTCTGTCGGTGATGCATATCCACGAGAAGCCGCAATTTGTGCAGCGTTGTTCATTGCAGAAGATGACTGGCCAGCCTCCATTCGTGTCATGGTCAGTCCAGATGGGAGTCTTCCGGAGCTGCTATGCTTCCGTCGTTTGGTCTGTGGACCTGGGAAATCGGTCGGAGAAGCTTGCCGAGACAAAGCTCGGGGAGTATGTGAGTTTGCAGGAATGGCATTGGCTGAGCCCTGGGCGGCAGCGAAAGAGCTTGGTGTGAGTTGATATTGAGAATTAAACCTCTGTTGAAGACCCTGAAGATCAGTGGGTGACTGGGGTGATGCGAACGGCCCATTCGCGCCCTTGCCATCTCCGTTCGACCCCGATGGGAAGACATTGACGCCAGGCATCTGAGTTCCATCGGCTAAAGAAGGCGAGGGGCCTGTTGGTGCTGGGGCAGCAGGCGCTTGAGTTTTATGGTCATCAGTGATCATGATAGAATTGGTGATTGCCTGAGCAACAACGTTTTCCAAGTGGTCCTTTATGGTGAAGATAACTTGAAAGCCAAGCTTCTCGTTCTGGTGTCGACAGTAGCAAGCAATGCGCATTGGGAGCTCAACTTGCATCGAGCCCGGGGGAATCAGCGGCATTTCATTGTAACCTGTTGAGGCGTTTTTGGATGGTTCAGTCCATTCCTTGATTTCACTCGTGTTGAATACTATAACTCGCTTCTCCTCATCCTTTTGAAATAGCTCGTCTTCTTCGGGTTTCCGTTGCTTTTTCCGGGACGCCCGCTTCCGTTCTCTTTGTATACATCCTCCACAGATCACCACGTCACCACCTTCTAGTGGTTGCTCTTCTTTTGATCCACTCGGGCTTGACGAAGTAACACCCCTTGTACGTGCAAAAGCTCTTTTTAGCTTTTCACGGTCTTGCATTGCGCTCGTGCATACCAAGCTTGTGTACAATTGGTATGTATCGGGGGAGGGTTCGGTAGAGGGAGGTGCGAGAAATTTGAGTTTGGAGATGGTATGAGATGGCAAGCGAAGTTTCTTGACGCCCACCGGGAGTGGAGAGAGAGTCAATCGGATCGGTATTTGTGTTTCGACGCGCGATTTGAGTGAGGTTGGATGTACAGTGAGAATTGGTTGGATGGAGTTGGCGTTATCAACTTGCATTTGAGCCGCAGACGAGCCAAGGCCACCGTGGAACGGGAAAGAGGCGGGGGACCCAAAGTTCATGCTAGGAGACATCGACTGTTGGTGAAGCGGAGACTGGCCATTCATGTTAATACCGCCAAAACTTTCTTCCAAAATCGAGGATGGAGACTGTGTGCCCCATTGAGGAGCAGAGAGGCGCTCGGTGTCATTTCGAAATGTCCCTGAGAACGGAGATTGCTCTTTCGTGCCAAAGGCAAAGAATGGCGATCCAGGTTGGCCATGCTGCTGAGAATTAGAGGAATTTATAACTGGGTATTTGGTTTTATCGCTATGACTCACAGTATATGAGGATGTAGGTAAGCCAGGGGCTTCATTCGATACCGGGACCGCAGGTGTGGTATTAGGGCTCCAGAACTGCGTTTTGTTCCCATTTGGAGGATTTGGTGGTATCGAGTTCTCGGTCTTCAATGGACTGGGGCTGCTCGCAGCGCTCTCAAAGTCAAATGCCGCATCCATAGCCTTGTTGCTAGACTCCAGGTCAGGATCCATGGAGAATCCACCATGCACTGGAAAAGAAGGATTGATCGTAAAAGGAGACTCCTCTTTGACGGACGACAAGTCGGGGCGCATCCAGTCCTCCGTCGGAAAGCCAGCAGATGTCAGTGGATTCTCACTGTGGGCGACGGAATTTGAGGAAGCGACGGATGCATGGCGCAAGTGATTTCTCGGCGATTCGGAAGAGGAGCTGCGGCTCGAGTTGTCGGGAGACTCTGCTGGCGACTCCGCTGCCACCACAGGTGCTTGTCTCAGGGGGTGTCGGTCTTGATAGGCCTTCGAGGACTCCGGAGCGGCATTCGATCGGTTATGAGTTACATGGGCGAATAGATCGTCAAAGTCTCCACCAGCAGCGTCTGAGGGCATATCCAATTTGGTCGGGTCAAGAAAATCCATGTTGGCGTCTCGAAAAGTGGACTCCATCTCGTCGTCCATAATAATAGGGTCCAAGGCAGGGAATGTCGGGGAGGATGGTGCGTCTAACGGTCCCATACTTTACTTGCCCTTGTCTTGATCGTTGGGATTCACACTAGTATAATGCGACCTACCACCCTCCAGTTGTCTTAATTTATATATTGCGATTGTCGCGTGCGGATTGTTGGACAACGATCGGGGGAAGAAGGATTGAATCCAAATTGTCGAGGTGGACTATCTCATGTACTGTACCAGGACCAGTCGTTTATGACCATGATTCCTGGAGCAAGAGAATAGGAGGAGTATAGTATCTTCAATAGGCGGAGAAAGGGAGTAGGAAGAGTTGCTGGGGTAAAGAAAGCGACTGCCTGTGTGGAGTCGAGAAAGGAGAGCGGGAAAAGTGTGAGGGCGGATCCAGACCGGCAGAAACGGGAACGTGCGAGGGGCGAATAAGACAAGCGCTTTGTTAATCAGAGTAAATATATGGTAGAATGAACAAAATTGTTTAATGGGGAGTTGAAGAGTAACAGTAGATAATTATACCCCAGTATATATTCTTGTATATGTAGATCTGAGTAATATAGCTGGGATTACGGTGTGACCATCGCAACATTTGTATGTTCAAGTGCGTTTTTTGGGTGAGAAGTGACACCTGAGGCATCATTATTACCTATACGGGATGGCGAGCTGTGGGCAATACACCTTGTTACCCGTAAATAACAGTAATTAATCCTATGGTCTCATCTGATTTGTTTTTTAGCTCCTCACCGTATTACCCACTGGAGATCATTACACCATTAGAACCCTGGAGACCGCCTTGGAATACTTCAATTCTTGACTTTCTTGTCTTTCGATGAAGGACAATCATACATATCCCTAGGGCTGGTATGCACTGTTAACTGTCTTGAGAAATGATCCGCCATTAATAGACCCCCCACGTCCCACCCACCTCCATGGCCCTCGCACCCTCGCGGCACCGGCCACAGGTTGAGTTGCGGGTGATTGGGCCTTGGCTGCATTACCGAGCACCAAACAGGAAGATGACGAACACGAGCCCAGTCATTGCACTCCCTCCTCTTGCTTGTGTCACCTATCTGTGCCACTATCTGCGACTCGGGGTCGGTGCGCGAGTCCGATAATGAGATACTAGCTCTCCCATGCAGGCTTTTTTGTCATCGACTCATCGTCTCAAGTTAGCGTTATCCTAGTACTTACGAAGTTCCTATTTACAGTTCCCGATGTCCACGTTATCAAGTTCAAATTATCTCGGCCTCAATTGGCCGGGACCATGATTTTGCTCTAGCTAAAGGCGCCCTCGAATGAGAAAGGTTGTTCATCCCGCGTCCAGCGAATGAGCCTTGCAGATCCGCCGGCCCAGAGTGCGCTATTTGAGTCCGAATTCCGGACAATACTCAGGCCAAGCAGACCATGCCCATTTGAGTTCGAGAATCAATTGGATTGAAATTTTCTACTGCAGTAGTGCTGGAGTGGGATGTGTACGTTGCATTTTCACTTCCCATTTCAACCTTGGAATATTCAACTTGTTTATGCACTGCGACTGGCGGGAATAAATATATCCTATCGTACATCCATAGATAACAAGTTCACCGCCTACTACTAGTAGTAGTCGACCATGACACTCCAATCAACTAAATTATGGTTGAACCAGGCAGTATATAGTATCCCGAGAACCTAGAACATTAAACCTCTGGTTATTAGACTCCAAGGCTCCCAGGACCTGCATGCACGTCCATTTACAAGTTGAACTATTTTTACCTACCGAATCGCATTCCAGCAATATTCGCAAAACAGTTGATAAGAAGCTTAATATTAGCTCTCTATACTACTACCACGGTTACTAACCCAGCCTTAGAAAGGTCCCCAACTAGGCAGGCAATGGCTTCATATCCTCTACAATGATGGATCCATACGTAACCCCTCACTTGAAAGCATCTGAGGAGCTGTCTACTACTAGTAGTGGCGCCAGAGCTTTGGACCGATAGTGGGACTCAGATACTCACGGACTCCATGCGCGGCGTGCCGAGTGCGCCGGATGTTTCAGAATAAGTCTCCGGAAAGGCGCCGCTACCCCTCTCTATTTAACGTCTTTACATGGATCATCCAGTCCGACCGGCCGTCAATTTCGGAATAGCATTCATGGCTGCTTTATCCATTCTACTGTTAAGCCCTGCGAAGAAAATATCCACGGCGATAAGACAGGGGCCCGCAATTGGACTTCGAACGCCCCTTCCAGCGGTGGAGTCTAGGTCGTGATCATGCACGCTTGACATACTCTTAATCTATTTGACAGCACACTAGTGCGAATTATCCTGTCTCAGAGAAAGAGCAGCCCGGTTGATTATATGACAGAAACAAAAGCTATGTGTTGTCTGTGCTCTGACCACCCTGAGCCTAGATTTCTTTGAATAGCCCTAGGCCACATTAGCCTCCTCCATGTGGCCACACCCCTGGCTGAACCTAGGCTTATATGACCATTGTATGAAAACAATCACAATGACGCATTGATATTAATTTGCCAGGGAAGGAGTTCAAGCCACCTGGGACCTGCGCATCATATATCAGGGACGCGCAGGGACCACTGCCAATTAAAGAGAGTCGCCCGACACGGTGAAACCCCAACTGTCACAGAGAGCCGCCCAAGATCGACACATATAAACTAGCGGTTTGAGCTCTCTTCGGATGTCTCCAAAATTACTTTATAGCTTAATTAAATTCACTACCGAACAGGTACCGGGCGGCTTTGGGACACATTTGTTCATTTATCTCACACTCGGCGTCTTGCCCATATTGGTATTTGGAGATTCTCCACCTATGGAAGGCCAAGCATAATCTCAAGTCTGTGGACCTGTTTGAGAATCATGAATGCTATACGGAGGATGAACCTCGGTGAATTAAGGACGACCTGCCAAGACGGACCTGTCATTCGAATGAGTTACAACTGGCATGATTATTCTGATCCGAAAGAGGTCATGATGTCCGGGCCCACGACAGAGAGGGTTGGATATAAAGTCGACTGACAGCCTTGATCATTAGTTTCTTTTGATCACCAGTCTTTTGTATTTCATTCTTTCCATTCTACAGGTCTAGTACCTTCTGTTCTTTCATTCGGGTTGACTTGAAGTCCCCATTTTGTCATTCTTTTTCTACCACGATCTTTTTACAACAAAATTTCAATTTGACGCTGTGCGTTTTGTCCGGGTTCTTGGCAATCAAAAGAGAAAATGTCTGTGTCTAAGATTACTGGATTGATTCTTGGCTCAGCTGCCTTGGTAGCCGGCCACGGCTACGTGAGCGGAGTTGTGGTTGATGATACCTACTACGGCGGTTATATCATTACCGAATATCCCTACGAGACCGATCCTCCTGAGCTTATTGCTTGGTCCGAGGACGAGACGGATCTGGGCTACATCGACGGATCTGAATACGCCAATGCCAACATCATTTGCCACAAGGATGCTAAGACTGCTGCTTTGGAGGCTCCCGTCACTGCCGGTGGCTCTGTCGAGCTGCAATGGACCGCCTGGCCTTCAAGCCACCACGGTCCAGTTATTACCTACCTGGCTAACTGCAACGGAGACTGTGCGGACGTTGATAAGGCCACTTTGGAGTTCTTTAAGATTGACCAGGGCGGCTTGATCAACGACGATGATGTGCCGGGTACATGGGCGTCTGATAACCTCATCTCCAACAATAACAGTCGCACAGTCACAATCCCTAGCGATATTGCGGATGGAAACTATGTTCTCCGTCACGAAATAATTGCCCTGCACTCTGCAGAGGAGACAAACGGAGCCCAGAACTACCCCCAATGTATCAACTTGAAGGTCTCTGGCGGCGGAAGCGCCACTCCCAGTGGTACCCTGGGAACTGCTCTGTACAAAAACACCGACCCTGGTATTCTAGTTAACATCTACACCTCGCTGAGCACTTACGACATTCCCGGCCCAACCTTGTACACCGCCGGTGCCGCAGCCGCTACCGGCTCTTCATCCGCCACCACCACCAGCGCTGCTACTGTCTCCGCGTCTGCCACTAGCGCTCCCAGCGCCGAAGCCACCAGCTCCTCGAGCGTGTCATCTGTTATTCCCGTGTCTTCTCCTGTCAGTGCCTCCCCTGTCCGGAGCCCCTCCTCCGTCCCGCCCTTCTCTAGATCCTCCGCCCCGGCATGGCGTCCATCTTTCACTCGCCAGCCTGGTTCTTCCCAGTCTACCTCTGCTCCCACTGCGTCGCTCACCCCTCCCGGTGGCTCTGAGAATCACCAATCCACCTCTACTACATTCACTCCTATTGTCGTCACAAAGACCGAGACCAGTACCTCATGGGTCACTCAACTGGCTACTCTTACTGACAAGTCTGTTGTACAGACCACCAGCGCTGTTCCAGTCCCTGTCGCCGTCACCACTACGATCACCGAAGGAAGCACACCGACAGAGACTGCTTCGGTTAGCACCAGCTCATCCAACTCTGGATCTGGATCTGATTCAAGCTCTGGCTCCGATTCTTCCACTACCACTACTACTACCACCACTAGCTCTGGTTCCACAACCTCTTCTTCTGCTGCTGCGTCCGACTACAACTCCAGTGATTGGACGACATACCTCAGCTCTTTGAGCGCGGAGGAGGTTGTCAATCTGCTGCATCAGACTTTCAAGTGGCTGGTTACCGACAAGGTGCATGCCCGTGATTTGGGAAACTAAAACACCGCGTCCGATTTGGCCGAGTCAGAAGTTTGGGTGAGTAGAAATACTTGCTGAAAGAACTCATTCGACCTCACTTTCTACAAGGTGTTGAGTGTCTTTATGGATTTTTCATGGTGGAGCAAGGGAATTTATTATATTCTTGAGATTAGATATGGTAACTTATTCTCGAGGCATTGTGCTTCTCGGTGCAACCATTCTCTACATGTAACATAGATATCTTTCCCACTCGGCTTGGTGCTTGGGTACCTATACGGTTGCATATTTTCTTCTTTCTTTTCTCCTTGCAACTTTTGCGAGGAGATGAGAGACCCGTGAGCCGGTTCTCTCTTTATACTTTTTTTATGAATGGAACTATGAGACTGCTCAATTATATTTTTGTGTTTTCGGTGTAGAAATTTAGCCTCCGCATATACTGATTGTGGTCCAGATTACGCAGGTACTTAAATCGCAGCCCTTGGAGGGATTTATTTCTTCTTCTTAGTCTTATCCACCACATCGGTCCACTGACTCCGCAATCCACGACGCGAAAGAGCCGTATCGAGGACCTTCCGCTGATCGCCTTGCACTAAGACCTCCATGACGCCCTTAGGCGCACCAACAGCCTGTGTCACACTAGTGCTACTTGCACACTTCTTTTGCAGCTCTTCCGCCAGAAGGCTGGGGATAATACCGAAGACCTCCAGGCCACTCACCTTGGTGATGGTCTTGGACCCAGTGCGCTTCTCAAGAGTGATATTCACCTTTGGCGGAGAACCTGCCTTGGGCTTAACGTCTGAGAGGGTTTGTCCAGCCTTGAGAATGACCCAGTGCTGTTGTAAAAGGGAATTATCCTCTACAACACGTTTCAGCAAAGCGTCACGGGTGACCATTCCGCGTTTAAGTGTCGCTTGGTCCTCTGACGAAGAGGAGCCGAATATAGTGTGGGCAAGGTATGGGTTGAGATTGATGATTCGTCGGTTTTGTGCGGATACGAGGGGCGGATCTTGTGTTTGGGCGTATTGATCCAAGTGGGTAGAAATGTCCGTGTATTTGTAGTAATTCTGAGGGCTTGATGTAGACAAGGTGGGGAAGATGTGTGGCATCAATTTGCTGGTTGGTCGATACAATGTTTGAACATTGAGTGTTTGGCCAACAGACTGGTCAGCGCCACCAGTTGCAGCAGGTTTTTTACCGTCTGAAGGTGTTGATTTTCCGACATTTTCCAACAGTCCCTTGAGAGGAAGTTTGTAAGGGACGAATCGCTCGACGCGATGGTCATCGAAGTCAATGTCCCAGATGTATGTTTCTTGGCCGCTACGGTCTTTGGACTTGACGAGCTGCAACTTATCCAGGTATTTGATGAATTTCTTAACATTCTTCCAGCTTGTCTTTTTGATAGTGTAGAACTGAGTCTGTTGAGCTGAGAATATAGGCAAGTAGGGTGTAATCAAGTTGGCTATCAGAATAGATGGTGAGACCGGCAATGTAAGAGTGTGGTTGGGAGCGTCGGGATTATCCTGCTTGAGTTTATATAGAGCATATATAAAGGCATTGACGAAGGCATCGTCGATTTCTAGAGTATGTCAGTATTTCTGATGTTTGAATCCTATCCGATACGACTCGTCACATACCCTTTGTTGTAGGCTCCTTCTCCAAGGGCCCCTCCGCGTCGTCGGCAGCGTCACCTGCAGGGGCTTCTTCGTTTTCATCCAACGAGAGGCCTCCAACGCCTCCCTCGACTTCTTCCGCTTCCAATTCCTCGATCTCATCATCCCATCCTTGTATATATTCTGGCGTCGGGCGTGGTGGCTTCGGCGATGAACTCCATGCCCAAAGCTCATCTCCTTCCCAATGCAGTCCGCGAACAGCATGCCCCTTTGTCCCTTGCACCTCTCCCAATGCAGAGACATCAATTTCACATATTCCCACAAATAGCGGAACAGTATGACTGTCTAGACTAGCAACAGCCACCACGGCATCCTTCACAGCCCGCTCAGGGAATGGCGGGTCATTGGCAAGTCCGGGTGTCATTAAATCTGCACCACCGTGAAGCTTTCGCATAACCATTTCTGGCGTATGCAACAAAGCAACCAAGTTTGGATTATGCCATAACGTATAGACAGTCGGATAAAATCGCTTGCTGAATCCGGGACCATGCTCGATCTTGAACCACAGTACTCGTTCGTCGCCCTCAGGATGTGTACCAACATATACGATGCCTTGAACCTCTCGCAAGTCTGGTCCAGCAGTTGTTGTAAATCGGGCAGTCAGCGCATTCTCGGGAAGCAGGGCATTTCGAATCGCACTGAGGGTTGGAGTTGTGCTAGGTGCGGCGTCGGGTTGGGTTTCTGGAGATGTGGAAGGGACAGGAATCTGGTAGTCTTTGATGATTTGGTCGGCGATCTTCCTGCGATCGGAAGATCGGAGAGGAGATAAGTTTTTGATCTAGAGGACTATCAGTACAATTTCGCCCATTTTGTGCTCGTAGCAAGCCTCTTTGGATGAAGGAGGGGCAATGCGGGGAGGTAGCGTCACCGACCGTAGGCTTCTTCTTGAACATGGTGGAGTTTGATTGGATAAAGAATGATATAAATGTGATGAAGTACACCTGGTTCTCAGCAAAGGCCCTGCCTCAGTGATAAAGCTTCAGGGAAAGGATAGCAAGAGAGATGCAAATTCCAAGGTTGAATTCAACCAAAAATAAAACCCAAATTGATCCGCAAAGCTCTTCCGCTCTCCTCTCTCCGCTCTCCGAGGTTCCCCACATTCCTTCCAACCTTGGAGGCTCTAATGTCTGCTATAAAGAGTCATAAAGATACGAGAGTATGACTATGACTCATTCTGAATCCAACCCACTGTTTCTCTTTACAGTTCATGTGAATTTTTTTATTTTACTCTTCTTTATCTCCATATTCTCACACTCAAATGACAACAAACGGTGTATATTTTAAGGTGATTTGTATAATAGGACAGAAATCTGTATATAGATACATTGGAATAAATTTTACAGGGGCCGTCTTACAAAAGCATCTAAAGCTTCGCTTCCCTCGCCTCATTCAACTTCGCAGGCAAAAGTCTCCTAAGAATCTTGCCAGTCGGAGTCTTGGGCAAGGTCTGGAGATGGAATACACCACCCCTGAGCTTCTTGTACCCTGCAAGCTGGTTATCCATCCAGGATCGGATTTCATCCAGGACTACTTGCTTTTCAGAGTCTTTCAACTCCACTGTCTCCGGTGAGAGGCTGACGTAGGCGAGGGGAACCTCAGTTGCTTGGGCATCATCGTAGACTGCACACACTGCAGCGTCGATCACATTTGAATGGCGCAGAAGCATATCTTCAAGTTCTGACGGGGCAATTTGGAAACTAAATAAAATAGAAGGTTAGTTAGACACTATACGCATTGGGGCAAAAGACCTGTAGCAATACCCTTTGTACTTGATCATCTAATTTTCATATATTAGCCCACTGAAGTATTTGACATCTGTAATACGATAGGCGAGGACAATCTTACCTCCTTGAGACGGTCGGTGACCCAAAAGTTCTGGTTCTCATCCATCTTCAATATATCTCCTGATTTAATCCAGCCATCGGAGGAGAAAGTTCGCTTTGTTGCTTCGCTATCATTGACATAGCCCCTGCAAAAGTGTTAAAAATATCCATAATGGTGGAATAGGAAATTTATAAAGACTTACATCATGACGACTGGGCCACGGAGCCAAAGTTCACCTTCTTCACCAAGAGCGACATCTTCGTTTGTCTTCGGGTCAACGAGACGAGCTTCCCTGTCATGATATCAGTAATAGCTCCTATTTTATCAGACGCAACAGAGGAATCGTACATTCCAGCAAATAGCTTGCCAACACATCCGAAAGCAGCCTCATCTTCATCAATCTCATGAATAACTCCACCAGCGCATTCCGTAAGTCCGTATCCTTCATTATGATGTTAGTAAAGCATTGTGATTAACTTGAAGAAGACAACACCAACCTTGACAGATACTAGTATGGGGAAGACGCTTTTTGAGCAGCTGTTGCACAGATTTCTGGGGGAAAAAAAAAGACATCATGAGTTTTTTATCATAATTAACATGGGGATCTCGAGCAGGAAACATACTTTCAATGGTGCAGCAGAGATTACAATTCTCTTCAAGGAAGACAAATCATACTTTTGAGCAACGGGCGAGGCAGCAAGGCCAAGTGCCACCGGAGGCACAATGTGCAGATCTGTTACCTGCACTTCGCTTGACTTTTGGCAGAATGTTTCCAAGTCGAAAGCAGCAAGTCCGCAATAATGGGCCCCAACCCACATACCGGCCAGAACCGCTATGGTCAGACCATAAACATGGCAATCTAGCGTTTAAAAGTGTCAGTGAGGCGGTTACTGCTATTCAGAGGGGGGTGGACAATTTACAAGGCGCGAAGAATACTTCGCGGACAGTTGAGTTGACTCTAGCGGGCATGGAAGCACGCATTGTGATGCTGTTCATGATAAGGTTGTAATGAGAGAGTTGAACACCCTTCATTTTACCCGTCGTGCCAGAGGAGAAGCAAATAGTACTGGGTACATCCTTGGAGCTCTTTCCCTGAAGATCATAAGGTGGTATGCTCTGTGTAGATCCTTTACCTGTCACGTCGTCTGGAAACTATAGCATTGTTAGTACTGAAGTCGGATAATGTCATGAAATAATGCGACCCACTTGTGGGAGACCCTCCACCTTGCAGCGAACGGTCATAACCTTGATGTCCGTGTTAGGTAGGGAGGCCAAGGCCTCTTGAATTGCGCCAAGCTTCTCTTCAATAGTGGCAATGTGTGTTGGCTTGACGATCTTCAGAATATGAGCAATATCATGGGGCGTTGCCGATGTATTGAGTGGTCTAGAGAGCCAATTAACGTATTTTCTTTTTCATACCATGTGTGTACTTACGCAAAAATAGCCCCCGCCCACCATGTTGCATGAGCAAGACGAACAAATGCGTTCTGTAATTTCAATCAGACTAGAAAGCAACAAATTTCAGAACAAATCTCTTACGGAGTTGTTAACCAATGCAAGTAAAGTGTTTCCTGGCTTCAGCCCTAGGTTTTCCTGTAAGCCCCAGGCAGCCTGGGAAGCTTGCTCGCGAAGCGAGCCATACGTGATAGTTTCATCAGAGAGGGACTCGGTATGAACCACTTTAGATGCTTCTACATCATCAGGATTGTATTGTGTCATGAACTGCGAGACAGACAAATTCGTCACATCATGAATTGGAATGACTGGTGATCTATAGAGGGCCATTGTGTCAAACGTGGCTGGGCTTGCTGTTGCTGTATGGAGTACGGAGTAAGGAGTCCTGAGCACAATGATAGAAATCCATTCATTTCCAAGCTTCTAATAAGTGTAACCAAGCAGCCCCTGATTGCCACGCTACTGCTAAGATTACATCCCATCGCCGGCAACTCTCGGGCTCGGTTTCATCCGCGCGAGTGGGTCAACTATCAAAGGCGCGACCGGTGGCCAGATGGTGCATGGAAACGAACTAGGCCGTTTTCTCGAATCCCTCTCCGTTCAAACAACACCCTTATCAGGGTAACTAGACGTCAACAGGGTTATCTACAATGTCCAAGCCACCTATCACGTAACAGTTTCAGGAGCATGGGACATAAAATAATTCGCACTCCTCCTTCCTTGAAGAGCACGTTCTTCAAGAATCCAGCTTCTACCTCGGTCATCCATTCAACTTGGAGTATTAGCCCCATAGTGAATTCTAGCCCCAAGATAGCGTACTTGATTCTGTGCAACAAAGCCAATTAGCACGACTCTTGGCATATGTAAAGTATTCGCCGATGGAATTCCGCCCGGTATCCATTCCAGTATTCCCCGTGTACTAGTGCCCATTAGAGACTAGTCGTGGCGCCGACAGTTGAAAAAGCAATTTGTGTGGTTTTTAAGTGGCGGAAATGGCTAACAATGGCTGACAAGGGATCCACGCGGGAAAACCCCCCCACAAGGGAGAAACCTTCCTCAAAACCATGGAAAGGGGAATTATGGTTGTCTTATTGTCAGGGGTAGAGGCTTGGAGGTTTCTTATTTACCAGCTGTTTGCCTAGAAACAAAATCATATATTCTACTGTTTATCACAGATATTCACAGGATTTTAGGCGTAATCGCTGGTCTATCCGGGTTTCATTGCGCTATGACACTAGTTTCTGACGGAATCCTTCGCTTAATATCAATAATGAAATGGCCACACCGAGGTGCTTCAAGGCCCACTTAGTCTTATTACCTAGTAGTGGCAAACGCCAGCAATTCCTCTTCGTTTAAGCGTATGATCCCGTAGGTTGAAGGAAGTTTAAGTCTCCTCAGGGCCACCATTGTTCTCCGTCCACTAATCAGAAAAATGCCCAAGCGCAAAACTTAATTATCAACGTGCAAAACCACGAGTGAACCGGTTATCTTATGATCCTTCACAAACCACGTTTCTTTTCAACCCCGTGAAGCCCCATACTGGAACTCCGTATGCTTCTCTGAATTTCAATACAGCGTCAGCTGTCCACAGTCATACCAGAATGCGATCCCTTTCAGTGAAGGCTATACTCTTAGCCTGTGTTTTATTATGTTTGACGGAGGTGGCATTCGCCGAGACACAGAGCTTCCCTACGTGTGCTGTATGAGTCCAGAAACCCTCTTCGAGCCATGGAATAGATACTAATGGCATTTGCAGCTGAACTGCATTCAAGAATTTGTTCCCAAGTCAGAATGTGTCACCGTCACTAATCAAACATGCATTTGTACGAACGCCGACCTTAATGTCCAGTTGAATCTGTGTGTTTCAGCCAATTGCACCCTGAGGGAATCACTGAGTGAGTGGATACCAGATTTACAGGGGTCAGTTGTTTCCATTATGATCCTAACTAGATGATACAGCTACGCTCAATGTAACCGACACCGAATGCGGTGCTCCAGTGCGTGATGAGACTTCTATTAGTATTTTGGTCCCAGCAGTCGGACTATGTTATCTGTTCTTCGTCGCTTTGAGGTTATATACACGTCTTGCCATTACAAAGTTGGAAATGGGTTGGGATGACTGGGCAACCATTCTTCTTGCGGTAAGTTCACATATCCATATGAAGAAGAATAAGAAGAATAAGAAGAAAAGGACATCCCTAATTGACAATTCCAGTGTTGTGCGGTGCCCGTGAACAGTGGCTCAATATTGCGTAGGTGACATCAACTCACGCACTGCCAGAAACTTACTAATAATAAATTCAGTTGGAAAGGCAGGCCTGGGAAAGGATATTTGGACTCTCGAATTCAGTAAAATTACTCGAATTCTCTATGTAAGATCTTTCGGCATTGACGAACACTGACGACCGCTGACAAAGTCATATAGCTGTTCTACATTCAAGAAATTCTTTACGCCACATGCGTCTCTCTCGTGAAGATCGCCTTCCTCCTTTTCTACCTTCGAATATTTCCGGATGAACGAATGCGCCGCATCATCAAGGCATCCTGCGTTGTGGCCGTTGCTTATGGTGTAACTTTCATATTCGCCTTTGCGTTCCAATGCTCGCCTGTGAATTATAATTGGAACATGTGGGATGGAGAGCATGAAGGGAAATGCGTGAAGACGAATGCTCTAGTAGTCACTGCTGCTGGACTGAATATCGTGCTTGATGCCTGGGTCATTGCTCTACCTATACCGAAGGTACTGAAGCTTCAAGCCTCAATAACTACAAAGCTTCAGGTTGTCTTCATGTTTTCAGTTGGATTCTTGTAAGTTCCCACTCCTAGTATCCCCCGTCATTGCTCCTCCTACTTCTCTGCTTTCTCTGGAGTTCTCGAAACATACACTAACTTACCTTTTTTTTACCTTGAAGGATCACAGGTGTCGGTGTTTACCGAGCCATCATGCTCAAGATCTTTGCTACGAGTACGAACCCAACATGTAACTACCCCCAAGTCTCTTCTTTTCATTTACCTCGTACTAATCATAGATCCACAATAGGGGACATGGCTGCTGGCGGCTATTGGTCTGTGATTGAGATTGATGTAGGAATAATCTGTCTGTGTCTACCATCTGTACGGTCCTTGCTCAGCCGTCTATTCCCAAGAGTGTTTGGCTCAACAAAAGAAGCAAGCAGTATGGGACACGTAAACAGCCAGAAAAAACTCCGAAGTCATGATCGGAATACCAGCTTTGTTCAGTTGATTGAGATGGATAATAGTACGGGCCAATTAAAAAGTCACCCTGATCATTAACAGGGTATTATCATTAATGCGTTAGATATCTTCTGGTATCATTATGAATTGAACACATTTACAGGCAGTCTTTCTCATGACATCCTAGGCTTGGGGACTAGAATTTATCGGTGGATCTCCTGATGGGTCAGCTGACTGTGGCTCTATAAAAGAGCCACATCTCTGGCACGCAGCTTCTCCCTTCTTCATGCTCTCGATGCAGAGAGTTTTAGCAAGTTATGCAACCCTCTGTTTTTTATGGACAGCCCTACGCTCTATACTACGTCATCTTTGGTTTTTGATTTTTCGCGAGTCATCAAGGACTCATCACCGTTATCATCAATCGAATTAGAGTATATGATATATAGTACTTCTTTTACCCATTACTACTAGTATCCCTCACTGCCACACCAAAAAGCGATGTCGAACTTGAAGTTGCGTTGGCGTCACCGGGGCCGCATTCAAGTTGGAGCGGAGACTGGACGCGTCAGTTGTCTCCAGAATACTAGTATGGCATATACTATGGATATTAGTATCAAAGTATATATCAGTATACTACTACTAGTAGTACTACCATCTGACACGGGGTTTATACTGTTATGAAACTTTGGAAGAAAGAATTGCCTGAGACCCGCCGCTTTTGTATTTATACGCCCTCGCCTCTCTGTTCTGGGAAGGCCGATTCAACACTATTTCCCCTTCAAGTTGCTATGGGTGTTTTCAGTTGACCCTGGATGCTTTCCGTGTTTGTGTGTCTCCTGCAACGATCGTTCTTATTAGTGGAAGAAACCAACCACTTGATCCAAGTACTCCTGCTAGGGTTGGAGGCGGATAAGGCTTTCTACATTACTAGCCACTAAAGTCTTCCAGCTCTTTATCTGGAGCTCTGTGTAATCAGTTCCTCAAAAGTACATAAGTTGTATGTTAAGTCGTTTTAGATAGCCGGATAGTAGCAATTGAAGGTAGCATAAGAGGCCGTCTCTGGTGGATATATATGCAAACCTCATTAATTCAGTCCTTTTTACACAATCTAATTGCCTATACAATTCAAATAAGAAATGCTGCTAGAAAACATAGAGTTAAGTCAATATTTAATATTAACAAGTGAGGCGGAACTACGAAAGCAGGCTCAATAGGCTCAACCATCATGCGCTCGGACTTGTCCCGATCCCCGCTTCCGATCCCCGGACATAAGCAGACCACATTCACATTCCGCGGGGTTGGAATTTCTTCTCTTCACTTATCCATACAAATCAGCTTAAACACCATGCCAGTCTATCACGTCGGTAAGCACAGCCATATTTTCCATGACGAATGCTGCTATTCCCGCCACGTTATCCAATCGATTATGCGGGGGATACTCAGAACATACATCCCCATGAATGTTGGCTAATGGGATCAACAGTTCTTTTCCGTCTGAAGGAGGGTGTGAAGCAAGAGCAACTTGATACCTGGGCCCAGGTAGCTAAGTCAATGGTTGGCAAGATCCCAGGTGCGTGTTTATGTGCCCGGAAAAATAATTTCCGGATTCCCATCCCATGCCAGAGTCCAGACAGAAAAGACTGACGATGAATGCAATATTCAGGATTGATCTCTCTCGAGGCGAATACCCCGTTGCCAATCTCTGTGCCTCGAGCCAAAGGATTTAATATGGGACTTGTGGCTGTTCTAGAGAAGCCGGAGGATTTGGCGACTTATGCTGTGCACCCGGTGCATTTGGAGTATGTTTTTTTCTCTCGCGATGTGTCATAACCGAAGCTGGAAATTGGAGATTTCTAACCGAATTTTCTTCTTAGAGTTCACAAGTTCCGGGAGGAGCTAGCTGAAGATACCTTGGCCTATGATTTGGAGTTTTAGAGTGAGCGGTGATGCATCAGCGTACAAGAAGTCATGGTGGTCTTTGTTTTTGCGTGGGATTGAAACCAGCTTTGGGGTTAAATTTTGATTTGAAAACGATATGGAATACATCTAGATCGTTAAAACCCAGTGAGAAAAACGCCTTTAGCAGAAATTCGCCCTATGTAACATTGCCCAATAGGGCGGCCTGTTCCTGTAACACTTTTGGATTCCACCCAATGATCAACGAAAAAGAAAGAAGACCGAGAAGCACTTGTTTGGTATAGTCATGGTTCAATAATTTACTGCTTGGCATCGACCTTCTTAGCAGGGCGGTCGCCGTTGGCATCGTCATCGCGAGTGCGCTTCTCGCCGGAGGTGCTCTGAATGACGGGGACGCCACTAGATATCAGTTCAATTAGTATATGTCTTGAGATTTTCGGGCATGTTAAGGTAAACCTACCGAGAATCCTTCTCTGGCTGACGGTCCTTGAAGCCATTCTTCTGGTCCTCATCGCGACGCTCCCGCCAGTCACGGCCGTCACGGCTATCACGGTTATCACGATCGCGGCCACCACGGCCACCACGACCACCACGGCCACGGCCACCACGTCCACCACGACCACCGCGACCACCGCGACCACCACCACGGCCACCGTGACGGGGGTTGGCCTCGATATTGCCGGCATTGATCTCCTCGACCTTCTCCTCGCAGTACTGCTTCTTGCTCTTGATAATCAAGTCCTCGCCATTCCATTGGGGCTTATCCTCACGAGCGAGGAATGCCTTCTGCTGGTCCTCGGTGGAGAACTCGACGAAAACACTGCCCTTGAAACCCTTGTCGTGGCCGCGGCGCAGACGGATGGCGTTAGTAGGTCCGTAAGGAGCGAAGAACTTCTCAATGTCAAACTGAGTGCTGGGCTCTTCACGTCCGAAGCCCTTGACGTAGATGCTACGGGGCATGGCATTATCCTCGAAGACCTTGGCAGCGTTCTCGTTGGTCTCGGTGGTGATGGACTCGGGGAGAGGAACCTTGCGCTTGACAGCGGTGTCGTTGTCAACAAGCTCAACGGTCTCTGCTGTCTTAAGAGCCTCAACAACGGCGCTGAAGGGCTGGAAGCGACGCATGCGCTTGAAGGAGTGCAATGTCTCCAGAGGAACTGCCTTGTTGGCGCTGCCACCGACCTGGGAGAGCATGAAACGGTCTAGGGGAAGGTTGGAGTCGGAGAAGTAGAACTCAACCTGTATTTGCGATCGCGTTAGTGAGGGATATTTACCTTGACATCCGTTCGTCATAAACTTCATACCTGCTTGCGGATCTCGACGGGGTCGTCGGTCTCCTTCTGGGAGGAGGGGTCGAACTTGGCGTTATTGCGACGGGGACCGCGCTGGTAACCGCGCGACTCCTCGTGATGCGACTTCTCCTGAGACTTCTCGGACTTCTCACCCAGCTTGGCAGCCTCGGCGACAATGCGAGCCTCTTCGGGGTCTTCCTGGGTAGGCTTCTCGGCGCCATTCTCTCCCTTCAGCTCAGCAAGGACGTTCTGCACATCCTGCTCTGCCTCGACGTTGGCAACGGGCTTCTGTTCTTCGGACATTATGAATGGTTGTGTTGGTGGGTTTTAAGATTAGGACGATGTGCCGGTGATGGGAATAAAGAAAAAGTGACTCCCGGCGTATAATGACTCAAGTTCGAGTCAGCGATTGAGTCACGTGGAAATGGGCTAGGCAGCTTCCAATGGTATATTGACGCGACCGAGGCAAAAAATAAGAATTGAGGTAGGGAAAATAGCACTGGAAGAATCGTCGCAAAAGAAAGAGCTGGCGCGGGGAGTGAACTTTTTTGGAATTTTCTTCGGAGCTGTCGCATTGACGCCTCAGGCATTCATGGTTGTGATGGTGGTGATTGGTTGGTGCGGGTCCCACTGCAGTATATAGAGGGAGTATACACAACTCAAATGTGAACTTGATACGTAGCATGGTAAATACATATTTTGAAGGCGTTTGATCGTAGATAAATAGATATAAAAAGAGAAAGCAATATCTAGTTATTGTGGTCTCTTGTAATAATCGCGGAGGGATGGAGGAGGATATGGTGGAAGAGGCAGAAGACAGATAACCCACACTCTGGTAGCACCTGCCTGCTATAGAAGCACACTACTCGCACCCTCACTTACCCATATCTCCAACATAACAGAGCTTCTACCTCAGCAAATCATAGTATTTGGATCTGGCACATTTTTACTGTCTCATCTTCTTCTTCCATCACGCCTGTGTGGATATGCATCGGAGTCCTCTCTTAGTCGAAGCCACTGACTTTCAAACTCTTAACTGAGACGGTGGGTGAGTTTGATCATTAATCGAGAATTCCCACGGGGGCTTTGACGAAGCTGATTTCATTGGTTAGAAGCGAATATACGCCTTTCCTCACTAAACATCTACCTGCTAGAATTCCATGAGGCCCATGCATATTACCAACGCTACCTCCGTTGACTCACTCCAGTCGATGTACTTGACAGTGTCAAGCGGAGCAGACCCGATTGCGACAGAACGATGGCCGACAAAGGATGTATGATATCTTCTCTACCCCCTCGAGGCACAAAGTTAACCAATGTCACAGATTGTTTACATTTCAATTGTCGGCCCTTTTATGCTAGCAGCGGCATTCGAATGGGTCTTATGGCTAGCAGCATTCTTATACTGTCTATATAAAGTGTATCAAAAGGCAGATCATTGGACCATCAAATTTCTCGCGGTGATCATGGCATTTCTATTCTCCATACTACGGTGGGCCTTCAGCTTATACCTTGAACACACTGAAGCCAGCAAAACTGACAGTCGTCTTTAATAGTCTCGCCTTTATTCCCGTCATGGTATTCACTTTGCCCCTTCCACCCCAGGCTACTCAGTATTTCCCAGCGGATGAATCAAGAGGCTTTCAGTGGTTCGCCTTCTGGTCTTTTTCTGTCTTGCTCATTGGACCCTGGCTGTTCTGTGTTTACAGACTAGTCACCCACTCCCTTGGAAGATCCAAGAGGATCAAGGAGGTACTCGACGATCGCACCGCCCCTAAGACAGTCGTTGTGATGCCTGTATACAAGGAGGATGCTGCGGTATTGATCAAAGCAATTGATTCAGTTGTTGATTGCGACTATCCCGCATACTGCATTCATGTCTTCCTGTCGTGGGACGGAAATACTGTAGATGAATGCTATCTCCAAGTGATCCAACATCTTGGTATACCCATATCTATGAAGGTGTATCCGCAAAGCATCGATGTCTGTTATAAAGGCGCTCGAGTTACAGTTTCTCGGTTCAAGCATGGAGGCAAACGGCATTGTCAAAAACAAACGTTCAAACTCGTCGACAAAGTATACAAGGAGTATCTGAAGAGACACGATGATCTTTTTGTGCTTTTTATCGACTCCGATTGCATTCTAGATCGATTTTGCCTCCAGAATTTCATGTACGATATGGAACTGAAACCAGGAAGCAAACGCAATATGCTCGCTATGACTGGCATCATTACCTCCACAACGGAAAAGCACACACTTCTTACCATTCTCCAAGACATGGAGTATGTCCATGGGCAGCTGTTTGAACGGTCGGTAGAGTCGGGCTGTGGGGCTGTAACCTGCCTGCCGGGCGCATTGACGATTCTACGTTTTTCTGCCTTTCGCAAAATGGCTAAGTACTATTTTGCAGATAAGGCTGAGCAATGCGATGACCTCTTCGATTTTGGAAAATGCCATCTAGGCGAGGACCGATGGCTCACCCATCTTTTTATGATCGGTGCAAAGGAAGCGTATCAAATCCAGATGTGTACCGGTGCCTTTTGTAAGACGGAAGCTGTCCAGACTTTCAGCAGTCTTTTAAAACAACGACGCAGGTGGTTCCTGGGATTCATCACGAATGAAGTTTGCATGATCACTGATATACGGCTATGGAAACGATATCCACTACTGTGCTTGGTTCGCTTCATGCAGAACACCATTCGAACAACTGCCTTGTTGTTTTACATCATGGTAATTTCGTTGATGACAACATCCAAACGAGTTGATGACCTGCCGGTCGGCTTCATTGGAGTTTCCCTGGGATTGAACTATCTGCTCATGTTTTACTTCGGACTCTGTCTCAAGCGTTACAAGGCATGGCTGTATCCGCTTATGTTTCTTGTGAATCCTGTGTTTAACTGGATATACATGATGTATGGGATTTTTACTGCTGGACAGCGCACCTGGGGAGGACCCCGAGTGGATGCTGCTGCCGCCGATGCTGAAACCACCCCTGGGGAAGCAGTAGAGCAGGCCAGGAAACAAGGAGACGAGTTCAACGTTAACATCGATACTTTCCGTACGAGTCTTGTGCGTCGGCGATCTGTCCCAGTTCGACCATCAAGTCATGTCGAAGGACGATTTGCGCCCGCCGAGCAGTTGCTTGACGGTTTTTACATGGACACGCACGAGGCCAATCGTCCCTTGGCTGGTCAACAGGGTTCATTGCATGAAGTACCTCGATTTCATCCACCCAAGGCATTTAGAGACTCGATGGAGTCTGTATTTACAGCATCTTCTGAAGCTGGATCGAACTCAGCATCTATGCCGCACAACATTGAGAATATGATGAGTGAGGAAGATCAACGGGAATTATACTGTGTCCGTCAAGCCCGATCATCAAACAGCATGTCGCTGATGGCAGGGCCTGGGAGCTCAGAGGAGGAGATTAAAGGCCACTTGAAATTTGACCCCAGATATGACACTTGTTGGCCCACTCCCCCAACGCCTGTCTTGGCAGTTCATGGCTGGAATGAGATGCATAATCTTCACCCTGTATTAATTCCACATATTCCCTTAGAGGGTGTCATTGAAACGGGTACGCCAGAAAAGAGATGGCTAACGCGATCTGTGATCAGTCAACCTTCATCTCTTGAGCCGCCCGACAGCATGGTCTAACGATATTTTTTTTTACGTTGACGTCAATTGAATGAATCCCTTCGTCCCACTTTTTTCCCACTCTCTTTCCTCGGTTCCTTTCGACCCTTTCTCCTTTTTTCTTTCCTCTGTTCGATTCTATTTTTAAGGATCATATCATGGCCTCCATTCCATTTTGTTGAGTCTTTTTGTGTTTGTGTTTTCTCTGCTTGATTCTGTCTCCATTTGCAATTCAACAAAGAAACATTGGATCATGGGCTCAGGATGATGATGCCCCTCGTGCCTGATCAGCGGAGTCCTCTTGCGCCTGGTCAACTACCTAGCCACGACGTTTAATCCAATCACATCCGAGTTGATTGTGGACCATGTGGGCCATTATGTAATGTCTCTTAGGCGGTGAAGAGTGAAAATGTTTTCTGCCTGCCAAGTTGCTCAAAGCGGTGAAGTAGAAGTCTCTCGTAACCGCTGGAAGATTCGACGCCCACACAGTTGAGATGGCGAATGGTAGAGTCTTATATAGCCCCCAGTGTGTAAGAAAAAAAGGGGAGTTCAATTATTTCTAGTATTTCCAGTAGCCGTTGGTTTTTTAACTTTTACTTCATCTTCAATTCCCATCATAACTCCATTTATAAAAAGTCAGACCGCCTGACCCTGGTTATCAATTCTCCCCGCCAATAATAAGAGTGGAGTGGCGTGCAAATTCTCCCCTCCAAAAGTTCTCTTCCTTTCTCTGATCCTTTCCTCTTCATCCTCCCATCCACCTCCTCCCCCATCGATTCATTCCTCTTTATCAGCCTACAATGTCTGTTGTCGGTATTGATTTCGGTGCACAGAGCACCAAGATTGGTGTTGCCAGGAACAAGGGTATAGATATTGTGAGTGTCTGCCCCGCCGGTGTTTGCGGGACCCCTCGTCCCTCATGATTGCGCCCGCCATATGATGTCGTCGCAAAGAATTGAAGCTGACCGTCGTCTTTCTACATTTTCTAGATCGCCAATGAAGTTTCCAACCGTCAGACCCCGTAAGTATTCGTGGATGCGCTTTCCTGACATCATGTCAGATTTCTTTTAACTTGCATATTTTCTTTCTTGGACGGGTTGACAATTGACTAACCCGAAAATTTGTGCCCAACAGATCCCTCGTTGGATTCAGCGCCCGCAGCAGACACATCGGTGAGGCCGCTAAGACACAAGAAACCTCCAACCTCAAGAACACCATCGGCTCCCTGAAGCGTCTCATCGGCCGCCCCTTCGACGACCCAGATGTCCAGCTCGAGCAGCGATACAACACCGCTCCTATCTGTGATGTCAACGGACTCGCCGGTGTCGAGGTCAACTACCTTGGCAAGAAGGAGAAGTTCACAGCGACTCAGCTGGTCGCTATGTACCTGACCAAGATTAAAGATATCACATCCAAGGAGCTCAAACTGCCCGTGTCTGATGTTACCATCAGTGTTCCCGCTTGGTTCACCGATGTGCAGCGCCGCGCTATGATCGATGCCGGTGACATTGCTGGTCTCAACGTTCTCCGTCTTGTTAACGATACTACCGCTACCGCCCTTGGTTACGGTATCACCAAGCTGGACCTGCCCGGCCCCGAGGAGAAGCCTCGCCGTGTGGCATTCGTCGATATTGGCTACGGTGACTACACTGCTTCTATTGTTGAGTTCCGCAAGGGCGAGCTTAACGTCAAGGCCACCACTACCGACCGTCACTTCGGTGGTCGTAACTTCGACTACGCTCTGACCGAGCGCTTCGCCGATGAGTTCAAGGAGAAGTACAAGATTGATATCCGCACCCACCCCAAGGCGTGGTCCCGTACCCTCGCCGCCGCTGAGAAGCTCAAGAAGATTCTGTCCGCCAACCCCCAGGCTCCTCTGAGCATTGAGTCTCTGATGGAGGACGTTGACGTCAAGGCCATGGTTAAGCGTGAGGAACTTGAGGAGATGGTCCGTCCTCTTCTGGAGCGTGTTACCGTGCCTCTGGAGCAGGCTCTCGCCGAGGCCAAGCTCACTGTTGACGACATTGACCACATTGAGCTTGTTGGTGGCTGTACTCGAGTCCCCGCCATCAAGGAAGCTCTCGCCAAGTTCTTCGGCAAGGGTCTTTCCTTCACCCTTAACCAGGATGAGGCTATTGCCCGTGGCTGTGCTTTCTGCTGTGCTACCCTCTCCCCCGTCTTCCGTGTCCGTGACTTCGCTGTCCACGACATTGTCAACTACCCCATTGACTTCACCTGGGAGCAGTCCCCCGATATCCCCGATGAGGACACCAGCCTCACTGTCTTCGGACGCGGCAACGTTATGCCTTCCACCAAGATCCTTACTTTCTACCGTAAGCAGCCTTTCGATCTCGAGGCTCGTTACTCTAAGCCCGAGGGTCTGCCCGGCAAGGTCAACCCCTGGATCGGTCGTTTCTCCGTCAAGGGTGTTCAGGCTGATGCCAACGACGACTTCATGATCTGCAAGCTGAAGGCTCGCCTGAACTTGCACGGTATCCTGAACGTTGAGTCTGGATACTACGTCGAGGACCAGGAGGTTGAGGAGCCCGTCCCCGAGGAGGGTGATGTAAGTTTTCCCTTTGACCCTTTTTGTAACAAAGGCCATCTTGCCTGGTTGTAAACGACTTATACTAATACTATATCTCATAGGCTATGGACACTGACGCCGCTAACGGCGAGGAGCAGCCCAAGAAGACCCGCAAGGTCAAGAAGCAGGTTCGCAAGGGTGACCTGCCCATTGTCTCCGGTGTCGGTGGTATCGATGCCGCTGGCAAGCAAGTCCTCCAAGAGCGTGAGAATGCTATGTACATGGAGGACAAACTCGTCGCCGAGACCGACGAGAAGAAGAACGAGCTCGAGGCCTCCATCTACGAGCTGCGTGACAAGATCGACGGTATCTACTCTGAGTTCGCCTCCGACGAGGAGAAGGAGAAGCTGCGTGCCAAGCTTATGGATACCGAAGACTGGCTGTACGAGGACGGCGAGGACACCACCAAGTCCGTCTATGTTGCCAAGCAAGATGATATCCGCTTCATCGCCGGCCCCATCATCCAGCGCTACAAGGAGAAGGCCGACGCTGAGCGTCAAGCCGTCCTGAAGGCTGAGGAGGAGGCCGCCGCTAAGCGCCGCGCTGAGCTCGACGCCAAGAAGAAGGCCGAGGATGAGGCCAAAAAGGCCGAAGAGGATTCCAAGAAGGCCGAGGGCGATGCTGAGATGAAGGACGCACCTGAGGGCGAGGCCCAGGGTGAGACTGAGGAGAAGCAGTAGATCTAACACGATCTTAACTGATATTTTCTCATACTACCCCGCTTATGCTTCTTTGATATGATGTTCGCGTCGTTGTTGACGATTTATAACAACGGTTGGAAGCGATGTTTCACATGATGACGAAAAGGCTACAGAGATGTTTTCACGGACCTAGACATGGCCAACCGGTATTATTTTTGAGTTGGTCAGATTTTCATTTTTTTGTTTCTTAATGGCAACCCGTTATGATGTAGATCGCTTTTCTTTTGAAATGAATAGATGAATTCCCATCATATCTATTTCTTCGTATATGTAGCCCTTTGTAATTATTGGTGCCCTTCAATGCAGATGAGTGGCCTCCCCAATGAATCATGAATCAAAGGTTCCAAGTGCTTCCTGGGAGTAATATCTTGCCATAGCCACTAAGTTTCGTCAAGTGGTATGCATCGGCCCTGCTATAAGCGTTGGAAAGTCTTGTGCAGTCTGAGTACTAGTACTCCAACTTGAATCTAAAGTGTAGGGGCATAAGTAGGACTCGAAGCCGTTGGGCCAGGCTGTGTCATGAGAAGTTGCCAATATTGAGGTCTTGATAATGGACACATGGTTCAAGTTCCCTAACAAAATTTAGCTTGCAGGCAAGAATTAGGACAGAATACAACACCTACGTACTAGATAGACTTCTATACTTACAACATAGAATAAGAAATTCATTCGTATACAAGAGTCAGAAAAGAGAAGGAAATGTTAGGTTGTAAGCTCTACATGGGTAGAAACCAAGCAGAAAGACTATTAGAAAGACAAATCCTTTCCAGATAGATAGTCTCAAGCTGCGAGCCAGTCAGTGATATTCGCTGATTGACTACTACTTTTGTGCATGTGTACCAATGTCGAGTACAGCTCGGTACAAGTATGTAAGGGGGTCAAGCTTTCAAAACCGGCTGACCTCGCATACAAGCATTCTTCAAGTTTCTCTGCTGTTATTCCGTAGAAAATGAAGTCAACAGGTTGCGTGTTGGTAGGGCTGGTGCTGATCGTCGTCGATCCAGTCCTTTGATGCGATCTGCATCACTAGAAGCCTGCGCCACTTTGGCAGATCACTTCAAGTCTAAATAACCCTATTCTGTCGTAGCTGCCGTGCTCTATTATATACTAGACTAACGTAGACAAGGAATAAATGATCATCATTTAGCACATCCATGGAGCTTGCAGTCCTTTCCGTTCTATTCCGTGAGGATCCACTAGCATGCGGATTTAGATTGAGATTACTTAGTATATGATCGATAATTTTATCCCAATGCATGCTTTTCATGACACATGACTTTAGTTTCTAGTAACCTCGGAAAGTCCTTGAAAAACATACTGGTTCATATGGAATTCGTCTAATTAAATCGACCATGAAAGCCACAGATCCACTAACAATCCACGCGAAGTTCGCACGGTCGCGTCGTTTAAATGTGGATCCACGCTCAACTGCGCAGAGTCCCTTAGCAGCGCCAAGATCATTAATTCAAGTTCTTCTCGATATGATCCTTGAAACGAAGCTCAAAAGAGTTCCCTCCTCATGCCCAGCTTTTTGGGCTGACTATGTCTCAAATTTCGTGATCAATCAGCTGCAAAATAAGAAGATAGTTACATTGTCCTCTTTTCGGATTCCCTCTTACAGCTAGGCAGTGTTCCTTGTAAGCGGGGCCTAGTACTTGTACGGAGTAGCCCGAGATGAACCACCTTGGTAGGGAAAGTTGGCACACGATCCTACTCTAGCTGCAGTTACCCCTGGAAGGTACAGCATTTATTCCAATTTCAGTCGGAATTCCGCGCTCGACTCCGTATTCGTAGTGATGCAATCTCTTCATTTCGAGGCATAATTATATTAATTTTCCCCAGATCTTCGTATTCGTTTCCCACTCGGGTTCGTAATGTTTTCCAAAGTTTTACTTATTGATCTGTGTTTTGATGCTTCATACACTGGCAACTCTTGTGCCTTGGTAAGGAGATTAAATCCTTACAAGCCTTTCGCACTGCGCTCTGTCCTTCCTAATTCTACTCCTTTACCCAATTCCCCTTTCCCCTATTCTTCTTCGCTTCTCACTGTCAGGAGATGGGATCCATCCTAGGTCCCAATAGTGGGGATATTCATCCGCTTCAATCCGCCCCACCACTAGCAGAACCTCCAGGGGAGCGTTTTTCTTTAGCCCATTGCCCTCCGGATTCGCCGGGTGGGTAATTGTTGGTTCCTGGATTCGTTTCCTCATTAATATTATTCCACCGTATTTTTTGCTCTTTTGGGATTTTTCTTTCCTGCCCTTGAGTCTTGTCTAGGAGTCTATCTTTTGCAATCTTTGCCATCATAGTACCCATCTCACCCCCTCCGGATCTTTGCCCGCTGTATACTATACATTGCTACCACCACAGGCCCACTCCATGGTCAGATAGCTCTGTCTCTTGGAAGACTGGAATAAAGCTATCTACTTGTAAATGCTACACGCATGAAACATCCACTGAATTCGGATAAACAAGTCCAGAAAACGATTCCAATTAGCACCTTATCCAGCATGAGAGCAACAAGGCGTCGCTCCGCAGCTCAACCACCTTTATAAAGAATTCAAACCAGTGCTTCGGAAACTCAGCCGGAGATGCATTGGCGAACGACATTAGCATCCGCCTCTGCACTCTGGTCTATAGCCACTGCATTACCTAGCACACAAAGTCAAGAACCGTACCCAGAACCCTCCGCAACTCCGAGTCCCTCCTCAACTCCGAGTCCCTCCTCAACTCCGAGTCCCTCCTCAACTCCCAAGCCAGAATGGAAAGACCCAACATACACAGATCCTCTCTGGCGACAATACGGCCTCAACGCCTCCGCCGAATACAAATACTTCCATGAACCAGGCAATGACGATATCCTCGGCCACTACGATTCGCGCTTCTTCGTCGGCCCTGTCTCCGATGACATCCGCGCAAAAACCCTCACCCACATGATCCGCGCATACCTCACATTTTTTCATGAAAACAAACTAGAAACTTGGATTGCGCATGGAACTCTCCTCGGCTGGTGGTGGAATGGTCGGATTCTTCCCTGGGACTGGGACATGGATACGCAAGTACCCGATACAACACTTGCTTATCTAGCAGACCACTATAACCATACGGTCGTAGAATATGAGTCGCCAACATCAGGAGAACAGCGCCAGTATCTACTGGATGTGAATCCTTGGTCGAGGCAGCGAGAACGTGGACAGGGCAAAAACATCATTGATGCGAGGTGGATTGATATCCAGACTGGGCTGTATATTGATATTACGGGATTGAGCCGATTGGAGCCGGATGCACATCCGGAAATTTGGCAATGTAAGAACTTCCATGAGTATCGAATTGGGAATATTTTTCCTTTGCGTGCGACGACTTTTGAGGGTGTTGAGGCTAAGGTGCCTTTTGATTATGATTTGATTCTACTGGAGGAGTATTCAGAGGAGGCGTTGATCAACACTACATTTCACAAGTGAGTTTTTTTAGATTTACCATTGCATGCTGAGATTGCCCGGGTTTACTGACTTGTTTTCATAGCCATACCTGGATTCCTGAAATGGCAGAGTGGATGTCGGATGATGCCATTGCCAATCTAACCATCGCATTATCCAACGGAACATCTGTCGCGAAACAGTAGGATTGGTGGGCATCATCTTACAATCCTTTTCTCCGACCCTTCTTTTCGCTACTTATTCTCTGTGTGTTCATTCTTGTCCCATCTCCACCCCTAGTGTTGAAGATGGCACCATTAATGATCGGCGCGAATATCTGTCGTTCAACTCTTGTATATATTGCATTTCGATCGAGATTCTTGCATTTGGGTATGCTATGTGGAATATTTGAGTTCAAATACCGTATGCCACCCCACGGCGTTTGGCGGTTTTGGTTCATTTTCAAAATTTTACAATGACTACTAGAAGTCCATCAGATTAGCTAGCCCTATACTGACATATCATTATGGTCCTAAGTAGTTTGTCTTAGTATAAACAGATTATCCAACTTGTAGGCATGGTGATTTGTAACATTTGAACTATAAGATCTGCGTTTCACTAACAAAACAACGTCAGTGGCTAATGCCGAGGCCCCATGCTTATCTCCGGGCTGACAAAGCTATTGCCGTGGAACTCTCTCGAATTCGCCTCAGCGCCTGCCTAATCGGGTTCATATATTAAAGCATCCAAGCGGAGTCGGTTTCTCACCTTGTCGCATCTTTACGCCTTACGCCTGCAAATCTAGCATATTCAATATGGAGACATCTCTTGAGTTAATGGTGCACCACCAAGGCACCGCGCATACCTTCCACCTCCCACCAACCGCCACACTCGAAGACCTCAGCTCCGAAATCGAAGCAGACCTCAATATCCCAATATCAAACCAGAAGCTCCTCATCGCACCAAAGCCAGGCATGAAAAAGGCCCCATTTCCACCAACGCAACTCAGCGAGCTGCTGCCTCTATCTTCCCCGAAGTTCAAAATCACCCTCCTCGGCACCCCAGCAAAAGACATCGCCGAGCTCCACCAACAAGCCGCAGACGTAAAAAAACGACAAGAAGCTCGTCGCGAAGCCTTCGCCGCTAGCAAAAGGAATAGAGTCACCCCCGCGCCTTCTAGAGGTGGCGTTCACACCCTCTCGTCCTCGAGTAACAACTATACTTTCCATCGCTGCCTTCCTCTCTCCTACCTCCCGAACCCAGACCGGTCTCTGCAGTTCCTCGAGCGACTCCGTGATGACCCAGGTATTCGCGCTGCAATGGCTAAGCATCAGTTCTCTGTGCCGCTTCTTACGGAAATGAATCCTGCAGAGCACACGACTAGTGAGTCGCGGACTCTGGGTCTAAATAGGAATAAGGGCGAGGTTATTGAGTTGCGACTGCGTACGGATGCGTACGATGGGTATCGCGATTATAGAACTATAAGGAAGACACTATGCCACGAGCTGGCGCATTGTGTGTTTGGACCTCACGATCGGGATTTCTGGGATCTGACGTCGCAGATTGAGAAAGAGGTCGAGAAAGCGGATTGGAAGTCTGGTGGGAATCGATTGACTCAGGATGAGTTTTATAACCCTGGGGATTGGGAAAGGATGCAAGAAGACGAGGAATACGTTGATGAGTGTGGGTGGACTGGAGGCGAGTTTGTGCTTGGGGGCTCGAAAGCTGAGTCTGGTGCTTCGGGATCCAGGCTCGGGGCAGCGACGGGAACTGAGTCCAGAAGGGAGGCTATGGCTCGTGCGGCGGAAGAAAGAATGAAGAAGGGGAAGGGGAAGCAGGATGATTCAAGATGATTGCCATATTACGTTCTTACGATTTTCTAAATTTTTCTTTAGTCTTCATTCTTGACTTGATACCCTCATGACCCTTTTTACTGGAAGCTTTGCATACTCATTTGAGAAACCCACATATATTTCATATGAATCAATTTACACATTTGTTGAATCAACCAGATTATCTGTATCAAGAGTTCTTACAATGACATTTACACTTGCTCGTTCACAAATAGACCGGCCATACCCTGACCAGTTCCAATACACATGCTAGTAACCAAGATCTTCTTCTTAGTCCGGCGCGCCTCGCTCAGCACAGTAGCGATTTGGCGCGCGCCGGTCGCACCGAGAGGGTGTCCTAAAGCGATAGCGCCACCACGGGGGTTGACCTTTGCGTGGTCAAGACCAAGGTTCTGTACACAGTAGACAGCCATGGATGCAAAGGCCTCGTTGATCTCAAAGATATCAATATCATTCTTATCCAGCTGAAATTTGCTCAGCAGCTTGGGGATAGCAGCGGTGGGACCAATACCCATCACGCGAGGAGGCACACCAGCAACGGTGGCGCCGCAGAACTTGGCGAGAATAGGTTGGTTGAGCTCGATGGCCTTAGAGCGACGCATCAGGAGGACAGAAGCGGCTATAGATATAAGTTTTAGCATTTGCCTCACCTTCCAATTTGGAAATGTTGCGAATTTGATACATACCTCCATCGGTAACCTGGCTCGAGTTTCCTCCAGTCGACTTATCACCAAACTGGGGGAATGCAGGTCGAACCTTCGACAAAGATTCGAATGTAGTACCAGGGCGAATTCCATCATCCTTAGTCAATGTGACCTGGTGAACCTCACCAGTCTTAGGGTCCTTAACCTTAACAGAGATAGGAGCAATCTCATCATCGAACCAACCGGCCTTCTGCGCCTCCTCCGCACGGCGGAATGACTCCGCAGCATATCGATCCTGTTGCTCACGGGATATACCGAAGTCCTTGCCGACATTCTCAGAAGTCTGTCCCATAGGCTGCATGCAGTCCTTTGCCTCTTGGTTCTGAAGAACTTCATCGTTGAAGGGGCGCTCAAGACGATCACCGGCAGCAGACATCAACTCGGCACCCATAGCAATACCGACATCAATAGCACCAAGCTGAATCTGGTTGGCAATATCTTGCACAGCCTTCAGGCCAGAGGAACAGAATCGGTTTACGCTGGAGGCACCAGCCGTGTGAGGGATTCCAGCAGCCAGAGCGGCAGCGCGGACCATGTAGGCGGCTTTAGCTTCGCCGACCTGTTAATTGATGTTAGACAGGGCGAGCTGAAAAAGCAGCAGTTCTGACTTTAAGTCATACTTACATTGCCCAAGCACACATCTTCGATCAGTGCGGGGTCGATTTTAGATTTGGCTAATGTCTCCTTCAGTAGCGCGTAGACAATGTAGTCCAACTCAGAGTCTTTAAAGCCACCCTTCCGCGCCTTGGTCAGCGGCGTGCGCAGAGACAATGTAATCACTACATCATCTGGGTTCTTTTGGGTGCTTTGATGGCAGTCAGCCTTACGTTCGTCCACTTCTTAAGTAATGATCAGAAGCTTACATTGCATTAAGCCCAGTGTTAGCACCGGGTCGGAGGTGGCTCAGAAGCGAGCTAAGACGATCTGCGGCCATTGTGAATGTATGAGATGAAACTATCAAATACTTTCATTAGCTTCTGTAGTTCAATATATCTCCTCATTCCTGACCACTCTGATGGGTTGATGCAAGGAGGCCCCCCCAGTGATATTGCGGGGAAGCTTGCATGCAGCTACTAGGCAAGTCTGAATAAAAATTGGAACAAGCAAACATGGGGATTTGAAATATCATTGGAATTCCAATAAACAAAAACTCACCAAATTGACCAAAGTATGGGGTATGTGAAGGAAGAAGGGGGAAAGAGAAGAGGAACGGCGAGGTACATAGAAGAGACGAGGCACTCCGCTTTTACGTTGACGTCGCCCCGAACTTGCCGAGGCTCTTTTGGCCCGCTGCTTACCCGATGATTGTACCTGGTACTTACTCCACTATGGTATTATTGCAGTGAAACAGAGTACCCGCTACCTTGTCGGAATGAAATATTTCCCCAGCTTCTGCAGGGTCTATCTTTGCCTAGGCTTATACTTATACTCGGAACAAAACAACAATAATTCAAGTTATGTGATATAAATAGTTTTAGATTATTCAACAATCCTTGACCGTATTGACCGCATGCCACTCTTTCTGTCATCTACCACGCTACAACACCATTCTCATCGGAGTATTGTCCGCTCTCTCCATCTTCAGATAAAGTTGCCAGCCGAACAATGTTAACCGCTGACGCCGCCGGAGAGCGTCCCAGATCACTGAAGCGAGAAAAGGCTGACTTTGTCAAATTTGGGCACGAGGCATTAACCTTCCAGCCTTGTTCCTTGAACTTCGCAGCATAATGCAGCGTCAGCATGTTCATCGCAGTCTTGCTACTACGATAAACAGGAAACGATGCTAGGCTCATCTTCTCGTAGAATGGAGAAGACGAATCAGTGCGCAATCCAATAGAGCCCGTATGCGAAGAAACAAAAACGATACGTGCAGGCTTCATAACCGCCTTCTCGAGCAGTGGAGTAAATGCCTCGGTTGTGATAGCCGCGCCGAAAAGGTTAACCTCGTACGTATCCCGGTATACATGTCGCAAGGCTGCGAGATCTGGCTTGGTCTCTTCTTTGTTTTCTAGCTGGTTCCAGTAGGAAGCGAGCTCGTTGTTGATGCCGGCGTTATTGATGAGGACATCTAGCCGACCGTGCTTTGAGGCAATGTGGTCTGCAGCTTGCTGAATAGAACCGTCGTCTGTCAAGTCTATGGTGATGGGTTCCACAGATACACCGGAGGGGTCGAGCTCTGCGGCTGCTTTAGCGCCATTTTCAGCATTGCGCGAGCCGAGCAAGATATAGTAGTCCTTTTGCTTGAGAAGCTGCTCTGCTGCTGCATAACCAATTCCTTGGTTTGCGCCGGTGATGAGGACAATGGTTCGAGATGTGGAAGTCATGTTGAAAATCTCAGGAATTCACTGGTGGAAGAAGATAAAGTTTTCTCACTATATAGGACTTCATGGCGCTCTTTATATTTCGAACACTGCGTGGTTTTCATGGTCAATGTCCCTAAGTCCGCCTCAGTGTATGTGCTGCATTCCCGCTTTGTGGTGGTGTCTCGGGGATTGGGCCCTTAAGTCCGCTAGAATTTTCCTTGCTGGGAACAGCGTCATGCCGCGGCGACCTGGAAACACGAAGACCTGGGTTTTACGGAAATATAGAGGACGCCAGTCGTAGAATACGAATTACTGGATTATTCCTTGAAAAAGAGAGATTCTATTTAGAGACAATACCGCAGGGAAATGAATCAGTGTCTGTCGATAACCCCATTTGGGTGTATTCATTCATAGCTAAATTCAAAATCCGTTTATTGATATTCCCGCAGAAAAAGAAAGAAAATGAGAAAGAAACAAGATAAAAAAATTGAGCAAGCTACCTGTTACCGTTGACTCAATCCAACCCAACTGCGCCAAGTTATCAAAGCCCATCAAGGGTTGTATTACGTTGAGAAATCCAAAGCTCAATCAAAGCAACTGTTGATGACCAGCATCGTTATCACTGACTACACTGCCGATCTCAGACCAGCTAGCTGGCGTCGATACGCCTCCCACTGAGGCAGCACCCAAATCGCTCAGTGTTCCATCAGATGACACATCATTGAATCGATGCCCATTGATTGAGCTTCCTGCTATGGATGGTGCGGACGAAACTTGACGTTCTTCTTGGTCCCAATTAATCAACTCATTTAAGTCGTGAAAGGTATCTGGTCGATGGCTTGAGTCAGATGCTGAGTGGGGGTGAGTATAATAGACCGGTTCGTTGCCTTCAGTATGGCTTGATGCTGAGATTGAAGCAGCGGACACAGGTGAGTGGCCTCTAGAATCAGAAAATGGATCAAAAAGACTTCCTCCATGTGGATTCTCAGATGTAGGCGTGTACTGAACAATAGATTCCGATGGATGATGTGACGCAGTATCGGAGTGGATCTCCACCTGCAGTCGGTTTCCATCCAGATCAGTCAGTCTACCCCGCCAAAGTTGCTGCGAAGTCCCTATATCCACTGCGGTCGAGCTGGCCATGTTATTGTCATCCGAGAGATTCCGGTTCATTCTATTGTGCAAGCGGAGGTTGCCATCATTGTCTACCAAAGAATCGAAGCTGTCTAGCGGTTGTTGGGAGTTCCTTGAGTTCCGGCGAGTTTCTAACAAAGCGGCCCGCCGCTCAATCTCTGCTCGTGCGATACGTCTGCGTTCTTCCGCTGCCTCCCCGATATCTTCATTCATAGAGATATCCTCTCGAGTCGGAGATGATGAGTTGCGTGGCTGTATCTCATCGCCTAGATTGTGTAAAGCAACTGCAACCTTGCGTCGAGAAGTATTCATCCATTCTTGAAACTGTGGTGACTGGTAAACGGCCACGCCGGCAGCGACGAGGACGGACACTGTCAAGATAATACCTGGATAGATCGTCAGATATGCTCGTAGCGGGGAACCGATAAGCGTGAGGATACCGCCCTAGTGAATCTAGAACGAACTAACCAACGACATCGATGTTTTGACTTTGACTTACCTTTAGCGAGTGGTGCAGGCATGGTGAATGTGAACCTATCACTTGTAGCTTTCGTATTGGTTTTAGCTTCGCCTTCAAGAGAAGACAAGGCTGAGTGGGAACTCGCAATAGAAGCCGGGTCTCAGCCGACCGTACGTCAGTATTTGTGGGGCACGGGTCCGGGTAATTATAGTTCCGGCCTTTCAAGGTATATACAGGAAGTTATGCTATGCTGATTACTTAATTATACATTTTTACTGCTGGAACAATTGATGTGGGGCGCGAGGGATCCATGTGTATCAGCAAACTTACTTTCAGCTACGTTTTATCGAATTGACTAACCTTGAACGACCTTCCCGATTGGCGAATAAATTGAGCCGCTCTCAAGGTATATCATATGAAGTTCTAGTTATTTGGAATGCTCTCCACTCTGCATCCTTCGTCGTACAGGGCAAACCTGAGAGCCATGCTTTGAAAGAAAAAGTTGCAAATTAGTGAAAAGTGAGTTTCATCTTGTTTTACTTCGAATTCTGGGCTCAGGATTAACGGCAAAGACAATGGAACAACCTTGACACGCGCATCTTGAGGGGCCCAAAGAGCCACATGATCAATCATATGATCAATTGGCATTATATCGGACAGTTCAACGGTGTCGAATATCGACAAAATGGCACTTTCCTCTGTGTATCCATTTTGCCTGGCAAAATCAAGATCCTTCTGCTCAGGAGAAAAACCTCGAGCGACCAGCAGTTTTGAACTGTCCAAATTACGGATTCGAATAGCAAGCTCGATTGCACTCGAGCAATATGGATCACTATCAAAACTATTTAGGATCGCATGTGAAACATCAATGCTTAAGCCTTTGTCCAGCATAAAAATGACTGATTCGTATCTATTGTAAAGAATGGCTATCAAGAATGCTGAAGCCCATATGGGTTTAGAACTTACCTATAGCCTAGGAGCACTTGAAGGAAACCCGTGTCATTATTGAATGCAATATGAAGCAAGCCGGTGTCAGACTTGAGCCATATAACAGCTTTCAGAAGCTCTTCTACGACGTGGATAAGTCTGAATATACTTCCGGGATGAAGTAAGCTAATCGCCTTGATAGAACAAAAAAAAGAGACGGAAATACCGGAGCCTGCCACATAAATGGCAGCAATGGTGTGCTCGGTTGTGGTGTATTCGTTTCAGGCGATAACTGCGAACTTAAGGGTTCCGAGATGCAAGCGTAAGCATATCATTATTTTACCATTTCGGGAAATTTCCCAGCCATGACTAACTTGAATGTAATGCAGATCGGATCTTCAATTCAGACCTTGGTGAATGCAGGATCTTCGGCCAGGCCTTCTTCCCGAATGGATGCGAGGTAAGGATTCCCGACGGGCATCTCGGGACTTCCACGATAGGTTTCAATTGTGTCAAATAATAGATACTATAAATTCATAGGGATAGATTTACTAGTTATTGAGTTCCTTTCGCAATGCCTGACTGTCTTTTAAATCCAAAGATTCTCTTTAGTCGACTGAAGCAGAGCAATGACATGCACGAAAAAGCGTTGACGTGAATACAAAGGATCCAACGAGCAATGATTTTATATCCAAAGCATTGACATTGATCTTTCGCCATTGAAAACGTCCCGTCTTTCCTCATTGAGATCGGTCTCCTCCCGAGTATGGCGCTCCACATGACTGATGCAAGCCCTTATCTACAGCCCTAAAAACACACCGCTTTGGGTAGCCGTTCCCCGCGCGTGGAGTCGACGCGGAGCTTCATTGTTTTCTATCTACCTCGAGATAGAGCACTTCTTCAAACACCAGAATTGCCCATCATGTCCCGTCAATCGGGCCACCCTGAGCGGCCGCTTTCACTCACCGAAGAACTGGAAAAACTAGAACAGTCCATCACCTTGACGCTCCAAGGTAGGTCAGACAATAAACAAACCGAATGAATATGACGTTAACCACCGAATGTCCACAGAGATCGATCAAAACTTCAGTCAAGCACACCGGATCGTGACGACTAGTATCTTACCTATAGTGGAGCAGTATACGGAGCATTCTCATGATGTTTGGGATGGTGCCAAAGTGAGTTCATCTCAGGGGAGCATTCGATTGCTCTTTATGCATACTAATCGACGACCTAGTTTTGGAAACAATTCTTTGAGGCCAGCGCCAACGTGTCTCTGTCCGGATATGAGGAGCGACCGAATGGGAATGATGATACATCACAGGAGCCTACAGCAACAGAAGAGGAACTATCTGCCGATATAACTCAAAGCACAACCCACGAAGCCGACCAATCCTACGCTACGCCTGCGTCGCAACGCCATATTATCCCCCATGGCCATGGCGAGGATCTGGATATCACTGCCCTCACTATCTCCTCGCACAGCACGCCGCGAGCCCCAGCCCAACAAACTGAGGACGACATGACAATATCCTCCATCGAACAATCGTCTTCATACGAGAATTTGAGAAAGCACATCAACGAAGAAAGGTCCCCCTTCGATCTTCCGGGCTCTTCTACACTTCCATCAACCCCAGGTCGGCAACCTTTCTTCCCACCAGAAGCCTCATCCGTCACTCCTATGTCATCACCCTTTATCCCACCTACGTCCTCTGCCAAATACCAGTCCGCATCTAGAGACAATCGGTACCACAAATCATCTGATCCGGTAATGCACCAGATGCTCGATAAGACATACCGCGTTCAAGCTACTCCTCTAGGCAAGGGATTCTACAATGCAGGGGGCGGTACAAACACACGCTCTAAATTTGCGGTTACCCCGAAACAGGCCGCCTCTAGCTCGAAGTATGCTTTCGACGATTCACCAATTTCCAGTCCGGAACCTGAGGCCCCTCAACTCCACTCTGAGATCTTTTCTTCGCCTATCAAGGGTGTCGATGCAACACCCGGAACCCATCGCAAGCGACGTACCAGCAGCAATCACGTTCGCGGCACTCCAAAGCCCGGCTTTAGTGTTTTGACTCCCGCCAAGAAACCAGGAACCAGCCGGGCGCTCTGGGATAGTGACGATGATCTAGATGAAGATCTCGGTCCCAGCCCTCCCAAGACCATGCAATTCCATATTCCTCAGAGTCGACTGATGCAAACACCTGGTAGGAGGATTTCCCATGTCCCCAAATTTCCTTCACCTTTTATTTTGAGTATTAAACTAACAATATCACCACCATCAGCTAAGGAAGCCTCGAAGCGTATTGTGGACGATTTGCTGGCTACTGCTGGGGCAGGAGACGTCACCGACGACCTTGACGACCAGAGCCCGAGTGTCATTCGACGCATGGAACGTCTAGAGGATGATACCTTTTGAGAAGCATTTACATCCCCGGTGAACTCTGATGCGATTCCTCCATGTCCTACCAATGAACATTGTCAAGGGCATACTCCCTTGTCCCCGTAAGATTCCCCTTTAGATCGTTGTCAATATCATCTATCAAGTTGTACCATCAAAACGCCCGGCTTTTGCATTTCATATATTAAGCAAAAAAAAAGTCCTTCATTGGACTTGGCTGGATTTGATCTAATCGGCCGAGCAGAAGAGAGGATGGTTGTGGTAAAATCAGGCACCACAGTGCGCGAGATGATTCAAGCGACTAGAGCTGCACACAAGATTTTACGATTTCCACACCCAAAAACTGGCCACAACAACAACCGCAAGGCACAAAGTAGGACTAAGGGCTTTCAAAAGTCCCGCTCTAAGTGCAATTATATGTACTCTACGCAGCTGATTCCTGAACACTCGAGACTCATTTAGCCTCGGAAAAGGATGACTAGGAACATCTTTCCCCATACGATAGAAGCCAAGGAAGATTGCTTGCTTAGGGCGCTTGAAATCCATTCTTGTGGTCTTAGGAAATGACATGCATTCGAAACTTGAGGCATTTACATTTGATATTCCACGGTCGGCTTATACGAAGCTGTTGTGAGGGCAATGTCTGATATTATATCCAAATACGAGAGTGAGGTTACAACGCCACGTCGTAATTGGCTTGTGGGAGGCCTAACTAGATCAAGTATCACGGTGCGCCTTTGACTAAAATCAAGTTCAAATACAAAAGCGCTTCCTGGTATTTCTATGTACACTTGAAGCAATCAGAGCTGTCGTTGATGAATCATCCTTTTTGCAAGATTGGGGCTTACGGAGTACAAGTTCTGCAAATCTGTGGTTATTCCCGAAAAACGCCCAAAGTGTTGTTGTTGCCAGTTGGTGTCGGCCACCGCCTCTCGCCTCTCGGTCCCGAGCCTCAAATTTCGGTCCCGAGGACTGCATCCTGAGCGATCTATAAGAATCACAGCATCACCTCAACCCAATATACACAAACCAGCTTGAGAACTCATCATCAATATCTATCAAACACACAGTTACTTTCCTTGGGAGACTTCACGTTCCTGATTTTGTTTATTATTATGTCTCTTCCAGTCCTAATCGTCGGCGCCGGGCTCGGTGGAGTCTGTCTTGCCCAGGCCATGAGAAAGAACAACATTCCATTCAAACTGTTCGAACAAGATGAAAGACAAAATCTTCGCACTCAAGGATACCGTCTCAGAATTACTGAGCATGGCGTCAAAGCTCTAGAAGATTCTCTAACACCAGAGATTTTCGCTCTCTTTGAGAAAACTTGCGCTGCGACAACTGGGCTCGGCGTCAGAATCAAGCCCGACGGCACTTCGACTACAACTTTGGGAGGTCCCGGTGGTCCTCCTCCTGGGCCACCTTCTGGCTCCTTCTCAGGAAAGATATACACAATTGATCGCAGTGCTTTCCGCGAAGCACTGCTAACTGATCTTGACGAGCGTGTCGAATTCGGCAAATCTCTACTGCACTACGAGGAGTTTGATGATAAGATCGTCGCCCACTTCGCAGATGGAACCACCGCCCAGGGGGCCTTACTAGTCGGAGCGGATGGTGTTCGCTCCAAAGTCCGCAAGCAACATATACCCAACTTCCCAGCTATAGACACGGGAATGCGCATTGTGTTCGGCAAAACACCCATCACGCCTGAATACTTAGCCGCTTCACCAGAGAACCACCGAACAGGAATGAGCCTGGTGACAGACCCAGACGACAAAGATCAACCAACCCTCATGTTCGAGTCAATTCATTTTCCATACGCGAATGATGCCACAGTACCGCCACTACCCAGCCCGTATATGTACTGGGTGCTTGTCGTTCATCGGTCAAAAATTCCCTTCTCTGATGAGAGGTCCTGGCACATTACCCCGCAAGAGGCTGCGGATCTTACGCGTCAATTGACTTCGTCATGGGATCCATCTGTGCGAAGTGTTATTGACTATCAAGATGCAAGCCAGTCATCTATTCGCTCACTTCTGTCCGCCCCGTTTGAAATTGCAGCCTGGGAGCCATCGGGTAAAGTGACTCTTCTAGGAGACTCTGTTCACGTCATGCCCCCAACTGGAGCAATGGGGGCGAATACTGCTTTGCGTGATGCTGCTGATTTGGCGCATCGGATTGTCGAGGCTGGTGGTATTGAGAAGGTGGACAGCCAAGTTATCGGAGGCTATGAGGTCGGTCTGAGAGAATTTGCTAAGATGGCGATCGATATGAGCTGGCAAGGTGGAATGAAGAGTTTTGGGCTTCGACCTGTTGATAAATGCGAGAGTATTGTTCTCTAGGCCCATTTTAGATTCAAGGCACTGTATAGATATGTACATGTACTAGTAGTAATTGCATGTAAAGGCTTTGAATATATTTTTTCCGCTCTCTATCACTCGGTGTTTCGCTACGGAGCGGGCTACACCTTGTAACATTTGAATCAAGTAATACCAAGTCGGATGCTTTCGGTCGCAGTCATTTTCCCATTCAAGCATAAACAAGGTTTTAAGATGTATTAATCATCAACCTAATGTTCAATCATCATGCGGGTTTTGAGTATTCCGTTTCTGTCGGAAGGCAACAGCATTACCCCACGAGGCTGGGGAGTTGGGGCCATAACAACCCCCGGGGCCAAGCCATGCAAAGAAATGACTGGTTGTCTTTAAATAGATTTATATGATAGTTATGATAGGTAAGTATCGAGTTTTGTTTTGGAAGGCAGCCAAATTAAATTAGCACGGAAACACATTCATTTGATGTATTAAAACCTCCAGCTAGCACCAAAACAACTCATTTGAAGATCGGATTCACAGATTCACATTCCACAATATCATCAATTTTATGATCATCTTAACATGAACTCTCCATCGGAATATCCTCTTGCGTGGGCTCGCAAAGCCCAATTCCTCGTTGCCGGCCTTTCTCTGCCATGTGCTATAGCCGCGATCGTTCTCAGAAATGGGAGTGCTGAAACCATTCTGCAGCTTATACTGGTATATACCACACAGCCTGGACTTATTCTCATACTTTTTATTAATATTTTGCAGTTTATTATTGCCATGTTTGCCTCGGCTGTCAAGCTTTTCCTAAATCGTGGCCCTCGAAAACATACCTACTCGTCCTTGGAGATTTTGGCGGACGCTTTTATGGTCGCTCAGTTTCTCGGCATATACATCGCAGGCATTGTTATTTTGGCCAAAAGAAACTATGGCCGCTACTGGCGCCACTCAGAAGCCCAGAGCATTCCCCATACGTACTCCAATCTTTCCTGTCTTATTATGCTGTGAGTATTACGATGTCTCTGTTGGCCGGTCTTGTGTAATGTCATTGATACTAATCATTGAGCCTATGCTTATTAGCATATCTTACGGATACACATTTACTACTGCAGTATACCACCGTCATCACCAATACCTTTTACGTCTTCTCAAGGGACCTTGGGGCACTACATATGTGCTATGTCCTTCCTGCGACCGTGATGTTCAAGCCCTCGATGGTAAAACTCCCAGATGGCAAGCAGGCGCTCCAGAAAGAACTGCCAATTCTTTCGATGACGCTCGGGGCCTTTACACTGACTTTGTAGCTGAAGATCAGTCATTGCTTCGCGATGAAGTCAATGAAACTACGAAGCAAGAGACTGGCGTTATTTCTTCGACCAACGATGCTGTGTAGTAGGTTCCAGATGAGGGTGAAGGTGGAGCAACTTATCTTCCAGTAGACCCCTGGAAGAATGGCTAGAAGATTGACCGTAGCGTGGTGGTTTAAATGATTGGGTTGAAATTTTAGAGTTTATGATTTACATGCCTTAAATGTATGTATGTAACAACTTTAAAGACCCATGCCATGCCAGCTTGCTTTTAGCGTCGTGTTTGTGAATCTATAAAAATTCCAAAAATTCCAAAAATTCCACAAAAGTTGAGTAATCACCTCAATACCTAGGCGCCATTCTCAAGACTAGTTTACAGCGAATACGAAAGATAGACAACAGGAACAGAGTTTGTGTTTCAATATTTCTAAACGATCCGGCCTCCACGTTGGAGTAATTCAGCGCGGAGAAAGAAAGCAGTTAGATTTACCCCAGAGCCCCCAATATTTTTGCCTCCACCAGTCTTTTTCCAATATTCATTTTTTAGATCAGGCCATCAGTTCGATCCGAAAGCCGGCCATACGTTTTGTAGAATGTTTCATCTTCGCCAACGCAGATCTTGTAGGATATTTTGGCATATGTCACGCTTTGGGCCTGAAGTGCAGGCGCTACGAGACGGTAGGCACGAGCGAGCATCATCCAACAGCCGACGACATCATCGTTCATCATCCCCCATGTCTTGACAAGCAATGGCGGCAAATACCATGTGGTAATCTCCGTATCAGGGGCCAGGTCTTTTGTAGCACGAAGAATCATCATATCACCAATGAACGAGTGACAAGCATTATTGAAGCAAGAATGATTGATATGCGATGCTAAGCACCAAATTCCACAGGATGGAAACTTCTCATCTCGTGTACCTTTTCTGGAATTTATATGGCTCCTGCGAGAGGTGAGAGGGGATTTAAATGCGTTCAAGTCGACAATGCACTCGACAAGAAATCTGACGAAGTATAAGCTTTTGGCATGTTTACGGAAATTTGTATAATTCATACGTATCCACAGTGGGTTTACCATCCACCTCCTGGACATCCACCGCACCATATGTACCCCGATAAAGATCGAGTAATTGGGGTAAGTAGAGATGGGTTCTTATAAAGCTTTTGGACAATCAATTCAATGAGCTTCTCATTTGTACCAGCCCCCGCTGAAGGTTCATCATCATCTTTATGAGAGGCATAAGAAAATGCTTTTTCGCAGAGTAGCAGGTCGCCAACTTTGACTGTTGCTGTTGTGAACAGACCATTTCCATGAGACTCTGTCTTTTTAACGATTACAGGTCCAATCTATGTAGCGTGATCGAGGCATGGTGGCCGATGCTCTTTCACCTCCGATAGCATCTTCTTAAACACATAGTTGCCCGTGTTCTGCTCTGCACGTCGAGCCGAAGCTCTCGCAAACTCCTCTTGAGCGAAGGGACTTCCTGGGTATTTCTCGCTGAGCAGCTTATAGATTTCGCAGGATTCAGAGAATCTTTGAAGCTCATACAAAGCTTGTGCTTTTCGAAAAAGAGCTTTTTCACATTGGTCGGGTCCACTCAATGCTTCTTCGAGACCAATAATTACTGCATCAAATTGTCCTGTTTTCAAAAAAAAACAGAGCCCGGTCACGCTCTATTATAGCCCCTAGCTCGTGAGAATGATCGACTTCCAGGGCCTTTGAATAACTGTGCTCATTATCAGTCTCACTTCGAACCATTTTTGTATCTCCCAACTTTACCATTCTATAGCAAATCGATAATTGCGCTGGTCAAAAAACTTGTTCCCTTTTTCTTTCCAGCTTTCGACAGATTCATCAATTTCAAAAACCTTTTCCATCCAGGATGCGGGAACCAAATGATGAAACGTTGGAATAAACTTGAGATCTGAAAAATGATCAACTCGAATACAGTAGTTGCTGTCTCCCATCACCTTAACGTATGGTTCTTTCACAATAATGATGGTTTTCTCTTCAATACGATGAGACCGTGAGAGTTCTTTTTCCTGGTTGTAAAGCTACAGTGTAAGCACTCTGTCCTCTTCATCCTCAACTATTGTCATCACGGCCATTATGGTGTCTGTTGGGGTGACTGTTCTGAGCAATAGATAACACCCTCGGTGGTGGGTCTCTATGAGTAGATCTTTTATCATGATCTTTCTCAAATTGTCGAGGGGAACGGTACACGGAGTGTAGGCAGAAGGTAGAAATGATGATTTGATATTCATTGACATCTCATTATGATTAGCGAGGGCAAGAAAGCGACGATTCTCAAACTCCATGACAATTGTGGTTCGTGACTTCTCTGACTTTAAGGGCTGACCATTAAGCTCTTCAGCGCGCTGGAGGTTCGCCTCCATTTGGGCCTTGAAAACTTTCGAGTGATGCGGATTGTTTGAGGAATTGTGGGGATCCTTTCCGCAAGAAGCAAAGACAGGCACCTTGACTAGATGTAATGACTTTGAGAACTGAGGTTTTCTCTGTAGTAGCAAGAGAAGGGGAAGTCCAGAAGGATGAAAAACGGCGGATGTGACTTGGAAGCAATAGATAATGAAGGGTATATAAAGGCAGACATATCATGATGACGCTACTAAGAGGAACGCTGCATACAATTCGTTTGCAGAATTTGTTTAAGCTAACACAGCTCGTCGGTTTGTAGGGGCAAACTACCTATCAAAGAAATCTTGGAATCAAGCCTTGGAAGGTAAATCTGAAAGTAAGAGCTTAGAGGTTGAAATACATAATTTGCAGGTAGCCTACATGAAGTACTGACACGTTGCTACATACTAAATCGTGGGGCAAACATATTTTATTCATCACATATCCATGGATTATTTATGTATATTTTATGCGATAGCTTAGCATTGGAAAATTCCAGTGTGGTATAGACCATATACTACTAAGGCTCATACTAGTAATATTTGAAGTTCATGAGAGATTCCAGAAAGGACAAGGGAAGGAAAAAACGCATGTGAATCATGACGATGATGATTAAACAAAGCTGGCTAGAATTCGAAGGTAATTTTGTTCGTACGAGACCTTGCTAAGGCACATTCATGAAAATGGCTTATGGAAAACAACTTGGATATACCTTTTGGCCGACTGTGATTATCCAACAGCTACATCTCAGGCACATTTATCCTAGACTAGCAATAAGCCTAGCACACATTTAATAAGATTAAGCTCAAACTATATATCTCGGCGTGACTCCCTAAAGTGTAATCGCTGATCAGGCTGTCGGCTCCTTTACCCAACACGACCCGCTACTTCCTGGGGCATAACCTTGAGGACTTTTAGTGTTAATACGATACCTCTCACTCCTTGTTTAAAGTTCAAATATGCGTATACAGTGACCAATAGTTGTGCTTCGATTTCAATGAAATTTGTCCATATCTAGCTCAAAATGGCGCTCGCCTCGATTGCCTCCCCGCGTTCTCTCCGCGTTTCCCCACATTTCAGCATTCTCCGGGAGTCAAATACCCCAGGATTGATCTCACGTCATATAATTGGTTAGGCTCTGTACGACTGACTTCCAAATTGTATATAATTGACGAGATGATGCCAGTTTAATTTTTAAATCCGAAAGATCCATTGTCTAGCCCATACACATTCATAAACGATATCCGATTTACATCTTACTTGTTTTACTATTCTCATGCCACAATGAGTGTGCAGATTAAAAAGCCTTTCTTTGGCTTTACAGGAGGATGGCTCACTTTCTGGGTGACGGTATGATAATAAATACCTTGTTCTGCTTGAACGCCGCTCTGACAACTACGCAGGTTGCATGTGCAACAGATATGTCCTTGTTTGGGTATGACCAAGGCGTTTTCAGTAAGAATCATAATTGGATGATATGAATGATAGGGTATAACTGAAATAATTCATACAGGTGGTGTGGTGATCACACAGAACTTTCTCGAAGTTCATGACTTGGTCGGGCCTACGAAAACTAGAACCCTTTCCACAGTGACTGCTATATACGATGTTGGCTGTTTTATTGGCGCGATTGTCGCTTTCACCATTGGAGAAGCCTTGGGGCGGAAAAAATCGATCATAGTTGGGACAATAATTATGGCTGTCGGTACTATCCTGCAGGCAAGCTCGTTCAGTCTGGAACAAATGTTTGTTGGACGAGTTGTGTTGGGGTAAGGAGACAACTGATCACTGGAAAATTATGTATTTCATGCTGATTCCAATCAACGTGGCAGGATAGGAAATGGCATTAACACTGCTACGGCGCCTATTTGGCAAACAGAGACTTCACAGGCAAAATGGCGTGGCAAGCTCGTGGTGTTTGAGATGATGATGAATATCGCTGGGTTCTGCCTCGTCAACTGGATCAATTACGGATTCTCTTTTGTCGGTGGCTCTGTTGCCTGGCGGTTTCCACTCGCTTTCCAATTTGTTTTTCTCTTCGTTCTCATGGGCACTACGCCGTGGCTACCAGAATCTCCTAGGTGAATTCACCTCCAACATTATTTACTTATAACTCGTGATGCTAAATTCTTACAATATAAAGGTGGCTTCTTGCACATGGAAGGGAAGACGAAGCGATTGAGGTACTCAGTTGTCTGGAAGCGAAGTCGGCTGATGACCCCTTCATCGTTATGCAGTGCCGCGAAATCAATTTCAGCGTCCGATACGAGCGTGAAAATGCAGTGCGGTGGAGAGATTTGCTGAAGAAAAAGGCAAATGCTACCAAGACCCTTCGAAGGCTCATTCTTGGTGCTGGAAGTCAATTCATGCAACAGTTCGGAGGCATCAACATCATGTCCTATTATTTACCGACGGTGCTTATCAACGTGAGTTATCAAGAAGCAACCCTCGGTCGCTGACTTACGCCTTTGATTGAAAGTAACTTATTAAGCGCTCGTTTAGTCCGTTGGTCTCTCTGATAAGCTGGCTCGCTTACTATCTGCGTGCAATGCTGTATCGTATCTGGTGTTTTCTGGCCTTGCTGTCTTGCTTGTTGAGAGGCTAGGGCGCCGAGGACTGATGATGATTTCAACGTTCGGCCAGTTCGTTTGTTTCTTAGTTATCAGCATATTGTTGTGCTACTCTGAGACGAGTACTGATGGACAGAAATATGCATCGGCATCGGTCGCATTTTTCTTCCTCTATTATGGTGCCTTTGGCATAGGAATGCTTGGTATCCCTTGGTTGTATCCGACTGAAATCAACTCTTTGCCGATGAGAACCAAGGGAGCAGCAGTTGCAACTGCTATGGACTGGTTCGTAATGTTTCGCTCAATAATTTGCTCAAGTCTGATCATGGATGTAGGATTACGAATTTTGTCATTGTCGAAGTTACTCCAATTGGAATCCAGAGTTTACGTTGGAAATTCTGGCTCGTTTGGACTGCGACCAATGCTGCCTTCTTGCCAATCCTTTACTTCTTCTATCCCGAAACAGGTGCGTTTTTAGTTCGATTGCGAAGAGTTCTTATACTAATACCTCTTTAAAAAGCGAACCGAAGCCTTGAAGACATGGACGCATATTATAGATCTAATCCATCTTTAATCGTCACCAAGGACCCGGATGCCATCTCCCGAAAGCGCCCATTAAAATATATCACTCATGAAGCCCAGGCTATTGAGAAGACTGCGGCGGGCTTGAGCTACTCATCAGAGGGGATGGCGACCCATGTGGAGAAACTCGATGAAGAGACTGGCAAGAATTGAGCTTAACCATGACTTCTCGGCGACGAGGCAATATAATGCCTTGGATTTGATGGACATAGCAGTGATTAGTTATGTATCAAATTATATTTTCCTGGCCTGAAGCCATATGAGCGACATTTGAACACTAGAAATCTCCAGTAGTAAACACCGGTATCATTGTTACTGTACTTGAATCTAAATATTAAGGGAAAGATTCAATAGAAGACAGATCAACCAAAACATTCCAATTTACCCTCGCTACAATATAATACATTCAGAGTAAGCTAGAAGGAATGACCATTAATGTATCGCGGAACTGGATTCAAAATTTCTCTGTGTCAGTGTTAGACTGTTAAACATATTACTACTTTGAAAAGATCTAGATGAACATTTCAATGTTGATAGATTTTGGCTTCGGGAGTTTCCACGTTTAGAAGACTCACCGAGCCCCTGAAAGTGCAAATGACATCAAGAAAAGAAATGTCTCAATGAAACGCCGAATAGCCACAACCTGGGGGCAGTCTGGGGAAGAGTGTTCCACTGAAGCGCAGTCGGTGAAGGATTTCCGAACGATTTGCAATTTAGCCCTCATTACTGGTTCTAGATCAAAACGTCAAGCAAAAGTGAAAAGCGGGTCTTGAGTCTGCACTTTTACCGAAAAAGTAATCGAGCCGAATATGGCTCACTTGCCGAAGGACCAGGCAATTAAACTTTCGTATTCTCGGACTTTCCTGCGAAGGCTCCAATTGGGGGGAAAGATGACATAACTGGAATCTCGCCATGAAGTCCGAAACAATGCAGAAATCAACAATTCTCCAGAGTTCGATAAGATGGTTCTTTGGATCTATATAAACACCATGGCCACAGAAACACAATCGTCGGTCTGCACGTTCTTTGGAGCATTCAAGTTCTCGACGAGAAAATAACATCTTCAACCAATTCCTTACTCGATCGGTCGAGAAACTTTAAAATGGGCCGCCAATATCTCAAAGAGGTCACTGGTTTACCAGGATTGAAATCAGCCCCCAGTGTCGACGTTCCCGCAATCGTGAGAGAGGTCATTGAGTCTATTCGCAGTGACGGTGATGCGGCTGTGAGAAAATACTCGGAGAAGTTCGACAAGTGGTCTCCACCGAGCTTCAAGCTATCTCAGGCTGATATCGATGCGGCCATTGCCAACTGTCCCAAACAAACTCTCGATGATATCAAAGAAGTACAACAAAATGTGAGAGCATTTGCGGAAGCGCAGAAGAACTCTCTTAAAGACTTTGAAGTTGAAATCCGACCAGGAGTTCATCTCGGCCAGAAAAATGTGCCCATTGATCACGTTGGCGCGTAAGTTGGACAGAAAATCCTCTCCGGCACTATTCTCGGTCTCAAAAATCTAACCAACTCTAGATACATTCCTGGTGGCCGGTATCCACTCCTTGCATCGGCGCATATGACTATTCTAACTGCCAAGGTTGCCGGTGTTAAAAATGTCATTGGTTGCACGCCGCCAATCAATGGAAAGATCCCTTTCAGCACCGTCGCTGCCATGCACTTCGCTGGTGCCGACGAAATATTTCTCCTTGGTGGCGTTCAAGCCGTAGCTGCTATGGCGATAGGTACAGAGACAATTCAGAAAGTGGACTTTCTTGCAGGACCTGGCAATGCCTTCGTGGCCGAGGGCAAAAGGCAGCTTTTTGGCGAAGTTGGTATCGATCTCTTCGCGGGTCCCACTGAGATTCTCATCCTGGCAGATCAGAGCGCCGATGCCTTCACTGTGGCAACAGACTTAATTTCTCAGGCGGAACATGGCCCCGACACCCCTGCAGTGCTGATCACGACTTGCGCGGAGCTTGGGCGCCAGACCATCGAGATTGTGAACCGCCTCCTTACCGCTTCTGATCTCTCTACTGCATCAGTAGCCAAAACTTCTTGGGACGCTTTTGGAGAAGTTATCATCGTTGAAACCATGGACGAGCTGTGGACGCTAGGCAATCAATATGCGAGCGAGCATGTACAAGTCTTCACCCGTACTCCGCGTGATGCACTGGATCGTATGACAAACTATGGAGCCTTGTTCCTTGGTGAGAAGACATGCGTCTCTTATGGAGATAAGGTAAGGTCACAGCTGTCTACATAAAAGCTGGGACTAAAATAACTAATAATTCTCCGAAGGTTATCGGCACAAACCACGTCCTTCCTACTCGCACCACTTCCCGTTATACTGGGGGTCTATGGGTTGGCAAGTATCTGAAAACATGTACTTACCAGGAAGTCACATCCGATCAGGCCAGTGGCGATCTTGGTCGGCTCTGTGGGCGAGCGGCTCGGGCAGAGAATTTTGAAGCCCATGCTCGCTCTGGTGATCTTCGTGCTAATAAGTACAAGAGGGATCAAATTCAGTGGATCGAAAAATCTCAAAGAACAACTAGCTCCTTGTGAGCATGCGATTGATGTAGTTACTTGGTGGCTCTTTCCTGTGAATATTATTAGTCCATGAGTTTTTAGTGCAATATCCAAATATCTTCTTTACGCAAATTTCCCCATGGCTCATATTACGACTTAATGATCGTGTAATCCAGCATACATCAATCGGTCTATCTCCGACTTGACTCAATACCGATTTTCTGAGAAGTACATATCAGTGGTATTTCCATAGAATTTTCTGTTGGTGCCGTGGCAGCCGAGGCCTGTGGGGTGCAGCTCGGTTGGGTTGCCTAACCCCATAGGAAGGAGGGTTGAATAGTAGTGGTCAAGCCGAGTGTTGACGGCAATCTTAACGAACCCGCAGAGGTATTACAAGCGATAATAGAATCTGTTAAGGAAAGTGAAACTCCAGATAATTGTACATACTATTGCACAGTGATAATTTATAAGTGGATCAAAAAGTACATTCAAGCTCTAAAAGCTGTCGCTTGAGATACCTATTCTGCATATACTAGAAAAGCTTTAACTAAATATGCATCTCTCGGCTCCGTATTCTCGTTATAACTTCGGCGAGCTCTCGTTTTTCTTTTCACTTTCAACTATCTGTCGTCCTAGATTCCAGCTGCACATCTTTCAACCAGTATGATAGGAACCGTATCTGTCCGCCCCACTCGCCTGGCTCTTCTGGCCCGCAATTTCACATATTCTTTTACCGGCTTGCACAAGTTTAATTCCAGTATTGATTCTGTCCCCAGCCTCTCTAGTCGAAAATTTTCGTCTGCAAGCCCAACACTTGTCAATTCCCAAAATCCCGGGTCGGGGCCCCGGCTCCAACCCAAAAAGCCTCTCGATGTTATTTCTGAGGAGAAGGGCGGAGGAATATCGCGCATAGATGAAGACATCAGCATCGAATACCCTGAGGATACCGGTTTACCGCGAACTCCCATCATTCAAGGCCGGGGCGGTCGGCATTTCAAACGAACTCTCGCGCAATTTTCTCTTGAGGACAAGGTTTCAGTGGTGACAGGAGGAGCGAGTGGAATAGGTCTTGCTCTTTCCCAATCAATTGTGGCTTCAGGCTCGCATCTTGCCATTGTTGATATGAACCGTAAGCTGATTGCAAATCCCCGCTACCTAGTACAGAAGATAATTAAAACTAACTACCATAATGTAGACGATGAAGCCCAGATCCAGGCCAAGACATTACTAGAACAATTCAAATCGGAAAATCCTGGTCTTGAGAAGTGAGTCTATATTTTCTTACCATCCCCTCATCTATCATTCAATATTTCTAACTTACTAATTCAATTTATTCAAAGGCTTCCTACAGTAACCGCTCACTATGCTGATGTATCCAACCCAGCCTCGGTCGACGATGCTATCGCCGATATTATAGCTAAACAGGGTAAGATTGACAATTTGGTTACCTGTGCCGGTTTTACCGAGAATTTCAGCGCTGTAACATACCCCTACGATCGAATGCAGAAGCTGTGGGGCGTTGTCGTGGATGGTACCTATCTCTTTACTACTGGCGTTGCCAAACACTTAATTAAGCGCCAAGCATCGGGGAGCATGGTGGTCATTGGTAGCATGTCTGGAGCTATTGTCAATGTTCCTCAGCCCCAAGCTCCTTACAATGCCGCTAAGGCGGCCGTTCGTCACCTTGCTGCATCACTCGCTGTAGAGTGGGCTACTCATGACATTCGTGTGAACTGTATAAGTCCTGGGTATATCCTGACTGCTCTGTGAGTCTCAAGAATAACATTCGCTTTGTGTTTCATTTTCGCCTCTTTTGTGAGGATCGTACTTACTGTCTTGTGCTCCTATAGTACTCGCAAGATTCTGGAAGAGAATTTTGAATTCCGCGAGAAGTGGGTTTCACTTATCCCTGCTGGTCGAGTGGGAATGCCAGAAGATTTAATGGGACCGGTAACTTTTTTGCTCAGCGATTCTGCTAGGTACATTACTGGAGCTGATCTACGGGTCGATGGTGGCTACACCCTGACTTAATCGAAAATAGCAATTTAGAGATACTTGGTATATACTACCATCTTTTTATTCCAATGGACAAGTTCAAAGTTCAACTTGAAGTGCCTGCCCTTTGAGCCACTTCCAGATGTCACTTTGCACCTCTTTTCATTCAAGGGGTTCAAAGATTCATTCCAATATTATATTCTTAGCACCTCCAAGTTTGCAAGACACTCGGATCTGTTGGCCATCAGCTCCATATTGCTTCCAAGTCCCGAGCTCTATAGATTGACGCCCAACCAAGTTCATTTTCAATATCTTCAAGTAGCTTAACTGTCGCTTTTCTCTCATCATCTCTGTTGAAGCAACACCCCGCTAATTGTCAAAGCAAATTTAGTATCCGGGCAAATGAAGAGGAGCTTTTGGTAGAGCATACCATAGTAGAGAGGCTGAACTGAGTTGACACGGCAACTTCCATCTGGCCTACTTTGCGCAATGCCGCATATTTGTCGTGCGTGATAAATTAATTGTGTCTAATACTTGTTATACAAATTAAAGCGTGGGGAAATATACTCTAACTTACTTCTATTGTACGGAAAGCAAGTAGGCTATTGGTGTCTTGTAAGGGGTTTGTAGTTAAGAGAAGTATTTGGGCAAGATGAAACATTTGCCAGGAAGATGCTATGCGTCGTTAATTATTGTCGTAGTCGAAATGCTGCGAGACTTAGAGGATACTGACCACAGACACTTCTTACAAACCAAATAGTTTGAAAGACTTTGCCTTCATCGTTGAGGACTGAAACTGGATCCATGAAGCCCTTGTTCTTTACAGAGCTCTCCCAATGCTCCAGCTGGGCATAAAGTTTATGCCACTCGTCAATTGTCTTGGTTAATGAGTGCGTTTGAGAGTAAGCCATGAGAGCGACCACCTTTGCAAGAATAGCGAGAACCCTTTTGTTCGTTAGAATTTATCTCGAGGTATAAACGTGCAAAGAGGGGATGTACTGGTTATTAATCATGTCCTCGCTTCCTTCCTGTCCAATATTTTCGAGATCAACTACCCAATATTCTGGGTCAAGCCTCAATCTTGACCTATTAATAATAGCACAGGCTACTTCTTGCCGTGCGATAGACCAGAAAGCAGCTTGCGCAACACCTCCTGATGATCCATTCACTTTTTGTACTTTTCCAAAAGAGAAAACACCATCGAGGTGTCTCTGCCAATTAATTGTGGGGGCGTCTAGCATCTCATAGCAAGAACAGATAACAATAGCTGCAAATCCATATCCGGCAAGCTGCTCATTGGAGTCCGAAAGTCGGTTGATAAGAAGTGAGATAGCAACGTCGTAGTTCTTTTGTGCTATCTGCATACCATTGTGCATCTTCCCGACGATATACTGTTGTTTAGCTGCACATGCAATACATGCTGCTTTGAGCAATGGATCCTGCACGGCTAATCGACAAACTGTTTTGGAGAATGTCTCCGACAAGTCAGAGAGATCCATCCAAGTCCCTACTTCAACACTAAATTGACGAAGAAGATCTGTCTCTTCTTTTGAAACACTTGAAATGGAAGTATCATGTATGTCTTGTCCTAAATACGTTCCTTGTGGCGATAAATCGCTATCAACCATTGGGGAACACTGGATTGACGGACTTGATTCACTCATCGAAGACCTGGTCAATTGAGCCCCTGGATTGTTATTTCTCATTGAAAGTAAAGCTTGACCGGCCGCATCTTCTCGTTGACGGATTATTTCCCATGAAGTGGGGGTATTTATTGGTATGTGACTCGGTGCATCCTCCAGGGCATTAGGAACTTCAGACAAGTGGACGTGACAGTCGACATCTTCGAAACTGTCAAGGCCAATGGAGGTAGAGTTGGAGTCAATTATTGATTGGGGAGTTGCTCGGTTTGTTGGTGATATGGAGGTGATTCCAAAATCTATGCCGCTAGGATCATAGTCAATTGCTGGTGAGTTGGTTCTTTGTTCAAGTTGGGTCGAGGTGGTTTGGATTGGCGTTCCAGCACTTTCGGCACCGGTACTATGGTGAATGCGTTCATTATTTTGTCTTGAACTCCCAACTCTTATTTTCTGCGTCCCATCTTGATATTCATTAGATATTGTAATAGTTTCATCCACAAATTGGCCTGTCTGTAGTCAGTTGCAGAACAAGATAAATATTGCTTGGCAAACGTTTATCGAATTCTCATACCAGATGAATTTATATTGACCCAGATATGATCTGGTTCAAAAATCCCCGCGCCCCCTCTTCTAGCTCTCTTGCTAATCGAAGGATTGCGCCAATGCTTGAAAGAGAAGGGGTCGCTGGAAACACACTGGACGTGGGCTTTTTCACAGTTCCTGCATTTCGGACGTCTTTCGTCACACTTTACCTTCCTAGATCGACATGTCAAGCTGGAAATGTCAGATAGTCGATTCCGTGGACTCTACACGCTCGGGGTCACTCACCATCCTAAAAACCGTTAGATATCTGGCTTATTGCATCACGTCCGGGATACTTACCAGTCCATGTCCGCATTTTTTGTCAAGATTGCCAGATCTAAGCGATAAGACGAGAGAAACAGGTAATAATCGCAATTGTGGGTGGATAGATATGGGCTCCTCGACGAGGAAGTTTCGGCAAACATGCCAGGACGCTTGGATGGATGATTATTTCTGGCTTCGATGAGTGGCGGGGGAGTGTGGGGGGAAATGTGGGGACCCCGCCCTATCAAGGGGCTCGTTCATCCGTCTTTGGGTTAGTCAAGCGAGATGAGGCGAACCAGCCGAATCCTTCCACAAAGTAGCCAATGCCTGACGTAGTATTACAGCTGCAAGTTGCATTGGTGGTGGAGATTGGTTAAAAATGTACATTTCTTAGTCTGACATACATCAGACAAGGTAAACTTCTCATGTAAGTCAAAACATACGTGCGGGGAATTCAAAAGGCCGTCATGCTGTTTAACATATAAAATGATTTCACTAAAAAGAACATATCGCATTACCTAAGTAATCTAATACCATAGCCCGTCATTTGGCTTTATTCCTTGCTTTTTGCAATGCTCGTAGTACAAATGAGCATAGCTAAAGACATCCATGGTGTTTTTCAGGCTGTCATCATCGTGGAAAAATTCAAGACTGCCTGTAACAGTAAACACAACTTCTGCGCCCTTGCCCATGTGCAGTGTATGAATAGTTCCGGGGTTCTCAACGACATAGTCGCCGGGTCTGGCGATCCAATCATACCTGGGCCTTCAAGTTAGCATGATCATATTTTAAATTGTATCATATTAGATGAAAACCTACTCTTTGTAGTTCCATTCCCCATTCAGGGTAACAGCGGTCACACTGCCACGATGTCTGTGTTTACCCAACCAAGTATCCTCGGAGCTTCGCAACACGACCACAAAAGTACCGGTCCGGGTTTCAAAGCGCAGTGGCTTCAGTTCGAGATTGTCGTGCCACGGGTGCCAACAGGTGTCTGTTTTGCCGTTGATATAAACATCGGGGGAGCTGAACTTGTCGGCTAAAGCCAGTTCTGATTTTTCAAGCGGAGTCAACTTTGACTCTTCGCTGGCAGTTTTCTCGGTTGCAGGGCGGAAGGTAAGGGGGACATCAGAGTCAGAGATAGGAGGCGCCATTGTATAATATTTCTCAAAGGTTTGAAAAGATGTTGTTTGGGTTGAGAACTTCAGGTCAGCTATCGGAATTTTATATCTACTCTCAGACTGAGTGGAACCGGACTTCTGGGAGGTACATCTTGATCCTGGCTAGAACCCCGCACCTTTTGCTTGAATTCTCGCTGTGCTTTCCTGTGGCGTTGTTCTGACCAAGTGACACATGTGCATGCACTCTCCTGCCGGAGTGCTGACCTAGAGCAGCAAACAGGTTTCCATAGGGTAGACCAACCGAGACCCCTCGCTGTACACTCCAAATACGGAATATAATCGCTAACTGACTCAGATTTAGGAAATTTCATTTCTAGAAAGCCATCTCAAAGTTTCCAGTCTTCAAGTCAGATGATGAATAGAATCAAGTACGCCAAGGGGTTTTCAGCTAATCTCTGCTCTATTTGCGAAGCGGGGTACACCTTTTACGCACACATTGAAATTCAATTGACAGTTCCAAAGCCGTGGCATACTGTACCAAGTTGAATCTCACTATCCGCTGTTATCATTATTCTCTCATTAACTTTACTCGGTGACTGTGGTCGAGTATACCGTATGCTCATACGTCTCTAGATGTACTGGTTTCCATTTGAGACTGTTCTACTGCCGCATCCACAGTCAACCCCCATCTGTTACTCGCATGTCATTTTAATATCAATCGGTAGCGTCAGGTTTTTTACTGCGTCCAGTTTGCCTGTAAGGTCAGATTTAGAATTGTGTTTGTCAAAGAAAAAAAAAAGTACTTTGAGTTCTGGCCGATCCTGAATCTGCGTTAAGCTTTCAAGGCCCGAAATTGAAAATGCTTCCTGCGTACCAATAGTTAGACAGATCAAGATCACCAATATAGATACCTACAGTAGAGAGCCCTAGATAGAGACATTTATAGAAAGATAAAGGAGTTAAATGTAATAGTCTCAACCAAATATATTGAATGGGGAGTCACTATGGTTTTACGTAACTCGGGATATGGTTTATACTATTTGAACTTGACATATTATACATCTCCTACTAATACTAGTACACCTCCTCATCGAATTTGACTGTTTAGCCGGACTACCTATCGCAATCAGTTATCTGCGTCAGACGAACCCATTGATTTTATCTCTTTGGGCACGAGACTGCCAATGAGCGGCCTCCTTGATTAACGCTGCAGAATATATGGCTCTCGAACTGTCTCTTCTTCGCTGATGACAAGGGATTTTCTGTATCGTTTCCAACTACAGGCAACAACTTGAATTTGATCTATACTTCCTAGCCTCTAATTGTAAATACTCCATCTACAGGCATGATAACACCTGTCATCCAGCTTGACTCCGCGCTAGCCAAGAAACAGCCGCCTTGCCAATTTCTTTATCTGCAGTGTTCAAGACTCCAAGCGGCGTCATCTTCTCGAATATTGCTTCAAATTCAGCGCCCGGCACTAATTTTTCTGCCATTGCTGTTTTGACAACTAGTTGTAGATGTCAGCCTAGCTAAAATTAAAAGGTCACGCGCATCAATTTCCAAATACTCACATCCTGGGCAAATTGCGTTGCATAGAATCTTATTTGCAGCATAGTCAAGAGCAGTTGTTTTTGTCAATGATATAAGAGCTGCCTTAGAAGCGCAGTAGACCGCTACCAGTGGAAATGGTTAGAAAATTTGAATGGTTTTTCACTTTTTTCACTCGCAACGAGCCGAATCTTCGTCTCCGATAAAGATTCATATAGAACGTACCTGCCCCTCGGGCCTCTCTCAAGCCACCAGCACTAGAGGTGTTGATTATGCGACCTCTGTGCCCAGTCGTATCCGGACTCTATTTCAAAAATCCCATGATGGCATATTTGCTGCACAGGAAAGGTCCTCGGGCATTGACACTCCTACAACTTGGCAGTCAGCGTATGTTTGGTCAATTCAAACAAAATAATAAACGGAAACATATTTCACTCACTGTATAAAGTCCCATTGATCTTCGAGTACTTCATGCAATGGCATGGGGTGATTAGAAACACCCGCATTATTCACTATCCTATAGGTAGCGCGGATTAGGCTCAATATCCGTTGATATACGGCTCAGCCGGGGTGCACAGACACATCAAGTGGACCACCAGCTTCTAGAGCTTTTGCGGTCAGGTTCTTTACTTGTTCTGAGCTTGTCACATCTGTCTGGACAAATAATGCTTTGCCTACGCCGTATGCGCGGCAAATGGCCTCATCAGTAGGTCGATGGTTTTCTGATGATTCCGGCGTGTGGCCATTCATCCCCTCATGCTTAGCTGGAAAGTGCCTAATATCGCCACAAACAACCAGCTTGGCACCTCGTTCCGGCAATGGCAATAGCGCGGCCAATTCCAGATGAGCTACCAGTCACAACACATACTTTAGAGTCCATCTTGTCACCGTTTATTTGTCCAAAACTTAGTAAATGCTGAAGGCAAGCTTGTGTCAAGGTAGCACTGCTGATATTTCCAGTGACAGGAGAGGCTTTTGAAGAATTTTTCTCACGGGAGATTGCCAAATTTAAGTATTTCACTCTACATACTGAAGAAGGTTAGTGAGTACGAAGGGGTCCAAGTGCCTTGAGTTGGCCCCCGATATACAGTCGCAGTTAGAATATCTACAAATCCTCCGCTTCTAATAGCTTGAAACCGATAGTATTGGTTACTCTATCGGCTTGTATGTTCCCAGAAGATGGTAAGCTATCCACCAGGGGGGGAACCGGGGGCCAAACGCCTTCCTCCCCCCGAGCCTTGGGGCCTTAGAACATCCACTTGGTGTTGAGTCTTCTATTTCCTCACAGAACCTTACTACAATGAAATTGAATGAATTGAAAATCAAGGCGATAAGCCTAAATTTCAAGATAGTAAATTAAATATGGCAATCCATATGGCATACCCCATCTGCGCAGGTGACGATTTTGTTGGGAATGGAACAATAAGATGGTGTTATATAGGTGGTGCCTTTTGCACTGCCAAACAGAACCTTTGAAATACATAAGTAGACATTTTGACCAATCAAAAGTGGCTACTGGAGCCGAGATCAATCACAGCCAAACGAGCGATCTACAGTACATTTAGGTATGTGCGACGTATCTGTGAACAGTGTTTGTATAAATCCCCCTAATTGACAAATAACACCGCTCCCTTCTATCTTGCATCCTTTTCGAGGTTAAATTCCCCTTCTCCTATAAGCCAAGACATAAATGGTCTCGCTTTGTCCCGCCAAGCAGAATTAGCGCAAGAAAGAAAAGTTAGCGAATAGTTGCACACGGGAAGCATCCTAGCTATTGATTCAGAGCCTCAACGATATGAATATCCCCGGGGGCTCTTCAACGGGAGCATCCACCGGTACACATCACAATCTAGTATAAACTCCAAATAAAGAATTTTAGGAAAACCAATTCTTCTCACAACATTAAGAGCACAGAAATGAAAAATATTGGAATCTCTCATTTGTAAGATGAAATTATACTCTACATTCTTTTGGCAGGTGAGAGTATATTAAACCATCCAGACCCACGAGCGGCAAGTACTTGTTCACTCTTGCGGTGTACACAATTCGTGAGCAGGGGGCCATGCTTGGGCCCACCAACTTAATTTGTGGGTTCGGCGTTGCCTACATGGCTATGCTTTGAGCAATCTGTCTGATTGAAAGCGAAAATAATTCTGCAAATTGAGGAAATTTGTACAAGACCTTGAACCCACAAAAGAATGCATGTCGGGGCGGAAATTGAAGTCCTAATGAGATACAGTGACATAAAATCGCTTTTTTTACTTTTCAGCCCAAATGTTTACGTCATATTCTTATGCAACATACTAAGGGAAACAAATTAAAAGCATCATTCCAGCGACAGAAAAATGGGCTTTCTTATTTTAGAGCACCATTTGAAAACGCGTTTCTAACCTAAATGAGAAAAGTGCGTTTCCTATTTCAGTATATAATGCGACTATAATGTATCAAGTAAGAGGGCTATGCTACGGATGTAATCTTTATGAAATAGTCAATGAAACTTTAATTTGTGATAGTCGGTTTCAATATAGCTTGCACAAGAGAAGAAATTGAGATTGATGAAAAGTAATTCCATGCTAAGCCTATACGCTTCTATTAGTGACTCACAAAATACAGTTTGAATATTGGTGTCAAAAAGCATTCTAAGGTTATGATATATGGATAAGTAGACACACAAAGTGTAGGTATTTTTATCTACATGCCTTTGCTACTAGAACCTTCAAATTGGAACTGGGCACTGTGTAGTGGTCCATAAATTTAATGCCTTAACATTGGAAGTACACTCATCAGAGATACAAGGAAGAAAATAGCTTCTTTGTAATTATAATTCATTATAAACATTTTCACGAACTCATTCATGGGTTTCGAACACAACAATATTAATAGTCTCATCTATGAATACACTCACGGCAGCTCTGAGGCAACTTCTCCAGATGCAGAACCCCTGCCCTTCGATACCAAGGACGCCTGCTTAGTCTCGGCATGAACTTCAGATATGAGTTCCGAGCCGCCTGCTTCAGACAAAAGCGGTCCATCCAGTTCCGTTGCGTCCTCCGAGGCAGACAGCTCCCCAGGACTATAGGGCCCTTTATCAGACTGCTCTCCTGGGCTCCGTTTCTTGAGACGGTAGAAGTGAACACAATCTCCACAGATCGATAGTGCGCCCCCGACACCACAGCCAATACCAAGCGCCTTATTGATCGACCCAGGGATGCACAGGCCTGAAAATGAGTGTTCCTGTTACCGTGTTAGACCAGGATCCGGGACCAGCTGCGCACAAATCTTCTTGATGCTCTGATATCGGGGCTGCTGATCTTCTTCGGGAACCCATCGCTTCTTACATGTCATAATACTATCTAAATGCCTAAACATCTTTCTGTGATGGAGTAAATGATCATTTTGGCTTGATTTTGTTTGCTACCCGTACCCGTGCGAACATCTCTTATATCGGCCCCCATCGCGAAGGATCCATAAGAACCTAATCGTTCCTATCGATTAGCTTTCAAGTCTCCAGCGGCTTTAACCCGTTAGAGTAAACATTTTTCCCTATTAAAGGAAAGTTCTGTAGATCCCGTTCATGTTTACGTTTCGACGAATTATATGCATTAGAAAATCACCTGAAAGCGAAGATCCTTGTCGAGCTTCGGATTTAAGCGACATAAGGTGGAGTGCTACTAAGATTCTTCATATGGCTCATCATTACGACATAGAGCGACGACCTCGGGACGTTGCTTCTGTTATGCAGCTCTAATGTAGCTGCTGCTCTATCAAGTCCGTCTACGTATTAAACCTTATAAATTTTAGGCAAGGCTCGTCTGTAAGGTATTAATGGCAATTGAGTGGGTACAGGTCATTCATTAGAGGAGAGAGTAATCACAAGTCGTCTAGGTATCATACACGACCACATGGAGCAGACTTTTGGGGCATGAGTATCCGGGGACATGGAAGAATTAGAAAACAATTAAACGCCGGTCAAAAAGATGCAGAACTTATGTACGCAAAATGTCCACATGGGTCCAGCCTCTTGGGAGTAAAACGCAAGAGGAACCTCTGGTCCCCTCTTCACCATCTATACATCGAGTCATCAACAGCCAACGGGAAGGTAGAAGAAGATCTAATCCTTCTTCTCCTTGGACTCGGCCTCCTTGTCATCCTTATCTTCAGCCTTGGTCTGCTCAGCTTCGGATTCTTCCTTAGGCTTCTCTTCCAGGTCCTCCTTCTTAGTCTCCTCAGTGCCCTCCTTTTTCTCCTCGGTCTTTGAGTGGTTGGCTTGGTGGTGGTTCTTCTTCTTCTGCTCTTGGACGTCGTGTTCGCTCTTCAAACTAAGAGTCTGATGCTTGTTCTTCAACCGCTGCTCCTCAGCAGCAACCATTTCCTTCCAGAGATCTCCCTCATCCTTAGAATCTTGATGCGCAGGAACAGGCTCAGCAGCCTCAGCCTTCTGAGCCGCCTTGTTCTTCTTCGCCGCATCCATGATTCCCCGTCCGCGGCGCTGGTCCGAAATCTCGAATGCAGCAGACGCGCAAAGCACACCCAGCGTCAAGCCCTGAGCATAGACACGAGCCTGGACAATCTTCTGCTGACCAGATATGTAAGGGTTGCGACCGACAAGCACGAATGAGCCGACCATTGAGGCGATCCAGGTGGCGCCGACGATCTTGTATTTCTCGCGGCGGGCGAACGCGACGACTCGCTCGGAAATAGTGAGACCGCGGGACTCTTCGGTACGGAGTCTCTCCTCGCGGTTCTCGTACCAGAGCTTCTCGGCGTTGCGTGATGTTTCGAAGTCGCGGGATGCGTGGTCGGCGGCGATAATACCGACGAAGGTTCCCGATGAAGTCACCAGGAAGGCCTTCATGGGTGTTGTCAGGTTGCGGATTGTGTGGAAACGTCTAGAAGCGAGGAGTACTCCGGCTGCACCTGCGACGAGACCTAGGACACCTCCAACACTACCGCCCTTGACGACGGAGCTGTAATGGTTCTTGCGTTAGTATGGCATGATGCGCCTCGGGAGCTATGCGGAGGGTCGTACCGGTAGTGGGCGTCCTCTTCTTCCTTGGTGAGAAGCTTCATTATGATAAATAGGAAGTGAATGTATGTGATGAGAGAATTGAGGTCAAAAAATGAGGAGTAATCTCGGAAATGGGGGGTTGATATAAAAAAGTTCAAGCTTGTAGAGAGCAAAGGCCGAGAGCCCGGAAAGCATGACGTGAGACTTACGGGATCTGCTTTTTTCTTGTTGTCCGGGCGCAACCGTGGGACGTTTTCTCGGCTGGAGCTCGGCTGAGGCTCGGAGATAGAAGAAAGAATAAGATCATGCCGAGTTACCCAGGCTGTAGGGCTGTTATAGCTTATATATTGGACCTATATATATATATATATATTTGAATTTCAAATTACAATGCTGATTTGAATTTCTGTACGACTATCTGGATACTACTACCCGATGCGATCTTGTTACATGCCCATACCCAGATATCACAGGTTCCGTTGAATCCCGAACGCCGATAACACCCCGAAGAAGCAGAAGAAGAAAATGAAGCGGGAAAAAAAGGAATGATGAAGGTGGCTACCTTCATGGCAAAGCTAACGGAGAATGAAAAGATACGAGAGGTAAATTGAATTTACCGGCGAGATGCCTTGGATGCAGCATTCTGTCGAGCTTGCATCTTGCGGAAACGGTCTTCACCACTGGCACCAAGAGGTCGAGCAAACCGACTTTCTTGCACACCTGTTTGTCGAGGAACGACAGTGTAACTGACTTGAGTACGGTCAACACGCGCACGGTTGAGCATGCGAGGAGGAAGCTTGTCGCGCGCGCGCGCGTCAGCAGCGACAATTTCGGCGGTAGAAGTAGTGCGCTTGACGTTTTTACTAGATAAAAGTCAGTGTAAGATCTCGATGGTAATTCTGGATTGGAAACATACGTAGGATCATAGTCAGCTTGCTGGAACACACGCTTAGAGTAATCGTCGCTCCGCTGGAGAATGGGACGGGTCCATTCAGCCAATATCTTCTCTGCCATTTTCTTGATGTTGGGCTCAGTTCGCTTGCTCTTGGTGTAGAAGACGACAACTTTGCCGATACCACTAGCAATCAAAGCATCTTTTTGAATGGGCAATCGGGTCAGGGCAGTCAGAAGGTCACGCTGAATGTTGTAGGCTGGCATCGATCCGTCGTCGAGAGGCTCGAGGAAGAATCGAACGGCTTCAAGAAGGTTGATTTCCGGGTCGACCAAGCTGTTTGTATATTGATTGCGGTTGAGGAGTTGAAGAACCTCCGGCAAGAGCTTAAGTTTATGCATAGCTGGCTTTCCTTCTTGGCGACTGATAGCGTCCATCTGAGCTGCGTGTGTCATCCGCTTGCGCATATCTTCGATTTCGGCATCCGCCATAGCTTCAAGGTCCTATGAAAAATAGTCAGTATCAAGCAATACATACAGTCCTCCGGCAGCCATAACGTACAATGCCATCCTGCTTCCGAGCTCGTCTCTTGGTAGGCTTCTTCATAGCTTCATCCATAGCACGGTCAAGGGCTCGACGACGACGTGTTTCGGGGTCCAGAGTCTCCTCATCCGTATCAGGCGATGCCTCCTTCTTCTTCTTCTGTCGACGAGCCGATCCATCATCGCCGCCTCCCTCTTCCTCATCTTGTCCGCGACGGCCCTTCTTCTCACGACGACCCTCCTTACGGCGCGGGCGTCCTTCCTCGCCATCGGCGCGCTTGCGCTTGTGTCGTCCGATAAGCTTCAGGTTATCCTCATCAATTGCCAATTGCGGGCGGTCGTCGACTTCAACGTTCTCTGGATCGAAATTCTCAAACTCCGCCTCGTCGACTTCGGAAAGAAGAGACTCGTCGTCAGAGGGTGCGCCGTCATCATCTTGATCGTTTTCTTCGGGCTGATCTTCCTGTTCTCCAGTTTCGGCTTCAGCCTTGTCACCCTCGTCATCATCTCCAGTAATCGGTGTCGGGGCCTTTTCGGGTTCCTCGTGATCCGCGGACACGGCGTGCGAATCGGCTTGGTGTTCTGGTGAAGCAGACATGGCGAAATTTTTAATTCTTGAAATTCCGCGAATGGAGTAGTCAAAGCGAATAAAACCACAGGACGTAGTCCGTCAACCAGCTACGGCGACAGAAGCGCGGTTGGTTATTTGTCTAGACGGATCGGGTGCCTCTCCGCGAGATAGACAAAACACGCCGTGGATCGAGTTAATAGGTATCTGCGATATCTGCGGGATGGTAAAGCAGTGAATCCAATGAAAAAAGAGAATGATCAGCAGTAGAGAATGGAGGGGGGAGAAGAGGCAAAAGGTCGAGGTTGGTGAGAGAAGGAGAAGGTGGTCTGTGCTCCCGTGATTTCTTTCCTCGCCGAAGTTCGCGGCGGACATTCATTCAACTCTTTCACTTCAAGCCTCCCTCTTCACCAGTTAATATCCCCCATTTATCTATCATATTCCACAATGTTTGCCCCAGGTGCGTATCGGAGCTCACTTCTTCTTTCAATCCCATCATCTTCGCGATGTATCAGCTTCCCCAAAAGAAATCCCAAACTGACACAATCCGTTTCAGGCCAGGAACCCCAGCTCTCCAAGGAGGACCTCAAGGTGAATACCATCTCGATATTTCGCTAGGATTGTTGAAAACTTTCTAACCTCTCAAACAGGCCGGTGAGGTCGAGGCCTGCCAGACCGTTCAGATGGCTATCGCCGGCGGTATCCTTCTCTACCTGTGTAAGTTTATATTTCGCCCGGTGTGACGTTATCGACACCACACTTCTATTCGCAAACAAAACCAACTGTGCCCTGCTTCTATTGTCTGAATCTGACATTATTCTTCCTCTATAGCTCCCTTCGCCATCGACTTCGCCAAGAAGTTCCTCTAAAAGAACCATTCTTTCCACCCTCCCCCAACATCATGGGCACATGATATAATCGACATTTAACTACGATCAACTTGTGACATATAGGAGGGCCTTTCGCTGATGTATTATTATTTGTACATGCTTCATTTTCGTTTGCATGGGTTTATTTGGAAATAGATAATGGAAAAAAAGAATCTATGGCAAGATGCCACATGACAGCATATTGCGACCCGAGTAGACATAAGCAACCTTGAATATTTTAGACAAAATCAGAATGATAATACAGCTATCTGCGCATCTACGTGAATCGTAGGTTGAACATCAGATACATCAGAATCTTATAATACTTGATGGGAAAAAATCGGATTGAACTATGCATTACAGTACTTTGGCTCCGCCCAAATTGACGCCGGTGCTCCCATGCCCATGAAAATCTTTAGAGGAAGTGAGGAAATATAATTTGCGTGAAGCAGGAACTCATTCGAAAACATATTAGTTTCCATTAAGCTTCTGAGCCTCATTGAATTCTTTTTGGACAGATGCCAGTTCCTTTTGCAGATGCTGAATCTGAGCGTGGTAATCATCAAGAATCTGCAGAATATAATCAATCAGTAAATGTGAGTGGGTCTCATCAAAGAGGTTAACTGACCTTCTTTGCTGTCTTCATAGTCTGCTCATCAATCTCATCTTCAGAATTTGAGGCCATATTGCCTCCAGCACGTTCCATCTCCGCCTGTAGACGTTTGCTTTGTTCGTGGATTGCTAGCATACGGGCCCAGATCTCCTCACCGCGACCATTGAGGGACGGGTCGAAAACTGATCTTTCAAGTTGAGAGAGTTTCTTCTTGAGCTCTTCCTCGGCATCGTCCATCGCATAACCTCTGTTGCGCAGCACTTGAGTCTTGGCTGCAAGGGCCAAACAACGCTTACTGAGAACAATGTGCTTTCGTCGACAATCGGCGATCTTGAGAGAAATCTTGAGGTCGTGGCGAGATAGAAGGTCGGTCAAGCAGTTATTGATTTCATGAAGGCGTGCCTGCATCATGCTGAGGAAATCCTTCTGTCGCTGCGCGCGTTTGCCTAACTCCCAGAATCCCTTGACTAGTACGGGCACATAGCCTGGTTCGGGTCGCTTGCGCAAAGCTGCCTCCCATTTAGCTTCATCGTCCTCCGGGCCTGGCTGATAGAATGGTGCAGCCTCTTCTCCGACGTTATTGTAAAGATATGCTCGAAATGGTGAAGCGCGATTAGGAGCATCCCACTTATCTTTAACAATGGCAATCTGCATAGGGACTGTTCTGTGGACTGATTGAGATTTATTCGGGTTAGTAGATGCGACCAGTATACGAAAATAATCTCGGATCAAAAGCTTCGCTTACCTCCTGTGATAGCACGCCCGGGAGACCACAAACTCGACGACAGCGATTGTTCTTGCTGCTGACCTTGAGGCTGGACCATAGTGGTCTGTCCAAACTGAGATTGTTGAGGTTGTTGACCTTGTTGTTGTTGTTGTTGTTGTTGTTGCTGCTGCTGACCACCAAATGTTGATCCAAATCCGCTCTGCTGCGGCTGCGGCTGCTGTGCGCTAGAGCCAAAGCCACCTGCGAATAGCCCACCAGCGGTCGCAGGCTGCTGGGTCTGTTGCGGCTGCCCGAAAACACTGCCGGGCCTCGGTGCATTGTTGAAAAGGCCGCCTGATGGCTGGGTTGGTTGTTGCGACTGTTGCCCTAAACCACCAGCAGTGGCGCCGCCACCAAAAACGGAGCCTGCCGGTTGAGCAGGTGTACTCGAGCCAAAGAGGCCTCCTGCCTGCTGCTGTGGTTGTTGCTGAGCTGTGGTTGATGAGCCGAACATGCCCCCGCCTGTTGATCCCTGCTGTTGATTTTGGTTCTGCTGCGTGCCGAACAATCCTCCACCGGGGGAGGGGGTGGCGGTGTTCGTACTGGCACCAAAGCCTCCGAATGAAGTGGATTTATTCGCTGTGTTTCCGAAAAGACTACCACCAGCGGGCGGTGTTTGGGTCGAGGGAGCTCCAAAGATAGACATGATGGGCGTCACAAAAAAACGCGGAAGGGTATCGATGGAAAAAAGGCGCGATCAATTTAATGATACAGGAAAATGACCGTGGGATCGGGCAAAGTCGCGAGTATTTCGATGATTCCAGCGAAGGAATATGAGGGTTCGCAATCGGACCAACCAAGAATTGGTGGTAGGTTAAGGTCAGCGAGCTGAGCGGTGCTGAAGCTCAGAAGAAAGAAGTTAGCGGAGCTGGTTTGTTTGTGGTCACGTGAATACCTTGAAGGAGTCGACCTCGAGGACACTAGCAGTCAAGAATGGCACTCAATTGCTTGTGCCTAATTGATTTTTCTATGCGTTTTAAGTATTTCTATAATCCGAGAATTTCCCTTGATATCACACTATCAAACCAATGACTTCCCCTCTTTTTGTCTACATATAACTGCTGCCCAGCTGTTCTGCAGCCATGCTTAGTCATGTATATTCAATGCAACATTTGAACTGAACTATCGGAACGTGCTAATATTCAAAGCCTTGACAGTTCCAATATCCGTACAATCAAGCAAGTCGATGCTCGAGCTGAGAATGATTGTGAATATTCATCAAGCTAGTGGGTATATCCAAATATGATTTCATGATTTTTTGCATACGATTTTGTGTAGTATAAACATCGACATACTAGTCCCATGGATACTGCACTTAGTACTAGCCGTGCCTTACCCTACGGTCTGGACACCAAACACGACTAGCCGTATTTGGTGTCCCGCAGCGCAATGTAATTCTCACCGGAATGTAATTTTTCTTTTTACACATCTTTATTACTACAAGGTACCACCTTAAATATGGCCGATTCTATTGAAACTGAGGTATCTCGTGTAAATGAGGCCGTGAAACACGCTCGAAGCCAAAAAAAGCCAAATTTACGTGAGGTCGCGCGGCAATATGGCGTTAATTACAGATTGTTATGGCGACGCGTTAATTGTAATATGAAGCCTAAAACAGAGGTTAAACTATTGAATTACACCCTAAATGTCTATCAGGAGAAGGCTTTAGGCTATTGGATAAAGACTTTGGATGCTTCCTTCCTCCCTCTGACGCCTGCTATTATAGAGTATTGGGCTAATGCTACACTTGCGCGGTCAAAGATACCTGATCGGACGGTCGGAAAAGATTGGGTATATCGCTATATTCGTCGTTTCCTAGATACTGAGATGAAGCTTAGAAGGCAGAAAATTATTGATTCTAAACGTCTAGGAATTACAGACGTTGTAGAGCTTTATTATTGGTATGATTTGTTAGCTAAGGCTCTCGAGGGTGTGAATCCACGTAATATTTATAACTTTGATGAAACTGGCTTTCAAATTGGACAAGGACGGACCCGACGTGTGTTTTCTAGCTAATCTGGCAAAGCTTTAGACCTCCCGGGCACAGAATATGGTGAAAGGGTAACGGTCGCAGAATGTATTGCTGCCGATGGTTGGCGAATGTAGCCCTTGGTCATCTTTAAAGGACAGCATCATATGGAGTCGTGGTATAACCATCCAATACCTGATGAATGGATAACTGCGACCGCAGAAAAAGGCTATATTATTGATAAGCTTGCTGTGCGTTGGATGGAAGAATTTGACCGTGAAACATGTACTCGTCTTAAAAACGGAGAGCAGCGTATTCTCTTGGTCGACGGCTGTGGCTCACATCTAACATTTGAATTTCTTGATACTGCGACCAAAGCAGGTATTAAGATATTTGGATTTCCGCCGAATCGAATAAATTATCTTTAACCTTTGGATGGTAAGCCTTTCTAAGCTTATAAGGCTTATTTTAAGATACAAAATAACCTTATTTCTTAATGGGGTGGAGGTCTTCTTGCATCAAAATTATCCTTCCTAAACGACCTTTACCAATTCCGAGATAAAGCCCTTACACCCTGAATGTGTCGAAATGCCTTTTCAGAGCGAGGAATTTATCCAGTTGACGCAAAAAAAGTCTGTGAGAGCCTCGAAAATGCTCTTCTTCCTATCCCAGACATTGAAATTGATCTATCGGGAGAGAAAACACCCTCTCCGGAACCAGATCTTTTGTCGTCAAGTCTTGAAAACACACCTTCAAAAACCTTTAAAGATGTGGAAAAAAGGCAAAAACATCTCTCTCCTCTTCTCTGCCGGCCTGATTTAACGCCCAAAGAAAAAAAAATACTCGCACAGGTCTTAGATGAGCAAGAGTTCTATTTTAACGCCTTAGCTAATACTACGGCTACTATACGGGAAATGGCCGCTATCCGAGCCCCGCGGGAGAAAAAAACTACTAGACGGCGTGTTATGGGCCTTAGTGATGATAGTGTTATACGTGTTAAAGATGCTAAACGTAGTATAGCTGAGAGGAAGGCAAAGGAAGACAAAAAAGATGAGAGACGGGCGGTAAAAGAATTGGAGAAAAAGTACGGTGTTCCTACCACACCACGTATTACGGAGGCTCAAAGAGAGGCAGAGGCAGAACCGTTATACAGCGAGTCGGGAGAGGTTATTGGTTTTTATGATAAATTCTAAATTGCTAAAAAAAATTGTATATAAAGGCGAAAAAATTACATTCCGGTGAGAATTACATTGCGCTGCGGGACACCAAATGCGGCTAGTCGTGTTTGGTGTCCAGACCGTAGGGTAAGGCACGGCTAGTATATATTCAGCCTCTACTAGTCAGCATCAAAGTTCCACGAGTTTACTTGATCATGATCAGACATTCCCGAATCCATGATTGATTGGCAATTGTAAAAAAGAGAACTATCTCTACATGACCGGCAGCATTGGAGTCGAATTTTTCACACTTGGAAATATACAGTGATATAGGCTGACTTCTCAACTATATCTTCAGTCAAACAAAAAAGCAAAGGTGCAAAAAGAAATGCATCATCCGTGAATCGAACACGGGCCTCGTCGATGGCAACGACGAATTCTACCACTAGACCAATGATGCTAGTTGATGTGGAGAGACTTGAAAATTTGCGTTATGAAGCCGGTGTGGATTTGTGGATATCCTGCAGATAAAAATGCTGAGCTAAGCACAGCCCTCCCAACCAATCATAATCAACCCAAAGAAACCGACCTTTCATTCCACCGCAACCCGCAGCTCAGATCAACCTCAAGAACCCCGTCAATTGCACCTCTCCCAATCCTATACAACAGCCACCGTCACCATGGCTCAAAGAGACCCTATGTACGCGCCTCACCGAAATACTCCCTACCAAACAATCCCGCCATCCCAGGCCCTCAAAGCCATGAACCCATGAACTAACCTCCATCCCTCCACAGGTTCAACCAGCAGGTCCTCGTGGACACCACGCCCATGCCGGACCACATCCCCAAGGTAGAAGAGGTTGGCGCTACATCGGCTCCCCTTTTTAGCGCGGCATACTTCATTGGTGACCGGTGCAAGACCTTCAATGACGATTACATGAAGTGCAAGGAAGAAGCGAACGGTCGCGGCGAGATTGAGTGCTTGAAGGAGGGTCGCAAGGTTACCCGTTGCGCTGCTAGTGTGTATGTTTATCTTTTTTGGTTCTTTGGTTCTCGAATTGGGGGATTGGAGAGTGAGTTGAGCCATTGAGCAATTGGTTAACATTCTCATAGTATCAAGGATATCAACACCCACTGCTTGAGCCAGTTCAAGGCTCACTGGGATTGTCTCGAGAACAACAACCACTACCTTTTCGAGTGCCGCAAGCCCGAGCAGGACCTCAACAGCTGTGTTTTCGAGAAATTGGTACGTACCTATACCCATCCACCTCAAGTTTACCTCGGTTCTTTACCTTCCTTACCGTGGTGATATACATGCAATCGGCGTCTGTCCAACACTTACTAATTTCAATCTTAAACAGGGCCTGAAGAAGACCATCCCCGGTGCTCCCGAACACGAGGTCCCAGTGCACCAGCGCCCTAAACAGAAGTACGCCCAGTTCCCTGGCCGACAGTTCTAAATGTCACCTTCTTGACCGTACAAGAAAAGAAAAGAAAGAACGCGGAGCTCATGTTTTGCCCCCTATCTTGTTAATCCGACTTATCACCCCACCTCTTCTGCCGTTCGGGCCCAACATTCCATCTTTTCTATGGTTTTGATGCAAGTGGCCCTTTGTCTCATCTATCTGCCTTTCAGTCTGGTGTATGTTTTGTGTAAATATCTATTGGCATCAGAAATGGTTATATGATTTCTGCTTCGTTTGTTTCTCAATATAACGTCTCATATTTTCCGTGGAAGCATAATGGTTAGATTGCTAAGATTTCTGGATAGTATGGGAATCGTAAATTGATAGACACATTTGATCCCCCGAGGCCTCTACACGGTGGGGATTACAATTTATTGTATGGACCCTCGGAATCGTGATGTCTTATATAATGTGATCTATACAGACTCTATAACTAATGCACACCCATTGACTATACGTTAAAGTAAAAAACGGGCATACTGCGACAGGTTGTATTCTCTCAGGGGCAGTAGGGGAAGGGCCAGAGAGAACAGAGGGAGAGCTCGAAGAGAATATGTCTGAAATGCTATAATATTACTGCAGTAGCTACAATAGTTGATGTGTCTCCTAATACAGAGTATGTACTCCGTGGGCATTAGTTACGGATAGAGATATGGCTTAGTTACCCATACGCCCCACTATGTATGTAAGAAGAGGTCTGATCTAGCTATGATATGCACATATGTTTTGTATACAGAGATGCGTCTTACAATGTTGTATCACCCCACTGCATCCATTATAACATGTCCATGTATGAAAATCTATATTATAACCTCTAACGACCACTGGAAAATGACAGATCCAAAGAAAATAAAGAAAAAAGAAACTCCACAATCCTGAAATTGAAACCCATATATACTGGACAAAAGAAAAGAAAGCCCAACAGAGCACAAAACTCCAGATCATATGGACAAAAAATGCAACAGACATGATGCAGTGTATCGACAGAACCATCAAGAATCCCAATCATTAATAAAGAAGAAGAAGAAGCACCTAAGACGACCCCATGGAGATGTCTATCAAGGCAAAACAGGCAAATCACCAACCCGTCTAAGCAACTTAAACCTCGCCAATCGGCTCTTCAACTCAGACCAGCCCGAGCGCAACCGATTCTCAACCCTGCGATCCCCACGCAATCGCATAAAAATCAATAGCGCACCAAGCATAGCCAAATCCCAGAGTATCTGTCTGAAAACCGTCCAGACAATCCACTTCATCCAAGCCCAGATACCATTTCTTCGACGATTGGCTACTGTGCGTGCTTCCATTGTTTCACGGACAGCGGCTATTTCAGCTGTCATTTTTGTCAAGGCAAGCTCGACTCTGCGGCGCCAAGGACTATTTTTTAAATTATGCGGATCACTTTGGGAATGGGAGTGTGAGTGTGAGTGTGAGTGTGAATGGGGAATTGAATGGCTGCTTGCGCCGGAACTGGGCTTGTGGTGATGATTATGGCGGGAATGTCGATGGGAACGGTCATCGCCGTGGGAAGCGGTGCGCTCCGTACCGGGTCTTGAATCCGATTTTGTAGTTTCGCTGCCATGGTCATGGTCATGGTCGTGATCGTGTTGAATATCCTGGTGTTCGTACAGACTATCACGCGCTTCTTCGTACTCCTCATCTTCATCGTCGTCGTCATCTAGTTCCTGATCGATATCATCGTGTCGATATCGCTGATACTCATCTTCTTCAGGCTGGCTAACTGGACTTAAGACTCGAAGACGGGAATCACGATCCCCACCACGCATATCAGGACGATCATAGTCCTCCGCTGAACTCGCTAATCGATCTCCTATACTTGCATATGAACTGCCTTGATGTCGAGATAAAGGCGGGACGCCGACAGAATGCAGTGGACCGGATGAGGAGGACGAAGACGCATTATACTTAATTTGATCCCAGACGAATTCGAGTTCTGAGACTAGTTCGCGCGCTTCGGGAGTTTGCGAGGCGTATTGGTGCATGGTATTTATTAATGTTGAGATGTAGCGGCGTTTAGCTTCTGTGCGTGTAATACCACGTTGAGCATACCAAGCATCCCTATTAGAAGAAAGGAGGTATTAGATTTGCTGTCTGCGATGAAGTCGTAGGTGTGTATAGTGGGTTGTTGTAGTTTCCCGACGTACCATTTCTCACACTCCGCATGAACCTCTGGTGTATTTCCTATCGGTCGATCCATGACACCCTCAACATCTCCCTCTAATCAGAATAAGCCGTTCCGATCCGTAACGCATATCTATTCAAACCGAATCCACTCACCCATGCTTTGCTTGTATAATCCATAAAGTTTTAATCGTTCGGCCGCCGGAGGGCGCGCAGTGCCCGTCCGGGGAATCCTCTTAACAGTATTCAGGGCATGGACGAAGACGCGATCTACCGGAACAAAAAAGATTAGCCCCATGTCGCGTTCAAATATCCATCCTATCAGGACCGTTAACGCACCTACAGAATCCGACATTCTGACGCGAAAAGAAGCAGGCCGGTAATCAGCGCTGCCTTCATGGAAGCGGGGTCGGGCATCGGCAGTCACGGACGAGCCTCATGGAGAGCGGAAGATCGAATAGTACTCGATAGATAAAGGAGTTGAGGGGAATTCGAATGTAGGGTCTGGAATGATGTAGGGAAGGGGCGGACGGTTAACGTTCGGATTACGCTTTAGCGGGTTTGATCGCGTTCCGGGACGCTATCGCTTTCGTATCGTATGGTCTGGGTTGGGTCCGACGGGAAAGTCGTTAATGAGGGGGGGATTGATTGAAATTGTATTTTAATTTCTTTTTTGTCCCCAGTGAAGAGGGGTTGGAGGTGAAAGAGTCTGGGGGAAATGGATCCTAATCTCGTGCTTCTGGGGAAGAACCGAGCCAACATTAAAGTGGCGTGTGCTTGATGATTGTTGGACCGCGGCTCTCGGAAAGATCGTCAGGGCCATTTTGACCTGTGATTAATACAGTAATAGACTAGAGTATGTTTAAGATTATATTTAAGATTAAGAGTAAAAAATGAAGAAATTAAATCATATGCAAATGTGTATAATCAAGCCATTAAAATACTGTATATTTGTCCCCATGCTCAAGTGCTGGATTACTCGCTGCTCGGAACTTTCTTTACTTCCGAATCCTCAAGCGCATGTTCCGCATCCACCACTGCGCCCGAAATAACACCCGCAGCTTGGACCTCGTCCTTCGAGACAGGGGGTCCGGTGAAATGTTTGCGAGCATAAGCGAAATACCACACAATACTGATCATGGCGAATCCAGCAAAGACCACACTGGCATAATTCATAGAGGCAGGAGTAGTAGGTAAAGTGTAAGGCATGCAGAAAAGAACAACAGCTAGAACAATCCAACAGATCGTCGCTGCGTTAATAGCATATCCAAACTTCCCCAATGAAAAACCAGATCGCTTCACATCTTCACGGCCTCGAATCATAGAGATCAAAATAGGCAATCCGTAAGATGTGGAGAGACAAATGGTCGCCACACCAGTGAAAGAGTTGAAAGCAGCCGTGGATCCAAAATAGATCAGTCCCAGAAGACCATCAACGACAGCAGACAAGATAATGGCCCAAACAGGCACATCGAGCTTCTTATTCACTTTACGCCAAAGCTTGAATCCAGGAATGGCGCCGTCGCGAGCAAATGCATATGTGCATCGACTCGCAGCAGTGAGAGATCCGATTCCAGCGAACATCATAATTCCCAGAATCAAGAAAAGTAATGCAAATCCACCACCTGCAGAACCAGTCGCAGTCTTAAAAATCAACCCGATCGGCTGGCCACTCGCAATGTCACGCAATGCCTTCAACCCAGCCGCATCACTGGGCATGACAAAAAGGACTGGAATCAAATAAAGCAATCCCGTAATTCCAGCCGCAGCAACAGAAAGCACAATAGCCTTTGGCACCTCACGCTCTGGATTCTGAACCTCCTCACACATAGCAGCCACCATTCCATACCCAGTCAAAGTATAAGCAGCCTGCAACAATCCAACGAAGAAAGCCCAACCAGCAGGCCACCCGCTCTCGCTCGAATCATAATGCGCAAAGACAAACTCGCCGCTATTCCTCCCATCATCCGCCATGGTAAGCAGCGTAACGAGAATAATAATAACGCTCGCAGCCGTCCAAAAGATACAAACCTTATTAATAAGGTCCAGATATCTCGAAAAGAAGATATTAACAAGAACACAAACTAACAGCACAGCCCAAAACATAAGGACAGTCTGCCATGCATTCGCGACAAAGTCTTCATTCCAAAGGCTTATCGCACTAAGAATCAATTGTCCTCCTCCAAAAATGATACTCAGTGTGACGGTCCAGTTACCTACAAGTGTAAGCCAGCCATCGATGAAAGACATCAACGGCGCCCAGCGACGAGTAGATAACATTGCGCTCCAGTAATAAACACCGCCAGCGGTGGGGTAGACGGCGCAGATTTCAGCGAGAGAAGCGGCGATAGCGAGTGAGATGAGGGTGACGAACACCCAGCCCCAGATTATTGTGACGCTAAGTCCGTCGTCGAGGGTGATGTAGAGGGTTGTGCTGAGGCCGTATGGAGCGGCCATGATAGCGAAGGATAAACCGAGGATACTAAGCATGCTCAGATTTCGAGGCAATTCACTTTTGTAGCCCATACGCTCCAACGCCTGGTCGGCGGCGTCGATTGAGGAGCGCATGGTGATGTGAAGATGTGAAAATGAAAACGAAAAGTGGGTCTCACAAAGGGATATGGAGGAAAAAAGTAGGTAATGAATATGGGGTATCAGATGGGGCAGAAGCTTGGAACTATTTAAGGCTGTCCGTATCTAACCAGATAAAGGTAAACGTGGAGAGCGTAGTCAAGATGAAGTATAACCCCGCATGATAGACGTAAGATGCATCGCGGTCCGGGACCGCGGGCATGAAGGTTTATTTGAGAGCAAAAAAGGTCAGATGGAGACCACATGGCTGAACCAATAAGATCCCGGTATTCACGTGGAATAAACTCCGAGACATCACATATCAGGGTCCAACGAGAGTTTAACGCTGGGCCGCCTCATTAGTCACTAGATAAGCTATCATGGGTCGCATGCGTGGAGCGGTCCATATTTGACCAGCCTGAACGAGCCTAGCCCAAGATAACCCGGGTAAGACAAAAAAAAAGTCGGACTCGGATCTTGTCCTTGAGTCCACCGAAATAAGATAAGAGACTACTATTAAGGGGCGAATTATCAGAGATAGGTATGAATATATAAAGTTCTCTTATCATTTGGTGGTTTTAAATACATCAATGGGTCACCTCAGGGGGCAACGGCTGCCACATCTTGTCAAAAAATGCTCCATCCGGAATCATGAAGAATTCCGAATGGAAAAGAAGATGAGCGCCAGGATAAAAGAAACAAGTTTGAAAATAGAACACTTCAGATAATTCAAAAAAAGGGGCTCAAATCGAGGCCGAAATTGGAGTCAAAAGCTTGGGCCATGCCAAGGCTTCCACGACAGCGCCCCAGGGGACTGGGAAGGGGGTATCAAACGGGGGCACAGAAATATCCAGTGATCTCGCTGGTCTCTTTGGAAAGGAATTTTTTTCTTGTTTGGAGCATCTAGTCGGACATGGGACGAAGAGATAGTATTGGTGGGCGGAAGTAGGCCCTAGATTTCGGGAATGGGGGAGCAGTCGAGGGGGAAGAACGGGAAATTTTGAAGGGGGATGTGTTGGGGCGGTAGGAAGAAGAGGACAAGAGGTTCTTGAAGAGGAAGACTTTTTGAGGGGCGGAAGAAAAAGAACCAGAAATGTCCAGAACTCCAGTCTATTTGACCACCAGAGAGGGAGAAGGAAAAGAAGGGAAATGGGGAGGTGATTTGGGGGAGAAGGGGTGAAGGGGAGGGGGAAAACAAAACGAGAACGCTGAGTCGTACACCAGCCAGCTAGTATAAACTCCGTGGAAAAAAAAATCATGAGGGGAAAAATAAAGAACAAAGAAATAGAGCCCGTCACACGGAACGATCGTAAATCGAGTTGGGTGGAGGGAACGAGAAAACGCCCATTCATGCAGTCGTCAGTCCGGTGAAATCGTTACAGATGCAGTACAGTCGCAAGGGAACGCAAGAAGCGCTGAGGTACAAAAAGGAGGCCAAATGAGCGCGACATCAAAAAAAAACCCACTTATGGGCTGAGTCCGCCGATGAGATCATCAGGACCGTCAAAGCCAAAACCGGCCATGTCAACAGAATGTAAAGAGCCCGGCCCCTTGCCCAAAGAGATATCAGAAGATGCGTAGTCATGCTTAAGTCGCTCATGAGGGCCAAAGAAAGGTCGATTCTCTTCATTGGGAGTATTGCCATCGCTAGCGACCCATGGTCCATTTTGCCAGAAGCGGGTATTCGCTTGTTGATCTCCGAACAGATCATGATGATCGGGATGGGGATCAGGGCCGTGAATGGGGAACTCATTTGGCGATTGAAGCCGCAGATGCGACCGGCCAAAACTGGAGCACGGCGAGTCGGCATGAAGAGGCATATCTAAGCCAGTAAGCGGAGGATCGTCGACGGGTGTAATGTCGATCGTGGGATTCTCCGTTTGCTGGGCAAGCACGGACGATAATCGAAGATTCGATGCGGAGCTTTGTCGGCTATGACTGGCAGAACGTTCTATGGCACGTTGCACAAAGCTACCACAGGTCTTCATGATCTTCTCTTGAAGCTCTGGAGAGAGACTAGCAAAATAATCATTCGCCAGAGACGCTTTGGGTGGCTCCTCCGGGGATGGGATTAGTCCGTAGGTGGTCTTGGCATACTCTGACACGCCCGACGGCATGTTGTACGGAGATTGGTATACGTTGGGGGCCAATGCCCGTTGCTGGTCGAGGAAGGCATATTTACCAGGCATTTTAGCCGCGGCAATACTGCCTCGATCGATGGTCTCCAGCTTGACACCCTCGGATTCCTTCTTTTGAATCACGTCTAACCGCTCACGATGACTCACCAACGAGAACCGGAGCATATTTAAGAGCCGCGTCACCTCCTCAGACCTCATGTTCAAGGTTTGAGGGGGAAGCAAAGTGCCATCGGCCGCCCTCGGTTGCACCCTCTGCTGGGCCATGGCTAACTCAAGTTTCTCGAGTCCATTGGCAGGAGGAATCGAGCCCATAGGACCAAGCAGAGTTTCTACTACCAACTCGGGACTAACGATCGTATATCCGGCAAATACATTGGCATGATCGGTGATCTGGGCAAGACGCCGACGGGCGATAAGCTCTCGAACGTTGGCAAAGGTATTAGTGGCGGGGAGGTGGTGCTGCTGCTGAACGTGCGACTTGGTGACCGATGGGTAGGGGGCATGTCGGGCGGATTGATTCGGCAAAGTTCGAAAAGCCGACGGCATCGCAGGACCAGCAGCAGCAGCACCGGCGGCAGGGGCAGGGTGAGGGGGAGGGGCAAGGTGCTGCAGGGAGGCGGCAGAGGTGGGCGGTCGGGATTGATGGTGAGGGGTTTGGTTCGCGGGTGATAGAGGTTCGTGTTTATATTGTATTTGCGGTCGGTGTTGGGCGTAAAGATTTTCCTTGTAAGGAGGGGCAGGGGCGGTGGCAGCATGGGAAGAATGGTGGGGTGAGATCTTCAATGCACGAGCACTGACACCAGCCACACCAAGCGACTTGACGCTGTCCAGGAAATTGGCCCGCGGGTTGTGGATGGGCACGCTAGGGTTGTGCGTATACTGTGCCCTACTCTCAGTGGAATGAGTGCCCAGGTAATGCCACACCTGCTCTGCTTCGCCCAGGTGAACCTTCACCGGTGGGGCAAATTGGTTTCTAGTTGCATCTACCGTTTCAAATTCGGCCCACTGGTAAGGGGATTGTCCGTCTCCAAAGGCAGTGCCTGCGACCGGAACCGCTGCCTCCAAATCCTTTCGTTGTTCCGGCTTTCGCGCCAAGTGGGCCGGCAGGGCTTGGATTCCCACTGCGAGGGGCACAAAGTTGCTCTTGCGCACCACCAGCATCCAGCGGTATGGCATTTCGATGAGATCTCTGTTGACAATTATCAGTATTAGGACAGGTACAAAAGCCAAGCATACCCTTTCCAAGTTTCTTTTGTTTATTTAGATTTTTTTTTGGGTCGGGTTTCGGGAAGATTTCGGGAGAGGAAATCCCCGGTGGGGTTGGAGGGGTAAAAGTAAAACGCAATTGTAAATAGTGAAACTTACCCTCTTGGGAGAACCTTTACCAACAAAGTTCGTTCCTCGGGTCGATTTTGGAGCACAATGGCACCATTAATCTCCTTATCAGCCTGGAACTGGATCAAATCGCCCTGGACTTGACGACGAGCCGCTTCAATCAAACGACGATCAAGGTCAGACGACTCTCCAAGCAAACCAGTTGGTCGCTTTTGTCGGTGGAATTTGCACTTGAGGTCCACGGTAGGCAGCGCATACTGGTTACCATCATCGGCAATGACAGCAAGAGCACCACGTTCGACTTGAACGCCCGCTAGAAGTGCACAGGTTGCATGATATGCCCGAGTACACTTTCCATAGTTGCACTGGAAGCAAGCACCATGAACCTCACGACAGAACAGGCACTTTAGACCCAGACGAGCCTTGGGGATCTTGTCAATGTCGCACACAACTTCGTTACCGGAAGCGTCGCGAAGGATGCTGGTTTCTTCAATGAACCCAGCACACCGCCGATGTGCATGTCCCTTGCCATCTTCAGTGGGCAAAAGGTCCTCGTAGTCAAGATGATTAGGACATAGAAGGCACGGGAGCTTACGCGGGCCATCAGGGTGGAGCTTTGGACGCTTGGTTCGCGGCCCGTCACCCGGAAGCTTCCTCTTTCGGCCACGATTGGAGGTTTTCTCTGGTACGCTGCGTGGAGGAGTCAGAAGATCTGAGGCACCTTCAAATCCTTCGAGCTCGCTGTCGTAGTCGCCATAGTACTCGGGGGTGGCCTCGCCGCGCAGTTTGCGTTCGATCTCATCCACATCGATCCAGACACTGTCGGCCTCACAATTACATTTCTTGGCAATACGGCCATAATCCATCCATCTTTCGGTTGCGAAATTGACGGACTCGGCGCAGTTGTATCCAATATTGTAGCCAGAGTGGTATCCATAAGGGAAGGTGATGACGAATTCCCCTTCGTAATGGACTAACCGATTCACAGTGATTCCATATTGGGATTTGAGCAGGCTGGGCGAGACCAGATAGGTCTTATGGCGTAGAAATTGATCACAACTCTTGGCATCGCTGGACCAAATACTCCGCATCGCCGCTTCAAATCGTGGTGCATCCTCCTGAGAGATACTATACCACTGTTTCGGTGCACCGAAGTGGATATAGTTGATACTGTAAAGATCGACATCCTCCAAATGCCATGCAAAAGTGGCCTTCCACATTCCCAAGTAGAGGTAGGCCGTATTAACTCCTGGTACTTTCTGTCCGAGAACATCGAGCAAGTTCGGTAATTTGGCAACATTCCATACATCGGTTGATTCATCAAAAAGCGAGCCAGGCATATCTGCACCGTACATAGGGTTGTTGTACATGAGCGACTTCCAATATGCGGTCTCTAGCTCTTCGCATCTTTCGGCAGTGTAATCTTCGTTATCATGAATGCGGTAATCAAAACTTTCAAAAACTGTTTCGTCAATGTGATCCACTGTCTCTCCGCGGTTGTTTTTCCGACGCGAGGTGACGGACTTGGGCTGTCGTCCCTTGGGCTTGGCAGCCGGCAGAGGTTCTCCGTCACTCAAATCTTCACTTTTAGCCTCAACGGGGTGAGACTCGGGTGATACAGGCGTGGGAGGACCTTCGGATTTAGCGTTCTCTGTTTCGTCTATTGGCTCTTCTTTGATTTTGACTTGATTGGTACGCTTGGGAGGTCGACCGGGTTTGCGTTTCTGGCCTTCAGGACGTGAAGCAGGCTGAGGTCGAGGAGTGGGCGTCACTTTATTTACTCGCTCCTGATTGCGGCGCCTCTCTCCACGACGAGCTGGTGGTTGGTGACTGCTTTCCTCACAGAGACCCTTCCATTGAGGCAGGTTGTAACTTCGTTGTCGCTCAATATTGGCCTGAGTGTAGGTACCGTGCGATCCATGGAATTCTTGCATGATAGGGTTTTTAACGCGAATCGATTTTACTTGGTCGTCCAGCGGCTTTTGGGCGTCGATCCTGGAAATAGAGATATGGAATGAGCAAAACCATGCAAACCCCATAAGAGGATCTGCGAACTCACCATTCTTTGGGAGGAACCACCTTGACAATTCCTGATTTCATTCCATACTTATCAATTTTGTTGATGTAGGCTTGGAAGTCACGGAATTGATCCATGGTCTGTGAAAGTTGGCAGGTTAGCGTCATGACATGGGTAATGCATACTGGACTGTGCAAGATCTTGATTGCAAGCTGCTCTCGTTTCTTATATGGACGAGGGAAACGAGGAGGTGGAGTAAACTAACAGGCTTGAAGACTGGAATCTTTCCACCACCATAGTAATGATCGGGCTCGACTTCTTCCTCTTCTTCTTCTTCTTCCTCCTTCTTGATTGCAATTTCAACTTGCACAGAAGCTGACTTGTTGTCCAGCTCAAGATCAGAGAACTCCGAGGGTATACCTTCGGGGACATCCTTCTTCCCGTTGGCACTATGCGGCGGTGTGATGGACGCAGAGTTGACCATCCCGGCCGCAAGGGAGTCGCCGCTTGGCTGTTCGACAGCCATCGCCATGTTCGACAATGTAGGTAGACTAGGCTAGGCTAGGTAGGGGGGGAGGTTGTTGAGTATGAAGTGCCGTCGTCGGATAGAGCGACCGCTGATCGACGGCGAAATAATATGGTTCCCAGCGGTCGGGGGAAGCGAAATGTGTTGAGTTCACCGGGAGTCGAAAGAGATGCACGAGGGGTTTCTGATATTTAGATCTAAAGGTTGATCGGAGTGTAGACCTGGAGGTAAGTCCAGTACGGAGGTAGAGGATGTGGTTGTATGGATCAAAGATGGCGCGATAAGCTCTGTTCGGATACTCTTTTTTCCTGGAGCGGGAAAATAAAACAAGGTATTAGTTCGGATCGCCAATTAGAACAACCAGGGGAGGTCCGTGTTCGATCAGGTAAAGAAAACAATTCAGGGGGAAAACCCGAAAGTAAACCAGACTTGTCGATGTAGCAGAAACTTGTCTTTACTGAGCAAGTTCCGCATACGAGCGGCGGCGCTAGGTTCGCAATGGGGAGGAGAGAAGTGAGCAATAATACCAGGATGGGCCAATCATGCAGAAGCCGGGGTGGACCAGTGCACGATGGTCTGACACTGGAGGCAGGGGGAATCACAGTTGAGCAACTTGGAATGAGTGGAAGAATTGGACGAATCAGATGAAGAATGAGGAGGGGCCAGGGCAAATGGACAATGCCCGATCAGACGGGAATGGTGGACAAGGTGGACTTTTTTGGCGCCTGGGAAGGAGCCGCCTAGAAAAAAAAGTGGATGGGCTTGGGTGTCTGTGTACGATACAGTACAACTGGAAGATGGGAAACCCGGTCTTCGGGGAAATAGCTCTTGAGAGAGGATGGATGTATATTCCTTCCCCCTGAAGAACCTGATCACGGAGGAAAGAACAAATATGAACTTGGGAACTTACTCAGTCCGAACCAGAGCCAAGTGACTTCGCGAAAGATATGAGGTTTGAGGGAAAGTACCAGCCAGCGTCAGGCGCAACACAGACTGCGATTCCGCCAAGTCTTGATGTGAGCTGAGTGATGCTCGTCACGTGCACAAGTAACTGTATATGTATTACTGTTATATATTTTTATCCTTCCATTTATACACTAGGGGTTGCATGACCTGCAGTCAATATTACGGTAATCAATACGAAAGGGGGGCTGTGCGCAGCTCTCGGATACCACCGGGCCCGAGTATGGTCTCATCAAGGGATGACTTGCAGTGGAAATATGTCATTGCCCTGTGCGCATACCTTATTGCCCGGGGCTGATGGACCCCATTGCGTCAGAAGGAGTCTGGAGCAGAAACAAATGATAAGGAATAATTTTACAGTAAAAGAGCAATATTTCCTAAACAGCTTGTCAATTATACACTCAACAATACCCAAGGTTTGACTAATTAATTGAATTCTTCCAACTTTTAAAATGGGTTCCGACATCGCTCCACGTCGATCAGGCCCGTGTGCAGATCTATAGATGTAATCCACCTTTTTGGGAACTTGAGATTTCCACGCACCTTGACCTTATTGTATACGGAGTCTCCCGTGCCTCCGGTTTCTGGCGCAGTTCTAGAAGCCATGGAGCTCTCTAGATAGACCGCCATGCATACATATGTGACATTATCTCAAAACCCGAAAATTAAAGATTTAAATAAATTGCTTAGATACTCAGATATTGTCCAAGGTTCACTAATAATAATCCATCTATAATATACCCGTCTATGCTCTATTTACCGGTCACCTCGTGCTCCAATCTGCCATCCATATTGATAAATGGCAGGACCACATCTAGACCACGGAGCCTCTCCTGCTCAATCTTCTCCCAAGGCCATTCCTCAGGACTCCACGAGTCCGAGTTAGCCTTCTTCTTCTCCTCAAGGGTTTCACGATCAGGAATCTGATCTTCACTAATCTTGAGTACTTCTCGCACCAAAGAGCCATCAACACCAGTAGCAGTAATACCCTCTCCACTAGCAGGGGTACCAATAGCGGAGGCTTCCGCAGATGACTCCAACTGGCTGTCCTCGGGTCTCTCAGGAAGAAATCCACCAATACGCAAGATTCGCTCCGGCGAAACAGTCAAACGGCCCTTCTTCACCACATACTTGCTCAGCGCAGTAGCCAGAAGTGTCTTCTCCCCACCGGCCTTCTTGGCAGGTCGCAGGAACGCAGTCAGAATGTACATCCATTTCTTATCCCAAGAAATAACGCTAGACTGCATCTCATATTTCTCATAAGGCTTGATCTCGCGCTTAAAACTGCAGTAAACAGATCCGAGAACCACCATCACAGGAAGTCGTTTGGGGGCATTTTTTCCCTCCTTCACACTCGCAGCTAGGAACTCTTGGTCCAATTCCTTGCTAATGAGACCAATGCCCGGACTGAAAAGTCGGGTCACAAGCGCCGTACGCGACACATCAAGATCGGTGAAATATGTGCTGTTAGACTTATGCAAGTTGTAATCTGTCTCTAGCAACGGTGTCCGCGAGTAGACGGAACACGGCACAAAGACCGGATGCGTAGAATTCCCTTTAGCATCGACAACAGCGCGTCCCTTGGGGAAGAACGGTGCTGTAGGCTTTAGGCGCAAATTTGCAATAAAGTGATACAGCAGACGGATCTGAAGATGCGGTCAGCAAGGGTTACACAACATCAATTGAACGCGCCACATGTCGGTCGAAGGCAATTTGAACGAGCACACAGGGTACCCCTGAAAGGAAACACGAGAGAAGTGCAAGACTTACATGCCAGGCCAGTGGGAGATTTTTCAAGTTGAGTAAGGCCAAAACCAAGGCGAAATTTCGCCAGGAGACGAGCCCCGTTGCGGCGGCCGTAAGGTCGCGCATATTGTCGATACCAAGTGCGCTAAATAGTGAAGACATTAGGATTTTTAGATGCGGGTAAATGGAATTGAAATTGGCACAGGGCCAAGTTCAACGGATAGAGACGCACTGGTTGATATTCTTCCAAGGTTCGCTCGGCTGATAAGCGATAACAGGAGTATACACGGGAGCGGCCCAAACAGATAGATCGACCCAGGGGTACTAGATCTGGTGTCCCCGTTCGGTCAAATTAAGATTCTTAAGGAGCGGCAGTAATTTGATAAGTTAAGTTTACTTTGAAGGGAGTTCGTATATTAATGACTGATGATGAGATATCATGGGGCCAATTTCACAGCTCGCCGATCATCATCGCAATCACATCAGCTGAACCGAGGCTGACTGTGACAGCCCCGAACTTGTTCATTTATTCAGGCCTGAAACATAAGGCTGTAAAGAAGGGCTACATTGGGAGCCCTGGGGCGTTATATTCACATCCAGGTCATACATTAATGTATGACTCGGATGTGCAAATTATTATCTCGTAACTATTCTACGCCGAGCTTATTTCAGAATAAAAAAAAACAGGCTTGCAAGCGACGCGAGTCGAACGCGCGATCTGAAACAGAAGCGGTGGAAAGTCGGAACTTAAGACCACTGCCTTAACCCCTCGGCCATACTTGCTAAAAACAACAAAGAAATAGCCGACTAGCTTCCCTCCCCTATATCCAATCATTCAAGGCACTGCCCCGATCATGAGAAATTGATTGTATTACCGATACAAACATACCCTGCAACGTCGAATCGCTCGAGGTGTCTCTTCTTAATCGAGAACAAAAACCTCTCCTTAAAAATATATATAATTGGGAATCAATTCCTCCCCTGGGCTACAGCCTACAAGAATGCAGGTATCGTGGTGGATCGGAATTTATGCCGCAGCCCTACTAATAATCATCCACTCGAAACTTAAGTACGGCTGAGCGGACGGGAAGCCCTGTTCTCCACATCCTGTGGTCGTGTGTGCTAGGTTAGCCTAATTGAAGGAATATTTAGGAACTTCAGATCAAGAACAAGTATAAACTTGAAGATGGAAACACTCTTTATGCAACACATTCGTTATCGAATCCCATCATCTCGAGCAAGGTCTTCTTGATTGAAACCCCCATGAATCTTGTCCAAATATGTATCAAAGCGTCCTGAAACTTGAATCACATCCTTAAGATGCTCATAGGTAAGTGTTGTTTTCTTCCATCGTGCATACTGGCGGGCAGTCGTAATGACATTTCTAATCTGTCTTCCATTAAGCTCTTCATCTTTCAAAGAATGTAGATTGTCTCGGAGATCCACAATATCAATGGCTTCTCCATCCATATTCTCAAGGCGATCAATGAATATTTGCCAGATGCGGAGCCTTTGCTGAGGGCCCAGATTGGGATAATGAAGAGCAAGTTGGATCCGAGATCGAAATGCTTCATCAAAGGTGCCAACCCGGTTACTTGTCAGGATAAGAATACCATCATAGTACTCCAATACTCGCAAAAATACAGAAACGAGTGCGTTGCGTTGAAGGTCTTCCAGACTTCGCTGTTCGAGAAAAATGTCGGCTTCGTCAAGTAATACCACACAGCCCCAAATACGGCCGAGATAAAGGACCGATTCTAGATATTTCTCAACATCTTCGGCTTTTGTTCCAACGTCTCCGCAAGTGACTCGATATAGTGGCTTCTCGGCAATTTCCGCAACACTTTCAGCAGTGAGGGTCTTTCCTGTTCCAGGGGCCCCGTGGAGAAGTAGAATTAGACCATTGCCTTTTCCAGCAATCAGATCAGTCGCCTTTTCAGATTCTAACTGACTACTGACCAAAGCCTGAATGAGGTCCTTTGACTTGCGTTCGATTACGAGGCTCGAAAAGGCCTCATGATTCCAAACAGCATCAGAAATCCGATCAGTCGCAAGATCGAACCACTTCTTCCGTCGCAAATTATATCCCTTGATAGTCGGAGGAACTAGATATTTAAATTGGTCATCCGGAGGTGAATCACTGGCCATCGCATCCGCATCAAGTCGGTTGTTGCTACCATAAAACAAGGCAACAATTGAATGAAGTACACCGTATGTCTTCGTATCAATCATATATCGATCATCCGTCTACCAAAATTTTAGTTACTTCTTCTCCATTGCAGGAAATTCTTGGTGAGAACTCACCATGTCGCTGAATTGATCTTCATCGGTGGCTTTGTAAGAAACCAATCTGCGATTACGACACTTCCAGAATGTCTCGCCTCTTCGTTGCAGCATATCAAGAACTTCTTTTGCCGCATATTTAAGAGGAAAAACATTGAGAGACGTAATAGGAAAACCTTTAAGTCGGGAATCTCCGCGTTCCTCAGTTGAGCGGCAACCAATTTGGTCTTCATCATGCGGAAGAGGCATGCGAAGCTCTAGATCACTCGAACGCCGGTAAAATGTGCCGGTGAATCCCCAAGTCCACGCTTTAGTCGTCCACGAAAGCTTCATTTTCGAGTCTTTTTTGTAGGGCACTGCTGGAAAATCGTCGTCAAAAGAGCCATCCAAGATGTCGCTGGAGGGTACATCGCCATCTGGAGATGTGTTCTTGAGCCAAGAGCGCGCAACATATCCAACATATCCCTTATCATCCCTCTCTATCACAATATCTCCCGGTTTGAAAAGATAATTGATGAATTTTGGGAGAATCTCTCCGGATGTTAGCAAAGCGTCCGCAGCTTTGTACTGGGATCCTACAGCCTGATCAACATATCCAAGAAATTGGGCTAGTTGCCTTTGTGAAGCCGCTGGCATTTTGTCTTTTATTGCCGGAAGTTGATCACGCATATGGTAAATAAAAATGTATGGAGACTCGAGCTCTTTAGTATATCTGTAATCTTCCGTAATTGATTTAAACTCGTCTTTGCTGTGCAGGAGAGTGTTCAATGCCATTTTCAGATCGGTCGATACAGGGTGTATACTTTCAGAAAATGGAGAAATGCGATTCTTGCCTTTTTTCGTATTTGTTGAAGAGCTTTCTGGCTGCGGCCTTTTTTGGTAATCTTGAAAGACGACGAACGAAATATTGGGATTCAAAGCCAGATGGAGTTGGAAGTTATCAAGCGGGACACTGCAACGTAGATGCACCTCGCCACTATTAGTTCGTAGAATGTCTGGCGCATCCAAGAAGAGCGACTCTGAATCTTCCTCATGAAGGCGATATATTGTTTCATGCTTGGATGCCTCTACGGGCCCTTGGTGTGCGTCGAGCTTTTTCAGCTTTGCTTCTAAGAATTTGATCCGTTTCTGTAACGCTTGGGTTTCCAACGTAGACAATTCCTCGTCATCGTCGCCTCCACATTGACCACATTGAGCATCTAATCTTGTAGAGCCATTGAAGCCACTATCGTGAGCAAATTGCTCCGATTCATCATTGAATTTTCTCAGACGTCGTCCGGGACTATGAGCAGGAGCTGCCGTATAGACCTTGGGACGCAGAGCACCGGCTGGAGGCACCTCGAATTCCTCCTCGGGACCTCCAGGCTCCTCGAAATAGGAGCTTACTGGTACTCGTTTATCAACAGTAGGCTCTCCCCCTTTTAATCTGCGAACCCTCGATGGTATTTTCTCTCTAGTCATCGCCTTGGGAACGCCTGACCCTCTGAGAGTATTAATAATGCGGCGGCTCTCTCCCTGACTGCGTCTCCGGTGTCTGTTACTCTCAACGTCCGTTTCAGAAGAGTCGGCCTCGCGGTCATAATATCTGTACTCTCGCTCACGAGACGGAGACCGCGCTTGGCGAACAGGGGAGGCTTCCCCACGGTGAGGCAGCATGGTCAGATGATTTCAAAACCATTAGCCGTCGCTGGTCAAATCCACTGCCTTGACTTTGGTCTTCTGAAATCGTGGGGTGGCTTACCCCCCCTGCGCCGGGATGGCCAGGTTCGAGAAATTCAGGACGTTTGTAACGTACATGACGGAAAAAAGGTCACCATCGCTGTCCGACTGATTAAAATCTGCAGGCATTTTTAACAGAGCCCACCGTAAGGCGGATTACCTGCGCACGTGATGGTATGTGGCGATTGGAGGTTCAAGCTAGTGTTGTCGATGAATCAAATGCGAATAGTCACACAATAATTAGTTATCATTAACGTTTCTCCCAACCCTGAGCGAAATATAAGAAAAGCGAAAGACCAAATAAGTCAAAAACCTGTCAGCGTCTAAACTAGCCTCACAGGAGGGGTGCGTTGTAGTTGTGTGGCTGAGCTGACGTTCGCACCAGTGCTTTGTTGAGGATCCCCGCTTGCCAGTCGCAGGTGGGGGCGCATCAGCAGCTTGAATCTCTTACGATAATAGGGAAACCCAACAATGACAGAGCCTTCTACTCGCTCTGACTTCTCACACTGGTATTCTGGAGATGAGTAAGCATTTCCAATAACAGGCCCCATTATATTTGAAAGTCTTCTTTGTTCGATAAAGCAAGCTCACAAACAACAGGTCAGATAGCTTTGCTCCCGCAAGAATAGCCTTCGAGGAGGCACGCGCCATATTTGAAAACGATGGGACGGAAGATGCGAAAAAGATAAATCGCTTAAAAGAGATTGGGGCAACAAGCCTACACGATGTGCTAGACGCTGTCAATAATGCGCAGCACTATTACCTTAAAACCCGGACCGATTCCCGAATGAGACGATGCATGGAGCAGGTGTCGGAAAGGATTTACTATTATGGAAACGTTATGGATGTTTTTATACAGCAGCACCCAGAATATGTTTCCCTAGCATGGGGTACAATGAAGTTGTTGGTTGGGGTAGGTTTTCCAGTGTCTATACTTCATTTTGACCTGTCAGCGACGAGGCTTGACCTGAACTCATCTGAAACATACAGGGTATTGTCGAACACAAAAAGATCGGATCAGTACTTGCGAATGGTCTTCTAGATATTGCAGATGCTTTACCCCATGTCGATCTTGCCACAATCTTGTACCCGACCGCTATGGTCAAAGAGACGGCTGCAAGGCTATATGCGCACATCCTTCGATTCTCGCTCCGCGCCTTAAAATGGTATGAGGAGAGACCATGGAAACGAGCAGTGCATTCCGTAACGAAGCCCGCGGATTTAGCATATAATGATATACTTGACGATATTCAACGGGCAACTCGCAGCATTGCCACGCACGCGACAGCCGGCAATCAAGCTGAGCTACGAGATGCACACAAAGCAATAATTGCTACTCGACAACTTATTATCGCAGGCCATGAGAAAGATTCATATGAGCACATGGAGCTTCGAAGGCTATTGATCAATCTCGTTGGTGATCTGCGATCCGATATTTATTTAACGCAAGATCAAGCCCAAAAGGAGCGAGCGCAGATATACCGCTCAGTATCAAATATAGAAGCCACCCAGGCCCTGCAAATAATGACCATGCCGTGCGAGATAAGCCACCAGAGCAGCCTCCAATATTCAAGGCATTTTCGCGACCGAAGACGCTTCACTCAGAAAACGAAAACATTCCCATTCTGGCAGTCTCCACATCTACATGCGTGGAACAAGTCGTCAAATTCGTTATTATTTGTTCTGAAAGTCTCTTTTTCTTATCGACAAATAGTACAAGACTTTTCCACAAACGTAATTGAGCAGCTGGTTCATTCTCAAATACCAAGTCTTTGGCTTTTCAAAGTCCAGGACGAGTGTTGTTCTGTCATCGCTGCCCTGAAAAGCCTCCTTCACCAGGCTGTCACCACGAGTCCAATAAAAAGGATGTTGTCTTAGAATTTGTTGACAGATTCATGCATGCAAAGCTTGAAGAGGACTATCTCGCCGTACTTTGTGGGCTACTCCAGTCTTTCCCAGTTGTTTATATGATTATTCATTTAGAGGCCGTCGAGTCGCCCTATGCCACACAGTTCGCCAGCCTCCTAAAACAGCTAACAGAACAGCTCCCAAAATCTACAAATAGTACGGTACTCAGGATTCTTATCCTTAGTTGGCGGCCTGGTGATGACATTGGGGAGCCCGGGCAAGCGCATCGATCAAAATTACAAGTGCGAAAAGCATCAAAGCGCAAAGGATCTCGGTTACCAACGCGCCCTTTACGATAGAAATTGAAACGGCGGGGCTTGAAGTATAATTGGGGTGAGTTGATCAGGAGTGGAAAAAATGGAAGCCAGGTGGACTCCTGGCTAATTTTAGAAGCATAATGCAATATAAAATTTATTGACTGCATAGCTATGATAACGTCATAATGTTACACTTTAGATAAATGGATACTTAACATGCCTCTAAAGTAGTCTTATACCTGCCAGTGGGGTACAACCCGTACGGGGGCCCATGGCAATCAATATTAACCTTGGCAGTTGAGCTCAAACACCCGTCAAACCTGCTATACTAGTGAGGCATATCTTCGAGATATAAACTTTCTTTCCTTTCAAATGAACTTACTGGTATAATATAAAGTACCTAGAAAAAAGGTATTTCTCCATTTGTCTTTTTGAACGTCTTTCTGGATCATCATTTGAAATCTCCTTTGGAATATCACGGATCTATAGATTCTTCAATGCCCTTGACTCGTTGCAGCCTTTGATAAGTCGGCTATTATTACAATTCTAATATAGATTTTACCTACACAAGTGGATGGAAAGATACAAATAATCTTGTTGAATTTTCTACTTTTCTTTCTCGGTAGTTCCATTAAGCAAGGTCACATTAACTGGGGTTATGATGGATCGTGAAACTCATTCCGTTGAGGCACTAGACGTCTCCAGCGTACTCCCACATGGCGTATAGAGCCAGCAGCTTCCACCGGTGTCATCAATGTCCATTTCTCTCACTTAAACCTTATTCGGCTTAGCTTATCGTAATACCGATACTGGTTCACAGCCCCCAGGGCTCCATTATATGTATAAGTATGTGAGGCCCCATTACCACCGGCTAACCGAGCTAGGCATGACACTAGGGACCTAGACGGTCGAATGTCCCGCCGTCGGATCAACTTTATTTTATCAGCCGAGTCAATCGGGCCGGAAAGGCCAGAAGAACTCTATCTTTGTGGCAAAATCAAACGGGAAAATTAAGATTATGTACATAAAGCCTATGTTCTACATAGCATAAAATTATGGAACAATGCTATGGGTATGGAGTTTCACCTGGCCAATGCATCTGCACTGGGGATATTCATGTCAACACTGAACACAAGTTGGGGCGAATTATGGCTTCAAACTTTGGAAGTTTATACATTCTGCATGACCTCGGTTTGTCTTTCTATTCAAGTTTCTTTGGCACGCCATAGCAGCGATATAGTCTGAGCTATGGTATGTCTATAAATCTGATTATTGCCATCAATCGGTTTTTTTCTTTGTCCATAATTTATGAAAAGAGTCCCAAGTCCGACATCATGCTCAAGCAATACAGACCAGTGTCAACATTCACCAATTGGGACTCCTCGAATTAACGAGAAATACTTTTTGGTTTCACAGTGGAGCCGAGGTATAAAATGCAGAACTAACCAGAATCAACAACTTCTCCGGTGGACTGACCCGCTTATCCATCTGGCCCATTCTTCAGAAGGTGGATACTTGCCAATTTCTCAACAGCTTATAAATCAATATTTTCTGTCAAATTGGGTCAGACTTCTTATGCATACAATTAGTCTGCATATAAACTCAAGACCCTCGTTCACTCATAAAGTCTTGATGATTGATTTTGATCTAATCTAGAAAGGTCTCATAAGTTTATACAACATGTCCACAACCCCACGTTTTCAATGTGCGGATGTCGATCCCAGCCCACTGGGCCAGCCTCTCAAATTCTCCTTTTCAGGACGCTCAGCGCCCAATCGATTCCTAAAGGGTGCAATGAGCGAGCGTCTAGCTTCCTTCTCTCTCGTCGATGTTGAATCACGAGGCATTCCTTCCCCTGAGCTGATCCACGCCTACAAGATCTGGGGGGAGTCAAACATTGGCATCAACCTTACCGGTAATGTCATGATCGATCCCGGTCACCTCGAGGCAGCTGGTAACCCAGTCATTCCACAAAACGCCGAGTTTTCTGGTCTCCGTTTCGAGCGATTCCGTGAACTTGCCGCAGCCGGTAAAGCAAAGGGATCTCTGATTATCGCTCAGGTTGGACACCCAGGTCGCCAGACACCTGGAGATATCCAGCCTAACCCTATCAGTGCCAGCGATGTTCAACTCACATCAAGCTCGCTAGGCAAAGGCTTTGGAAAGCCTCGTCCTGCGACTAAAGAGGATATTGCAAATGTTATTGATGGCTTTGCACATGCTGCTGAGTATCTTGAGAAAGCTGGCTTTGATGGCATCGAACTGCACGGTGCCCATGGTTATCTCCTCAGTCAATTTTTGTCTCCCACAACAAATTTGAGAACTGATGATTATGGTGGCGACTTGAAGAATCGTATGAGATTAATCTTGGAGGTCAGAGATGAAATTGCCAAGAGAGTCAGCGATAAATTTGTTGTTGGTATCAAAGTCAACAGTGTAGAGTTCCAAGAAAAAGGATTCCAGCCGGAGGAGGCTAAAGAGTTGTGCAAGGCCCTTGAAGAGCATAAATTCGACTTTGTTGAACTTTCCGGTGGTACTTATGAGAAATGGGTGCAAGTTGATGCACAGCGCCAGTCAACAGTCTCGCGTGAAGCAGTAAGTAGAGTCGATCAAAATATGCATCAATTTACTAATCCTTTCTTCTTAGTTTTTCCTGGAATTTGCGAGGGCTGTCGTTCCTGGATTGTCCAAGACGAAATCATATGTGACTGGAGGATTCAAGACCGTCGAGGGCATGATTGGTGCTCTGGACACAGTCGATGGTATTGGGCTCGGACGTCCTCTATGCCAGGAACCCACTTTCTGTAATCAGATCTTGTCTGGACAGATTAAGGGAGCCATGCTTCAAAAGCTGGACCTTGAACAGTTTAGTGTCACCGCTGGTGCGGCCGGTCTTCAGATCAAGCAGATGGGACAGAACCTTCAGCCCATCAATCTGTCTGTGCAAGAAAATGTGGCTAAACTTTTCGGTGGCTTGATGAAGTGGAAGGCGGAGCAGGATAAAAATGCCGAGATTTATCAATTCCCTGCTCTGGATGACTATTCTTTGGCATATGATGGTACTCAGGTAGTCTAGACGGTCTAGATAGTTCCAAGAACATATGCTGTACATAAATTCAATAACAATGTTAAATTCAATCATTCATATCTTCGAATTTCGTTGTCTTTTTGGAGTTTAAAGACTGTCACAGGCTTTTGAATTTAATTAAAAAGATAAAGAGCATAGGCAATGGCCCACACGTGCGACCTTAGCCTACATTACTAATGCAACAGCCACCCACTTGCACAGGCCATCATGGTGGTTTACCATGACCATGACCAATCTAATTACCTGGATTTCGTTTAATGATAATCAATGCGGTGAGTATGAGAGCCACGCCTCATAGTCGCAATGAGGAAAAAGGCATTTACAAAGCGTTCTCGAAATGGTTGTCGAACGTGCCGGTTAGTGAAAGCATCCGATCGAATATCCGCCCCCACTAACTTGTTGTAGGACACGTCATGTGAGGTGCGACGAAGCCCCTGGCAGTTGCAAGAACTGTGAGGATGCAGGATGGAAATGTGTGTATGATATAGCTCGGCTTCCAGCTGTACGGTCGGCATCACAGAATAATCACCTTTCACTCACGTTATTACGAGTCGGCGGCGATCGTCCAGGTATCAACCCAGATGAGAAAAGAGCACTAGTCTTTTTTCAGTCATGGACAGTGCCCAGTCTGACAGGGTACTTCGATTCCCGTTTATGGACGGATCTTGTACTCCCCATGTGCCACGCGGAGCCTGCAGTCAGCCATGCCGTGGTGGCACTGAGTTCGCTCCATGAAGATCTCGAAATTAGGGGGGCTCCACTCTCTCGCGAGAACCTATCCCTTGCTCATCACCGATTTGCTCTTGGGCAATATGGGCGCTCGTTGGGCGTATTAAATGAAAGACGGAACTCTCAGGATCCGAAATACCGCGATATCATTCTCACTTGTTGTCTTTTATTTGTTGCGTTCGAGTTCATGCGTGGTCAATATCAGTTGGCATTATCACATCTTAAACAGGGACTTTCTATCATAGAAGAGGCTCGTTCAAGCGACGATGGATTGCCCATCTCCGCAAACATGGAAACAGTCGAGAAGTCGCTTCAAGCTGCTATGGCCCGTTTGGAGACCCATTGCGTCTTCTTCGGACTCGATCCTGTTGCTAAACTAGGGCAAGCACCCACTGACTGGAGTCTTATCATATTTTCAACTGTGTTGGAAGCTCGCCGTTCTTTTGACAAGGTTCTAGCTCAGACAGTACGCTTTTTTTCAGCTACATATAAGCTCCCACTCAAGGAGCGCTTGCCCATACTGCATCCCGAGCTGGTAGAGATGCAAATTAAGGCTAGCTTTCAAATGAGTCAATATCTGCGACAATTTGATAATTCAGCGTTGCATCCCCACGGTAAGAAGGAAGAGCGAGGTCTAAACTTGATTCGTCTTCATCACCTTCAATTCTCAATAATACTTCAAACGGTCCTGTCTGATGATGACCGCTTTGTCTTTATCAATTATCTGGAGGAATTTAAGCGCATTGTTGCATTTTGCAAGGGCATTTCAAATAGTTTTGCAGAGGAAAGCCCCACGGGCACTCGTCCAAAACTACTATCGGACGTTGGTATCCTTCCTTCATTGCTCCTCGTCGGTTGGAAATGTCATGAATTTCCTGTCCGGCAGCAAGCACTGGCGCTTTTAGAAGCTTGGCCACATCGAGAGGGTATTTGGGATTCACGTCTCCTTGCGATCTTTCTGAAACAATTACTCCATATTGAACTTGAAACTATACAGGCGTCCGGTGACCCTCAGGCTCCTATGCGCATATCGACAACTCGCTGTTTGAAGCTTGATCAAAACGAAAGAACTGCCACTCTTCATTACGAGACTGGTAATTGTGGTGAATATGGACCGCAGAGCAAAGTGATATTGTTTGACGAAGACATTCAATAAGCACATAATCATACAACCCAAATGAGAAAACGTATGATATATACAAAGTATTATCAATAGATGCAATGTTCCTTTCACAAGAACGCACAGATCAACAAGTACCGGCTAATGTTGTGGTTGGGAAGCGCATGAAAAAAAACCCATTGGAGAAATAATTTTCTCTAGGTTCTTATATTATACTATTAAGGTCATTTAAAAGAAAATAACGTTTATATCTCGAAGATATGCCTTAGGGTAGCAGGTTTGACGGGCGCTTGAGCTCAACTTCCAAGGTTATTGATTGCTACTATGGGCCCCTGTACCCCACTGGCAGGTATAAAACTACTTTAGAGGCATATTAAGTATCTATTTATCTAAAGTGTAACATTATGACGCTATTATGGCTACTAGTATACAGTCAATCAAGTTTATATTGAATTATGCTTCTAAAATTAATTGGCTCTTCAGCAAGATAATGAGATGTTTGGTTCTTTTGGGAAGTGTAAGCTATGTATCCGTCAGGATGTGCCAGAGCAGTACTAAGTGAATAACAGCAATGCATAATCTAAAATTTGATGATCAATTTACGCACCAAATGCTCGACGGATCAATGTATGACCCATCTCAACTATAGACACACTGACAAATATAAATCATCGTCAAAGCTCCGAGACACTGCAAAGCAACACATAAATGCGTTGCTTTATTGACAAACGGAGCTCAATGAACAAATAATTCACACAACCATTTGTATATGAACAGAAGCGCAGATGGAACACCATTTCTTAACAGGGTTCAAAATAGTTTCATGACATGACTGGGCAACAAAATTTTGAATTGATGAAAAAGGTTGAAACAACAGCTAGGGGCTCTGATTCGTATACAGGAGTAATTGACCATTGACGAAGGCATCCCCAATAATTGGTGACTTAGAGCACTAAGAGTTAGCATTTAACAAATATTCAAGACATTCTCCCGAGGTCGCGACAAAGATCAATAAAAATCCCCTACTTCTAGAGAAACGGCTTCTTACTCCGTGGACCGAAAGCCTTTGATGGAACTTTGGTTGATGGAACCATGGTTTACCCCCACTTGATAGCCATAGTTCCTCTCTCCAAAGTTCACATTGTAAACTGTCTTATTCTGTTTCACTTGCATCTTTGTCGCAATCTGCGAAATGGCAGGCTCCTGCAATGTCGCCAACAGTGCTTTCATCAAGCTTTGCGACAGCTCTAATGACTTCTGTTCTTCTTGGACTTGCCGAGATACAGTATCATACTCGTCCTCTTCGTCCTTACTTTCGATCTCGGCGCCTCTCACTCGAATTTCTCTCTTTTGCAAAGAGAGCTTTGCACTTTCGGTCTCCGTTGCTCGAATAGCGACTGAAACTTCACGCTTCTTTTCTTCTTGAATCTCTTTTGAGAGACTCGTGTGACGAAGGGAGCTAATCCTATATCCAGGCATGATATGTGAGCATTATGACCGGACGAAAATGGCCAATGTCTTACATACAATGTTGCTATACTGACAACCTGAGTGATAGCACCCTGGCAGTGTTGAAGTTCTCTCTCCATGGACTCAAGTCGCTTCTGCTTCAAAAAGCCAAGATTGGAACGATCCAGTAACGTGAGAGAGTCACCATCCGAGTGCCTCGTCCAATACTCTATATTCTTACTAAATCTCTTGCATGTCTCCCCGCATTTCTTGATGGTCGCCTTGGTATCTTCTGCGACCCCAATAGCATCCCATTCCTGATCACCGATGCTCTTCAGGGTTGAAAACCCACCCTCTATCAAGCCTATGCGCTCTTTTAGGGAAGCGATACTCTTCGGCGCATCCTTGATTTTGCCTAGATCGTCTGCTAGAAGCCGGACGCTGTGGAGAGCAGAAGCAACGATCCCAATCACACTTGCGGTCAAACTGATGGGCTCGGCCATGATTTGGTTTGAGAAGTCAAGATGAGTAAAAAAAGCAAACAGATTACGCCCCTTAGGCTCGCTTTTCCCAGCCCATTTTTAGCGCGGGGTTCTAGTCACCTGATGGTGAGTGTCGTCGGAGGCCGTCTTTCCTCAGCCATAGTCTGTTTCATCGCATGCAAAAAGCTGGATATATCTCTCGTGTCATATTCTCTTGGGTCCTAATCTGGCTTGAAACTTTATTCAAGAGGTCTAGATATCCCTCAAGAGATTTAAAAATAGTAGGGCGATCGCCCCATTCATATGTCCCTTGCACCCCACTTCGGCCCGTCGCGCGGGATCTTAGCTTGTATAGCCCCTCGGCACTCTGGTATGACCATTCGGACAAGAAAGACATCCCTTGGGTACCAGTGTAGCTAAGTCCATAATCGCGGTATTAGAGACCTTTGAATGCTTTAATGCTTGAGGCTTCGTGAACTTGAGGCTCTGCGGCTGGCGGCATTCAGTCAATCCTCTTCCGACAAAAGCAAGTCTTATTCCCATCATTCAAAAGCCTTTAAGCGAGACAGAAATGTCTAGCCCCCAATATAACAGACTGATAAATGGTTTCATAATCAATGTACGCAGAACGAGAAGTAAACGTGTCAAAGGAAGAATGTTCAATAAATCAACACTTACGGATAATAATTAATCTGCAAATGCTCAAGCCGAAACAAACACCAGTTCCTAAATTCAAAAATTACATATAGATATCATTCAAATAAAATCCCCAATACTTCCTATCATCCAAAGGTCACATTTCATCCATATCAGGGGCTCTCTCCGGGTCTGGCGGGTTATCTGCCCGTTTCTTATTGCCTCCCTGTTGCGGATAAATACTTTCGTAGATATCCTTCCTATGCTGCTCAATAGTGGCCTGATCAATTAGATTTCCTGAATTGACAAATTCTATTCAAAGAATGTTTGGACTCACTTCGTCCCACGGTCCATTAGAAGCCTCGGCTTCAGCTTGTCTCTTTAGCAACTCGGCATCCAACGCCGCGCTTGAAGCCTCATAGTCATCAGGGAAGGTAGTATTAACGTAAACTAGACCCAAAAATAACGAATTAGTTACCGGCAGGCGAGATGGAGTTGAATGAGTACATACAGTCTTCAGTGCCTTTCATATCCGTGTGAGCTTTCCCATGGACCGAGGCCCTTGCCAGTTGATTGACACTGGTAACGGAGGGCTTCAGAAGCTGGTGTCTGATTACTGCGGGGAACATTGTGATGATAATGATGAGAGATTTAATTTTCTTGACAATATTCAAGTACATTGGGCTATTTAAGGCTATTTGTGTAGTACACTTGAAGAGTCATGACGATGATGATGACAATCATATGACCATCCATGTTAAGATGGAAGGACCAATCATCATCTTCAGGAGAAAGCTCTAGACATCTAAATCGAATTCAAACTCTATTAAATCAAAGATGGCATTGGCTGGTTTTCAAAGCTTCTGTGGAGGTGGCGAGTTCAAAAAGTCGCCCCATGGTACTCATAGCCCGATTCGATAAGAAGGAATCTCCATCTACCCATTCAGCAAAAATCAAACAAACAGCTCCAAATAAATGACAAGTCTAACCTAAAAGATAGCCATACAATTAGGCGGGCTAGAAACACCCCTCGCACAATTCAACGGACTACTAGAAATAAAGAAACTCCACCTCCCAAGCTTCTGACAAGTTTCCGCAAGAGCATCCAAATCAAACATCTCCCCAATAGGTAATCCCCACCCAGCCAAAATATGATGATGCAAATCAAACTCCTCATTAATAGCAGGAAAGACCTCAAAACTAACGGCATCCGACGCCACCGCCGAAAAATGGTTATCCCAGATAAATCGCAACACCCGCTCACTTTGCTCAATACCCGCATGCTGCGGCAAAGGCTGCTGGCTATACGCCTCCCGTTGCTGAGCAGACATCTTCGACCAGGTATCCGGTAGTCCGACGCGGAGGAAGAAAATATCGCCCTTTTGGAATGTGATGTTGCATTCATTCGCAATTTCTTGCACCTCGTCGAGAGAGATCTCTTGACGGGTCAATGCGTTGAGAGGGATTCCTTTCTTTTGAGCGTAGGAGACGTAGTCGATTAGGACACCACGACCTGCAATTCCTTTTTTGGCCCAGTACCCGATTCCGATGCGGGGGGAGTCGGTGTCTATGATTTCGGAGGCTGTGGTGCCGCCGTAGAAGACGCGGCGGGAGGGGTCTTCTGGTGTTGGGGCGGGTGCATTGTGGTGTCGGAGACCATCCCATTGGGAGGATTGTTGGGGGTTGAAGTGGTATTCGTCGTCGAAGGCGACGCCTTCAGCTACCCATTTGATCTTGTGCTCAAATGGCTTGCGGCCGAATCCTGGTAGCTGTTAGCATAGCTCTTCTTTTGCTATAAATTATAATCATTGGAAGTGTATTGAACTATCCTGCCTGGGGATTTTGGAACGAGGGTTAAAATCACCTGGTGGAGTTAAATTCTCAATATCCCAATTCAAACAGATCCGCTCGCCGGTCTGGATCTGGCTTCGTGCTGCATCCGCAACCACTTCTGGCGTTAAAAGACGCAGCATGCCCAGACCTTCTTCTTCGGATCCAGGCGCGCCAGGCCAGTAGCGGCGCTTGTCAGGGAGATCATCGAACTTCTCGGGGAGTGATGCCGCCATTGTGTTTGTGGGGGTATAGCGGCGGTGGAAATGATGTAATGAAGCAACGCGGACGAACACGAGATATAACAGTGTTTATAGAGCCAACTCAGGAGGTTTAGGCGTAATAAACCCAGATTGAAATAAAAAGAAGGAATTGAAGATTAGCAGCCCGAAGACTGTGGGGAGTAAGACCGTGAAATAAGAAATATGGCCAACCCCCACGAGTCGGAGCAAGTCCGGGGTAATTAACCCCGCAACTGCTTCGGTGAGTGACCAGTGCGGAAATATGTAGCGCTCGGCATAGTAGCCAAAAAAGAATCTAATTAGTTGAATTGTTCTGCTGAGTTCAACCGAAAGGATTTTGCCGCACATGTTTTGGTCGTTCTTGGGGGTTCACATACAATAGTGCACCTTAGAGATCTGTTGACCTTCGAACACTGCAAGGAGCCCTGCCCTTAAGAACTTTAGGTAGAGAACGGTGGGAACGATGAGATATGAAACTACGTTGCATAGTAGCCTCCTCTGTTACTGGCCAGCTCCGACGCTAAGCATTTACCAAGCATTGTATAGTTTCGTTAGTCCCTCCGATGTGACATTTACGTCACGGTGAAACATGATCAATAACAAATATCCAAATTTATGATTCCATTGATTGATACACTCATTGGTGGACAGAGCCCATGCTGGCGCTATAATAAATCTTTTTCCAAGAAAGCAAAGTACAGGATGTGTTCGTCGAAAAGATGTAAGCAAGGCGTAAAATTTACAAGTCATCCACGTCGTCGTCGGGCTTGGTACCACGCTTCGGCATATCAGACATCTCATATTCCTCGCCGCGGCTTGAAGCACCTGTTCGTTCAGCCGACATGGCCATGGCCTGTCGACCAGTGTCGGAGGACTCAAGGAACTCGCGCAGACGGCGTTTACCTTCCTCAAGAGCCTGTTGAGATGCGGCCTCGGTCATCTTGAGCATAGGTCCCCATAGGTTGAGCTGGTAGGTCACGTAGGCGCCTACAGCGCAAACAAACAGCAGGAAGAAGTAGGCGGGGTTTCGGAGAACTGGAAAAAAAAGTATTAGTCAATGATTTAGAAGATGGGACCAAAGGAGGAGTATGAGGACTTACCAGCCCAGATCTCGTTCCAGCCCAAAGCAAGCAGCAAGCCATAGAAGTAAAGGGGCACTTGAGTCATGCCACCAATGGCGCTGCGCTTGGCCTCAACGTAGACGCCATCAGCAGCCTTCTTGAACCGCACAGTGAGTTCCTGGCGTTTGGATTCACCAAGAATGGTCATCTCTTCCTCCAGGCTCTTGCCTTCGTCCTCATCAATTCCTCCAATGGGCGGCAGATCCTCTTCATCTGTAGAGGTCGCTGAGCTAGGAGTGTGACCAACCCACCGGTCAAGGGGAGGGAGAGCAGAGGTCTCAGCAAGACGGAAGCGGGAAAGCAGAGGAATTAGCGTCAAAGTAGACTCGCGAGCACGAGTGTAGATGCCCTCAATGTCATCGGTTGGGCGCCAGATTCGTGGGACACCCTCCTCATCGTATCGGAACTTGTCCTCAAAGTTCTCACGCAACTTCAACAGTAAGTTACCCTCAGTCATCTCCTCATCAATCTTAGCACGTAGCACGCCCCAAGACTTGCGACGTAGGCGCCATAGTCCCACATCAACCTCCTCCAGGCTAGCATCAAAGCTGCTCGCGCGGTCGGTAAATCTCCGCTCTGCGTCGAGGACAGTCTCAACAAACACATTCCACACTCTATCCCAAAACACTTTCTCGGTAGGCTTTTCTCCGTCTTCTGGAGCACCACCACCGGCACGGCCAGAGCCAAGGCTGTTGAATTCCAACCCGACGGATTCACCCAGACGAGATTGAACCCAACGCTCGACACGGCTGGCCAGGCGTCGCATCTCGTCCTGACGCAAACGAGTACTGACTTCGGACAATTCCTTCTCATAAAGCTTCAGCTCCTGCTTATAATTACTCCATGGCGTGCCTTCCACAAGGGTGGAGCGGGCAACTTCCTCATACTTCTCTAGAGAAGTCTTGGTTTCATGGTGTACAATCTCGGCAAAGTCGTAATTTCCGCCCTTCTTTTGACCAGACTTGACAGCATCGGTGACAGCGTCGCTGAAATAGCGAATACCAGACTTATGGGCAGCTGAGAGTTGTCCATGGAACAGGGCCTTTAGGCGAGTATCAACCTTGCCCTCCAGCTCGGCCTTCTTACGCTGGTAAACACCCTTGTGGTATCGACTAGCTTCAACTTCAAAGCCCTTGAGGGTCTTTGAGCGTGCTGTCTTCATGATCGCACCCAGCCCACCGAGTACCTCAGGAGCACCTGCACGAACAGCCTCGGCCTGTTTATCCTCAAATGCAGTAATAGCCTCATCAAATCCAGTCATCACTTCACGCAAGATCTCATCGCAACGGAACTGAGCGAGTAGTTCTTGTTGCGTTGGCAGATCCAAGTCCTTATTGTTGACAATTTGATCCCAAATACCCTCAGCATAGTGCGAAAATCCATCGGCCGGGATACGTCGGTGATACTCTGGCAAGAAGACTCCTCCTTCAGAGAATTCGCCTTTGAGCGCATCTCTCCTCGGGTCTCGATGACCCTCACGGAACCGTAATCCAAGCTTCTGGCTTTCTGTGACGAATTGATCAGGTTGGTAACCTTTGTGCGGCAGGCCGTAGAATTGGAAATCGAAGTAGTCGTGAATTGTTGACTTTTCCAAGCCAGCAGGTTTCGATATCGTATCCCACAGGCGAGACAAATCTTCCAATAATGTCTTCTGGAGGTTCTTGAGTGGGGTGGTGCCGATGAAGTCACGGATAACAAAGAATAGGAGGGATCGGTGGGTGGTACTAGTAAATTGGTCAGCCCCCTAATTTGGAGTAAAAGGAAGATTAAATCGATGGAAGACATACTTCTTGTCTTTGAGGAAGAGCTGTAAATTCACTTCAAAAACGGTCTTCAAGAGACCCATATTGGCGCCCTGGTACAGCCCCACCTGGTGTTCCCAGATGTTGACAATCAGGACCTCACTAGTCGCAAGTGCAAAGAGAGCACTCTTGCGCTCGAAATCCTGATCCTCACCACGCTCGCGACCGTCTGTTCCCTCAACATCCATTACCAAGATGTTATCCGCCATGCGCGAGCCATCTGCGGCTGCGGCCGCCCCCTGCTTCTTGTTCTTTGACAACCAAATTCCCTTTGTAGTTTGTCTGCGCTCCAACTCCGACATCACAGAGAATTGAGTTCCGAAGAGGTGGTTGAGCAATGTGGACTTGCCGGTGGATTGCGATCCAAACACGGAGATAAGGTGGTAGTTGAACCCGGCCTGGGTGACATCTTCGAGCGAGAGATACTTGGCTAGGTTTGGGCTGCGGATGTATTGTCAGTAGCTATTGGGCAGCTGCGTGTGAGATGCAAGTAAAGCGCACAGAGAGGGGTAATGCCGTACTTGAACTCCTTGTCTCCATCGATGACCTGCACACCATGCTCGTAAGCGGCGGCGGCCTCTGCAGTATCGCCGATCGTAGCAAAGTGGCCATTTGCCAGGACAGGAGGTGCCGTTGGGTTCCTGCCCGGTCCCGCTGGGCGTTCAGTCATTTTCGTAGCGTTCGTTCCCTTCGTGATGTGAAGTTGTGGGGACAGATCGCTGTGGAGGAAAGTGGCGAGAGCAGGAGGAGCGGGAACTAGGAGGTTGGGGGAAGGAAAGGTGGATCAACGTAAACACCTGCACCAACCGGGTCGATCACAAGGCCGATGCACGCGATTGTAACAAAGGTCCGAGGTCGAGACTCCATATGGACACAAGCAAGCTTCATTCGGTTAATCCAAATCTGTAATATCTTTATTTGCCAATTTTACGAGTTCGATACTGGTATTAATTAGAATTAATTCGAGATTTTCTAATCTTGACCGTATAAAAACATCTACGTAACCTTCTTGGCGTTAACTATACATATTCCCTGAGGACAACCAAACATCCAACTTTCTTCAATATCGGGCATTTCCTTACAGTACGCTATTTTAGTCTTTGCCAAGGTTTCTTAGGTAGTTTTTCTTCAATTATATCCATTGTATCGTTAATAAAGCTTTGCCAAAGATGTAGCCAACCTCTCAAGGGTATAGACAAAGAGATGCAATTTCTACAGGACGAACTGCCCAAAGCTACTTGAATACTGAGAAAGCTACGTATTGGCAGAACCAAGTAAACTGGTCCCACAGCTAAGTGCACATCATAGAAATACAATGTAGGGACATGAAGACTGACGCCACTCGATATGGAACAACGCAAAAAAGTGTGAAAACTCATTTGGAGATCAACTCAATGATAAATATGTGATAAATATCGAACTAAATGAGAAAAAAAGGAGAAAAAGAAAAGAAAAGAAAAGAAATCGAAATCATCATCTATCAGAATTCCACCGGGGAAAGCGAAAACAGCTTCAAGTATGGAATCTCGATATTTTTGATCTCCCTAGACTCAATCCCATGAGTCAGTCTTCTGGCGCGTGGGTGCTTCCCCCATGCTAAGTCATAGACACTGCCAGGGAGCATCCAGTAAATTTTCTCTTCACTGGAATTTCCTTGAATTCCCAGACCTCTGAGCCCAAATCTGATAGTTGCGCTCTTAAAGGCTCGCACCGCTCGAAGAATCAGAATCAGTCTGTCTAGACCGCAGGCCAGTCTATCCAGATTTTTTGGTTTTTTTCTTGCCAGTATTTTAGAGACTCTGTGACATCTTTGACCTCGGGAGGCGTGAAGGGGCCGTAATCGTGGGTAGCAAGAACCAGGTTGCTCACTCGCGAAAACCAAAGTTGACAAGCGACATCTTCGAAGAGAATTGGCGATACAAGTTTGGTCTTCATCTCAACTATAGACCGGGGAGATACTTTCTGACCATGCTCCAAGATTCGCAAACCAGATGAGGTCGTCTCTGCCTTCCCCAACTCCAGAGAAGCGGTTGGCTCTTCGTTGGGGCTCGGCTCATTGTCAATGAACCCATCTACTTCGTATCTCACAATAACGCGAAGAAATGCAATCCGATATCTTATTATCCGCTGGTGCTCAGCGTTCTCCTTGATAGCGTTAGTCGTATCCGCCCTTTCGAAGTTGCGGCCATAGCCAAGAGATTCCCTCCGGTTGGGATTCCGCCAGGGACGACCCCGGAAATGGCGAAACACCACGGTCCAATCTCCTGAAACCTCCGTGTCCAGACTCCATAGCTGATTTTCATGAAGGCTATGTTGCTTGTCACTCGATGCATAGTGGAAGAGTTTTCGGAGGACACAAGCATCGGTCACCAGAGACATGTGATCCATATTGAGCAAGGGCTTTTCAATATCGATTGCACGGAATAATGGCTCAAGGTCATTTTTTAGATAGGGCTCCATTTGCAAACCATCTGATTTAAGCTTCTTTGGCTCGGTAAATGGATTCCATTTGGGAGGATGGCCTGGGATAGCAATTGTTGATTCAGGAGCCTCAGACTGAAGCACCGTATACGATGCTACATGCTTAAACTCGAACGGCATCAGAGGCAATTCCTTCTTCTCAAGAAGGTCTTTTCGTTCTGTATGCCATTTTTCGCAAAGATTGAGTAACTCTTTGACCGTTCGAACTCTGAAAACCGGAGGGGCTTAATCTCAGGTGATTTCTTGAACTCAGGTGATTTCTTGAACTCAGGTGATTTCTTGAACTCAGGTGGTTCCTTAAGCTCAGGCGATTGCTCAAGCTCAAGCGTAACGTGTGACTCCTCTGAGGTAGCCATATGTGCGTGTGAAAATACTGGTCTGGGAATAAGCAAATGATTAGAAGTGGGCATTGGCGTCATAATACCACGAAGCGACAGTATTTAGAATAGATAGAAGCAGTACATACCTTGAAGCGCAAAGGGAATGTACAGATGCAGGTGCTATATGTGAATTTATAACTGTTATGGCTGGGATAAATTGGAGTGAGAGCTTGTGAGTGTACTGTCATAAAAAGCGAGCAAATCGGTATAAACAGGGTATCAATTTGCTGGTATTTCTCAACTTAGCAACTACTTTACTAACCTCATATCAAGAGTTTGGATCTCATAAATATAAAGCGATGGGCTTGAGAAGGTTGTAGAGGCGGAATGTGGAATTGCTGATGAAGAAATTGTTAAAGAACGGGGTGCATGTCAAAGTAAGGGTTTGAGAAGAAGAAGTATCTACCTTCACTTCGCCCAGGCTTGTCCGTATGGAAGAGAAATCTGGAGTTTCTAGGGCTCAGCTCAGTCAATGTATGTGGTCAGGCACCACCTCATGCCCATTAACAAACATGGGCAAGTAAATTATTTTCGAAATATAAGAGGATTGAAGAGGCATGTTTGATTTGAAAGTCGTGCGTAGGAACAAAGTTGGGCTTGTGGCTAGCAATTGCTTTTGTGTAGCCAGAAAATCTTGATGTAAGTCAAATGATCAGACTCTGATACCAGAAACTTTCCACAAAATAGACATACTAACAAATAGGCCATCAAGCAATTGTGCACAATCTGGGGAAATTGCGGGGTAGCCTCATCACATACCCATCAGAATAGTACAACTTGAAGTTGACACCTCCAGGCAGCTATTTCGAATACGAACTGAACAAGAACCGTTATGTCACGTTTCTGAATCAATATATTCCTGTTTATCATATTGCGCTATTTGCTCAAATCCTTGCCCAGGTAGTTTATTAGGTATTGTGATTATACACATCCAATTTTCAATTATGTTCAAACGTGCTGATCATTGCAGCTCAAACCAGTTCAAATTCCAGCCTTGATCAAGTCCCAAATCAACGCCAGGAGTTGGCCACATGTATTGCCCAATGTCGTCAAACAGCCCACTGAATGCGGTTCCCTCCATACCTGCAAAAGAACCAGCCGTACCATCTCCGCTTGAAGAAAGAGGGGGGTTCGTGTGACTTGGGGTTTCGAAGATTGGAGTGTGATCATTAGTGGTCTTGCCCTGGGTAGCATATCCACCATCGAGATCAGACAAGGGCGGGGTATAAATTTGACCTGGGCTCTGTTTGGAGGTTGAAGGCATTTTACCTTGTGATGCCTTGTTCGCAGCACCAGAAAATTTTGTTCCAAGGCCCACTGTGATAGTACCAAAGTATGGCACAGTGATCTCACAGCTGTTACATAAGTGCCAGTTCTCTTTTTCAGACCGAGATCGATAGATTTCGCCGAGGATATGAGCCGATTCGGCAGCGACAGAGCCGCCATTCTCATTTGCAGCTTGACGGAGGATTGAGACGAGCCCTTCAATAAGCTCCCAGTCTTGGTTGTTCTCTTCGCTACTACAGTCCGGTGATTCTTCGGAATAACCGTGTAAGTAAAGAATGAGAAGCATCCCCATGGTGAAAGCTAGGAAGTCGATTGTTTTGCAAAGATATGATCGAGCTGTTGATCGGATGATTTTATATAATCCCAGTGAATTTCTCGCGGCTTGGATTGCCACTTTATGACTGTACGCGAAACGTACATCATAAGGGTATTTCAAAATGAAAGGAAGATGGAGAAGTGCCCGCAAAACATTTGGCATGAGTTGTAATGGAACTCGCTCGAAGTAATGTTCTCGTTTTTCACCCGGAGCTGGATCAGTGCCCAAGGTGCTATTCGGCATGGCCTCCCAGGTATCCATTAGCTCTTGGTCGAGTTTCAATGTGCTTTCAAGAGACATATCTCCTGGATTTTGATTTCGATCAATCATATGACCACATATTACCCCGATACGCAACATGTACTCCTCCGCGGTAGATACGGGTAATTTCAGTCGTCGTTCCACTTGCGGTATGAAGAAAGCGTCTGCAACCACGTAGGGCAGGCCAAGTATGAGGCTAATAGATCGATCGGTGTTCCCCAACGAGCACCAGATCTTGAGTCTTCTTTCAAACAATACGTCTGACGGTCGAGGATTCCTGGTCGACAAGTGCATGCCGGCTAAATGGGCTAACTCAATGGCTCGGCGATTGACCAGCCACGCTTTACGCAGTCGGCCTTCGTTCATGTGAAATTTCGAGAGAAGAACGTGGCACTCGATTCCAGGGAGGGTGGCTGAGAAGTCGTCATCACGGACCACGAGCCTATCCACTGCTTCGCAACATCGGGAGGCGAACTCTTGCGGGTCTATGGGTGTTTCTAGTTTGTTCAAGTCGAATTCAACTGGTGACTGAAGAACGGTGAGAGAAAGACACACCAAAGCTTTCGCTATATCAGCAGGTGCTAACTGGCTTTCTGCACCCGCGTGTTTTGCTGCGAGGGTCTTTTTTATTCCAGGAATATCGTCTTCCCATATACACCACATATGAGAGCACTGGGATAGAATAGTTTGAATGTCGTTCTCCGAAGGGAAAAAGGTAATCAGCTCTGCTCTTGCTGCTCGCGCCTTCGGGGACGTGTCTCTGGCGCCCGTAAACTGGTCATTCGTCGAGGGGTCCTTGCGGCGGCTGACAAGATAGTTGTCAAAAAGCTGCAGCACGGGTGCATTTTCTATGTTTTCGCTTGAAGGGCCCAGTCTATCCGGTTCCGAAGAGGTTGGTGTCAGGGTCCCTGCTGTGGTTTGACCAGCTAGAAGAGTATTGTCAGTCTCACATCACCAACTTGGACTGAAAATTAGAACGTCATTATAAACTTGTGCGAATCTTACATTTTGATAGGATAGCGTTTGTTTGATCCAATTTTTGGGCTAAGCTTCCCACTATCGTCTCTAGGTATGCCACACGTTCCCGTAGGCTATATCTCTCCCCTGACGGAGGACCTTGTAATGTATTGGATTCTTCCAAGCCATTTTCTTGATCGACGCATTTTGAACCACGCAGATGGCACTCGTGGCATACATCATGGCGATCATTATCGTAAGTGCAGCGGATTTTGCGACGTCGGCCTATCTAAACTTAGTATTGGATCACAGCCCGAGCAACTACCACATACATTCCAAACAGCTCTTGGTGCCCTTGCGCATTTTCTTGCGGGGCGGCCCCGCATTATCGGCCCAGGAGTCCATCTTTCTCGCTGCTATGCGTACAAATCTCTCGCATATAAAGCGTCAACTGTCTTACAGGTCGCAAGAGCAAGGCGTCGGCGGAGAAACGTCTCAATAAGATATCAACGGATGGCGACACAGCATGTAGGTTTTCTCTGCAGTCGCTGATGTACCAAATTCTGTAGATGGATTTTCAAAGCGCAATACTGTTTACATTAAAATTTTGAGTAGAGAAAAAGCTAGGGAAAGAACAATCTGGAAGAGAAGCTCTTCGGGGAAACATAGCTGTGTAAGCCGGGGGCAAAGCGTTGATTGTGGATCATGGTGCGTGGCCATACTGCATCCTTCATACTATTTCTGCCCATGTCTGGGGAAGACGAAGATCCCCTACAAAGAGCAGTCATGGATAGATATTGACGGAAGAATTTTGGGGAATCAGGTGAGATATTTGAATTTTAAGAAGTCATCAGATAAGTAGCGTATTGTGGTGTTTTTTGAAAGGTCACTCTACATATTCCCGAGTATCTCTCATCTTCCTAGCGCCCAGGGATAGTATGACAAGCAGGTAGTAACTACGTAGTATGTAAAGCTGGTACACATGAAAATCTAGTCACAGAGTGGCATTAAGATTAAGCTTGGGCATGAAGCTTAAATATTCTGAGCGAGATAGTATTGGGTAACCATTTTTGCGCTAGGTCTGAGCATCATGGTGGCTTTCGCTAGTTCTATATGCGAAAGACTAGATTGAAACCAATAAGACAGGCGATAGGCCTCGATGGTTAATCATGCACATGAACAATTTGCTTTTCCACACTGAAGAGATATGACCCTTGAATGAGCTGAGATGGCGTACCTCAGGAGCAGAAGCAAACTTGAGGCTGAGATATTTACCACCTAGCACACCATTCATCAAGCATTATGCTAGGTATGCAATCGCACTACTTTGTCCGATGAACTTAATAAAACATTGAAGTTGACCCGGGAACAGAAATGAAGAGGCTAGATGTCGATTATAAGTGTTTTTTATTCAATTAATATACCTGAGATTGTGAGGTGATGGAATCATCTGCTACTCATATAACTGATGTGTAGATCTTAAATCCACGGGCAAATTGAGCTCCATGTACGGCCCGGATGAAAATGGTCCGGGGCATCCGCGAATTCGTCCGTCAAGTTCGGCCGAAGTGACGAGCAGAACTGTTCTTGCAATTAAAAGTGGTGTAGTTTTGACCAAATATTATAACATATAAAATTTTGAAAGTAAAATGCATGGGCTTGTTCGCATTAGTAGCACCCTATTTTTATATGAAGCTATTGCCACAATGTAACACAGTTGGCACCACCGGCCAATACCATCTCCGCCAAACTACGAAGCGCGGTCAGCCGCCGAAAGAAAGTTAGCTGTCAATATATTGAAATGATGATTTAGTACAAACATTTCGAGATGAGAGCAATAAAGTCAAGCCGTCATATACTCTGGTGAAATGATCTCGATCAATTCGCCTACCATTTGATGGTCTATACCAGGTTGACCCGGGACTAATTTCACCCGAGTAGCATAGTGTACATTTCACATGGTTAAAGAAATATTCGACATTGTGCAAAATTAAAAGGCTTTGAGTTGGATTTGAGTTTTAATACATTTCCACGGGTGTGAGGGGAGAAGGTACAGAAAGGTACACCTCTCCAATTCAATAGAGGTACATGAACAAGATGTCAAGCGAAAACTCCGGTTTCCTCCCGGATCCCTTGTGCTGATCGATGATTCCCGCGCTGTGAATAAAGTGCCAGACAAATAGTGAAAGAAATAGGGGTGTCATAATACAAGACTAGAAAGCAAAATCAATCTAGTCATAGGTTCAAATTAATGATGGGAACCATCTACTCGACCACACGGGTGATCAGACCAGTGGCGACGGTACGGCCACCCTCACGGATGTTGAAGCGCTGACCGGCCTCGGCAGCAACGGGACGGTGAGTGGCCAGAACCATCTCGACGTTGTCACCAGGCTGGACACGCTTGGACTGGTCCTCGTCGGGGAAAGTGAGGTCACCAGGCTCATCAGCAGTGCGGAGGTAGACCTGGGGGCGGTAGTTGGAGCCGAAACCAGTGCGGCGACCACCCTCAGCCTCAGTGAGAACGTACATGGACACCAAGAACTTGCTGGCGGCCTTGGTGGTGCCAGGAGCGGCAACAACCATACCACGGCGGATATCCTCACGCTTGATACCACGGACCAGCAGACCGGAGTTGTCACCAGCGCGGGACTCGTCACAAGTCTTCTTGAAGGTCTCAATATCGGTAACCTTGGTCTTGATAGGAGCCTCAGAGCCACCGACAATCTCGACCTCAGTATCCTTCTTCAGGAGACCACGCTCGACACGGCCAGACACGACGGTACCACGGCCGGGGATGGAGAAGACCTCCTCAACGGACATCAGGAAAGGCTTGTCGAGGTCACGCTCGGGGGTAGGGATCCAAGTATCAACGGCGGTCATGAGCTCGTCGATTCTCTCGGTACCAATGTCGTTGCGGCGGCCCTCGAGGGCGCACAGGGCGGAACCGAAGACAATAGGGGTCTCCTCACCCTCGAATCCGTAGGTGGAGAGCAGCTCACGCATCTCAAGCTCAACAAGCTCAAGCATCTCAGGGTCCTCAACAGCATCGACCTTATTGACGAAGACAACGATCTTCTGGACACCGACCTGGCGGGCAAGCAACAAATGCTCACGGGTCTGGGGCCTATAGTAGAGAAAAATGTCAGCGCATTGCCTTTTTCTAGTTTCGCATTGGAGACTAATAATGAATTGAATCCTTACATCTGACCATCAGAGGCAGCAACGACGACGATTGCACCGTCCATGTTGGCAGCACCAGTAATCATGTTCTTAATATAATCGGCGTGACCAGGGCAGTCGACGTGGGCGTAGTGACGGCTCTCGGTCTGGAACTCAATGTGGGCGGAAGAGATGGTAATACCACGCTTGCGCTCCTCAGGAGCCTTATCGATGGCATTGTAATCCAGGAAGTTGGCAAGACCCTTAGAAGCCTGGTGCTTGGTGATGGCAGCAGTCAGGGTGGTCTATGGAAGAAAGACAGGTTAGACACGCGAATATCCAAATTGCGATGAAAGCAATCATCTCACCTTTCCGTGATCGACGTGACCAATAGTACCAATGTTCACATGGGGCTTGGTACGCTCGAAAGCAGTGGCCAGACCACGAGCGGCCATCTTGTCGTTGGCGAAGACATGGTGGACGGGGTTGATGGCGCGGGGACGCAGCAATGAAGCGCGGCTGGTGCGCGCCAGGGTGTTCAAGGAACGAGAGATGCCTGACATCTTGCGATTGTGGAAAGCAAAAACGATAAAAAGGGAAGCAAGAAGGAAAGTCGATGGAGAGAGGCAAGAAATGGGGAGAATCAACACCAATTTTTCTGGGCCTTGGCTTAGTCATTCACCGACCAATCAGGGGTCGCGAATTGCGGAGGTTTACGGCTCAAGTGCTGTCATCAATTAAGATGAAGGAGACTAGACAATTCATAGAATGGGCGATTCAGGGAAGGAAAAAAGACTTGCATGCATGTGTGGGGTCAGGAAGACATCATAACTGTACTTAGGTGCTATTATTTGCATGATTTCCATATATTTCGAAGCTGATTCTCCTTGTAGTTGTGTAACATCGGGATTAGTATTAGCAAATAGAGATATGTTGAATGTGCTTCTGCGATGGAGAAATGTTCGAAAGAACAATTGGAAATCACAATTATGTGTATATTACAATATCCATCCCTCAAAGTGTGGTGCACGGTATTTCAATATTTACGTCCCTAATGATACGAGCTATGATCTACAGCCATTTCGTTCGCAACCACTTCAATCAGACTTCTTCACGGTGAGCAGAACCCGCTTGCCTGGCTCCCCCTCCATCGCTTTGACCTGTGTACCTCCAGCTTCCCGAGTGGTGTCCATAACACTTTGCATCACCTGCTTGATCTCGTCGACGGTGGGGGCGCGCTTGTGTTTCTTCCGGGTCAGAATGATCTCAACCTTTCGGCCCTTCTCCAAGAAAGCAGTCAACTGTTTCAGACGATGCGCCAAATCATGACCGTCAATAGCCCAGTTCAGCTCAATTTGCTTCAGGCTTTGTTTGGCAGCCTTCGCTGCCTTTTCCTTGGCTTTCTCGGCGTTCCGGTACTCTAACTTGTTCATGATCTTGCACACTGGTGGCTGTTTGGGAGCCCCCGGGGAAACTTGCATGAGAAAGAATTCGTTGCGGTTGAAGGATTCTAGAACCTCGGATAGGCTCTGAGGAGGTTGAATATCTCCGTCGGCATTGACGATCTGTACTGTCGGCGCCCGAATGCCTTCATCTTTAATGGGTCCCTTGACGGGAGGTCGAGATTCACGAAGAGCCAAAGAGCGGGAGTGTTGGAAAAGTCTCAGTTGAATGCCATGATGAATTTTAAATGGCTGTACAACCCTGGGGGTGGTTTGGTAAAGAGGTGTGACGAAGGTTTGGCGGAGCGCTTGCGCGGTAGACACGAGACCACGCATATGGTTCATCTTGCGGGAGACTCGGCGGATTGTGAGTGAGGGCGAGATCGAGGGAAGAGAAAGGCAATATACGGGTTTCCAAGGCAGGCGAGAGGGTACCGGGTATGTCAAATGTCTCCCAGTGTGAGAGCTAAGGAGCAAGTCGAGCTTGCGGGTAGAAGAATAGAGTATGGGGAAATTGACCGGATTGAGTAACTGCCACGCCACATCTCATGCGCCACAACCCTGAAACCCTTAGATCTCCTTTCTCTCGCCGGAGTTGTCTTCTCCTACTTTTCTTCTTCTCCGACTTTCACCAACTAATCTATCCCGTTTCCTTTCTGGACTTGTGTGGTGTTTCAGGAGGATCAATGGTTGTTTGTACTCCGTTTACCCATTTCTAATCGTTGTCATTCTTTCCCCCTTGGGTGGTAACTACGCACACCTTTTTTTTTTTTGCTTATCGCCTCCGCCGATTGCTCGTATGTCGACTGGAGTTGACAACCAATCACACCCTAATCAGTTTGAAGATCAGAGTCCTCTCACTCGCCAACGATCTATTTCACGGAGTAACGGCATTGCTTTTGCACCATCTATTGAGTCCGGTCGAGTATTCGATAAACGATCCGCTATGGCGCAGACCCAAAGAACCCGGTACCTTAAGACAGGTGCCATTATTGCCTTTGTATTTATGGTAGTGCTGTGGCTTTCTCCATCCAGATCGACTGTGTCTAGTTATACTCAGGGTATGATTGTCTCACTGTCCATAATTGTTCAATGGATGGCCACTAAGACTAACCAATGGCCTTTTTTACAGAAACAGCTCCTTCGACCGGAAGTTCAACAGCCAAGTGCACCAAATCATTCGATTCGTCGAAGCCTCTCATTCAATATGCCCTCATGATTGATGCGGGTAGCACGGGCTCTCGTATCCATGTCTACCGCTTTAACAACTGCGGCTCTACCCCGGAGTTGGAGAACGAGGTCTTCGAACAGACCGCGAAGAAGGAAGGTGGTTCTGGTCTCAGCTCATACAGGGAGAATGCCGAGGGTGCTGCTCTCAGTCTTGACCCTCTTATGGAGGTGGCTATGCAGAATGTCCCCGCCGAGTACCGATCTTGCACTCCAGTGGCTGTCAAGGCCACTGCTGGTCTGCGTCTTTTGGGACCTGAGCTCAGCACCAACATTCTGGAGGCTGTTCGTCACCGTCTTGAAACTGCTTTCCCCTTCCCAGTCGTTTCGAAGGAGAAGGGTGGTGTGCAGATTATGGATGGCAAAGACGAGGGTGTCTTCGCTTGGATTACCACCAACTACCTCCTTGGGAAGATTGGCGGCCCTGACGATACCCCTACCGCTGCTGTGTTTGACTTGGGCGGTGGTTCCACCCAGATCGTTTTCCAGCCTACTTTTGAGAAGAGCAAGGCTGGCGGCATGCCTGAGAAATTGGCTCCCGGAGACCACAAATACGAGCTTAACTTCGGTGGCCGTGAATTTGAGCTCTACCAGCACTCTCACCTTGGCTACGGTTTGATGTCCGCTCGCGAGGCTATGCACAAGGTTGTTCTGGAGGCAATGTTGGCCAATAACCCGAAGGATTTGTCTTGGTTGAAGCGCCCTATCTCCAACCCCTGTATTGGTCCCGACATGGAGCGTTCAGTCACCGTGAAATTCGCTGACGGGCCTCTCAGTCCCGAGGTCACTGTGAACATGGTGGGCCCTAAGGACTCGACCGCTGCCCCCCAGTGCCGTGCTATTGCCGAGAAGACTTTGAAGAAAGATGCCGGCTGTACCCTCGCACCTTGCTCCTTCAACGGCGTTCACCAACCTTCCCTTGCCAAGACTTTCGCCCGTGAAGATGTCTTCATTTTCTCCTACTTCTATGACCGCACTGCCCCTCTGGGTATGCCTTCTTCCTTCACTCTGCAGGAGCTGCATGACCTCACCAACACCGTTTGTGCCGGCGAGGACAGCTGGTCTGTCTTTGAGGGTGTCGAGGGTGCCATGGCTGAGCTTAAGGACCGACCCGAATGGTGCATGGACTTGAACTTCATGCTTGGTCTCCTTCACACCGGTTACGAGATGCCCTTGTCTCGCGAAGTCAAGATTGCCAAGAAGATCAAGGATAACGAGCTGGGCTGGTGTCTTGGTGCTAGTCTTCCTCTTCTCAGCCAAGAGTCTGGCTGGAAGTGCCGTATCAAGGAGGTCTCATAGACCTTGACACGGTACCATGTTCAATATTAATCAATTTTCAATCATATGGCCCAGCCATACTGATATGGGTTCATGCATATAAATAGACACTTAATACGTTTGTGTCACTTTTTGTTTCTTGTTCTTCTTTCTCTTCTTCACATCGTTACTGGTGTCTCTTATCTAGATTATTTGTTGTATTACTGGAGATTTGGCGATTGCATAAAAAAGAAATGTATGAAATGTATGTCCTTCAAGTTTCCAATGTCCATGGCTTTTAATACCTAGGGTTCTTAATTATTTTCATGTAGGAGTTGAAAGGTCCAACATATAGCCTCATGGATCATGATGTTATAGGATTCCAAGATTGAATTATCTACATTTATTCTTCAAACACAAATATTTAATTGTTTCAATGTCCCAACTCCTCAATCGACGGTTTATCCGCATCCAAATCTTTGCCGCCCATCAATTTTTCCAGAATATCCGAATCATCTGTAGTTTTGTCCTTGTTATCTTGATCCTCACTAGAATCTTCATTGTCACGTTTTTCCTCCAATACACCTAAACCAAGATTCTATAGGCACTAAGTCAGCAAGTGTTCTATCTCCAAGACAGACCAATGGATATAAGATCTCAACAGAACCTACCATTTCAATATAGTCTTTATTATCCTCAACTTCATCCAAAACCACATCTTTGCCCCTTCCTGCTGCAATCTCCTTCTCCAAATCCTCATTGGCACTCTTCATCTTAGGTAGAAATGCAGACAATCTCGACAGCAGCTCCGAGTTCCCTTCCATTTTACGTATGCGTGGCTTAGGACGTCCAGAGAGATTCGGTATTGATGATGTGTTCGAAGAAGATGTGGCTTGGTTCTCGTGGTGAATGTTCTCTTGTTCATCGTCTGAAGAATCATCTTCGCTTGAGCTATCAGAAGAGGAGCCGGAAGATGAGGTCGGGTCGGAATCTTCATCGTCGGGTATAGGTGCAGATGCACGAATAGGAAGTGTTCTTTTGGTATCTGTAGCCCTCATTTTTATGAAATTTTCACAATCTCTAGAGCGTGAAGATGGCCTGTATGCTCGATTTCGGAGAAATTCCCGCAGCTGGATAGACGAGTCGTAGGTATCGTAGCGTTGAACTTTGACCCTCGGATTAATGGTCAAGTTTCTGATAACTATGCAAAATAATAATAATAGTGCGGAATGGAATGCTCTTGACAGAGTTCGTAAATTGGCTGAGTTTTTGAAGTGGATTGTCTGCAGGATCCAACTCGCGGTCGGTTTCAACTTTTTAAGTGGAGCCCCGATAACGATAAGGAAAGGCTAAATCTACTGATGAGCGGATCTAAGCTTCTAAGGTTATATGTATGGCAATATGATATTTCGACATTCCAGCTAATCGTACATGGTTATTATTATTACATACATAGGGAAGCTTAGAGCTAGTCCCGGCTTCGTCGTCGACTACGATTTCTGCGTCGACTAGGGCTCCTCCGTCGGCTGCGACTCCTACGCCGACTGGGACTCCTTCTTCTTCGGCTGGGACTTGGCCTTCGACTCAGGCTTCTTCTTCGGATCGGGCTTGGGCTTCTTCTCCGACTACGACTCCTTCGCCGAGTAGGGCGATCATTTGTAGTATCTTTAGGCGGCTCAGCTGTAGTCTCCGGTTCCTTTTTCTCCGGCTCCTTTTTCTCCGGCTCCGTTTTCTCTGGTTGCTTCTCTTTTTCCTTGTCTTTTTCGCGCCCAGAACCTGGCATGTACCGGTCAATTTCAGCTGGCCGCGCTCTTTGGTCACGTTCACGTTCACGCTCTCGCTCTCGCTCTGGTGATCGCATCCGGCGACGAGGTGATTTGCTGCGACGACTGGTAGAAGGAACATAACGGTCTATGTCAAGAGAAGGGGGTGAGGGCCGTCGGGCACGGGGTGAAGGACGACGAGATCGCGACCTTCGTCGTGCAGCAACAGATCGAGAACGAGACCGAGACCGTCGTCGTGAGGGAGATCTGCGCTGAGGGCGGTAATTGTTACGATCGTCCCGCTCTCTGTCCCTTTCGCGATCTTGATCCCTGGTTCTGTCTGGGCTGCGATCTGGGCGACGGCGATCATCTCGATCGCGAGATCTGGATCGTACTCGAGGTCTGTCTCTGTCACGGTCACGGTCACGGTCACGGCCTGCTGACCGACTGCGACTGCGAGGAGGAGGGGGTCTATAGCTTCGTTCATCTCTGAAATCACGGTACCCACGGCGTGCATCCATGTCGCGGTCACGATCCCGATCGCGAGACCTCACTGAGGCATCTCTAGAACGATCGCGTCGACGTTCAGGGCTATGATGAGGTGCCGGACGTCGGCGAGAGCGGCTGCGGCTTTTACTTCGATCTCGAGTAGTATTTCGAGGACGTTCCTTTCGGTCTGGTATCGAATCACGACGTCTGGAGTCTCGGGATGGGCTAGGTGCCCTAGTCGATGCATTGGATAGCCTCGAGTCACTTACACCTTTAACATGTCCAGATGTTGATGTTGGTGGCTTAAGCCCATTCTCAATAGCTTCAGCTTGCTCAAAATCGAACTCAGGCTTTTGTCGTGCTTTAGCTGCAAGCTCTTCGCCTTCTTTCAATAACATTTGCAAAGCAGCCTCCTCAAGTGACTTCTCATCCACGGGACCTGGCGCCGGGGTGGGATCTTTGGATATGGCAGGTCTGTCTCGCTTCGAGTCCCGACTACGTGGTGATAGCCCGCGGTCAGAGCGATATGCTGGAGAACGGTCACGAAAGTCCCTGGTACGACTGCGATCTCGCTCACGATACCGGTCACGATCTTCCCTTCTGCGTCGCTCGTATCTTTCGTCTCGTTCCCGGTCTCGTTGGTCATCAATAGCTCGCTGCTCCTCGCGCAGGCGCTCACGCTCCGCTCGTCGCTGGTCATCGATTTCCTTTCTCCGGGCCCTATCTTCATCATCTTTCTTTCGTTCGATTTCGCGCCTTTTGCGTCGCTCTTCATCCTTGATTCGTTTTTGTTCATCATCGATCTCCTTTTGCTTGCGCATCTCTTCGCGCCAGACCTTCTCGCGTTCGTCTCTTTTGGCTGTCACGTAGGCCTCGTATTCAGCATCAGTTTTGTTGCCCGCTTCCTCTTCCTTAGCTGCTGCTTCATCGCCAATTTCATGTCGACGGATATCTCGCACAGAGTCCAGAATAGATTCCAAATGGATGGAAGCCAACTTGTCGATGGATAACTCTGCGTTCTTGTAGACATCGCTTCGGTCGACGGCACCTTCGATTAAGGTTGCGGCTTTTCCTCTCTCACGCGAAAGATGTGCTGGCTCTCGCTCAATCTCGGACTCGGCCAATGCGATTAATTCGTCAGTAAACTTGGTCTTGGATTCCTAAAGAGCGCACATGTGTTAGACAAGGCAATCGGGCATCGAACAGGATTTCGCATCCACATACCCCATCATTGAACTCAGCCCATATCTTCTTTCTTATACTATCAAATCCACCCTTCTTTTTAAACGAATGAAGCAGTTTGTCGATGGCTGCATGCTGCGCTGCAGACAAAGGAAGGTCCTCGGCCTTGAATCGCTTGCTCTTCAGAGTCTCGATATCCAGGGATGGTCTCTTTGTGCCCGATTGCACGCCTTCCATGGCTTCGGACGTAGCCATCGTTGGAAGGTGCAATGGAGGGGGTTAATTACCCAGACGGTGCACGAAAGTTGCAGGCGGAGTTGGCGCGTATAATCATCTAATGCTCTGGCGGCTCATCAAAAGTCGACAGGATAATTGAACGGTGGATGCATTGTAGCCAATCACTGCTGTTGTCCCCAGCTCCGCGTTCAAAGGCGGTGGGCTGGTCAGCTAATGAAAATGACCCAGATGGTACCGCCTTTTCAATGCGCATGTGTTGTTCCTCGTATTATTTTGCCCTATGAGAACCATACTACACAGTACATAGGATGAATATCTACTTCTACAAGCTTGTTCATGTGGAAGAAGGGTGTGAATTCATTATAGTTAGAATTTTCTCCAAATTTATCCAGATATAACTTCTGCCATCACGTTTCCGAAGCCGAATCACTAAAGGAAACTAAAAGTATATAGTGTAGAGTACACAAGATATGACCTACTATATTATAATTTCCGTTGAACCTTCAATTTTTTTAAATAGTCAATTTAGAAATTATGCCAAATAAATGTAAAGCTTAGGTAGTAGGCTTGTTGCAACCTCGTATCTAAGACCCGGATATCGGGAGTTGTGACGGCGGAGAAATCGTTAATCCGTGCTTGGATACTGCGGGCGTCTGATTTGCTTCTAACTACTCTCCTGGCGCCCCAGTACGACTCGAAGCCCCGACGACCTTTAATTCCGACCACAGGCAATTAATCACTGCCACTTAGCAGAGTCTACCACTTCTCTCCTCGTCGGAACGTGTCGGCCACCTTTAATACCACCCTCCCGCCCCCAGCCGGTCGCGATCATGGTCCACAAAGTTCTCTTCTGGAGCGGCTTCGGTACGTGACGATACCCCTCCCAATTGCTTGATATACATATGAAACTCCAATTTCGTCGAAGCTATATTCAAGAGATGCTAACATGATCGCTCTATCCAGGCATTGCCGTCCGCCTGTGGCAACTCGGTATCGAGATGCGTCCCATCCTCGCCAGGGAATCCCTCTGGGTCTACCCTCTTTTCGCCGGTGTTGGTGGAAGCTTCGGATACTGGCTCCAGGGTGTTGAAAACCGTCAACTCAAGATGCTTGCACAGCGCCGCGAGGCTATTCTGGAGAAGCGTCGGCGACGAGACCAGCGGGAAGTGATCAGCAAGGCCGAAGAGGGTGCTGTTCTTGCTGCTACATCATAAAGAGTTCAAAATTAGGTGGTGATGTGGTTGGAGATTCAGCATTGCGTCGTTTATTCCCTTTGTTTCTTTCCTGTTTCTTTCTTTTACCTGTACCAAAATTCCACGGTTTTGATATCGACACCCTAGACAGGAAGTCCTCGCGCGGGCGATGTATCCGACAGCGATGTGTGTTATTGAATATGAAGAAATATTTTCGTCTATATTTTGTTTAAATTGACTTGTAGCGAATATTCTGGTCTTTCACTCCTCGTGGTAACGGGGTTCTTGTTCGCGTATCTACAAATAATATGAGATCGACACATTTAGCGAGAATTGGGGGAATATGCTCCATTTCCATGGCTGTATAAGAGCTGAGTATAGTAAGATAGTAATGCCACATCAGGCTCTATGTACCTGTTCCCAGGAACCAACTGTGTACATCCTTGCCTCCGCATGCCTAGATATGGTTGCTCAAGGAGTAGCCGAATCGCATGGATATGATGTCTAAAGTTGTGATACAAATAAGTCTCAAAAGTTCAAGTTTGAGGTGTTACCTTGCAAGCGATTGATATTTAAGTAGTAACAAGAGTCATTGATAATGTACAGGGACTTTATAAGTAGACACGCCCATCTAACTCAACAGGCACCATTTATTAAGCCTTCAAGGCCGTTCAATGGTGAATTGGAGAGAAACTTCCCACTTCTGCCCTCCAGTACCATAGCCCCCGCCAAGCCTGTTTCGAATCAGACTGGATATCTTCTCCCGCAATCGAGCAACATTGTCTTCTGTGCCTGAGACGCGTAACTTCACGTTTGCCATGCAAAGGCCATAGTGGACCTGCCAAAATCGCGCATCGTCAAGCCCAAAGACCGAAGGCTCAGCTTCGATATCTTTAATGACTTCGGCAACACCCCCGCCGGAGTAAGACATGAGAAGCATAGAGCCAAGGGTTTTTACCAAGCGAACTCCAAGAACACACATAGATATGGCGATGGTACCGGAGAGAAGCTTGTCCAACCAATCATAAATACGGATTGAGACCAAGGGGAGCAAAAGCAGGAGAGCGGAGCATGAGAGGGTCAGGAAGTGTGATGGGTTGCTGAGAACGGAGGGAAGAGAGTCGATATATGCAAAACGCATGGCTCTGCCGATTCGCGCATGGTTCTTCAGCCCAATTGCCGAGACAAGAGTCGAGCAGATAGCCAATACAGCAGTTACATCGACACTTCCCAAGGAAACTCTTTCATGAGGATGTGAATGATGAGGTTCGTGACCTGACTTTTCTAAGAAATGTTGCAGATTGTGTGATATCAAGTCGAGACCCATGAACAGAAGCAGTACGCACATGGCGAAACCGGCGAGAACCTCCGCTCGCTCCAGCCCAAATGGATGACGGATACTGGATCGCTTCCAGACCTCAAAGTTCCCTAGCACATCTACAGCGACGCATAGAAGAGCACCCAATGAATCGAATAAGATCAAATGAGATAGCGCAGTCATCGCCAGCGATCCATGCGCGGCCCATTGTATATATCCGGCAACAAACATGTGGCATAGACTCCACCAAAATCGGGTTTTCTGCTCCTTAGACATGCTGGCACGGCATTCTTTGAGTGTCGGGATTGGAAGGGAGTTGGGAAGAGCCAAGGGCGCACGAGGGGGAGGTTCAAGAAAGATCTGGTGTGAGATACTACTGTGCTTGTATTTGTGGCCACGACGCTGTCCAATGTTCTATTACCAAAGACCAATAATTAGCAAATATCCTCCAGGGACTTATAAGGGGAGACTCTTACGGATTTAATCACAGGACTTTTCGCCATCACTGCGGTATCGAAATTGAAGGGACCCGCGGCGGTTGAGTCTATTGATCCATTCCGTGCAGATGGTGCCATCTCTGCGGATGTGGAGCTTAAATTGAACGATGCCTTTGTAGGGCTGAGACGGGCTTGATTTCCTGGATCTAGTGCGATGCTCTTGGGAAATGTTTCTCGAAGTGGCGATAGGGCGTCGCGATCAAGAGCGATTCCGGGGTTATTCTGCATTGCATGGTTGTAGGGTTCGTCCGCCGGCGGAGTGGGAGTTCGTGGAGGGATAGGAAGAGGAAGATTGGATGCCATTCTGAAGGCTATCCGTGAACACAATTCCACCTAAAATTATGATGGCGGGGAAGGGGATGTGAAGCTGGAATAGGAGATCTCCTATCATCCAACTTAGGTTTAGATCGGGGAGATAGCGGAGATTGACGCCTGAACGTCAAGGTGTCGTTACGGAAGGGGCGGGGACCGAGGCCTTGTCGTGTACATCATCAGCCCCCCCATACTTCTTCATATTACCACCTTCATCCTCGTCATTCATTGTTTCCTCACGCTGGTGGGGGCTTAGACAGTCTAGACCGATCTTAACTCGAATCGTACATATTCGTCCCCCCTCCCGTTCCTCTTTCTCCCCCGCGATGCTTATCGTGCCAACTTGAAGTGGAGAGACCTCCGATGCGTTTACCCCGTGGCGTCGATGGATAACCGCGGCTCCTTTTTCTTTCTTCTGCTGGTCTTCTACATTCTTCTCAGCTCACAGTCTCGCCCACCGCTGATTGATGAAGACCGTCAGCGTCAACGGGAACTCGACCGTGAGCAACATGCAATCAGTCTACTAAACGGGACCAACTATGGGGATTTCAATCCATCAGGGGATCAATGGCTTTCCTTTTCAGGTCTCCGGAAGAATGATACCTTTGCATGGGACATATTTCCAAGCGTTCAGAACCGTGCGCGTGATCACTTGAAGTCCGCTCTTACAATTGCCGGCGTTGAACCTCCGATCGGTCTGAATGACCCCAACAAGTCATCCTCGGTCAACTTGACAAACTTGTTCCTACCAGTGTATCGCAATACGACAGGCAAGTTGCGCGGTGATTGGGTTCGCCGGACTGATGTAACGCCTCATACCCCTCTCAATGTAACGGCCATCGCCCTCGAGCACGATTACTTCACACACGATTTCAGCTCCAATATCACCGGAAATGGAGGCACCCTATCCTTCGAGCTAGACGAAGGAGGTGGAGAGGAATTCCGGCATGGTGAAGGCGTCGCCCGTGAGATCAAAGCAACGGTGTCCGTTGAGGATGACGACTTTTGGGGAAACACCTGGTACCTGTCATTATATGGACTGCATTTTCCAGAGACTGGTGCCATGGTTTTGACAACTGCAAGTACGAAGTTTGGTGGAATGTTCGCCTTGCCGCATTTTACTTTATCTGCCGATAGCTATGAATTGGCTCATCAGCTTTTACTTAAATCGCTTAAAGACACCATGTCCGAGGAGCAAAACCGACCTGCTACATTGTTTCCATGGTCCTCACTGGCGAGAAGCGAGCAGATGGAATTTCCTGTTCCTAAATGCGAGCATATAATCTTCTTGCAACAACATCCAGTCATTATCGACGGGGCTGTTTCTGATCGCTTACAAATAGAGAGAATGGAGCGAGAACTCAGATTCCCCATGGGCGCACCTATTCCAGATCCGCCTTTGATGACTATGTCCGCAGTAATATTCTCCCCCGATTGCGGGTACATACTGGAGACCAAAGGCACACCTGAATTCCCACCCACTGACGCGCTCTATCTTTCCGGTGCTAAACGCGAGGAATATAATAAATATGCAGCTCGCCTAATCTTCGTGGTATCGGGTGTGTTCGTTGGCCAAATAGCCCTACTTCTTCGTCAGATTAAAGAAGCCTCTACTCCCTCGACCCGCAGCCGAGTCAGTTTCTACACCATTGCGTTAATGGCACTTGGCGATGCTTTCGTGCTCACATTTATCATCTTGGAGCTTTTTGAGGCCGTATCATTTTTGGTATTGGCTACCTCATTCTTCTTGGCGTTCCTTTCTGTCAGCTACATAGGCATGAAATTCATGATGGAGATATGGGCAGTACAGGAACCTGAGCGGCGAGAAGAACGACCTCCCAGTCCGCCGGCTCCCACCACACGCCCAGGAACCCTTCCCTTGCCAGCCACGGCAGTACGTGACTCAGGTGCCACTCCCATTATATTACCTCCCGACCAAGATGCTCCAGAGGACGAGCCGCAACCTGCAGCTCCCAACCGCACAGCTCCACCCACCCCTGTACAAATGCGCAGTGATGTAGGCGCTATGTATGCACGCTTTTATCTCGCATTGTTTGGTATGCTCATGCTTTCAATCTGGGCATTCCTCCTGCCTCGTCGTGCAGGATCGATATATGCACGATCAATATCAGCAATTTATCTCTCCTTTTGGGTGCCGCAAATCTACCGCAATGTGATGCGGAACTGTCGCAAAGCTTTGCGGTGGGACTTCGTGGCTGGACAGAGCATATTGCGGCTGTTTCCCTTCTTATATTTCCTCACAGCCCGTGGAAACGTGTTGTTCATTCGACCTGACTGGACCACTGCATTTGTCATGGCTGGATGGATGTGGATTCAGGCCTGCATGCTAGTGAGCCAAGAAATTTTGGGCCCTCGTTTCTTCATACCGCGAGGATGGGCTCCCCCTGCTTATGATTATCATCCAACGCTACGGGATACAGCTGGGCCGGATGACGACCTGGAATCTGGAAGTGTGTTATCCATCGCCTCTCTCCGAGCTGACAAACAAGATCTTGTGAGTGACTCTAAGGATGATGATAAGCAGCGGCCCAAGGACCGCAAGAGAGTTGTTTTCGACTGCGCGATTTGTATGCAGGATATTGATGTCCCTGTCCTCCCTGCTCCTTCTTCTGCTGGCGGAAGTAGAGTCACCGATGGAGCTACAAGTATTCTCAGTCGTCGCACTTACATGGTGACACCCTGTCGGCATATCTTCCATACTGCCTGCTTAGAAAGCTGGATGAGACTTCGCCTACAGTGTCCGATCTGTCGTGATACCATTCCTCCTGTATAGATTTTATGTCAATGCTATGGATATTCCGGATGCAGTTGTAAATATACGCAAATACATTTTATGTGATATTCCCAGTCTTTCCCGCATGATTTTCAATGGTCGCTCTTATCGATTACATTTCACAAGCCACCCAATACGCTTACTGTCAAAGTTTGATTAGGTCAAGCATCACACCAATCATTTATTGTAGTGCAAGCCGTGGAGGGCCCAGCTATATTTAAACGCCATTGTTGAAAAAGGAGAAAATTTGTATCTTTTAGACACAACCAGTATAAAGTCACATCGCACGTTCCAAACGAGCGGGATGCCTCATACATAGGCTTCCCGCCCCACATCTAATTCCAAACACAGGTCTCTCTCTATGACCTCATAAACTAGTGCTCCTCAACAGTCTCGAGGTAGGCAGCCTCATCCAGAAGAGCCTCAACCTCTGCAACATCGCTGACCTCGATCTCAGCAATCCATCCCTCGCCCTCGGCGCTAGCGTTGATAGTCTTAGCATTGTCCTCCAGAACAGCGTTACCGGAGATAACAATGCCAGCGACAGGAGAGAGAACATCGGAGGCAGACTTGACGGACTCAACGGCACCGACGGGCTCGCCGGCGGAGACCTCGAGACCAACTTCGGGGAGCTCGACGAAGACAACGTCACCAAGGGAGTTGGCGGCGTACTTAGTGATACCGATCTTGGCTATAGAAAATGATTGTTAGTTAAATAGCCCGACATATCAATCGTAGAAGACAGAAAAATGTAGCGCAATTGAGTTGACTAACCCTTGGTGCCGTCCAGCTCGATCCATTCGTGCGACTCAGTATACTTCTTCACTTGAGCTGTAAAAGGCCGATGATAGCTTGATTAGCTTTATATTCTCCAAAATATGGCTCAATTAAGCTCCAGGTAAGATTATTTAGTCTTCAATGCCCATAACAATCATACTTATGACTGCCATGGGCTGCTTGGAGGGCGAATTGACTCACCAAGAAGGCTTTGAGAGAAGCTCCGGGTTCCCCGCGGGAAGCGGAAAGCAGGCGCAACAGCGCTGATGGGAGCGATAGGCTTCTGGGCAAAGGCCCGGGAAGCAATGGGACGGAAGGCGCGAGCAACGGAGGCCATTGTGGAAGTGAAAATGGGGGGAAATTTGTAAGAATGAAGAATGGAAGAGGGGAGAGGGGAAGTTTAAGAAGGAAAAGAAAGTGCAGTGCTTCCCCGGCGGAGGAGGAGGAGCACTGATAAGGAATGGGTCCAGTGCCAAGACCGCCTGATAAGGATTCTGACTTCGATCGGATTTTGCGCGATCAAGGAGAACTCTCGGAACCGTTCGTCCTGCTTCAATTTCATCGGGTTTTCACACCACCACTCAATGCCATGTTGTACGAGCTAATTGCCATTGTATGTTTCGACCACAATTTCATGATGAGCGGGTGTACCATTTGGGATGTGGGATGCTAACTAAAGTTCTTTTACAGGTTCGCCCGGGCAGCCTCAACGAGGTTCGAGAGTACGCCTCACATAAAACCATCAATCTCTATCGCAACGGATAATTGAACTAATATCATTTCCAGAATCGCTCGTAATGCCGGCGCCCAAGTGATCCGCTCCGGCGGTGTTGTCCGAGGGTACACCAACTGGGGCGTTTTCCGCCTGCCTAAGGTCACCACCAAGCACCAGGCTCGATACAGTGAAGGCCATCATTTCATCATGCGTTTCGATTCCTCCGGTCCTGTTCAAACCTCCATTCGCCGTACTCTCGGTCTCGACCCGCGTATGATCAACTTCTCGGTTGTCAAGCTAGGCGACAAACTCGAAGAGATCAAGGATATCGAAGGCAAGGTCGAATGGAACAACACTCGCAGCATTACCGACACTTTCACATCGCCTCCATCATCCTAATGTATGATTGGGAGTTGGGTTATCATTTAATCGTTACATAGTCGCGATGACAATTTCCGGCTTGATGATTGGTCTTCAGCGTCTCTTCTTTTGTATTGTATATCATTATGTATGGCATGGGGATTCGGCATTACTGCTCGGCAGTATCAGCACGATTGGCGCACACTGTATAAAATTTTCAATTGATATCATATTTTCTTCCCTCCATTCAATTCCATCTCATATAGATTATCCTTGTCCATAAATTAGCTTCTCATCACGTGAGCTCGTGTCTCTGCCGAGGTTCCCCATTACCCGAAGTGTCAACTCGGGAAGCTCCAAGTGTACCTACTTATACTGCCTCCTTTTTCCCGCCATAGCCCTAGCACCTACAATTTGCGGTGTAACGCTGCTCGTTAATTACTTGTCCTCTTTTGTGAGTTAACGGTTGTGACTTTATCACGGCTCAGCGTTTACACCTGGGAACGTGATCTTGAATTCAAGTCTATGGTTCATTCGTTACTTGGATCATCTGCTATATTCATTACCTAAGGAGCCTTCATTGTTTTTGAAGTGAGCTTTGGGGCGTTTGAACTCTACAGAATTCATCATGTCGCCTCAGAATGCAACAGGTGGAGGTTCTTTTAACCATACTTCCCCACTTTCCTTCGTGGGGTTGATGGCTCTTGAGCGGCTCGACGATACGAAGATCAACGAAAGCAGCAGTGACCCTGAAAAGATTGAGTTATTCAGGTCTCTAGCTGCCCCATATCCGCCGGCAGAAGGTAACCGGGCATTCGGAGGGCACGTCTATGCACAATCCGCGTATGCAGCGTCAAAGACGGTCCAAAAAGGGTTTATCATTTATGTCAGTGTTGCCAAGTTCCATGAATTATCATACATTTCAAAAAGCTCACTTTCCCTATCAGGATATGACCGGCTCATTTATTCTGGCTGGCAGGCTTGATATTCCATACAAATATACCGTTCGCCATGTCCGGGATGGATACATGTACTGCACAAGAGCAGTCGATGCTCGACAAGACGGGAAGATTTGCTTTTCTTGCCTCTGTTCATTCAAGCGTTATGAAAGCTCAGATGCCTTTAGGCATCAGCCACCAGCGGCTCAAGGGACTTACCCGGATCTTTTAAATGCCAGGCGGCCCGAAGACCAGGATGTTAGCCCTAGTGTTGATGCAGACTTCTGGATTGAACTCATCCGTCAGGGTGGTGCCACCGAGAGAGAGTTTCCAGGAATTGATATGCGCAAGACTGACATGCAAACATTCAATCAAAGCAAGGAAGTTAAAGCAAGCCCCGAAAAGTTCCGCCAATTATCGCAATATCGCCTCAAGGGATCTCCAGATGAGGATCCGCACGCATCACTAGCACAAATAAGAGAGAGAGAACTCTCTGGGGAATATGATAATCTCTATGCTTGTGCACATATGTACTCGAGTGACAGGAACTCTCTTTTGTTGATACCGCGCTCTCTGGGAATTAAGCAATGGTCTGATATGGGCAGCCTTACTTTGATGGTGGTGATTCATCGCCATCGAGATGCATTGCGAATGATTGACTGGAATTCGACGTCCAATAACGGAAATTCTGAGTTACAGATGAAGTGGTTTGTTCAAGAAGGTTGGACGCCCCAGTCCGCAGAAAACAGAGCAGTGCATGAGAGCCATCTGTGGAGTCCGGATGGCACATTAGTTGCAACCACAATGCAAGATAGTATGCTCCGAGTACAGAGGCTCCAGCGCAAGGACAAATTATGAGCTGTGCGCTACTTTTGTATTGTTATTAGAAATAGTTTAAAATAATCGGGTGCGATTGTGGTCTTTTTGGTATATATGTGGTAGACCAACTAGTATTTCAAGAATGTCAATATGGTGTTGATACATAGACCATTTAATTCATATCTTACTACTTGGGCAGTCTCATATAAACCCGGTTAACTTATCTCAACTACTACTTAGTACTACTACATGCCCCCGGGAGCACCTACTTTGGAATAAGACCCATGGTTTTTGCCAAGTGACACAGTGTTTCTTTATTCAAAGTGGCCAGTACCTATACTATGTCGTTCTGCGAAGTTTATGTAGGGCAACGAGCTATCTACGATTCGTAGGCGCTAGCTAGGTGACCACGACGTCAAATACGAGTGTTAATTTCTTTTTCTTTTTCTTCTTCTTCTTCTTCTTCTTCTTCTTTTTTAAGGGTTTTTGCCGTTTTATAGCAGCCCTATTTGTCAAGGACGTGCTAAATGGGTGATCATTCCAAGTAGCAGCCTCCGTGACGAGGGTAAAAGACTTAAAATACCGGATCAAAAGACCTGGTATTTGATCGCGCTTTATATAGCAAGATTTGTTTGTAATACTAGAGAGGAAGATGGGATTCCTTATATGGGTGATTGTGGTCGTCTCCCTATACAATATCTAACTTGGGTCTTGAATATCTGAAATATCTCACTGCCTTGTTGTCTTCAAAGGGACCTGTGCTAGGTAAGAAGGGCCAAAAATAAAAAATGGTCACAGAGGGGGTAACCCTCGACTTTGGCATTATTAGCACCACACTCTAACCAACTGAGTTATGGAACCAGGTTGTTAAAGCGATGAGCTTCCTTACATCTATAAGGGAAATAATATCAAATGTCAAATACAGGCAACAGGCATAACAAAAGAACTAGAAAGATAGCAAAAAATAGTCAACCCTCGAATTTGGCGTAGCATACAAGGATATTAGTACCTCATTATTACCACTATACTCTAACCAACTGAATTATGGAACTAGGTCATTGATTCGGGGATAATATTCTGCAGACCTGAAGCACTGGATGTTATCTATATAGTATATGCTGGCCCAATGTATCTGTAAGCCAAAAAGAACACCTGGGCATTTCCAAGGTTGGAGAATTACTAGACGCACAAGTTTTCTCTCACCGCTAGAACTGTTGTACCGGAAGGTATAAAGGCATCGTTTTCTAAATACTATTTCTGCCAGGCATAAGAAGTATGCTCCCAAATCAATCAAATTTACATCACATGCAGTTCACAATGTCTGTTGTATAGTAGATACAAGCCACGTGACCAACATGTAAGTGACGTAAACCAACCAGGATCCACCCGTGTTCTCACCCCATCTAGACCTTCATACCTTCCTATACTCAGTGTTTCCCTAAGGCGGTTATGCTTGAGCAACAGCTCCGAGTCCATGGCCGCCAGCCCATATATCACCATGCACAAAACAATTCTTCTCGTCTTCATTCATGGTTTCAAGGTGAGAATGCGCCCGGCTATCGCACAGTGGTCTCGGTTCCCCGCACAACATCATTTCAACGGGATATTTTTCTGACCCACACTAATTGGTCAACTATGCTAGGGTGACGATGACACATTTGGCAATTTCCCAGAGCACCTTCGAGTTGTAGTCAACAAGGCGCTCCCTTCTGTTACAGTCGTGACGGCTGTGTATCCCAAGTATGAGACGAAGGGTGATCTGAAAGAGTGCGTGGGGAGGTTTAGAGAATGGTAAGACAAATCTGAATTTGATATGTCAAAACCTTAAGTCATGGGTATATGTAGTTGAGACTAATGATATCTGTTCTACTAGGCTTCAAAACACTGTCATTGATCTGGAAGTTGCCAATCATACTCCATCTCCCACAGTTGACCCATCTGTTCATGTTTTCTTAATCGGGCACTCTATGGGTGGACTTGTAGCTGCAGAAGCACTATTACTGCTAGCTTCTGAACAGCCTATCCCTCACAATTCGACATCAGATGTACAGGAGACTTCGACACAGGAGGACCAATTGCCTGCAGTGGAACCTGGCACATTTATGTTTCCTCATATCCAGGGTGTGCTTGCTTTTGATACCCCATACTTGGGCATTGCTCCAGGAGTGGTGTCTTATGGAGCGGAAGGTCATTATCGTAATGCTACCACGGCCTACAATACATTTTCGGAAGTAGCTGGTCTCTTCGGCTATGGTGGTCAAGGCGAAGCATCTGGAGGAGCAGCCGCAGCTGCGAAAGAGTCCGCCAAAGCGTTACCAGCCTCAACCGATGCTGCTGCCGTTCCATCCTGGCAAAGATGGGGTCGATATGCTATGTTCGCGGGTGCTGCGGGCGCAGTTGCTGCTGGGGGTGCGGCGGCTCTCTATACAAATCGACAAAATATTTCTGCGGGATTTAGCTGGGTTTCATCTCATCTGGAGTTTGTGGGCTGCCTCGCGCGAGGCTCGGATCTACGCCAGCGCCTCGAAAAACTATCCGAAGTACAACAGGAACGAGGTATTCAGTCCGTCAACTTCTATACATGTCTCGGAAAAGGCGCATCTTCCCTGGTGGAAAAATCGGATCCTGGAAGCACGTCTTTCAGTAAGCATATAATTCGATCGAACTACAGAACATTTTGTACCCTTCCACCCGAGATTGAAAATGGGCAACAAGGTTCCGCTCCGGGACTCAAGTGGGTCAAAGCCGTTAATGATCAAGCTTCGGATGAAGTGAAGGCACATATTACCATGTTCCTGTCCAAGAATAACCCAGCCTTCTTTGATCTTCTTGGCGATGCTTGCAAGACATTGGTGGGATCGGTCGATCGTGGCTGGTACAATACCTCCACAGCATCGGACGAAGGGAACTCCGCCACACCACAACAGAAAAATCCAGAACCCGACGATGATTTTATGGACGCTGATGACGTTGTTGTCGTAGACTGAAACAGCCAAGCTGGTATCAGGTTTACTAGAGGTTTAACGGACTTTGCCGATCCAAATCCTCCCTCGATTGTGACATCTTCGGCATCCACATGGGCGCTCCCCTGATCGACACTGTCGGTCTAGACTTTCTCTTTAGCCTACAATATGTCGTGCTAGACAATATCCATATGAGATACGGAATCGGCCCGGTAAGATCAATGACTTTTCCGCAGGAATAAAATTTTCGTGCAGCGCCCCGTATCGAGGCGAATCCTTCTGATTTGAGGCGCAGGCCCAGATAAACACCCAAGCCTAGCCAAAAAAAGAAAACGCGATCCGGTTCTAGCCCGGTCTATCAGACAGAACGAGAGAGCGACGACGATCCCGACGCTTGTTCCAATCAACGGTCGATCCCGTGGGGGTTCTTTTTGCAAGGAATCGGGCTCGCCAGCACTTAGTGTATGCTACATTGCTACAGGGGTGCCAAGAACAATATAGATACTTCGTGTGCATACGTACGCTCATATCCTCTTGTGGCTTTCGGCGCTCCAAACGCCGATATCTGCAGGATGCGTTTCTGGCGTGATCTTCACACCCTAGCTGTCAGATAGACAACCACAACACCGTATCATTATACCTTTTGATCCACTTTCCCTTGGCAAAAATGAATGCATGTGTCAGTAAAGTCAAAATAATAAGTGAAATCCCTTAAATATATCCGGATGCTTAAGGGTTTAGTTCAGGCGATAACTATGTACGTGATGCATCGATTACCTGACAATAATGGCGACGATAGGATATCATAGCAAATATTAAATGTTAAAATCTGACTGAGGCTGCAGAACGGTGTAGAAAACTGCGTTTAATGATAGGGTTCGGAGAATACTCGCCCAAATCCTTTTTCCAATAAACCCTAAATCTGTTAACCAATGTCATGAACAGAATGTGCCCGGTGGAAAGTCAAATCTACGAATGCATGCCCAATCCGGACGTTTGACCAATCTACAGCATGCCTAGAGTACGCGGAGCATATATTGAGAACCTTGGGGTACAATGAATGGAAAATATAGTTTCTGCTCGTATAATTACTCCAACTGCTATTTTATCTCTCCTAGCCCGAAGCCGTTCACATGGTTATGCATCAAACCTAAATTATAAGACAAGAAAGGAAATAAACATGAATAAACCTCATTAAATCAGATCACATATACAAATGGGGAAACCGGACCGGCTAGTAATTATGATGTCCATAATTCGAAGCTCGATGGTGTCCGTACATGCTGCCGGCATATTCTGAATTATTATCTTGATAGACAGTTTGGCGTCGGTCTTCGTCCGGAAGTAGTTCTTTGACCTCCCACGTGTTCGGTTTGACTCCAACAGAGAATTCAAGATCCTCTTTGGTAATTGAATCCCAGAACTGTGAATGGTAAGCTTCGTATCCATAATGTAATTTTGAACAACCAATCTCACCTTGTAAATCATCATGACCGCAAGAAGGTTACAGAAGGTGGCAAAGAACAAACCATCCATGTAGTGCTGGACATTGTTGCAGATCAGGTCACTGAATGCATACAGGAGTACCTGGCCGATAATAAAGACGGCTAGTCCGAAAAGGATATGCCCAAGTGGCCAACGGTCATCCAATGTGTTAACCACAAGCAAGAGTTGCATGCCGATATAGATGGCTATGGCTATGGCGTTCAATAGGTAAAGCACCACAAACATTCCGACTGTGTTTTGGGGCCCTAGACCACCCCATGACTTGAAGGTCAGCAGGGATATGACAAAGGTCATGGCAAACATGATTGCGGACGGAACTCGAATCAGCCACACAGATAATGCGGTGCCGTCTTCGTACAGCTGAAAGCCTACAAAGCCGTTGACCAATAGACAAGTACACAACGCTGATACTAAGCCATTTTGGATTGCTACGAAATAGGGAAACGGGCCACTCCTCGGTGGAACGACACCCGCATCAATGATCAGCGAAGCGATAGTGAGAGCCAGATAGAGATAGAAGAAGGTAATGATTTCCTTGCGACCTAGTCACATGGTCAAGTTAATACCACATATTCACTTCACCAGTCAAAGAAAAGGGGGCGGAAAAGAAGACGAACCGACAGCGGTGAATTTGGATCGAATATGCAAGATCATGATCACTGTCATAGCGAGCGCGATAATATGCATGAAAGAGGCGGCTCCTTCAAAGATCATAGTGTTGGCGACTTCGATGTTGCGGGCATAGCAGTTGGACACGATGCCTGTCGCCCCGGAAATTGACGACGCTGGGCCTACTAAGAGGCATAGCGGCATAGGCGTTTTCTCGCATATTGAATCAAATTGACCGAACCCCATGGTGATGGTGGTTATCCCAGCGTTCAGTGACAACAAACAGGTTAACTGTTGTGGTGGGCGGTCACCCAGTTCTCCGAGTTCGTCTCCACAACGACGGGCAGGAAGTGGGCGCGGGTGGGGAGAAGAAAGCGAGTGACGAATGAAGGCTCGAATCACGCAACCAGTACTCTCTGTGTTCTCTCTCTCTCTCTCTCTCTCTCTTTTCTTCTCTGCCTCAATAGAAGATCCGGCTGTCCAATCTTAGCTGTGATGTCAAACGAGTGAACTTGAGCAGGGCGGCGACGTCGAGTTTTCCAAGCCAAGAAGTTTGACTTTCAATTGTTGCTAATTCAAGCGAGGGGGGAACAGGTCACCTGTTTTTTTGTTTCTATATTGGGATTAGTGTTACATGAGACTTCCCCGCTGACTCATCAGGGTCAAGATCCACGTGCTATACGGCACGTGACTCGGCCGAGATCCGGGGCCGAGCTTGATCCATGGATGATTTACCTTAAGGAGGTCCATGTGTGCTGGTGTATGTATGCCTATCTATGGCTGGCAATATGTACACCAGACAAAGTTCTAGTGGCCCTGCATTAGTGGACTTCTAGATTACCTCGGGATACCATCATGCCTCGGGCCCGACATCATGCACACCACCCCCTCTTCCGATATCGCGTACGACAGCCGGAGCTGTAGCCGAGGGGGTCTTAACGGCAAGCTACTGGAGACTATATCTTCTCAAAGATCCACAACCCGATAAACTTGGGGCTGGAGACCCAACGCGGCACTACTCCGTATCTCCTCGGCTCGCGCCATTGAAGCTAGTGCGGCCACACAAAGCCGCCTCATCGAGGCGAACGAGAGAGAAGAAAAAATGGGCCCATAGTAGCTCGTCCGCATCCCCACCATCCGAAACATTCGCTTTATTCTGGAAGAAACCAAAGTTCTATTTTTCTATTTTCTTTCTTTTTATCTACTGGCATGTGGATAAAACATCCAATTGCGATCTAAATGTCACGCCGTTTGTCGCACCATCTTGTGTTTCTCGCTTGCCTGAACTCTGTGTTCCATCCAATATGGAGTCTAGCGTATGATTGACTCTTGAAGATCACCCCTGTCTATTTTATCATCTGCTAGGGCCCTCGACTACTGCACCGCACAGGCTGCAAGTAACGCAACGTAACCCTGCACGCTTCTTTGGCGTATGCGCGAGGACAATTAGGGGCAATCGGAGCGGAACCTTTTTGAATGCCGATGGCAGATTCCGCTACATTATGCAAGGTGGATCACAACCGATTACTTGGTCGAATGTCCAATCTCAAATCACAAAGCAAACCGCAAATTTTCCCTCGCGGCGCTAGATCTTCTTCTAGTACTAGCGTGCTTTGGTGGGGAAATTATTTCTGGGGCCTTTCGATCTGGAGTATGCCGAAGAAAGCTCAAACCTTGTTTTTTCTTTTTCCCCCTTCTCTTTGATTCGGTATCTCCTGGATGGAGCTGACAACGCGGCACAATCGGAAGCACAATCGGAACTTTTCTGCTGAGTATGGATACTGTAGAGCTTGTCTCCGTGATTTAAGTCTGCTGCCATTGTCGCTACTACCTTGAACGACCCTGATTTGTCAATCACTTTCCCGGTATGGTTCTCTTCCAGGGTGAAGGCCCTTTAGACAGGAATTTTGCGCACAGCTTATTTTTTTTCTTCCGCTGCCCATGACTCGTTCAAACTGACCACACAAGCCAATAATTTAATTAGATTGTATCGTTCCTCAAAAGTCTTCATGCAACTTTCTTTATCTGTCTGGGCACCAATCAGTCAGACGATATAGGACACTCAACAGCTGTTCGAGATATGATTTAGGACAGAGGCTGGTCTTAAAGCCTCCATTACTTTTGCTTTTCCTCCCCTTTTGTAATGATTCTTTCTCTCTTACCATCCTTGGCACAGTGTATCTTTTCCCCCTGGCCCTAAATGCCCAACGTGTCGTGTCCCCAATTTCGAAAGAGGTTGCCCAACACAATAATTGTCACCGGACGATTCAAACGAGAACAATACATTTGTGCTCGCCTGACTATCTTCCCTTTTTTTGGCCGGTGACAAACATATATACTCATACATGTAGATTGTTGTGCAAGGAAACCTCACCCCACGACCTTTCTCTGTTACAGAAAGACCTGGGCGATATGACCACGTCTCACGACGGAGTATTTCTTATGCATGAAGATCCTGACTAGCGCCACGTGTGTATGGCTAAAGCATCAACGGCTGCGAGGAACCGCGTCGATCTCCCACTACCCGATACATCCTATATGCCGAGCAATAGACGGGTCTCGTCGTCATCGGATAAGTGGAGGAGAGAGGCAAGAAGGCGGGATGATCCCTGATCTTCTTGGGCAAATTTCCGGCTGTGGTCCTCGGGCGTCTTTTCTAAACGGTCATCCATAGAGATCAAAGCCACTTCCCATGTAGGACCCGCTTCCCGACAAGGATTGATTTTCGATTTTTTGAATTTTAGGATTTAGAATTTTAGAATTTTCACAATTTTTAAAATTTTTGTCCAAAGTATTTGGTTCGATCTCATCTTTAGGGGGGGAAACTTCTTATTCTTTTTATTTTAATTTAATTTATTTTAATTTTTTTTTTTATTATTATTGATTTTCCCTTTAATTATTATTCTCTTTTATTATTATTATTTAAATGGCAACTTAAGGACAAATGGTGGGGAACAGGGCTTTCTCAGAACTACCTAGACACGCTACTTGTGCAGAATTACTTGAGTACTGTAGATACTTGCTCCGTACTAACACCTATCAGGTATCAATCTATGTGGAGTAAAGAAAATTTCTAGACTGTAGTTTGCGATTGACGAAATACGCGGCATCTGTGTGATTTTCCAGGGCTTTAATAATTTTTCTTTCTTCTTCTATTATTATCTTCCCTTGATTCCCATACTGTTTTCTGGAAGACTATAATTTTTGAATGCCTACAGCTGTCCACCGTCATACTTATTGAACACCCTCGACGACCTCCCTCCAGGACCTGAATATCTTCATACCCCCAGTCCACAACAACAATCAACCACCTCGAATCCCATTCAACACTTGCATTGCATCAGACCTTACATCCTCAACTAGGATAGTAAGAGTCATTGTTATTGTCATTTCACACATACACATACTCCCACGAGCAATTCCTCGATGGGCCCAAAATGTGTAGCTATTTCAAAAACTTCTACATCTATAGCAGCTGCCAGAACCCTTCATCCCACTTTATCCGCACCGACATGGATGGCGAAGACGACTATCATTGTTCAGATGGGCCTCACGACCGCTTTATCGTCGTAGTAGGCAGATGTCTACTCTGCGGCACACGTTAAAAAAAAACAATCAATACCAAAATCCCAAAAAAGTCAACACTACACACCCTATTCAACTATTTCGAGCATACACACACAGCCAAACAACTCTCTCCCGTGCCTCCCACCGACCCACACCTCTTCGCCAGCTCGTACAATCAGTGCCGCCAGGAACTATGTAATGATTCGGCTAGCGCCGACCCTCTCATTACCCACTCGAAACCCGCCGCTCTCCCGAACCGATGACGATGACGATGAAGTACATGTTTCTAATTTTCAATCATCGATCCGGTAAAACGGCCCTGATCGACATCCATTTTCTATTCATTTCTTCTTCGTCTACTCCGTACTGAGATCATTTGGGGGGGCCGTTCCAATTTAAACTTTGTGCCTTGGGGGTACTTCGACATTCCCCGATTTTCCGGAAGTATTCGCCTTACGAGGTCCTCGAGCCCTGTTACTGCTTTTGCTTTTCAAGTTATTTCCCCTCCGTTCCGAGCGAGTTTATCAATGGCTTTGAATTTTGATTTGATTTGATGTGATTTTTCTTTATTTCTTTTTCTTTAATTTTCGTGATCCTGGTTGCTTTGTTTGGCGTTATGGAAGGAAGGGAATCAATCTATCCTGCGTGTGTGGTACCACTGGGATATTGAATCGGCACATGAAATCATTCAGCCCGTGTCTTGGTCTTGGTTTTGGGTTATTTTGTTTGATTAAAATATTGCTTTGGGATGAAAACGAAGCGAAGCGTATGTTGCATAGCCAGATGTACCGATGCTTTGTTGTATGATTATGATATCAAGTATACAAGAATGTTCTTTTTTTATTTCTGGTTTTTTTTGTTCCCACTTTTTAATTGGGGCAGAGCCTTGTGCAAAGATCGTCTTGTTTGCATTATTTGCCTTGACTTCTTGGAAAAGTTTCACATATTATCAATATGCTAAATCCGTCCGGAGCCCCGAGGCCGTTCTCCCTATTCCAAATCCAAATCCACATCTTCAAATCCTCAAATTAATAACATGGCTTTGCTGTAGGGCTCGGACCCGACAAAAATCCAATGCAATTAATCAACTACTACTCTGTAGTTGTCTTCGTTTACCACAAAAGGGGAACAGCAAAAAAGAAAAGAAAAAAGGAGTGAGAAGGGTAAATTAGAGGGATTCGTCGATTAAGGTCTGGGTCCAGGGGGACCCGCACGGGCAACGTGGTTCTACTGTTGTCCATAAAATTCCGCGGTGCATATGCCAGGGGTGGGAAGGGGTCCCAGCCCAGCAGCATGACGACAACGACTAGTAAGTACAGTAAGTACCTTTGAGACTACGGAGGAAATTCCGGTCAATTAGAAACCAAAATGTCCCGGCAGGGAAAAAAAATCCAGTCGAGGGTAGCATAGCATAATCGGGCCAAAGATGGTGTTCGCTATACATAATAGCGCTCTATGCCCATCTTGTCCTAATAAGACATTGCCAAGGCTCGGTCTTCGGGTGTCCTTCTAACCAAAGTTGGTTGAGTCCGTGCTTGTCGGGGATGGGATGGCGTGCACAGTATTTCTGTACATGTATTTCTGTTCAGGCTCAGTCACGATGTGGGAGGGGCAGGATATGGCGGTGCATCCATCCATCTGTACAGCCCCTTTAGGCAGCCTTGTGCGTCCTGTTACTG